TGGAAGCGGGATTTTATAGGAAAAGTGGGCAGTGGAAAGGACAAAGGCTTACATGTCGAGACCACTATCACTCAATCATCACACACAAGCGATATAATCTATACCATTCAGGAACAAATCGCCAAAACAAAAGCCCAAAAATAACCTGACATTTCCACGATAACTTGCTTCATGCATACCGTGGATGATGGTCACCATCACAAACACCTTTTGTCTCTTTCATATCTCCTTCATGTCTCTTTCATGTCTCTTTTTGGTTCTCTCATTGTCCCTCTCTTTTTTCTTTTCGCCTCTCTCTCTCCCTTTCTCTTTGTTTCCATATCATGCAGCAAGAAACCATTTCCACAATAACCTGCTTCATGCATACCGTGGATGATGGTCACCATCACAAACACCTTTTGTTCTCTCATTGTCCCTTTCTTTTTTCCTTTCGCCACTCTCTCTCCCTCTTTGTTTCCATATCATACAGCAAGAAACCATTTCCACAATAACCTGCTTCATGTATACCGTGGATGATGGTCACCATCACAAACACTTTTTGTTCTCTCATTGTCCCTTTCTTTTTTCCTTTCGCCTCTCTCTCTCTCCCTCTTTGTTTCCATATCATACAGCAAGAAACCATTTCCACAATAACCTGCTTCATGCATACCGTGGATGATGGTCACCATCACAAACACCTTTTGTTCTCTCATTGTCCCTTTCTTTTTTCCTTTTGCCTCTCTCTCTCTCTCTTTGTTTCCACACCATGCAGCATGAAGTCACCAAAACAATAACCCAAGAGTTTATTGTGGAAATGGCAGGGCTATGGTTTTGCTTCAAAAAAAAACAAAAAAAAAGGCCTGTTTTATTCGTACCTTGGGTGATGGTCAACATCGCAAACCATATTCTCGTTTTGCCTCTCTCATTGTATCTCTGCTTCTCTTGTTGGCCCTTTGAGCCCCTATTATCTCTCGCCCATATACAAAAGCACACACAGTAAACTAATAACGAACCTTAAGTCAACCACACATTTGCACACTCATCACTCTACACTCTCCTGGAACAATAGCGTCAACCATATCCGCCTTTATCAAGCTGACTGAACTCGTCACGACGCCAATCTAGGCCAAGTCTGCAACGTCCGCAAATTTCTTTGAGCTCGAAACACTCCCCAACATCAACATCCACCATCAAGATGTCACCATCACCTCCCGATGTCAGCCCCCAATCAACAGACGGATCATTAACCAGATTGTGCTGCTCAAACGTGATGGGCGCACTGAGCGGGCGTATTCTGCCCGCCCTAGTCATTACTAACCATCCTTCGTCCCGCGACGCCAAGTATGCAACCTCTATCCGAACCCAAGGAGCGCGCCTAGAAACTATCGCAGACCTCGAGGACACTTATGGTCGTCGAGCTTGCGAGAGCAATCTTTGCTTCGTAAGTATATCTGCGATTGTGGCGATTTCTGTTGGATGGGCTACGAATTCGTACTCACCTACCGTTCACCTCTGCTTTCGGCAATTCTTTGCATCTTTTGCAGGACCAAGAAAAAGCCTGAGAGGATATTACTCTACCTCAACAGAGTCTCGGAGGGTCAGTTTGTGCAAGCCCACCAAGTCGAAGTGGATGCCATTCGGTCGGCTTCCAAGAAGCTACAAGTTATGTATGCTCCCAAGTGCCACTTTTGCCCCAAGGCTGCCAGGCCCCAGGTTGTCCAGGTTATGCGAAAATAGGCTTTGTCCTAGTTCCGTTGAACGCGCCATGGATTTCTGATATCGTCACGTGACTTTCGCCAGCTGACCATTCAAGATCCCAAACCCCAAGCCCCGTCTAATGTCCTAAGCCTCGTCCAACATCCAAGCCCCGTCCAATGTCCAAGCGCCGCCTTGGTTCCTTCTGTTCATTCGGCCCTTAGCATAAATAAACCCCTTGTTCCCCTGTCTTGTTCCCCAGTCTGCAATAACTCACTTGCATCTGTCCCCTGCCTTACTTCTGCACACTCTTCGTATTCCTTCCTTTTCCTTCATAATAAAATATAACAAAAGCAATACACATTCTTCCAAGTCCTGTCTGACCATTGCACCAAGATCACGTCTGTCGTAGTCCAGAAGCGCCATCACAATCTCTTCTTTCTAATGCAGAAGGGCCAGGCCGATCGATCGGGAAACTGTCCGCCCGGAACTGTGGTCGACACTGGCATTGTTCATCCATTCCAATTTGATTTTACTTCCAGTAGCAAGCGGGTCTGATTGGAACTTCGAGACCTGCCCTCCACAACGTTCTCTGCGATGGGAGCTGATTTACGTCGGACAGTCTCCAGACTCTAACCTACAGACTATGCTACCTGTATGCTCGATGCACTCGATCCGTCTCTATGGTTTCTGCGGAGTACTATGCCCACCTGGTCGCGCAGCGAGCACGTTTCCACCAAGGGCGTCAATTGGAGCAAGGCCACGCCTTCGGAAGGATTGGGTGAGTCGATTACCTACGCGCCCGTAAAGCAGCAGCTTCAGAAGGGTATGTTATAAACGAACCGTGCTAAGACGTTGAAGAGATATCTACATGGCAGAAAGCTGACCCTTTCGTCTTGCTTTGCTTTTTCTGGTGATGTGGTTTATGTGAGCCCGGCCCTTCAGCCATTTGCTACCCTTGCTTGTCTGCAACCGCACTCGTGCGACCTCCCTTCCCCATCGCCCACAATACCGATTGGCTTGTTTTGAACTACATTTCGATAAAAAATAATGCAAGTTAACGATGGGTGTCCGTGAACGTTGGCTGGTTGTGACCACCGCGTCCGTGTATTGATTTTTATTTTTTTGCTTTATGAGGAAGTGAAAGAATTATAAGATGCTTGTGGAGACAAAGAGCTTTTCAAAAGGCTAAAACCAAAAAAAAAAAGAATGACTGTCCACAGTGTTTTAAGCGTTGGCGAGTTCAAGAAAAAAAGAAAAAAAAAAGACGCTCTCTATTCCTCAAGGGGTTGTTGAGATCAATCAGTCCTTATCATAAGCGAGGCCTGGTTCCACTGTTTAGTGCGATGGTCCCTCGTGATTGTTCGACTCTATTAGCCGTTGGCTCGTCGACCGCCCTTATTAGCCCTCTGCTTGGCCTCCCGGATCTGTCGCTTAGCCTTGCGCAAGTCACCATGTCCCCAGATCATACTTAGGACTGCACAGGAAAGGAGGTACCCGACATAGGCGACCATGCTGACCAACCCGACGCCGCAGGCAACCAGCAGCGAGACTCCCAAGGCTGGGAGCAGGAAAACCAAGCTGAAAATTGCGAATCCTACCTAAACAGAGATAAGGTGATGATTGGCACATGTAGATGATGATGGGTTAGGGTAGGGAGTTTCGGATCAGTTTCGTCTATCAGGCTTTGGTATTCGAGTGCGTATTATCATTGTCATTGTGCCAAAGAAACATATCTCACTTCAACAATGGTAAATCCAATCCCTCCAACGACCAAGGACCCAAGGGTGACAAACCCCATGAAGCCCATGAAGCAGCCCAAAGGAAAAGCCGACATGGCTCCAAACCCAACGACCCCAATCTTGACACTGGTGGGAGCTTGGACATATAGATTCTTGAGGTATCCCGCGGGAGGGAAAACATAGTGCTGGACTATACCCATCTGGTTGACAGACTCCAGTGCCGATTGAGCTTTGCTGGCGACGATCTGGGGGGTTTCATGGGTGGCGTCTCGGGCTTGGTCGACTTGTCGCTCGATGTTCGTTGTGGCCATGGTGGGTGTTGGTGGTAACTTGCGATGGTTTTGCTGGGGTGGCAGTGACTGGAGGAGAAGGATGTGTGGGGTGAGGCTAAAGCAGCGGGATTGCGTTGAAGAGACAGACTCGGGTGGTGATACTGGTGCGTGAAGGGATGTGGATAGAAATAGTCAAAATGGAGGCGATCGTTGACCGTGTTGCAGTTGAAGGGGTGGAAAGAGCAGAAAGTGGGAAGAGGAAGTGAACATGAGAGCTGAGAAAATTATGGTTACCTACGATATCCAAGTATTACTTGCATTGAGGGAAAGTGATGAGAGATCGGAGCATTTCTAAAAATCAAGTGCGATAGAGGCAATAGATGCGTCGTGTTGAGACATTACGCGTTGATTTGTTATCTTTAGAGCACGATAAAGAGAAAGGCAAGATAGAATCTTGAGGGCGGAGAGGCAATAAGGAGATCACGAGGACTCACGTCGAACCTAATCTGGGATGGCTGTGTCGCCAGCAATCGCTGTATGTCTTCAACGAGAGTCGACGAGCCGGAGCTGGAGGGGTCGGAGGCGTTTGTTAGAGGAAGCAGTGTCGGCGATGTCCTCATCCTCGACGTCAACTGCTCGTTTTGGACTGCATGAAGCCTGCTGTGTAGATGTTGTTGTGTGAGTAGACATGCCCGCGTCATCGTCGTCGGTTGCTCGCTCTGGGCCGGATGAAGTCTGCTGTGTCGATGTTGTTGCGTGGTTAGACATATGACGTCAGGCCGACTTTGCAACGAACTGCACCGTTTCATGGAAACTCAGCGCGTTCACCAACGCAAAAAACATCGATGATAAGTTGACTTCGCATCTCTTGGTCTGATCTTTCTTCACTCCGTCTGTCGCCTTGATCCAGCGCTCTTCTTTTTTTCCTTTCTGTCTTGGAGTCAATTTCATTTATGGAGGTTGATTCAAACTCTCTTATTTTGAGTGAGAGGCGTCTGAATTGTCCAAGGGTTTTGACAACATTATCTTTTATGAAGGCTCGGCTCTGAGACTATTTTATCCACACTTATTGTTTTGCCTGTCCATCTCGCTGACGTTTAAAAGTGAAGGAAAAGTGATAGGAAGATAAATTGATATGGAAGTTCCTCTCGTGGTGGTTCCTCTTTTTTTATGTGACGGAGTGGGTGCTCTCTGTGTTTTTTTTTGTAAATATGGAGAGGACCCTGCTCGCAGAATCAATCGAAGGGATAAATTTCGACCACAAAAGCGGTCGAAAACAGACGAAGGGTATAAAGCGCTGAACAATGGAAAGTTAACTAGAGCCGATTGTAGTCATTGTCTTGAGAAGCATGCACACCATGAGTTTGCAATTCATACGGCCCTTGGTTCCCATGGTTACCATTACACCCTCCGCCTCCATGTCCGCCATGTCCAAGGTAATCATCGCTAACTCCGCTACCCCTCAATGGCCTCGCGCCTTCAGTAACACCATCCTTCCTCCGGTCACTCCAAAGCTTCAACAGCGACCCGATTCCAAACACAGCGACAACCAACACAACCACCCACACATAATACAGATACCACACAGCCTCCTTCCCAGTTGGCCAAAGTCCGTACAACCTCATCCCCAAATTCACCTGCACGATCCCTAAGATCAGGACAGTGTACCCCCAACAGCGATGGACCCACGTTGGGATCCGGACGATCGCTGCTTGGCGTGTTCGTGAAGGGTCATACTTTGTGAAAATAAAGACCCCGACGATCACCTGAAGGACTAAGGCGCCGACAAGAACAAGCCCGACGATTGCGTGGGTAGAGTAGACCATGGGTGCGCCATTGTTGAGGGAAGAGGACTTGGCGAGCGCGGCAAGGATACAGCCAAAGGCTGCAAGGACGGTGAGGAATCCTGTGACTTGGAGGGGTCTGTGCCATTTGAAGACATGTTGAAGATGGCTGAAGAACCGGACCAGCGAAGCTCCCAAAGGGAAAATGATCAGGAACGCCAGGGCCATCATCACCGCTGCAAGGGAGAAGGTTTTGTGCCCGTTCGGAGAATTCAGATGATAAACATTGTCAGTGACAAGGTTGGTAATAACATAGAAAAAAGAAGGGTGAATGCTCAATTGAGGCGGGATAGAACGCATAATCCAGGGACAACAAAAAAAGGTTCTTGTGGCCTTGGCACCTTATTTTGACCAATGCTCATCAAGGCCAACAAAAGCAAAGACAAACGTACCATGGACTTTGATGAGGGTATCAATCTGCTCCTGCGTCTCCAAAATTTCTTCAACGTTTGGTGACGTACTCCCTCCGCCATTGCTACCAGTCCCAGGAGTATGTGTCGCACCAGGAACCGCACTCGCCGTCGTCGCCGTTCCATTCCCTGCGCTGGCCCCCTCCTTCTTGGTAATCTCCAAGGATCCAAATCCGGTAAACGTGTGCTGCTGAATACTCGCCTTCTGTGGGTCTCCTCCTGCGCCCGCAACGACGGGTTTGAGTCCTACAGCATAGATTATGTGGACTGATGCTGCAGTTGCGGCGATGGGGGATGTGGCGAGATTAAGGGGTCGAGAGAAGGTGCAAGTGAACCGCTTTGGGGTGGCGGTGGTGATGAATCCGGATTTGGGGGTTTGGATCTTAAACGCGGGCGGGTTTGTCAGGGGAGAAGGGGGTCCGTTCATGGTTGCTGATCTCTGTGAGACTATTGCTCCTGTTCCTGCTGCGTTTGCTGGCCAGCAAATCTAGGATGTGCAAAAAGAAAGAATATGCTTGCGTTTAGGTCTTTCCTTCACCTCATGTCGCTCACGTTGCCCTTGACTTCATTACTCAACGAAGATAAATGACTGTAGTAGTTGTAACGATAGAAAAAAAGACTTACGGCGAGATCGTTGCCAGCCATGCCACCAGCCTGTCCACCAATGCCCATTCCAACCCAGCCAACAGAATCAATCTGAGCAGACAGCGAGAACTCGATGGTGGTGCTCTCCTTTGAGAACACCGTTGCAGTGATGCAGAGTTGTGGCGAGCAGAGTTGCTGAGCCTGGACTGTTGAAAGTGCTGCTAGGGCTATACATTATTATTTGTTGGTGGTAGTGTGGGGGTTTTGGAAAGTGGGCAATTTAGTTATGTTTACAGGTTGAGATGATAATTAAATTGGCATGAGAAAGGGGCAAGGGTCCATCTCGCAATTTGTTTTTGTTTGTTAGAACCAACACAAGCACAAAAAATGGGCGGTGCCTACGAGGAAAGGACGAAGGAAAGGAAAGGTGTGCACTCTGACCAGAACAAATAATGCTTCAAAGATGGAAGCAAACAATCGAGAACCAACGTACTGTACAACAGCCAATTTCTGGGGATTTGTGTGCCAACGCTTTTTTTTCCCCTTCTTTGCTCCGACCTTTTTCGGTGTTTGTCAAGCTAGACAGTCTAGGAAGTACAAAAATCCGTTATAAATAAAAGAGGAGGACACGTACCCAAGAGGGCTGAAAAGCCGAAGGTGGCCTTGAGCCTCGCAGTGCTAGTAGGAATGTACATTGGAGCACTTTGTTGTGTGTGTGCTTGCGTGATATGTGGATCTGTAAATGATTGCTGGCAAGAGGCAAAACGTAACAAGGCCGGTACAGTAAGCAGGTTGAACCTCGGAAAAAAAATCCGAACTCTGTATGTGCTGTTGAACAAGGAGGTGGATGGAGGGCAGGTGGACTTGGAGAGTTGAGAGGTGTGAGGGAAGAAGAAGACGTTAAATAACAAAGAAAGGGACGAAGATGTTGAATAAAGAAAGAAAGAGAAGAGATGAAGAGTTGATGCGGGAAAGACGAAGATGAAGAATAAAAGACAAAGTGGAGGAGAAGGTGAGAATAAAAAAAAAGCCGACAAACAAAAAGAAAGAGTCGATAATAATGGATGATGACAAGGGTATCAAGCAAGCAGGGCGCCGCAAAACCTCCGAGAAAATTGGAAAGTCTAGGCCAATTGGTCGGTCGTCCTGTTGTCGCGCAAACGCAAAAAGCCCATCCTGGCCAGCCCTAACCCTCATTCGGTTCTCTTTGTCTTTTTTCGTCCATCCTGCACAACCCTTAGACGTCCTCTTGGATGTCATTGCATTGGCCTCATTACTATCGTATAGGCTTTCCTGTTCGACAAACGGAGTCGATCGAGGTACAATTTAAAAGGGGTAGAGGGATTGGAGACGAGGAGGGTTTATCCCTTTATCCCTTGTACAGTACGGGGTGTCAACGACGAATAAAAAAAGTCAGGGCACCATCAACACCAGGAGAATTATGCCTATTTACTCGTCCTCTCTTTTCTTCTCCTTTATATACCTCTGTTAGTAAGAGTATGTGCCTGTGACCCTGTCCGTTTTCCCATGCCTTTTTCTTCCCCTCGATAATAAATGATGTGTGTTTCATGTCGCACGAGCCGCTTCTCATTAATTCAACTCATGAACGACACTATTATTTATTGGCTTTCACGCCTTGTATTACAACTAGCACAAACAAACATGCGTCCATGAACAACCCCAAAGTCCATCCACCAAATTAATACTAGAAACAGCAACATACATGCATGTACAACATGACCTTGGACGTTGGTATATTGTTTAGTTATTATTAATGCGATAGGAGGATGTAGAAGGGGGAATATGTAGAGAAACGCATGAATGTACATAGAGTGTAGATTACATAAAAAAGCAAAGAAGGGCTCTCCTGCGTACATCCTTTTACGAGACAATACCAGCAATGCAGGCAGAGATTAAGGTCGAAACCGATCCGCACAAGCAAGCAGACAAAGAAAGACGGGCAATGGCATCAGCACGATCGGGAGCCAAAGTCAAAAACAACGAGATCTGGGTACCGATGGAACCAATGTTAGCAAAGGAAGCCATGGCATAGGTGGTCAAGAGGGCAGTACGGGGCTGGAGGGTGGCAACCTTGCCGGTGAACATGGCGAAAGCAGCAAACTCGTTCAAGATGAACTTGATGCCCATGGCCTCCGCAGCGTCAGTCAAGTCGACAGTGGGGATACCGATCAACCAGGCCAAGGGGTACAGGATCCAGGAGGCAATCTTCTCGATCGAGATATCAACACCATAGAAATCGAAGATCCAGCCCAAGAAACCGTTGGCGAGACCGAGGAGGGAGATGACAGCCAACAAGACGGCAATGATGACAATGCAGAGTTTGATACCAAAAATGGCTCCGTTGGAGATGGCGTGGATAGCGTTCGACTCGCGGTCCTTGTAGGCCGGGGCGACAGCGGTTCCCTTGGTCAGGGGGACCTCCTCCTCGGGGAAGCGGATCTTGGAGATAACAATGGCACAGGGAACTGACATCATGCAGCAGGTCAAGAGGGCGGTGGCATCGGCGTTGAAGGTCAAGAGGCCCAAGAAGACGGATCCAGAAATGGTGGCGAAACCAGAGGTCAAGACTTGGTGCAACTCGGCCTCAGTCATCTCAGAGACAAAGGGACCGACCAACATCGAGGCCTCAGACATTCCGACGAAGGGAGCAGCGCAGGCGGCAACACACTCGACACCAGAGATGTCGATGATGTGGATGACGACTTTAGCCATTCCAGCGACGACGGACTGGACAATGTTGTAGTAGTAGAGGCACTGGATGACGGCGGCGAAGAGGATGATAGCTGGGAGGACGGAGATGGCAAAGGAGCTGGCAAAGGGGATGGTCTCGCCGTGGAAGGTGGCGGAGTTGACGCCGAAGATGAACTCGCGACCCTGGGCGGCGTAGCCGAGGAAGGACTCTGCCTGCTGGGCGATGAACTGGAAGATATCGTACCCGACGGACCAGCGGATGATCAAGAGTCCGAGGATGTACTGCATGAAGATGCCGGTCCAGACGATCTTCCACGAGATGGCCGAGCGTTTCTAATGGTTGTATGTGTGGATGGATGTGAAAGGAGAAGATATGGGTGAGTTGTGTGCAGTATGTCCAATTTCCATCTTTTCAAGTCTACAGTCCCTGTTTCTTCTCTTCTCTGCCCCTGAAAAGTTTTCTTCATTCGTCATCGGGGTTTGACCTCCTCTTCTTCACTCCCCTGGTGCCTGCTGGCCCTGGAAAAGTAACGAAGGTATTTCCCTTTTCGGATCAGGAAATTAAAACAAAACAACACAAAACAAAACAAAACAAAACAAAACAGGGAGGAATTCGTTCGTGTTACCTTGGAACAGGCAATGGTAATGCACAAAAGAACAACAAGACCCAAGCATGAGATAAGACGCTGGGCACGGGTACCATGAACGTCATCGGCTCTCAAGGCTGCAGTTAAGATCAATGCCAGGGGAGGGACACCATATCCAATAATCTTGACAAGCAAAGGGGGCAACATCTCAATGGCATGGGCACCACCGTTCCAGACAAAAGAAATGGGGCCCGAAACTGATCCAACGGGGAGGTGCTGGAGAAGCAACCACCAAACAACAGCGGCATACAAAAGAGAGAGAACAAGGATGTTGCCCTCCTTGCGGAGGATGACGGCGGGGATGAAAAGACCGGTGATGATGAGAAAGGTGATGATGTGGTTGATGAGTGATCTGTGGGTGTTGTAGAAGGGGAAGCGGCCGGTGTACTCTTCCTCCTCCTCCTCGTATTCCTCTTCTTGGTTCTCCTCGTGGATGTCGAGCTCCTGGTGGTCAGGGTGGTCGTCGTAGTGATGATGGCGCTTGTCGTCATTCATCTGAATGGTCGTCTGTTTCTCTGAAATAGACATTTTTGTTGATGTGTTATTGTGGGGCCGAGGAGGAGTTCGTTATGATGATGAAATAGTGTTTGGGGAAGGTGGAAGAGTGGGGAAGGAAGGAAGGATAAAGGGGGATGTGCGGATGAAAATGGAGGATGTGAGAGAGAGGATGGAATTGGTCGATAAAGTGTGGGGAGGAATGCGGACAATGGACAAACAACAAAAGAAAGGGGAGAAAAAAAGAGAAGAGGCGGTCGATATATATTTGTTTTGTTTTGGTCTACTCTCAGTGAATGAACCCAGGAGATGTCAATCCCCGCAAATCCCTCTCTCTTTCGCTCTCCTCTTGCCATCATTCAGACAAACCGTAAAAATGGGACATCCAGGGGTGGACATCCGCTAGTCTCTTACTCTTCCTCGTCCTCTTACTTAATTGTAATAAAAATACATGGCAATGAATCGCCGTTCTGTTCTTCTCTTTTACATCGACTTGACTACGAGCTCTCATATAAATAAGTATAATCCCTTCATTCTCCATGTCGGCCAATCAAATGACGCGTTGATTCAACTCCAGCCCTGAACTCCCCGGTCCCTCAAAGCCAATTGTTGCTGGGCTCCCCTTTTTTCTGTCTGGCTGTTTGGCTGCCTCTCAAAATATCCACTGCCACCTCCCCAATTGGCAAGGTCTTTGCCTTTGTTCAAGTTGTTTACTTTTTGGCCCCTGTGGTGGCTGGTGGTTGGCGCCCATTCACTCGTAATTCTGCAACCTGGCGGCCTGTTGGAGGTAATCCTCACATGAAAATTTTTATTCTTTCCCAGCAGTAGCATTAGACTTTCTTGCAGACGCCTATCTATTAGATCAAAGCTTGCAAAAACAAGGTGAGCATGTCGCAGTTGCAATTGTGCTTCTTACTCTCTTTCTGTCGTTCATTATAGTAGCAACAACAATGCTAACATCAAAAGACACCCCCGCTTCGGGGGGAAGGACCATTTTAGGATGTGATGTACCAGTACTGTCCAAAGGATATCGCCCCTAGCCTTTCAGCCTCTTTTCTTGTGTTCGATCCACAAGCGTTTTCGATGCCCGCTTCCATTCATTGCATCAAAGGTTAAGTAAGGGGATGGGGACGCTAAAAGAGGTCGATGAGACAAGGTGTTCTTGTTCTTTGTACCGCTGCTATCGTACGCCACGTTTGGATCGAATGTTTCTTTTTCGTTTCTTCGTCTCTACACTACAGCACTGTACCGGTAATTACCAATCCAACCAACCCCTCATTGTAGAATAACCGGAGTGGCAACTAAGGTCTTTTTTCGTTGTTTAAACCGACTCACTTGTAGAACATAGGGTGAGAATGAGAGAATGAGCGGATGAAAGGTAGACAGAGAGAGACACACACCATATGCAGCAATATCCCACACCTCCTCCCTCCTGTGGTGCCACACAAAACAAAGATCGGCAACACCTCTTATGCAAGGAAAGAGCGAGGTGGACTGGATTGACCTCCCTATCTTGATGTTGTTGTTGCTATTAGGTTAGGTTGTTCTTTTTTTGATGTTTGGTGTGGGTTGTGCCTAGGTCTCATAAGGAGAGAACAGAAAGCGAGATACAACGATCGGCCCTTGTTGCTGCACCATCTGGACAGACAGGAAGTCGTCATTGGTGTTTTCCTTTGCCCATGTGTAATTCCACGGATTGCTTTTATGTGTAACAGCCCCAAACACAAACAAAACTAAGCAAAAACTAACAACCCTCGGTTTGGTTATCTATCGGAAAGAAATGAAAAGTGGAGCCATCGAAAGAGGTGGAGACAGGAGGGTTGCGTTGGGGTTTTGTGTTTTGGTTTGTCATCTTGCTCATCCATGCTAGTCGTTTGGTGTCCTCCGCCCCTCTTCTCTCCTTCTCTCCAAACAAACAAACAGATCACACCAACGAACACATATCTCCTTTTTTTGTTCTGTTGTTCGCTGTTCTCGACATCACTCCTCACCTCTCTTCTCTCTTTCTCTAAATTTAATCGGGGTTGGTTGTCCTCTTTTCCATTTTCCTTATCGGAGATACAATATCGCCCATTGCGTACACAAACACAACCGGACATAAGCGGCTACTTTCCCAGGGTGGGGTATGCCAACGGCAGACGACAAACGAGCAAAGCAGAAACCAGTTAAATGCATCAATAATTTTGAGGGGAAGAAAAAGAACGGGTGGTGGTGGTGGTTGATGAGAGCACCACTCTTAAAAAATGCGGAGAAGTGGGTCCTTGCTTCGCTTTTTTTTTCTTTCTTCCATGTCGCTCTTTTGCTGACCCAACGAATGCAACTGGATCATGTCTATGGCTAACACTCTTGCAGTAATGTTGACCCCACGGAATAACATTATTCTGGACGACAAAAAAAAAAGAATATGTAGAAGGAGTTAGAAGATTGAATCCCCTACTTCCTCGTTACTGTCAGCCGTTTTGTCTGTGGTCTGGTCTCGTGTCTTGCTTCCTCTCATACCACTTTCTATTATTCCTCCCCGCAGCAACGACAGAGAGAATTGTGTTCTCCGCTTTCTTTCTACTCGCTGCGACAATGGGGAAATGGACATAGACTGGTTACCCCAGTTGTGGTGGTTTGCCTTTTTTGTGTCAATGTTCTATCTTATCTCTCCATTGTTACACTCGCGGAGAAAATAATGAACGGCTCCACGGAGCACAACAAAGTCAAGGAGGATGCGACAAAGAGATAGGAAGAAGAATAGTGGAGAAATGTGGAGAAGTAAGAGAGAAAGGGAGGCTAGATTGTTCGTTATTGTTCGTTGTTGGGGTGGGTTGCAGTGTATAATGCAGGTACAAGAAAAGGTACCATCTTATTTATTCGTATTACTCGTGTTTTGTTTGTTCATGTACAGTACATTGCTCGTGGATTGAAAGGAGAAGCAAGAAAAATAGTAACAAAGGTCATAACTACGACTTATCGACTATAGCCCTCCTTTGTGGATAGCTCAAAGGACGCGCTCCCGGGTAGGGATAGTATACATACGGTTGCCCATCAGGAACCGATCCAGTTTGGGCAAGTAAACCAACTGGTGTTCAACCAGGAACTGAAGCGCCATCAATCGTTCAATCCCTTCGATTTGGCAAAACCCAGGTGCGTACGAAGCTCTTCCACCCATGGTCGACGAGACCGGCGCCGGGGACGTGAAGGCGAGCGGTGGCGGAGGTGGGAGTAACGGTTTGTTCCACCCTAATGGTATCCCTGCTCCTACTCCTGCCACTGGCGATGGTGCTCTATTAACAGCTGGCTCAGACGAGACTGGTTGAGTGCCTTGGCTTGTCCATGCATTCGAAGACAACGGCGCACCATGACCAGGAGGCAAACCGAGGGCAGAAGATGGCGAGGGAGACGGAAAGGTCTCACCAACACCAATACCACCACTACCACCAGCCGATCCTAAACTGGACGATACTGTTCCTGATGACCTAACTTCTACCAAATGTGATCCAAACCTGGCGGTGGCAGGGGCAGTAGCCTTGTCACCAACAGTAGCACACGGATTTGACTCGTTGGAAACAATATCTGCTGCTGCTGTAGCTCCAGTGAGACAAGGAGGTGAGGGCGGGATGGTCGTGGGTCTACCCTCCCCACACTCACTACTAGTTGTTTCCTGAAAGGGTGACGACGACGCAGTATTGCACCGGGATCCCTTGAACAGACTCCTCACAAACATCTGCATCACCTCCTCTTCTTCCGGATCCAGACCAAATATACCCGTCAGCTCTTCGACCTCTAGCCAGAGAACCGCTATCTCGGACCCGCATGCCCAACGTGGGACAGACCCGATCAGTTGCTGGAGAAGAAGCGGGATCTTGGACTCAAAGACTTGAAGGTTGGGGCAGGACTCGAGTATCCGGAAACTACTTGCCTGGAGACGGAGCATGGTCTGCTGTTGGAGGTAATGCTGCGTCTGCAGGGCTTGATAGAGGAGCGATGACGGTTGGGCTGGTGGTGAGCTCGGCAAGTCTCCTCCATGTCCTCCAAGTCCTCCACCTGGGTAAACATACTGCTGCTGCTGTTGCATGGCTGACGACTCTGATCCAAATGGAACAAAAGTCGAATGGGACTGGTGGCCTAATTGCTCATAAAGCTTTTGTTGTTGTTGCGGGCTCTGTTGGTCGTAAATGTTCTGTGTCGAGTAGAATGCATGATGTGGTGTCTGATGTGGCAAGACGAGGGTTGCATTCGGATTCTGAATGGAAGGGTAATGCGACATATCCTGGCTGTCATCTAGAACCTGGAACGAGACAAGGTGCGGATGGTGGTGCTCCAACAGTGTATCCAAAAGCTGTGGGCACTTGGCAACGACCCGACTGTGGACCACAAACTGTTTGAGACGAGGGATCACCTGCAGTAGCAGAGCCAGCTGGTCCTGGACTCGGCTGGCACTAGAAGGCTGCTGTTGGTACCGGTTCACAGGATAGATATGACTCTGGCTCGAACCCAGGGATGGACTTGGGCCCATCGAGGAAGACGACAATGAGTTATTCTGCAGCTGCAGTTGCTCATGGGACAGATCTTCGATCAAAAGGGGCTCGTTCAACACCAGTCGGGTCAGCAGTGGACAATGGTTCTTGAGCATCATGGCCAGTTCCGAGATCATGACAGACTGTCGCGAGGGTGGACTCGTTAGTTCTGCTTCTAAACTCAGACTTGCCGTCGCGTCCAGGTTATCGTCGCCACTGTCCGTGTACAAACTGCTGCTTTCACATTCGTCCCGACTCTGACCGCCATTCATCCGACTGTGAGCTTGACTGTAGGTCGATCCTTGGAAGATCGCATCACTTTGGACAGAGGGTGGTCCAATCGTGGCCGCAGGGGTCTTGTGCCGCATCTCTTCAAAGGCCAGTGTCTCGAGGTTGGGGAACAGGGCAAGGAGTTCGGGGATAATGACTGTTCCTCGAAATGTCAACGATCGTACTGTTGGGAACTGGTCCTGTGGTCCTGCAGGTGCTGTCGAGGTGCCTTGACTGCGATGGAAAATTCTTTCCCTGTGGATGCAATTGCTACAGAGAGTCGCGGCAGAGGGTGGGTAGGTCTCCCCATAATCAACATCCATGTTGTCACTGTCATCGTTCTGGGACGAGTGCCTCGAGTAGGGTGCCTCTGTATATAAACCAGCGCGGAAATGGTGTCCTGGGAACGATAGATCCTGGGACTGACGATATTGGCGAGACGCATGCTGCAGTTGTTGTCGATGGTGATGACGGGCATAGGGATGAGAAAAAGTCCTGCAAGAGCAGGATGGGACAGAGACGACGTCGAGATCGAGGGCCTGTAATGCCGGCAGGAGGCGTATCATCTCGACGAACTCATTCACCAGGAACTCGTATCGCAAGAACGTCAAATGGGTCAACTGGTTCGGCTGCAGTGCTTGTGCCTTAATCCCCTGCAGGAACGAGCTTCGGATTGCCTTGTCTCGGGTCCCAAGTCCGCCTTGCTGCTGCTGTCCTGGGTGCTGCTGTGAGTAGTGTTGACCTGGATACACATCTGTTGACTGGCGCATTTGTTGGTTAATCTCATACTGCTGGTGCTGCTGCTGAAGGTGCTGTTGTTGCTGTTGTTGCTGTTGTTGCTGGTAGTCCTGGTGATGATGGTGCTGCATCCTAGGACTGGATCCCGGCTCCTGTATTCCTGCCGCTGCCGCCGCTGCCGAATACCCGATACCTCCACCGGGAGTAGCACCCATCCCTATCCCAGTCTCAGTCCCTGCCGGACCCCTTTGGTATTCCCTACCACCCTGGCCCCCGTCACTTCCTTGAACCCTTACACCCAATGGTGCCCAACCAGCCTGGCCACTGTTGGTATGGTTGTTGTTCTTCCGTCCAATTCTTCCTCTCTCCTTTTCTTTCTTTCTCCCCCTCCGTCCACCATTCCCCCTAACATTGCTGTCAATAGCTGTTGTCGCCTCACCTGCTATTTCTCCACCTACATGAACACCACTTATCCCTTTTCCTGTTGCTTTCCGACCACCACTACTGGGACCTTCTGCAGCGTTCCCTCCTCCTCCACTTCCCGTAGCCAGACCATTCCCGTGCCCACTTACAACACTACCTTCATGACGTTGGGTTCTTCCGCTACCACCTCCTGCTCCTGCTCCAGTCATTCCTTGTCCATGATGGTTGGAGTGATGGTTAGATTGATGGCGAGAGTGGCGAGTCAAGTGGTGCAAAGAAGAGGAAGAAGGCCGTGTCAGAGGAGCGAGCGTTGCGGGTGGTCCATGCTTCCAGTCCCGGTCTTTCTTGTGTCGCCTTGAGCTCTTCTTGCCGTTGTTACTGTTGCCGAGGTTGTCGTGGTGGTTGCTGTGAGTCGAAGACTTTGATGTGAGCTGTGTAATGGCCGCTGTTAAAACTGCGGCTGCGGCTACAGCAGCAGCGGTAGAAGTCGCTGTCGCCACACCGCCATCGTGCGGACCACTTCCAGTTCCAGTCCCAATACCAGCAGAAGCAACCAGAGGACCAGAAGAGGTCGAGGAAGGGGTTTGAGCGTTGAGATTGAGACAATTTAGGCGCTGCTTGAGGGTTCTTATGACGACACCCTCAGGCGACGCGGGGACAGGTGGGAGAGGATGAGGACGAGAGGGAGCAGAGACGGCGGCAACGCCTCCTGCGGTCGCAGAGGATCCCATTGAGCTGGAAGGCATCTGGATGAATTGACTTGAGGAAGCAGCATAAGAAGAACGAGTAGCAGGACTCTGGACTGGCTGCATCATCCCGTCTGCTGTTACTGTTGTTGTTGTTTGTTCGGCTGGTTCAATTGTTGTTGTTGTTGAGGATGCAAGGTGTGTCGGGAAAGAGCTGGTTCCTATTGTTCCGGTGGTGTCGCAAGTAGTAGGGGCATGGTCAGCATATGTGAACAACATGAGGGACACGATTTGCTCTCTCTCTCTCTCTCTCTCTCTCCTACTCTCACTCTCATACGGTTCTCGCACTCACTCACTCACTCACTCACTCATTCATTCACCCACTTGTACGCACTCGCACTCGAATTCGCACTCTGTCGGTCAGTATGCTTTCGCACTTGAACTCGCACTCGCACACTCACTCACACACATATAATCCGGTCTCATTTCCTCGCTCGGGTCTCTATCATACTGAGCCAGTCTAACCGATATCTCTTTTCATTCTCGCACGCACACACACAGGGGTGCGTGGTAGAAGAGGAAGGACGAGAGAGAAAGTGGAAGGAAAGGAAGGGTAGGGCTAAGAAGGTTGATGTAATCTTCCTTCTAAGCTTTTTGACTGATCCAAAACAGAGGATGGAAGTAGGACGAGAAAAAAGGGTGGTATGTAAGGCATGAGAGCGAGAAGAGCGTCAGAGAGATCGTCAACAGGCGTGTTATTTTGTGATTTAGCGGGAGAGTTCTCAGTAGAACCAGCTCACAGAAGAAAGCCAAGAAGAGAGAGGTGTGAAAATGTGCATGTGTGATACTTACCAGTTGCAAGCGTCTCTGGCTTTCTATCCCTTTTTTTTCTGATATGACGGTTTTGATTGCTCGCTTGGCCCGTTGTGAAGAGGAAGCGATTGAGCGGGAGAGAGAGGATGGAGCTGTTTTGAACAACAACGAAGAGAGAGATAGAGCGAGAGAGAGAGATAGAGAAAAGGAATGGTTCGATCTGGTGTGGAAAGGACAAGGTGGACGTTGAAGTGGAAGGTACATGGGTCGAGTGGCAATAACGAAGACAGTATTGACAATTAGAAGAGGGACCGAAGGGTGAGAAGAGAAAAAGAAAGAGGCAAACGACGGTTGGTGTGGGTCTGATGGATATGAAGGTTGTTTATCATATATATGATAACGGAAGGAAGGAAGGAGAAGAGGTATAAAGTATCAAGACGGAGATGACATTAACAAAGGAGAAAGCGGTCAGGGGAGCGGGAAAAGCTGTCAGAGCGAGAAAGAAAAATAAACATGGCCCCATCATTGACCCAATCAGAGCAATCCATTGGGGAGGCAATACAACTTTCTTCCTTGTTCTGCTAAGACAACAAACTAGTTTTATTTTGTCTCCTGGTGGGATTGTCCAATAGATCAATTGCTTTCTATGGCACAGTCGCAAAAGAGGACAGAGCGAGAATTAATCTCTCTCGCTTGCTCACCATGGAAGGGAAAGGGAATATGATCAGTGGACACGTCCTCCTTTGTTCCAGCTTCCTTCTTCGCCATCGTTCTTCCCATTCTCTGACAACACAAAGGCAGGCGCAAACACAAACACAAGAAACCTGTCATCACACATGCACGGCAAACAAGTTCTGTTCCCCACCCCTTTGTCTTTGATCTTGGCCGTTTGCATAGAAACAACACAAACGTATACATGCACGTACACGAAAAAACAACATCAGAGCGACTCCGTGAGTTGAAAGTCTCCTTGAGTGATAATGTCTTCTTCACTCCCCTTTGTCCAAGTGAATCACTCTATCATTTTTGCCGATCAAACTTTTTTCAGGCCTCTTTTTGTGCACGGTCAAGGAGAGCTATTTGCACGGGTTAGAACATAAAAGGCAAAGGGAGCTAACATAGAGAAAGACTGAACGTCAGCATTTAAAAAGACTTGAGATCTTGAGCAAAGAATAACAAAAAAACAACAACCCACCTTCATTTCTACATCTTTACTCCATCTCATTATCCAACACGGTGTATTAAACCAATTGTGGCGGAAGACACCGGCCTGAACAGCAAGTGTTACCATCATTGGTATCGCAACTTCACGTTCAAACTACACATACTTCTCCCACCAAGCAACGACAACAATAACATGGTTTCATATCATGTCCCTGCATTCAGCGCCAACTTCCCCCTGTCGTCATCAAAAGGGCGCCTTTAAACAGAACCAAGAAATTTTGTCCCTATTTGCCAAACAGCAATTCATTTCGTCACACCCGAAAAATTGAACGGGCAAACCAGTTTTTCGATCCTTGCCAATCCTTCCTTCCTTCCTACCTTCCATCTTCCTTCTTCCTTCTCTTTCATTTTACGCGCGAACCCCCTTTTTTTTGCAAGCTGAAAAGGGTCTAGATCGATCTCTTACTCTCCCACTCTTTCTTCCTCTCTCCATCCTACTTTTTCGCACTCACCTTTGCCTCTTAAGCAATGCCGTGGCGTTGTCTTCTTGGAAAACTTATCCAACAGTCATGGACTTGATACGACAAGGTCTCATTTATTGCGATTGGAGCTTGAAGCGTTCGATGTTGAAGTAAATATTGTTGCTCGAAAGGGTTACTGCTATTCAAGTGATAGGAAAAAAACCAACAACGAGCGGAGTTTATTCAACAATAAAGCGTGTAGTGTACTTTCCTTCCAAATAACATGGCTCTCCAACAAGGCTGTTTGTATCTCTGCTTGATGAATGTACAGAGGCCACGCCACCCATCCGGCGGGCAGTGTGTTAGCTTTGAATGTGGGGTGGACGCGTGGTATCATGGAAGTAACGTGCAGAAGGTGAAGATAGCGAGAATAAAGAACTGCACAGGTGTCTCCTGTGGTGCCGCAGCTCACCCGGCTTATTACTATGCATGTTCCGTCCCCCTTGTGGACCCACAGCATATCCAACTGCACCGTGCTGGACTAGCAACTTCTGTTGCGTCGAGCTTAGACTAATCACGCCCTTGATTACCGGACCCTCAGCATAGAGCAGCTTATGATTGAAGCCGCATAGTACGAAATCAAATGAGCTTGTGAATATCGGAATGCCGTTGCGACAAAAATAAAATACACTAGACGATCCATGGGCGCTTGAAAATAAACACTCGCCTAGTAGTGATCATGTTCAGCTATGAATCCCTGCTCCTCGGTTCGTTGGCACCTCCTTAGGATAGTCTCGTTCCTCTTTCGAAGAGTCAACCTTTGACCACACTGTCTTCACGATAGATGCATGGAGGGGTATATGCCCGTGTATCTGCCCATGTGCAAACAACTGACAGTGCTCTCATTCTGTAGATAGGGTTATGAAAAAGAAGACTGAGATTCGCCTACAAGCGGACCTTGCTCCTGTTCTCCCTGTCTTGCGCCTCTTGTAGGGCTCATTCATTCTCTTCTCTCTTGCTCTCCTCTTGACATCTTTCACACTCTTTTCATCATCATTACTTCTCTCTTCCCCACTTACATCCGCACCCTTTCCCTCCTTTCTTCACATCTCTCGTCAATCACTCACATCCCCCTCTCCCCATTCCATCTCGAAAACAATGCCAGGAAAAGTCTCGGTGACGATTGTAGGCGGAGGAATCGGCGGCCTGTCGCTTGCAAACATGTTTGAGCACGCCGGTATCAACTATGTGATCCTCGAAAAGTCCTCCAACGTCAAGCCCCTGGGTTCTTCCCTTGGACTCGATGCCAGTTCTCTGCCAGTTATGGAGCAACTGAATTTGCTTGACGACTTTTACAATGCCTCCAAGCCTGTCCGTCAGTTCAATTTTTATAACGAGGCTGTCGAGTCGACTGGCGTCGTTGACTTCGCCTGCATGACCGAGATGTAAGAGAGACTTCTAGTATCAATTGACTTGTACTTTTGAGGTCATTGTCTCCTGGAACTCCAATGTGGACAAGCACCTTGCAGTCTCAAACTCACTCTATTATCTTTCACATTTCATTTTCATGTCTCACAAAGTGGAGGATACCCAGCGGTGATCCTAGACCGCCCTGCGTTCTATGACATCCTGTTGAAGAACCTGCCAAAGTCCAAGATCCTCTACGGCAAGCGTGTCACCGAGATCGAGCAAGACGACAAGGGCGCCACCGTTCGTTGCGCAGACGGAAGGTATTGCATCTTCTTTCCGTCTTTTTTCTTTTACTTCCTTGACTTCCCAGTAATTGCTCATTCCCTGCTCTCCATTCCATCCTCCCTGCGGATGCTCATCTGATTTGTCAGGATAAGAAACGGAAATCTATTGTTTACTGGGAGCACTCTCTCAAACATCGGGAAGCATCCAGATGCTTCTTGTTGTTCAGCATTAACTTTGGCCCTGTTTGTCCTTTTGAACACCTGTAGCATTTATACGAGCGACATTGTTGTGGGCGCGGATGGTGCATACAGTGCGGTCCGTCAAATAATGTATAAGGAGCTGGCTGAGAAGGGCAAACTGTCTGCCAATGATGCCCTGCCATTGAGCTATGACCAACACTGCCTCGGTAAGTCGAGTTCTCTTCTTTTTGCTCACCAATGTTATCAATAGCTGAACTGTTGCCATACGATTGACTCTTTTCTCCTTTGCTTCCTATGACAAATAGTTGGAGTCAGCGAGCCCTTTGATCCCAAGGACCATGAGCTGCTTCGCAGAAAGACTTCTGACTTTGAGATCGTCATCCCCAAGTCTGACCCCTTCTACGTAAGTAGCCCTCTCATCTCCACATACATGTCAAACAAGAATACTCCAGCCGCCGTGCAGACCAATTAATTACATGCCTCCTTTTTATTTACCCTTTCCTATCTAGGCGATCTACATGCCACTGCCAGGCAACCGTGTGTCATGGGCAGTGATCCACAACGTACCCAAGGCGAGCGCCAAGGACGGCGAGGCCCGATTTTCGGAATGGGGTCCAGAAGCAACTGAGGAGATGATTAACTTTGTTCGCCACCAGCCCAGTCCACTCAAGTGCACCCTGGGCGAGGTCATCGACCGCACCCCTAAGCATTTGATCTCCAAGATCATGCTTGAAGAGAAGTATTTCGAGTCCTGGTACAATGGACGAGTTGTCCTCCTTGGCGATGGTATGTTGTTGCTTTGTGGCTTTTTATATGCCTGTTGTTGTTCTTGGTGTGTGTGGTGATGTGTGCGAGGGTGAGATGAGTTTCTAACAGGGTGTCTTGGTTCTTTTATGTTTGGTCCAATTTCTTAGCATGCCACAAGGTAAGACGTCAAATTATTTGTCTGCTACTCCATTCATTGTCCCCTGCTCTTCTAACTGTGCACCAAACCATACTCATCACTCTCTTACATCTCACTCACTCCTTGTGAACTCAAAATAGGTAGTGCCAAGTGCAGGATTAGGCGCCAACTTGGCAATTCTGGACGGCGTCCACTTGTGCAATCTCCTCGTGGACATACCCTCACCCACCCAGGAAAACATCGCCATCGTCTTTGAGAACTACTTCGGCAACCGGTCCAAGATCGCCCAGGCCGCCCTCGACAATGCCCGCCAGTTCGGGAAAGTCATGTCCAACCGAGTACGCTTCTCCTTTGTTTTTTTTCCCCTTCGGTCGTATGTTTTTCTTGCGTGTTGTTTCCTAACGCTTATTCTTTTCGTTTTTGTTCTTCGCAACACAAAAGGGCTTTGTGTCGGAGGTGGTGCGCAAGATCTTTTTCAACTACATTCCAGACTGGATGACGCGCATGCAAAACACCCAGCGATTGCAGTTCCGTCCTCAGTTGCATTTCTTGCCTCAGGTGCCTGACCGTGGCACACCTAAGGCCCAACCCCAAGAGCCACGTCTCTTTGTCTCCGCCGCCACCGCTTAAATAAATCCATCATCCTTGTCACCCTTGGTACATATTTCAACCGTTAGCTCTCATCGCACATCATGACTTTCTATTTCTTTCAAGTGTCGCTCAGTGGCGTTGTCATATTCTCGTACATTTGCAGAATAGTATACTGGTATATGCTTCTCTTTTTATTTAATGTTATTGACATCGATGGATAAACTAATTATATTTGACTTACCTGGCGTTTCGACAACGCGACGATGCGACGAACTAAATGGACAGACTGAGAACGTTCGCAAAAAATGGGACAATGAAGTCGTTAGAATCATTTTCAAGGACTACTTGTGAACTAACCCAAACACCCTTTCCCCAAGTCCCCCGTGGCCCACAATGGGAATGTTTTTTTTATCTTCAGAATACATTTTCTCGTCATGCTTCACGTATCTTGGAAGCTATAAGACGGCTTTTCCTATCAAAGAATATTTAAATGTAATATCATCATTGAAACCCGCCATTTGCCCTCTTCTTGTCCTCCAGGACCCACGCTCACCCCAAGGGAAATGAAAAAAGAGAGAAAGTGAATGAATATGAGTATTACCTTGTAATGGAAGAAGGACCGTCCTTGCCAATGACAGTAGAAGTGAAAGAGCTTAAAGGTCAATCTATGAGCGACAGCAAACCAGTGTAAAAAAAAGTTAGTTGTCATTGTTCGCTTCAATCAAATACCAAATTTCCCCACATCTCTTGACAGCAGTAGAAAAAGAGTGAGGATTAAGATCAGACATCCAAGGAAGTTAAGTCCATCATCAGGAAAGGTAAAGGATTCACAGCACTCGACGATGGCATACTGCTCTCTGATCGCTTCACTGACACGTCCAAAGACGATGGAAGAGGCACATGAACCACCTTATAACATGGTCCTTTCGGTGGAAACTGCGAATTAAAGATCTTCATCATTCAAAATCCTCTTCTCTCTTTTTTTCCCTACTACTGCATACCCAATGAACACGAAATAAAGTGAAAGTGAATGAAACGCTTACCAATTGACAGTGGAGAGATGAGTAGCTTGTGAAAGGATCACGTTTGCATTTCTCTCCTCGAGATATCGACTGATCGAAGGACTTGAATCTGCTCAAAAGCGAACGAACAAAGAGACGCAACAATGGTTAGATATATGATACAAGATGGAACGTATTCCAAACTATGCCAAATGGTGTTTTCTCTCTTATTTTGTGATAGGTGTTGAATAGTGTTGTGTGGGTCAGTGGATTATACTGGCTAGTATGACACTCCTCAGCGAAGGAGTGTGAAGGTATCACCATGGTCGATAAGATAAATTGAAGACAAAGTATGGTTTTCATCATTCACACAAGAGCACATTCAAGTAAAACAAAAAAAAAACGCGTAATTGGATCTCGATGGTGACAGGAATGAGTTGCAGTTCGTTCGCGTCACCGAGTGAGTCTCATTAGCGTGCAAGAGAAGGTGAGGTGGAAGTGGCGAAAGAGAATGAACTGTGGGTGTGAAGAGCTTACCAAGAAAGAAAGCGCGAACTTTCGGGAACGAGGGTGTGAAAGGGGATAGGGAAGAAGGGTAAGGAAGGAAGAGAAGCAACAGCAAGAAAAAAAAGAAAAACGTTTATTGTTGTTGTTCTCGGGTTGCCAAAGCCACATCGTCAAACATCACGTGTAGTCAGGCTTCATATCGTCTTGTCGGAGTTTTAGAAATGAGCAGAGTCGCCTTCTCCGAACTGGCTCTTTATCATTCATGGTACTAACGATCTGGGACTGGAAGCGATAGCAGACAACGGAGATATAGCAAGAAGCATCACAACATACTACCTATTTCTGTGGATGTGCAACTACGCGTACGATATACGACTGAGAGAAACAAAAGACGTTGACTACAGGATGAAAAGTGGGGATTGATGCAGTCCCGTAAGTTGTTCCTTGCCGCCTACAACGTAAGAGAAGCTCAGCTTCAAGTTCAGCTTCAATTATTGGGACTTGTCGGGGCATGAGCCGCTCTTCTCTTTTGTAGAAGATGGATATGATGATCTCTTTAAACTCCAACACTAGCCCCAATCAGCCAAAGTCATGTATATCATTTCACACCCATAACACGCCATCCTCTTTTAAGATGCAACATTCCTCCGTGTCTTCAATTACTCCTTTAGTCAAGATCCTTGGAACGGCTCAAACACTTTGTTGAATCCCTGACAGTAGCTTGTGAGCCAAGGAGTCGTTGTTCGTGGTGTAGATGAAGAGATGCAGTTTATTATCATTCTATCGCAACGACAAAATAAAGAGAGAAATAGAGTTGCTCGCTTTTTCTTCCCAAAGGGCTCCTCTGTCCTTTGTTAGTGTTACAGAAACATGGGAAATAGTTGTTTGTTTTGGGCGACCGGAAAAATGAACAAGGAAAAGAGAGAGTGCTTGAAAAAATCAGGCTAAAGGCTTAAAAGACCAAAGCGACAACAGCGGCGGCAACGGCAGCCATGGCGACGGGGGCAGCGCTCAAGTAACCAGCAGCGCTCTTGTTGACGGTAGCAACAGGGGTAACAGTGGCGGTGGTAGCAGTGGTAGGCTTGACGGTCGAGTTGGAGTTGGTGACCGAGGGGACAGCGACCGAGGAAGTGCTAGCAGTGACGCCAGTGGGGGCAGGGGCGGTAGGGGTGGGGCCGGTTCCCTTGATCAGGAAGTAATGCGAGTACGAGTCGGCACCGATTCTGACAGAGTACCAGTCCGAGGTCAAGTCCTTGGGGAGGGTGGCCTTGAGCGAGGTGGCGCCAACAGCACCGGTACCCAAGTCGATGACCTTGGTCTGGTGGGCAGGGTCACCCTTGAAGAGAGTGACGGTCAAGCCAGCGGTGGGGGCAGGGGATCCGAGCTTCCACTGGACAGTGACGGCAGCACCGGCGTTCCAGACGGTGCCGGCGACGGGGGCGGTGGGGTAGGCCTGGGTGGCAACCTGGGCCACGGCGGCGCTAATGAGGGAGGCGGCGACAGCAAGGATAGAGAAACGCATGTTGAGATATGTAGGTGTAGGTGTTTGAGGTGGGGGAGAGGAAAGTAAGGATAAAGGGGAGAGGGTTTAGTCGTTAAATGGAGAGGTATGGGATAAAGGAAAGTAGGTTGTGTAGTGGAAGTAATCCAAGTGGGGGGGAAGTGACAATGAAGCTTGAAGAAAGAGAAAAAAGAGAAAAAAGAGAATGAAGGGTGCCGGCTTAATATATGGCTTGAGGACCAGACTTGGTCGATTGTTTCCAGCGGGACGGCAATCGTATGTCTGTCAATATCATCACTCTCGTCCTAAAATATACGGTGAGCCTTCATACAATGTTGCCTATCAAAATGGGAGAAAGTGAGCACCAAGGGCGAAACCTACTTTTGGCAATGGTATGCTCTCGTGCCTGACTCTTTTTGGTGCTAATGGGGCAGCTGCATGACAACCAATCTCTTTCCATAGGTAGCACACACTCACGCAGTCGTCAAATAAGCGCAGATGAAATTCCTCACCCGCCTATTTCTGGCTCAGATATGCCCATGATCTCGTCCTCCATTGTAATTGTTACTTGATGCTCACGGTAACCCTGTTCACCTCGGAAAATTATAAGGCACTCGATTGCAAGGTAGCTCGCTTGTAATTCTCATTCATCTTTATGATATCAAGTCAGAGGAATGGCGAATGGTGAATGGAAGTGATCAAGCGGATATATAATGCCCTACGCACTCTTCTTCTCTTTGACAGAAATACCAAAAGTCAAAAGGTTCCTAGAGCCAGGAGTCGGTGACAATAGGGGCTTGTCGAGAGCGCTAGTCGCGACTCTAATCGTTTCAAACGAAGTAGTGGACCATGGTTCTTGATGGTTGATAGACTGGCCCCATTGATTCAGAGCTTCCAACCTTGACAAAGAAGGACTGCAGCAGTTTTGATTAAAGAAAGCGAGACCAGCAGGGTTGTTGTGATCGGTGTGCGGTCAATGATCAACGGTCAGAAAGAAGACGAGACATGCCACGTGAATGTAGATCTTAATCGTATGCACAAGAAAAAGAAAGCAGCAACAGAAAAATGAGCAGTCCCCCATTGTTGACTTAGAACAACAAAAAAAAAAAAAAACGCCTCTACCTACCTTCCCCTTGCAAACAAAGGATATTTACATACTCCTCTTTGTCTTCTTTCTCTTGCACAGGTCGCAGACGCACACCCCTCCTTCCCGTTCTCCACGCTCAACCTTGCCCATTCCTTTCCTCCCCTTCCTCCCTGCGTCTCCTCATCAAACTCCTTCTCTCCTTCTCTCCCCTCCGTTCTTCATTTATTCTCACACTCACACTCAAAACAACAAACAGTTCTTACACATGAGCCAGCCACATTTGCCCCTCTTCGGCATCCTTGCCTCGCTGGATGTCGCAGAGCGCAACGCCGCGGCATTGACACTCATAAAGTCCCTTGCTGTCCTCCAAAACGCTCACAAATGCGACATTGATCCCTCGGCCGAGGACATCACCGAGGAGAAACTCGATCAGCTTTGCCACCCCGAGGTCGTCTATGCCCTCAAGCGTCTTATCAGAGGTCTTCCCTCTGATCGTGAGGCCGCCCGTCAGGGATTCTCTCTTGCCTTGACCGAGGTACATACCGCAACTGTTCTACGTTGTTCCATTGTAAACCATGGATCTTCAATTGTACAATCCTACTAACCATGCCATTCCTGTTAACACATTTATAGTTGTTGATCGGATTGAACTTTTTAACTGTCAAGATTGTGCTCGAGCTGTTGTTCCGTTTCACAGAGATCAAGAACTTTATGAAGGGCAAGGTAATAACAACAGCTACAACACTTACAATAACTCTAGTACCACGATTCCCATTGATGGCTCAATGGTAAGGATCCAATACCATCTGATAACAGTCAATCTCACACATTGTTACTCTTTGATCATGTCAATGCTTATTAGGAGGAGAGGAACCACATGTTTGGTCGCATTTTCGGATACATGAGCATTGTCCAGTCGGGCATGCTCACCCGCCCAAGGACATCTGCAGAAGACATTCAACTCATCGTTGACGACCTCGTCGAATACTCCCAGGACAAATCCTACCTCTCAGAGTGCTGTCACCAAGTCCTTGTCACCATGCTCCCCCAGGTACTTATTTTGAACCCTTTTTGATAGCATGGACAACGATCAAGAATCGCCAAGCATTTCATTCTAACTAAACGTTTACCGATAATAGATCGTCAAGCATCCAAAGTCTATCAAATACGTCGTCGACACTCTCTTTGCGGACGGTGTCAACACTCCAGACCAGCTCAGCGTAGCCTTCGCCCTCCGGGAACATCTGGACGAAGTCAACAAGCAATTACCCAAGAACGAACAGATCAACTGGACAAAGGCTCTCGGCAAATCATGGAAGAACCCCGTCCTCCTTCACTCCTCCAACTTGAAGTGCCTCGGCATGTTGCTCAAGGAGACCTCAAGCGAGGACGGCACCCAGGCCTCATCCAGCTGGAGACAGAACCTTCACCCAGTTTGGGATCGCGTCCTCGCTCAGTACTTTGGCTCATCCGCTCCCAACTCTCAGATCGCCCCCTTCCGCGACTTTTGGAACGTTGTCATTGATTGTAAGTGACAATGACATATACGGGAAGCCTTTCTCATAGGATCTAAGCATAGGATTCGAAAGTGCAGAGCCAATCTATGACATTTTGCTAATATTCATTATCTATTTCTCCTATCATTGTTTAGCTACACTCTTCGATTCGAGCTCATCGCACGAGCGCAAGTACTGGGGATTCCAGATCTTTGAAAAGGTGTTGCCTGTTCTAGGAGAGGACCAGATTCCTCTTGTCTTCACCACCAACTTTATGCGCTGCTTCGTGAACAACCTCTCGAGCGAGGATCGTTTCCTCAACAAGGCTGCCAAGCACACCATGACTGCCATGCACGCCAAGGCCGACACCAACGAGGCCGTTCGCCTGACTTTGATCACGCAGCTCTTGGACAGCAACCCCAACTTTGATAGAATGTCCCGCTCCAAGACTGTCGAGACCTTGTTGGGTGGTTTGGACGTCTCTCACATCAAGCACTACCTCCAGTACCTCACTAAGGCCTTCTTGAACCAGGACGGACCCGACTCGAGCAACATGGAGCGCGGTAAGCGTATCGACATCAGCAGACAGTGGACCATCGACCAAATGTTCTCCTTGTTCCGCAACCCCAAGGTTCCTAGGGAGGAGGGCTGGATCAAGTCGATCCTTGAGTTTTTCCTCATGCACGCCTTCTTTGACATCAAGAAGGTTGACGCCAAGAGCAAATACACCGAGGCCCACGCTCTGCCCACCCCTGCCCTCTCTGCCGCCACTCGTGAGCACTGCAGGAACCGCTTCTACGGCATGATGGGTGAGCTCTCGACCATGGCTCCCCTCGCCGCCAAGAAGGAGTCAGATGAGGCCGAGACGGTCAATTACAGCCGCAAGTTGAACGGCACTATGCTAGATGGAACTTTCTGGTGCTCCTTTGCCCTCCACATGATCGTCGATCTTGAGAAGAACAAGAACTTTGAGAGCCTCGTCACCCTCGACGACGAGGCAGCCAAGGCCAAGAAGACCGCCCTTGCCCTCGTCACCAAGATCCAGGACAAGGCCAAGAAGGCCTCCAAAGAGCTCAAGCCCCAGTACAAGGCTTTCGAGCTACTCTTTGTCCAGATGATTCTTCAGCTGTACGTCGAGCCCGAGGATTCGACCAACATTCTTGGAGAGTTGCACGACTGTTACGACAAGGTCTTTGCTGCCCCCAAGAAGGCTAACGGCAAGAAGGCTGCCTCGAACGATGATGATGATGATGAGGAAGAGATCCAGCCCGTTGAGGTCATTGTCGATATCTTGCTCAGTTTCTTGATCAAGCCCTCCGCCTTGCTTCGCCATGTCTCTGAGCAGGTCTTTGTTATCTTCTGCGACAAGATGACCAAGACTGGATTGGAGCTGATGTTGTCGACCCTTCAGACCAAGGACAACAAGGACGACATGTTTGGTGAGGAGGAGGAGGATGATGATGCCGAGGCTGATGCCCACAACCACTCAGACGACGATGATGAGGACGGTGACTCAGATGAGTCTGATGAGTCTGAGGATATGGATGTTGACGAGGATGAGGACGATAACGCCCCTGTCGATGAGGAGTTCAGGAAGAAGCTTGCCGCCGCATTGAACGTCAAGGATGCCGACGACGAAGATGAGTCTGAGGAGGAGCTGTTGGACGACGACCAGATGATGGCTTTCGACGACAAACTGAACGAAATCTTTAGGCAGAAGAAGTTGGCCAAAGCCCAGCAGAAGGACGCCAAGCAAACTCTCATCCACTTCAAGAACAAAGTCCTCGATCTCTTGGAGCTTTATATCAAGAAGCAGTCTTCCAACGAGCTGGTTCTCGATCTGATTGTGCCCTTGCTGTCGCTTGTCCTCATACCCTCGGCTGCCAACAAGCCCGTCCACGACAAGATCTCGGCTCTTCTCCGCAACAAGCTTGCCAAAATCAAGGACTACCCCCGCGATGTGAACGACGAGGCAGTGTTTGAGATCCTGAACCAGGTCCACGAGCTCGCCAAGAAGTCGCCCGACGCCAAGTTCTCTGGATTGTGCGGTGATCTGTCGGTTCTTTTGGTCAAGGTCCTCATTGGTGGCCAGGACGAGAAGACTGCCGTTGGTGAGACCATGGTCGAGGCCCCTGTCAAGAAGACACGTGGCACCAAGGGCAAGACTGCTGCCGCCATGGACCCCGAGGAGGCCGCTCTCAAGGCCAAGCAGGACCGCATTATTGCTCTTTACAGCGAGAGCTTGAGGGAGTTTATGACGCGCAAGAACTCGAACTTGTCGAGCAAGATGTTTATGGAGTTTATTGAGCGTTTCCCTCACCTTGCATGGCACCTTTCGAGCACGCTTCTTGCCTACACCAACCCCAAGGCGACCGTCAAGTCGTTCCGTCAGGCCATGGCTTTCAACATGTTGTCTGCTCTTGTCAAGCGTCTATCGAACAAAAAGACGCCCAAGTTTGAGGAACTATTCTTGCAGACGCTTCCCTTGATCCGAGGCTCTTTAATCGAGACTTTTGAAGGAGCATTTGTGGAATCGACCGGCGAGGAGGCCAAGTCTGCGAAGGGATTGAACGTTGCTCGTCTGCGTGAGATTCTCAAATTTGCGATTTTGTCGGCAAGGATGGTCAAGCGTGCAGAGGACCTTGACGTGACGGAGATCTGGGAGACGGAGAAGCTTGGACCGTTGCTGCAGAAGATCAGCGAGGACGGTCGGTTTAACAGCGGCGCGCTTCGTTCGTTGATTCAGCAGATGCTGGGGTTGATTGGATCGGATATCAAGTTGCCAACGGGGTCGACGAAGAAGCAGGAGAAGCAGCAGAAGCGGAAGCAGGAGGCTGAGGCGGAGGAGAAGAAGGGCGGATCAAAAAAGAAGGCGCACCGGTCGAAGAAGCGCAAGGTTGGAGGCGACAAGAAGGAGAGCGTTGAGGCATAATTTAGCTTTGCATTCTTTGTTCTTTATTTTTTTTCACTTTGCATTTTAGTATATCGTTTTTTTTCTATTATTTTCTAGTTTCCACTATGCATCCCCACACAACAATGTATTCATCCAATTATCACCATGTCGCATGAGTTTTCGTTGGATTATTTACTTTCTTTCTTCTGAGAATGTGATTCAGTACATTCCATGGTGATCTAAGACGATGGTGCCCTTGGCTATCCACAGGAATGTTGCCTTGGTGGCGTGTTCTCCCCACTCTTCGGCTAAAGTTTTTCAAAATCGGTGGCTTTTCTCGGTGACCTTTCAACCCATGTTTTTCCCATAGAACGGGAAAGTTCATCGCTTGCCATTCAGGATCTCATCTTTTTCTCCCGTAAACCAGAGTTCATCCCCCCAGCAAACAGCCCCACCAACGCCTCGCACAATGTCAGCTGCTGTTCCCCCCAAGGCCGCCAAGGTCACAACGACCACCCCCACCACAACCATCAGGAAGAAGGCCATCAACAACCCGCACAGGGTCCAAGTCCTTGTCGACTTTCCCGACCCTACGGTCACGATTAAGTCCGTCTACCCGATTGCCATCCCCGGACCCCAAAGGAAGTTCGTCGCCGTTGCTGATGGCGACAAGACTTTTCACGAGTTGAAGGACGTTATCAACGACGAGTTGCATCGTCTCTACGCCGAAGAAGCGTAAGTTTACCTGCACTTTTCCTGTATTTGTGTCTTTTTCTTGCCTTGTGTCGTGCCTTGGACAGCACGCACATATTGAAGTCAAATTTGATCGGCATGCTCCTTCTCATATATCTTGATTATTACCAATGTTGAACGACGGATCGTTTGCCGAGAGCACAGACGCGTCCCTCTACCATATTGTTGTGTTCAAGAGGACGCGTCTCTGACAACATATATTTTGCTGCTACATTTCTACCGCTAACCTATCAAAACAATATCTCATTCTCTCTCTCCGCTTTCTTATCCCAATTAGTCCCTACGGCCTCTGCGGGTTTAAGAACTGGCAATACAGCAAAATCCCCGAGAGGTACCTCATTCGCGATGTCCTCGGCAAACAATGCGATGTCCATGCCACCAGAGAGCTCCTCTCGGCCAAGAAACTGGGCAAGTCGACCAAGCGAAAGGTTGAGGGAGAGATGCCTTCTTCTCTCTCTTCCTCCTCTTCCTCTTCGTCGTCCTCTTCGGCAATCGCCGTCGCGTCCGACGCCACTAGCTCTTCTGCCCCTGTTCCCAAGGCCAAGAAGGCCAAGAAGGAGCCTGCTTCTCCCTCTACCGAGACAAAACCCAAGGCCGTTGTCAAGAAGGGTGCCATCGCCACTCCTGCCATCAAGGAGACTGCCGAGGACAAGGCCCTCCAAGCTGCCTATACCAATCTGACTGAGGAGCAGATCATGTCGAACATCTCGGGTACCCATACGCAGGGGAAGAAGAAGGCGCCATCCGGCATTGTCACCCCTGAGGCTTCCGAGTCCTCCGCCAGCCCGGCCCCTACACCTGCTCCTGCTACCCCCAAGAAGCAAAAGAACGCCAAGAAGGTCGATGTTGTCACGATTCCTACCCCTGCTCCCGTTCCAACCAAGGCTGCCGAGAACGAGGTCAAGAAGGTCTCTGCTACTATCCCTTTCCCCAAGGATAGCAACGACAAGTCTGAGGAGGATATTATGAAGGAGATCAGCGCTTACCACAAGGCCCAGAAACTGGTGGAGGAAACGAAGGAGCCCGTCGCCGTCGTTAAGGCCAAGAAGGAGCCAGCAAAGGTCAAGAAGGAGCAAGCCAAGGCTAACAAAGCTGCTGCTACTCCTGCTGGAGAAGAGTCCTCCAAGCCAACCGGCGCTTCTGCTGCTGCCAAGGGCAAGAAGATTATGAACAAGGGCTACCAGTCTGATGACTCTTCCGACTCTGCACCAGGTAATTCATCTCACTTTTAATCATTTATGATGTTCACAATACAAGTGCGTAGTATCATATAGCTAATATGCTGCTTGTAATTAATTACGTGTTTTAGTTACTAAGGGACACTGGGGTGCCCGTCGCAAGGATGACGATGTGGAGGAGCTGCAAAGATGGGCGGCGCAGGATCCCGCCTCCTTGACAGATGAACAACGCAATGAGCTCCGACTCTGGGACAGGCGCAAGTACAATCGCGACCTTATGACAGCAAGGCGCAGAGCAGAGATCAATTCCAAGTCTGCGGATCCTGTAGTTGCAGCTGCAGCCACTTTGTTCTTAGACTCGCTCAATGTCCGTGGTCGTCCCGGTCGTCCCTCAGTCGCTTCTGAGAGCCCCAGGAAGAAGATTGAAAAGTATATTCAGGAGACGAGTGAGAAAAAGGTGAAGGATGATGGGGATGATGAATCAGAGGAGCAGGAAAGAAAGTCGTCTTCTTCGTCTTCGTCGTCCTCGACGCCCGACGCTGAGGCACGGGTCAAGATGGAGCAGAAGTCAATCAAAGTGGAACCCAAGCCTGTTGAACGTGAGAAGTTGCCACCCTCCATGCTCACTGAGGACTCTGACTCTGAGGAAAACTGAGGGAAAGTTTTTGTAGTTTTAGTTTTGTATTTGTTTGTGTGTCTTTCGCTTGTATCTTTTGTAACAATACATTCCTTGTTCAGTTTAATCCCTCTGCCCATTACTGGCTCTATTGGATACCCAAGTCGTTTTATTCTAATGGATTCCTAGAGTTGTAGTGTCAGACGACGACGAAGTGCCAATGCTCTCCACCACCATCATGACACCCGCGATCCTGAAGGTTCCTTACCCGCTTCTGGTCCTCGGATATCTCTCCGTTTCTTGATACACCCACCATCAATACTGAGAGGCGGTCAAGTTGAAAATGCCCTTTGACTTGAAAGGGGACAAGGAAGTGAGAAAAATAAGGAGTGGGATAATGAGATACGGTTGCTTTGTAGAAGAAAGGGAAAGGGGAGTGAAGGGGGGAACGAAGAAGGAGAGGAAAGGGGTAAGGAAAGAGAACGATTGTTCAGGTAGACTCTGGAGGAAATATTCTCACTCCTCTTTGTAGAAAGGGAGGCAGACAATCAATCGATGGTTGAAGGGTGGACGTAGAAGAAACGCGGTGGAGAGAAGGAGAAGTAGGAAGAAGGGAGAGGAGGAAGGAGAGAAATGGGGGGCAAGGGAGGAAAGGAAAGAGAAAGGAAGGAGAGAAGGGACAAAGCAAAAAATGGAGAGAATGAACGGTGTCAACAAACCAACGAATGCTCATAGCAAATGGTGCTCGGGTCCATTCCTTGTAAGCATCAACAATAATACTCACAACATGTCCCATTGTTTTTCTTTGTTTCTCCTTCCTTTCTCTCTTTCCTTGCTCTCTTCTTTCCACTCCTTCTTCTTCACCTTCATCTTCATCTTCGTTTTCAACGCACACCATCGTCAATACCGACTTGATTCGATATCGCACGGACAAGCCAGGCAGAGAAGACAACAATCAGTCGCACTGGACAACGATAATTTTCATTTGGTAAAGACACCTACGCGCTTTCGTTAATATGATGGCATCTTTTCGGTGGGAGCGACAGGGTGGCATCTCTTTACTTGCAATACAGAGGTGGGGTGTTTGACGTCTTACAAATGAACGACATAGAGTCATGGAGATGATTAAAGAACTGATCCCAACGTTTCATTCCTCCATTCTTTAGAAGGTGACTTTCTGTTTTTATTCGACGTGACAGTCAAACGCCTTCTTGCCCCTCAAACCTTTCTCCACAACCTCATATTTCTTTCAACAACAACAACAGCAACAACAACTCACTAACACAGCGCCACTCAACAACCAACCACCAAACAAAAAATGGAATACGTGAATCCAACAACAATCTCGTTCGTCGCCGCAGGAGCAGGCGCGGGAGCCTACTATGTCTATGCCAACGTGATTGAGCCCCAGAACCAGGCCCAGCGCGTCCTCCAGGCTGAACAGGCCCAGAAGGAGCTTCTGATGAAACTTGATGAGGAGGAGGCTTTGCGACGTGGGATTAAAAAGCAGACTACCAAGAGGAAGTAAGTATCTATTTCGTTATTATCTTTGCATGTTTGATTGCGGAGAAACGGAAGGGAGGTGTGGGGTGTGAAAAAAAGGAAGGCACAATGAAAGCGAAGAAGGCCCATGCGTGCACAAGGAAAGGAAGGCTCTGCCAAGATTGTTAGCAAAAGAAGTGGAGTTATCGTTACACAGGGTTGATCGATTGCAAAAATGGGCCGATGATAGGTAAAGCGACCAATGGGTGTGCAGATAGAAAAGAGGGCCAGGAAGGCCACTCATGACTTCGTGCAACAGAAGCAACCACCTCACTAAGTCGCGATACCACTCCACGACATACATTTCTTTCCACATCTTCCTTGTCCCTCGTCCTCTCCACACTTGACTAACCCAGCGCCTTTTTTGTTGTTTGGCACATAGGACCATTGTCGTTGCTCGTCCAAAAAAGATTGAGCACGACAACTCGGATGTGACACCCGAGGATCTCAACGATATGATTTCGACCTCCAACCCCTTCGACCTCCTCGAACGCCCTCACACCGTCGCTAAAGCCAACGGATCAGCGGCAACAAAGTCCAAGAAGGGAGCAGTCTCCAAGAAGAAGGCCGAGGTCGTTATTACCGCCGCCGTCGCTCCCAAGGAGCAGCAGTCGCCCAAGGCGGTGTCGTTCGACCTCAAGCCAGAGATCAAGGAGTTGCCCAATGCCGTCGTATCCAAGAAGGAGCGGAAGGCTGCCAGCAAGAAGGAGGCAGCATCTACTCCTGCTCCTGCAGCTGTTCAATTGAAGGTTACAATTGCCACTGCAAATGCAGCAGCTGTATCCACGAAGGCTGGCGCTGCTCAGTGGCTGGAAGCCGCTTCCCCCAAGGAGCCAGAGGATCTCCATACCCCTGAGCCCTTCAAGCCCACCCGTGGTCATAAAAACACGTTCGCTGCGCCAGCACCATCAGCACTCTCTGAACCATTCCATACCTTCAAGTCTGCCAAATCCTCACAAGCTCGCAAGCAGCAACAGCAACAGCAACAGCCTCAACAAAAGCCCGCTACTGTCGAAACGGTCGTGGAAGTGCCTCCCAAGCCTGTAGTTTCTGTGGTCAGCGAAGAAGAGCGTACCCTTGCCCTCCAAGAATTCAAAGCCCTCCAGGCACTCGTCCAAGCCCGCGACCTGGCCTTGGCAGCAGCCGAGAGCCGCGCCGAACGATCCATGCGCAAGATCCAAGAGCTTCAGAAACAGATTGAGTCTGAAGCGGCCCTGGTCAAGTCTGCACAAAAGATCGAGAACAAGGCTCAGAAATTGAACGAGAAGGTAGTGTCGCTTCATTACACCAACTCGATCTTGGTCCGCCAGCTCTCAGTCGATAAAGAGAACCTCAAGACTGCCCAGTTACAGGCTATCAAGAAAGAGGCCGAGTTTGCTGCCGAGACTGTTGTTGGTAACAAGGGTGCCGATGCGGAGTGGGAGACTAAACTGGAGGCGTTGGAGCAGGAGCGTGTTCAGCGTGCTGCTCAAGTCGAACATATTCAAGAATTGAACCATGAACTGCAGCAGCACCGCACTCAGTCCGAGTCCGAGATCTCGCAACTCTCTCAGAGCCTGGTCGAGGCTGACCGACGTGCTGAGGGTGCTCTTCGGGAACGGAACGAGATCCTTCACCAGCTGTCGATGATTGTTTCTGACAAGGAGGCTAGGATCGCGTCGTTGGAGGCAGATATTGGAGCCCTTGAGGGAGAGCTCGAGAACTCCAAGGTGCAGGTCGAGCAGTATGCTGAGGCGGTCGGGCAGGCAGAGGAGGTGTCCCAGAGTCGTCATGAAATCTTGGAGGGTGAGAAGCATTCGATGCTGGAAGAGATTGATCTCTTGAGGGGCTTGCTTACCCTGGAGGAGACCAAGGTCGTGGAGAGGGACGCTGACGTCAAGAAGTTGAAGGAAGAGCTCGAGGTCGTCCAGGAACAGATCAGGAAATTGGAAGGTGACCACGCCAGCGCTCTCACTGCCAAACATAAGGAGCACCAGTATGTCCTATCGACCAAGGAATCTGCTCTGGCCATCCACATCACCAACTCGACCACCGCCCAGGCCGAGGTCGAGACCGTCCGTTTACTGTTGAAGGAGGCTCGTGAGAATCACCGGGGCGAACTCGAGAAGTTAAGCCAGGGGCTCCAAAAATCCAACATCCAAATCGCAACCTTGACTACGTCCCAACAGTCATGGACTACCAAGATGGCAGAACTCACGGAGAGGTCGAACGAGAGCAACGACAAGGCAATGGAGCAATCTGCGACGTTGAACAAGCGGATCCAGGAACTTGAGCAGGAGATGGTCATCAAGGAGTCCAGCCACCGCATTGTCTTGACCGAGAAGGAAGATGTGGTCACCAAGTTGTCTGCACTCGAGACTGTTCATGAATCCTGCCACGGACAGCATGGTGCCCTGACCAAGGAAAAGCAGGACCTCCTCCAGACTGTGTCAACAAAGTCTTTGGAGCTTGACCATTTCCGTCTGGAGAAGGAGGCTCTTGCATCCGAGTTGGCCCAGAAGAAGACCGCGTATGAGGAGTTAAAGTCTGCCAAGGAAGGCGTCGATGCAGAGTTGGAAGCCTTGATCGAAGCATCAGATACTAAAAAGACCGAGATCGAGCAGGAGTACGACGCTCTGAGTCTGAGGGTTGTCGAGTTGGAGCATGAGCTTGACGGCCTTCGCCAGCAGCAACAGACAAAGGCGAGCGACCATACTGTTGATGAGGTTGTGCAGGATGCCGGCGAGGGTGCTGCTAAGAAGGCAGCGACGACGACGGATGGAGAGCAGAAAGGGCAGGAGGTGTTTAATGCTCAGGTGGAGGGTCTTGCCGTTGCTACCTACTAAGCACTACTTTTGTTATCATTATTATCCCGCTTTTCTTTTCGTCTTTGAAAAAAATGTATCTAAACGCGTCGTAAGAAAGACATCACAGAAAATTATAATGGCATGGTGACAGGAGAAAAAGACATGTATTATTTGTGTTGTCTATTTGATGCTCTCTACTATTCTTCCCAATCTACTGACTCCGTCCCGTGGACGGCGCCCCGCTGTTTGAGGCACTTCAGGTTCGTGGGACTAAGACCAATGGCTCCGGCAATGACTGTGTCAGATACGGCAATCACCGCGGGGCCTCACCACATGCCAGTTGAATAGAGAAAGCGCTCGGACATATCCACTACATGTCAAACTCTAAAGGTACCGTATCGGGTTACTGTGACAAACTTCAGCGACCGAAAGCTCCATGAAACGTTGTTGACGACGCCCAGAAAGTCATCAAGAAATAGCCATGCATTCCCACACCTCTAAGTTGCCATCCAACATGTTTCTCCGAACTGATGCTCTTCAGACCCCGCCAACGATAATTTCATCGACCGCAGTGAAATGAAGGGAAGGGTGCTCCGCGACGTGGAGAAACCGTTTTTTCTGTTCGTCCCAGAGGCGGATGTTTCTTTTCGAATTGCCTGAAGCAAACATGAACACCGTTCGCCGAACATGTAATAGCCGCTATCGTGTTGTTTTGAATTGTTGTAACGATTCTAGTGGTACCAGATTAGTCTCCCAAAAGCGGACACCCCCCATTCCGACTGAACGACATGACGTGGTGGCCCGTCAGAGAAAACGTAACGGTGGTAACGTCGCCAGTGTGACCAAGAAGAGTGCGGACAAGCCTGTCCGATCGAGCATCCCATAATTGCACAGTCTTGCCCTTGCTTCCGGAGGCGATCCAATGGTCGCACAATGAGAATAAACAGTGCGTACCGGTACGAGGCCAGAATGGCCGAAGTGAGCAAAATCAACCGACCCTGTCCTAAGGTCCACAACTGACGTAAATCTGGTGAACCCTGTGGTGGGGGATTTGAACTCCGCCAGTAGAGAACGCCACCAAAAGGACTCGGGTGGATCCAAGTTGGAACACTTGACTAGGTTCTCCTTTAGTCACGTTGTATTGTTGCATAGACCCATTTCTCGTGACCCGTAACGAGAAGTTTGCCCATCGGAAGAGTATGCCACGCTTCTGGCAGCTTCGTAGCGATAATACTCGTCGGTCCATGTTCCTGCCAAGTTCACGTCCCAAAGTCGGATGGTTTTTGTCAACGCTGCAAGAGTCGAGCTGCGCGTTGGCGGCGTGGCGGTACATGGCGTCTGCCGTTGGAACAAATCGATCGCGGTAGACAAACTGTCGAAGTATCCCACCTGGAGGCGCAGGCACGCGAGCTAGATCAACATACGTTTCAAAGAATTAAGGTGAAACCCAATTGAGTGATCAAGTCGCAACCGCTTCAGGAACGTCTAAATCGTTTGAAGTACCTGAATGGAGTGCTGTTGTGTTGTCTATTTTATTCTATATATTACGAGAAAATATACCTTGTCTATGGAGAGTTCTTCTAATAGTAGACTTGGAAACCTTGGTGGGGATAGCGTGGGTAATATCGGCAAGGGCGACACGGCGGTTCTTGTGGACAACGCTAACGACAGCTCGGACATCTCGATCGGAGAGGATGCGGGGTCGACCTGGGTTCTTTTTTTTCTCGACAGTTCCTTTCTCCTTATACAACTTGACGATCCTGTGGACAGTCGCCCTGTGTACATTATATAGGTTGGCAATAGTAGGGATCGAAGAGCCAGCCTTGCTCATGCCAACGATCTGGTTGCGCTCCTCGACGGATAGGGCCATCGAACAACAGGGAAGGAAAGAGGTGGGGTTACGGAGGGCTTGTGTGTTATGGGAAGGAAAAGAAGGGGAAAGAAGTGAAAAGAAGAAAAAAAATGCTCAAAAATTTTTACTTCATGTCTAACGTGAATCTTTATTTTCTCAGCAAATCCAAAGAAAAAAGAAAAAAAGTGCAGTACATAGAACCTCACCATCCGCGTAGGAACATTGCGAGGTAGAAGGCTAAACTAAATGGGGTGGGATGGGCGGAACATGAAGTGGGTTTCCCATCTCGTGCAATGTTTATAAGTCGTCGGACAAGTCCTCGGCGAAAAGATACATCACCGGTCACTGTGAAGTGTAGCCTCATGACGCATCCAGACAACTTTTTTATTTCACGGACATAATGCAGGCAATGTTTAAACATGTTTTGTACAAATGCTCCGAGTCGTGTTGGTTCTCAGTAGGAAAACACTGTCAAATCATTCAGCAGGCGACGAATCATAGCACTTGAAAGAGATTGAAGCTTCGTTCTTTGCCTGTAGGGTGCATTGGAGAAGGAAACAGTGATGGTGCTTATCCATTTCAATGTGCGGCGAAAGGAAAAGTAAATGCTTCGCTAACGATTTTTTGCACGGCAAAAGGAGAAAGAACGATATTCGCTGCCAGTCCAATGCATGGGAAAAGAAAAAGGTAATGTCAAAGGATAAATGAGAACGTCATGAGACCAAAACGGATAGCGAAAGGAAGGATGGTTGGAGAAAAAAGAGGAAAAACAAAAGAAGAGAAACAACAAAGGCAACCGAGACCAAAAGTAAACCCGTTTCAGAGTTCGTAAGTCCAGTAAATCACGTGAAGTGGGCAAACTCCAAGATTCCTCAAAGGCAACATTCCTCTAGGGTTGTCAACATTACTCCTCCTCCTTATCCAGCTCTAGAGATCTATGAATGGCGCCACGTTGCTTGAGCAACGCGCGATTGGTTGTACTGAGTCCTACCGCGTCGGCTATGATAGTGCCCGTGGAGGCAAGTACAGCAGGCCCAGAGCTCCAAATCATCTGAACTGACACTCGGCCCGACTTTTCCAACACCTTCCAGACTCGAATGGATCCATCGTCGCAGCCAGTCGCAAACTCCAACAAACCCGGCCTCCAAGCGACACTGTTGACTTGTCCAAAGAACTCCTCGATTACGGCCATACATCTCCAAGTCTGCGCTCCGTATCGTGCAACAAAATTCCACAGCCGAATCGACCGATCGCTGCGTATCACGATCCACTGACCGCACGACGAAAACGCAACGCCGTAAATGTTGTCGTGACGAGGAAGATAACCATGTGACTCATCAGCGCCGTGTACGTCAATGGGTCGCACTTCCGAGAGCAGACTGGTTGCATCCTGACGACCGCTCGGTGAATAGTCGATAGCCAAGTCCGGTCCTCCCAGATAACGACCTAGCATTGCCCTAAAGTCGCCTGTGTCCTCCCTCCAGACGTTAAATGTGTTGTCCTTGCTTTCTGATGTGCTCTGCAGACCGGTTAATGAAAACGCCAGGCTGGTGACTGATTTGGAGTGGCCAGTGAGAGTATGAACGGGCTCTCCGCCGCAATGAAACCTCCAGAGTTGCACAATCTTGTCCTTGCTCCCGGTAGCGATCCATTGCCCACAAGGTGAGAACGCCAGGGCGTCAACTCCGTCTTGGCCACCTCGGAGGACAAAGTCGGACTTTCCTGTGGTGACATCCCAAATGTGTACATCTCCTTCGCGTCCAGCCGTGGCGATCTGAAGACCATCTGTAGAATAGGCAATACAGTTCGCTTGGAGACAGCTGCCGGAGAAAACTTGCTCGAGCTCTCCCGAAACCGCGCTGTGTTGCTGCACAGTCCCGTTTTGACGGCAAGAGACGAGTGAGAGACCAGAAGGAGAGAATACCACGCCAGTGACCGGGTCAGAGGGTCCATGCAGGCCTAGTCCCGATCCAGCAGTGCTGACCTCCCAGAACCGTATGGTCTTGTCACGACTGCTCGAGACAAGCTGCGATCCGTCAGGGTTAAACATCAAGCTCGTCACGCGTCCATGATGGCCGACAAAGACAGAAAGGAGACTCCTCGCCTGCGCGTCCCATAGTTTCACTGTGCCATCGATGCAGGAGGAGGCGAACAGCTGACCATTAGGCGAAAACCTTGTGCATGAAACGTCGCCTGTATGTGCTCGCCAAATCGGTCCCTGCCTGCCAGAAGCCATCTCCCATAGCTGCAGCATGCCCTTCCTGAATCCTGACACGAAGCGACGACCATTCGGTGAATAAGCGATGCAACGGATTCCCTCGGAACTACTTTCCATGTCCTTTGTCAGCAGTCCAGTCTGCGTGTTGAATATCCGAATCGTTCCATCATGACTGCCGCATGCAATCTGCTCTCCGTCTGGCGAGTAGGCGAGACCAGTGACGGCTCTGGTATGACCTTGCAGTACGAAAAGGACGTTGGCCGTTTGAGCATTGCACAGGCTCACCGATCGGTCGGTACCAGCAAAAGCAAACTGGTCACCAGTAGGCGAGAATACCACGGATGTCGCTGAGCAGGGAAGCACCCGAATCAGGCCTCCTCGATCTGTTATACTAAAGTCCCAAAACCTCAAAGTCCTGTCCTTGCTACCAGAAAGAATTTGGTGACCGTCAGGCGAATATGCGAGGCTGGCAACTCCATGTGAATGACCCCAAGAAACGCGAGTCTGTCTCCAGGTCGTAGTATTGTAGATGTTGATGTCGCCATTTTTTAATCCTGTCGCCAGCAACTTTCCATCGGGCGAAAGAACGCATGCCTCCACCCGCTCTGCCTCCTTTAGGTACGATAGCTCTCCAAATCGAGCTCCTTCCATCTGCGCACTTCCGAAATCCGCCTGACGGATCCAACTCCTGCTAAGGTTGACGCCTTTGAGATCCGCCCCCTGCAGCTGAGCAGAATCAAACTGTCCTCCAGACAAGTCGGCTCCTGGGATGCTGATACCCTGTAAATCCGATCCATTGAATTGTACGCCAGCCCTGACTAGAATGGTGATGGCGTTGGAGGAAGCTAGGGCTGCTTTCTGATCATTCTTGGACAGTTCAATGATGGCGAGGAGCTCCTGCTTGAAACACGGGTCCAGCGTGACGCGCTCAGCCAAGAACTGTGCGATTGAGGGCTCCATAACAAGGCTCCGCTTAGACAGCGGATGGTTTTGAATCGTAGGCGAGGTAGCTGTGTTGAGACGAGGTTGCGGAGGAAATTCTTCTTCATCGTTGACTGGTCCGTGGACAGTGCGAGAGTAAAAGTACTCCAAGACAGATTGGTGGACAAAGCGATACTGGTTTCCTGCTCGACTCAGTAGACTGGCGCCACGTAGAAGAGACGTATCGGGTTCGGGACTGAAAAATGCTACTTTCCATGAGTTCTTGTCCCGTCGATGAGAGTAGTCGACAACCGGCTTCCCGTCCTGCTCCCGAAAGATCGCCGCTGCCAAGTCCTGCTGAAACTCAATCCCGTTCCGCTCAAACCCGTCGTCTTTCAACTCGTTGAACGTCGTCTGGTCATCCACGCTCAGCTTTTGGCTCTGTAAGCGGCGTTTGTTGACGCCCAGCCAGTGCTCGACGAAAATGTCATAGAGTTCCACGCGAGTAATGTGAAGACTGGAGAGGTTGGTTGCGCCCTGAACAACTCTGGGCATGGACTCCAGCGCCAGGGTCAAGAGGAAGGGGTTCTTGACCAGATCCATCAGGTTGGGAATTGTCGCCAGCTTGTCCATGTAGTCCTCCTTGATCCACGTCCTTGGCTCTAAAGGAACATATCGCTCCACATAATCTTCGATCTGGCTCTTGGAGAATGGAGCGATGACGGCTTCTTGAAAGAGGTTATTGGCGACACGATGGTATTGGTCCACTGCCGTTGGTACGAAGTGATCACGGTAGTCAGGTCCGAGGTACTGAGTGCGACATGTAATAAGCAGCTTGGCCTTCCAATGACCGGTTCGGTTGAGGAGGTTCGTGGTGTGGAGGTTGACAATGAGTTGGCACTCATCGTAGCCATCGCATATTAAAAAGAGCTGGTGGTTTTGCTCCAGCTCCCGGATCTGCATTTCGGAGAACTTGTAAGCCCAGAGCTGCTCGACAACCAACTCTTTTTCCGGGCGCTCGAGAGCAGGCAAGTTGATGAAAAGAGGGACCCGACTGCCAATTTCATAATTGCTCCAGAGTTCGTATTCCAGGTGGCGGATGAATGTCGACTTGCCAGCCCCTGAGTCGCCCAATATCAACATCACTTGATCATCGCCAGCTAGGAATTCCTGGACCTTGTCTGTCAAAGAGAATAGTTTGTTGTATGGTGCCTGCAGGTTGGGTTTGGCCAATGGTGGGATGTAGACGGCTTGCTTGTATTCCTCGAGCCTCTGATTCTTTAATGTGCTCAATGCGTACTCCACTGTAGGAATTTCTCGGACTGGAGTGGGAGAGAGATATGGCAAGGTGAATGGGGTTGATGAAAGGGGATTCCATGAAGTTACATCGGATAGCAAACTGGATCCGTCAATGGTGTGATGTTGTATTCTTTGCAAAGCGGTCGAAGTACTGGTAGTCGCAGAGAGTGAACGACGAGACTTTGCTGGGCGGTCGAGTTGAGGTAGGATGCGCTTGCCGCTGTTGGTCAGGTCCCGATGGTTTGTTGAAAGTGGGTTGGTCGCGCTAGACTGAGATCGTGAGTGCTCATGAGGTGAACTAGACGACATAATTGGTCCTGCGTGCACCAGACAAATGTTGTGTTAGAACTCTGTTTTAACTTGTATCTTCCCACTAGAAGAAGTTGAATGCGTTTGTGTTGTGTTGTATTTATTACCTTGGGACACGTTGTGAGAGTTTGTTGATCAGTCGGAAGTTGTGTTGGCGTTGGGAGAGGGTGACTGCCGGCTAGGTGAGAGTAGGCCTGAAGTAATTGTACAAGGAACATTGCATATTAGTCGTGGTTGGAATGGCTAAGGATGTATCAATTGGCATGGAGCTTAGAGCAAGGTTGTTCTTACCACGAGGCCAGAAAGGTGCTCTTTTGGGCCCTCTTTGGTGATGGAGCAGGGCAAGTTAGTCAGTCAAGTCGGGCAATTAACAGATGAATGTCGATGAGAGAAGGCAGGATGAGATGAAAGACGAGAAGGGATGATGAGGACGAGGAGAACGAGGATGAAGGAGCAAAGAGCAAGGAGAGGTGTTTGCCGTCCATTCAAGTCGTCCACCCTGCCACGTGGGAAACAAGGGGTCTGGAACTTCACAACGGGCGAAGTGGACTGTGTTCACGTGCTCACTCAACGGTTTGTTCCAGACATATCTCAACCCCATGTAACTGACAACTGACAGACGACTAAGCAGTACAATATCATTTCCTCCTCTGTCGAAGATTAAATAACCAAGGTCCAGCTCCTCCAGCCCCCGTCCTCTCTCGTTTTCCGCTCTCTTTTGTTGATTCGCTTTGTTGATATCTTGCTACTTTCCTATATCATTCTTGGATACCATCCTTTTTTCTATATCCTTCCTATCCTTCTACACCAGCATGGACAAGTCGGCTCGCTCTGCTCTGACAGCACCAACCAGACGAGAACTCTTCACGCGTTGTGAGATGGTTTTGTTCGGGTAAGGTAAGCGTTAAGCAATAGTCGTGGGAGAGTTTTATGCACGACGCGATAGGGCTCTGATCTCAGGATGCTCTGTTCTGAAGATCTGGTACCTAACAATCCTGCTCCGGTGCCTGATATTCAAGAGTCTGATATCAAGGAGCAACGGATGGAGAGTCGCGCGAAGAAGCCCAAGCGAAGGAGCACAATAAGGCCGGGCAATAGTTTTTACAAGTGGGCAGTTTTTAATTCATGATCTCCCGCAAGCTCTACTTCCTTGATGGTGAGAAAAAAGGATCGAGCAGGCATAATAGAACAACAGAAGAACGCGACAAAAGATATGTGATACCATGCGAGATACCCTTTACCTCTAATTGAGATCTCCACACGTCTGAGTTTTCCACACGTCATTGTCACCACCACCATTTTGTCTATGAACGAATGCAGGGTCTCACTGAAGAAAACGACAAAAAAAACGGCGTATTGGAAAAAACTTTGTTCCTTCACCTGGCGCGACGATCAGTTCAGTTGTATGTTCAGGAACAATCATCGCTCCTGTGTCTCGTGCGAAAAAAGCACAAGTAAAGAATTCCCTCAATTGCCCAATAAGGTACCCACCTTCGTCTCCTGGTACCCTTTGCTGCACCTTTACACGTTTTTAGATCAATTTACTAGAAGACATGCATCGGAAATGGTATGGTAGGGACCAAAGGTCCAAAGGTTTTACAAACTCTCTTTATTTGTGAGTGTCTTGTAGCTTCTTTCCCAAGTTGTACTCGTTGTACCAGGGAAATGTCATCTTCTTTTGTGAGCGGATCCTTCACCCGGTGAGTAGAGTGAACTTTGTCGTCCCTTTTTGTTGGCTCTCTTGTGTTGCGTTGCGGGCGTCCATTCGTTTTTGATTTGGGCGTCAAGCGGAATATTTTTTGTCCCTGGTAAACCACAAATTGGAGAATGTGACTGGTGTGAGGTGCTTGTGAGTACCCTGTAGGTGGGTGTGTGGATGTTCATGGAAAGGATGTTCAGGGAAGGGGTATGGCTAAGATGTTCGAATAGCTTTACGATGGACAGTTGAATTGGCGGAGGTGAGGTGAGATGTGTAGTATGGCCAAGTCATGTTCTCGTTATGACGATGTGGAAACGAAAGTAAAGGAGGGGGAAGAAAGCGCCCAGGGCAGGCAACATTGGAAAGCAGATAAAGAAAAAAGAGACCCATCACTCGACCAGCTCTTGAACTGATACTCACGCATGGTAACACCAAGAAAGGAAAAATATAATGAAAAAGCATAGCATGCGTCTGTTCTTGCATTACTCAAAAACTCCTCGGAGAGATTTCTTGATGCAATGGTTGACGCCGTTGTTTGTAGAAAAGGGATTGTTGTCTAATGTCTGGCCACCTGCAAGTCTAACCTCTAAACAAAGCGTCCCTTTTGTTCTTCCTTACCCTGGTGCAATCAATCAAGGTCTTACTCCTCGGACTAGACTGGGCTGTAGGAATGGAATCATTCTCCGGGCGTAAATGGCTAAGTAGAATGGATAAAGAACAGGGGGGAGGGTGTGGGGTATTATTTCCTTTTGTGAGTTGAACTGCGGGTGGCGGAAATAATGGAGCTCAATCACGAAAAACGAGGCGAAGGTCTAAAAGGGTCTCTGTGTGGAAAGTAACAGTATCACTAAAGTAGTGTTTGAGTACTGCGGGGGCTACAGCCATAGTTTTTTTTTTGTTTGAGCATGCCTCGGCATGTCTAGGGGGAGGAAGGCTGCCGTAGATTTTACGCCACAATTTCGTTTGTCGCTACTTTTAGTATTTTAGGCAGAGAGCTGTTCTACTTAGGCTCGTGTTGGTTTTCGTTCATGGACTATTTCCTCGTGGGTGAGCGCGTCCGAAATAGCAAAGACAAAACAGGGTGAGCGAGTGAGAACAAGAGGAAGGTGTGAGTGAAGGCCCGAAGGGGGCTACCAAAAGGAAGATTCTGACATTTCTACGCATGGTGACTCTTGAGCACTTTATTTTTATTCGCATTTGGCACGCGCTACAACCCTCTCCCTTGCAAAAATCATGAAGCAGCGGGTTTGATTACCGCGACGGTCCACCTTCTCGTCTCTCGTCCCCTCCCTCACATTCAACTAAAAACCACTGCCCCCTGCCCTGACAAATAAAGCGCTCCGTTGAGTAAACGAGTGTAAAGAGACAAAGAAAAATAGAACCCTTCTTCGTGTTCTATGGACCCCCTGCCCTCCCTCTGTCCTCCAATAATCCTGTACTCCATTTAGCCACAATCGCTTATTTATTCTTTTTAGTTTGTTTTCCATCGCGGCTTTTTTGCTTGAGGGAGTGGTCAAAGGAAAGAACGAGAAAAGAGAGAAAAAAAAGTGTATATGAGAGGGAAACCTGTACGACGCTCATGAGATGTAACCCAAATATGTTGATGTTCGACGCTGTCCATCAGTTTGGAAAACTAGGAAGGTTGTTACCTATGCCTTTTTTCATGGGTTTTCATGGTTTTTTCATGGGAACACTTCTGTGGACACATCGATTGAACGCTGTTTCTTGACAACAACAATAGTCGCTCCCTATCCATACAAGCCTTTGGCTCTGGAATGAGGACATGGATACGTGTGAAGGAGGAAAGAGAGCCTGCGACAGAGAGGCATGAAGGCACGCAGTTTTCACTTTGATATCATAGGTGGGGGAGAGACAAGATGAAAATATAGCATTTTGAGCGAGCATGAGGTGCATAGCATATGTGGACGCAAACCCACACAAGGGTCAGCGATGGATTTGAGATATGTCCATTGAGATCGTTTCAATGAGAAAGCAATTTATCTTCGAGTAAAATAACGCTCTCTTTTTTTGCCTGTCTCTTGTTCGGTCCATACTTCCTCCAGGGTTCAATCTTCCACAGCGGAGAAAAAAAATAAAAAGGATGTGTTGGTGGAGAGACTGGATCCATTAGGAGAAACCTTCGCCTATGATGTCCTTGCAAGGTACTCTCTTCTCCCCCCCCCTTCGCCCAATTTGGATTTTGCTTTCATGGGTCATAAAATGACTGAGGGGCGCTGAGTTGTGTACTTGCATACCATTTTCACGAGTCGACAAGGACAATGAGACAAATGGGACAAAGGGACGACAGCCGGTGTGTAGTTCCAATGGAACAAGATAAGGATGCACAAGTCAAAGGAAAGGACGAAAGGGGGCGGTGTTGCAAGAATTGAGTGGCGTCTTGTCAATTTTTAGTCATTCCTCGGGCTGTAGTAGTGGAGGGATGAAGGCGACGCCAGGACGAGGAGAAAGGAGCAATTTGCAATGCGAGAGAAGGTACACAAGAGAAGGCTGTTGGGGGTAAGGGACGGGATTACAGTGGGTCGTTCTTTAATGATCGGTCAACGGAGTGATATACTCCTTTTGTCCGGAAGAGAATGAGGTAAAGGATGAGGATGGAGCATCGGTCTGATCTTGTGACCCAACCACATTCATAATACATGGTCATAAATTACTCAGTATTCGATGTTCGACGTGGAGGGGTGAAGAACTATAAGCTCGGCGCTTTGTTCTATTCATGTGTTGCTTTGGATGCTTTGTTTGTTGGTAATGGGCAAAGACGGAAGGAAGAAAAAGAAAAAAAAAAAACGTTTAAAAGAGATGGGACAAGGTTTGATTTTCCTCTTCTTTCTTTTCTTCTTGTCTTCACTCGACTGCGCTCATTAGTCCTCAACACATCCATACCCTTCAGTCGCCCATTTGACATAAATATCTTGTAACCCCTACTTTCAATCTTTTTGTTACCTTGACCTACTGTCGCATCCTTACTCTCTCTCGCACATTCGTACATCTTTCACATCTCTCCATCCTCACACCCCTATCTCACTCCAACCCACTCTTCCTTCGTCACTTTCACTCTCTTACGCCACCAGCAACAAGATCATGTAAGTTATCCATTTGTCATCTTTGCCCTACCTATCCTCCCCAAATGAAGATCCTCTAGCCTATGCACGCACACGCCATCCTCTTTCTCTTTCTCTCTCTTCCTTCCATCTCACTGGGTTGGTTCTCGTCTTGTTACCAGGGTCATCCCTCACTCAAGGTGGTTTAGACAGAGTACAACAACAACCACAACAGCATGTCGCTTTTCCTTTCATTTTTTAAGCGATGGCCAATGGCTAACGAGCCCTCTCTGCACGACCTCACCTTTTCTGCTTGCCGCTCTGCATGACAAGTTCATTGCCCCCTAAAATATCCTTTGCTCTTCCTTCCCCTGGCTTGCCACATCATTCATCAGACATCTGTTTCCCGACTTTCTTACCGAGGATCGCAATAAAAAGAGTGAAAAAAAAGTAAGCTACCTTTTTTTAGTGGTAGTCAATAACCACTGGACCCCCTTTTTTCTGAGCTTGATTTTGAGGGATATTTTCATTATCTTCCGCGAACTGCAAGTTATCCTCTTACACACCATTGACAACATCTTTTCTTCAAACGCTTGTCGTCTTTCGCACATCCTCGTCACCACTCCCATTCACATTCCTCATTCACGCAGAATCCCCTGTCGTTCGCAACAACTGCATCTTTGGATCTGAAAGAAGAGGATGGTTACATGTGAATAACAAGGCGTGGGCAATGAATGGACAAAACCTGAAACGTGACTACAATCCCTTCTTCTCTGTTCCACCCCATATCCCCAAAAAAAAGTAGTCCAGGGGAGAGGAATCAAGGATTGTCTCCTTGTGCTGTTGCTCAGATTTATTCATTTGCGCCGTTGGATCATGGCCCCATGTGCGGATGGATCCGTCCCTGCTTGGCTCGTTTTTTGGCCGATGCCATGTTTGGCTGAGCACTTCTTTTTTCTTTTCTTTTCTTACACCACCTTCTCCCGCTCTCGCTCTTTTGGATTGCTTGCATGCATGGGAACAAAAAGAAAAGAAAAAAGGACGCTAAGAAAAAGAAAACAATACTCGTGCATAAGGTCCACAACCACCCTTCCATCGAAACCGACAACAAACACCTTCTCGGATCGATAACAGACTGAAAGACACCCCTTGTCCAATTGTCTATTATGCCTTGCTCCTCTTCCTTCTCTCCTCCCTTCTTTCGCATCTCATCCACTGTTTTCTTTTCCTTTTCCCTCCAAAGAGTCATCATTTCTTGTCCTTGGTGTTGTTTGATTTGCCTGCATGCAACATGTGCGTTATGTCTCCCCTCTTTCCTCCCTCCTACAGTATTACAGTATTGTTACTCCGTGTTTTTCATATATTTTTGGGGACAACGGGATCATCAACGTGCTCAATAATAGGTTGCCTACCATCCCTCTCCTATTTTTTATTTTTTTGAGTAAGAATGCGTGGTGTGCGAAAAGATGATGAGCCGTACCGCTCCATGGTCGCTCCCCCCCCAAAAAAATACTGTTTCCTGATTTATTTTTCTTGTTCTCTCCTTCGGCTTGGTTCCAAGTCGGAGAAAAAAAAACAGAGTACGCATCATACTCTAGGCGAGATCAAACAACATCAAAAAGTATAAAAACTAATCCGTCGGCCGCAATGCCTTTTTTCTTTGTTTTTCTGTGTGTTTTGTTGTAACGTTCAGCCCTTTTCTACCGTACAGTACTTCTTGAATCCCAGATCGGCGGACCTTCTATTTCGCACAGGCAAAGAAGACACACAACCCAGAAAAAGGTAAACTCAAAAAACACAACAATGTCCGTTTCCTCTCTTTCCATTCCCTACATGCTTACAAGTGCCTTCGTACAGTCGTCATCCCTCTTTCTGGAGAGAGTCCGACCATCCTTTACTTCACCTTACCGACAAACCCAAAAATACTCCCTTCTTGCACACTCTCCGTCACGCATGCACGCCTTGTCCGATCTATACCATGCACCATACATCACACTACATCAACATCCGTTCTTCCTCTGCTTTCATCTTTTCTATTTTCTTCCTTTTTGTTTGGGTCAGAGAGGGAAAGAGGGGACTATCTGACTAGCGCGTATTCCGACTTATTGCTCCCTCTTGTTCGAGGCAATGGGGAAAGAAGAAAGAGGGATGCTCCATTGGCATATGCTTGCCTTGGGCTGGGTCTCATTGTTGTTATATTTTAGTCGTTTGTGGACTAACAACAAAAATTCTCCTTTGTGGACCCTGGACATGCGCACCGACCTTACTTGTCCTTTGTTCCTTTGTTCTCGTTCATTCGTTCATGGCAGGGCTGATGTGTGTGTTATGTTTATTAAACTTCCATATCGATCCAAAGGCAGAGTTGCATCATTTCATTCAAAAGAGCAAGGAGATTGGGCAGGGGGGAGGCGATGACGAGCAAAGTGGAAGTTGTTGTGCAGTTGGACAAACACATCGAGATCCAGTCTTTTCGCCTTGATTATTGTTGTGCTTTCTTTCCTTCTTTAGTCCAATTGGGTGTCCATCTGTTCACCGATTGCACCATCGCCAGTGCTTCCCTCGGAAAGAGAGAAGGAAAGAAGGGTGTCCAAGTGATTGCATTGTTCATTTGGGCTGCGTACTTTTGTTTATTCGTTTGTGTATGTGGAGTAGGGAATAATAGGCTGGTGTGGACAACGGGGGCGGCGCGAGGTGGTGTAGTGGCGGACTTTTGGGTCAAAGACGAAGGATACTGCTACCCGAGGGATTTGCGTTCCTTTTCCTTCATGGGTATGTGGCAAGCACGATTAGATCGTAACTGTTGGTTGTCGAGTCTCTCATGGTAATATACTGTATGGTTCCAGTGGGTGTTGAGAGATGGATAGACACTCTCTCCCTCACTCGGACTTGGCTCCACCCTCTGTTAGGACTTAAGGTTCACTGTTCACATTGGTGTTGGTCATGTGGCAACAAGAGAGAGTTTGTGCTTTCACTTTGTATTGTACGCCCCCTTGTTTTGTTTTTGGTCAATACGATATTTGTCTGACAAATATAGTCAATGAGCCACAAGAAGTGGGTGGGGAATCAAGTGAAAGCCCTTTTCGGTGGGAGTACACAACTATGGTATCGACATGGGCAAACATGCAATTGAATAGGGATCGGATCGATATTACACACCTGTTTGGCTAAGAAGGGGCGAACAAAACTCCTCCTTTGCTCTCCCCCTTCCTTCTACTTCCCCTGCCTGCGCCTGGGCATAGCCTTCTTCTTTCCACTTCACCTTTTACTTCGTCTTTTTCACCAACCATTTCTTTTCTTCCTCATTACTTCCTGATCATTATTTTACCGAGAGTAAAAGTGTGCTATTCTTGCCCTGGGTGTTACCTCCGCAAGGCAAAGAGGGCTCTTGAGGAAAAAGGAGGTTGTGGAGAGAAGGGATTTGTAACAGGACAAAAAAAAACTACAAGAAGAGGAGAGGACCCATGAGGTGGGTGGGTGGGTAGGAAGGTTTGAGAGATGGGCGTGCGGGTATTTTTTGAGTTTTCTATGTTGTTAGTTTGGCAGACCATAGCCTGCCCTTTTTTTCTTGTCTTTCTGTATGTTCGATGGTGTATGCCTTGAACCATAAAACACACACACAGACACATCGATCCCTTCACTTTCCCTACCCATCCCCGACCACCTATTGACAAAAGAGAAAGAAGGAAGTAACTTCAATTCAACAACGGGGAGCAAGCATAAACAACAACAGCAATAATAACAACAACGCACAAGCAACGATGAAGTTGCATGGTACCAGTGGTGGCGGTACTTTTTTTTCTGTTGCAAGGGAGTTGTAACAGCAGCAACGACCTCAAACCACCAACAATTCTCCTTCCCTCCCCTCTCTTTTTATTTTTCAAGAGCAGCAACTCCACCCAACCCAAGCAAGCAAAAGCAGCATGCACACACTTCCATTCGATCCTTCTGAACATGTCATTGCACTAAACCCAGCAAGGGACTTCTTTACACACACTCAAGTCAAACAAACAAACATATACAACATGTTTGCTTGATACTTACTACACACACAGACGCTCATAACTGATACTGATATGAATCATGTCCTTATTTGTCTCTCACTCCTGCCATCATCACATCGCACCTTTTTTATCCACTTCCCTCTCTCTCCTCTTTTCTCTACTTTCTTTTCTTTCCCCTCTTTTCTTTCCCTTCTTTCCTTCTTTTCTGTTTCTTCCTCTCCCTTTTCCTCCTCTCCTGATATTCAACCAACCGACCTAATAGCTCTCTGTCACTCCTTCGACAACGAACAACCAATCAACCAAGCAGGCAAGGACATATACTGGATCATCGCCTTCCCCTTCCCTCTCCCACTCAGCCCTCGCCACTTTCAGGAACGCACACATCCAGACATTCATTACCGTTTGGATTAAGCCAGGACCAACAATTCATCGTCCGTCCCTTTGCATAAGGTAAAAGAGCAGTCAACCAACCAACCAGCCAGCAGCCAGTCATGACGGGATGTTACCAGGAGTGTACCCGCCTTATCTTTAAAACCCTCTTTTTTTTTGGACATATTTCTATTCCCGGGTTAGCCTGGCATCATGGACAGGGATAAGGAACAAGAGCAGGGGCAGGGAGTAGGAAAGACAGGATCAGACATAGGATGGACAAAGGAACAAGTAAAGGGAACAATGAAGACCCTGGTGCACTTCTTGATGTTCCATTGTAACAAAGGGATTACATCGAGTCCCCTCGTACACAGTCAGACACCTTCGCTTCGGGAATATATTATCTTAAAAACGGAGGTATGCGGTTCAACTCACCCAGCTCTTCTTTCTTTCTTCTTCTCTTACATTGTCGGCTGTTACAGCACGTACGTTAGCATTATCCTCCACGTTCTCTTTCCTCTCTCTCGCTCTCTCTCGCTCTCTCTCGGGCCGTCTGTCTCTGTCTCTGTCTCCCTCGCGGTCTCTGTCGCTTCACATCTGTCTCAGGCTTCGGACAAGCCCGTCTTTTTTATTCCCTCAACTCCTCAATCAGTGCAGCCGGCAAGCAACTACAACCACAGCAACAGCAAGCGAGCAACCAACACCTAAACTGACACCACCAACCAACCAACAACAACAACATCAAACAAATAGGGAATGGTTAGATTGGGAAGAAACAGATCATTACCTGTACCCCCCAGCCATGGCGCCACAATGCGCAAGGCCAACACAAACGTGTTCTCGTTCCCGACCCTCACATTGACCAGGACCCTCAGCGAACGGAGTAATGAAGGCGGGAACAACTCGCGCTCCTCCTCCCTGTCCCGTACCATCTCCCGGACGCGTTCTGGACCCTCGACTCCCATCCCGTTGGCACCGATCATTGCGGCGATTCAGCGGGGTAACTTTGTCAAGCTGAGCGAGATGGATATCGAGGCGTTGCTTGAAGACATGTCAGGAAAAGATTCCAAGGTCCTCGAGGCGCTCAACATTACCTCGGCGTCGATCTCGGCGAGTGATGCCAAGATCCTGGCCAAGCTGATCAAGTCATCGGATACTGCCAACATCAAGACGCTCAAGATGGAGGGCAACACGATCAGTCAGCAGGCGTCCAAGTTGATGTTTGAGGGCTGGAAGTTCAACAGGACGATTAGCACGCTCAGTCTTGCACGGTCCGGTGTGAACGACAAGACGGTCAAGTACCTGGCTCGAGTGATTGTCAAGAACGAGGCGTTGAAGACTCTGGACCTGTCGAGCAACCATATCACGGCATTGGGAGCAGAGTACCTTGCGGATGCGATGGTCCAGAACCGGAGTATCACCCGACTCAGTATCCAGTCCAACAACATCAGGAAGGCAGGAGCCCCTTTTATTGCCAAGATCCTGAACAAGAATCGGGTCGTCCGTCACCTCAACGTGAGCTCGAACGGTTTGGGCGCAGACGGCGTCAGTATTATTGCCGAGTCGGTGCGGTTCAACCGGACGTTGACTTCGTTGAGTCTGGACATGAACGAGATGGGGTCCAAGGGCGCCAATGCGATCGCAACGGCGTTGATCTCAAATCGTCACCTGACTCATCTGTATATGCCCCACAACAACATTGGCGACATGGGTCTGGCGGATCTCTGCGAGAGCCTCAAACGGAATTGGACGCTCATTAGTCTGGACCTAGAGCTCAATCACATCGGCAGGGAACAGTCTGCAGTCGGATTGAAGGCCCTCGGAGAGCTCCTTTTGGTCAGCACCTCGCTTCGGGAGGTCAACCTGTCGTTCAACCTGTTTTCGGCCGAGGCGATTGCTGCGCTGGCGGCGGGCATGTGCAAGAACTCGACTCTGGAGAGTGTCCTCCTCAACAACTGCTGTCTCCCTACCGAGGCTGCGGTGTCTTTGTCCAAGGTCTTGTCTTCCCCTTCTACAGGATTGCAGAACCTGGGTCTGACCAACAACGGGGACATTGGAGTCGAGGGCTATTGGGCGTTGGCGTCCAACTTGATCCGGAATCGGTCTTTGAAGGGCATTCAGCTGGACTACAACTCGGACGACCGTCAGGCGCTTTATGAGTCCTTCCAGAACTCGTTGACAAGGAACCATATCTGGCAGCAGGCGATCTATGCGGCGGCATGTCGGATCTTGTTCTTGTCGCGGATTGTCCTGTTGGGTCGCCCTGCCAACCAGAAGCAACTTCAGAGGCAACAGGAGCATCACATCAAGAACCATCAACACGGATGGAATATCTTCCGACGAGTCAAGATGGGCCGGACCAACTCTTCCAACTCTTTGGCGTCGTTGTTAACGATAGGCAAGAATCATCGGTCGAATGGAGCGGATGGTGGAGGACATGAGGGCGATATAGCCAACATGAGCCACAGCAATAGCCACGCCCGTCACATTTCGACCATGGCCGCCGCCTCTGCCGCGTCTACAATTGCAGTCGTCACCAACAGCAACGGAAGTTTCCACGGCGCTTCCCCGTCTCACCACCACACCTTGGCCCACCGCCCCTCGATCTCGAGCACCACCTCGGCCGCAGTCGACTACGAGTACAACCCCCACAAGATCCTGGCGAACCTGTGCAACATGCCCCACGAGATCTTTGAGTCGATCTGCGCATTTTTGGATCCCGGCCGGACAATGAACATTGCGCAGATCCGGATGACTGTCCAGACGGCGGGCGATCGGTCAACGTTGGCGCTGTATTATACCCGAGAGAAGATGCTTGAGCGGATCTTTCATTCTAGATATATCTCGCCTTTGGGGACCAGGTACAGCTTGAAGCATGGCGACGAGCGTACTTAAAAGTGCTTTGATCGATGAGAGAACCTTGGTTCCTCATAGATTGAAGTACACATGCAGTCATTCCTTTTCTTTCACAGGTGTAGTCACCAGGTTGGCTTTCATATCTTCTCTCACTCTTTCTTGTTTTTTTCAATATTTCACTTTCCACATTTCAAATCAGCAAAAAAACAAACCGTCAGCATTTCTTTTCCACACTTCCTCAATAAATCAGCAAGTATCGCATTCTTTTTCTATTAGCCGCTGTCCAAATGGGGGTGTCCCTAGCTGGGGAGAGAATTGCACTGTACTCACTGCCTCTCCGATCTGATCCAACGTTCTCTGAACTGAGCCCCATTCACAATGGTTTTTGAAGGCAAACGATTTTGTCTAGTAAAAATAATGCAAGAAATGCCTGTCGTTGTATGTATATCTAATCTGTCTAAAATGCTACAAAATGGGGTTGTATCCATCGAAAAACTTCTAAACGTTCCTAGTCTCTTGTTTCTCGCTCTCGTCCTCCTTCCCCTCTACCTCCACATCATCGTCCTCCTCATCCTCGCCATCATAATACCCATTGGCCCGGAAACAATCATTCATGGCCGTAAACTTTTCCAAACAATCAGACCCCTTGGTCTCGGCTTCCGAAAGAACAAAGCAGGAGAAGGCTTCTTTGAAGGTGTCACCACAAGGGCCTTGGGCCATCCCGCCGAGACAGGGGCAGTCCCAGTTGAACTCGCCGGTTTCGGGGTCGTATGCTGCTGATTGGTTTGATGGGATTGAAGAAGTGGAGGAGGAGGAGGGGGAGGGGGAGGGTTCGAGGAAGTGGAGGGTGTCTTTTCCGTTTTCTTCTTGTCGTGAGTATGACATTGGGCGGAGGTTTTGTGTGTGTATAGGAGCGGTGTTGGTGTTGTTGTTACGCTATGGCAGCAAGAAAGAAAGCGGATCAAGAAAAAGGAGGGATTTATTTAATTAGGAGACTAATTTTTTTGGCGTTGAAAAGGTGTGAACATGTTCATTCATAGAGTATGTTTTGAATACGTAGACAATGGTCTGTTGTGTACCTTTCTGTCGTGTATGGCTGAAGGAGTATTCTCGAGGAAGAGGAATGCCTGTGGGAATGAATGAGTGAAGGGGGAGAGAGGGGAATGGAATGGAAGGAGCGGGAAGTCCGGGCCTTTTTCTACTTTTTTTTTTTTTTGCCTTCTTGGGACCTGAAGAGAGGAGAAAGCAGTCTCTTTTTTCCGATCTGACAAATACAATACGATCGGGTTTCGCCACCAACTTTGCCGTTCTTCCTTTTCGCAGATGTAGACAAGAGGCGTAGGAAGTAGTCAATTGAAAATGCGTTTATGTCAATTGTGGAAGCAAGAAAAACAAAAAAAAAAGGAGAAAAAAAGAAGTGGCGCCTAAGAGGCAAACGACCTTTTTGCGCAGAGGACACGCCCATTCCTTGCGCAGGCGAAAACGAAACTCCTTCCCAGTCCTTCCTCCGCCTCCATCACTCCCTTAACTCCTACATCTCGAAACCAAAGAATGAAGGGGTTTACTTCTGTTCCTTCTCCTCGACCTTGTAGGTGTTCTCGTTCAGGATCTCGTCAATGTCGTGGCGGAGCTGCTCGACATAGGTAGTGTCGATGTAGACGTGTGTGTCGTCCAGGTCCTCAATGATGAACTGGTACTTTTCGTTCAATCCAATGATAATCTGCTTCACTGAGGTGTCACTGGCATTGTGGAGGAGAGTGGAAGGCGAGGTTAGATCTATGGAAGTGTGTTGGATTTGTGCGGTGCAACCGAGAGAAGATTGGACAAAGGGTATAAAATGCTAGTTTTCTTACCACTCGATAATAGTGCCTGTGGGTAGTGTAAGTCAAGAATTGGGGAGTAACAGGAGAAGGAGTGAGTTGACTTTGGTTCCAGGTACCAAGGAGAACGGTAAAGAGCAGTGAGAGTAAGAAATTCGGTTACCCTTGACAGCCTTGACCATTGTGCTGACTGAGTGTGTGTCGAAGTGTGAATGAGTGAAAGGGAGTAGGTGGCGTTGGTTTCTGTTGACGTTGGCGGCGTTGAAGAAGAAAGGGAAGAAGGAGAAGAAGAAGGAGTGGGCAAAGAAGACGAAGAACGATTCGCAAGGAGAAGAGAAGCAGAAGAGAGCGATGGCAAAGAACTGAACGACGGTTTTTTTTTTTTTTTTTTTTTTTTTGAGGGAAAAGAGAGGATTTATTGTGGCTTAAACAGCCTTGATAGAGTTATTTTGTGCTATGGTTTTGGTGATTTCGCGAAGTATGGTGTGGATGATATCGCTACTAGATTGAGTGTGTTGATGAAGAAAAAGAACGGTGTTGGCTGATGAAATACCAATGAGGCAACAAGCCAGCAATTGTGGGATAGTGATGTTAAATTGGGGTTTGATATCAAAGGTTGGAGGATGGAAAGACAAGACCTTATCAAGGTCATCATCTGACCAAAGTGGTTTGGATGTGTGTTCCTTGAGGATTGTTTGCCAAGCGATGTATTTAGGAGCGCACTGAAAGATGTGATGCGCCTTGTCCTCACGTCGCTCACGACATCCGGCCATGTTACAATGAGGATCCTGCTTCCAGATTTTTTGACGTAGAGTTCCGCAAGGAAGCCAATCCCTTTTAAATCTCCACCACGTGGTCCTGGCCCGGTGTGGTATTTTAGCGCTCCAGAATTGGCGCCACTGTTTCGAGGTTCCCGTCTCTGGTTGGGTTGAGGAGTTTGGGTTTAGTGGTGTGTCTTGCCTCAAAAAGGCTCGAAGGTGTTTGTTCGTGGCCGATTCCAGAGTGATGGGATTACTGTCGTTTGGGATCAAGACAGATGAGAGGATATGCTGTGCCAATGTATCATCCTGCGTGATCTTGGGTGGGTTCGAGAGTGCTTGCTGCATACTGTGGCGCATTCGACGACGTTCTTGGTAGGCCTGGATCCCTAGTTCCACTTGAGCAAGGCGGAGCTTGGGGGAAAGGTGTGTTTTTCTGACCAGTTGGAGGAGCCCATTGTTGTCAGGAGAAAACTGAAAGAGCTCTTCCACTCGGAGTCTGAGGGTCTTGATGGTGGTATCTGTCGTTTCAAACCACCATTCGATTGGTGAGGAGGCAAGTGTTACAGAGTCCGGCAAGGGATCAGCAAGGGCCAGTGCTTTGAGGGAAGGGAGGAGGGACGCCGCAGATACCAATCGTTGCAGACCGGGAAACCCTGCCAATAAGGATCTGTACTGTCCGTCCAGGGGTGCTAGGAGGAAGGCAAGGCGGTGAGACGTTTTGGTCCTCCATCGGATGATATCAAGAATGATGTCCTTACCCCAAGAGACATTAGTGGAGAGAGCATTGCGGATATGCTTGAGTTGGAAAACATGGCATTGAGTAGCTGGGTCAATAACGCCTAGGCCACCCTTGTCCCTTGGAGTAGTGATCACCTCCCATGATGGCCTTGGTTTAAAGGAGCATACGAATTTGGTGACTGCAGCCTTCACCTTTCGCAAAAAGTCGAGCGGGGGGTTGACAATCCAGGATAGGTGCCAAAGTTTGGAGAGGATAAGAGAGTTGATGATGGTGGCTCGGCCCAGGACGGAGAGGGATCGGGAAGAGTGTATGGTTATGGCTGATTGTATCTTCTTCAGAGTCTTGTCCCAGAAGTCTTTTTCCTGATCGCGGTTGAAAAAGATAGGGAATCCAAGGTAGATCAAAGCATCGGCGGAGTTGTAGTCATGCCATCGCACGTCCAAATGTTCCAGGTGGGTCTGCAATTCTTTGGAGTAGGAGGGGGCCATAGGAAAGGCCACAGTTTTGGACAGGTTGACTTTGGCATTGGATGCGCGGCCATAGGTCCGTAGGGTATCCTCCAATGCTGACCATTCGGTTGTGGAGGAGATGAGAGTCATGAGGTCGTCTGCATAGGCGCTGAGCTTGATGGGATCCGTGCGACCAGGGATTTCAATACCGTGAATAGCCGGGGATCGTTCGATAGAGGCAAGCAACGGTTCAAAGGCTATGTTGAAGAGGAGGGGAGATAGTGGGTCACCCTGGCGAAGTCCTCTTGATTGTGGGAAGGTGTCTGACACAAAGCCGTTGATATTGAGTGCAATCCTGGTAGAGAAGAAAAGTTGAATAATCGACTCCGTAAGGCATGATGGAAATCCAAGTCGTTTCAAGACCTGTTGAAGATAGGTAGGATGCACACGGTCGTATGCTTTTTCCTGATCCAGTAGTACGCCAATATGTCTTGTCCTTCTTGCCTTGCAGTAATCTCGGAGTGTTGAGAGCACTAAGCCATTGTCTGCTATATGTCGTCCTGCCGTGAATCCTGTTTGGTGCGATTCTGTCAGCTTGGTCATGTACGGTTGAATCCGTAGGGTAAGGATTTTGGTGAAGAGTTTGGCATCCGAGTTAATGAGTGAAAGAGGTCTCCAGTTTGCCAGTTTTGTCGCATCGCCCTTCTTGAAGAGGAGGATCATCACTGTCTCTTGCCAGGATGTGGGGAAAGAGGCAAGTGTCAGCGCATCGTTGATAATTGCGGTGAATAGTTCCTTGATCCAGGGTATGAGGAGGATGTATCGATAGAGCTCAAAGGGTAAGCCGTCCTTGCCTGGGGCCTTATTAAGGGGCGTCCTGCTCACAACGTGGTCTAACTCATCAGATGTGATAGTCCCTTCGAGTCTGGCGCGATCCTGGTCAGATAGGGTTGCATGTGGGGGGATGGCATCCAGTAGTCGGTTAGTTGCATTCTGGTCGGAGGGGTCGCAGGAGTATAGGCGCGAGTAAAAGTCTGTTGCTACTTCCAGACGTTCATTGGTTGAGGTTGTCAAGGCATCGGTGGCAGGATTGTGTAGGTGTGGGACGAGTCGTTTTTTGTTGCGTTGAGAGATGGCTCGGAAGAAGTAGGCGGTGTTGCCTTCTCCTTTTTCACGCCATAAGGTTCCCGACCGGAGGGCATAGGCATCCAGTTCTTCCGATGTATGTTGTTGAAGAGATGTTTCCAAAGCTTCCAGATCCTGAATGATTGCGTCCTTAGTTACACCGGTTGCAAGAGGGAGCTGGGCTAGTTTGTTTTGGCGTTGTATGTTGAGGTCTCTTAGGGCGGATTGTCGATCCTGTTTCCTTTTGATGGAGGCTGAGATGCAGAAACGTTTGATTTCCATCTTGACCCTGTCCCAGTGTTGGATCTTGCTTTGGTGAGGACGGGGTAAGGAGAAGGTCGCCAGGTGGTCGGTGAGATTCTTGATAAAGTCGCAGTTGTTGAGGAGCTGGGTATTCATTCGCCATATCCCTCGACCTGTCATGGGGGCGGAGGCGGGGGAGAGTGTCAGTAGTAGCATGTCGTGATCCGAGAAAGGAGATGCGCAGAGTTGCTCAGATTTAGATACCTGTGAGAGGAATTGGATAGAGGAGAAAATGTAATCAATGGTATGACGGACTTTGTTTCCTGCAGGGGTGCAGGTGGGCTTGGGGTTGGTATGAAGTGGGGTGATGCAGTCTACAAGATGAGTATCAACCCAGTCCTGAAACAGGGGATGAGGACGAGGGTGAGTGTAATGTATGTAGTTAAGATCGCCTAAAAGAAAGGCCTTTGGGGGAGGGGAGAGAAAGAAAGGGAGGGAGAGACAGTTCAGCATGAATAGCCTTCGTGCTGTCCTGTTGGCTGGGGCATACATAACACAGAATGTGGCCATAAAAGAAGAAGATGAAGAGGTGACGGTGGTAATAATAATCCTTCCTTGTTCTGCGTAAGAGGTGTTAGAGAAGGAGAGGTCAGGATTGCGAAGAAGGAGTGCACAGTGGGGGGACCAAACAGAGCTGTGAGTGTTGAGATATTGGTTGTAATTGATCTGATCAGCAGTGGTTGGCGATGTTGGTAGGTTGATTTCCTGAAGGGCCATTATGTCAAAATCCGTTTGTCGAAGCCAGGTGAAGAAAGAACTGAACGACGGACAGGCAGGGCCTATTTGTGTAGAACTGTTCCAAGCAGACATAATATTAAGGGGACCTTCAAGCTTGTTCGTTTACCTGGAAGGCCATTGCAAAAAAAAACGCCTTGCAACGACCGACCTTGCTTCTTGCTACTACATCACACCTTCAACAGGACAGGACAACAACCGAGAGGAAGCAGCCTTGAACAGAAATCAACCATTTTGCATTGCGGACACATTCACATTCAAGATTTATACACAACAGCATACTCCCAACCCGTACAATCACCTAGAAAACAGCTCGTCTTACTCTTACTCTTTGTTCGTTTTGGGTTGTGGATTCCCCTAACAACGACGCGTGAACCATCTGTACCTCTGACACACACCCTTCCGATCCACAAAGCCCACCTTGCTTTTTGCAACAACCACCTAACAACAGCACAGATGTCGTTCAGCACACCAGACATGAAGAGATCCTCGGTGGGTACCAATCTACACCAGTCTCCAACTGCCGCATTGCGACGAAGCCAACTATCGCCTGCTCGAAAATCAGCACCAAGCTCGCCTGTCAAGAAGAGCCATTTCCTTGCGTCACTTCAAGCCGCTGCAGGAGGAGGAGCAAGCAAGATGGGTGGCATGAGTGGTAGTAGCGGTAGCGGAGTCTTAGGAGCGACAACAACAATATTAACCGCCGCCACCTCCACTGCGACGTCCACAGCCACTATCGCGTTGTCGGCTGCATCGACCCAGGTGTCAAAAGAGGCAGCTCGATTTTCACGACATTTGGAGTCTCTCAAAAGCGGAAAGGGCCTGCCTGCTGCGAGAGGCGGGTTTTCGAACAGTGGCAATAGAAGTGGTGCAGGAGGTGCAGGTGGGTCAAGATTTTCTGCTTCAGCTACTGCAGGAGTATTTGGAGGTGGCAAGTCGTCGCTGCTGTTAGGGTCCTCTCCATCCATCGCCAAAGTACTCAACAGCAATAGTGCTGGAAACAATAGCAGTGGAGCAACAACAACAGGAGGAGGAGGAGGAGGAGGAGGAGGAGGTGGTGGTGGTGGCAATGCTTCTGCCACCTCAAACGCGACCACGACCGACCATTTCAGCATCGAAACACCAAAAACCCCAAGCAAGAGCAACAATCGCTCCTCTTTCTTCTCTTCTTCTGTCCCCTCTACCCCAAAGTCAACCCTCGGCAAAAGAACCAGCGCAGGCGTCGGCTTATTCCCTTCAACCCCTTCTTCACAATTCAACATCCCCTCTTCACCATCGCCCTTCAGCGTATCATCATCTACAGCAACCAACAACGACTCTTCAGGACTCAGGACCCCTTCCAGCAAAAGCAGTGTCGCTATGAGTTCGCAGACAAGTAACAACAGACCGCCAACAGCAAAGACACCATCAACATCACCGCAACGCCCACGAACACCTGGTGGCGGTCTCTCTCGTACGAGCAGCTCGTCAATTGTCAGCACAAAGTCCCTGGCCGCACAGGCAAACTCTTGCTTGACACGCACTGTGAGCTGTGGCAACTTGACGACGACCAAGAAGCTCGAGGTTGTCAAGAACGACTGGGTCGGCAGCAACGCTTCACCTAAGAAGGGTAAACGCACCTTCAACCCGGTAAGGACCAAATCACGCTGCTTTTGTTTGCTATTGGTGTATGTGTATTATCGTGTCGTTGTTCTTATGTGACTTTGTAATTCTCATTCTAATAAAATATGCGATCAATAGGGAGACCGGTTTATACCCAGGAGGATTGATATGGCGAGTGCGCAGGTCATGATTGATATGGCCAAGGGCCCAACACTCCACCGAGCATCTTCATTTTCAGGATCATCTGCACCGACTCACCACCATATCCCTGTCGACCCATTGGATGGATCAGCTTACAGCCAAGAGGTTGCCAGGGCGTGTGGTCTCGATCTCAACAGCCGCATTTTGTGCTTCAATGCCGAAGCCCCTTCGCTGGACAATCGAGAATCGTCTGTGGTTCGGCAAATGTACAGTCGCCACCCAAGTTTCACGCGATCCAACTCGAACTTGTTGTTGAAGAAGAGGACCATCTTGACCAGCCCCGAAAGAATCCTTGACGCGCCTAGCTTGGTGGATGATTACTACCTGAATCTGTTGTCGTGGTCTTGTATGAATCAGCTGGCGATCGGACTGGACAAGTCAGTATTTGTGTGGAATGCCGATTCGGGACACGTCGAGTCTTTGGTCACGCTGAAGGGCAACTTGGATTCGGTCACGTCGGTCTCGTGGGCAGACGATGGCGCGTCGTTGGCAGTCGGAACTTTTGAAGGTGATGTTCAAGTTTGGGATGTCGAGACAAGGACCAAGCTCCGAACTATGTCGGGACATGCTGCGCGTGTTGGAGTGTTGGCATGGGACAAGCAGATTGTCAGCTCTGGATGTAGAGATGGATCGATCTGGAACCATGATGTCCGTGTACATAACCACAAGGTTGCGGAGCTGTCGAACCATACGAACGAGGTCTGTGGGCTGACTTGGAGAAGCGATGGAATGCAGTTGGCCAGTGGTGCGAACGACAACATTGTCAACATCTGGGATGCCCGCTCCACCGTCCCCAAGTACACCAAAACCAATCACACCGCCGCCGTCAAGGTACTTTTCTTTCGTGCCTTTGATGGCCTGCAGTTGTTTTTATTTCATCCTTGAGCAAAAGCGCTAACTCGGTCGTTAATTATTTCACAATGGCTTGCAGGCGTTGGCATGGTGCCCGTGGCAGTTGAATTTGCTAGCATCAGGAGGTGGGACATACGACAAGCAGATCCACTTTTGGAACTCGACATCGGGTGCGCGCGTGAACACACTGAATGCGGGATCTCAGGTCACGTCGATCATCTGGGCCAAAGAGTACAAGGAGTTCATGTCGTCCCATGGTTATCCGAACAACAACCTGTCAGTGTACAGCTACCCTTCGATGAGCAAGGTGGTGGACATTCCAGCGGCTCACGACTCGAGAGTGTTGCATTCTGCAGTCTCGCCTGATGGACAGACTGTGGCGACGGTTGCGAACGACGAGAATTTGAAGTTTTGGAAGTTGTTTGAGAAGCAGCCCAAGGATGGCAAGGGTAGCAGTAAGAGGGCGAAGCTGTCGTTGTCGGGTTCTGCTGGTAGTGGCAGTGGTGGGCTGTTGGAGGATGATGGCGATTGCGGTGGAGATGGCGGAACTGGAGGTGGGTTCCTCCATGGCAAATCGATTTCATCCCTGACACGCATCAGATAACTCCTCGACACCGCACATCTACCGTCGAGTTCAAGAACAGGAAACAACCGTCAACTTCCTCCTCCCCCTCTCTCTCTCTCTTTTGCTGTACATATAAACTCGCTCATCGCTTCGTCGTTCTTGATTATTGGATGTAGTCCTTTCTTCTCTCTTTTTTCTTCTTTACCGTTTATGAATACCCCCGTCAGAACAAATGAAAGCGAACGCAAACGAAGCAAGAGAAGGAAAAATAATAAAGGGTATATAGGAATCAAATTCTAAGGCGTCGCTATGAAGCGCAGCCCATGCGAAGAGGATTCAGCCGCCTAGTGGTGTTGGTCCTGCCGAGTATAAGAGAGGGCCGGCCTTGGAGTTGTCAGCGTTGGAGTCACTTGCTGTGGCATTGGTGGTGGTTGACAAAGAGCTCATCTTGACCTGCGTTATGGTTGATGGCGGAGTGAGGGAGAGGAAGAAGAAAAGAAAGAGGGGGAAAAGAATTTTGGTGACCAAAGGAACAAACAGGATGAAAAAACTCAAGCTAAAGCTGTGATGTGATGTTTCGTTTGAGTTGATATTCACACATTGATTGATGGTGACGATCACGATCACGCGCGAGTGGTTTATTTTGCTTGCATGTGTATGTTGGTGTGATGGAAATCAAGTAGAAGTTAAAAGAAGTACAAGAAAAAGAAAAAGAGCTGTGCTACTCAAAAATCTTAATCACGGCTTTTAGCAAACAAAGAATATTCAAAGAGAAAAAAAATATATCGATCTGGCATTCAAGCGTCGTAGGCGACAAAGATGCGGTTGACAAGGATACTCCGCTGATCCTCAAGAATCTGGATCTTCATCGTAAGAGCATCCTCAAACCCTCCAATATCATTTCGGTACTGCGCCCAGATCACCAGTGCCTCATAATGTCCTGCCGGCGGCCTTGGTGCCACTTGAGAAGCAGAATTGAAGGTAGGTAGGGTAAGGGTGTCGATGGCAGCAAAGCGAGCAGAGACGAGGTGGGAGATGACCTTGGAGAGACGCTCGTATTCGGATTTGAGGATCGATTCTCCAAAGGCTGAGGCTGGACTCAGAACGAGTTGTAGTTGTCGGATCGGACTTGCAGCTGCTGTCGGAGTTGCAGGTGTTGGTGCGGTCGCCGGTCGGGCTGTGGCTGTCGGTGTGTGAGGCCCAGTTCCGGCTTGTCCTGCTCCTGTGGACGGGTTGGCATCAGTGCCATTGTTGTTGTTGATGATGGTGGCGTTTGGATTCATTTTTTTTGCATTTGTCCGTTTGCTGGGCAAAAAGTAGGAAAAAGGATCGCACCGTGGAAACCGGGACACAGAGGCCATTTATTTTGGATTAAGGGGGTTTTTGCCACCAAACGATAAACAGAAAGGGAGTTTCTACTACACAGACACGCTAATGGGTAGTCCTGCTGGCGAGACCCTTGACAATATCCATCTTCATTGCCTCCAAAGCCTTGATAGCCTGTTCCAGATTTTGACAATACCCTTTCAAGTCATCCTGGCAGCTGAGCCAGATAGAGGCTATCTCGTAGAATCACAATTGCCCGCCCTTGAGCGAAGGCGGCCGAAGATATCCGCTAGGGGAACTGAGAAGGGGTGGGTCTTCCGGTAAAGGGCTGAGGGTACGCAGAGCGGCCAGGTGGGCTCCTTGAAGGTTGGTGATCTTGCGGTTGATGCTATCGTATTCGTCCCTGAGGATCGATCCTGCCAGCTGGACATGGGTGTTTGGGGTGTATGCGGCCATGTTTCTTTTTGTTTTGTTGTTGGCAATTTGAGTTGTCTGTGAAGGTGTATCAAGGGACGTTGTCAGATTAGAAGAAGAGACGGGGGACTGTAGGGGAGGAGAACTGAGGAAGAAAAGAAAGTGAAAGTGAAAGTGAAAGTGAAGAGTGGGTTTATAGATAGCGCGCAGTGGGGGGGGGAGACAGCAATGTCAAGAAAGAATGGCATTGTTGTTTTGATTTTAATTTCAGTTGACTTTCATCTTTGTAATGTCAGCAAGCAACAAAAAATGATACGCCATAGTACACCACGCCCTTGACATAAGAGCGAGATCGGCTCTTATGTCGGGTTTCTAATCTATTCAGTTCAATTAGAGTTTTTTTTTGTTACTTCTTTTTATTTTTTATTTTTGAAAAGAAATTTCCAGGCATCTACGCCGTGTAAGATATAAAATTCAAAATGGTCATCCAGGCTGTGCAACTTGTACATTAGTTGACCATGACCAACACGTCTCTTCTTAATCAGAACAAAAATTTCTTTGCTTTCTCAACGCAGTCCCACTATGCTTTGGTATCTAAAGGAGCCTGATCGGACGTTAATGATTAAGGGAGCGAGAGGAGTTTAGCAATTGAGTAGAGCAGCAAGGTGGTCGGGGACGTTGGAACCTAAGCGGTGTCCTGTGCGCGATAACGTTATCTGAACCCGTAATGTGACCATCCCTCATCGAATAAACTGGTGGTATCCTGCAATCTTAATTTGAGCAGACCTGAATTCCTGGTCGCCTCTTCCAATCGTCGTTTGTCGTTTGACGTCCGTTGCTCATGCAAACGGATTCTCCTCGCGCCAGTCAAGCCTGGAAGAAAGAAAAAAAGAGTAAGTTTGAGAGCACCGTGCGTTGCCATGTCAGGAAGGGGTCTATCGACATGGGAATAAAGCAATTTATTTTTTCACACGCACCATCACCATTGGTATTTTAGACTTCCCTCTCTCATTCAGCTACTCCTCGCGCCGTTCCTTTGCTCATCACATCCATACACCCATCAGCGTCACTTCACTTTTGAGCCCCACAATATAACACCCTCAACCACAATTGCCCCGGTCGTCCTGTGATAACAATCGTCAACAGTTTCTCAGTCGCTCCTAAAAGTCTTCTTCATCGGTCACTACAATCAACTGTGAGATGCTTCACCTAATCCTTGTTGTCCAGGACACCTACTCAACAACCGCACAACTGTCAGCAGCTGTCAATTTCTAGTAATATCAACCAACCAAAAACCCATCGCACCCAGCAGTACGTTCACCACGTCAAGTCGACACACTTCACCCTCAGTCCGTTTTGTCTCGTTCAAACCAAGCAACTTGTTCGTCAAGTCCGCTCATCAAAAAAACTATAAAAAGCCACCAAGACAGCGGTACGTGGAGACATGACGATGCACCAACAACAATACATTGCGACGAAGAAGAACACGCTCGTTTGCTTGTAGTCGCGGGGTGGCGATATCGATATTTAAAAAGAGAGGCGATGATATGTGGGTCTTTTACCACTCCTCTTTTAACCAAAGAAGATTGATGTTCTACAAAAAAAGGTTGATCACCTTGCAGGTAGGCCACCAACCTTTCTGTCCTGATCTTGATTCGATACTCCTGCTCAGCAGTATACATCACAGTTCCCTCCCTCTCCTTGACCAAAAAGACACATTTGCATAAAAAAGTACCACTTCTTCATAACATATTTTTGTACTTCAAGCTACCTTCTTTTGTATTAATGCAATAATATTAAAGCTAAATGGTGATGGTGTAATGGCTTAGTGCTCAACGGGTGCAGGGGCAAGTTGAGCGCCATGGGTATCAATCTCGATCTTGGCATCGACCGCATCCGCACGCGCAGCGAGCTCCCGCTCCAAACGATCCTCTTCGTCCATCTTATCCAAAGGATCGACATATGTGGTTCCATTGATCTTGCAGATAATGATCTGCATCCATGCGGGCAAGACATTCTCGACGGTGAAGCCTTCATTATTCCAATGCTCCTTTAGGTCCTTGTCCGAGGGGTGATGCGACCGCCAGAGATGAGTTCGAGAACGTAGATGGATCCGTTGATGGCGGCGTAGGTGCCGATACCGGCGATGAGGCCGTAGGAGATGGAGTATGAGAGGGGCATGAGGGCGATGGTCAAGAAGGCTGGGATGGCGTCACCAACGTAGTTCCAGTTGATGGATTGAACGGATTTGGCCATCATGGATCCGACGACGATGAGGGCAGGGCCGGTGGCCCAGGGAGGGAAGGATGCGAAAATGGGAGAGAAGAAGAGAGAGACGAAGAAGAGGAAGGCGGTGAAGATCGAGGTCAGACCTGTGCGGCCGCCCTCTGTGATACCGGCTCCGGATTCGATGTAGGCTGTGACGGGGGGCACTCCAAAGAGAGCGCCAATAGTGATGGAAGATGCGTCGCACAAGAAGGCGGCGGTTGAACCGTCAAAGTCGCCATTCCTGTACATATATCCTCCGAACTTGGCCATGGAGTACAGGGTACCGGTGGTGTCCATGATGTCGACGTAGAGGAAGGTGATAAGCGCGATCCAGATCTCGTGGTTGTTAAGGTCAAAGTTCATCTTCGCGAATGTCATCTGGATGGGGTGGAAGGTGACGACCTTCTTGAAGTAGTCGAATGAGGCCTCACCGGCGGGGGTGTAAGGGAAGTAGGTAAAGTTGGTTCCGCGGATCCAGGAGAGGATCGAGACGGCAAGAATGCCGTAGAGGACCGAGCCCTTGACGCGGAGAGTGAGGAGGATGGAGATGAGGATGAATCCAAAGATGCCCATCCAGGTGGTCGGACTCCGCATATGGGTTCCGTCAATACAGACACCCGTGGCATCTCTATCACATCCATCGAGATGAACCAGCGTCGCGGCGTCTGCACCAATGAGTCCAATACCGGCCGAGGTCTGCATTCCAATAAAGCACAGGTACAGTCCAATACCAGCACCGGAAGCAATTTTGATACTCTGAGGGATCAACCGAGCAAGCCATTGTCGAACACCAAAGAAGGACAAGAGAATGAAAAGCAAGCCCTCGACAAAGACGGCGGCGAGGGCGGTCTCGTACTTGATCTTGTTGCCTCCATGAAACCCGACGACGGTGTATGTAAAGTAGGCGTTGAGACCCATGCCGGGGGCGAGACCGATAGGGAGGTTGGCGAATAGACCCATGAGGAGGGTGGAGATACAAGCAATGGCTGCGGTGGCTGTGATCATATCGAGTTTGAGGGTTCCAAGACATTCGTTATAAGCCGGGTCGGTCAGGCAGACTGGGTCTTCTGCGTTTTCGCATACACAGGGTCCACCCGAGTCCGTCACAATCAAAGCATTCACCGAGATAATGTATGCCTAAAGAAGTGAGGAGGAGGAGTGTGTATGTGTTAGTCAGAAGAAAGAAGACATAATGCTCACGCTGACAAAAAAGTATTCTTTCATACCATGGTGACGAAGGTAGTGAGGCCGGCGCGGATCTCGGTGGTGAACTTGGATCCGACACGCTCGCGACGGGCGCCGGAGCCCTCGAGGCAGAAGTATTTTCCGACCCTGGATTGGGCCACGCTCTGGTTCAATCGGTCCAAAATTGAGCCTGCCATCGTTTTATTTTGTTCGTTTTGAGTGAGTGTGAGGAGCAAAAGGGGCGAAGGGTGAGTGAGTGTCTTTCAAGTGATGAAGGAGCAGGAGAGGGAAGAAGGAAAGAAGAGTTGGCCAAGGGCTAGGACAGAGGAAAACAAAAAAAAAGTGAGGGAGACACTTGTTCTTATATGGCATCGTTGTTGTTGTTCTTCAATCCATGGATGATAAGGAGTAGGAGACCTGAGCAAAAGAGCAGCAACAAAAGTAAACAATCATCCGTTTGTTTGTTTATTTGTTGTATGTTTGATTTGTCGTTTTGTCGAGCGAGAGAGGAAGAGACCAAAGGAAAACTTTATCCTTCAACACATGCATAAGCTTCATGTCCTGATTAAGTTTTTATGTTGTTTTATGCTCTGGAGATTAGTCAGTTTGTGTCAAGCCAAAATCAGACAAGGCGAGAAAAGGGTGAAGGGATGTATGCCTGGACTGTGGACGCAAAAGGTCTTATTTTTTCTTACTATTGAAAACGGAACGGGCGCAACTGAAGATGGGAAGGCGATGGCTTCTGTTGTTGCATGACCAATGTCAAGTCTGACACGGCGTGGGTACAACTCTTTATCCGCTAATGTGGGATGTAAATCCCACACCTCTCTTGTTCAGTTCCATCTCACTTGATTATATATTGTTGCCAGGGGTATGGGTAGACGATAGGAGGAAAACCGAAAGGATACGATGGAAGGGTACATGAGTGTTCTGACACAGAAAGGGAATGAACAAACACAAAAAGGAAATTTGCGGGGTAAGAACAGTTTTGTTATTTTGTCCGAACTAACCAACGATCGCCTTCGGCACCGCACTGCATGCCACGGGAAACCTTTTTCTTTCTTTCTCAATTTGCTCACAAGACAAGTGCGTCCCGAAAAACAAACGAAACAAGTCGTGCACCCTCTAGCGAATAACCCTAAAGTTAGGACACCCAGACAGCTGATTGCATGCAAGTCAACAATCGAAAAAAAGTACGAGGTGCGATCGAAGGACAAGAGAGGCGTCTGACTGGGTTTCGGGATGCACAGATGGAAGGTCCATATTGCTGTTGATGCTTCTTGATACCAAAGCTCAAGTGAATAGTAAGAAATGAGATCGAAGGCTCGTTTGTTTGTGGTAGGGCAGAGAGAAAGAATGATCCGAGAAAAGCAGAAAAATAAAAACGAAATCTGAGGGTTGAGCTAGGGGTGAGCAAGGGTGAACATGGTACATGAACATGATTGGGCTGGAGATAATTACGGATGCGAGGATCTTCAATCGGAACAAAAGGAAGCAAAGGAGGGATGAGATAACGGATTGTAGTGGGTTTCCTGGAGCAAGACCAAAGGGTGATGGAATATGCGGGGTCAATCACCTGTGCAGAGGGAAGTAGGGTGATGGTGGTTGAGCCTATCGACAAACAGCTGGTTGGATGAAGTAATGGCATCTAGACCCTTGTCAAGTGCAATAGGAGGTTGAATTGGGGCCTGAAAAAGCGCGGCGAAGAGGCGTACTTTTGGACCGTTTTATCGATCAATCAAAACGCGAATGGGACGCCACCAATGGCACGTCGTGCGTCAGTTTCGAAAGAAGTGAGGGAAAGTCACACCAAAGAGAACGCGTTGTTTCCCCTTCTCTCATTTCTCGGCGGACTCTGTGACTGCTCCTTTTGAACCCATGGTTAGGCAATGGGCAGAATAAAGAATATGGCTCACCTTTTTTTCTTCTTTGTTGTTTTGCTCGATCCAGCAACAACAAACTCGATTCAAAAAGCATTGAAGAGCAAACTCGCGACCGCCTCTGCTTAGGTTCTCTACAGCAGACAAGCAAGCATCAGCAACCATCACTAGAGAAGCAAGCATCAACAACCAACACTAGAGAAGCACACAATGGACCGAGGTGGAGGAGGAGGAGTCACATACGCTAACAGGAATGGCCGTCAAGACTATGACGACCGACATGCTGACAATGGAGGACACCATGGTTACAACAGCCACTCGAGTGATTCGAACGGAGGAAACTACAGAAGGAACCCAGCACCAGGTTACAACACCGGTCCTAGCGGCGGGGCTGGAACTGGGGGTGGTTACAACAGCGGTCGAGGAGGCGCGTCTTGGGGTCAATTTAGCGGCAGCAATGGGAGACCACGCAACGACAACGCGCAATACCCAGACCGCCCATCTAACATGGCCCCGAGTAGCAGCGTTCACGGCGGAAGTCCTCCCAATTCTCACGGCTACGACGGTCCTGGTCGAGGCGAGCACCGCAACTATGACGACTCGTCTTACAGGGGTCAAGGCAACAATAGCGGTAGTAACGATGGACGTCCGGACCCGTCAGAGTCACTCAAGGCTTATCAACAATCCAAGAGCAGTGACCCTTATGCCGTCGGGCTGAGATCTTCGGCGGCCTTCTTTCACGAGACTTACGATAAGCTGGAGCGTCCTGGCGGTTTTGCCGATGTAAGTGTTTTCCCCCCCCTTCTTTTCGAATGCCATTATCCAGCAAGTACATTTACTTTACTTTACAGAGTAGCAATGTCCTAACTCGATACGCGGTCTTGTTAAATTATCATACTTAATAATAGAGTACAGCAGGGACACAGTACACGGTAACAATCATCAAGACCTACCGCGAGATGGCGACGCAGACAACAGAGGATCAAGTCTCTGGATCACAGGATTCGACCTGGAACGGCGTTCGCATCATCAGCTCAGGAAAGCAGCAGCCCACACCCCAGCATCCACCCCAGCACCAACACCAACAGCAACAACAGCAACAACAGCGTACAGCCCAGGCATACCCTAAAGCACCTATTGCGCCCGTAGTCGCCGCCCCTCCTCGCTCCACAGCAACTGTTACTTCATTACTCAACGCTGTCCTCACCCCAAGCCAGTCTCCTGTTGTTTCATCCGCAACCGCAGTAAAGCCCAACGCGTCAGGATCATACGGATCTTCAGTCCAGTATTCTTCAGATGAGCGACGTCCTCATGGAATGACAGGTAGCTCATCGGGCGGGTTAAAATCTAACGACAGTGTACCAACAGCGTCGAGCGCATACCAGAAACCTCCCTACGCCACAGCATCTTCGGCGAACAAGCCCTTGGCTACCTCTGACAACTCTTCTTGGATGGCAGCACCAGATTCTGATACCAAGAGGAGTGCGACAACTACCCAGCAGGATAATACCCGGAACGAGATGACCAAGAAGCTAGATCCAAGAGGAGCACCACCACCAGCAGCAGCCAGCGCAAAGGGAGATCCTTGGTCACAGCCAGCGGCAGGGACCGCTGCAAAAGCGGACAATTGGGCTCAACCAACTTCAACGAGCAACTCGAGAGCAGAGTCTGGATTCAGCGGCTGGGGGAACACTTCTCAAGGAAAGGCTGTCAGCGATCTTGTCGATTGGAGTACGGGGCTTGTGTCAGAGTTTCCTACAGAGGCCAAGCCTACGTTTATGGCTGTGACGGAGCGCTGGGACAGGATGGACAAATATGACCCTTCGTATACCAACAACCGTCAAAAGACACAGCAAGAACAACAACAACAACAACAACAACAACAACAACAACAACAACAACAACAGCAACAACAACAGCAACAACAACAGCAACAACACCAACAACAACACCACCAACAGCAGCAACAACAACAGCAACAACAACAGCAACAACCACCACCACCACTACCACCACAACAACAGCAACAGCAGCTGCAGAGCTCGCGCTCAGACTCAAAGGATGAAGAAGGCGAGGATCGTCATCGAGACCGTGGGCGCGCCCAAGAGAAGCAAGAGGTTGTCCAGGAACAAGGAGGATCAGATCCGTGGCTCAATGACGGAAATACTGGCCTGTCAGACTGGGGAAGTTCTGAGCCTGGGGAGTCACAAATGATCTTTATGGACCGTGACGACGCGAGTAGTCAAAGTCAGCCGCCACAGCCGAGCGAACAGGAACATCACCAGGAACCAGAGCGCCATCATAACGATGATGACGGACATTACCCCAGCACCGGAACATCTCAGGACCGTCGGGCTATGACATCCGAGGAGAGATTCAACAACAGCTATAATAGACCACCAAGCAGCGGCGGGGGTGGCATGGGAGGAAGTGCCAATGGTCGACACAGCAGCAACAGCAACAGCAGGGGTGGACCAGGACCGCGTTATGGTGATGGCAGCAGTGGCGCTGGCGGCGGCGGACACAGCTATGAGCGTGCGCAGAGACATGGACCTATGACGGTCACGCCTTCTTCGCCAGTTGGTATTACAGGCCGTCGGTACTTTAACAACACCTTAGATCGCGACTCTGCCCTTGGCGCATGGTCTGCAGCCTCACAGAGTGCGTCATCAAAGCCAGGCCCTAGTCAAGGTGTTCCACCATCCGGGTCTTCTGGGTTGTTGCCAGGCTCGGGCGCGGCTGAAGGATCTGTACTGGTCAAGAGCTCTGGAAGTACAATGAGTAGTGGCGGTCGACCTGCACTTGCGACAGCGAGTGACTTTGGCAGTTTCTTCCAAGCGGCGGCGATGTTTACACCACCACCAGCGAGGGCGCGACAGGGAAGTCAAATGCGTCGGGGAAGTGAGAGCGAGAGCACGATGACGCATCATAGTAGTCCAAGCAGGAGTAGGGAGTCTTCGAGGTCGCGACCACCGTATTCCGGAACTGCTCTTGAGCACACTGAGGAGGAGCCTGAGCGCACTGAGGAGACTGTTGAGCAGAACTCATTCGCAGCTGGACACGAACACATTGACGAGGATGGGGATCTTATCAAGGACGTGGAAATTGCGCCTGTTGTTGTTCCTAGTGCTGGTACTGGCACTGTTGTTGAGGAGGACAAGGGAGATAAACAGCAAGAAACGGTGGAGGAGGATGATAGGAAGGAGGCGGTGCGTATGAACAGCAACTCTAGTCGGACTAGTTCGCAGGCGATGGAGGATAACCTGCTGACCTTTCAGATGCAGAAACAGGCCGTTGTCGGTGGCAGTGGTGATAAGGAGAAAGAGGAGGAGCAGGAGGAGAAGAAGCAAGAGGAGGACAAGAAGCAGGAGGACAAGAAGCAGGAGGAAGAAGTTGTTGATAGTCCTGGAGCCATTGAAGTCGAGAAGGTTGTCTCAGGTTCGACCCAGGGCAGCCCCAAAGCTGACTCTGACGACGTGTAATTTGACTCTGTCGTGAGAGAGGAAATTTATTAAAGGAATCATCTCAAAAAGGTTTTTGTTTGTCTTTGTCCTTGTTGCCACCACTTTCACCTTCCTGCTTTTAATTATTTACCCAAAGACACTCCACGCGACCTTGTTCGAGACCATTGGATTCGACAGACTAACAGGAACATACATTCAGCAATGGCCATCACACAAGGCACCAACGGTGGACAGGCAACAGCAGCCAGCGAAGCTGCAGCCTTTGAAGCCGAACGCAACCGGTTGATCACCAACATCCAAATCGTAATTCCTCTTCCTTTCCCTCCCCCACCTTCAAACTTCACGACAACAACCATTGCTGCATTCAACAAAGAAAGGAACAACTAACACAGCTCCATGTTCCTTTTTCTTCTCGTTTATTTAATGGTTGACACAACAGGAAATGGGCCAAGTGTTAAGCAATGTAAACATCCTGAACCGGAACCTAGAGACGATCATCACGATTGGACAGGAGTTTGAGCAGTTGAGTCAGTTGTGGAAACATTTTCATGCCTCGGCGTTTCAGCGTGCGGAGGAGGAGAGGTTTGATAGGGAGTTGTTAGCTCAAGAGGAGGAAGACGATCAGCTGCGGAGCCAGGAGCAAGAAGAATATGGAGGAGAGGAACCGCAGAGTCAGGAGCGGGAGCAACGAGAAGAGCAGGAGGATGTGTGAGATGGAGGAGGCGCGGGAAGACTCTATCCATGTCCGAGGGAGAGAGAGTCGGGAAGATCTGAAACGAAATGGGACGCCAGATTACAGAAGAAAACACGCGAGCCAGCGTCAACGCAGCAAACTTGTACAATAATACCAACGTTTCTATTTAACAACAAACACCAACAACCATCTATCTACTTATTTTTCAATACACAAACAAACTAACAAAAACAAAGTCGAAGACAACAGTTTGAAACGGAGAAGAGTCGATATGTCTAGAAGCGAGGATGCGATTTTATTACTTGGGAGATTCAGAGAAGGAAGAGGGGAGAGGGAGACATCGGAGTTCTTTCAAGACTTGACCCTCGAGGTCAGAGTCCATCTCGCGTCGTGCGACTTGAAGCATCAGCCTGTAGGTCGCCTCGTTCGGTTGGATCGACATTCCTGCTGTTGATGTGTCGGACGTTGTTGAGGTGGTAAAAGAGGAGGGGCGTTTCCGGTGGTCGCGTTTCCAGGATGCGCGTCGGCGGGATGTCTGGTGATGAGTCGGCGTTGTGAACACAGCAGGTCCCGTAGAAGTGGTGGAAGCGGTGGCAGCGTCGTTGTTGGTATAATTCTCCTCGTGACTCGAACCAAGACCAAGAGATCCAGCTCCGATATCGCCACCGTCGACCTGCATCTCGGAAAAGATTTCCTTCGCAGCCCTGGTCTCGCCCAGATCAACAAGGACCTTCAGGATCTGGTTGACGAGGACAGTGTTGATGGGCCGCTGTTGTTCTCGGTGGAGGGTTGTCTGGTATAGTTGCTTGTATGTCCTGGCGACGCCGTCGATATCCGACTCTTGGATGTGCGACTGCATCATGACCGAGAGGGTCTGCAGGTTAGGGACGACTGCGTTGGTTCTAGGGCTCGTTGCTTCTAAATGGCTCCTTAAGCGGGTGGAAGATGGTAACCTTGGCGACGTCAAGACTCCCAGGCCTGCGGTTACTGATCTGTTCCTAAAAGACCCATCAGCGCCGGCACAGCTGTTGGTAGAAGCAGTAGAAGACCCTTGACTCTGCATGTGGTTCCAGATCTGGTCGGCGCGTTCAAACTCCTTGGCCTTGAGCAACGTATCCATCAACATGGTGTACAAAACAATGTCAGGCTTCATTCCCGTCAATAAAAAGTCCTGCCATATCGCCCATGCCTGGTCAACAGGTCCTGAGAGCGCGATTGGATGTTGATAAGGGGGTGTTGCAGTTATTGAGCGTGTGGTGTTGGCGGCAGTTGTGGCGGAAGATGCGGAAGGCCTGCCGATAGCTGAGTTGGCGGCGGGAGATGAGTTGGTGCCGAGTGTGCTGGTGACGGATCCGATCCAGTTCATTAAAGTTGTGTACTCTGAGACCCTCAGCCCATGGTAGTCGTCCGCGGGGTTATATACATGCGGAGGCGCGCCGCTATTGCTTGTTGCTAAACCTGTCGAGAAAAGAGGGGTCGAAACGAGTTTGGATGCATATCGACGTTTCTTTTGTCGCTCCTTCTCGTTCAGCCAGATCAAGTCCGTAGTGATCCTGAGGAGTTGCTCTAGATTGTTACGGGTCTTGGGTTCACGCCCCAGGAGAAGAAACAAGGTCCGTGTATGTCGTCGAGGGATTAGGATGGTGTCGTACATGGACTGAAGGCGGCTGAGGTAGCTGTAGTTTACCAGCGCTGACTGTAATGTTGCTACTGATGAAGAGCGCCCGGTTGTGGTGGTGGGTTTGAATGAAGACGACGACGAGGAGGAACCGAGGCGATGGAGGGATTTGTAGAGTTCGGAGAGGGCGTTGGCGGTAGAGGTCCAGGATTGAACGGGTTCGAAGGGGTTGGACCCGTTGTCGTCACTGTTGGAGAACTGAGATCCAGAGCCTTTGGTGGGGAAGCGCCAGGAAGAGGATTTGATGTGGGTTTGCTTTGTTGAAGGCTGTGCAGGTGGCGTGGGCTCGTCCTTGTCATCCTGCTTTGGCGATGCGGACGTTGATATGTATGCAGAGTGTGACGCGGCCCTTCCTTGTCCTCCTTCTCCTCCTGGAGTAACTGACCCTGACCTTGAAGAACGACTCGGTACTGTTGCAGCAATGGGTTCTCTCCGGAAGCGTGTATCCTGCAGTGAACGCTGGTGATCGTATCCCGAGGAGTAGACTGATGGATCGTTGTTAGATTTAATGGAGACGGCGGTCGATAGTTTCCTTAGGATAAAACTAGCAGCTCCTTGCGACGAGACTGTGCGGTTCGATCCGGGCAGAGAGAGAGCGGTCATGGATTGGGTGGCGGCTGTGGTATGGCGCGAAGGATGAAGGTGTCCTCCTCCCCCTCCTGATCCAGACCCACGTATCCGGCTGACAGCAGCAGTTGGATTGTATGTCGTAGTCGCGGTAGGAGTGGTAGCCTGGACATGGGCATGTGCGTGGGCGGGACAGAAGAGGTGACGGGCCGAGAAGTGAATCACGGCGTTCCAGGTATGGAGGGATTCCTGTTCCTGGGCGAGAAGAAGTCTTCGACTGGAAGGTGATCGTCTGTGTTGTTGGCGTCGTCCATGGAGTAGTAGTAGCCCCCCTGGTGCTCGACTTCCTCCTGCTGGAAGCGGCTTTGGCATGGGTGTGCGATCGTTTTAGTCCTTGTCAGTGGAAAAGAGAAGGGTGATGGAGATCTTTTCTTCCTTCTTCCTTGCCCCTTCCCCTTCGGTGTTTTCGGACCTTTTTTGTGCCCCTCTCTTTCAAGACGATACAAGTGCGACCAAGGAAGTGTAGGTGTGAGGAAGTAATGGTACGTTCCTTCAGTGCCTGTTTACATCACATGACTAGCTTTGAAAAACTTAATTCCGAGCAGAGAGATGAAAGTGCATTTAGGCGTGTGCGGTGTCTGAGGACTGAAATCTCTCTCTTACAATCACAATGGTTAGTTGGGACCCATCAAGCAGTAGCACTCCGCTACAGACCGCACATCCCAATCCATCGACAATAACTATCGATCCATCGATCCATCCCGACAACTCAACAACCATCGGCAACTATCGTTATCAACACTGGCGCCATAATCGATATGGTATTAACGAACGGCACGGGAAAAAACTTTGGCCAGAAAGTTCATCGCCTTGGTCCAGCTCTTGCTGAACGATGGAGTGGAGGGTTATGGTCTGGCTGAGCTGAGGCAAGCGGAAGGAGCTCGCAGGGCGTACCGGAGAACAGTACCGGAAGTCATCGTTGAGTCGTTTAGTCGGCCAGTTCATCGCACTCTGGATCTGGCCTGCTGATCGCCACGGACTTGTGCTGTCGGAGCGCTCTTTGTTCACCTTGCATCGCCTGGAGCTTTTCGCTATCGCACAGGAAACACGGGAAAAGCAATTAAACTTACAGCAGGATGCCTTCCTGCAACGTCGACCGACGTTCAACGGGATCAGCAATACTTTTATTCGTTCAAACAGCAGGATGATGCAACTCGACATAGTAGGGCACTTGGATGATGGAACACTGTTGTGAAGTTTAGCACTGAATCGTGTCAGCAATCCAGGAATCACCGATGTCACCTCACGCGCTCCACACTTTCTCATCTTTCACTTTGTTGGAACTTAATATTAACCGTGTTTCTGCTATTCTATCTATTGCAACCTCTGAACACTACTAGGCTAAAAAGGACGTCGCCGCTAAGCCTACGTCATCTTCGGGTGGCAAGGCCAAGAAGAAGGTACGGCACCCCGCTTCGAATTTGCTATGTTGGTGGACATGGAGTTGTTATGGAACGAGTGGACGATAATGTGAAGAGGGATGATATTATCAGCAGCAATTGGCTTGGCGTTGTGGAAGTGAAAGGTTATCATTGCGATATCAATTGAGCTGGATCTTTTGGAGTCGAGTGGTTCATTCTCTTTTACAACAAAACAAATCATTTGTTTTAGCTATCGTTTGAACAGACAGGACGCATTGGACGCAATTGAGAGACAATAAGGAACACATCGACACCATTCAATCAAACCAGCCGACATGCCCACTCACCCATTGCTCTTCCAACTTGATATAAAATAGAAATGGTCCAAGGGAAAGGTTAAGGATAAGGCCAACAACGCCGTCATCCTCGACAAGACCACCTACGACAAGCTCATGAAGGAGGTCCCCACCTACAAGTTGGTTTCCCCCTCGGTTCTCGTTGACCGTCTCCGCATCAACGGCTCGCTCGCCCGTGCTGCCATCCGCGAGTTGGCCAACCAGGGTGTCATTGTCCCCGTCAGCACCCACGGTGCCCAGTGGATCTACACCCGCGCCACCGGTCTTGAGGAGGAGAAGAAGGCTGCCCCCAAGAAGGCTGCCGATGAGCAATAAATCATCTCTCACCGTCCTAGGATCTGACTATAGTTGCTTTTCATCAAAACCACAAATCCAATCTTGTTTATATTATTGTATATACTGTTATTGAATGGGTGTGGATGTGGAGAAAGGAGGTTCAATTGAGTTTTCGGTGTAATTGTGTTCGTGTGATAGGGTTGACGCGACGGACGAGGAGCAACACGCGAGGAAGAAAACGATGTGGACGTGGACCCTGCATTGGATCGTGTCCATTCAGTTGAAGAGGTCAATTGAGCCCTTGGGTTACGATTCCTCTCCTCCTCTTTACGTTTGCCTGCTTCCTCCGCCTGTTGGCCAATGGCGGGCCTGGCTGTATTTTTATCCGAGGTGATCGAATCGAAGCAAGGAGAGTTGTTTTTTATGCCGAGATATTCTTCAAGGGTAATAATTTGTTACTTCAAGCGAACGATGTATGTGAAGAAAAAGGTGGGATCGGAAGGAGGGAGGTCATTCGAAGTTATTTTTTGTTGATACTACCAAGAGCGGTGATGCCGGTTAAGGATCGGCCAATGTTGTACCGAAAGAGAAAACAGCAGGAAGAACCGATGTCCAGGGGCACGATGAGTATGAGCAATTGGATGTATCCAGTCATCCAGTCACTCGTTCTTGGTCCCCGTGTGTCACGCTGAGAAAGGACCCCTCTCCCACATGAAAGTATATTTTATTTTCGATCACTAAAATTCTATTGCGGACCTGACTGCGATTCGTCTCTACTTCACGAGGTACTGTGGAGTGACAGTTTCGAATAAATAGCGTGTCTCTCTTTCACAGTTTGTTCTTTCTTCGTTATACCCCACACTCCTCTCTCCCCTTTTCCCATCATCACAACATGGTCCTCCAAACTAAACTCACAAAGCTCGTCGGCATCAAGCACCCCATCGTCCAGGGTGGCATGCAATGGGTGAGTGTCTCTCTTCGTTTTTCATCCCTCCTCGCATTCACAACCGACAACAAATGAGAAACCATACATTCTCCAGCACACCACCATGCACACGAACACCAGCAACACCTCCTTCCTTCCGGCCGACCTTTCACTTGATTTAACATTGCGGGCAAGGGAGACAGTCAGGGTGACAAAGACGGAAGCATTGATAAGGATATTCGATCAATTGAGGGAAAAGAAAACAAGGCACTCTAGAGGAGCGTGCCGAGGAAGGGCATTTTTCGATCCGGGTCATTTGATTCCGTTGATCACAACCAGGATTCGGCGCACATTGATAGCGACAACAGGCGTTCAGCTTTTTCTCAAGGGCAGGTGGCGACATTCCAGGAACAACGATGAATCAGGACACCATTCTTTCTCGCTTGGGGGTTATGGACACATCTTTTGTGTCTAGTGTCTTTCCCTTGTTGTTTTGGCATTTGTTTGTCAATACACCCTTTCTTCTGGCTCGCTTCGCATCGCATCGTGCACGAAAGAACAAGCATCGAGGTGTCTCTGTGTTGTGTTTTCTTTGATCCATCTACACTACCCCTGAACCTTTCCCGCTTCGGATTATTTTATTTGTTTGTTTGTTTGTTTGTTTATTGTCTATTTGTTTGTGCGTTGTTTTATTTGTTTGTTAAGGTATGGTCAGTTACCTCGGACGCCCGATCAGGATACAGTCCCTGATCTACTCGACCGATCATCGAGCCGGGCGGTTGTATAGTTGTTGTTCAACTGATCCCCATAACAGACCGCTACGTTGGATCTGTTACCTCCCCGGCACCCAGCCGAGTCCGATACCGAGCCGGTCACACACACACATACACACACACACATACACACTTGAACAAGAACAACAAACTAACCTATGCCAACCTCTTGCCTTGTCCAATTGAATAATAGGTCGGAACCGCTGAGCTTGCCTCTGCTGTCTCGAACGCTGGCGGTCTCGGAATCTTGACTGCGTTGACCCAGCCCACACCCGAGCACTTGCGCAGCGAGATCCGTCGCTGCCGCACGATGACCGACAAGCCCTTTGGTGTCAACTTGACCTTGTTGCCAGCCATGACCCCTCCCCCTTATGCCGAGTATGGCGATGTCATTGTCCAGGAGGGCATCAAGGTTGTCGAGACCGCTGGAAACAATCGTACGTTTTTCTTTATATGGCTGTCACATGTGAATGTACCCTTCGGTTAATTATTTCTGACTGACCCATCTCGTTCCCTTCACTCTTTGCCGATCTGGACGAAAAACAAACGATCCGATCGATGTAGCCGGCGAGCACATCAGGAAGTTCAAGGAGGCTGGTATCTTTGTCATTCACAAGTGCACCTCCATCCGCCACGCTCTCACCGCCCAGCGTCTCGGTGCCGATATGCTCAGTATCGACGGATTCGAGGTAAAATATTCACAGATCGCAGATTATGAACCATACTGTCGCAGGAGGATTAGAGAGACAAAACCCTGCACACCTGTTTGAAAGTGTCCGATTGCAATTGACTTTTCTTTTCATGGTGGACCTCCATGGGAATAATTTGAACGAATAATGACTAACAACCTCATCTTTTTTCTGTTTGTACAATATGATAGTGTGCTGGTCACCCCGGTGAGGATGATGTTACTGGATTGATCTTGTTGCCTTTGGCTGCCAAGGCCCTCAAGATTCCTTACATTGCCTCTGGTGGATTCGGTGATGGTACCGGTCTCGCCGCCGCCCTTGCCCTCGGTGCCGAGGTAACTAACTTTGAAAATGGAGCATCCAGACACACTCTTCTTACTCTTAGAGAGTTTATGTTTTTCTTACTAACAATCGCTTTCGTTAATGAAATGATAGGGTGTGAACATGGGAACTCGTTTCTTGTGCACGCAGGAGGCCCCCATCCACAACAACATCAAGGAGTCGATGGTTAAGGCCTCCGAGCGCGACACCTCATTGATCTTCCGTACGCTCCACAACTCTGCTCGTGTCTTCCGTAACAAGGTCGCCAAGGAGGTCATTGAGATTGAGCGCAAGCCCGGTGGAGCCGAGTTCGCGGAGGTTGCCCCCTTGGTCTCGGGAGCCCGTGGCAAGCTTGTTTATGAGAACGGTGATCCCGACCATGGTATCTGGACTGCAGGTCAGATTGTTGGGTTGATCAATGATATCCCAACTTGTGAGGTGCTTGTTAAGAGGATAGTTCAGGAGGCTGAGGATACTATCCGTGGACGCCTTGAGGGTATGGTTGTCATCGAGTCCAAGTTGTAAATTGGCGATACCTAGACAAAATGAGAGTAGAAACTGGTGAGGCGACAACTTGTACAGGTCGACCAGTGACCCCTTTGTGAATAAACATCCATTGAAAGTGCGTTATATATGTTGCCACCAAAATTTAGGGTCCAGGAGTCATCCTCAGTCACTCATCCTCAGTCACTCATCCTCAGTCAATCGTCCTTTTAGGTTTTTTGACGCCAATTTTTTGTTTTCTTCTTCTCTCACATTTACATACACCATACGGCCACTTGACACGCATGGACAAGGAATCACCATCCCCCACCACCAAAAAGAAATGCAACGATGCACCAGCATCCTTCCACACACTCCCTCAAGAGATCCAAGACATGATCCTCCCCCTCCTCACCCTCCACGACCTCACCTCCTGCATCCGCGTCTGCCATGCCTGGTCGAATTTACTCCTCCCGCACATCTGGACACATCTCCATCTCGGTCGAAGGCATGGACTGGATGAAGTTGAACGGAGTTGGAGGAAGGGGTATGCGCGGTTTAAGGAATGTGCGGAGGCAGGCAGTTTGAGGAAGTGTGGGGCTTGGATCCGAACTGTGGATACTACGTGTTGTAGTATAGTTGATGTTTTGCTGAAGTTTGCTGGTAGCGGTGAAGGAGAGGAAGGGAAGGAGGAAGGAGTGTGCAGGGGATTGAGAGAGCTACAGGTTTTTGATCAGCCGTGTCCAGATTCGGAGCTTTGGATGGAGGACACGAGGGAAACTATGGATAGTTTACCGTGGGAAGATGGTGATGAGGATGAGGACGATGATGATGACCAGGAACGTGGTGGGTATGGGTGTGAGGATGATGATGGTGGTAAGGAGGAAGGCGAGACCTACGAGGATGCGGAAAAGGCATCAGCAAAGGAAACAGGAACCTGTGTTGCTGTTTCAGTACCGCATAGGGCTTGGGCAAGAGCAGGCCTAGAGACGAACGCTATTCTCGCACTACTTCGACAGAACCCGCACCTCAGGACTTTGAAACTCGGGGGAGAGATGATGTCGATGGTTCGCGACCTCCGCTTTCTTATCCTAGACGCCGTCCCCGCATCGATTGAGCATCTGGAGTTATGGGATTGGAAGCCTGCAAGCAGGAAGAAGGAAGAGTATCTGAGCCAATGTGGGTACCCGACCTACCAACACCCCGATCTGCTGCCGACGCTTCCATGTTTAACGAAACTGGTTATTGGGCGAGGGTCGATCGAGGATGATGCGGCGTTGGTCCGGATATTGGGGCGGTGTCCAAACCTCGAGACACTGTGTCTTCATGACTTAGGATATATGCAGTCGTTCTCGTACCGGAGCATTGCAGCGACGATCCGCGGGTTTTGTAAAAAGTTGACGGGGCTCCATCTAATCAACTGTGCAGTTCCCTCTCAGAATGACCTATGTCTTTTACTGGACGCCTGTCATGAGTCCGGTGGGCTGAAGGATTTCGGGTTCCCTTGTCCGCCCGAGTTGAAGAGTTTTGTGTTTGCGGAGAAGGCGGCGAGGGCGTTGTTGAAGCATAGTGGGACGCTCGAAAATGTGCGTTTGGATGGGTGTTCATCGTTCTCGAGTGAGCTCGTTCAGGAATTGTTGTGTTCTGCCCCACGGTTGAGGCGGTTTGATTCCATATCGCGGTTCCGATTCAGTCAGATGGATGTTGTCCTCGATGCCAAGGATGTTGTGCGGTCGTTGTCAGGAGAAGGGGTAGAGGGAGAAGAGAAAGGTTGGGTGTGTTTGGGACTAGAGTCATTCAAGTGCAGGATCGGGGGAGTACCCCGCCCAGACGTCCTCACACGTACCAACGGCCGGCCCTTTACTGGCCCCCTCCACACCACTTCCACCTCCGCCGAAAGCCTCCAGATTCAACAACAAATCTACACCCAACTCTCCCGGCTCACCGACCTCCGCGAACTAATCCTGGGCCACCACGAGGTGAACTTGAACTACGTCATGTTCCTAGACGAGATGGACACCGAGGGCGAGTACTACGATTTCGATAACCCAAGCCAGGATATTCAGGGTGGGTACCAATACGAGTGTTTAGATATGCGGTTGCAGAGTGGGATGGAGCGATTGAATGCGTTGAAGGCATTGCGGAGGGTTGAGGTTGAGGCGATGGCGGTTGGGTTCTTTGAGGAGCCGGAGCAGAAGTGGGTGGAGGAGAATTGGAAGAAGTTGGATTGGAATTGGAGGGATGGATTCTGGAGTGACCTTGGCTATGCCGATTACTATTGAATCGTTGAAGGCGCTCAGCATCACCGACATGATCTGGTTACTTGTAAATAAAAGGGGCGATCGTAAATACACAATGACACGCTGAAGCCGACCTCCCATTGCTATTTCGATAATCTGTTGAACGGCACCTGGTTATTTCGACCACCTGTTGCTATAGGAGTGAGACCAGTTACTATGGAGACGCCATATGAACACCAGGTGAACTAAAAGAAACTAAAAGAACTAGAACTAGAAGAGCCAGAGGAACCAGCAGAATTAGAAGGACCAATAGAATTAAAAGAACCAGAAGAACTAGTAAGACTAAGAAAGCTAAGAAAATTGGGAGAACTTGAAAAATCACAACAATTGCAACAACTAGAGCAACTGTAACAACTAGAGAACTAAAAGAACGAAAACAACGAGAGAAACATGACAGTCATATATAGGGGCGAGGGAAGCGCCTTCTACCTGTGTTCGTTACTTCAAGGATTGTAGTCAACTGTACCGGTTTTTTTACCTTCTTTTTGTTGTAATCTATTAATCGACACTATGATTTGCATACTTGTGCAGAGACCGATAACTCTTCTCTAAGTTCCTAAGATAACGAATCTTCAAAAATTGGCTTAGATCAGCTTATCAAACAAACGCCGATACTTTATTTTTCAGAAACAGAAACAAATCGCTTGTCGATGACGTCGGTCACACCGATCGGGCAATCAAATGAAACAAAGACATTGTCGCGTCGCACAGCCTCACTGATCGACTTTTAGCATCGTCGATCTACCCTTGGCACAGTCAGTTATGCTGAGAAAATTATTATATACATTTTCTTTTCAATCCTTCACGTTCTTCCCTAATTCACCTTGGCATATGTCACTCGCGCTCTTCGAGTTCACTATCCATGGCCATAGTACCATTGTCACAGAAGAAGCACATAGCTTAGGAGCATCAAGTGCAAGGGTATGTGAGAATTTCATTTTGAATGAAAATTTGCTTTCTGCCTTGTATCTGATATTAATCCCCAACCTTCACACGTCGAAACCACTACACCAATAATCCAAACCCAACATACCTCCGAGGGACGAAAGCATTGTACAAGATCGTATGACAACTAGGCCAGCTCGCCTCCATCCACTCCCTCTCCTTCTCGCCAACATAAACCTCCATATCCTGCAACCCGACACACTCCAGTTTATTCAAATCCCACAACAGATCCAACCCGCTATCGAGTGTCATCGCTAGACACTCATACAGTCGATCCTTCTCGTTCGTGCTCCCGAAATCACTTTGATGCGACGAACACCTGGCACCCACCGTCAGCTGTCTCAGTCTTGTCAGTCGACCCAACTGCGAATAAACTTGACGTTGGAGGGCGATATTTTCTTCAGCGGCGCCAAGCAGGAAAAATTCCTCTGGAGGCACGAAACAGATCGCCCGAGTAATCTCGGGACGTGGTATCCCATCAATCTCACACCCAAACACCTTCAACTTGGTGCAGACCCATTCGGACCTGACCACATCACGGGCGTTAAATCGTTCATCCCTCTCGTCTGCGTACCGAGTATCACCGAGGAGGCACAGTTCCTTGAGGTTGGGGGTTGTACGGAGCAATTGTTGGATCTCCTCCCTGTCGAAATTGGGGTGGGGTACACTGTTCATCGGCACAACCTCCAGTGCCGAAGCGCCACCACTGCCCGTAGTCCAAACTTAGTATCGATATCCCAGTTGTAATTGTGAAAGACAAACTTCTCAATCCTTCGGTGTGCACTTCCTGAGGAACTCGGCAATACTCTCGTCGTCACCCTTCAGATCCTTGATCTCAACCGACGTCAGCTACGGCAGGATCGGTGGCGCATGTTCTAGGAAGGTAGAGAGGGCGGCCAGATCGATCGAATGGATAAGATGCCCATGGGATTTGAGGGCTCCTGCAGACTCGCAACTCTACAATAACGCCTCGTCCCAGAGAAATGGCCTCTCGCCCTCTATATTTCACCCCCTGCTCCTGTTCCACTCCTTGTACTCGACATGCCGCTAGATATGAGGGTGGAGGAGTTGTTTCCAGGCCTGACAGACGCGGATGCAGATGGCCTAGTCGCGTTGTGAGAGGTAGCCGGCAATAATATCCTGAAGCTCCTGGGGCAGGTTGGCGAGTGCGGGTGATTGAGTCATCGTTGTGGTTGTTTTCGAGTGAAGTATTGGTTGATGGATGGGCGGAGACAGAAGTAAAAAGAGCCTTCAAGAAAAGAAACTAATTATTCTTCCTTGCCAAGGGACTCCATCTGTTTGTGTGTGCATCTTTTTTTAATGCATCACGTGAAACTCAAGAACGAAGTGACAAGATGGGCTCTAGCCTGCAATCTTTGCTCTTTACGTCTTTCTTTTTTTCACGGCCGGAACACTATCCCCGGATTCACCGATCGATCCTCTACTCATGTCCCATGCCTCTCCTCCACCTGCCGTCTCGACTGAGACTCTCCTTCAAGTCATTCAACAACTCAGCACCCGTCTGGACCGCTTCGAACAAGCCCACGACCGCTACGCCAACACTGCTCTCCTTCAGGTCGACACTGTCCCAGTCGCTAACACTCGCATTATCGGGGTTACACAAGCAACAACACTTCGACCTGGTCAGGACCTGGTACGCCTCTATCCCGCTATCCTGGAACAAAACTTTTACACTGCTGAGCTCGCAGACGACCACCAATTCTTTTCCCTCAGCGACTGCCATTATACTGAGGGCATGGTTTACAAGGCACCTCCCGTCCCTGATCACGCAGAGGCCAATCTCAGCCCGGCAGCCAAGAAGCATGATGCGGACCTTGCAACAATACAAACTCGATGGCCCACCACACCAGATTCTACGACACCTTCGCTAACGACATTCTGGAACTCAAGCGGGAGACATCGGAGCCTGGAAAAGTAATGCTCCAGTTCCTCAACACTATGCGGATTGCAGCGGCCAACGACGCAGCCAAGATCAGCCAGCTGCGTTCCAAACTGTACTACAATGCGGAAAAAACTAAAATCTTGGACTGCTCCTTCGGGCGAGGGCGACAGAAGCACTCAAAATGCAGCCGCGATGTAAAAGTGAGAACCACGACCATTAATGAAGTATTCTCACTACAGGCTTCGAGAAGAAAATAAACGTATGCTGGTTGAGAATACCTGGGTCACGCAGGACGCGTCATCACACCACTCGCTTGGATTTATGGATGACCTTGCGGGCAGAGATGGCTAGTGTGTGTATACAACCGCAGTGGCTGACACCGTGAGAGTAATGGTTGCTGTGGGTCTTGAAGGTATGGTGTGCATGGTTAGAGTCATGCAGATGAAAAAAAACACACATTTTTTTAATGTCGCCCGTCTCGACATTTTAGATATATCGACATAGAGAAAGAAAGAAAGATTATCGAACGGGTGCATATAACTGGAGCGAAAGGCGCCGTGAGCGCGAGCAGAAGCAGTACCACCCACCGTTCCCATCATTGAATCAAAAACACCGGGCAATCTACCCTTCATTCACCTGTAACTTTTGTAACATTCTCAATCATTCAGTCTTACTTTATTTAATTTTCAGTAGAGACGTCATATCTTTCTTTAGGACCTTTGTCTCTCCTGCCTTCGAATTATGTTTATATGTTAATTTGAATGCACGGCCCAGCATTATACCTTCGCCCCCTTGTCCCTTCCATGCTGCTACTCTTTTGCTAGTCGCCAATGTCAATTCATCTGCCTGCACTTTATATATGTCTTTATGGTTCATACTAGACTAATGACTACACTAATGACTAAGCTAGTAGACCCGCCGTTAGTCAATACCACTCTCCCTTCTCCTAGAAGAGAGAGAGAGAGAGAGGCATCGTCCAGGGCACACCACGAGGAGGTCGCGGGTCAAGGTAGTGCCCCAACAAAAACAGCTCCTCCAAGCGCCTCCAAACGAAGGTTGGCTTGAAGGAATTAGAAAAACAAACCCGGGCTTAGAATTCCGCCGAAGGCGTCCATCCTCGCCCTCAACGACGACGACAGTTTGACGAGGGGTACCGAACACACTGACCGAAGGGCATTCCAGCGGCCGCGTGGGCCCGGCTCCTCTTTTTTCTCCACGGCCCCAGAACAGAGCACACGTAGTCTCTGTCTGGGACCGCCGCACGTTGGTGTTAGTACTCCTGTTTGTCGTGTCTGTCCTCTTGTTGGTTGTCGGGTTGTTGTCGGGCTGTTGATTTTGTCGGGCTGTTGGTTTTGTCGAGTTGTTGGTTTTGTCGAGTTGTTGTTGCTTGTCGAGTTGTTGTTGCTTTTCGAGTTGTTGTCGATGGTGGCCGCCGGTGGTGGTTGTCGGTGGTGGTTGTCGATGGCGGGTGTTGATGGTGGTTGTCGATAGTGGTTGTCGATGGTGGTTGTCGATGGTGTCGATGATGGTTGTCGATGGTGGTTGTTGATAGTGTCGGTGGTGTCGGTGGTGTTGGTGGTGTCGGTGGTGTCGGTGGTGTCGGTGGTGTCGATGGCGGTGGGTCGATAAGAAGAAAAGAAAAGAAAAAAAGAAGGAAGAGAGAGAGCACTCAGTCCTTCTTCCTTTGTTCTCTGCCAAGCCATCGATGACCTCATAGCCGTCCGTCTCTCTCTCTCTCTCTCTCTCTCTCTGTCCAAACACCCAAAAGGAAAAGAAGGTGGTGGAAGGGAGAGGAAAAACTGGTTGGTCGAGAGGGAGCACGCACATGCTTTTTTCGGAAAAAAAGCCGAGACCACCCTGGGAAAATGGAGTCATCATGCAAATGAATGTCAGTTGCATGATAACGTATCCATCGCGTCCTTTTCCTCCATCGCCACCATCGCGAGGTTTTCTTTGGTTGTTTTTTGTTTGTCAACATTGCCTGGGTTCGGCTGAATCGTATCTTTCTTCAGAGCCTCTGCCTTTTCGCCGTCGAATTATGTTCGAGTAATGGAAAGAGAGTCTAAGAGAAGATGCGTGTATGTGTTGCCAGAAAGGAACGGGATAAGTGTAAGAGGATGAAGGATGGCGATGGAAGTATCGAAGTGAAATACGAGACAAGATGGAAAAAAGAAAAGTACAAACTATCATTCCCTCATCTGTCAACACTGCCCGATTCCCTTTGATACCTTATCTCTTATTACCTTTTCCATGTCTCTATTCCCCACATGGTCAGCTACGACGTCGTGCTTGTTTGTTTGATGGTCGTAATGGAGAAGTGAGTTGGGTCGGTCGACAGAATAAGGGGATAGATACGTTACTCCCCCTTCCATTGTTTTCCTTCTCTCTCTCGGGGTCTTGTGGGTTGGCCTTCAATCGAGCAAGATTCATACGGACCCAGGCAATGTTGACAAACAAAAAACAGCCAAAGAAACCCTCATAACGGTGGCGATGGAGGAAAAGGACGCGATGGATACGTTATCATGCAACTGACATTCATTTGCATGATGACTCCATTTTCCCAAGGTGGTCTCGGCTTTTTTTTCCGAAAAAAGCATGTGCGTGCTCCCTCTCGACCAACCAGTTTTTCCTCTCCCTTCCACCACCTTCTTTTCCTTTTGGGTGTTTGGACAGAGAGAGAGAGAGAGAGAGAGAGAGAGAGACGGACGGCTATGAGGTCATCGATGGCTTGGCAGAGGACAGAGGAAGAAGGACTGAGTGGGTTCATAATGCTTCCCTCTCTCCCTCTTCCTTCTTTTTTTCTTTCTTTTCTTCTTATCGACCCACCGCCATCAACACCACCGACACCACCGACGCTATCGACAACCACTATCGACAACCATAATCGACACCATCGACAACCACCATCGACAACCACCATCGACAACCACCACCGACAACCACTATCGACAACCACCACCGACAACCACTATCGACAACCAACAACTCGACAACCAACAACAACTCGACAAAACCAACAACTCGACAAAACCAACAGCCCGACAAAACCAACAACCCGATAACAACCCGACAACCAACAAGACGACAAACACGACAAACAGGAGTACTAACACCAACGTGCGGCGGTCCCAGACAGAGACTACGTGTGCTCTGTTCTGGGGCCGTGGAGAAAAAAGAGGAGCCGGGCCCACGCGGCCGCTGGAATGCCCTTCGGTCAGTGTGTTCGGTACCCCTCGCCAAACTGTCGTCGTCGTTGAGGGCGAGGATGGACGCCTTCGGCGGAATTCTAAGCCCGGGTTTGTTTTTCTAATTCCTTCAAGCCAACCTTCGTTTGGAGGCGCTTGGAGGAGCTGTTTTTGTTGGGGCACTAACTTGACCCGCGACCTCCTCGTGGTGTGCCCTGGACGATGCCTCTCTCTCTCTCTCTCTTCTAGGAGAAGGGAGAGTGGTATTGACTAACGGCGGGTCTACTAGCTTAGTCATTAGTGTAGTCATTAGTCTAGTATGAACCATAAAGACATATATAAAGTGCAGGCAGATGAAATGACATTGGCGACTAGCAAAAGAGTAGCAGCATGGAGGGGACATGGGTCGAACACAGCATCTAGGTCATGGTAGTCTTTTATTATGTGTTGCGCTTCATTTAGAAGAGATGAAAAGTGACAGCGGGTCTTGAAGGGCATAAAGAATGGGCGAATACATGCATGAACTACAGTCACCGTTTGTTGTTTGTCTCAAGTCATTCTAACTAGAGGGCGAAGGCGCAATGCTGGGTCGGGGATCCAAATTGATATCCGTGCCAGAGGCGTGTGGTTGCGCTGGCAGGGTGGATCAACTCTTTTTACAACATTAATCTTTCTTTTGTTGAAGGTGGATATCATTTCGCCTGGGAATGCCGAGTATCATATTACATTTTTTGTGTTATTGGCCATCTCCATATCTCTTTTCATTCCCTTTGCTTCGCTCGCATCCCTGCACTCCCTCTGCTTCCCACTTCGCGCATTCCATTGGTACTTCTTCACCATGTGGGGTCACAAGTAATCCTGAAGCGTCGAACCAACCGAAAGCAAATTTGACCTGGTATTTGATGAACGTTAGTGAAGAGGGCTCGACGGATTGGATGTGCTGTCCTGTCAGGGTCATATGAGCCCACCGTCTATAATAGCCACATCGGAGGCACCTACACGTCGGAGGCGCCTACACACCCACCAGTCGTGGTGTTGATCTTTTTGTTATTTTGAGTGATGCGAGTCAACTGCATATCTTTTTCCAGGCACCATATTTCGCGCCATTCTCTTGTTCTTTTTCTCTGATCGTGCGTTTTTTTCTATATGATGGGCTCTCATATATCAACATCATTCCCATCTTTTTGTATTTTTGCGTGATCCAGCTAACCCCTCGAAAGCAATGGTCGGCCTTTTTCTTGGCGGCTCCTTTATGAATCCTTTCTGTCTCCATCGTATCTACCCTTTGTGCCTATGAAATACGTTGAGAAAGAAACGGCAGCAGCTGGCCTACAACTCTTCGTTTTGTGGCAATGCGCAGTTGGGCAAAGCCGATCGATATGAGCATAGCGGTGGAATCGTTGTTTTGGAGTCGACAAAAGGGTGTGACAACCCCCGATTCGAAGAATGGAATTGTCCGAAAGGAAGAGATGTCCTTGCGATGGCACTAGTGATAACTCTCTTTTTTTCAGGCTACTTGAATTTCTAGAGACAGGAAATTAGAAAGTCCTTTAGGCATGCATGCGCAGTTGGTAAGGTAGCCACGGACAAAGTATCATCATTGGGGGGGGGGGAGGGAGGAAGAGGTAAGAGACCACACATCATGCACGGCGGCGCTTGCATCGACATCAACAAAGTAAACAAACATGCATGATTATCGTGCATACGTGACAATTTCGATGAACTTTATTTTTCAGTTCGTGTGGATGAAGGGAGGGACAAAAGACGTTACCCGGAAACCCACTCTGTTCACTCCCTTTTCCTAAAGTAGCGGCGCGGGGCACTGACTGACGTTGCTCTTTTTCTTTTCTAGTGCGCAGACGTTACGCCACCATCGAAAACATATAAAACTATATCTTGTATCCCCTCCAAAAGCAAGGAACAACTTTTTTCTTTCCTTCCCTCATACGACCTGTGCACCTAATTGTGTTCACACTCTCCGACTCTCCCTTTTTCCTTTCCATCGCAACTACGTTTTCCTCCTCCTCCTCGTTTATTTTCACTTTCACCCCCATATGAAGATTACTACCGTTGTCCTTGCCGCCATCGGCGTGGCAGTAGCATTGGCTGTCCCAACGATACCGCCCACTACCAAGAGCGGTAAGGCCGTCATTGGTTACTTTGAACCATTGCACGGCTTCCCCATTGACCAGTTTGACTTTAGCAAGTACACCCACATCAACTAGTACGTCTTACCCTTTTTTCTGTATATTCTTTTGCCTAGCGAGTTGTAACCGACATCCATATATAGCGGTCATACACTTTTTTTTTACTCCTCCTCTTTAACCGCTTTCATTTTCATACTACCTTTATTTTTAGTGCATTCGGAGCAATGTGGAAGGGCGCACCGGACCCATATGTGGTCTATGTCGATTATGCTACTGAGGGTCCCAAGATCAAAGAACTCGTCCGACGAGGACATGCTAACGGCGTCAAGATCATTATGTCGATCGGAGGCTGGTACGGGTCACAGACATTCTCTGAGGTTGCGGCTGATCCTGTCAAGCGCAAGAAGTGGATCGAAAGCGCCATGGCCTTCTTGCGTCCCAACACTCTTGGAGATAATACAACTATTCCTAATGGCTGGAACATGGATGTAAGCATCGACTTGAGCTTGCGATTCTTTTGCGAGGGAGGATAGTAGGGATCCAACGGATTATTGACCGTATGTGTGTATGCTTGCATTTTTTGTACTTGTAGGGTCTGGATATTGACTGGGAGTTTCCAGGGCGCCCAGGAGCAATCTGTAATACCGCCTCACTCAACGACACAGCCAACTACCTCCTCCTCCTCCAAGAAGTTCGCACACAAATGGACCTCGAGTTCCCAACCAACCACAAAACAATTACTTCTGCAGTTTCCGTCTTCCCCTGGGCCGGCACCGATGGCAACTCCTTGGCAAACGTCCAAGCCTTCATCCCAGTCTTTGACTGGGTGAACATTATGGTCTATGACGTCCATGGACCTTGGAGTACTTCGACTGGACCTAATGCGCCTCTATATAATGCGCCTGCTCCTGGAGATCCATTTTCTGCACAACAGGCGGTTGATACTTGGACAGCTGCTGGATGGCCCAAGGACAAGATTGCGCTTGGGACACCGTTCTATGGACGTGCGTTCACGGCGACTGTGAACATGAACACTCGGGATCCGGCCACGCAGTATGCACCTCACACTGGTGTTGCGCCTAAGGGAGGACCCTCGGATTCGAATGCGACTTTTGCTCTGTGCGATGAAGGTGCACAGTACTGGGGGTTCTGGAACTGGGGCGAGATCCGCGAGCAAATCCTCATCGATGATAGCCTTACAGTCCCTGTGGCAGGATGGAAGCGATACTGGGACAACACGACCAAGACGCCCTGGCTCTTCCGCGAATCCGACTCTATGTATGTTTCCTACGACGACCCAACATCCATGTCACTCAAGGTCGATTTTGCACGTCTGCATGGGTTGAAGGGTATTTTCATGTGGGAAGCGCAGATGGATTACAAAGATGAGTTGTTGACGGTGTTGAACCAGATCCATTGTTCGAATGCTGCGTGTGTTTGCGATGGTGTTGGTTCTTGGAATTCGACGGCGGCATATATTGAGCCGGGAAGGAAGGTTGTATATAATGGGCGGTTGTGGACAAACAAGTGGTGGACGCGTGGTGAGACTCCTTCGGGAACTGAGTGGGGTGCTTGGAAGGATAATGGTGTCTGTTGAAGGAAGATGATTGCGACTAGTTTCCGATAAATACAGTATAGTTCTTCTGGGATCCGTCCAAGAAAATATAGATCTGTCGTTTTCCTATTTCACAGGTGTAGTGTTGCTCATTTTTCATAGAGTGTTGCATTGGGCGACGTAGCCTTAAACTGATGAAAAGATAATTTTTTTGTAACTAGTTCTCAGGTAAAAGGGAGTCGATGGGAAAGAGGCATGTGCTAAAAAATGCATAATGGGCTGGCGGAGCGTAATAAGAAAAGAAAAGTCGTCTCTTTCATGCGATGATTGACAGAAGAAATACAACAAGGTTGGTGGCAGGATGATAATTTCCTTGAATGAGAGAGAATAAATGAAACGGGTGAAGAACAACGCGCTCTTTCGACACATCAGCAGTAGAACAAACTGAGGGAGCTGGCTGTCGTTTCGAAATCGTTTGCTCTACGATGGCGATGGTTGGTCCTGGCTCCTGTTGTGTCCTGGTTCTTTGCTCTATAGGGGCTAGATGGCTTCACGGCCGAAAATGCATTGAAAAGCTAAATATATTTGCTCTATAGGTCGCGGCGGTGTAGGTTATGCTTTGACATACACAGCGTGAAACATACCTTTTTCTCCCTTATATGACAAAAGCAACGCTATGCTCTGTCTCTCACGTAAACTCTGTCTATCCCTACATCTCCGCATGCGTACGATGTGCATAAAAAATAGAGGTACTCACAAGGACAGGTACTCACAAGGACGCTAGCTCAACTGGCATTTCTTTTTATTCCCCAATCTTCTCTATGATCCTCAAACACTCTTTTCTTACGATGTGTATTCATTCGAAGCAACCAATGACTTCTCCATCGTACTGTCACTACTTTCCTCCTAGTTCCTCAGGATCTCAGAAGCCAACGACCCAGTGGTTCTTCCTCCACTGCACCCCCTCCTCGCATTCATGACCATCCAATCGAACCAGCCAGCTTCACAGATCTATCCACGATCCTGCCCTCTTCTTCCTCACAGTCAACCCACCAAGACATCGGTCAACAATAGTGGCATTTTCAAGTATCCATTAATCTGAGAAGTGTGACAGCAGGCATTCATTACCGCGTGGACACCATAAACCTCCCACAGTTTACTAACAAGAAAGAGTACTAGCAATTTACAACGAAGGGTGCAGCTCTCTCAGGATGGCGTGGGCACGATCCGTCAGTTCCGAGAAAGCCCCTCCCCTTTCACTATCATCTCCTTGCAGATCCTTCTCCGTCTCATTAACCATCGCATTCAATCTCTGCAACGAACCCAGAGCATAGCTCGGCCATCCAGCACCACCACTGACACCACCGCCGTTGATGAGCGACGGTGCAGTCGTGACCTGGGTGTAACTCAGCGTAGATGACACAATATCCAGATCCAGTTTGTGATCCCGCATCCTGAACCGGCAATTGGCCATCAAAATCCTGTTCTGGACTTTGAGGAATGACAGTAATGGACGATTGCCGTCTCCAGTAAGTAACGAAGAGAGTTGATGTTCCACAAGCAACAGTCGTCGTGTCGCGTCAGTCGCAATAAAGTACGCCTTGCTGGAATGAATCGTACTCTCATCCACCGCTATTATGAGCAAATAAAAGAATCGAACAGTCAGTTGACAGAAATAACAACGTGGTCGGACAGATCGCATCAAGTAAAGCGAACAATGAATGTTGCTGAAACATACCTAAAATGACGAGTACTAGGTCCACTTCGGCGCCAGGGGTCAAGCTTCCAACCTCAGCGCAAGGGGCGACGGTCCGTGGTCGGTAGCTGGTCAAGAGCATGGTCTCTGGCTCTGTAGGCATCTCTTGCACGGTAGTCATCCTAGTTCCAGCCAGTTGGATCATATCCTCGAATCCATACTCGCGGCTCAGTTTCTTGGACATCAGAGCAGTCATCTACAAATATTGAAAGGAAGGAGATACAGAGATATTATTAGCTGTGTAATTTGTATAAGTAGTAAAACAATGCCATGAAAAATGAGACGGTGATCGTACCCGAACGCGATTTCCTTCTTGGTAATGAGAATGTTCGTCGTGCCAGAACGTAATCAGTGCCTCCTGGATGCGCCCATTCTCATCCATATCATCATCGTCACAATTACCACCGTGTCGATAGTTGCCGACACGAATGCTAAAGAGCGGGATCACGTTCCGAGCCGCAGATTCAGTCTGCATATCTTGCGCTCTCGTCATAATTTCCTCTTGAACTCGGAGTGATGGCCTGCCCTCTGGATCCATCTCTGACGCAAATTCCTTCTCAACCTCGCGGATCATATCCTGATAGCGTTGTTGGATCTTGTCTCGGTGCGCCTCCACCGCTCTAGTCTCCTCCGCCAACGTGCGCTTGATCTTAGTGACACCATCCTCCAATGTCTCGAGGTACAGAACCGGATACTTCCTCAGCACAATCACATCCAGTCCAGGGACAAGGCCACCGTCCGGTACAATGGATCTCAGTCGTTTTGTCCAGATCAACGGAGCACTCTGGAATCCCAGCTTGGTATCCCATTTGGCGAGCCGGGTGCTGTTGGCCTGAAGAACGATTGATACCGATGTCGATTCCGATCCTGCGCCTGCCAGTTCTAGAATAGCAACCCCGCTTTCGGCGCCACTCAACCTTGCCCGACACACGTGCACCTTGCTTCCAACCTTCAGCTTGCCTCCCTCGACCGCTCTGATCAGGCAAGGATCGAGTACTGCTGGGATGGTATACCACCCATCTGAAACGAGAACCTTCCATGGGTTCTTCTGCGCCGTGCTGTCTTCCTTATCCGAGGGCTGCTCCGCCTTGGACACACCTGCAATAACAAGCACGATATGCTTTGCGGCAGACTCATCTCCCTCCACAATCTTGCGCAATGCAGGACGCTCAGCCCTGTTCACCTCCCGCTCGTATCGGTAAGCCAGTTGATTCAAGACCTTGGCGGGACAGAACCATGTAGAAGGCTCAGGTGTGGAGGGAATAAAATACTCTGGCCATGTGCGAACATAGCACGCTAGCTTCCACACCACTTGTCTATAATGGTTCAAAAGCCATACTCGAGAAAGGAGATCTGCCTTGGCCCCTAGCGATAACAGCTCCTCATAAGCTTCATCCACACCCCATCCGTCAAAGCGATAGTGCCGAGCCTGTTCGAAGGTCATGAGCAGCGCTCCCTCGGGCCTGTAGGTTGGAAGAATTGTATTAATAAGAGGGGACTTTACATAAGTAAGGCAAGGTTGTTATCAGATGCGTCGTACAATTCACTTACAATCCGCGGTCAACTAACTCCTGGGTCGTCAACCACTTTGGAGTACCAAGAGTGTCCCTGAGATTGGTTCTTACTCCTTGGGCTAATAATTTTGCAAGAATTTGATCTGGTCAGCTCTCCTGACCTCACATACTGCGTAACCCGTCAATGATGTCGCACCAACCCACCTTGCAAATTGAAGACTAGCGAATCAAAGCGTGTCGGAAGAGGATGCACCGCTGTGAGAGGTAGTACAGGACTGGGGATAGGGGTAGTAGGCGCTGCGCGAGCCGTTGGATGGAGAGAGAGCCGCTTTGATATCGTTTTTTTTGGTTCGCTTGACTGAGCGCCTGGAGCAGAAGCTGAAGAGTCTTGAGATGTGCCGCTTCCTCTGCTACCTGGGCTGCCCTTATGGGCGGAGGCTGCAGCATTCGCAGAATTGGAAATCGATGGCTGGAGAGGTGTTCTTAGCGGTGATCTGAACTGTACAGGAGACTTGAAAGGCGTAACTCCAGACTTTAACACAGGCTTCAGGTGGCCAGGGAGTGAGAGCGGACCTTTGGACGACCCTCGCAGCGTTTTCATCTTCAAGTTCTGCATATGGGTCGAGATAGGAGGCTGGGAAGGGACGTGCTGAGGTCGAGGGGACGAACTTGAACTTGAGGATCCTGATCCTGACGGCGACGCTGATGCTGGCAGAGAAAGTCTGCTGTGGGCAGTAGACGTGTTGACAGAACTGGTTACCTTGAGAGCGGTTGGCTGTTCGAGTTCCAAGAAGCTGTAGGCGCGTGCTTGTGCCGCCTTCGAGATTGGCGCCAATACCTTTCCAGTTCCCGAAGCAAAGCCCACTTCGAGCGGCTGCGCTGTTGAAGGCTGTGGTTGTCCTGGCTCTAATGCTCTGGGAGATCCGGTAACGTCCCCCTCCTTGGTAAGCTCCTTGGACCACTTGTCCATGGCTGACTTTGAAACTGGTGGAAGTTTCTTGCCACCGCCAGATGAAAATCCTCCCATTGTTCCGCTGGATGGTGTAGCAGTCGGGACCGAACTCTCCAGACTATCAGCGTCGTTATTCACGTCCTTAGCAAGCTCTTTGGACCACTTATCCACAGCTGCCTTGGAGATCGGTGCGAGTTTCTTCCCACCACCAGAAGAAAATCCCCCCAGCATCTCTGTTGTCGGCTTAGTAGTCGACACCGAACTCACTCGCCGCCCAACAGCATCACCATCGATCTCAAAGAACTCCTTCGACCACCTATCCATGACTGCCTTGGAGACCGGAGCAAGTTTCCTGCCACTCCCCGACGAGAACCCGCCCGACCCGACATGAGGTGGTATGAACCCGGCCTGTTTAGCAGCAGGTGGTACACTGCCGAATGGAGCCGCAGCGGGACGAGTATGTTCCTGGAAGTTGCCGTCATCGATATCCATGTCGGAATCCTGCATCATCCGCATCGCCCTCTCCTTGGTTGCAGCTGAGATCTGAGGAAGCGGTGTTTTGCCGGCCGATGAGAAACCACCAAACCCACCGGAACCTCCGATGTGTGCGGACCGTTGTTCCGGGACCACGCCCTCTGGCGCTAAATCCTTCAGGCCCATGCCATTCTCGTCGTCGGCGAACATGCCACTTGCTCTTGCAAGAGCAGCGGACGAAATGGTATCAAGTCTCTTGCCGCTTGCCGACGAAAATCCTCCACCCAGGACGGGGAGAGCAACATGGGGACGGACTTCCTGGTGACTTGGGGCTGCATGGTTGTCCGTTTCGAACAAATTTCCCAGCATATCGGAGCTCATAGCCACCCAGTCGAGATCATCAGCAAGGCGCGGGGTCTTCATGTTTGTGATAGAAATACTAGGCCGCTTCCTGGGCTTTTGGGTAGCCTCAGGGACAACATTGAAGCCGTCATCAAGCTGACTGAATCGAATGTTGCCGAAATCATCCTCAGACTCCACCTCTGGTGACTCCTGGCGACTCTCGTCGTTTTGTGCTTCTCCGGTGTCCATGTGGCCACGTCGTCCCCTTAATCTAGCTTCCTGCAGATTCTCCTCCGCATCAATCCCTGCTTGTCCACAGGTGCCTGCAACATTCAGCATGTTCGAGGCGAGCGCTTGGACCGCCGCGTCACTCCCAGCTCGACCGTTCTCGCCAGTGGCCTCCTTGGGGTCACTCTCAAATAACCGGCGAGCAGCGCTCAGACGCTCCACTGACACCTGAAAAGTAGACCTCCCAGAGGCCGATCGAAATCCTACGAAGCTGGTCAGGTTTGCGTTGATGGAGTAAGAAGTCCTGCGTGGCAAGGCACACGGATCAGCTGATGTTGTAAAGAGAGTTCCGGCCTGATCGCCATGACTCTCCTCCGGTTGTGTAAGGTGATGGCTCCCTTGTGTCGAACGGGCCATGAGCGCATGGTTGATCTCCGCACTCGTGACACCTTCAAACATGTCCTCTTGGCTCTCTGAGAAGACTTGGCTTTCCAAAGGGCTGTCGACTATTGGCGATCCTTCCACGAACTCCTGAGAAGTCAGGGCAAGTAATGTCCCCGTGGCGTCACCGGAGATGGGTGCAAGGCCAGCTGCTGGATAGGCATGGTTGAATGAGGATAACACTGGGCTCATCTTGGATTCCGCAGGATAGTTGTCGTTCGTGTTGGTACTGACACCGCTACCTTGCGCCTGCCCCTGGTCCGCGTTATCTCTAATAGCAGCGGCTCTAGTTCCTGAAGCATGCTGGTAATCGTCGTCGTCGTCTGACAAGATTGAGGACGTAGCAGAATAGAACGAGCCATCCTCTTCCTGCGATGACAGTATATTCTGCTTTTCTACAGGCTGGTGTGGTGCTGGCGCCCGTGAGCTGCTAGGAACTCCTCGAAGTTCGTCCAGGACTTTTGCGCTGATCCGTGACTCTGACATGTCGTACTTCTCAGTCAGTGACACTTTTCTGGGTGGTGTTTCGAGAGAAGGGTTCCAGTCCGTAAACTCTCCCACTGGTGACTGCTCCTCGCCCTTGGGTGTTGTTGGCAGGCCTCGAAGTCTCTGAATCACATTCGTGATGGGAGTCTTCGCAGTTCCCTGAGATTGGCGTCTCTTGGCTGGGGTCTCAAGCGACTGCGACCAATCGATACCCATGGGCGAACTCTCGGGAAGTGAGTTGATCCGTCCCGAGCTCAACGACCCATCATCCCTAAGCACTCTTCCAAACGACGATTTCCGCCTAGATCTTGTTGGTGTCTTGAAAGTCGGGGATTCGATCCCTGCAACGCTGTGGCGACGGGAGACCGTGTGGATCGAGATGGGAGAGTCGTTGTGGAGACTCAATGTGCTCGAGGACGATATCGAGAGTCTTCTCCCGCTGACCCGTGTAGGCGTTTTGGCATCATCCAGTAATGATCCACGTCCCTGATCCATTTCTACGTCAGCTCGACCGACGCTTGATGGAATAATTTCCGGATCAAAGTGACGAAGTGTATTTTGGGGTGTTTGGGTTGCCTGAGAATCCGACTCTTGAGCGAGTGTTGTGAAAAGCCCGCCATCAGTCCGTACCAGCCTTATTGATGACCCTTCAGGGCTAAATCGTCTCGTAGGCGTGCAATCACCCTGCGCGATCTCTTCCTCGACCCTACGGAGTGTATCAGAGTCGGCACGGAGGGGCCAGCCGCGCACATCAATTTGAGTTGGTGAAACTCCTGGTGACTCTGGTCCCAGGGACCTGCCTCGGTGACGCAAAGTGGGCGGCGTTGAGGGCTGGTTTCTACGAGAATATGGCTGATCCTGTTGGCTTCTGTATATAACGTTTGCTCGTTGTAAGCGTTCCCGTGGTCGAGAACTGGTAGATCCAGACCTGTCCTGCATGTTGTTGTTAAAATGTGGCCGTACTTCAAAGGGGTTTCCGTCGTCTAGGCGCATCTTCAATAGATCTTCTGGGGAGGTTGATGATTTCCGAGATGACGGTTGGTTGGCGATCGTCCTCTTGGGGTTCTTGGCGGGTGATGGGTTGCTGTTTCGTCGTTTCCTGGAAGGAGACGCCGGTGAAAGAGTCTACATAAGGCGAAGTTATTACATGTCAGTATAATGGCAATATGAGGCATGCATTGAGTACAAGGTGAGAGAATCTGACAGAAGGGGTGAAGCTTACTGCGTCGGAGGAACTGGGTGATCCTCTGATTTGCTCGATCGAATCAAACTGTGGAGCCTCGCCGGTATCCTAAATTTGACAAGAACGTACAAGAGCCGTAAGAACCGAGAATTTGTTGGACTAGGCATGGAAGTAAGAATATTGAGGCCTGTAACCTCTGACTTCACTCACCAGCAACCGTGTCCCTGAGTTGTCGATGGTATCAGAAAGAGAAGGACGTCGTGCTAGTGGAGGAGACGGCGGTGGTGGCGGAGAAGGGCTCTTGGAAGACGAGTGGAGCCTCATGCTGTAAGGGATCAGCTTCCACAACTCATCGTCAAACACCCTGTCAATGCCCCGCGAAAGTCTTTGCTGGTGCTGCCCTCGGTTGGAAGTTGAGGCAGAGATCTGTGAACTTTGCTGAGGTCGCCGTGTAAAAAGACCAGCATGGACCTGGGGTTGATTTTGGTGGCGGTTATGAGCAATGGGGAAGAGGTGGGTAAGGACGATGGTGGGATGTCCGTGGGTGTGAGTTGGACAAGGGACCATGATGCGATAGGCGTTGTTGTTATTGTTGCTGTTGTTGTCGTCGTCGTCGTCGCAGTTATTAGGTGCGGTGATCCTGGATCCTCCGGGTGTGCAGGCCATCGTTTGGGATCCCCTCTTGTCCGTGTTTGATGGTAAAGAAAGTAAGAAAGTATGGAACGACAAACGAAATGGACGCGCGCGCCGCCAAATGGTCTCTTCAATTGATTTGGACTAGAGTGACTGTCATTTCGAACGGAGTTGTTTACCGACCGAACAAAAGGTGAACAACACAGCGTTCTTCACTCCTTCGCAATGCCATGCTCCGCTCTTCCTTCATCGCATTCGCCTCAAGGACACCACTCTCTTCTCGTATCCTAGCCATGCCAAAGGTCGCAAAACCACGCAAGGGAAAGACGACCGTCATCGAGACACCCCGCCCAGAGTTCATATTCGAAGGCGGCCTTCGCAAGGTCCTCCCCTACAAGCAGACATACCTGGCACAAGTGAAGCAGCGTTGGGTCAACCGGACCGTGCCCGAGATCTTTGCCTCGGAAATGCCCCGCAGATGTACTCAAAGTATGATTGTAAGTCGGTAGGTGTCTACTTTGTTTTACTAGCATCAATTGATTGGACAATGACTGACCTTGGTTATTGTTTTTCGCTCGTTTGCAATAGGTCGAGGCGATGAAGAGAGGCGATGTCCTTGTGAACGACAGCATTGTATCTCCTGACTACATCCTGAAAGGCGGAGAGAGTCTTCGTTCCAATAACTGTCACAGACATGGTAAAGAATCATAACAACTTGGAACATAATTCAAAGTTGAAAGGTCTAATATTACTTCTACTAATCTCTTTCATATACCTTCCTTAACTACTAGAGCCACCGGTACCTGACACCCCGATCAAAGTCATCGAGCAAGGAAAGGACTATGTCGTATTCGACAAACCACACGGAATAACAGTACACCCAAACGAGCTCAGTTTCTTCAACACGGCTCTTGAAATCCTAAGACGCGACCACGACATCCCGACTTACATGCACGCCATCAACCGTCTGGACGCTGTCACCTCAGGAGTTGTTATATTTGCCAATGTGTCCGATACTGCGACCCGGGAACGGTTCCAACCTCCTAGCACCACTGACACCAATGACACGGAATTGAACTCTCTGGTGCAGAAGGAATATGTCTGTCGCGTTGTTGGAGAATTCCCTGTGGACCCTGTGGTTGTCGCTGAGCCCATTTTGCCTCAAGGAGGAAAAGTTACAATCGATCCTGCAGGAAAGCCCTCAGAGACCCGGTTTGAAAGGATATGGTTTGACACTGCCTCCAACACCAGCCTTGTCCGATGTAAGTTGTTTCTCTCTAGACCTTTTTTTTTTCTTATCTCAGATTTTCGTGAATTTAACATGTACCACTGGGTCCTCATTTATGAATTGCGGAATAAATTATTTAGGCCATTTGAAGACAGGAAGGCAACACCAGATCCGCCTCCACGTCGCACACCTCCAACACCCTATCGCCAACGACAAACTCTACAACCCGGACTACAGTACTGACTGGGCACAGAGGAACCCCAATGCAACCGCTAGCGGCGAGACGCGTTTCTATCCAGTCGATATTCCACCAGAACGTCAACCATATATGCCTTACTACGTTACCCCAGAAATACCATGTCACAAATGCAAGGAGGAGCAGGGAACACCCAACGTACCCAACCCCAATGACATGAAGATCTGGCTCAGGGCTATTAGGTACCAAGGACCTGACTGGAAATTTGAGGTTGACATGCCTGACTGGGCTGACCCCAATGTCCTTAAATAAACGTCACTCGGCTGTTTCAAGGGGCTCATCGTATGTATTTATTCATGGTATGTATTGTTCATCAAATCACCAATGGCACTACAGAAGCATAACGCCCCTCCACCTCAGATCCTCTTAACGCCGACGAATCGCTTTGGATGAAAGCTCCTGAGGCGCCACCAGTAATGCGTGCAAGAGCTCCACCACAAGGCCGTGACTCTTCCCTCATCGTTCTGGTACCAACTCTTGCAAGTCGACGACCAGACCATGCCTTTCATCTTTTCGTCCAGTTCGTCAATGAACTCCTTGCACGCCTCCTTGGTCACTTGGATCGACGACAGATTTTTCTCCATCATGTATGAGATCGTCTTGATCGCGTACTCAACTTGCGCCTCCACCATGAACAAAATGCTGTTGTGTCTATTTGGTTTTTGTTAAGAAAATAACAAAGGCGGTGTGAGCCAAATGTAATTGCGTAATTACGTTGATTCTGTTTTCTCACATAGCATCAACAAACATATGAAGGAAAGGAACTTACCCCAGGCCGGTGTTGGGTCCGAGGAGGAAGAACATGTTGGGCGTCTCGGGAGCAGTGAGGCCATAGTAGGTATGCGGGTTCTTGCCAAAGACTGTGTTGATGCACTGGCCCTCTTTGCCAATCATGAAGCCCTCAGGGAAGATCTCCTGGACATGGAATCCCGTCGCCAGAATTAACGCATCGACCTCTTGTTCAGACCCATCCATTAACTTCAAGGTCTGACCCTTGACGCTGACAATGGGCTCGGTATGAACACTTACATTCTTGCGTGTCAAGGCTGGGTAGTAGTTGGACGAGACCACAATTCGACGGCAGCCCATATCGTACGTCGGCGTCAACTTTTTTCTCAGAACCTTGTCGCGGACTTGGACGCACCGGAAGAACCAAGCCATCAGGGTCATGAACTTGCGAGGGACCAGGTCCTTCAACTTAGACGAGAATGCGGCAACCGTGAACTCGGAGGACCAGTAGAGGAGCTTGTAGTAAATGAAGTGGACAAAGGGGATAGTGCGGAAAATCCATTTCCAGAGAGAGCTGTAGGTTGCGTTCCTGCGTGGGATAATGTACGAAGCCGTCCTTTGATAGTACTCCAGGAACTTGACCTTCTTTACGATCGACGGCACCACCTGGATCGCACTGGCGCCACTGCCGACAACAGCCACACGTTTGTTGGTCAAATCGTAGGCATGATTCCACTGAGCCGTGTGCCACTTTGGCCCCTCAAATTTCTCAAACTCCTTGGGGATCTGCGGGATACGCAAAGGCCCCATGCCCGAGAACACAATATCGGCCTCGGTCTGCTCGCGCTCTCCATTGTTGAGGTTGACATGGTCCAGAACCCACTTCTGTCGCCCCTCATTCCAAGCGACATGCGTGATCTCGGTACGGAAGTGGATCTTCTCATAGAGCTTGTACTTGCGTGCGGTGTTGCGGAGGTAGTCCCAGATCTCGGGTTGGGGCGCATAGTTGCAGGACCAGTTGTAGTTGGGTTCGAAGGAAAAAGCATAGTTGTGGGCCTTGACATCACAGGCACATCCGGGGTAGGTGTTGGACCACCAGGTGCCGCCAATATCTGGCTCGAGCTCAAAGATGGTGAATGTAGAGATGTTGAGCTGTGTCTGAATCCTGATTGCCGCACATATACCTGAGAATCTACGTTGTTATTAAACGTTAGTTAGTGTGCTCTCGATATGCCAGGGGGAGAAAGGAGGATGCCGTTGTGCATGCACGATGGGTCAATTGACTTTTTTTGATCATGTTTATCCTACCCTGAGCCGATAATGGCTACAACAGGTGTGGACCCGTCCTTGTAAGTCTTTGTCAGCCCCATGGCTGAAGTTACGCGAATGAGTGGAGAGTAGATAAAGGAAGGAAAGACTGACTGAATGGGTAAAAGCAAGGACGTTTGGCGATGAATGTGATGAACGGAGATGGAAGGAAGTAAAAAAAATAGGAAAGAGAGAAGTTGTTTTTCAGTCATTCTTCCCTCCTTCGCGACTCTTTTTATTCCACAGGCGGGCGCAGAAAGGCAAAGAAGAGGTGCTCGGCTGGTCCGGGCTCAATTATATTTTTTGTGGGGTTGTATTCAGGAGAGGGCCATAGCGTAAAAGACATTGTAAAGTGTCTTCCCCCTTTCTTCTCTCTGTTCACTTTCAATTGGTCTCTGTGAACGTTCACAAGTGAAATACTCATCCTTTGGGACCTAGTAAAAGAAAGAGACAGTGATGTCCATATAGCTTTTCTTTAAGCAGCAACGGTAGCCTTGGCGTCTACTTCAACGAGTCTCTTAGTTACAATCCATTGATGGATCGGATATGTTATTGGGAGAAATGACAAGATAAGACACCTTTGACCGTATATCTTGTAGCACCTTGGCACGGACAGGCCCAACCGACCAATGTTCACTCACCTCCCATTCTCAATGTATGCAAGTAAGGAATGCAAAAAAATCGAGCGTGATTTTCATACAGCTCTGCACAATTGACTGAGAAAGGCAAAGAGCGTGTAGGGACGGAAGGAGAAAAGACAATAAATGTGATGGATTATCACTTTCCTCTTCTCTCCCTGTGTCATACATAAAGCAATTTTCATGAGGGGTATATGTACTATTTTACTTGTCAGCATAATTGAGATCACAGTAAGGTGAGAAATAACAGGAGAAAAGGAAAGGATATGAGTTGATGTTGCAACAGACACACACAGCGTGTCGTTACTGCCGCTGTGGGAGAAGAGGATGGGTATATCTCATTTTAGTGAAAGGCATCCGCGCAATTGATATTCTGATCAGCCGAAAGTGTGAAGAATCCATATAGTCCGTTCCAAATGATTGCTATATTCGCAGACAAAAAATAAGAATACACGGTCAGAGCTCTCCTTTATCCTTTCCTTAAAACGACATTGCCATGGAGCAACTAATGCAAAGAACACCTACGATCGACCGCTTGAAGTAAATGTTCAGAACTGTCCCAACTGCATCATTGCTTTACTTCCTGGTTAATGACGCGTGAATTGTTATCCTTTAGGAAACCGTTGGTATAGAACGTGATCACCTGTTCATATATGAAAGGGCCATGGCCCAGTGGTCTGAGTCATGGAAGAGAGGTTGCCAAGTACAAATAAATAGTGGCAATTCATTGGAAAAAATGAGCTTGGAAAACCAAATAAAAAAAACAAAGAGCGTAGATTACTTACTTGGAAGCGATCATCAAATAGTCGATGACTGGCAAGGTCTCGCCTCCTCAGTTCAAGTTATTGATTAAAGTGCTGTTGACGAAGAACTGGAAGCAGGACTCGCAAATGAGGTTGATTATCTATCATGGCGACAAGTTAGAAGCAGTGGGTGTGTAAGTCACATTTGCATTTTGTAGAACAGGCAAAGAGAAGGAACGAGGCATTTGCATCAAGGGTGGCTCGCTTTCATGATGGGACCATAGAGGTTGATGGGATCAATAAGGGAATCAAACCAATAATGTCGATTACATATTGGATTAAGTTTATGCTTGCAAACTTGTTTAGTAAAAATAAAATCGAAACTGTCAATTCAATCCTTGCAACAGCAGAAAGCTCTCACGGATGTGATGTTGGTTCGGGATTGTTGCAGATGGCAGGGTTCGTAGGCAGGATTGTCGGATAGCTATAATACCCTCAACCGGTAGAGAATAAAGAGAAAGACGAGTCTGCGATGCATCAAAGAAACACTTGTCAGCTCAGTTGCTCTGTCTCTCTGCAATATGTTAAAAGAGACAAGGAGCAAACAAGCGAGCTCTGGTGCACTACTAATGCTACAGTAAAAGTGCGATTAACTAGACTACAGAGACCTCACGACATCCGGAAAAAGGGGCATCGATTTTGAAACAGGATCATCAAAACCTTGTTTCAGATAAGGTTATAGGAAACACCAAGGGTTCGTCTTGGTTTTTCTGATCATTACATGGTTGAAGCCAAATTAATTTCAGTATGGGATAAGAGAGAAAATGGAAAAGGAACAGGCCATCCACCTCTTGGGTCATCATCACTTTTTGCTTCTGCCCTTTCCATCGATTTCAATGCTAGAAAACAGAAAAAACAAGCATTAGATATCTGTGTCACCAAAGGGAACAAGGGAGGACAGAATGGGACAAGCGCGTCAACAGAGTAAACAATTGAAAAAGAAAAAAAAAGAATATAAAGTTTCCTTGCAAGAAAAAGAAAAAGAAAAGAAAAAGAAAAAGAAAAAGAATAAAATATGAAGAGAACCGGGAAAAAAAGGAAGAAAAACAAGGAATTGGATCTGAAAAAGATAAAATAAAGTAGATGGAAGAAAGAGAGAGGACCAAGGGGATATGGTACCATTGAAAAATAAGAAAGTGGCCCATAGTACTTAGGGGTAACTCGAACAGAAAGTACTGCTCTTTCGAATTCGATCTTTTCCAGGCATCACACCATTTGCTCTGATATTGCTTTGGTCTTTCTGTGTCTGTGCAGGTGTCATCCTCACACAGCCATTCTTTCACTTTCCTGGCAGCTCGGAAGGATACCTTTGTTGAAGGCATTTGCAACAGAGTAAAGAGAAGGAAGAGCAATCAGGGATGTAGACAAGTCTACTTTCCGAGAAACAAACAAGGGTGAGGAAACAGACAGGGGAGGGATAGTAGAATGGATAACAATTGGTCCTTAGGGGTTTGGTTTATTCGAAGCTAAGTGTTTGGAGTATGATCTGATATCGCGTGCGCATCCCGAGCGCCAAACCAAAAGTGCATGGAGGCGACATTGTCATAGGTGCCATGGACATATGTCCCACCCCCGCCACCCTTAGCTGCCGGAAAAAGAAGTAAGGAACATTTTCGGGCGAGGGATCCAGTCTTATATACATTTTTCTTGCTACTTTTCGTCGGTTAAAAAATAAAAAGGAGCCACACACAGATGTCCATGACACCTATGACAATGCAAGTAGTCCGTCCTCTGTAGGTCACTTGTGGATCATTCAAAGCGCGTTTGCTCGTAATAAGTCTATCTAACATCAGCGACGATGAAAGAGCTAAAAAATGGAAGCAAATATAGCTGTAAGAGGTTTGTGGGATTGATCGCAACGATGGGGGATGAGCATCTCGCCAAAAAGTCAAAATCACAATAGAATGTTATTTGGAGCACCTTGATGTACAATTTCCCCCTCCCATCCACCCAAATGTATCTCACTAAGAGGTCTTGCAGTTGTAAATCTTTATTTCATGGGACGGGACTGTAGTTACTACACTAATAACTACACTAATGACTAAGCTAGTAGACCCGCCGTTAGTCAATACCACTCTCCTTTCTCCTAGAAGAGAGAGAGAGAGGCATCGTCCAGGGCACACCACGAGGAGGTCGCGGGTCAAGGTAGTACCCCAACAAAAACAGCTCCTCCAAGCGCCTCCAAACGAAGTTTGGCTTGAAGGAATTAGAAAAACAAACCCGGGCTTAGAATTCCGCCGAAGGCGTCCATCCTCGCCCTCAACGACGACGACAGTTTGACGAGGGGTACCGAACACACTGACCGAAGGGCATTCCAGCGGCCGCGTGGGCCCGGCTCCTCTTTTTTCTCCACGGCCCCAGAACAGAGCACACGTAGTCTCTGTCTGGGACCGCCGCACGTTGGTGTTAGTACTCCTGTTTGTCGTGTCTGTCCTCTTGTTGGTTGTCGGGTTGTTGTCGGGCTGTTGATTTTGTCGGGCTGTTGGTTTTGTCGAGTTGTTGGTTTTGTCGAGTTGTTGTTGCTTGTCGAGTTGTTGTTGCTTTTCGAGTTGTTGTCGATGGTGGCCGCCGGTGGTGGTTGTCGGTGGTGGTTGTCGATGGCGGGTGTTGATGGTGGTTGTCGATAGTGGTTGTCGATGGTGGTTGTCGATGGTGTCGATGATGGTTGTCGATGGTGGTTGTTGATAGTGTCGGTGGTGTCGGTGGTGTTGGTGGTGTCGGTGGTGTCGGTGGTGTCGGTGGTGTCGATGGCGGTGGGTCGATAAGAAGAAAAGAAAAGAAAAAAGAAGGAAGAGAGAGAGCACTCAGTCCTTCTTCCTCTGTCCTCTGCCAAGCCATCGATGACCTCATAGCCGTCCGTCTCTCTCTCTCTCTCTCTCTCTCTCTCTCTCTGTCCAAACACCCAAAAGGAAAAGAAGGTGGTGGAAGGGAGAGGAAAAACTGGTTGGTCGAGAGAGAGCACGCACATGCTTTTTTCGGAAAAAAAGCCGAGACCACCCTGGGAAAATGGAGTCATCATGCAAATGGATGTCAGTTGCATGATAACGTATCCATCGCGTCCTCTTCCTCCATCGCCACCATCGCGAGGTTTTCTTTGGCTGTTTTTTGTTTGTCAACACTGCCTGGGTTCTTATGAATCTTGTTCGATTGAAGGCCAACCCACAAGACCCCGAGAGAGAGAAGGAAAACAATGGAAGGGGGAGTAACGTATCTATCCCCTTATTCTGTCGACCGACCCAACTCACCTCTCCATTACGACCATCAAACAAACAAGCACGACGTCGTAGCTGACCATGTGGGGAATAGAGACATGGAAAAGGTAATAAGAGATAAGGTATCAAAGGGAATCGGGCAGTTCTGATAGATGAGGGAATAATCGTTTGTACTTTTCTTTTTTCCATCTTGTCTCGTATTTCACTCCAATCGCCATCCTTCGTCCTCTTACACTTATCCCGTTCCTTTCTGGCAACGCATGCACGCATCTTCTCTTAGACTCTCTTTCCATTACTCGAACATAATTCGGCGGCGAAAGGCAAAGGCTCTGACCAGGCAAAGGTAACAAACAAAAACAGCCAAAGAAAACCTCGCGATGGTGGCGATGGAGGAAGAGGACGCGATGGATACGTTATCATGCAACTGACATCCATTTGCATGATGACTCCATTTTCCCAGGGTGGTCTCGGCTTTTTTTCCGAAAAAAGCATGTGCGTGCTCCCTCTCGACCAACCAGTTTTTCCTCTCCCTTCCACCACCTTCTTTTCCTTTTGGGTGTTTGGACAGAGAGAGAGAGAGAGAGAGAGAGAGAGAGACGGACGGCTATGAGGTCATCGATGGCTTGGCAGAGGACAGAGGAAGAAGGACTGAGTGGGTTCATAATGCTTCCCTCTCTCTCTCTTCCTTCTTTTTTTCTTTCTTTCTTCTTATCGACCCACCGCCATCGACACCACGACACCACCGACACCACCGACATTATCGACAACCACCATCGACAACCATCATCGACACCATCGACAACCACCATCGACAACCACCACCGACGGCCACCATCGACAACAACTCGACAAGCAACAACAACTCGACAAAACCAACAACTCGACAAAACCAACAGCCCGACAACAACCCGACAACAACCCGACAACAACCCGACAACCAACAAGAGGACAGACACGACAAACAGGAGTACTAACACCAACGTGCGGCGGTCCCAGACAGAGACTACGTGTGCTCTGTTCTGGGGCCGTGGAGAAAAAAGAGGAGCCGGGCCCACGCGGCCGCTGGAATGCCCTTCGGTCAGTGTGTTCGGTACCCCTCGCCAAACTGTCGTCGTCGTTGAGGGCGAGGATGGACGCCTTCGGCGGAATTCTAAGCCCGGGTTTGTTTTTCTAATTCCTTCAAGCCAACCTTCGTTTGGAGGCGCTTGGAGGAACTGTTTTTGTTGGGGTACTACCTTGACCCGCGACCTCCTCGTGGTGTGCCCTGGACGATGCCTCTCTCTCTCTCTCTCTCTCTTCTAGGAGAAAGGAGAGTGGTATTGACTAACGGCGGGTCTACTAGCTTAGTCACTGGTGTAGTCATTAGTCTAGTATGAACAATAAAGACATATATAAAGTGCAGGCAGATGAAATGACATTGGCGACGAGCAGAAGAATAGCAGCATGGAGGGGACATGGGTCGAACACAGCATCTAGCTCATGGTAGTCTTTTATTATGTGTTGCGCTTCATTTAGAAGAGATGAAAAGAGACAACGGGTCTAGAAGAGTATGAAGAATGGGCGAATACATGCATGAACTACAGTCACCGTTTGTTGTTTGTCTCAAGTCATTCTAACTAGAGGGCGAAGGTATAATTCTGGACGGGGATCCAAATTAACATCCGTGCGCAGGCATGAGCTTTGCATTTCGATCTCGTCCTTCAACCACTTGATACAGTTTCAGTTTCACTGAAGAGATCATACAAGCGAGGGGTCAATGCTGGCATGGCAATGATCTCGCTGTTATTTTTCGCAGATGGTTGTTAATAACAATTAAAAAATATGAAAAACCAAACGACGAGGATAACACAGGCTGGCAGGACAACTATTTTGTTTTGGTTCAGCTTTGATTAGTCAAGTGGCGTAAGTAGCCAAAGAGCACCTTCAAAAGAACTATTAAAGTTGATTCTTCGTCTGCACCGGCACAAGCACAAGCATATGCACCGACGTTAATATGTTGAAATGGTAATTTGAATCCCTGGCCCAGCGGTGTACCTTAAACCCGTTATGGTTTGGAATAAACAACAAACGGTGACCGCAGTGCATGCATTTATTCATACCCCCTCCCACACACACACACACACTCATGAGGATGGAATGTGCCCTGTAGCGACCAAGGACCCACGCGCTGCTGACGAGCGGCTGTTGGAGAATTTGTTAAGAAGGGTGGCATTGTCAATTATGGAGAAGATGGGAAGAATCCCATATATTCGTAGCTAGTTTTATTTTGTCTTCCGTTTAAGCTGTGAAGAGCTGTGGCGATTGTTGTGCAGAGCCAGGTTCTGGACAGGACTGCAGCTGGTGGATAAGAGTTTGGTCTGTAGTCCCATTTTACTTGCAAATGACTTTTTCTGTGCTGTTTGTCAGAGAAATAACAATTGTAATTGTGTACGACAAAAAAAAAGTATCTCCTGCTGTCAATGGCCTCGTCGTTTGTACCATTGATACTCTGAAAGAACCGCAACACATAATAAAGACTACCATGTGCTAGATGCTGCGTTTCACCCATGCCCATGTCCCCTCCTTGCTGCCACTCTTCTGCTTGCCCTTTTATCTACCTCGGCGCTTTTTTTTTTTTTTGTATACGTATCTTTATTGAGGTGGTATGTGCTCTTGGAGAAAATGAAGAAGATTTCTGAAGAAAGTAATAGCAGAACTGCTTCACCCCTTCTTACTTCTCGCGGGGAGCCAAGGCAGCTTGGACACGCTGCAACTTGAATTTAAAGATCGTCTCCCAGAACACAATCGCCTCCTTGTTCAACCTCCTTCCCTTCCCAACCTCAACTCGATGATCATGCGTCCAAATAATCGCCTGATCCTTTTCCGAGTCTGCAACCTCTCCACCCTCCGCCGTCACGGGCTTCTGGTTTGCGAAAGCGATCCATCGCTTCTGGATCTCAGTGCTCAATGCCAGCTCAGATTCTGTCAGGACGGTATCCGAGAACGGGGGTCCGAAAATGATGGGAAGCTCTCCGGCGTGCATTGCTCCCAGTCCGGGAATAATCTCATCCATCTTGTTGAGTGTAACGTCGTAGTAGTATCGCTCTAGGTGGAAATCATCGCCTCGGGACTTCTTGAGCTCCAACAGGGTGTCGGCAACTTGCTGGACGGGGTACTGGAAGATAAGGTCTCCGACAACTGCGGCCAGGATTCGGCTGGCGTCTTTGTCAGACTGTGGAATGCCGTAAATGGAATCAAACAAGGGGATGAGCTGAGGCGAGGGGGCGAATTTCTTGACGAGTTCTGGGAAGGTGGCGAGCTTGGCGTCCCCAAAGGCAGAAGCGAATACTGTGCCTTCATCCTTGTTGGTTCCGAGCATGATCGATTTGACGCTAGGATCGTAAGACGAGATCTGGGTAGACCATGTTTGGATGGGCAGGGTGGAGGGCAGCAGTTTACCGCCATCGTGGTAGGGGACGAATTGGAGTCCAGGTACTGCAAGATCCGAAGCGCGACTCAATTCATCCATAGGGACCTCCCTCAAACGCTTCACCTTCTCCACACCGTCTAGATCCTTGGGAATTCCAAGGGTCTCCACCAAGCGATCAAAAAGCTGCTGCCCATCCAGCTCGACCACACCGGCGGCCATGGTTCCAACAACACCCGACTGCATAATCGCATGATCAAACAGACCCTTATGGGCAGGGATCAACATATGGTAGTGCAACGACAGCGATCCTGCAGATTCACCCCACGCCGTCACATTCCTGTTGTTGCCTCCAAGAGCAGCAATGTTCTCACGGACCCACTCGAAGGCAAGTTTCTGATCCTGCAATCCCCAGTTTCCAACAGACTGGTCGTAAAGAGAGACAGGGGTTGAGGAGGTAGAGGCGTAGTGCTCCATGTCCTGTTGGAGTTCCTTGGATGCTATAAATCCGAATGCGGCGAGGCGGTAGTTGACGGCGACGACAATAACGGGTTGGTTCAGTTTGATCGAGTGTTCGACCAAGTTTCGCGCATCTATTTTTTTTTGTTTGTTTTTTAAATGTGTGTTAGCGTTAGTCAATTACAAAATAATAAGGTTGCAGGAACAAAAGAAACATTTGTATGGGGTCAACGCAAGGTCCTCTCCTGCTGTATTCGCATTCCCCATACCACCACGATTTATGAAAAAGAGAACAGCGAAGGCATATACCATAGAGATGGACATAGTTTGCGCCGGTACGTAAAGCGCCACCATGGATCCAAGTCATGACCGGTACAGGCTCGGCTCCCTCCTTCAACGCAGAAAGAGGCACAAAAATGTTCAAGTTCAGACCATCGACTTCTGAATGCTCAACTCCAAAGGGGTATGTGGGGTGGGATCCGATCTTGAGCATGGATGCGGGCACAAGCCTTCCAAGTGGGTATAATGTTGCTCCCTGCGGGCATGAGGGTCTATCGTGGACATGATTGTGATTGGGGGAGGAAGAGAGACTTTGTGTTAATTCGTTGTTTTGCTGAGAGTTGGACAAGTAAAAAAAAAGGATATATACACGTCTGTCTACTACAAACAATAACAAAAGAGAGAATATTAATTACCCCTGGATGGTGGCATCACGGACACCGGTCCAAGGCTGGGGCTTGACGGCAACGCGCCAGCGGACGGGGGCATGAGCATAGGGGACGTTACGGAAGATGGCGACCTGGCGTTGAGTGTCGACAGAGCCGCGGATGGTGCCGTAGTTAGGGAGGGTGATGTCGATTGTGTTTTCGACTGTCATTTTTTTTCTTGGTTGTGCAAATGAAAGTAATAGAAAAGGTTTGGAGGATGGGGGAGTGGGGGGAGAGAAGAAGGGTATGAAGAGCAATGAAAATGAGCGAGGGTTTTGGAAGAGGGTCAAGGTTTAAATAGTTGGAGGGGAGTGGGGTTGTGAAGGAAGAAACGGAATAAAGTATGAAAAGCGTTCTCAACAAGTGAGTGATGTCTTTGACCTTCGTTCTTATTGCTTGGCTCTTGGGGTGAAAGAGAGAACGAGGGAGGAACTGCGCAGGGGCCGACATCAGGGGGGTATTCAATTAGACTTTCGCATGTGTAGACAACTACGATTGAACAACAGCCAGTCATCCAGGGTGTAGACAAGCGCAAAAAAAAATACACTAGCGCACCTCCACGATATAATCATTTTTGCGTTGGACATATATTGTTTTTTAATGTATGTCCAACGCAAATGGTCATGAGTAGGTAGAGCATGCAATGTGCGAGGGGAGAACTTTCGCAACTGGTCGGATTTAATCCTTTTTTGTATAAAAGCGGCCCTGCACATGTAGACTTCTACTTATTGAATACTCCTCAGAACAATGGATGAACGGGAACAGACACACGGAAGCAATCGAGGGGAGTGAGCCGAATCGAAGAGTGAAGGAGGGGCCTCCAATGATTGAAAAGAACGCACAGACACGCGGAAGATGATCCCACAGACACACAGTAGCCTTTTCTATTGAAAAGGATCCGGGACAAAGTTAAGCCTTGGTTGAACCATTGGTCCACTTCATCAATTGTGACGGGGATTGATACTCTCGAGGTATCTAAAGCACATGCACTTGCAACCCGCAACCAAAGAAGGCCTCCCCCACACCGTTTGCTTAAACACGTTCCTTGTCCTTCGTTCCCACCCTTCCTTCACTCCTTTCATTCAACAACACCTCCCTCTCACCCACCAGCAAGGACATTGCAATCGCTCACACTCCCATTGACTTACATTCCATTCACTGGACATTCGCACAACAGGACTTCATCATCCCTGATTGTCCTCTCCACATCCTTCATTGTCATTCCTTCAACGTGTCATGTTGTGCATTGCATTCGTCATTTTCATTCAAACACAACGGACACCCTTCCTTGTAAGCTCAGCGCAGGTCGAATCCCAACCCCTTCTCTTCTTTCCCTTTCTTTCTTTCCCTTCTCTTCTTCAAACATACAAAAGCAATTGACAATAGCGCCATGGTAGCATACACAGAGCAACAACAACAAAATAAGCACGTTTATATGTAAACCTTTTTTATTGGAGAAAAAGAAAAAGAAAAAGAAAAGAACAGAAAAAAAAAACAAAAACCCCCAATTGTAATCGCAATTGCACAGCAACGGTAATGTCTTACTTCCAGGCAGCCTTGGCGACCTGGGTCCACATGGCCTCCCTCGACCGTGCATTGATAGGATCGTAATCCATCCTATAATCTGTCGCATACCTCACTCCATCAAACTCCAAAGGAATCTTGCTACCGGGTGCAAAGAACTCTGCAAGTACAACGGAGACAATCCCCTGGTATGGCGTGGGCTTGAAAGGGCTGGTCATGTTCCCGGACACAAACATGCCCACGAGTCCTTCCTGGGTCACTGCACCTGCGGCGGCGTATTGGTACTTGGACAGAGGTTGACCATTGGTGCCGCCGATGCCGTAGGTAAGGACTTTGTACTGGTCGGCGAGATAGTAAGCGACGTTGGCGCAGGCGGAGAGACATCTGCCGTCGGTGACGATGCGCAGGCGGGATGGGTTGTTGGTCCAGGGGTATTTCGCGAGGTTGGTGTTGACGGGGTGGGTGGCAGGTTTGTAGGCGGTCATCTTTGTGTATACTGCCTTGCGTCCGTTGCGAGTTTCGGTCACAGTGTCGGTGTAGAGCGAGTTGTCGGTGTAGAGGCGGTTGTTAGCATAGTCAAAGAATCGGGAACTGTCGTAGAATCCACCGCCCTGGAGAGAGAACATGTTGCCCATTTGACTGTATCCACCATCAGAAGATTTGAAGACCTTGGTGCTGAGTTGTTGGATTGCGGGAGTGACACGGAGGTTCATCTTGATAAGCTTATCGAGGGGTCCCTTGTTGGGGAAGAAGAACTGGGCGAAATCGGGACCGACATTGGCGTATCCGCCATCGCCAGAGACGATATCGATGATGATGTCGGTGACGCCCTTTTGGTAGAGGGTCTCGAGGGATTTGTAGTGAAAGTCAATGTCGTTAAAGTCAATCATGGCGGCAACGAAGACGATAACACCAACAGTGGGACGGTCCTTGAGCTGATAAAAGACGGTACTGTTGCCGGCCGCGATCTTGATCGCCTCGGGATATACTGGAGGGAGTGTAGGGTTAGCGACAGGAGGGGTGGTAACGGAAGGCGAGGGAGGGGAAGTAGCCTGGGCATCGAGCGCTCTCTTGTTGAGAGCATAAATCTCATCGTGGCGGTCGGACGAAATAGATACCAGATCACGCTTGCGCAGCGAGCCGGCACTGGCATCTGCACCACCAGCAGGAGCAAGACAGACGTTCTTGATATACGACTCTGTATCCGTAAACTGCCAGGGCATCTGTGGGCTAATGGCCCACTCATCCTCCACAATAACCTTCTTCTTCGACCCTCCGCACTGCAGTTCATATCGAACAGTTGCTCTCTCGGGCAACAGGTTGCGCAGGGCAAATTGGCCAGGGTAGGCAACAAAGTCTCCAGCGTCGGGCTTGTAGGCCATGGACGCAAGGGCCTCGTTGAGACGGACGTTGGGGTCCTTGGAGTTCATGAGGAAGCTAGCGCGTTTCTTGACTTGAGCCATTCCGTTCTTGCCGTCGATCTTGGTCACGGTACAGTCTTCATATTTGCGACCCTTGTTGTCCTTGTACACCTTCAGCTCCTGTTTGTTTTCATGAGAAGGAGGGGAGCGAGAGTTGCGATGATTAGGGTATGTAATTTGGGGAGCTGTAGGTTGTTTGTTAGTAAAGATAAAGATCGATGTGTGTTACTGTACCTGCTTGCCGTTGATGACGGGGGCGTACATGCTGATGGGTTGCACAAACATGTATGCCACATAGCAATAGGCTAATCAAAACAACGGAGCGCAAATAAGCATAATGTCAGACTCCTGGGAATATTTGCATACCGATCGAGAATGGGAAACAAAGAAAAATGAGCAAATGTGATCAACGTACGAGCATAGGCAGCGTGGCCATCATGCAAGGACTCAACAGCCTCATAAACATCCGTATGAAACTGCCTGTCACTCGTATACCGAGTCCGACCAATCTTCTTCAGTTTGGCAACAATATCCACAGGATCACTCTGGAAGGGCTTCGCCAGACGGGGTGACAATTCGGTGTCGCGGGAGACGTAGTACTCGTCAAAGATGGTGGTGAGCGAGTCGAGGGTGGCGCGGGCGGCTTCTTTGTTGAAGGGGATGGACGCGTAGCATTGGGCGACGTCGGCGTAGGTGATGTTGACGCCTTGTTTGACTGCTAGGTCAGAGCAGCCGTTGGAAGGAGCGGCGAGGGAGGTGGTTGCGAGAGATGCGACCGAGAGGGAGAGGATGAGGGTCTTGATCGAAAGCGAGACCATTTTTGTTCCACGTGCTTGGAGGGGAGGTTGGGTTAAGGTGAAAAGACGTATTTGGTTGTTTTGTGAGTATTTGTGAGAATATGCTTTGTTGGCTGTTGAGACTTGATGGGAAAACAAGAAAAAAATGAGGATGGTGAGTGCCCTTTTATGCATTATTGCATTGTTGGAAAACCAGGGTGGAGGTGGGGATGGAGCAGAGATAGGTGTTAGGGGCGATGACGGCGAGGAAGGACAAGGTGGGATCCTCAGTATGCGAATGCTCTTACTCGGTGACACAATGATTTTCCTTGGCACAGCAAGGACCAAGAGATCAAAATGGAGCATGGATCCTTAGCATATAATCAAACCTAGTTAGGAGAAGGAGGGTACGTGGAAAAAAGGCTCGGCGTCTTTCCTCTTCCCTTCTCCGGACAAATACGTCGCTCCTTGAAATTGGCACCTGACCGATGACTGGCAACCAGGGCAAGCCGAGGAATTAATGTTCGTAGCCTAATTGAGAACACATCCAATGCTCCATGATGATGGCACCTATTTTTTGTTCTTTTTCGAAGAGCAATTGCGATCGCAATATTAACCTTAATTTTGATATCAGCCACGCATGTAATGTACTGTCCCTTTTTTATTTTCTTGGCGCTGTGAGTGTTTTCTTGGCCATCTATTTCCTTGGCTTTTCTTGCCACTGCGCGGTCTCGGTATGAGACGTTTCCTGATTCTGGGCAACAGCCGTAGCGTGCGACAGTCACTAGATCGATTGTATGATTGAGGGATGGACGAATTGTGAGTACGAAAATTATACACCCTACTTCCGTCCTTCGACTCACGTTTTTCACACAAAAACAGCCTTGTGCGCCAAGGGGGGTGGAGGGCCACATGCAATAGGGGTTGAGCAATTGGGCACACCGTTCAGGTATTTTGCAAATTGACACTGACATGAAAATGTACTGGACAAATCGAGAGAGAAGATGCGGTACCCACTGCGCATTGTGGAGTTTCTCCTCCGGGATCATGACTCTTCCCTTCCTCACCTTCTCGCCTTAACCTCAGCTAAAGCCCTCTCTGACAATCGCCGGTCAGCCTTGATTTTGGTCTGGAGTTCATCCCGCGCCGTGTAATAAACAATTGAGGACCAATGGCATTGAAAGGTCAAGAAAACGAAGGAGAAAGAGACATGGTGGATGGGGGGGTTTTTTTTTTTTTTCAAGGTGAAGATGCCCGTCCGTGACGACACATCAGTTTTATCCAATTAAATGTGGAGCTGTCTAGTGTTCCTCGTACGTGAACATAGTCCAGTAAAGTATCCTAAACCGTACAGCGCACATGAGGATTCTACAGCCCGTCCTCGCCGGGTCAGGGACGACGCGTGTGGGTCCAGACGACCCTTGTTGCTTTGTGGGACGCGTTCAAGAAATCTAGGTGTGCTCCTCCTCCAAGTCCTTGATGACCATGTTGTCTCTCCTTTTCATAATATACATGCGCCTCAGGCCCAGCAAGGTGTCGATGACTGCTCGGTCAGCCACTCGAGTATCGCTCTGCTCGCCTCAGCACCGCTGTTCCCTGTGTTCTGCTGCGGCTCGTCTGCAAAGGCACTCGTCCAATGAGACGATGGCTCTTTTACCCGTGACTTCGAACTTTGAATTGTCACTTCCAGCTCCTGTAACAAACCAGTGGGCAATTCACACGGACGCGCTCTTTCTTGCTTCCCCTCCACACTCATAAACACACACACACACACACTCTCTCTCTCACACACACACACAAGCACAGCAAGGTTGCAAGCAACGACTCCAACAAAGCGCGCGACATACCATGGCCGGGAACAGGACTCGCATCTCCGCAAGACTCCAACCCGTCGCCGCCGCACTCGCCTCCGCACCCGGATCAGCATCCATCTCGACCGTCCTGGCTTCAATCTCTAACTCAAGTACTCCTACCATCCTTCCCTCCACACCCTCAACAATCACCTCCACAACACCAGCAGCAATCACAACCAGCCAACCGCAATCATCTCACACCCCTCGGAATCCTCATCGCTCTGCTAATGCCGATCGTACGCACCAGGAGGAGCCGGAACAGGTAGTGGAAGCAACAGCATCAGCAACACCTGTCTCACCACCACCACCAGCAGTGACATTTGCGGACGCAACACCTATCTCGATTCAAGAAGGCGTCAATGCCAGCGACAAGGACCTGATCAGCCTTGAAGTGGCGCCCTCCCCAACCTCCATGTCAACTACTGTCACGCCTACAGCAATTGAACCCACAATCAGTAGCGACAAGGGCAATGGCAACACCAACATCAACCATGGAGCTGACGCAGTCTCAATTGCTACCGTGTCAGCATCGTCTCCGCCTTCAACAACAGCAGCAGCAGCAACAATTCATCCTGGATGCCCCTCGGCACAAACAAACCCGCCAATCGCTTCTTCAACAGCAACAACGAGTGTGGGAATGGATTCTTTGCCGTTGGAAGGGACAAGCGACGACGTCTGGATAGGACGGGCACCAAATGCAGACGATAATAAATTGGCAGAGGTTCAGTCAACATCAACATCAACATCAACATCAACTACTGCTATCGCATCACTTCAAGACGTATCTCCGGCTCCCACTTCGGCACCAATCATCGATCTAACAATGGACATGGATGTGGACAGAACTTCGGAGACTATGGGATCCATTGGCAACAGAGAACCACGAGTCACTACCATCAATGGCACCGGACCCTCGAACCATGTCAACAGTCAACCCCAAACTGTGCAAAGAGTCCAGTCTAAGCAAACCTCGAAGTCGACATTGCCGCTTACGGTACGGTTGCGGCTCCAGGCGGCCGAGGCTCTGGAACGCAGGAAAATGGCGCAATCGGCATCCACAGTTACTCGATCAACACCCCCACCGCCACAGAGACAATCATTATCGACAATTGCACACTCTCGATCATCACAATCGCCACAATCCCCAACACCAACACCAGTAGCATCATCCAAGGTCCAGCAGGAAGTCGAGGTCTTGACAGAACGGGAGCAGCAGGAACGGCAACAATTGCTCTCCAATCGTGCCACCAACCCTCTGGATCTGCCCGAGATCCGAGCCAATATTGCCAAGTTCTTGACAAGGAGGGATCTCAGGAGCTGCCTTTTGGTCTCGGAGGGCTGGTGGCAATCTTTCCACCCGGCGCTGTGGGTGAACCTTCGACCTGTCTACAGGAACGTCCTCGGAGGCACGAACGACTACCCATCGGCGATGGACATGCATAAGAACAGCCACTTGATCAGGACGTTTGAGTATAATGGACATGGCACTGTGCTGACCTCTATGGTGCCCTCGGTTTATGATCAGTACAAGGCTGAGGAGCAGATGTGGCACAGGTCTTGGGCAAAGGAGGAGGCGGAGGATAACTGGGCCTATGTTGATGATGATGCCGCCATGAATGGGGATATCAGTATGGATCTGGATGAATCCTTGAGCGACTTTGAGAGGAAGATCGAGAGCAGAAGGATCGAACGACTGGCACGGAAGGAACAGATGCAGGATGTCATTGCCGCCAACAAACGCCAAAACGAGCTCAGCCGTTTCCTTAACGACAGCACCGACTACTCAAAGCACTACTGTCACCAACTAGAGCGACTCATTCTGACGGACAAGCGGTTCTCGAGGGAGTGGGGATGCCACTACAAGTACTGGCTCCGGTTGATGCAACTGAACTCGGAAACTTTGCGAGCGCTGGAACTTCACTACGCCATTCGATCTTTGGACGCCCTTCGGGATTTTTACACAGGCGCCTTTGCTCTGGAGAATGTTCGAGATCTGGTCCTGGTCGACAACGACATTGACGCGCAAAAGACCAAGGTATTTCTGGAGATGGTGTGCCCGAGGCTGCGGAAGCTAGAGCTCAGGAAGGTCAGGATCGAGTTTGGACCCTTCCCCAACCAACCAGCAACACCAACCGACGGTGTGATCCAGGCGATGCCGCAAATGAAGTCCCTCACTCTGATCCAGGTCCACGCTCGCAGTAGCACCTTTGGTCTCGACTTTCTCAAGATGTGTCCAAGTTTGGTCGAGTTGGATTTTCGTCCGCAGTGGGGGATGGCTGTCAAGTCGTTTACGGAAACACTGGCGGAGAAGTTGCCGAGATTGACTCATCTGTCATTCAGGATGCAGGGACTCTCGGACCTGGATGTCTCGTCGATGATCAAGGGTGTACCGGAACTTCGAAAGCTGGATATCTCTGGCTGTGTCTTTGGGATGATGGCGGCCAACAACTTGACGACGCGACACCTCCTCTCTGTGACCTATCTTGACATCCGGAGCTGCGCACAAGTGACGGGGACGTTGATCCAGCGGGTCTTGGGCGAGTGTCGGAGCTTGAGGGTCTTTTTCGCAGATCACATCAGGGCCAAGGATGTTGTTAACAACTCTGTTTATCCTGACTGGGCTTGCATTGGCCTCAAGGAGCTCACCATCGACATTAGGGGCAGTCCGCACGATCGGGAGACGACAATGAAGGTCTATCGACAGCTGGCGGCACTAGAGTGTTTGGAGTACTTGGATATCAGCAGGAATACATCCAGTGCCATCCCAGCAACTGACGCTGATGGCAAAGCCAACTGCCTGACATTGGGATTGGACAAGGGTCTGAGGCTGCTGAAGACTTTGAAACACCTCCACACCCTTGTCTACCGCGCGATCTCCAATAATGACGTTGGCTTGGTTGAGTTGCAGTGGATGGCGTTGGCGTGGCCAAAGCTGGGACATCTGGGAGGCAAGTTGGTGGAGAGGAAGGTCTCACGGTTCAACCCATGCGCGTACCCAAACACGGTCTCGGCCGCTCCTGGAGGTGCGTCCAGTTCTGGTTCTAGTCCGAGCATTACTTCTGGTTCAGGGTCAAGTACAGGAACAAGTACAGGAACAGGATCAAGGACCATCACCACCGGCAACCAGGTGGAGAAAAGAGTTGTCTCAGAACCACCGGCGGACCTCATGGCAACAACACTGAGGCGACTGAATCTCCATCGACGGATCCAAGTGATACCTCACCCAGAGGACAAGATTTCGACAGCGGCGCGCAAGAAGCGGAAGCTGATGCTGGTGGGTGACTCTTCGGATGAGGAGCGGGATCGAGAACGAGATCGACCAAGGATTGGGCAACTCGATCCTCGGTACCGTCTCGACTTTCGCGATTGAAACCAGAAAAGAAAGCAAAGTAGACAAGTTCGAATAAAGAAGAATAGTTCTATAAGGGCACTTGTGTTTATTTGTTCATGCAATTCTTTGCCAGCAACTTGGCTACACGAATAGTAAATATAAAAAAAAAAAACTACGAGACCTCTATTTTATTTTCTTGGGCAACAGCGGGACATGTCACTGTTCTCCACTTTCCAGTTGGAACGGTGAAGGACTAACTAAAAAGTAAAAGAATAACAGAGGACCAGCTCTCCCTGTGTGGCGTTGCAAGTTGGTTGGGAAACGCTGGCATAGTCTGCTCATGTGAATAGGACATTTTTGACCTGGAAGCAAGTTTTCAACTGAAGTGAATAGAACTTTAATCGAACACTAATCTGGGTCTCTCATCCTCCTCCTCCTCTTCCTCCTCTTTGTCCTCTTCCCCGTTCTTGTTTTCAAGCAGAAGAGAATAGTTGCAACAACCATCATCATCTGGATCGTTAGCAAAGCTTGCTGTCCTCCTTGAACATGAAATACCCTACCAGATCAAGCCCGTCCTCCTTGGCCATCAGTTCCACACTCTCAATCGCAGCTTCCAAAGATCGCGAAATGGAAAGGTGGCGGTTGAATGTAGGCCTGTTTTGATCCAGGTCACCATTTTCCGCCGCCTGCCTGAGTTGGTGCATGGGGGGGGGGGGGGGGGGGGATGATGGAGAAAACAGGATGAGCCCTCTTTTTTGTTTGTCAGTCATTTCTTCAGTCGCGCGCACAAGATTCTATTCACTTCAATTGAAAAAAAAAAAATCGTAAAAAAATATGGATGCTACATGCATAGATGTCATGTACTGATGCAGCAATCCTCTGTAAAGGAAAAAAATAATTGCGAGGAGGCTAGGCGACTTGTCTACTTGCAATGCATGCATGCCATGTATTGACGTCATGGAAAAAAAAAATTGCAAGTAAGCGAGACGCATGCAAACATACCTTTATGGATGTATGTATGCATGTCATGTATTGATGCACTAATCCCATGTCAAGGAAAAAATCTTTTGCAAGGAAGCGACCGGTGTTGGAACAGCAATCCCTATTTTTTTTTTGCGAAGCGAGCCCTACTTATAAAAGAGGGACATCACCTCCGTTTCTTCGTACTTTCTCCATCTTCTTCCCAACTCCACCTCATTCAAAACAGCCTTTCAGCACCCTTTCTTTCGGTATGGCTCGCGGATCCGCTTGTACGTACCACGATTGTGGTCAAGGTCTTCTTGTCGCCGGTCGATCACTATCCAGGGTTCAGAGGAACCACATTACAGCATACCACAAGGACCATCCCTTCACGTTCGTTTGCAAACATACCAGTCAACAAACCACTTTCAACCGACAAAGCGCAAAGGGCATGGATTTCGTCTGCCACTGCGGAAAGACATTTACCCTCAACTCATCTCTACAACGCCACTATCAGTCCTGCATGGTTGCAAGAGACACCGCTCTTAAGGCACCCAAGACGCCGGCGCAAGTCGATATCCCGGTTCCTAGCCAAGAAGAAGCTATACCTTTGCGTTCATCCGGCTCAAGCGGCGGTACCACTGCTTCAAGTGTCCCTACATCAACTGCTCCGGTGGCAGATCCAGCTACTTCTGGACAGTTACTGGAGGAAAAAATGATGGAGCGTCATCATATTTTCTTGGAGACGTTCATAGAGCATGCGACAGCCCAGCACACCAGGTTCATGGTTTCAATGACCGAGCACCATATGACGTTCTTGCAAGCCTTCGCCACCGCTCAAGTTCAACAAGATACCGATCTCCAGAGCGCCGTCGCGGAACATCATCGCAAGATCTTGGAGAAACAGCGTGCATACCTTGATTCCCAGCAGAGAGCTCTAGAAGAGTTGTTGTCGGAGCAAAGGCTCACTAGGGTTACAGTCAGGAACCTTTTATCGGCAAAGCGCAAAAGATCGTGCACTTTGGAAGTTGACGAACAAGCGCTCAAGAGAATCCAAAACGACCCATCTTACATTGTTCGTTCTACTCAAGACAAATAAATATATATTCTCGCATACGTTTGTAGATGGTTTCGTAGAAAGGTATATAATGGACGGAGAGGGAGACAAAACATACGCCAATGGTGACATGAACAGCGAGTGGTAAAGGTGTATGGATTGTGTGTGGGAAGTAAACGAGAAGAGTGTGTTGTAAATGGGACAGGTGTATCGAGAGTCAGAGGTACAGGTGCATGGTTCAGGAGCGTCGACAGAGACTGGTGCAGGTGCGTATTGACATACCCATACCAAGCAGGAACTCTGTATAGCCAACAAAACTTGGATACATCCCTTCTGTCAATAAAATCCAACAACAAAAGAAAGGCACCTCTCGGTTTTCCATGTTTGATATATTTCGCGTACATCTATCTTCAATAAAGGCCGATGCTGCTGGATCGTCCACCAACATTATGCAACACCGTCGAGCTGATCTCACCTACGCCGTCAACGCTACACCGCACCCTCCACTCATACCACACCTTGCGCACATCCGTCAGTCTCCAAAAGTCCAGCACCACCTTAGCTCCTGTGGGGATGTAGAGGGGCGTCTTCACTGGGAAGTAGATAGGGAACCAACTGAACATTCCTGGAGAATGGGTCACAGGGTTGATACTGAGCATGACGTCCTTGTACAGGACAGATTCAAAGTATCCCGCTACTCCGTGAAGCATCCCGCTGGTCTCTGATGTGAACTCGATAGATCCTGACCGAATGTTATGGTGATTGCTCAGTGGATCTAATCATACACGATAAGCCAAAGGATGCAAAAGTTAGTCGGACACCCTCCCAAAACAAAAAGCCAAGATGACAGAGGTAAAGAAATAATGTGCTTAGAGTGTAAAAGTACCTTGACCCATGGGAATGTCCGCCCAGTTGGGGTGTTCAAAGGCCCAGATGGGCTTGGGCTGAGCCAGCAATGAGATCGCCTTGAACATCACAACATATGAGGTCTCAAAGTGCGCCAGATCCTTAAATGCCGACACATCCGCGTGCAACTTGTTCGAGGCCATGGGCGCAACAAATGCTGTGTAGTCTGCGGGGATCGAGATACCATCGGGTTTCAAGAACTTTTGCGCGCCGTCCAAACACTCTGGCGAGAGCTCATTGTCGCCAAACGATCCTAGCAGCTCGCTCACAAGAATATCTGCCTTCTCGGGTGCCTTCCATGTCCGCATGTCCGAGAACACAATGGTAACTCGATCGCCCCAGAGGTTCGCCTTCATATTTTGAATTCTATAAAATTGCAGATATAAATAATTCGTGTTAGTCTTCAGCGGTGAGAAATGGCTCAGAAAAGCAAGGTCAACAAGAAAGAAAACGTACGTGACGAATGCGTTGGGGTTCTTCTCGACAGCATAGACTCTGACATTACGCCCAGCCTTGTCTGCTGCCCTGAGAGAGCAATTCACCAGGGGTCCACGCCCTGCCCCAACGACCATGATCACAGTGACATCTGGTTTGCCATCTGTTGGCACAGGTCGATCCAGTAATGCTCTCTCCACTGCCAGCTCGTATTGCTGATACTTGATAGGATCCTTCTCGAATGTCTCGTAGGTGCTCGACTCGAGGTTATCCTGAAGAGGTTGCAACGGTGCCTGCAGGTAGTCCTGGTATCCGGTCGCAAACTGGTCAATGACTCCTGGTGCTTCCTGTGTGCGGTGAAGGTATCGAATATAGTCCGCATGAGGTGATGCCAGGCTCTGCTCCAAACTGTCATCAGAGAACTCGTCCAGGACCAGTTTTGGCAGCGATGACGACGAAAGAATGAACGCCGGCTTGTACTTCATGAACTTCCTGACAACATGTTGGTGGCGCTTGCTCAGAACTGGGTATCCTTTGCTATTGGTGAGGAAGATATCCTCTGACAAAATAATCGCCTTGACGGGTTCAGCGAACCAACGATCCAGCACTTGGTCAGAGGGAACCGCGCCCGACAGCTCCAAGGCGATCCCGAGCTTTGACTCTGATCCTGCCATGTTTCTCAAACTGTTCCAGCGCTCCCAGCTCTCCATGCCCTGAAGGTCCTCTGATACGTCCGCCTCAAGGATTTCGTCCATACAAGGCACCTTGAACCAGCAGGATGTGTAAGCGAGCATAGACAAGGATCCTGTCAAGACGCGTCCGTAGTTGGCGAGGGGCTGTGTTGAGGGTGGGTAAGGGAGCATGACACCTCCTAGTCCCAGATGTGCTGCCCAGTTAAACTGTTGCTTCAAAGCCAGTTCAGAGTGAAGTCGCACTCTGGCGTCCGGCGAATCAAAGTCCTGCCAGTCTGAAAGTGTGCCCACAATGTAGTCGGTACGGTCTGTTGTTATAGAGGGTGTAATTACTTCGCGTTAGTATTTCGCCGTGGCAACAAAAGGCAAAATGATAGACACGAACGAGTTTTAGACTGTGAGGTCCCTTTACCAGCAGTGCGCAAAACAAGGTCCTCGGGCTTAAACGCCTCCTGTCCTGCTCTCCAGGCGATCAAGGCAGGGCTCTGGGAGCCTTCACCAGGAAAGAGCACGCGCGAGTAGTTGGGGCTGTTGATGGGCGAGACTACAAAGTCGTATGCCTTTGTCTGTCCGTACATGACAAGGTTAATGACATTGTCGGCAGTAACCTTGTCTGCGGGAGGCATATAGCCGATCTGTATGGGATCCAATGACATGTTTGCTGCTCGGACTTGTTGGAAGGAGATGGCCATGCGTGGGGTGGAAGGAACAAAGAAAGCAAAAAGTGAGCGAGCTGATGTCCACCTTCAAATAGTGTTTTCTTGTTGTTGGAGTGACTGTCATTTTGATACGCAAATGAAGCAAGGGCGCGTTGGGCACAATATTAACTTCTAGTTGTACATGACTTTCATACACGCTGGGGGGAAAATAAGCATTGGACCAATGCTCCTTCCACCTTTGCTTCTCCTCTTCGTCCCAGAACCCCGTTGGCTAGCCTCCCAATACCAACGGAACATCCTCGACTTTGCACACCTCACACTGGAGGAAGAAATAGAAACTCAATTTGTCAACCGAAAGCAGAAAGGGATGATCGACGTGGTCTGAGCGCAGGAAAGAAGGACCATCAAGCTATTCCCGTTCCTGAGCCTTGCTTGTGTCTGATAACTTTGTTGATCATTGTCACCCCCTCTTTGCGCTGGTGTACGCCTGTTAATGTTGTCGTTGTTGTAGTTGTGTTGTTAACCGCTCCTGAAGCATACTGCGCCAATGTGAAAGTGAGAAAAGAAAAAAAATGGCGGGAGAGCCTGGTGCAGTTGTTTGTCAGGGGTGCGAAAAGAGCACCATAGTAATAAGAGCAAGCCCATTCAAACACGCCTTTTTTCCACTTTCTCGTTCTCTGTGTCCACCTCGCTCGTACCCCTTACTCCCAAGCTCATTCAGTCGTTCGTTCCCAACTTTTTTTTCTTCCATCACACAACCCGTCAGCGTCAGGTCACTTTAGGTTTCAGATGCGCGTAATAGAGATTGAAATTAAGAGCCCCTTAAATCAGATGAACATAACATCTTGTTGCGAAATCAGTAGTGTTTCTCAAGAACATAGTGCATTCGCATTCGCATTCGCATTCGTATCATGTAAAATCAATGGAAACCCCTTTATTGCACTCTCAGTTGTTGTCTCTGGTTCTTCGAAATCAGCTAACGTTGGTTGATTGCTCGAGTGTCTTGGAAAAAGGCAAATAGCAAAAGAACCATCGTGCTACCCTATTTGTACTAGTGTAGCATTTACGTTTGGCTAATCTACCGTGAAGTTGAAATTGTGTAAGGGGTCTGGAGTTTTGTAACAATCTCAACACGTCCGATGCAGGGAGGAGAGAAAGAGCCGACATCGAAGGATCAAAAAGCAACGTCGCTTTGAACGCTTGGCTGCCACAAGCCTATCAGCATATGATTTTGTTTCTTAAGAAAAATGTGAGCACAATGCTGTGCACACCCTGCTCGTGACAAAGCAACACAAAAGGCAAAGCAAAAGGGCAAAGTAAAAAGGCACAGCAAAAAGGCAAAGCAAAAAGCAAAGCAAAGCAGTAGCCAATTATCATTACATTGCATGTTCAAGGTCGTCTCTATTTCAAAGACAAAAGGTTTATCTCGTCTTGCCATACCCTCGAATTTTTCCTCAGTTCCCTTGAAATTTTCTTTGTGCAACCATGATCGATAATGACCGGTAGAGCATCCACAGTCATGGAGAAATGGCGAAGCAAAATATTGACTTCGCGTTAAAGTAGAAGTGTTCCCGGGGTGGGGGGTGGGTGGGGAATTTGTCTTTTTCACTCTTTCTCCTCTACCATCACACACATTTCCCCTACTTTACTTCCCACACAAAATCACTTCTCTATCCCATACCCCCCTCACCTACAACGCAGTCATCTAAAACGAGCAATGGAAGAGACTCAATCATTTCGCCTGACTGGAACGACAGAGATCGTGAGAATTCCCATCCAGCATGTTGATGGACAGAATGTCGTTTACTGGAAGAGCATCGAACAAGTTTTTCCTGGAGTCAAATATGTCAAGAACGGCGACGTTGCGTATGTACAAGTATACAGAAGTGCCTCCAATACTCGTTTAAAACAGCGATGCTGAGCAAGCACATAATTATATTTTTGTTATCTAGAATTCCTTGCCACATCAAGTACTTCCCGGGTGTAGTTCTGGATATTCTCTTGTCCAGCGCCACCGAGCACGTTCATGTCGAGTCTGCAGTGGAAGCGACAAGTGTGGTTCCGACCATTGCTCACAACTCTGCTCTAACCATTGGTCGAACCGACGCTGCCGCTGGTCCTAGGACTGAATCGTCAAGCGAGGACAAATTTATCGAGGGTCAGCAAGTCACCTCTGCATTGGCACAAACACCCATCGGCGACATCGGTACCCGCAGTCCATCAACTAGCCCTTCAGTTTTACCGCCGAGTTTACCCTCCGAGGTCAAGACGTCTTCCAAGCCCGCGCTGTCATTCATGCAAGTTGTGAAACTCGCATCGAAGAAGGCAAACGAGTCTGATGGTTGGATTCAACAGAAAGAGCTCAGCGCCAAGATGGACCATATGATCAAGTCGCAGGAAGAGATGAAGCAGCTGCAAAAGGCGTTTGACGCCAAACAAGAGGAGATGAACCAATTGCAAAAGGCGTCTGACGCCAAGCAAGAAAAGATGAAGCAGCTGCAGAAACAGATGCTTGAGCACCAAGAAGAGATGAAGCAGCTGCAAAAGGCGTCTGACGCCAAACAGGAAGAGATGAAGCAGTTGGCCCGTGATCACCATGAAGAGATGAAGCAATTGCAGGAGAAAACTCTTGAGCAGTTAGCTGTGCTTCAGTCTCGTGTCCAATCCGTCCTGACTCAAACCTATGAACTGCATGAGTACCCTATCCCTCGTCTCTTTGTTGTCCTTCCGCAGGACCCCTCAGGATGGAATACCATGAGTCCCTTCTCGAACAAGTTCCGACTTTACTTTTTGTGCGAGTGCAGTGAACACACAAAGTCGATCAACAACAAGACCAAGATCCCTCATCACATACATTTTGCCAAGCATGAGGGTTACGAGATTGCTCGACCTTCAGAGTTCTTTCAGCAGTACGGCTCCTATGTCCTCACGATCCTCAAGATGCTCAAGTATGGAGTCACGGTTGCAGGCATTGTTATGCCTGCATTTTCTCAGTTGATCAGCCCAGACGTCCTCGGCCAGTCTATCGTTTGTTTAAAGCTGCTGCAAGATACCATCGTACCTGGGGTGGATCAAGTCATAAACTTGATGGACAGCGAAGGTAATGATAGGGCCTCTATTCGAACTTCGAATGATTTGAATGCCCCTTAAAAGTCCCTTTATTTACATTTTATTCCATTCAAATAGATGCCCTAGAAGGGGTTACCGGGCAGGTGGTTAACAAAGAGGCTTTGGAAGGCGCCGATCTGCGCAGGCTGGAGACATTTCTGAAGGACAAGGATGGAGACAAGGTGCTGGGAAATCTGTACAGGACTGTAACGGACGAGGGACACGTCAAATGGGTGTGCATGGACCATTACCGCGAGAACTACAACAAGACTGCAGCTGAAGCATTCCGACGTACAGTTGATGCAGTAGGAGGGTCATTTGACGAGAACAATGGTCTAGTGAAAATGGAACTTCAGTCAAGAGTGTTGGCAGACCAATTCTCCTTGGCATTGGGAAGAGCGAGATCTGTTTACGAGCTTGATGTGGACTTCAACTGGGCTTGCACTACAAGCGATCTTGAAGTATTGGAGAGGGCACTCAAGACATCAAGAGTATCGATCCTTCGACTTGCTATTCGACAGTTTCGAACAAGCAACCTGTCATCGAAATCTACGCAATACGGGGTATTGATGCGCATCAAAGGACTTCCTAATATGAGAATGATTCATGTCATCCTCTCCAACGACGTCGTCAAGTTTCTCAGCATTCAACCAAAGACACCGTCTCGCCTTTGCAAGTTATCCCTTGAGGTGACACCTGAATCAGTTAGAGGAAAAGATTTCGCAGCACTAGCAGAGGTTCTCAAGACCAACTCGACTCTGACCACCTTGAACTTGAAGAGCAACAAGATCGGAGTCAACGGAGCTCAGGCGCTGTCTGAGGCACTTAAGACCAACTCGATTCTGACCACTTTGGACTTGCAGAGCAACTCGATCGGAGACAACGGAGCTCAGGCGCTGTCTGAGGCACTCAAGACCAACTCGATTCTGACCACTTTGGACTTGCAGAGGAACTCGATCGGAGATAACGGAGCTCAGGCGCTGTCTGAGGCACTTAAGACCAACTCGACTCTGACCACTTTGGACTTGAGTTACAACTCGATCGGAGACAACGGAGCTCAGGCACTGTCTGAGGTACTCAAGACCAACACGACTCTGACCACTTTGAACTTGCAGAGGAACTCGATCGGAGACAACGGAGCTCAGGCACTGTCTGAGGCACTTAAGACCAACTCGACTCTGACCACTTTGGACTTGCAGAACAACAATATCAGGTTTCCAGGGACTGTGGCATTGGCTTTGGCTTGCAATAAGAACTCAACTTTAACTACTATGAGCTTGCAGGACAACTTTATCAGTTCTAGCCTTTACCAGGCGCTGGCTAAAGCACTCAAGACCAACTCCAGTCTGACCACTTTGGACGTGAGGAGCTACTCGATCGGAGACAACGGAGCTCAGGCACTGTCTGAGGCACTCAAGACCAACTCGACTCTGACCACTATGGACTTGCAGAGCAACTCGATCGGAGACAACGGAGCTCAGGCACTGTCTGAGGCACTCAAGACCAACACGACTCTGACCACTATGGACTTGAGTTACAACTCGATCGGAGACAACGGAGCTCAGGCACTGTCTGAGGCACTCAAGACCAACACGACTCTGACCACTTTGGACTTGAGTTACAACTCGATCGGATCCAACGGAGCTCAGGCACTGTCTGAGGCACTCAAGACCAACACGACTCTGACCACTATGGACTTGAGTTACAACTCGATCGGAGACAACGGAGCTCAGGCGCTGTCGGAGGCACTTAAGACCAACACGACTCTGACCACTATGGACTTGAGTTACAACTCGATCAGAGACAACGGAGCTCAGGCGCTGTCGGAGGCACTCAAGACCAACACGACTCTGACCACTATGGACTTGAGTTACAACTCGATCAGAGACAACGGAGCTCAGGCACTGTCGGAGGCACTTAAGACCAACTCGACTCTGACCACTTTGAACTTGTACAACAACAAGATCGGATCCAACGGAGCTCAGGCGCTGTCTAAGGTACTCACGACCAACACGACTCTGACCACTTTGGATTTGTACGGCAAATCGATTGGAGACAATAGAGCACAGGTGCTGTTTGAGACACTCAAGACCGATACGACAATGACCACTTTGGACTTGTACAACAACTCGGTCGGAGACAACGGAGCTCAGGCACTGTCTGAGGCACTTAAGACCAACTCGACTCTGACCACTTTGAACTTGCAGAGTAACTCGATCGGAGACAACGGAGCTCAGGCACTGTCTGAGGCACTCAAGACCAACACGACTCTGACCACTTTGAACTTGCAGAGTAACTCGATCGGAGACAACGGAGCTCAGGCACTGTCTGAGGCACTTAAGACCAACACGACTCTGACCACCTTGAACTTGAAGAGCAACAAGATCGGAGTCAACGGAGCTCAGGCGCTGTCTGAGGCACTTAAGACCAACTCGATTCTGACCACTTTGGACTTGCAGAGCAACTCGATCGGAGACAACGGAGCTCAGGCGCTGTCTGAGGCACTCACGACCAACTCGATTCTGACCACTTTGGACTTGCAGAGGAACTCGATCGGAGATAACGGAGCTCAGGCGCTGTCTGAGGCACTTAAGACCAACTCGACTCTGACCACTTTGGACTTGAGTTACAACTCGATCGGAGACAACGGAGCTCAGGCGCTGTCTGAGGTACTCAAGACCAACACGACTCTGACCACTTTGAACTTGCAGAGGAACTCGATCGGAGACAACGGAGCTCAGGCACTGTCTGAGGCACTTAAGACCAACTCGATTCTGACCACTTTGGACTTGCAGAACAACAACATCGGGTTTCCAGGGACTGTGGCATTGGCTTTGGCTTGCAATAAGAACTCAACTTTAACTACTATGAGCTTGCAGGACAACTTTATCAGTTCTAGCCTTTACCAGGCGCTGGCTAAAGCACTCAAGACCAACTCCAGTCTGACCACTTTGGACGTGAGGAGCTACTCGATCGGAGACAACGGAGCTCAGGCACTGTCTGAGGCACTCAAGACCAACTCGACTCTGACCACTATGGACTTGCAGAGCAACTCGATCGGAGACAACGGAGCTCAGGCACTGTCTGAGGCACTCAAGACCAACACGACTCTGACCACCTTGAACTTGAGTTACAACTCGATCGGATCCAACGGAGCTCAGGCACTGTCTGAGGCACTCAAGACCAACACGACTCTGACCACCTTGAACTTGAAGAGCAACAAGATCGGAGTCAACGGAGCTCAGGCGCTGTCTGAGGCACTCAAGACCAACTCGACTCTGACCACTTTGAACTTGAAGAGGAACTCGATCGGATCCAACGGAGCTCAGGCGCTGTCTGAGGCACTCAAGACCAACTCGACTCTGACCATTTTGAGTAGTGAATAGCCGATATCACCTCATTACTCAAAGCCCTTACTCGTTAAAAATGGTAAAAAACATTCGCTCAACCATAAGGTAAAGAAAATAAAAATTGTTCCGAGTCTTAAATCGAGATGAGATTGCAACTAAATGAGGGGCAAGTCATTTTGAAAACCCCTTTACGTCTACTAGCTGTTCTTCGCCCGTGACTTCGTCACAGCCTGCCTGACTCCGTCAGGCGTGTAAAGAGATAAAAGAAAGAAAGCAAATGAAAAGAGATATGTATATGTATTAAGGTATATAATGAAGATCTATGATAGTGCGGCAGAAAAATAACGTTTCTGGTATAATAGCCAGGACTTGGTAGGAAAATGTTATCAGGGTCGGATAGAGGAAACAAAAAAGAGGGGCGTTGAGAGATAAAGACCATAAGGTTGTGAGGGTTGGAACACCTGGACAATGCAACGTAAAGTTGCCCATGCGAAAAGAGGTGGTGGGTTAAATAAATGCCAACAGTATTAAGAGTTGTGCTTATGCTTTGTTGATAGCAAGAACAAATGTAGGACGAATGAGGAACTGCTGCCATATGAACTTGATTGTGCAAGAACTGTCATCATTGGAGTACAGAGGAACTCGAGTGATGAGAACAATGTCGTCCGTGAAGGCGCCCGAGATAATCCTTGCCTCGATGAGAGTGTTCTTGAGATTTGATATGCGCATTCTTGTTCCGTTGCAAATTCCACGTTTGCTGTCGACATTTCGAAGAAGCATGATAGGCTGACCAACTTTGAGATTCAATTCGTGAGGAAGAAGACCTTGCGGTTGTTGAGATTCAGAAACTCGACGGGACAGTTGGTGGCAGCGTTAGAGTCAGCATCCAGAATGTAGTTGGCGGCCCCTCCATGTGCGAAGGATATAAAAAAGCATATACAAAATATCCAAAGCCCAAGGAATGCAGTGTTGACTTCCATAGCTGATGTATCTCTTCACAGTCGGCAATAGAACCTGAAATAAAATAGCCGCAGATAGCACATGATTTTTAAAAGTGTAATCTCTCCCCTGTATTTCACAACAAAGATACAGCTGAGGGTACAAGTGCTTTAGATGATCACATACAAGAAGTACTACCCTTAATCTCGCAGTGAGGGATACAGTTTAATAGTAGATGAACATATTCAAGAGTTTGGTGTGCGAAAAATAGGAAGACTTTGTTGTTTGGAACATATCATGGTGTTTAGTAGGATAGTTAAACAAAAAATGTTACAATGGTTGTCTTACATGCTTGGTATCATATATACATTCTCATCTCATAGTCGCTATGGATATCGTCGAGATCTACAGAGATGTAACAAACACCATATGATAATTTGGACGTGAAAGACCTCCTTGCATGAGCATGGCACCAACTGCAAATTTGGAAGCATCACAATGGACAGAGACGGGGCGAGATGGGTCAAAGATCACAAGGACAGGAGCCTGGGTCATGGCCTCTTTGAGGGCTTTGAAGGCGGATTCTTGCGGCAGGGACCAGACGAACGGGGTTTCTTTTTCAGGAGTTCATTCAGCGGGGCGGCGATCTTGGCGAGATTGTGGATAAAACGACGGTAGTAGTTGACCAGGCCAAGGAACGACTGGACGTCATTCACACAGGTAAGGGCTGTCCAATCGACGATGGACTTGACTTTGCTTGGATCGACTGCAACACCGTAGCGGGAGATGATATGACCGAGGAAACCGACTTCGGACTTGAAGAACTCACATTTCGACAATTTGGCATATAACTTGTTCTCTTCTAGTTTCCGCAGGACACGCTCGAGGTCGGCTTCATGCTGTTCTTCATTACCACTGAACGTCAGGATGTCATCCAGATAGATGATTACAATGGAGTCCAGTTCCTCTTTGAACACGTCGTTCATGAGGCACATGAAGGTCGCGGGAGCATTTGTCAAAGCGAAGGGGAGGACGAGGAACTCGTAAAGGCCATAACGAGTGCGAGAGTACATGCAGCAAACGCAGTTACAGTAATGGCTTTTGGCGATCAAGTGTTTACTGTTCTTGACTGGCCAACCAAGCTTTCCAAGCCTCAACATCATCGAACACGTTTGGGCCTATATAAAATACCAAATCACCACGTACGAGCAGACCCTTTAAAAGCTTGCGGGAGCTTTGGAAGTGCGTGCAGGATATTTGGACAGGCCTTCCCGTTGAACTTGCTTCAGGAGTTTATACGAGAGCACGCCCATACGCATGAGGAAGTCGCTCTGAAAAAAAAGAGCCCACATAGATTATTGAAGGGCCTTGGCCCATTTCCTCCTTTTCTCTCTCTGTCCCCCCCTCCTTTTCCTTACCACACACTCGCACACGTTCTCACCAATCAAAAAAGGCGGCTGGGTCAATTTAAACACGCGAATGTTCCAATCAAACGCGCTTCCACAAAATTAAATGGCTGAAACCCCGTCTCTGAAAGGCTGCTCGCCTACTCTTACGCTTACTCGGCTATTAATTATTGCTACTTGGTTGTAGCAAATTGCATTCCTTTAGCAAAAATGCCACTCCGTAGTTTATGCGCGTATCATGTAGCCAAACACGCTAATCCTTGCTCAAGTGCCAAACAACCTAAAATAAATCTCTTCTCACTTTATGAACAGAAAATAATATACTACAAAAAACAAGACTCCCCTTTGCACCTTACCTCATTCCCCCTCTCCCTCCCTCAGTGTATCTATCCCATAAGCTCCTTCAACTTGCCACCCGAACACCTAAAGCAGAACCGTGCCTGCTTCTCAGCAAATCCCGAGATGGGCACAAACGTGCATGTTCCACAGAAGATGCCTCCGCACGTCTTGCAGTTGAACCTCCGCTCGAGCAAGGGGAATCGTGTCTGGCAATTCACACAGACCGTGTCACGGCCTGGTTGCATCCAATGAGTGCATCCACTGCCATCGGGCAACACCCAGACGTGAACCCTTCCAAGAGAATCTCCAGTGTACAATGCTCTCCGTGCACTAAGAGAAGTAGCGAAAGTTACAAAAATGTTAGAACGATGTTTGCAGATATTGCCACATAATGCATCAATCAACGAAGCAACAACAAAGACATTAAATATACCTGGAGATGTATAGGGAGACAATGTTAGGGATGAGCCCACCGTCGATCCTCAACCGATCTTCATACGTGTAAGCCTGACGGAGTCGTAATGCCCACTTGGCACTCCTGGGCTTATCACTACCCGCCACCGCGACAAGCTGAGATGACTGGCGAGTCCGTGATCCAGAAGTAAGAGAGTCGTCCTCTCCGGCTGCAATCGACAAATTCGATATCGAGAGTCCAGATGCTGTAACCAGTTCTGGAAGACCGCCAGTCTCATGACTTCCATTCTCCGTGCCGTTCATTTCCACAACAGCCACGGGGGTGACCGCCAGGTTATCGGTGGAGAGGGGCATCGAGTCTACAGAGCTCTGGAGCGAGCTGATCGATAAGTTGTTGCTAGTGCTGGACCTGCCACCTTGCTGGTGACCCGCTCCACCCTGTGTCGCCGTTGTCTTCTGGTACTCAGCGTCAATGACAGCCTTCTCCCAGACCTTGATAATTCCGCGGCGGTGACTCGTCAACACAATCTCCCTCGACAACCACTCTCCTGTCTTTCCAGAGTAGAACACACAGTCCAAGATCGGGTCTCCAATCTGGGTCGTGTACTTTTGAAGGATCATGTCTCCATTGACAGTCCAAAGTCTCAACACTGGTCCTGAGCATGTCGCAATATCGCCTGTCGCGTCGTTGATTGCCACAACGCGGACACCATCCTCATGTCGACCCAACTGTCGCACATATTCCAGACGGTTGAGATCCCAAATGATGCAAGACTTGTCCTCTGAGCCGGAGACAATGATCGAGTAAGCAACCGAGATCGCCACTGCATGAACAGTCTCTCGATGGCCGCGGAGACACTTCATCAACTTGAGCTCATACGAGCGACCTTGAACGATCCTCCACACACAAACGACAGTATCTCGAGAGATTGTGACAATGGTACGGTCATCCGCCCACTTGACGCCGGTAATCGCCTCCAAGTGGACGTTCTCAAAGATACCAAGAATCTTGTTCGTCTCCGTCTGGTAGAGACGCACCGAGTTGTCGGAGAAGCCCCACTCGACATACTTGCTGCATCCATAGGGCTCGTATGCACGCTGACTGTGGCCAACGAACGCCTTGTCGCCCTGGTAAATAATATCTCCCACAGGCAATCCAATGTCTATTAGTAATCGAAAAGTGTGACGAAGCAAAATGTTAGGAAAAAGAGCTCAATATATATCAATCAATGAAAGCTGTTGCGAAGTGTTACCTCTGACGGGGTTGACAGACTGGGTCAAGTATTCGGCATGACTGGCAAGGTGGTAGTAGTTGGGGCTCAGAGGGTCCCTGTTGGGTGGAAGACGAGGACCATGTGGCTTCCTGAAGAGCTGACGCGGAGTCTGTCCAAAGTTGTGAATGATACCGATAGTCGCCGACTTTTGAATAGGGTCGTCAATGGTATCTAGATCGATGGCACCTTCGTACGACAAGTGATGGAACACATTCACAGCGCGGACAGATTCTGGGCCTTGCTGCTTGTGTCCAAAGATCAGGTCGATCCACTCGTGAAGGTGGGCAGAGACATACTCACACTCCAGGGCCTCGCGATGCTTCTCGATAAAGACCTTGGGATCATCCTTGGCCCAAGGAGGCAATGCGACATGATCAATCTGCTCGCCAGTCGTCTGCAAGGTACCAAAATTGAACTCGTTGGAGTTCATCAGGAACTCGGGCAGGTAGAAGAACTCTGGGATAAGTTCACGCACATCAGACATGGTCTTCTGCGAGGCCGAGACCCAGGACTTTCCGATCGAGTGGAACAAACGGTCGGCATGATCAAACTGGCCACCCTGGAGTTTCAGGTACTCATGAGTGAAGGGCTCCAGACGGATCAAGTACGAGCACACGATCATCGCCGAAGAGTAATGAGTTCCGTAATGGAAAGGTGGAGTCCTGTCATCACCTCCGTCCCATGTGTGGTACCGGTCGTTAAAGTCTTTCTCACGATCAGGCGATTGAGCACCCATAGGCCGAGAGAGGTCGCGGAAGGTCTTGGGGTTGGTGAGGTCGAGTTCCGCGCTGGTGTAGTCTGCCAAGATCCAAGGGAAGACGGGGTACTGCGTCAGGTCGTTGTAGGTCCTTCCTGCCATAGTGTTGAGGTGCATCAGGTACTGGAAGTTGGAAATTTCGTGCTTTTCCCACTTGGCCGTGATGTCCGCGATGGACGAAGGGGCGAAAATGTTTGCCAACTTGGACCCGAGTGAGGAAGGAGCCTGGTTATTGTTGCTGTTGGGATCGACCATAGCCGAGCGATCACCGACTTGAAGGCTGTTGTTGGCGAGCGATCCCACGCGGCTGGCGAGTTGGTTGTAGACAATGTCACGCTGTTGAAGGTTGAGATTGATCAGGTAGTTGCGACCATCGACAAAGAACAGCTCGAGAGCGACGTTGCGCAACAAGTAGCGGCGACGGTGCACTTCCTTAATGTCCTCGAAACGCCACTTCCTGCACTGATGGCGAACCTCCGAAGTGTCAGCCTCAGGCTGAGATACAGGTGGGTTGTTGGAGGCCAACAGCTGCAAGTACTGGTCTCGCTCAGAGTCCGCAACCTCGCTGATGTCGACAACCTCGCCATCCATCTTCTGGAAATAGTTGTCGATGAGGTACATGTTGTGCTTGCAAAGCAGAAGCAAGCCTTCAACTGCATCCAGGCCAGTGACTCGACTCATGTTGTACACCTCGTAAACCACATCGCCGGCCTCAAGAAGTCGAAGGATCTTGCGGTTGGCTGCCTCCTCAAAAGCCGGCTCGGCATCGCGATCGTCGTCATCCGCTTCAGCGGTAACAGACTCGCCATTTTCGGTCGTCGATCCTTCTTCCTGCTCAGGGACAGTTGCGGTCTCTGATCCGGAAGTGGAGGCGGTATCATGAACGAGAGTGCTTTCGCCTGCACTATCGACATCACTCCTTGCTTCCGGAAGTTTGTCCACTGAGGAGGCAACAGAAGCAACATCGGCGTCCTTCAGCTTGTCAATCTTGCTCTTGGGCAGAGCAGAGGCTTGCAATGGCAATGGACTTGACTTGATGTTCTTGGGAATGCTCAGGCTGGAGATTTTGGCATCCACCGAGGCTGATGATCCACCCTGCTTGGGCAAGTACTCCTCTGACTTTCTCTCCTCAACTCGCAGCTTGCGACGCATACGGGACCGGGCCTCGGTAAAGTCAAGTCTCCATCTTGTAGGAGGCGTGAGCGCGCTAGCGCCATCCTTCTCCTCCCAGATGGCTCCCTTTCTGCAGACATCGCGGACCAGGTTCTTCCATTCGTTCTTGACAAAGCGAACGTGGTCGTCAAGATCCTGGAGCGACTTGGCGTACCGGACTTCCTCCATTTCCTGAATGCTGCGCGTCCAGCTAAGCGTCCTGAGTTTGCACTGTTGAAGAATGTTGCGCTCGAGATGTTGGCGACGGAAGAGTCGCTTCAGCTTTTGGGTTCTGCGGTTGTACTGCTGTCGCTGCGAGTCTTCACCGACGCGAGTCTCAATCGACATCATAGCATCCCAAGACTTGCGGAAATCGATAAAGATCATTTCCAGCTCGGGAGAGTGAGCAGCGCGCCACCTGACGAACTCAGGGTAGTTCTATATCGTTAGGGAAACAAATGTAAAGTGCTGGTTAGTGTGCGAGCATACGGCATTCATATGTTGATTCATGCAAGACCTCAACACTATTTTCACTACAAAATTACCCCTTCGACAAGAGCGCTGTAGCCTTCGTCTGCAGAATCCTCGTCGTCGCTTGGGTTCGTTGGTCTGAGCTTCAGCAGCCCAGAAGCCTCCACAGGGCGCATCAAGAACACCAGCTTGATGAGAATCATCATGTTGGATCTCGTCTTGGCGTCTGCGTCAGGGAGGAAGGAGAACAAGTGAAGGATCAGACACTTCATGAACTCGACGTCGCCGGGGCTGTTGCTCAGAAGGATCTTTTGGAAGTAGATACACTTGTCCAAGAGCGCCTCCAGTTTTGATGTCTGAATCTCATGACCGATTTGGCACTGCCCGAGGGTGAAGCAGACAAGGCGGTAGAGCAAGGAAGTCAATTGGGTCTTGACTGCGTCAGGGCGAGATGGTTGAGTAGGAGTGGCTGAAGGAACGGCGGCTGACTCGGGTGAGATGATTTCGAGGACGTTGGCGATGAGATCAAACTGGATGAGGTACGATCCAACGAACCAGCCCTGGCATGTCAGGTCGACGATGAGCTCGCAGAACAGAACCACGTTGGCCATGACGCGACTGTCAGCCAACGCCTCGGGCTGCGCCTGAATGTTTTGCTCCAAGCCGATGACCACGTGCCCTAGTAGGAAGCTCTGGAAGTAGATCTGGTGATCTACAAAGATTCGAATATGATTTCATAAACAAAAAAATCAATTAGTATTTCTATTGCTTGCTTCAAATCGACCAAGACAAGACAATACAAAACAAGATGCTATATCTCATTTCCTTTTTACCTTTGTATGCTGGTGGGCATGATTGCAGCAGCAGATCGATTGCTGCCAAGGACCGAAGAGCCGGGTCAAGAATAGAGTCGATCGAGATTACGACAATGAGCTTGAGAAGTGACAATGCAATGGGTTCCTGCACAACCTTAAGATCGACATCTCGCACACGACCCATGCTAATGTTTGAAGCCGTCCTTCTGAAAGTTCCCTCAGAAAAGGTCTGCGAAACCTGAAGAGACGACGCCTGGGCGGCCGTCAAGGAAAGGCTCGAGGTGGCCGCGGTAGGAGTGCCAAGTGCAGTCGCAAACGTCACCGTGGGGGAACCAGTGGTAGGGGAAGATTCAGATCGAGTGCTGGTTGTCGTTAAGGCAGACTCGGGTTCCAGTGTAGGTTCGGTAGAGGCTGCGAAGGACGACATGGACGAATGCTTAGAGGAGGTCCGTCCCGACGTCCGCCTTGCCAAAGAAGTTGCCCCAGATTCTGGGTCACTGGTGACTGGGGCAGTTGCAGATGAAGGTGAATCCGTTGTCGTCCTGGCTGAAGCTGGCTCAGAATCCAAGTAGTCCAGCTCGAGTTCAGCCGCCATAGCCTTGCCACTGTGGCAGATGAACGGAAACAGAATACTTGCCAGATCATCAATAAAGTCCTGCCGGACAAAGATCTCCTTGAAGGTCCTGGAGGATGATTGCATCTCCGAGAAAAAGTCGATCAATGTCTGGTAGGTCTCCACAACTCTTCCAGCACGCTCCTGATCCGCACGCGACTTACTGTTGGCTGGGGTAACGGCAGCAGCAACTCCGTTCTTGAGCATAATCATCAATGTGGGCAAAATATCGGGGCATGGGACACGACCAGTTGCCTCAATAGAGTCACCATAGAGCATGTGAAGCGTCTCATTGTCCAGAGGTGCCCTCAGTGGAACATCACAGACATCCACTCCCAGAAGAATGCAAATGACGACGTGGATCATGGGCACCACGTTCCAGAACTGAGGAATGTAGGACTGCAAGACCAGGAATCCATACGAGTTCCTGAACTTGGAGAGGTAGTTGGGGCCCTGGGTGTAAAGCAGACGACACAAGATCCTCATCGAAAGAACGGCGCCGTAGGGGTTGCCCGAGTTCTCGATAAAGAGAAGGGTCCACTTGTTGGTAATGGTAGTGGCAAACTTGTGGACATAGTCCACGTTGCCACGCTCACAGAGAATCTGTTCCAGCATCTCCATGATGGCATTGCCCATAGCAGCATATCGAAGGGTCGACGGGACAACAAACTCCTTGGGGTCAAAGACAATATCGACATTGAGGGAGGCCTTGGTCGCCTCCAACTCCTCAGCCTTGATCTCCGTATGTTTCTGCGACGACACTGACATGGTGCGATTGGGAACAGCTAGTGTGGTTCAGAAACGTTTGTTTGTTAGGACAAAGTTCTTGAGTAAGAGAATGATGGATACCGTGCCACAAATGCAAAAATGATAGATTATTACTCTGCTTCAACGTCGAAACAAGAAATGTGGCCAAGTTTCGGACAGTTTCCGTCGAGAAGTGGTTAAAGACAACGGTCTTCATGGCATCAACGTAGTGAGGAAGTTGAACGACGGGGTAGTTTCCTGTCCGCAGAGGCGTTAGCATCTTCTTCACCACGTCTATGTTGTCGAAGGTCGGCAATAGCGTGAGAGTCGTGTTAGCTGTGTATGATCATGCGTTTTACATTCCACGATGTTGTCAAAGAGGAGCAAGTCGTGAACTTACGCATGGTGCTGAGCCGCTTCACATTAAGCGATGATTTGTGACTGTGCTGTAAAAAGATCTTGAACTGCTCCAGATGCAGCAGCTGGATCTCTGTGTCGGTCTTTCGCCAAATGTCCATATCCAGCATCAGGTGGCGGAAGGCGAACGAGTTGGTAATCACAGAGTCACTATTGATGACAAGTGACAACATAATGGTTAGAATTGTCGAGCTCGGCGAATATGGTTCGGCAACCATTTCTAGCCAAAAAAAAAAAAGAAAAAAAAAAAACATACTCGGGGTACTCCAAGTCCATTCCGACGACACTGAGCAGTGTGTTCATCATCTCGATCGAGAATAATGCCTTCTTCTGCTTCAGGATGTAGCCCAGAATCTCGTAACCAAAGATACGCTCCATGTCCTCCGAGTTTCTCCAGCTACATCTGATAAGCTGGTCCAGCAACAGCACGGCCTTCTCAAGAGTAGCCGTATCCTATAAAATTGTAGAAGTAACAGTTCACGCATAAGCACATTGCTCTGTAGTTTCATGCGCATGAGAGAATGATGTTGTTTTGTTGAAAATACCTTGGCACTCTCGACGATCCTCAGGGCAACGACACAGCCTCCGACCTTCCAGATAGAGTCGTCCAATCCGCGAGGAGCAGCAACAAGAGGGTTGCCAACCAAAATTCCAATGGCTGACAGAGGGTTGATGCCGCGTTGAATCCTGGGAATCGCAGAGTTGAACAAAATCCTGCAGAACTGGTCCTTCTGAAGAATGCCAGCCATCGTGCCGACTGTCCTAGTGTCTGCACTGTCCAAGAGGTTGCTTCCGGAGAATGCAAAGACTAGCTTGTCTTCTGGGATACTGTTGCCAATGGTGCCTCGAATAGCGTTCATCAACGCGACTTGCTCCTCGTGGTTACGACTGCTAGGCGAGGAGCGACGACGAGCGAGCTCCAGGTTGATGTTCAGCGCAGTGGAGGTCTCGTAGGTCTGGAACTTGCCAAGAGAGTCCTGGAAGTTGCCGTGGTACCGTGGGCTTAGGTTGTAAAGAACGTCCATGATCTGGACATCTAGGGGCTCATCCACAAGGTAGCAAGGGCCCAAGTTCCAGGAGAGAGTGGAGCCTTCCCTCTTGGCTGTCATCTTGGGCTTTTGGTGTCGACCAAGATATCCCTTGACTTCGCCGCTGGGAGAGTTAAGGTAACCGCACTTGATCTTGTCGCCTAGAATACCATCGATGTAGACCGACAGTGACCCTCCTGGAATGCTCATCTTCGGCTTGGCATGCACTAAGGCTAGGTGATACCATCGTCCAATCTCGAATGAAAAGTTGAACACGACAGAGTGGTGGTGCGACACGCTTACAACCAGTTTGTGACTCTCGGGCTCGATCTGCACGCTGAGGAAGCATCGCTGATCCTCGTCCGAAATCTCGAGAATCTGAATCGGCAGCTCTTCGTCAAACGACTCGATACAGAGCCATGCCAGGAAGGTGTAGCCGTTAGTTGGAGGAAAGCTGTGTGAGCCCAAGGACCGCAGATCCAAACGACTATACCCGTCGAATTGCACAAAGCTGGGCCACCGCGAATGGGTAACTCCATGCAACAACATGTCCAAGAGTCCTGAACACTCGCCAAAGGAGATCTGCTTGGTGGCGCTGAACTTCTCCATTAGATAGCGGAACCCGACCGACGACATCCCCATCTCGATCAAACGTTTGGAGAGTCGAATCATGATGTCGCGCATGACATTGCCACTGACATCCATCGATTGGTCTTCCTCTGCGCCATTGTCAATCTGAAGTGGTGGGTTGTCGAAGAGGGCTTTGAGGAGCTCGTCCAACATCCCCGTTTGTCCCATCAGAACCTGGTTTCTCCGATTGGCGCATGACAACGCAAACAGCGACATCATGACACAGAAGGCGAGCGACTCCTGGTCCTGCAAGCCCATGCATATCCTCCAGATGCCGAGAACGACGTGGGGGTTTTGTACACAGATCTTGGGGCTGTTGAGCCACTTGGCAACCATCTCTGGCGCTTGCTCGACCTCCTCGGGGTCATTGAAGATGTGGAGAACTGACTCGTTTTGGATCGCGAATGAGAAAAGAATGCCAAACATGCTAGGAGCATCGCCCTTGGGTCCAAAGACGCCGGTCAGTTGCAGGGCGTCTGCCAGAGAACCAAAGCCGATGTGCTCCTCAAAATAGCTGCTATTGCCCGCATGATCCCGCATAGACTCCGAGAGAACGGAGAAGACCTTAGTGAGCAACTCGATCATATCCTCCTTGGTCGGGATTCTCTCGTCAGTCTGTGGGTCTCTCCGTTGCCTGCGCTTGGGCAGGTTGAGTTGGTCAAACTTGTCGATCGTGAGGTAGGCGTCCTCGAGGCGGATCAGGAGCGAGACGATCGAGACATATCCTCCACCCTCCCTGAACACCTCCTTGAGCTCTGTGCATTCGATAAACACTTGGTTGAGAGCGTTCAAAATGGCCATCTTCATCTTGAAGTCGTATCGGTTGAGGGACTGCAGGATCTCGCAGAGCTGTGTCAGCTGGTAGGGAGCTGACATAACCTTGGTTGCAAGCGAGCTTGAAGAGCTGTTGGGTGGCGACTTCGCTGAGGAGTTTTCCCTGTCCTCCAAGAAGAACCGATAGCTCTCCACCACAAGGACAACGATGACCTTCAGGATCCCGTCTCTCGTCTCGTTGTAATGCAGCAGCGAAAACAGGTCACCTCGAAATCTAGAGCAGAATTGTCAAATGAACACATCTTAGTCGTCTATACATAGTGGCGCTTAAAGGATTGTGTGAACTTCGAAGGGGCACAAGCAACTACACAGATGTACTTACGTGGATTGGAAGAGTGCAATGTTACTCCGACTGCCTCGCAGCAATTCGATTAGACATGCCATGATGCTGTTGAAGTGGTGCACGACTTCGATTCCGTATTTCCTCTGACGCTGGCTGTCGTCAGGGCTGAATGCTTTCCCGAAATCGACGACAGAAAGACGGTTATTAAACTGAGGGCTTCCGAACGTCTCGCGGAGGACAATGGAGAGCTCTTCCAGCATGTTGCAGAACATATCGATCAATCCAACTTCGCGCAGGACATCCTTGAAGTTGGGTGATGATTGGAGCAGGTTAGCAACTGTATCACAGACAAGGGCTGTAGTCCTGGGTGACGACGTGCCTTGAAAGTGAATAGAAAGGATGACAAGATCTCTGAATGGGACATAGTTCAGATCCTTGAGAACGAACGTGAACAACTCCATGACTGATAGCTAATAACGACAAATAACAATAATTTGTTGTTAGCTTTCCATTTACTCATAGAGCATTCAGCGAGATAGCAATACGACCAACGTTAAAGGAGGGCCAAAACTAACCTGAAGGTCTGGGTGGTAACTGTCCAGGCGTTCGATCGCATAGGAAAGAATGTTGAGCCGCTCCAGCAAAAAGTAGTTCATAGGGTGATCGCGGATAATCGAGAGCAGAGTGGAAAACACCGTGAGCGTGAACTGACTGGGAGGCGCATCTTGGTCCTTATTGCCAGCTGGTAAGAGCGTCAAGTTGGAAATGTCTGGGTATAATAATGCCGTTACTAGCACTTGACATGCCTCTAGATTACGAACGACAGCGCCCGCTATAATGACCGAATGACGAATAATGCGATCGTTAGGTCTTGCGGATAGTTAGGTCGGGCTGGAGTTACATTGGTGTTCTGCGTATTATGTGCAATGTAGTAAACATACCATGCTCGGGACCAACAACAGGAAGGGAGAAGTCTATGAGGCAAACAAAACATATAATAACGTTGGTCAACTGCTTTGCAGCTGATGTACAAAGATTTCTCGTCTCAAGAATGGCGCCAAAGTGTACCTTGATGTTGATATGGCGTTCCTTCTTCTGGTGGTGGCAACGCTTCCTTGTCAATGAACACCAGTTCCTCGATAAGCGATGTGATGGTATACTAATAAATATGCGAAAAAGCAGTGTCAACACCTCAACTTTCTTTCTTTCATGCATAACCTCTATAGTAAAACGCAAACTTACTTTGAATGTGAGCATGTCCTCATCGAAGGGCGGTGACACGAGGAGCATTGCCAGTGTCTCGTAGATCTTGTTGGTCTTGAAATCATCCAGCAGCACACTCGACATCAGGGAGGATTTCTACGATACAAGTAAGCAAACCAACAATGAGCGTAAGTAAGAAAACCTCAACATCATTTTATATATATAAAAGACGACGCTGCAAAATACGTACCTTGATGAGCTTGACGATGACACGGAGGATCAGGATACCCTCTTCGCGATGTACAGAGTCGATGCTTCCGTCAACCAAATACTCGCTGAGTGCGTCTGAGAGTAGCTTGGCGCAGTTCTTCGAGTGGAGGTAGGGCATGACATCCGTCTCCGTCGTCTCTACTACAAAGTCTACAACGTCCATCACCCTAGTACGATACAATAAGCAAAATTGTTCGATTAATTAGTCAACAGTGTCAAAAACGAACACATCTCGGTGGCGTGAAATCAAACGTGGCTGAATCATTACCTTGCTTTCCAGATGTACAGCTCTGCGGGGTCCCCCCCTGCGATCTTGCTCCTCTGGATAACAAGGGTCTCGAAAAGCCCATAGAGCTCATCATTCTCGATCAATACTGAAATAACAGGCTTCCTCCAAAGCAGCCTCTTCAATGCGTTTGTGAGGGTCGAAATGACCAAGATCGATGCTACGCTCTGGCCGAGAGGCTCTTCAAACTCCTGTGATGGGAACTCGACAAATGTAAGAAACACGCCCAACAGTCCCGAATGCACCTTTTGCTGCACTAATATCGCCAACAAGTTGTCCTAGTAGTATGACAGGGTCAAAAAGAGATGTATCAGCTCCCATAGATCTTTTCACTCCAGACAGATTATTTTTGTGCCTTGCGCTCGCCAAATTGCTCTATTGCTTCTTACGGGTGCCTTGGAGAGAATATCGATCGCTTTCAGCGCGTTGAATGTCTCTGTCTTCCTCAAGACCTTCATATATTCTATTTTCGATTGACGAACATCTTCAACGTTAATAGCCATAACTTTTTAACTACTCCTATAAATAGGACAATAACATTGCTGCTGCGAAGTTGAACATACCGAGACTGGCCTTCCTCTTAGGTAAGGATTGCTGTTCTACGGCAAGGATCGCGTTGACCAATTGTGCACTAGCCATGGCAGTGAAGGCTTTGACATCGTGGATACTAAACAGGCAAGGAAACAATCAGTCAGTGTATTCAATTGATGAAGAAAGAAGAAGGGGGCAAGGAAGAAGGAGGATATATGAGAGCGATGGAGATTAAGGTCTGTCGTTCTCGTCCTTCATATCCCTTTATTTTCATCGCCCACTGTCCCTGACTTTCAATTGCCTCGCTCTATGGCACGCCCTGAGTTACCTCACACTCACCCTGCTCTGTTTGTTCAGTCATTCGAATCCTCTCTCCCACATACACAGGTTCGCAGCGCATCCCCCTGTCTGTGTGTCCTCATCCGTGTGTGTTCATATGTTATTCTCCTTTTCATTTTTCACCACACCCGTCACATTCGCGATTCAATTCAGTGTTCCTCAAACCAACCCTGCCCAGTCCTGCCCAATCTATTCCGACGATGTGGCGTCCTGGTTGGGTTCGGTCGTTTTTTCTTTTTTCCCTGACCGAAAGATGATGGTGCGTGTTTGCGCAGAGAAAACCTAGGAAAGGAAGGCTCTTGAATATGGCACCCTTAATCTTATCACGCGGGAAGCCAATATCCTGTCTTTTTCTCTTTTCTCGCGCAGTTTGTTGTTGCATCCACCGCATGGCGTACATCCTTGATCGTTTTCCTACTTGGGTCTGACCGGAATATTTACGATATAACGACGGGTGACAAGTAGGATACCCTCCTATTCGCCTGTCAGCCAACACGTTGTCGTCGTATGCCTGTGAGTAAGCCGATGTGGTTGATGTGGGTGGGTGGATGGCTTGTGGTCGAGGGCTGCCTCTTTCTTTTGTTTTTGTTCCTTGAGCAAAACGTTTGTTGAAGTACCTTTCATTGACGAGTTGACCAGAGACCTGTCTCCCAAAGATCGAAGCAAACAATTGCAAAGCAGTTTGAAACTGGGCGTTACGTTTCTATAAAAAAACGGACAAAAAAGTGTCGGAGTAGGGGGAGGAAGTGTGAGAGACGAGCGAGTCCAGAACAAAAAAAGAATAAGTCCTGTCAGCCCAATCGCTCTCTCACTGTCTGTGTGTCTGTCCGTGTGTGGAGAGAGTCGAACACAGAGAAGGCGGGAGAGGCGGTGCGAAGAAGTACACACAATGCAGCCAACTGTTTCCATTGTTGTTTTATTGTCCCAGTGTCTGCTTTTGGCGTTGTTGCTGCTGTTGCTGCTGTTGCTGTTGTTGCTGTTATTGTTGTTGTTGCTGTTATTGTTGTTGTTGTTGTTGTTGTTGCTACTGCTGTTGTAATTGTAATTGACACTGATGTTTCCCCCTGCACTTTGTCGTACCTTATCGTCCTCGGCCTCCATACATGCAAAGAATGCTAAGCGCAACCTATTGTTCACCAAAGAACACAACGTAGCGTGTCAATCGTTAGCACAAAAGTCCAAAAAAAGAGAGCAATGCCATCCAACAACGAAGGAGTTGATCGTTTGTTCTTTGGTCGGTCTCATTCCTGTCTTCCATCAGTCTGCTGCTCTCAATGGTCAAGGTACTAGCAAGCAAGAGGGTTGATTGTCACAAAACAAAGAAGAGAGAGAACGTACTGGCCAAGTTCGGCGGGGGAGGTTGCGTTGTCTGGGACGCCTGTGAGGCCTGTTGTGTCGCGCTCGTCCCAGCTCCGCTCGAGATCGCGTTCGTTCTGGTCGGCATAAGACGATGCGGGTAGGGGCTGGAACTTGCCGACAAGGGTCTTCCACATGGTTTGTTGTTAGAGATCTCTCTTTTAGTGCTAGTGTGCGATGTGTTTTTGAAGTAGAGAGCTTAGGAAAGCAAAACAGGGAGACGGGAAGGGGGGTACTGTACAAGTGTATGAGGAAGAGAGAGAGAGAGAAGGAGAGGGGAGTGCGAAAGAGAATCGGCTGAGGGAGCAGACAGAAAAGAGACGCGTAGAAGGAAGGAAAAAAGAGGAGCGTCGGGTGTGTGGGTGAAGGAAAGAAGAGGAGTAGGAAGGATTGAGGGAAGGGAAGGAAGAGAAGGAAGAAAAGAAAAGGAGGGTAGAGAAGCAAGGGAGCGGGAGGGGAAGAAGCAAAAATAGAGCAGACCAGCCAAGCTCGTCCAGGGGGCGGACTAGAGACATGGCTTTCTTTCTTGTCTTTGACCCTTGTCTCTCTGTCGTGCACGCATATGTTGGATTCGTGGACAAGGCACGAAGAGGAGATACCAGACGACACTCTCTTTTTCTCTCTTTGTCTGTCTCTCTGCGCGGGTTTTGAACCAGGGGGCAGTTGGTTACTTGGACGGACGAGGGCACAAAGGGCAAAATAGCAATGCCATAAGCATCACTCTCGGTACTTTGGACAGCCGGGGACTGGACTCCACTGAAAAAGTCAGCGAAAGAACGGCACTGCAAAAATATCAACCCATCAGCAAAAATGCGTGCAGTGCATTGCCTCAGTCCCGCCCCTCCCTTCAGCCTCTTGAACCTTCTTTCCTTTTTCCTTCCCTCCTTTCATCAACAGTTGAACAGCCAAAAGCAACAGCAAACAACAACAAACAACATCCGCAACAAACATGAACAGCCAACAACATCCCTGTGGCTGTGCCAGTTTTTCGTTTTTTTTTCTCTCCACTTCCAATTCGCGGCTTCTCCGCTGTGTTCACACCAACCCTACCCCTTGAAGTGCAAGCAAGGGCTCCCATACTGACACCCTTGTTCGCACGATCAAAAGCACACCCAGACTAAAGTACAGCAAAAGTAGACGAATTATTTATTCTTGAGCAAGGAGGCGGCGCTCCTGGAAGAACCCCTCGATCTTGGGCCACTCCAACGACCACTTATCACCAGACTTGCGGTGCTGGACTTCAATGTTGCCCGTCCTCAAAAAGCCCTTTCCAACAACAACCATCCAGGGGTATCCAATCAATTCAGCATCTTTCATCTTGAATCCAAGCGTTGTCTCTGTCCGGTCATCCAAGATCACATCCGCTTTGACATTCAACGCCTTCTGTACGATATCATATACATTCTCAGCAGCCTCTACACACCCCTCATCCTCCGAGGTCACAATCACAACACGGTAGGGTGCAACCGACTCTGGCCAGACAATTCCCTTGTGGTCATGCGAGGCCTCGACGATGGAAGCCAACAAACGGGTAACACCGAGTCCATAGCATCCCATCTGAATGGGCACCTCCTCCTGACCGTCCTCTGCAACAAATGTCGCATTTAATGGCACAGAATACTTTGTGCCCAACATAAATGTGTGTCCAACCTCGATGGCTCTGGTGACCTCCATGGGTTCAATCAATCCCTTATTCTTTTGACAGTGAGGACATCCATCGCCAGGCTTGCAGTTGTGATAGTCTCCATAGACGACCTTCAGTGACTTCTTCAAGTTACTAGGGCCGACCAATGATGACAATCCCTCAGGCAGTGACGATCCATCGAGCACGACATCCTTTGGTCGAGGAGGCTCCTGTCCTGGGTATAGTGACTGATCCACACAGAGCATAAGGTCCGTCACCTTGGACTCTCCCAGCAAGGTTTGAACATCCTGGACTGATCCTGCAAGCTCAACATTCCCAAACGCCTTGGACACCTTGATCTCGTTCACCTCACGGTCACCCGAAGTTGCTACGGCAACCAAAGTGCAGTTTTCATCCGGAGATCCGTCTGCAGCAGGGGCCTTCAAGACGCCAAATTTGAACCTGGGGTTGACGCGGACAGCAGACCGAGGGACAACATCCAACGACTCGATCCACTTGGGGACCTCTTCTGAATTGCGGAACTTTGTTGCTGCCTTGGTTGGTGTTGAGGGTATGACTCCAATGGCGCGCTCCTCGTTGGACGTGTATCCACATGATCCGCAAGACAGCAACGAATCCTCTCCGACTAAATAAACCGTAATTATATCCGCATTAGCAACAATGTCTGCAGGACCTGTATGAAAGACGAGTCGACAGTGCTCAATGTGAGTTACCTTTGGAAAGGATATGGAATTCGTGTGAATGTGACCCTCCAATGTTTCCTGTGTCTGCCTCCGCCTAAAAAGGAAAGAAAGGAAACAAGCGTCGTTAACAAACAGCCCCGCAAATGTCGAACAAAAGCAATGAAACCATCCGTCAACGGGTGACTCACCACAGCATATGGTACGCCCAGGCGCTCCATAATCCTCCTGTAAGCGAGCACGACCTCGTCATACGTCTTGAAAGCCTCTTGCTCAGTGACATCGAAAGTATACAGATCTTTCATCACAAATTCCTTTCCTCGCAACAATCCACTCCTGGCTCTCAGCTCATCTCGGAACTTGCGCCCGACCTGGTAGACACGGATAGGAAGCTGACGATAACTCTGGACCTCCTTGGCAATCAGACTTGTGACCTCTTCCTCGTGAGTAGGCGCCAACAAGAAATCGGATCCCCGGCGGTCCTTGAGCTTGAACATCTCCTGTCCTGCACTCTGCCAGCGTCCTGTCTTTTTCCAATTATCAGAAGTTTGCATGTTAGGGAGCGACAGCTTTTGGCATCCAATGTTCTCCAGCTCGTCGTCGATGATAGCCTCGATCTTTGTGAGAATTCTGTGACCATAGGGTAAGATAGAGTAAATTCCTGAAGACGACTACTTTCAGGAAGATGTAAACTGCGTTAGGTTGTGTGAGATAGATTCATCTGTCCACGTTCACATCATATCACGGAACAGATAGGGGTCAATTGAAAGAACGTACCTGGCGCATCATTCCGGAGCGGAGCAAAAGCTGTTGACTGGGGACCATCTCCTGACCTGCAACGTGAACAAACTTTTGCTTTGACGTGGGGACCAAAGTCTTTGAGACACGATGCCGAAACTAGTATGGCCATTGATATGCAAGAGAGAAATAGCGCGTGAATAAGTGATCGTCCCTGGATCAAAATAATAATGCCTTACAACACCTGACACAGAAACATACTGTAGAAGCATATCTCACGGAGGCTCCTGTGCCAGCACTAGCTGCTGAGAGCGTCCTGAGGGTGAGTCCAGTGTGCATGAACATTGTCTAGCCTGAATCGAATGTGTGCTTGTGTGAATGAAATGTGTTTCCTTTTAGACGCGCTGGCTGATTCCGGGTGTATGGAGGTAAAGGAAAGAACGGAGCTCCCTCTCTGAAGGACTCTTGTTCCTTGTTCCTTGTTCCTTGAGACCCGTAACGGACTCGGGAAAATGTGGCTTAGGTTGCAAAGAAAGAGGCACTATGCCTAATCAGGAAGGTAACTGATCTTTGACCAGGGGCAGACAAGCGCGTTCTATGAGCCAACAGGCCAGGAGGAGGGAAAAGAAAAGAGAGCTCTCTCTCTCTCTCTCTCATTCTTGGCCACCGTCATCGCTTCTTCTTTTCTAATCCGATTTCTTTACGCCACCAGCCTTTCCATACGGCATCACTTCTCCCCCTCTGCCCAACAGACGGATTCCCTCTTCCCTCGTCGACTGATTCTCCACCTTTGACAACCAACAACAGCACCAATGGACCAGGCAGTGTTCCAGACCCTGACAGACACTCTGTCCGCCGACCCTAATGCCAGGATGGCAGCAGAACTCAGACTTAAGGAACTCCAGTCCATGCCAGGTACACATGTCCTTTTGCCACATATTGGCTTTACTTAGAGTAGACGCGACTCTTCAAGGAAGACAAGTACTTACCACCGCCACTGCTTTATTCAAATAGAGTACCCTCTGAGCTTATGCAAGCTGACGCTGACGCGAGAATGCAACATCTCGCAACGCCACTCTGCCGTGGTTTTGCTTAAGAGTTACATTGACCAGCAATGGTCGCCCAAGAGCCTGAAGTTCCGGGGTCCAGAGCCATCACCAGAGGTGAGTTGAATTGGAGTGACGTTGGGGTGATTTTATTCTGTTCCTCAGCTCAGTTGATAGGGGACGATGCTTTTGCCACCAAAAATTGAAACTCTGAATGACACATATTAAATCTGTTTCTCCTTCTTTCCTGTCCTAGATCAAGGCGGTGGTTCGGGGACAGATCTTGACTGGCCTCTCCGACCCTACGAACAGGATTAGAGCCTCATGTGTGAGTAACACACAAACATGACGTAATGTCTTCCACAATCGCAATTGACTCCTCTGCATATTCTAACTTTTTGCGACAGGCGTTTGTAGTGTCAAAGATAGCTCACCTGGACTGGCCAGACTCGTGGCCAGAGCTCTTCGAAGTCCTACTAGGCCATCTCAAGACTGGCTCTACCGACGAGGTTCACGGTTCCATGCGGGTCTTGGCTGGTGAGTCTCGAAATTGGTTCTGCAAAGGTCCCTTCTCCCTTGATTCATTACCAGTGGATCCGCTCTGACTTTCTTTCCTGTCCGACAATACGATAGAATTTGTGAGCAAGGACATTACCCATGTTCAACTGCCTAGGATTGCACCTGTCCTCTTCCCAGAGCTCCTTCGAATCCTTATGTCAGAGCAGGTGGGACTCCCTCGCTGCCTCCAGCATCAGTCACCCGCTGCATAAACAAGCGGGACAGAGGAACTTTAGAGCTTGACGACTGACAACGATACTTTAAACAATAGACATACTCCCATGCAACACGGTCGCGGTGTGTCTCAATCTTCAGGAGTGCAGTCGATATGCTTTACGCGATGAAGGAGGAGCACCCAGAGGCCGTCAAGGAGTACCTCAGTCCGATCTTCAGTCAATGGAACGACGCCTTCATCACCATCCTGAACAAGCGTACAACAGACGATCCAGAGATTGAGGTTGCAGAGTGGGGTCTCAAAGTTGATATCATCAAGGTACCCATCAGTTAACCCACTTGTTGCACTTAGACTGCATTGCATCCTCCTCTTCGACCGCCAATCTAACACATCTGTGATCCATACCTATTAGTGCATAAACTTGTCGATCCAGGGCTTTCCCAAGCTCACGTCGTCGTATATTCTTCCGGTTCTGTCCACTGTGTGGCAGGAGATCCTATACTTGCGGCCAAAATATATTTCAGAGAACATTGCTACCAATGGCGACATCTCAGGATTCAGCTTCCAGGATTCGGATGGAGACAATATTGGATTCGAATCCCTGCTTCTTGTGCAGTTCGAGTTCATTCAGATCGCGTGCCGGAGACGAAAGCTGACCCAGTCGGTCTTTACGGGCCATGATGGTCACCCTGGAATCCTTGACGAACTGGTCTGGAATACCTTGAGCTACATGCAGATGACGGACGATCAGGCAGAAACCTGGAATGCCGACCCCAACCAGTTCATTGCGGACGAGGATGCAGATTCGTTCACACATCATGTCCGTAATGCGGCACAGGATGTCCTTGCGACCTTGGTAGAACATTATGAAAGTCAGACTCTTCTCGCCCTCAGCCAGAGCATTCACCGGGATATTACTGCTTCTATGGCGGACAAGGCCGGCGGGAAAGATTACTGGTGGAAGGCGCAAGAGTCGAGTCTGCTGGCGGTTGGTCTCATGGCGAGTTACTTGTGCGAGAGTATAAAGCGGGGGACCCCTTCACCCATCGACGTCGGAGCTCTCTTTGACCACCTTGTTCTGGTCAATTTATCAGAGCACAGGCTCCCTTTCCTACAAGGCCGCTCTTTTGTCTTTGCATCGCAGTTTGCACCAATCCTGCCACTGAACCTGGCCGCTCAGTACGTTTCGGCGGCAGTTGAAGCCATTCTAAAGGCTCCTTCTGCAGTTGTCAAGGTGTCTGCCCTGAAGGCCCTCAACAACTTTAACCGCCACCTGGACAAGCAGTATATTGCACCATACCAGCGATCCATCATTCAAGGTGTTGCACCACTTGTGCAAATCACTTCAGAGGAAACGCTCATCCTGATATTCCGCACACTCACAGCCACCGCAAAGGTAACGATACAAAGGCCCTATGTGTTTAGTTGTTCTGGTTTCCTTATCATTCTTTTCAAATACTAACTGCAAAAACCTACTGCTATGTAGATCGATGATCAAATTGCAGCCGAATTCGAGTCCATCCTTGGTCCAATCGCTCTTGAGTCTTGGGCAAAATATCATGCCGACGCTTGTATGTCCGGGGAGACAATGGACTTTTTCGATACCCTTGCTGCTAACTCCTATATGAACCCATTGCTCAACAAACGTGCTATACCTGTACTTTGTGGCGCCATTACTCCCGACAATCCCGACAGAGCAACTGTATCAGCTGCTGTTCAGCTTTTGCGGTCCTTGATCCGAGGAGGGCCGTCTCCGTTACCTGCTGGCTATGTTGCTCAGTTCTTCCCAAGTTTGATGGCCGTCCTTCTTTCCATTGACGACAGAGACGTTCTTCAGGTATATTACGCGTAATTCGCGTAGTTTTATTATGCATGTTTTTGAACTCATTGCTTGTTTGTTGAAGTTGAAGACCTAATGCGTGATTACTTGATTCTAGAATGGGCAAGAGTGTCTCAAGATTCTAATTCAAAAGGACGTTCGCCAAGTCGCTGAGTGGTAAGCACTATTTTATTTCCAGCATCATCTACAAAGAAGAAGTAGGTTAATCTGACGTAATCCTTGTTGCCCTTTCCGATCCATCTAGGCGCGATGCAGCATCTGGCAAGACTGGCTTGGATCTTTTGATTCAGTTTATTGCCAAGTTGCTGGACCCATCTCAGACAGAATCTGCGGCGCTGTTCGTGGGAGACCTTGTTTCCAAGTTGATCACGAAGGGTGATAACTTGGTGACACCCATTCTCCCAGATCTTTTGAGGGCGGTCACCATCCGCCTCGCAGACGCTAAACTACCATCCTTCATTCAGGTAATGAGAAACCCCTTTCATATTTATCTTGAGCAGTTGTTACTTCAGTACACCTGATTGATGCTGACCCGTCTACATATCCGTTTATGCTATGTGGTTCGCGACAATAGCCGCTAGTCATGGTGTTCGCCCACCTGTGCCTGAACCAACATGAAACAGTCATCAACTTTTTGAGCACGGTTGATGTTCGCGGCCAAAATGGGCTACAGATTGTCTTGTCTGCCTGGCTTCTCAACCATGCTGACTTCCAAGGTCTCTATCACCAGAAAGTGAGGTACGTCTCACGACTTGTTGTCGTCATTGTCACTCATGGCCATAAGCTATTCTTTTACTGTTCTTGTTACTCACTATGGCTATCACCTCAACTACTACGATGGAATGAACTAGCGCTGTTGCTCTGACCAAGGTGTTTACATCTGGCGATCCTCGGGTGGCAGTCATCCAGGTCAAAGGTGACATGATCCTCAACGAAAACTCTCGTCGAACAACGCGTTCTACAGCCCGGAAAGGTATGCCTCCATGCTGCAACGGCAGACCTGTCATTGTTAGCCTACTTTCGAGTCCTCGTTGCTGATAGTTTTTTCGTCTACCTACTAAAACATAGCTCCGAACCAGTACACGGTTGTGTCTGCGCCAGTCAAGATTGTTAAGCTTCTCTGTGCGGATCTGATCACCAGGATCGAGGAGGAGAACCACTCGGGCGATTTCGGCGATGACGACAGTGAGGAAGACGATGACGACGACGACGAGGAGCCCGAGGCAGAGGACCGCAAGGACTGGAAGGGGTCCAAGAGTCATGAAAAGTCAGTCCTTCTGTCTGATGTCCTGGGCGATGATGGCAATGACTATTATGATGGCGCTGAGGATGGTGATGACGACCTGGAAGAAATTGATCCGGACGTCCTTGCTGACCCAGTTTACCAGACCAACTTGAAAAAGTTCCTGGTTGATTTCTTCCGTGTCCAGCTTCCTTCTCCTGGCCTTGTTCAGTGTATCAGTGAGCTCAATGATGCCGAGAAGCAGACGCTATCAGGCCTCCTCGAGAACTGATATTCATCAAACTTTAAAAATGAAGAAATAGTTCAACGAGTGTTGTTTTGAAGCATACTTTTGAATTTTCTGCCTCATACTTTTCTCAAGTGCTAACCGCCACCAATATTGTGACCCTTCTACAACAGTGTGCACCAGTATACATGATATCAATGATGCAAATGTATCTGACCTCACATTGTTATGTCCACAAGCCATTGAGCGGCATTGAGGTATTTCGACGACCTGTTGCACAGCACTGAACTAACTCCACCGCCTGTTTGTTAAATGAGCGCGACCAGTTAACAAAAGTAATGCCTTTAACGCTGAATTGGTGGATGACATCGAGTGAGACAAAGAAGGTTTCTATTGACTCAGTATTTTTATCTTCACATTCCAGAGTCCCCTTGATCTCTTCCCAAATATCACATAAACTTTTTCCCATACTGTTTTCGGCATCTCTTGATCTTTCGACTTTACCTTCTTTGCCAAATCCCTTGATCGCTTTACCAGCATCCTCTAATCTTTTTCCTTGATTTCCTACAACCCTTGTTTCATTTCTTATTCTCACAGGCCTGCAAAAGAGTACGAGTATATGGACAGCACAAGTACATAGAAAAGGGGGTATGAGAGCGTTCAAGGGAATGGGTAGTGAAAAGGGAAAGCATACACAGCGCATGAAAAAAAGAAATGGAGCATGGGACGTGCAAGAGCGACGGTATTCGAAAAGAAAAATGTACTGCGTGTGAACGAGGAAATGGAGGTATAAGGGCATGGGTAACGAAAACAAGAAAATTATGCACAGTATGAACGAGGAAAAGGAGATATAAAGGTATGGGTAGCGAGAACAAAAATACACGCACAGCGCATGAATAGAGAATAGGGGGTATCGGTAGGGCCAGTGCATGTGAAGCCTGTGACGGATTTGGTCCCAGAACCTTTTTTTTACTCTTTGGCTGTTTTTCTTTAGACGCGTCAGATAACAATGCCCGCAAAAAAAGGGTCGCCCCGTCCATCTCTGGCATTCTGCGCAATGCGTTGCTGGTATAAAAAGAGACTGGGTCCTAGAGGCACCGGCTAACGCCGTTTCCTAAGTCTCGTGCTAGAGCCATTTAAATTGTCCCGTGCACGAGCCGTGGTAAAAGTTGTTGTGCTAGAGCCGTATAAACTCTCTCTATTCCCCTCGCCTTTGAACAAGTGGTAAGCAGCGCCCACTTATTTTATTTTATTTTCCCCCCAGACATTTATTTCACGAAGTGTAAAAGTCGCAGACTTGATTTCTACAAAAAGCTATAGAGAACAAGGACGGAATAAAGTAATTCTTTGACTCGATATCCTCTTTTCCCTTGTCAACCATCACATGCTCTGCGAAAGTGTCTTTGGAAAAGGCAAGGAGCAAAAGAACCACCGCGATACCCTTGCTTTACAAGCACAGGATCTACATTTGACTAACAATGGTGAAGTCGAGATTGTTTGGACGGAATGGGGATATGGCAACAAGGATTGATCAAGATCTGGAGGATCATATTTTTGTTGATTTGTGCCGCTAGTCTGTGAAGGGTTCTCACTTGTAGTGTAAGCAAATGAAAAGTCAGCAACCTCGCCCTCCGAGTGATCCATTGCTCGACAAGGTTTGCTACGGCTCCCTGAGGACGCTGAACAGATCTCGTTGTGTCGGCGAGATAAGTGTTTTCTTCCGCTGTTTTGCTTTGGTTGGCGGTGTTCTCATGCCGGCCTCTTCATATCGCGGAGGAAACCTGAATGCATCAAACCAGTTATGTTATTTATTGATGATTAGTAGGGCATCCGATAGTTTCACACAGTCAAGAGAGTTCTTGAGCAATAAAATAACATAACAGTACCTTCACTGATCGGATTGAGTTTCGGATTGCGCCAATATCGTCCCTAGCCCGAGGTAAATAGACTTTTTTGCTGACAGTGGAGGTGATAAACACCATGCTCAAGAGTGATAGTGCTAAATTCCATGCAATGGCCTGGAATAGAGCATAAGAAGATATATGTAAGTCGATTTTGACCGAAACAATGGACTAAAACTGCTTACTATTTACTAGTCCAATTGAGTTTACTTACCAAACACCTGGATCACGACATGGAAAGGAAGATCAATGTTTAACTTGAGTTGTCGGTCAACCTCATTCTTCCCAAAGTTTGCAAGCTTTCACTTGTCTTTGAGATAGTCTAGACAAAGTTTAGTCCACGCGCACAAAATATAGTAAAAAAACTTACAGAACTTGGAAAATATGGCAGAGCAGAGCATCTGTTTGGTCCGAGTATTGGTGGTGACACAAGGAACCCCGGGCCAGCTCTTGCTCTAGCGCGCAAAGCAACAGCGATTTGTCATCCCCAAACTCAAAAATATCCTGCATCAAGTGGTTCTTGACGTGCTGAATTGTAGCAGCTGGAATGTCCGGTACGTCGTCACTCCTATCCCGTATGCTGTCGACCGACCTAGAGAATACATGCAGGTTAATTGAGCGATCCCAGGTGTCATGTATCAAGACAAGATAAACAAAAGTAGCAACATTGATAGCACACAACACATACACTCACGAACACACAGACACATTATTATTAGATATACTTACAGCAGAAAAGCGAAGTTGTTGGTAGTTGCCAAGAGGTTTTTCATATTCACCAGCGCAACTCCCGATCGTTGCAGCCGATAGAACCCGTCTCTGACATCAACACCGTCAACTTCATAAGGTATCCTGATGAGCCCATTCACATCCAGGTGGAGTACGGCAGGCCTGGTGTGATGGCGTTTACTCGTGCCTGTCTCAGTTTCCGACGTCAACGTTCGCTATTAGAATGTATAAATATAAAATAATGAAACACTAGGTATACACATACTAAATCTCGCCAATACAAATACAGAACAAATTAGCTCTACCTTGTGTGATGACTTGTTGGATATCTCGCTTACTAACTCCTCATTAACTCGCTTGTTCGCCAAAGGGTTCGTTAAATTCTCCAGACTCCTCCCGCGACCCGGCAATCTGGTTCCTTCTTCTTCCACAGACCCTTGTCCGACACTCTCTTCGTCATCGTCCCGATGTTGGCGATCCTGATCTTGGACTTCATTTCTCCTGCAGTACTCCAGCCAGTGACTTCGCATACCGATCTTGCCTTCTTTAGCTTGGGCGATTCCTCCTCTAGATAAATATAAATATGAAGCACTTGTAAGAACCTGGATATATATTCTAGGATTCATTGGTCATAGCAGCGGATGCTCGAAAAATGTAACTAACCTTCGTCAGGCGGCTCATTTTCTAGGTCACTGTGAGCTCTTACAAACTTGTTGAAGGCGACCTTGGACTGTACCTCCCCAACCTCATGTACAATCAGTCCTGAACGATTGGCAACAAGCTCAGTACGGACTTCCAGAGCGCGCTTTGTCCAGAACCTATCCTCATAATGCGTACGAAAATGATCGAAGGATGTCTTCAAAGCTGGTCTTCTTTTTCGGCGGATGTAGATGGACTTGATCAGCTCACAATAGGCCTTTGTAGCTGATTCCCTGTCACTCAGGTCAAAACGGACAACAAAGCTTCGTAGCGAAACGTGTTCCGCTACGGTTAGCTTATGTGTCCATTTCAAGTACTCTGGCGGCAGGCTTGACATGGCCAACGTAAAATGGAACCACTAATTTTGAAATCGGAAACCTCGAAAAGAAAAAAGTTAGCTAGCAAGACCACAACAATTCATCTTAAAGACTCACAACTAGGCTTCATGCCAAGCAGACTGTTACAAGGCGCCCAAAAGAGCACCCATCTGATGGCCACGATTGTCGTAGCCACTTCCTCACTCGGTGGAGCCCGAAGTATATCTACTGGAACTAAAGAAGCGGGTCACTCATGACAAAAGTGTTCCTAAGCAGGGTGAAACAGAAATCAGCGAATTACCTCTTAAAAATTGACAGAAGAATCTGGAAAGGTGATCGTCTTGGAAATGGTTGAGAATGAACAAAGAGGAGTCGACTTAGCAGAGATGAGGGAGCGAAGTGATGGAGAGGTGAATTGAAAGGAGGTGGAGAGGGAGGTTGGTGATGAGGAGTGGTGAGAAGAGTGGTGTTGAGGTGTTCTGGTGATGTAGAGGTGATTGGGGTACGCAAGCGACTAGAAAGAGAGATAGTGTGTGTGCGTAAGTTAGAAGTAAGACGCAAGAAGTAAGATGAGGGAAGGATGAAGTGATAAACAAAGAGAGAAGGGTACAAAGAGAAGGGTGAGGGAGAGACTAAGGGGCAACGAAGGGGAAGAGAATGATAAGAAAGGGAAAGAGAAGGACGACGATGAGTGTGGCGGGCGGACAAGGCGGACAATACAATCGACACAGACACAGATTCAGACACAAAAAGAGAATAAGTTGAGGAAGAGTGAAGCGAAATGGGTAAAGTGCTTAATGGGAGAGGTTAGGTCATTTATGGCTCGCTCGTTAAGGCTGTTGTCATTTAGAGAAACACTGGTCAATTACATATCGCGATATCAGGCCTAACCAGGGCGACCCATGGGGTGTGTACCGACGACGAGACCGGCAAGCACGGGGGGTTCCACGCTCGGGGACAGCGGATCTTGCGTATAGCAAGTCGTCCTGTCGGGGTCGTCCTCAGACTTCCCTTCCGACCAATCCTCAACCTTGGAAGGGTCCTGGGTGAGGCGCGTGACGTTCGATGATGGATCCTGAGCTCGCAATTGCGGCGATTGCAGGGCTGTGCAATCCGCACCGGTCGCTTGATGCTTGAGGTGGAGCAATGAAAGGTCATTGTGTGGTAATATGCGCGTGGTGTGGAATGATGTGTGTGGTGTGGAGTAAAGAATGGAAGGTGAGAAATGGAAGGTGAGAAATGGAGAAGGAGGTTTGCCTTCATCCTTTTGTTTTCTCATTTTTTTATGTTCCTTTTTTTTTTTCCTTCATGAATTCTAATTGGTCCAAGAGAGTCGGGACGGGATTCATCACGATTGGATGACGTGATTGGAGAAAAAGAAGAACAGCCCTTTTCTCCCCTTTCATGGATACTAATTGGTGCATGACTATGACATGCCTGCAAAGATGGCGTGATTGGAAAAAAGAAAAGAACAGTTCTGCCACATACGTGATTCATCTTGTGATGCCATGGACATCAGACAACAGCGCTTGCATTACCAGACCGGAGAAAGTCTTCATGTGATCTACTGATGAAGACTCTATCTGCGGTGGGAGTCTCATCATCATACACCTTCGAGCATGGACTGAATGTCTTGTTCGAAAAGGACAAAAAGCCAAGCCACCCATAATTGCCAGAGGAAATTGCTGCTGGACCAGAACACCCAATTATCACCAATATTGTCGAATCATCCAAGTCGACACCCACGTCTACCTCCCCCTGATCCAACACCAATAGGGAGTCCGACAACGCATCCTCGGCTAAGGACGTCAAAGGACAGGATGCAGCAGGTGTCAGACAGCAACGCAGGCGCAACAGCAAGAAACAGAGCAAGAATACGCAACCGAATCTGAGTTTCCGCTGGCCCCGTTCACGAGCCCCACTTTCTTTCTCACGGCGAGGATGAAATATCTTCGCCCACACACGATTCTCAAGGGTTTGGCGCAGGCGGTCGAGCGTACCTCCGGACTGTCTTGGGGTTAAGGAACCAGCGGATTCGTTGAAAGTTGGGACCATCATGCCAACACTCCTCCCACAATAGCTCAAGCCGGACGATGTTCCTGAGCCTCACCCTCTCACCTGTTGCATGGATTGTGTCTTCAGGCCTATACGAGCGGACGAGTACAAGACAGAAGGTAGACTGGACTTTATTCCAACGGAGGAGCGCTCCATCGGCCATCGCACCCACTCAAGGTTGGAGGAGAACACCAGGAATGGTCACTTCAAGGCGCACTCACCTCTGAGACGAGCCCTAGATAATGACGGACCTTTCGACCTGATTGACGACCTGGCGGAACGCATAAACGGGATCGCTATCAACAAGTCTGAGAACGGCACCTTCGATCTAGCCAGTACCTGCGCGTTTCGACAGATGATTTTCCCCAAGTCCTACCGCCCTCCAACCCCAGCACCACATCACCCACACATGGTCGCGCCGCCCCCATCACTCACTTACACCTTCCGGACATCCTTCTGGAAGAAGAGGGGACACCATCAACTTCAATATCATCGTCTTCAAGATCTGGAGCAAAAACAAACGAACTCACTTTTTCTGATTCAAATTACTTTTTTAATATCACCAGCACACGCTGATCACATCAATGAGCTATGGAAAACAAAGTAAACAGATCCCCCTAGTTAGAAACTGATGGGTTGGGATAAACAACAAACGGTGACTGTAGTTCATGCATGTATTCGCCCATTCTTTATGCTCTTCTAGACCCGCTGTCTCTTTTCATCTCTTCTAAATGAAGCATAGCACATAATAAAAGACTACCATGTGCTAGATGCTGTGTTCGACTCATGTCCCCTCCATGCTGCTATGCTTTTGCTTGTCGCCACTATCATTTCATCTGCCTGCACTTTATATATGTCTTTATTGTTCATACTAGACTAATGACTACACTAGTGACTAAGCTAGTAGACCCGCCGTTAGTCAATACCACTCTCCTTTCTCCTAGGAGAGAGAGAGAGAGAGAGGCATCGTCCAGGGCACACCACGAGGAGGTCGCGGGTCAAGGTAGTGCCCCAACAAAAACAGCTCCTCCAAGCGCCTCCAAACGAAGGTTGGCTTGAAGGAATTAGAAAAACAAACCCGGGCTTAGAATTCCGCCGAAGGCGTCCATCCTCGCCCTCAACGACGACGACAGTTTGGCGAGGGGTACCGAACACACTGACCGAAGGGCATTCCAGCGGCCGCGTGGGCCCGGCTCCTCTTTTTTCTCCACGGCCCCAGAGCAGAGCACACGTAGTCTCTGCCTGGGACCGCCGCACGTTGGTGTTAGTACTCCTGTTTGTCGTGTCTGTCCTCTTGTTGGTTGTCGGGTTGTTGTCGGGTTGTTGGTTTTGTCGGGCTGTTGGTTTTGTCGAGTTGTTGGTTTTGTCGAGTTGTTGTTGCTTGTTGAGTTGTTGTTGCTTTTCGAGCTGTTGTCGATGGTGGCCGTCGGTGGTGGTTGTCGGTGGTGGTTGTCGATGGCGGTTGTTGATGGTGGTTGTCGATAGTGGTTGTCGATGGTGGTTGTCGATGGTGTCGATGATGGTTGTCGATGGTGGTTGTCGATAGTGTCGGTGGTGTCGGTGGTGTCGGTGGTGTCGGTGGTGTCGATGGCGGTGGGTCGATAAGAAGAAAAGAAAAGAAAAAAGAAGGAAGAGAGAGAGCACTCAGTCCTTCTTCCTCTGTCCTCTGCCTAGCCATCGGTGACCTCATAGCCGTCCGTCTCTCTCTCTCTCTCTCTCTCTCTCTGTCCAAACACCCAAAAGGAAAAGAAGGTGGTGGAAGGGAGAGGAAAAACTGGTTGGTCGAGAGAGAGCACGCACATGCTTTTTTCGGAAAAAAAGCCGAGACCACCCTGGGAAAATGGAGTCATCATGCAAATGAATATCAGTTGCATGATAACTTATCCATCGCGTCCCCTTCCTCCATCGCCACCATCGCCAGGGTTTCTTTGGCTGTTTTTTGTTTGTCAACATTGCCTGGGTTCGTATGAATCTTGCTCGATTGAAGGTCAACCCACAAGACCCCGAGAGAGAGAAGGAAAACAATGGAAGGGGGAGTAACGTATCTATCCCCTTATTCTGTCGACCGACCCAACTCACTTCTCCATTACGACCATCAAACAAACAAGCACGACGTCGTAGCTGACCATGTGGGGAATAGAGACATGGAAAAGGTAATAAGAGATAAGGTATCAAAGGGAATCGGGCAGTGCTGACAGATGAGGGAATGATAGTTTGTACTTTTCTTTTTTCCATCTTGTCTCGTATTTCACTTCGATACTTCCATCGCCATCCTTCATCCTCTTACACCTATCCCGTTCCTTTCTGGCAACACATACACGCATCTTCTCTTAGACTCTCTTTCCATTACTCGAACATAATTCGACGGCGAAAAGGCAGAGGCTCTGAAGAAAGATACGATTCAGCCGAACCCAGGCAATGTTGACAAACAAAAAACAGCCAAAGAAACCCTGGCGATGGTGGCGATGGAGGAAGGGGACGCGATGGATAAGTTATCATGCAACTGATATTCATTTGCATGATGACTCCATTTTCCCAGGGTGGTCTCGGCTTTTTTTCCGAAAAAAGCATGTGCGTGCTCTCTCTCGACCAACCAGTTTTTCCTCTCCCTTCCACCACCTTCTTTTCCTTTTGGGTGTTTGGACAGAGAGAGAGAGAGAGAGAGAGAGAGACGGACGGCTATGAGGTCACCGATGGCTAGGCAGAGGACAGAGGAAGAAGGACTGAGTGCTCTCTCTCTTCCTTCTTTTTTCTTTTCTTTTCTTCTTATCGACCCACCGCCATCGACACCACCGACACCACCGACACCACCGACACCACCGACACTATCGACAACCACCATCGACAACCATCATCGACACCATCGACAACCACCATCGACAACCACTATCGACAACCACCATCAACAACCGCCATCGACAACCACCACCGACAACCACCACCGACGGCCACCATCGACAACAGCTCGAAAAGCAACAACAACTCAACAAGCAACAACAACTCGACAAAACCAACAACTCGACAAAACCAACAGCCCGACAAAACCAACAACCCGACAACAACCCGACAACCAACAAGAGGACAGACACGACAAACAGGAGTACTAACACCAACGTGCGGCGGTCCCAGGCAGAGACTACGTGTGCTCTGCTCTGGGGCCGTGGAGAAAAAAGAGGAGCCGGGCCCACGCGGCCGCTGGAATGCCCTTCGGTCAGTGTGTTCGGTACCCCTCGCCAAACTGTCGTCGTCGTTGAGGGCGAGGATGGACGCCTTCGGCGGAATTCTAAGCCCGGGTTTGTTTTTCTAATTCCTTCAAGCCAACCTTCGTTTGGAGGCGCTTGGAGGAGCTGTTTTTGTTGGGGCACTACCTTGACCCGCGACCTCCTCGTGGTGTGCCCTGGACGATGCCTCTCTCTCTCTCTCTCTCCTAGGAGAAAGGAGAGTGGTATTGACTAACGGCGGGTCTACTAGCTTAGTCACTAGTGTAGTCATTAGTCTAGTATGAACAATAAAGACATATATAAAGTGCAGGCAGATGAAATGATAGTGGCGACAAGCAAAAGCATAGCAGCATGGAGGGGACATGAGTCGAACACAGCATCTAGCACATGGTAGTCTTTTATTATGTGCTATGCTTCTTTCAGAGTATCAATGGCACAGACGAGACCACTGACAACAAGAGATGAAAAGAGATAGTGGGTCTTGAAGGGCATAAAGAATGGGTGAATAAATGCATGAACTACAGTCACCGTTTGTTGTTTGTCCTAACTCTTCTGTTTTCTATCAGGGGCGAAGGTACAATGCTGGGCGAGTGATCTAAATTAACATCCGTGCTCAGGCATGAGCTTTTCTCTTCGACCACGTCCTTCGACCACTCGATACACGTTTCAGTTCCATGGGGCTAGCCAGAAATGACACTGCAAATGAAGCACTAATATGACCTCTTTTGAGGGTTACACGGCGTAGATCATCAGTTTCATCCTTTTTTACAAGCCATTGTATGCATACGCAATAACAATATTGTGCTTGTTTTGTCGGAAATCATATCCTCCACTTTCTCCTCTTCCTCTTTACCAGATCTTGAACTACTCCTTGACACCCACTTCTCGCCCAAGAAAATGAGACTGGTCCGATAACTTTAACTTTTGAGTCTGGTGGGCGCTGTCCCGATCCAGCCATCCCTTCCGCCCCTATACCAATAGAAATTACACCTGTTGCCACGCCAGTCACCACTATCACCGCCAACACCGCATCTCTCGAACCCTCCCCTGTGGTTACGACCACCCAGTATCCTACAGCTCAAGTCGTCAAAGACACCCGCAGCCCAATCATCGACCTCGGAGCCTTATTTGATCACCATTTTGTCGTTAAGACGCTCAAAGCCAGGGACTTCCCCCTCTTGGGTCCCACCACTACCCCTTACAGCGGATATGAAAATGGTGCCTTCGATCTCTTCAAACCCATCGTAAATTTTGCCAAAAAAAATTTCAAGCCCTCGCGAAGCATATGTGAAGTTTTGCCCGCTGATTATGAAATGGAACATATACGCAAGACCCTCAAAGGCTCTGACCAGGTTGCTGACGACTATCACAATAAAGAAGATGATATTGTCGAAACCCCTGAACCAAGCATTTTTGATCCCGCCGATGAAACAGTTGACCCGGTCGCCTCCTCGCCAGGCAAGCCTGTTAAGAAGAATGTCAAAGCCCAATCTGAAATCAGCACCGTCGAGGATACACCCTCGTCGCCAGTAGCTCAATCGTCCGCAAGCCCGTCGCCGCCACTGTTCCCTCAATCGGATGTCATGTTATTGCCGGATTGGGCCACCGTTGCGCTGTCAATTTGGGTCTTGGGAACCATGTGCTCATGACGACATTCCCGTGCGAGATTATCAGTGTTTCGTTGGTCAAAGAGATCATCGCTGTCCGTGGCATTGATATTTTCGACGGTCAGACGTACCAGAGATCGTGGGATAGTAACACGATGGTTCCGATTTGAATATTCTAGAGACAGCGTGCACCCTGGTCAGTATCGACGGTAATACCCTGACCTTGAGGGCGCCTGACTCTCTTACCAGAAAAATCGACTGCCTTGATGAAGATCTCAAAGCGGGAATTCTGAACGCTCTCCGACTCTTAAACACTGTAAGTGCAATTGTTTTGTGCTGGTGACCACATTTGTCGACTCACGGCACACGTGCATGGTTACGTTTTGTGTTCGTTCGCATCACACATACTTCTCATTCATCTGTTGATACACATAGGTCATCGTGTATGTTATCCGCAAAATGGGAAATACTAAAGTGTACATCTTGGAGTATAACAATTATTTTTTTCGCATTGGCTTTTCTTGACTGGACACATATCTTCCTCATTTGTCTGTTTTTTTTTCTGTAACAACCCTCTCTTCAAACGAATTAATGATATTTGTAATTGAACACGGCGTGAGAGTCCAAACTCCATCTTTTTTATCTTTGTATCTTGAATGGAGATGTGTCTACAGTTCACTGACCTGACCCCTCCAACAAAGCCCATACAGTGTTCGACTAACAACTCTCTCTCTTATGCCTGCTGAGGGAAAAAAAGTATGAACCAGACTTTCTGTGCGGGATGAAAAAAAAGAAGTGTCGAGATCCTTTCATCTGTTCTATCCTAGGTTGAGGCAACGAGTGAAGGCAAATGTCACAGTAATAAGGCATTTCTTTTGGACAAGGGGACGATTACAAAGACCTAGACAAAAAATATATATATCGCCGAAAATGAGAAAAACATGCGGACTTGGAGATGAAAGTTACGCCACGGAGAAAGAAGTTAATAGAAAGTCTGAAGGTAGGCAGGTTGCAAGGTAGTAAATCTATGTTTCTTCACTTTTCCTTTTTTTGTGGGGTACACAAATGGGCTGTTCTCGAACACATGTACTGCCCATACGACGTTACGTGACTGACATACAGGACGCGACGCGTTCGATTGAGACAAGAAGGGCTGCGGGTGATTCCTTCGGCAGCGACCCGAAATAAACGCGCTTTTATTAGTATCAGTGATATGAAGGCGATGCGTTTTCACTTGCCAAAAAGGGCACCTATAAAACCTCCCTCCCCCCCACTTTCTTTTTTTTCCCTTTCTTCTCTCGTTTTACATTTTCTCTCTTCTGTCTTTTTTTTTCTTCTTTCTTTCTTTCTTTCCTCTCTTCCCCTCCCCCCTTTCCTCCTCTCTTTCCTCCCTCCTTACTTTTGGCGCGCTTCGCTCCTCATAGCATGCCAGACACATACTTTTCTTACTATGTTACTCTTCCTGCTTTCATACCTTCCACTCTCACCCACCCATATATCGAACACTCGAACTCGTCAGAGAGTGGATCCTTACCAACCAACCAACCAATGTCCACAAGCATGACCAACCCACCCCACCCCGCCACCTGCAACAAGTTCTGAACGAGGAAGAGACACAAGAACTGGAGAAGAGCTGAGCAAACAAGTGCCAACGAGGACGCCGGGAACGGATACCAAAGAGCACGTATTTTTATTCCCTTTGAACTCCAGTATCATCATTTTGAGCAAATAAATTCTCACAGGTAAATGGAGTAGTCATTGTGATTCCCCAGAAACACTTTGATGATTTTTGTGCACACTGATTAGAAATTCGGTTCCACCAAGCGCCCTTGATTGGTTCCCCCATTGTTTGGATCGAATACAGAGGATTAAGTTGCCCTTATGCCCTGTGATTCTCATTCACAGCCATCGCTCTTCCATACATATACACACACATATATCATCTACAGCACTTTTTGTTCCACCATGCCACCCATCCTGATTGAAACCAATTCATGCCTCGCTGCCCTTTGAACACATTGCCATCGATCTAACAATGCTGCCGATTATCAAAGACGGACACGAGCACGTTTTTCTAGTAATAACGAATGTACCCGGTTTGTTGTTCTGATTCCTCTTCTGGACCAGTCAATGAGCAAAGTAGCGACCGAGCTGTTCAAAAATATTGTGAACAGCCGGCTTTCATTTAATTGTCGAGTGATAATGGATCTGAGTTCGCGAACAAAGTCATAAAGGAGCAAACATAGGTTAACGACTCCTTATCATACTAGAGCAAACGGGCCTGCTGAGAGAAATGTGCGTACCGTAAAGGGAATGTTAGGCAAGATGCTAAAGGGTGACATGGAACCATGGGTAGACAAGATCGCCGCACTGTATAAATCGACCCCCTTTTTCGCTCTTTTACGGCAGATCGTATGCCGGCCTAAACGATTTCTCATTAGCCGAATCTTATCTTTTGGGAGAAAAGGAATTAGAAGAGAAACTGAAGAACTTGACAAAAGTCAACTACCCAGCTATCAGTGAGAGGAGTAAGGCTACCCAAAAGGCAATGTCCAATACCTTCAACAGAACACATGAACTGGTAGATTTCCGCCAGGTTCGTATGTCATGGCAAGAGAGGAAATCATGGAGAGGCGACTTGATCCAAAATATGATGGACCATTCGAGGTCATCCGCCAAAGGAAATTTGGTTCATATGAACTGGAAAACATGACCCAATGAAAAACTCTCGCGTAACTTTGCACCAGGCAGCTCAAGCCTGTCACCCAGGTGCCCGATGGCGAGAGCCAGGAGCACTATGAGATAGACGAGATTCTCGAGGACAAAGAAACCGTGGAGGAGATGAGGTACTTAGGCAAGCGGAGGAATCATTCAGAAACTAGGATAGTTGGATAGCTCCTGAGCAGTTTGATTTTCCAGTGGCTATTCATCGAAACCAAAGGCAAAGTGCCCATCTCAATCCGCACGTCCAAAAGAAACATAAAAGCCTGGAAGAGAATGCAAAAAAAGAAGAATGACAGATGAACGAAGAAAGCTCTTGCTCTAACCAAAAGGTCAGAAAAGAGAAAGAAGAACGATGGTCGTGGTTAAACGTAGCCTAGGCATCATCTGAAGTTTTCCACATTATTTTTAAACCCCTTGTAGATCAACCCATAGGACATTTTTCCCTTCTAGCCCAATATCTCAGCGCATCTCCTAAGCCATAAACCTGGTGGGGAGTTGTTGTGTTCTTGGGGAGTGGAGCATCCACTCCGCACTTCTTATTCATAAGAGCAGATAGTCGTAATTCACGTCTAGTCTGGTTCGGCTATGTTAGAAGGACTGGACCAGGACTCTATAAAACCCATCCTTGACTTCTCGCCCCAAAATAAGCTAAATTCTTTAGGGACAATAAAGAGAAGTAACGTATGCAGAACGGACTATGAGAAGTTGGTTTGCCATTTGTAGTGGCTATTGCTTCAAGGTGAGAGGGGGGTTAATATTCTGTCTGAAAATACCCACGTGTCAAGGACCCATCATCCTTCCCACCTGCCATCCCACCTGCCTCTCTCTCATTCACACACACTCTCCTCTTCCTCCGCCCTCCTTACCCCCACCATTTGGAGCAGAACGTGGGGGGAAATGTCAAAAAGTCTCTTTTTTAAGCTTTCGCATCTATCTCGATGTTTTTTCTTGTGTGTTTTTCTCGACGAGATGATATAATTTGATACAGAATGGGAGTAAAATGGGGGCCGGAAGGGGTTTTGCCGCCATCACAAGGGCGCTAACGGTACCACCTTCAACTCTGCATCCCCTCTCACCCTCTTTGCCATCGCAGACGGTTCCCATGATGGCAATTGTGTCAAAAATAAGGCGTGATTTGACGTACTTGTACCGCAAATATGCCCTACCGCGGACACTTGGCACTCGATCCAGCGCCCCTCGTTAAATCCATTACCGAGAAAAGGTGAAAGTGCATTTTACTAGTGTTGGTAGTCAAATGGGAGCAGAGAAACTGTTGCCTCCTTTATTTTTGCTGCTACTGCTTTTTCTTTCGCCCACAAAATAATACAAAAGAAGTGCGAGCGGTACTGGTTTGGAAAGGGAAAGAATGGGGGCAACGATCTCACAACTCAATTGCCGACTCCTGGGCTGCGTGTGTGAGAAAATGACGCATGTGATGGTTTAGAGAAAAGGAACTAAACAAAGGCGCAGTGGCAAGAATAATCAATTAAAATTATTTCTTCCAGTGTCAAACGACCTTATTCTTCATTCCTACCAGATGCGGTCGACCTTGGGCCAGTTCTTTTTGACCCATGCCTCCTCCTTGTCGTCGCTAATATACACTTCCATGTCGTCCATGACAACATTCTCGAGTTCCTTCAAATCCTTCAGCAAGTCCAATCCACTCTCAACAGTCATCGCTAGACAGTCGTACTGCCGATTTCGCTGTCTTCTAATGTCGTCGTCCCCCCAACGCGGCACGACAGCCACACCCAGAATCAACTCCTTCAGTTTTGTCAACCGGCCAAGCTGCGAATACACCCCTCGCTGCAAATCTAAACTCTCCTGATGTGTCCCTTCCTTGATATAATCGACAGCAGGTTTTCCAGCGATATCCTGAGTAATGTCCGGTCGAGGGATCCCTCCAATCTGGCAACCAAACACCTCCAGCTCGGTACAGACCCAGTCCGACGAGACAACGTCATGGGCGTCCAGGAACAAATCCTTGTTATCAGAGTTTCGACTGTCTCCGATAATACTAAACTCCTTGAGGCGGGCAGCTGAACAGAGGAACTGTTGAATCGATTTGCTGCTCATACAGGGCATCATATCCAGCTGGACCACTTCGAGCGTCGATGCATGCTCCAGAAGGGCATCCGTCGAGCTGTCTCCAAAGTCGCCAAACCCTTCGAGCCCACTAATTTCAAGCGTCTTCAATCCACTGCCATTATTCCCAATCGCCGACGATGGTGCCTTCCTAATAAAGGACGCAATCAGGGAGTCGCTCTCTGGGTTGGTGAACGAGAGAGACGTCAATCGAGGGAAGGTCTCGGGTGACAGATCCAGGAACTCCTTGATAAAGTCTGGGTAGCAGCGCAGACTGATGGACTGGATCCATTGGCCGTGAGTTTTGAGGGATCCGGATCTGGCACTCTCAAAGAAAGTAGTGTCCCAGTCGACTTTTCGTCCGATAGAAGTGCGTGTCTCAATGTGGCGCCAGACAAAGGATGTGAAGATTCGTCTCCATGCTTGACAGACGCGGAGGCAGATGGCGGCGTTGTGCTGAGGGGTATAAGAGGCGACCATGACTTGAAGTTCCTCTGGGAGGGAGCTGAAGGATGTTGGATGTGACATTGTTGATATAGGTCGAGCTGTTGAAAGTGGGAATGAGTGAAAGTAAAGACAAAGAGTGAAAAGTAGCGAATGCTCCTAGTTCCAAAGGAAGATGGAGGCAGATGAGTTTGTGTGGGAAGAATGACTAACACAGGTTGCTTTTGTCAACCACATGAAAGTAATTTTGGTGGCGTAATTAAGGATCAGGAACAATGTGATGGAAGCACATGCGATATATTTTATCCCGGTGACATCGACAATGCGCTGTATCGATCAGCTCTGGTAGCTGACCTGCAGCAGACAGACTCCCTTCGTCCCTCCGTCCTCTTTCTCTTCCCTCGACCTACTTATTATCCCCCACCGCACACACGCCTCGTTCTGGCATCATCCAACCCTGTCATCTTTCTCCCTCTCCTCCCTTTCTCTCACGTTCACGTTCGCCTTCCCTGCCAAGTACCCTTTACATTCATTCGTACACTCATCCTTTTCTCTGCACACACACACCTCCACCTCGACGAGTGGCTCTTAGACTGAAACCCTCTACTCCGCGCTTCTTTTTTATCGTTCAAACGGGAACCTGTAAGAGCCAAACCAACCCTTTTTTTTGCCGCCTTTTTTTCTCGTCTGTGTGTGTTCAGTGCGCTTGTGCATCCAGGCCCAAGTTTATAAACAATAGCAGATCATCCTCATGAAAGTGAGGGATTCACACAAACACAAGCACGGTACTAGGAGGAGGAGGAGGAGGAGGAGGAGGAGGAGGAGGAGGCAGAGGACAGATGTAGATCACTTCTCTCTTTCTTGTCGCGTTCTCCAAGGAAGGAGAACGCGTTCCATCCTGGACCAGCAACAGAGCGTCACCTTTCCAAAAAAAAAGGCTTTGCCTAGAACGATTACTAACTCTACTTTGCCGCACCCCTCTGTAGTTCCTCGTCTACAATCTAGGATCCCACTTTGACTTTCTTCCGAATCAGAGGCGACATCAACTTTACTACAACTAGTTTTCAACACGACACCCCTAGCGCCTTGAAGGATGCCGAGAAAGGCCGTTGACACCAGCAGCTCCATTGCGGAGGGTCTCTCTTCGGACAAGAAGGAGGCCATGACACAGATTCTGGATCGCTTGGAGAACCTTTCGGACAAGAGGTACTTTCACACAGCAACTTTGTTTCCTTCTAGGACTTTGTCTGTGTAAAGTGTGTAAAGAGAGGCAACATATGGATCTCCTAACAATTTGTGATGGCACTCCTGTTCATTGCTTTCTAGCGGACGACTGATAGCCGATCTGTTCATGGAGCTGCCGGATCGCGAGGAATACCCGGATTATTATTTGACAATAACGAACCCTATCGCACTGGACATAATTCGCGTATGTATCTGTTAAACCAGACGGAAAGGAGCAACACAGTTACACAGCCCTCGATGGCTTGTGGTTTCGCGGTTACAAACCAGCTTACACATGGATATCGTATCTTTATCTTTTTTAAAAACAACTATAGGATCGTGTGGAGAAGAGTGCCTATGACAACGACAACATCAATCAGTTCGCAAAGGACCTCAGGACACTCACCGCGAACGCTAAGGAGTACAATCGAAAGGGATCTCCTATCCACCGGGATGCCACGACTCTCGAGGTAAGCAAGGAAGGAGACGACTGGTTGGTGTAGGAGCGGCCCTACAATCATTACTGCCTTTATGACCAACCCTTGTATCCCCTGGCCCTCGCAGTGCCCCAGAGAACCCCGCAAACCCCTATATTAATAGGAGGAGGATGAGGACGAGGAGATGGGTTACGATCATGCGCATGAACTCCCAGGTCTGCCATACTGCCTTTATTCCCTTTTTTACTCCCACATTCTAATCTTTGGACGTCTTTCACCTCTCTTTCTCCTATTCCTCTGTGCCCCCTTTGTTGTAGAGTCACATCGAGGCTGCAATGCAAGTGCTTTTGGATGACGGTCAGCAGGAGGAACAGATTCAAGTAAGCGCGATAACCACCCCTGGAATCAAACGTCGCATTTGACCCCTTCTTGGACGAATGTAAAAAGTCTCTAATTGATCATATATACTGTCACTCCGCACGGTCTAGTTTTCGATCGAGTTCTGCCACCGTGTATTAGGCGTGATCAAGAACCACAAGGACACAAGGTAAACATTGTCCGGTGTCATCTCCCTTTCCCTGTCCTCCTCCCTTGCTCCTCCTTGGCCCCTTATGCCTGTGTCCGTGTCTGTGTCTGTGTGCCATTGACAGTAATCGTCTTTTGTGCGCAACTGGCTGACGTACTGTTATCAATTCTCCTCTTTGTTTTATCTTGCCTCTAGTGGCCGTTTGGTGTCTGAACTCTTTCTCGAGTTGCCCAGTCAGGATGAGTACCCGGATTACTATGAGGAGGTAGGTGTCAAAGAGCTCTTTTTTGATCTCTTACGGCTTTGAACGCTTACGCTAACGAGGAATTGATGTCCGTCGATTGCCTTGAAACGATGTTAAAACGTACTTTTCCCATCTCCTTTGTTTCTTTCTTTATTCACAGATCACTCGACCCATTGCGTTGGATGGAATCAAGAGGAAAATCATCAGCCGAGCATACACTACTCTGGAAAGTTTCGAGGACGACTTTGAACAAATGTTTGAGAACGCGAAACAGTACAACGCCGAGGGCTCCGACGTTTACATGGATGCCGAGGAACTGCAAGTACGTATTTTCATCGTATTTGGATAACCAGGTGCTTGTTGTTCAGGCATTTTGATTTATGATTTCGTCTAGGAGCGTGACTCTGACACAGTTCAACCTTCGCTTCTCTTGCCATAGCAATTGTTCTGGAAGGAGATCGGCAAAGAAGGAAAGAGCTCGACAAAAGCAAAAAACGCAAGGAAACATGTCAAGGAGCTGTTGCAGGTTGCGGTGCGCGGAGTAACCTACAGCGTCGGTATGTCACTACCTTTGAGCCGTTCGTACTGTGTCGTCAATCGATACATCATCGAAATGATGCCTATGGAACTAATCGGTTATCCCGCCATTTTCTTTCATAAATAGGTGACTTTGTGCATCTCAGGAACGATGATGACCGCACCAAGCCCATCATTGCTCTCATCTTCAGCATTTGGATCGACGAGAAGTAAGCATGTATTGCCACTTTTTACCTTCAGGGGGTACCTTGCGGGTCCATAATATGTGTTGGTGTGCTAACTAAGTTGTCGTTGATGTTATGTACCATAGTGGGCAAACGGGCTTGGATGCGACATGGTTCTTGCGGCCGGATCAAATTGTTCACCCATATGCCAGTCGATTTTACCCTTCAGAGGTCCTCAAAGCAGGAACCCATGAGCACTTGGTAGATGAGATTGAGGAAAAGTGCTTCGTGTTATATACCAGGGACTACATTCGAGGACGGCCAGTAGAGTGGAAGCAGGGACAGAACATCTACTTGTGTGAGCAGCGTTACAGCGAGTCATACAAGACGGTGTCCAAGATCAAGAACTGGGCCAGCTGTCTCCCTCCAGGCCACAAGCCTAGCGACATCAAGTTCAACCTTTTCCCAGAGCCTTTGGCGCTCAAGAAGTTGCCAAGTGCATCGATGATGGACAAGGCTGCCGGGAAGCATGAACTTGTAGAAGATGCCTCGCGCGCAAGTACACCACAGGAGGCCAACTCTGTTGTGGCAAGAGGTGCCACTGGGGGAGCCAACAAGCGCAACTCTGTCAACCAGCATCCTGGATCGCCGCCTCTGACAAAGGGCGCGCACATGGGCAACGCCCACCCACCCAACTGGGTTCGTTGCAACTATGCAAGTCTCAGCACCGGCCTGCAATGCCCCGCGTAGGTCTTTCACATATGATATCTGGCCTGTCTTTCGATATACATTTTGTACGCTATTACTAATTAATATACTGCTGTATTCGGTCAATAGTGTTTTCCAAACCAAGGCCGATTTGCAGAACCATGTGGCGACTGAGCATGCAATTACAGCGAATGTTACTTCACCACCAGTCATGAAGCGTGGACGACCCAGGAAAAACCCCCTCCCAGCAACAGCTACGACCGCTTCCCCGGCTGTACCTCAGACAACTGGGGTCCAGCAGCCCATGATGGGCCAGTCAGGCGCATACCAGCAACAGGGCTATGGCTTTAACCCTGCAGGACCCTATGGTAGCGTCTCACCGCGGCCAGGAATGCCTGGCCAGCCTAACCCAGGATACCCTCAACAGCAGCCGCCTATCCATCATATGCAGCAGCAACCGCACCAGATGGCTCAGCAGCAGCAAAGAGGAATGTCTTACCAACAACAGCCATTCAGTCAGCCTATGCAGCCTGGTCAACAGCGTCCTCAAGGATTTCCCCAGGGTGCGCCTTATGGACAACCTTATGGCCAGCCTTACCCTCAGCAACCTGGCCACCCTCAACACCAGCAATATCCTCAACAACCCCAGCAATTTGGTCAGCCTCAGTTCCCTCAACAAGGATTCCCTCCCCAAGGCTATCCTCAACAGCAGCAATATCCAGGAGCATTTTCGCCTCAGCAGCAACAACAACAATATGCAATGCAACAACAGCAGCAGGTACCGCAGTACGGCCAGCCATTCCCAGGACAGCCACCGCAGTTGCAGCAACAGCAGCAGCAACAGCAACAGCAACAGCAACTGGCTCAACAGCAGGCGATGCAGCAGCAACTCGCTCAGCAGCAACAACTGGCGCAAAAGCAGCAATTGACGCAACAGCAACAACTTGCGCAGCAGCAGCAGCTTGCACAACAACAGCAGCTAGCTCAGCAACAACACTTGGCTCAACAGCAAGCTTTGCAACAACAGCAGCAGCAGCAGGCGGCATTACAGCAACAGCAGCAGGCGGCAGCTTTGGCCAAGCAGCAGCAACAACAACAACAGCAATTGGCGCAACAACAGGCTATGCAGCAGCAGGCTTTGCAGCAACAGCAGAAATTGCAACAGCAACAGATTCAACAGGCACAGCAGCATTTGCAGCAACATCCTCAGCAGCCACAGCAGCAGCCTGTAATTCAGTCACCTCCTTTCCAACAGGCACACGCACAGATCCCCGTGTCTTCCCCTCAACAGTTCCAGAAGCCCCTTCCACTGCCATCACAACAGCAGCCCCAGACACCGACTCAGCAGGTTCCACCGTCACAACAGTTACCCCCAATGGCATCGCCTGGACCCTTCAACAACCATATCAGATCCAACTCTATCGGATCGCCTCATACGCCTACAGCTACACCGGCTTCGACTATTACTACACCTGTGGACGCCGCTGGAATGGGATTGTCTGGCATGAATGTAAACCTCAACAATGCCGACCATGGACGCCTCACGCCTGTGGTGAAGGAAGGGTCATCGACAGTCCTTGCGCCCAAGACGATCGATTTGTTTGCGCATAACGACAAGGGACACGTGTTTTGGTTTGCAGGACCTCCACTAGATGTGATACCTTTACCCAAGCCTCACCATTCGGTAGAATACTTGACGGCCAAGCGTCAGAAGCTCCAGAACGGCAAGGCCTCGAGTCGTAGTAGGAAGGATGGGAATGGGTCTTTGGTGGACAGCGGTGCTCTGACGAATGGTCTTCGTGGAGGACCAATATCAGCGGAAGATAATGTTCTGTCTGTAGTTGCCGTGGGTCTTGAGGCATTAAGCGACCAACTCAAACAGGATGTGCAAGTCATTCAGACCAGCTAGGCCCTTTCTTCTTGCTGTTTGACTGAACATATCCTTTTCTATCCTTTTTTTCCACTTTTTTCCACTTTTTTCCACTTTTTTCCACTTTTTTCCACTTTTTTCCACTTTTTTCCACCTATGTAATAAAAAACGCCAGCACATTCACGATCTACTTATGGTCTTGCTCGTTCGTTTATCGTACCACTCGAGATATGCACGCACAGGTCTAGAACCTTGTTGTGGCCGCCGTTGTGAGAAGAGAGTGTTGTGATCATGTGCACCAAAATCTTGGTTGTGCATTGTGTGCGCATGTGGGTTATCATTTCCTCGATGTTGCTTCTTTTATCTTTTGCTCTTTCTTTTATTTGTTCTTTTTTTCTTTTCTCTTTTTTTTCAACTTTCCCACCCAGCTACCTCGCTCCTCGCAATCTTACTTTCTCACACGCTATCTATCCATCGCAATCACAATCACGCGTCCATTTTGCCCGCATTTTATCGCTCCTTATCACAGGGCACACACTACTTCCTCACACACACAAAACTCAAAAAAAGGACACACGCAACAATCTCCACAACAACCACAAAGGGAAGCAAAGGATGGGACGACAGGCACCAGGGTCGTTCCAGGACCTGCCACAGGAGATCCAAGATATGATCTTTGTGTTGCTGTCGAGGCATGATGCCGCGGTGTGTGCGTTGGTCTGTCAGGCGTGGTTTGAGATCTTTGCTCCCGTTTTCTTGGATTCTCTTGTTTCGACGTCTCCGGCTGGTGCTGGACTTGGCGATGGTGGTGATGTTGTCGTTGGAGGAGGAGGAGGAGGAGCCTGGCAGGAGGTGAGGACGGTTCTGGATGCGTATCAGCGAATGACAACATGGCTTCTTTCTCAAGGTCAGGAAGGCGGGAAGAACGGGAGCGATACAGCGCAGCAGGGCGCTCATGACGAAGTCAGCGCTAATACAGGAAAGTCAACAATGGGCAGAGGACTACTGCAGGCGTCAGAGCCAGTCATACCGGTGATTTCGAGAGATTCAGTGGAGCAGGTGCTCAGGAACAGTGACGGTCTTCAGGAGGTGAGGGTGACTGGGTTGTGGACTCCTTTGACCGCAACGCCATCAGCAACGGGAGCAGGAGCAGGAATGGCGTTTCAAGATCCTTCTCCTTTGCTCGACAAGCGACAACGACCACCGTATCCACTTTGTCGAATGGATTCACTTCACATTACCAATATCGATACTGCCCATATGCACAAGCAGGACAAGGAAACTACCACCCTTTTGTCGCTTCTGGAACGCCGCTCTTCCCCTTCCACGCCACCATTCACTTCTTCCTCTCCGTCGTCATCATCTTCGCCGCCACTGTCACCATCGATTCAGGACGAAGTTGAATTGCATCTGGGTCGAGCTGCCGCCATTTCCATGATGTCACGGGACCCTGCCAGTGTGCTGGGTTCTCTTCCGGCAACGCTTTGGAGGCTTGTTTTGGAGGCTGTCGAGGATGAGCAGGTGACGGGTATGCTGGCTGCCTCTTGGCGTACGATTGATAGTAGTTGCAGCGATAGTAGTGGAGGTAGGCTTCGGGAGGAGATGGACAGCACCCAAGCGCTTGCCAAAAGGAAGGGGGGCGAGGAGGGGTCCTTCCAATCAAACCAACAACAGCAGGAGGCGGGATTTCATCATATACGACGGATCCATCATTCTTCCCTACGACTGGACAAATCAGTCTTCATTCCCTTCCTCCGTCAATTCTACAACCTCATCGAAATCCATCTCTGTCTCCCAGTAACCATGCGGTCTTACATCAAAGAGATCGCTGAGACTCTATCAACATCCTGCCCCGCGTTGAATGTCGGAGTCTTTGGAGGCCAGGACCTGGACTTGACAGATCAGGAACTGGCGACGTTGATCGGATCGAGCGCAGGTGGGTGGAGGATTTTGGCGGCTGATACACATTGTATTTTTGGGCCCTTGTCTGCAGCCGCTGTGGTGGTGGGGGGTCGCCATGCGAGGACGTTGGAGAATTTCCGGGTTACGACAGGGAGCCTTGATTTTCCGAGCCCGATGATTCAAGAACTGTTGTGTGCTGCAACCAGGTTGAAGCGGTTTGAGGGACGGTCGTTTCACCGGGATTGGGCGCCCATGATCCATATCTCGGCCAAGGATCTGGTGCAAGGAGAGTGGGCGTGCAAGGATCTGGAGACGTTCCATTGCGCGATCAAGGATATCCCACGGCCCGACATCAAGACCCGGAAGAATGGACGACCGCTCGTAGGTCGAATGCATCGGGGCGACTCGATGGAGGAAAGTTTCCGGCTCCAGCGATTGGTGTATGAGCAGTTGGGACGGTTGAGGAAGTTGAGGGAGTTGGTGTTGGGGTACCGGTCTTGTGATGGCGATGAGCGGTTTGGTGGGTTTGTCACGGATGAGGATTTGGGGTGGGAGCAGGGGATTACTGAAGCCGATTACTATTCTGCCGACAGTCCTATTAGCTCCAGCAATATCAAGGACGGAGCTGGCAGCGACGTAGATGAAGGCAACGAGCAGGATGAGGAAGATGAGGATATGCCGACAAGGCTGCTGTACGACTGTTTGGCTATGAGTCTTGAGAGCGGGTTGGAGCTCCTGAGAGGGTTAACAGAACTGAAGTGGTTATCGTTAGAAGGGACTAGTCACTGTGTGAAGGAGGTCGAAAGGAAATGGATGGCAAACCAGTGGCCGGGGCTGTTTCTGGAGGACGAATTAGATGAGGGGGATGGTCGTGGAGGAAGTGGTAGAGGTGGGGTTTTGAGGGATGTGTTTTGGAAGAGGTTTATGATCTGTGGGTACCATGCTACTGAGCCATGGTATAATAACTGGGTGGACATCGAGGCCAACACGTGAAATAAACCGCTTTTATTATATGGCCCATCCAGACATGCAACACGTAACTAAACCACTTTTCATGTCCGTATCTTTTCTTTGCTGTCGCCGCCTAAGTCGTCTGCCCATTCAAGCTACTAGGGAAGTGAAGGAGAGGCTGTTACCAATGACCTTTCCGTTTTTTCCACCACCAACATTATGAAATACGAAAGTGAAACTTACAACACATATTTCTTGTGAATCAAGTCTCCAGGTTCGTCAAGCGGCTTCTTGGCCAATCTAAACATCTCGTCATGGATAGAAGACAGACCGGATGGGACTGTTGGCAGCGATCTCCAGGAAATGTGTCGTTGTTTTAAGCTTGGTTGGAATGAAACTCCAAAGGCGATTCGTAGAGTGACATATCTTGGGTTAAGCGTGCCGTCCTGGTTGCTATCATAGCGGAGCGGACCCGGGTCTTACCCCACTCAAACTCAAGCATACGGGTTGTCCAATAATCGTCCAGCTTTTGAGTCGAAAAGATAGTGTACTGCTTGTTCGGTTTACTCCTGCGAGCCTGCTTGAGTCGTGTTGACTCGATCAGGTTCTCGTAAATCTGCTGGGAACGAACTTCTCGACAAAGTTGGTGTATGAAACATGCTCTTTTACTTCTAATGCAAGTGCCCATGTTACGTAAGGTTCGGTCTCGAAAGTGGACATTATCACTGCTTTTGACTACGGGGAGAGACAGTATCGTCAAGTAAGCTCAAAGGGGTGGAGTAAAAAATGGCTAGACTGGCACCAATGAGGTTACTTGACTCTGTAGGATTAAGAAGGCAGTGAAGAAAATAGAGCCATTGCCACGGTGACCTCCTCGATCGGCATGGCACAGATCCGTCCGTTAACCATGCTAGACCTAAAGGAGACCAGGTCGCTCTTTGACACTAGACCTCATTCATCTCTAGCCAGAATTCACCACATGGATCTAGCAGATTGGCAACACGACCGCTGGCTAAAGCATGTCGTACTTCCAAACTGAAAGCTATCCTGTTTTGACCACGTCCCCGATCTGCGTGGCACAGAATCAACCGTTAAACTTGCTGGACTTACAGGAGGCTTGCCTAACATGACAAAACTTCCATGTAGTATGGGATGGTCAAGAGTAGTTACCTGAACAATGCGATGGTATTCGCGCTAATGTTGCTGCAGATAATGTTACGGTATCCTTCTTGTAATATAGACAATATCAGCGGACTTACATATATGTTGTTGTCAAAGGGACCTTCTGCATTCGTAATGACGAATGAGGGTATGTCGTTGTTCCCCCAACTAAACTCTAATTGCATTTTCGGATAAAAGCTCCATAGTTCGTTTGACAGTCTTTCACTCTTTGTTTTCCTTCACCCATCCTGACTTTCAACAGCTCAACCCATATCAACAATGTCACATCCAACATCCTTCAGCTCCCTCCCAGAGGAACTTCAAGTCATGGTCGCCTCTTATACCCCTCAGCACAACGCCGCCATCTGCCTCCGCGTCTGTCAAGCATGGAGACGAATCTTCACATCCTTTGTCTGGCGCCACATTGAGACACGCACTTCTATCGGACGAAAAGTCGACTGGGACACTACCTTCTTGGAGAGTGCCAGATCCGGATCCCTCAAAACTCACGGCCAATGGATCCAGTCCATCAGTCTGCGCTGCTACCCAGACTTTATCGAGGAGTTCCTGGATCTGTCACCCGAGACCTTCCCTCGATTGACGTCTCTCTCGTTCACCAACCCAGAGAGCGACTCCTTGATTGCGTCCTTTATTAGGAAGGCACCATCGTCGGCGATTGGGAATAATGGCAGTGGATTGAAGATGCTTGAAATTAGTGGGTTCAAGGGGTTTGGCGACTTTGCAGATAGCTCGACGGATGCCCTTCTGGAGCATGCATCGACGCTCGAAGTGGTCCAGCTGGATATGATGCCCTGTATGAGCAGCAAATCGATTCAACAGTTCCTCTGTTCAGCTTCCCGCCTCAAGGAGTTTAGTATTATCGGAGACAGTCGAGACTCTGATAACAAGGATTTGTTCCTGGACGCCCATGACGTTGTCTCGTCGGACTGGGTCTGTACCGAGCTGGAGGTGTTTGGTTGCCAGATTGGAGGGATCCCTCGACCGGACATTACTCAGGATATCGCTGGAAAACCTGCTGTCGATTATATCAAGGAAGGGACACATCAGGAGAGTTTAGATTTGCAGCGAGGGGTGTATTCGCAGCTTGGCCGGTTGACAAAACTGAAGGAGTTGATTCTGGGTGTGGCTGTCGTGCCGCGTTGGGGGGACGACGACATTAGAAGACAGCGAAATCGGCAGTACGACTGTCTAGCGATGACTGTTGAGAGTGGATTGGACTTGCTGAAGGATTTGAGTGAACTCGAGGATGTTTTCTTGGTTGACATGGAGGTGCATCTTTCCGACGACGGCGATCAGGCATCATGGGTCAAAAAGAACTGGCCCAAGGTCGACCGCATCGTGTATTTCTGAAGGACAAAGTCGTTTGACACTGGAAGAAATAATTTTAATTGATTATTCTTGCCACTGCGCCTTTGTTTAGTTCCTTTTTTCTAAACCATCACATGCGTCATTTTCTCACACACGCAGCCCAGGAGTCGGCAATTGAGTTGTGAGATCGTTGCCCCCATTCTTTCCCTTTCCAAACCAGTACCGCTCGCACTTCTTTTGTATTATTTTGTGGGCGAAAGAAAAAGCAGTAGCAGCAAAAATAAAGGAGGCAACAGTTTCTCTGCTCCCATTTGACTACCAATACTAGTAAAATGCACCATTCACCTTTTTCTCGGTAATGGATTTAACGAGGGGCGCTGGATCGAGTGCCGAGTGTCTGCGACAGGGCATATTTGGGGTACAAATATGTTAAATCACGCCCTATTTTTGCCACAATTGCCATCATGGGGACCGTCAGCAATGGCAAAGAGGGTGAGAGGGGGATGCAGAGTTGAAGGTGGTACCGTTAGCGCCCCTGTGATGGCGGCAAAACCCCTTCTGGCCCCCATTTTACACCCATTATGTGTCAAATAGCTCTATCTCATCGAAAAAACGCTTACATGTCAAAAGCAAAGAGATGGGGGACATATTATAAAAAAGAATATTTTTCACTTTGCTCTCCTCTTTCTGTCCCAAATGGTGAGAAGAGAAAGAGGGAAGGACAAAGGACGATGAGGATATAATATTGGCATGGGAGAAGGGCAATGGGGACGGAAAGGAGAAGGAAAAGGAAAGGGATGGTGTCACTGAACGGAAGGTAAAAATGGGCCAATGTTACGTATTACAACGGGAGATTCATTTGCTTTGTTAGAGTCACCTTTCATTTAGGGTCCTTTGAAAGGTTAGTGAGATAGAAGAAGTAAGAAGGAGTTGAGGTGAAGGTGGGCTGGAATAGGTAGTACATAGTAAATCAGGAAGAAGTAGAAAGCACATGGTGAGAGCCAAGTGAATGGGTACGAAAAAATCGGCATTGAGGTAAGCTAGAGGGAGATGTCAAGGGAGAGAGAGAATAATGAGAAGAACGAGGGTAATGAGAGAAAGAGGCGACTGGTGGAGAAAGAATGGGTAGAGGAAGAGGGGAGGATGGTAGTGGCTGTAGTGCATGACATCAAAGAGAGGTGAGGGGGGGTCTTCATGCATCATTAGATGAAGCAATAATGATTCTGAGGGAAGGGCAGGTTGCATGCAGAAAGAAAAAAGAGCCAGCACAATGACTCTCCGTAGCCAAGTGCTGTGTCCCGGAAGAAATTCCACGTATCTCAGACTACTTCGCCCAGCAGCAGTCTCTTGACAGAGCAATGCCACACTAGGCTACTGTAGTGTTTGTGCACGGCTGTTTTTTTTGTTCCCATGCTCTTACGTTCAGCCTGCTTGATGCGCCAATCTGTTCCACAGCCCAAAGTGCGCAGTCAAATACAAACTAGAAAAGTAACGTTACCGTGAATTGATACCTCTTTGAGAACCCATGCCCCAATTCACCACAATGGCAAAGGTGATGTTCCGAGAAAAGTAATCGTAGGTGTATACATAACATGCGCCCTGCGATTTTAATTCTTGTCATCATTCCTGTGCACGAACATGCGCATACCTTTCCTTTTCTCATTTGTCCACTTCTTTACCTGGGTTTTGTTTGATCGATTGGCGTTTGCTGTAATAGCCTGTGTGACAAAGAAAAATGAGTGCCAGCGTATGGCCCTAATCTCCACTCCTTTTCCTTTCTGTTCTGTGCGCTTCCAAAAAAATGTGTTTGGAAAGCATAAATAGAGGCCCCACATCCTCCTTTTTTCAGCATGCTCTTCCTTCCTCACAACAACAACAACACATTTCAAGTATGGCTTTCAGGACCTTCATACTTTCCCTTACAGTAGCAGCCTTTGCGACCATCTCTTTCGCTGAGCCATCATCATCGACAAGTGGTACTAGCGGTTGCTCAGATCTCGCATCCAGACACGGAGTCAACATCACCTATACCGAAGTGGCCAAATGCTTTGACTCGATCCCCTTCAACAAGGAAGCGGCCAGGGCCACACTCGAGTCTGTTACCACCCTCTTCAACGACTACTATATCTCTCGTGACGCCGCCATGGCCCCCTTCCTGGCCAAGCCCCTTCAGACTGACCCTGTTGACATTGTTGCAAAGTTCAAGAGGATTGGCCGTACTCGATATACCAGTGATCGCAAGTTCCACACCGATGTTTACGAGGCTATCGAGTCCCTTCATGATGGTCATGCCATGTATTTTCGTACGTCTCAAAATGCGGCGGTGATGAGTTAGGAAGTTGCATTTTTTTTTCAATTGTTTGTCACTCAAAGTCTCACTTCACATTTATCTCGTCTCTTTCTATCCACAGCATACTGCTACATGGCATATCACTATGAGCAGCCGTTGAGCCTCTACGCGCCAGTCGTCAATGGCAAGCAGGTAAAAAAAACAGCGATGTTCATCTTCACCTTGCATACCTACATTACCCATTGTAAACATTCCCTGACATTTATTTTTCTTTGTGTGACAGGTCCTTCAAGTGTTCCAGGACCGCAACAAGCGCGGCTACGAAGACTGCACGGTCATCAAGATCGATGGGAAAAACGCCATGGCTCAGGTCATGAAGCGAGCAAATCTCCTCTTCAACTCCAAGGACCCCAACGTCCGTTTGAATGAAGCCCTGGCGTCGCTAGTATACGGACCAGAGACGGGCACGTTCGTGGTCTACCCTGGTCAGTTTGCCGGTCGAGAGTTATTGCCCGACAACCCGTCTATGCGGTACGAGCTCAAATGTGCCAACTCAAAGAAGCCAGTCTTTGTTGAGGACAAATGGATCATCTCGCCTCAGTCCCCGTGGGAGTTTACCGACACGGCGTCGTATGTCAAGAATGTCTGTCTTCCGCAGCAAACGCCTCCCCTTCCCTATGCTACTAGCGCCGGATCTTTGCCCAAGCGCGATCTGACGTCATTCAAGCGACACGAAATAGCCTCAGATTTAAACAAGCAGACTATTATCGTGGATCGCCTGGCCCAGGCTGCAGCCCCTCCTGTCCCCTCTCCTCTTACTCTGCCTGTCTACCCCGAGGCCATCAAGATCGGCGCTGGCAACTGTACAGTCTTTCACCAACTCAAGGATCGCCCTACGGTCGGCATCCTCACCCTCTTCGTCACCACGCTCGACTTTTCCGAGATCGACTTTATGTACCAATCCCTCGAGACCCTTTACCAGAGAGGCGTGACCGATATCATCATTGACGTTGTTGGAGGCAATGGCGGCTATGCCAATGTCGCACCCGATTTCGTCCATCTGTTCTTCCCCAGCAAGGATCCCCTTGACAAAGTCATCCGTTTGAACTTTCGATCTACTCCAGCAGTCCAAGAACTCAGCGCCAAGGTCTACAACTCAACCGATGGCGGGTGGAGTCAAATTGGCAACATGATCAGTATTCATGGAGGCATCTTCTACGACAGCTCTCGGTTCTTTGACTTGGCCAACAACCACACCTACACCAACAACTCGCTATACGCCGACACAGTCACCCATACCCGGAATGGGCGGAAGGCAGTCTACACCAAGACTACGGCCTACAAACCAGCCACTCAACCCAATCGCCCTAACCTCGCAAAGTACCCCTGGACCAACAATCCCTCCCGCATTCGCATCCTGACCGACGGCAGATGTCTCTCCGGTTGCGGCCACGTCATCTTCCTCATCGCCAACCAATATGGCGTCAAATCCTATGGTGTCGGCGGCACCAAAGGCGAACCCCTATCCAAGTACCAATACGTCGCCGGCGCAGGATCACAGCTGAAAATGTTCAACGGCATCTTTGCCTTTGCCAACATGACCAGTCCTATCAAGGACCTGCCGTACCAGTCGGTTCTTTCGGCCACTGTTGGCGAGATTGTCGCGCCCGGGAGTAAAGTACCGTTGGAGTTTGACTCTGACAAATACCCGACGGATTTCAGGTTGGATTTTGATCCTGTCAATGCCCGCTCCCGGGAGGCGTTGTGGACTCAGGTTGCAGAGGATGCCTGGAATTAGAAAATATGTATGCAGTTGTGGCCGATAAAAACTATGATACATATTGTTATCACGTTCTGGAGGAATAGGTGATGGATCGCCAAAACACAGTTTCAGATAAAACTATCATGGCACTCCGCAACTAATAACGGAAACGAACAAACGCGCCGCCAACAAAAACAGTAGGTAGCCCATCTTTGTTTTTACTCTTATGTTCTTTCCAGGACATCTATTAGGAAGAATGAACTGAGAAAAAGAGAGAGAGAGAGAGAGAGAGAGAGAGAGAGAGGATTGAAAGAGGGAGGACGGTGGAATTAAAAACAAGAGGATAGTTAATGGTAGTTGGGACTCTCCAAAGATAATGGTGCCTCTCTCTTCCTTCCAAGGAATGATCGATGGTCAATAGAAGGTCGATCCCCTTTATGACAGAAATCACTATTTCATCAAAAATAACTAGCGGTCGTCAACAACCACTCTTTTTAGCTCCTCTTGCTGCTTGAACAGATCCTTAGGTGATAGGCAAATGCGGTAAACAAACACAAGAAAAGGCATAGCAGTAGAAAAAGAAACAAACGCAGTTGCTTACAGCCCCGCACATGTATGACGAATTTATGTACTTTTTGAGATTGATGGAAATAAAATTGATCGTTGACATGGACACTTGGCTATAGAGGGTGTGTATTTTTTTCAGCGCTTTTCTGTGGATGAATCACATGTATTGTGTCCTGCCCGTTTTCTTTTCTTTATGAATCTCGCTCATAAATCTCATCACCATCATCCAGGGGATCATCAGAGCTTCAACTACAATGGATCGGGGATCAGCAGTAAGGCAGGGTGAAAGCAAAAAGAGAACTAGATATTAATAATCATGGCAAGTATCGTCTTCAGAAATAAAAACCCCTGCACTACTGGGACCGTTCTCTCCCTACTGAGCCTTCCTACAGGAAGGTTCAATTTTTTTAAAAAAATATATATTCTCATCCACCATCTTCATACCAATCAACCAACACCAACTCTGGACATCCATGGACAAGACTTCGCTCGTCGATTTCCCCCCTGAGATACAGGCGATGATAATGTCTCTCCTCGATCGACACGAATTGGCCGCCAGCGTCCGCGTCAGTCAAGCCTGGAACAAGGCATTCACCCCTCTTCTCTGGCGTCACGTCGAGGACCCGCTGCAGGAATGCAGGAGTAGGAGCGCGGCCTATATGGCCGCCCTCAATGGAGGTCTGAAGCGCAACGGTGCATTTATTCAGACCCTCCGTCTTGTGACCGACACGCTCTACATGGACTATTTTCTGGAAATGTGCCCCCCGACTTTCCCCCTGTTGACGTCGCTTTGGATCGATGGCGTGATCAACGGTGACGAGGACGACCTTATCGCCCTTCTTGACCGATGCACCGCAGGATTGAAGAAGGTCATCTATTGTCTCCGCGACAAGAGCTGGGGGTGTTTTGAATTTGATACCGCGTCCAGCGCACTTATCAAACACGCTGATACACTTGAAGTGTTCCGTTTGGAGGGCGACTATGTCAGCGGCGGAAAACCCATCAATCGACTACTGTGTTCGCTACCCAACCTCAAGGAGTTCTGCTTTCATGGTGATGGAACGGTTGGTCGTGGCGGCGCCTTAGACGCCAATGAGGTTGCGAAGTCGGACTGGGTTTGCTCGAACCTCGAGGTCTTTGGCTGTGAGATTGGCAACATCCCCCGACCGGACATCACCCGCAAGATTGACGGCCAACCTGCAAACGAACGGGTCAAGAGCGGGACACCTCAGGAGAGCATGGATCTTCAACGTCAAATCTACGCCAAGCTCGCCAAGTTCACCAAACTGCGGAAGCTGTCGTTAGGATTTCCAGGCACCTGTAGCTCATTCAAGTATCGACGGGCAACATGAATAACATCTTGCAATTCGACTGTCTAGCAATGACTCTGGAGAACGGTCTGGATCTGCTGAAGGACCTCAAGGGACTGGAGGAGGTTGAGCTGTACTATTTGGAGTTTGGCAATCGCGACTATGTGGAAGAGGAGGAATGGATGAAGGCAAATTGGCCAAAGGCATTTGTCGGACGGTCATATCACTTTTCGGAAATGGCCACGGATTCGGAAAACGACACGGATTCGGAGGACGACTTTGACGGAGCTTGGGGCCCCTATGGAGATACATACGTTGGGTTTGAATCGAGTTCTGAGCATAACTCTGACTCTGACTACTTCTGACTCTGACTACTAGGACATGGATGTCGATGAGGCAAGAAGTATGAAAAATAAAAATAAAAACATCCTTGTTAACAAGGTTCACAGCCAAGCCATACAATTCTAGGGCAGACATCATCTCCAAGTGCCCAGCACTTCATCAACTTTTTTTTAAAGAAAAGGTTGCTTTCCTTTGTCACCAACACCTCGAGGAGGAGCGACGAATACTTGAATATTATTTCGAGGCTCGCGGATACCTTTCTTCAGTGCTTCAATGGTGGTTTTTGTCTATTTATGGCCATTTGGCATTTAATCTTGAAGGAAGTGCCCTATCACGTGTAACCGCCACCCCTCTTTTTGCATAACTGAATCACAAACCGCGATGATAACACTGTTCACACCATCCAACTAGAAACACGACAGAGCAGGAATCAACGACAGCAAGACAGGAGCCAACATAGAACAAAACAGGAGCCAACTACAATGAATCCGGAGTCCATCACTATAGACGCCACCTCGTTCAGTGATCTTCCACCAGAGGTCCATGGAATGGTCGCGTCTCAACTCGACTCGTACGACCTGAGTCTCTGTGTCCTCGTCTCCAAAACCTGGAGAGCGTCTTTCCATCGCTACCTCTGGAGACATGTCGCGATTATGATGGATGAGAGTGACGACTTTGATCCCAAACTGCTCAAACTACTGAAGGCCAATCGAGAGCATGTGCACTCGCTCACACTGTTTGCGGGATATGGCGATGTGCTGCACTCGTTTCTGGAGCTCATACCGCTTTCCTCTAATCCTCGCCTTGTCTTCCCAAACCTGTATTCGGCGGAAATCAGTTGCGAGTTCGGAGAGTCAACGGATCAGACTATGGCACAGTTTCTCGAGCTGACCGGCACGAAATGGAAGAGACTTGTTTTTAATGACACTTCAGAGTCCAGATATGGGATTGATTTTGGGCCACAATCCATAAAGGTGCTTGCGAGGCATGCCGAGTTCCTTAAGGTGTTCCACTGGAGTAGTGAAACTGGATCCTCGGATGGGCTCGTAGAGCAACTGCTTCGCTCTGCGTCCAAACTGAGGGAACTCTCTGTTGTCGGGCAATACAGATCATCTGGAGGATGGTTGGACGCCAGGAAGATTGTGGAGATAGAGTGGGTCTGCTTAGATCTGGAGGTCTTCCAATGCAGGATCCGTAACATCCCCCGCCCAGATATCACCCGCGACATTGGTGATGATCCCACGGTCGTGTATATTGAGGAGGGTACGCTTCAGGAAAGTCTCGACCTCCAGCGTCAGGTATACACCAAGCTGGCCAAGTTGACGAAGCTGCGGGAACTAAAGTTGGGCTTGGTGATCGAAGTGTGTGCACCGGAATATCAACTTGGGGACAAGACGTGCGAAAAACAGTTTGACTGTCTGGCGATGACTTTGGACAGTGGGTTGGATCTGCTGAAAGGCTTGAAGGAGTTGAGGGTGGTTGGATTGGAGGACATGGAGATTTATGTGGAGGGCGAGAGAGAGCAAGCCTGGTTCAAGGAGCATTGGCCAAATGCGAAGATTGAGCTCGGGGAGTATTTCCACGACCAGTACCTTGAGTAGGACTACTAGTAGACAGATAGTATGCATCATCATTACATCCATCCTTTTTTATTCAGTGTCTTTGCGGAGTTGACATACCCATTGATCCTTAAAATCTCCCCTCCGTCACGTGGATAAATGGAGAACCTGACGCTAATTCGATTCAAGTTTGATCACTTTGATCAACTGGAACCATCCCGTAATGGAACCGGAACGGAAACCAACAACGAAATAAGAACCGACTACAATGGAACAGAAGCAGGAAACAAACACTACATACGTCACCTCGTTTGGTGATCTCCCACCAGAAGTCCAGATGATGGTCGCACGCTATCTCACCCAACACGACCTAACCGTCTGTCTCCGCGTTTGCCGCGCCTGGAAGGAGTTGTACCACCCACGTCTATGGGAACACATCGACATATACTGGGATAAGAACGAGACCCGAAGGAGAGCCATCTCGCGCGCGCTGAAAACTAACAGTCACCTTATCCACTCCCTGAAGTTTCGGTCGGAGGTCTACTGTGTTTTGGAGGACTTTCTACCATTCTGTCCACCCAAGTTCCAGCAATTGACGTCAGCCGAGTTTGACTGCTCCCTCGAGTTTGTTCTTGACCAAGATATTGCACAGTTTATCGACATGAGCTCGGCAAAGTGGCAGAGGCTTGTCTTTCGGGAGTCCATCAGGCCCAAGTTGGGCATTGAGTTCTCTCGCAAGTCGTTCGAGGCGCTCCTCAAACACGCGGACACACTCGAGATCTTCCGCCTAGAGACCAGGAACTCGGTCGAGAACACGTACATCGATCGGCTTCTTTGCACGGCATCCAGGCTGAAGGAGCTCTACCTTTCTGGAAACTACGAGACGACTCTTGGAGGCTGGCTGGATGCCCGCAAGATCGTAAAATCGGAATGGGTCTGCCAGGATCTGGAAGTCTTTCACTGCCGCATCGGGAATATCCCCAGACCGGAGATCACTCGTACCATCTGTCGGAAACCAGCAGTGAAAAGGCATGTCAAGCGCGGAACAATGGAAGAGAGTATCGATCTTCAACGTCAAGTATATGCAAAACTTGCTCGTCTGACGAAGCTACGAGAGCTGCGACTGGGACTGCCGATGGACACCAAAAGCAAAGACTACTTTCGAGGAAATAAGGAATACTGGAGACAATACGACTGTCTTGCGATGACTTTGGAGAGCGGTCTGGATATTCTGAAAAGTCTGGGGAGCCTGCGGACTGTAGGACTTGAAGACATGGAGATCTACATCGACAACGACAAGGAGCAGACCTGGTTTGCAGAGAATTGGCCTCACGCGACGATTGGACAGTCGGACTATACTACGGACGCCGACAATGCTCCTGTACACCCTGACGAGTTGGTCTACGGATCTCTCTCGGACTTTGAAGATCTTTTTGATTAGCAAAATGAAAGTGCCATTTACAACCTTTAGCTATGGGCTGACAGTAGCAACCTTTGTGGAAATAGAAAGTGGTTCTTGGGTGCACTGTAGGTAACTTAGCCCATCACTCCAACAAAGAAAGAAGAGTTGATGATCAGTACACGGCTCCAGAGCGTAATTTGAGAATTAATTATTGATCGTTCCTGAACTGAGTGATTCGCTTAAACATTTTCACACCGAACAAAGACAAATCATTCAGGACCAGACGGCAATGGACACGACCTCGTTTGGCAAACTCCCCTACGAGATAGAGGAAAAATCACACCGTTCCTCAGCCAGCGTGACCTAGCTATCTGCACCCGCGTTTGTCGAGCCCGGGACGCTATATTCCATCCGGTTTTCTGGAGGCACGTCAAGGATCGTTCAGGAACCGCCGCCCGGCGAACAGAGCGGGGACCAAACGTGGGCGGACAGCTTCATGCAATGTGCCAGGAAAGGAGCGCTTAAAACTTAATGGCCACTTCATCGAGTTCTTCCGACTGGCTCATCAAGAAATTATCGATGGACACATTTCTGCGAGACTGTCCGCCCCACGTTCCCTCGACACGAAGAGGAGGACCTTATCGAGTTTCTGGATCTGCGTACTGCAGGATTGAAGGAGGTCGTGTACTGTCTGAGGGACGAGAAATGGGGTGACGTTTTATTTCGGACCCGCGGCTGCCGAATCACTCGTCAAGCATGCAGTGAAGTTAGAGGTCTTCCGATCGGCTCGCTGCTGCAAAGATGGCGCGATCGACCACCTGCTATGCTCGTTACCCCAACCTCAAGGGACTGAGCATTGTGGGCGATAGCATGGAAGACCGTGGAAGATAATTGGACGAAAGACAGATAGTGAGCTCAGAATGGGGTTTGAAAAGACCTAGAGATCACTGACTACGGGATTTATTATATCACTCGACCAAAACTCGCCAAAGAGACTGTCGACGAACCTGTATCGGTCAAGTAAGGAAGCGGCAAGAGAGTATCAGTTTTCGGCACCAAGCCTACTCGTAACTTGCGCGGTTTACTATGCTAAGGAAACTCACTCTGGGTTCTTATGTGGGCATGGATAAACCAGGATATGCCTACTTCAGCAAGGAGCAGTTTCGACACAGCGGGCCGGCGACGACTGTGGATTGAGTTATACTTGTTAAGGGGACTCAGGGATCCGGAGATGGTTGATCTGTATTGGAAACACAGCTAAGAAGGCGTGGGTTGCTGAGAATTGACCAAAGACGCGCATTAAAAAGACTTCTATGCATCGCATCGGAGGCCGACGATATTTTATTAGGAAAAGAGAACAAGGATGTGATAAACAGATGATCCTTGTTTCCTTGGTCGTCCTTGTACTCCCCTGCCTTTGGCGAGTGTGATTCTTCTGGAAAGTCAATAGCCATTTCTGGGATGACAAAGTTGACGTTGCGGAGGGGCTATCTATATGACCCGGTGATATTTTGTCTCTTACGTCGAATCCCTAATCTCGAGACCCTCCTTTATTCAGGGACCTTCCGAATTATCGCGAAGACAAGATTTACCAAAAGCTCTGATCAACTCTACGGGATGTGGAGGACGAGCTTTGGGGTTTGTACGATGCTGAAGTCCTTTGGGTGTATAATTGCGCATGTCCCTAGGCCAGACTTGAAGAATAGTGGCAATTGGAGTGGTGGCAGGTCCTTGTCCGGAGGACGAGGAGTATAAAAGGTCGAAAGGCGCGGAGACGTGTCTGCGGGCGAATTGGGCATTGACGCGGTTACGGACGTCATAACCTGGGCACGTGGACGATGAAGACGACAACGAAAGCGACGGTCTGAAAACCCTACAGAAAGTTGTTTACGGATACCTGCCTGCAAAGCGATCTAGTTCTAACGTTCGCGCATGGGTTATAACCTCCTAGCCGGATTGACAAGGTCACGACATTTGATGTGAGGGGGGGGGGATGAATTTGGGGATTTGGGGCGTGGAAGAACAGAAATGGGTCAAGGTGCATTGGTGTGGGAATGTGGAAGAGGTTGTGAGGTGTCGGGGAAGGTGGGGGGCTTTGAAATTTCTTTCCTTCAGGCACAAGTTTTCTCAATCGAATCATTATGATAGCGTCGACGAATCGGATCAAGAAAGCTAATATTTAGGTGAGTAAGAAGGTGTAAAGGAAACCCCCAAAAAGTAAAGAACCCGCTAGGTGCTTTCAATGGCCCTCAGTGTAGATAACGACTCACCCTTTTTTTTTGTGCGTGTGTATTTTTCCAGTCTGTCAGTGGATACATGAGCAATATAAAGCGATGAACGACTGTCCGGGTGAATTTGACGAATGCTGCAAGGGACACACACAATTAACGATCTAGAGCCGACCTTGTAAGGAAAATAATGTCCGGTAGAATTCTCTTGTCAGGGCTCGAGCAAAAGAGCCAAGGGGCAGGAGAGTTCTCGACGAAATTGCTTATTTACCCTGTTTTTATGTTAGGCTTGTCCAACACACCTCAAACAACAAAGATCTCCACACAGCAAACAAACATTGAGAGCAATAACAACAAAACAATGGCAAATTCAGAAGAAAAAAAAAAGAAACGAAAACAGAGGGTGGTGGCGTAAAGAGGGTGTTTGAAGGTTTGGGATAATGAGAAAAAAGAATGCTTTAATGACCGACTCGACTCCCAGTCCGGCGATGATGTTGTTGCTGGTGTGCTCCTGCACCTGTCCCAGCACCAGAACTGTCAGAGATGGCTGGACTCTGGACACGCCTCTCATCCGCCTCCCTTCCTGACAGCTTCTCAACATCACCTCCTTCCACAACAACAACCTCCTCCTCCTGCCGGTTCTCCCTTGGATACCGATAATACTCCTCCATCCCTTCATCACCAAAGGACTGCCTCCGCCTTCGAATTCCATGTTTCGAGAAATCCCCAGCCATGGCCGCAATACACAACTCGACGATCAGAAAGACAGACCAGATATAGGTAACGATGGGACGGATGACTTTTGTTCGGCAATAGACCGCTGCACTCTCGTCGTCGCCAAAGGATTCTTCTTCGGCGCACCAGGATGAATCCTTTTGGTGGCCTCCACGTTTGTGCCTGCTCCCGATGTAGTATCCCATTGTAGTTGAGTCTGCTGATGCCCTTTTGGGGTTCGCTTCCTTGTCGTCTTTGGACAGTGGTGTTGGTACTGGTCCTGATCCTGAAACGATGGTGCTCATCGGTGTAGATGTCGATGACGGTATTGCCGTGAAAGTGGGTGTTACCCGGGAAGGCGACGGAGAAAAGGACGAACGGTGGGTGTAGGTGAGGGTATTATTGCCTTGAATAGACTGGTGTTCACCCACAGAAGTAGGGATATTCTGTTTGCCCATGGGCGCTTTGAACTGTCCTGCAGGCCAGTAAAGCGCCAGGATGGTGAGACCAAGCGAGAAGGTGACGCGGGCGAGGGTGTACAAACGAGCTCGTTTCCGCTTCCTCTTGGTCTCGTCCATCTCCTCTTGCGCAATCATCTCTGCCAATGACGCCCCTACTGGAGGTTGTGCTCCTGCAGGAGTGACAGCGGTGAGCTGTTCTTGTGTATGTTGTTGCTGCTCTTTCTCCTTGATCGTTCCTGTCGATTTTGACGTTGGGTTGTCACCCTTGGCGGGTGATGGTTGAATGGATGGAGGGAATAGGGTTGTTGCTGCAGTGTCGAAGGTAGAGGCGGTCGTTATCCGGTCATGATCTTGGCTGCTGTGGAGGAGCTGTTGTTCATAGCGACGACCGTTGTGGTTGGATGAGGCAAGGTTCTGGTGGCTGTGGGGAGTAAAAGTAGGACGAGGTTGGAGGTGCGACGGTGCCCCCGTGTTTTGAGAGTTGTAGTTTGCAGGAGAGAGGGAAGGAGAGAAAGATACACCTTGTTGTGCCTGTGACCTCGTCGTGGCCTTTCCTGGTCCTGGTCCTGCTGGTGTAGTTGAGGTTGCGGAAGAAGAAGTCGTTTGTCCGGCTGCCGTTACAGATAACGACGCTGCTCCTCCTCCTCTCCCTCCCTCTCCACTAGCTCCAGCTCCCCTCCTATCCTCCTCCTCATCGTCGTCTCCATAATCATAATACTCTTCCACATACTCCACCTCCTCAGCAGCCCCTCCCTCATTCCTACTCCCAGAACTCGACCCCCCACAACAAAGCGAAGACGGATAAATAAACAAAAACACAATCAATCCAATCGCCAACAGATCGGGCGTCAACAACAAGTACGCCTGTCGAGCAACATCCCCATACTCGAGGGACATGACGTTTGTCTGGAAGGAGATTGTGATTGCATCGAGAATCAGTGAGACGACGGCTAAGGCTAGGATGAGGATTCGGATGTAGGTGAGGAGGTTGCGGAATTTGAAGGTTGTGGGTAGGCGGTGTTCGTGCCTTGGTGTAGTGGAGGGTAGTGTTGTTGTTGTTTTTGTGGTTGTTGTGGTTGGTGTCCGCTCATTGGTGGCGGTGGTGGTATTATTATTGATGGTATTAGTGTTGTCGTTGGTGTTGGAGGTGATCATGGTAGGGGCAATGGTTTCATGGCTTGTGGTTGGGTATGTAGGGTAGGGTGGGTAGGGTTCGTTGCTGGTTGCCGGTGGAGAAGAAGGAGGAGGAAGGAGGGAAGGAAGGAGGGGTATGAGAGAAAAAGAGGAGGAAGGAAGGAAGGAAGGAGGGGTATGAGAGGGGAAGAGGAGGAGGAACGAAGAGAGAGGAAGGCAATTGACAGAAGGGAGAGAAAGAAAGAGAAGTGCCCAATGTGCAGGGAAGGAAAGAACGACGAGAAGAATCTCCTTTTTTCATGGTCGACCCTGTTTCCTTGGATGGAACGAACGGAAGGTAATTATTAGGTGCCAAAAAAAGCCTACGGTATGAGGGGTAAACCAAATTCGATATGTTATTTTTGAGTTGACCGCCCGCACACACAGACAAGATTATGGTGCTGCTCTCAGTGAACCACAATATATACGCCTCGTCTAGATAGTTCATAACAAGCATTCAGTACGCCCGATGGGCACACCGGAAATACCTCCGGCACTTTGCCCATTTTACACATTAAACAATTGACATTCACGGTAGACACGTTTACGCGTGCATACATTCGATTCATACACGCACACACAGAACAACATCCCACGTAAGAGAAACATCCTCAAACACACGCCGATAACAACCATGCCATGCTCAATCGAAAGTATTTCGTCCAAACGAGAGGGAGAATGAAGAAAAAAATGTATTTGGAGTATGATGAGCAGGAAAAATAATAAAACGAAAAATGGAATGTATGGCGTTTTTTTAAAGCGCCTTAGATCTTGTGCGGGGTGGCGTGGAAGGGAGACCAGATACCCCTGACAGACTCTGTGGTCGAGATGACGGGCTTCTTGAACACCTTCATCCGGTTGCCAGCAGACTCTTTCAACAACGCAACCTTGCCTGCAATATCCGTTGGTTCCATGTTGCGTACACACACAACCTTGTCCTTTCCATTGACTAATTTGTATGGAAATTGAAAACGCAGGGGAGTGATTAGTGTGAGGCTTATTTTTTTTGGTGTTTGTACTGTGTGATTGTCAAATGAAGCGACAAAGGGAAGACGTACGGTAGAGACCGCGGATGACGGGGTGCTTTGATGGTCTTGGTGTGACAATGACTTCGACGTGAGGATGCTCTTTTGCGAATTGGATAAGGTCTTTCTTAAGATATTCACTAAGTAAGCGATTGATTACCGTCGGGGCATGAAAGAGAAAGACGCCGTCAGTGTCAGTGAGAATGAATTTTGTCCGCTTGTTCCTGTAGTGTCCTTTGGTAATGTTTTGTATTTTTTTGTTGGCGCGCATGCTGTAAAGTTGTTCCTGACCATCAGATATGACGACCCCTCCATGCGCCCACATTATCCCTCTCTTTTGGTAGAAAAGGATATCCCCGGTAAAAAGTGCTCATAAAGACGAGGGAATCCCCGCCGTGCTACTATGTCGTCCAAATGTATGTCCTGCTCCTGCATGAATTGCTGTCCGCTCTCGTTCAACAAGGTTGATCCTTGAGTAGCAGCTGACGGCTGTTGTCGCAATGGAGAGATCATTTCTTTTTGGTCCCGTACTATGATCCGGTTTGTTTGGGTCCGTGAGTATGTCTCAATTGCCGATCCTTATTTTTCACCTCCTGTTCTAAGCATGACGCTGTAACTGTTTCTCCCAGCCTCACTGACGTCGTGGAACTGCTAGAACTACATGCTGTAACCTCTCTATTCATGTCATCATATCCCTGTCTCCTAGGATCCTGAGTCACACTGCCCGTCAGTCAGCCGCCTCATGCTACACGCTCCCAAGAACAAAAACAGGGCGTGACACACCCAGCATTTTTTTGGCCATGGTAAAATGTCTTCCTTGCGAGCCTTTTGTATCTTAACCGCTAATCCTCCTAGCAGTAACCCTCTGTTGTTTCCTGTTTCCTGTTCCTGAGTACAACTACGCCCTCCTGTTTCTGGAGTCGCCCCATGGCTGCTTTTTTGCTCGTAGAGTTATTTACATCATGCCGCGGGAGCTACCGCTGCGTTCGCAGTAATGGAAGACGAGACGACGGCACTGAGGGATGAATGCACCGACACCATTCTTGAGGACAGGGTGGAGGGGGGCAGGCATTGTTGTATTGTATAAGGTGAAGGAGGAGTCGGGTACGAAGACAGGGGGTAGTGTAATGAAAAAGCCGAGAGACGATGTTGGTAGTGCCTGCTGCTGTGAGAGGTGGAATCGGATCACCTTGTTGTTGTTGCTAAGCCACTCTCACTTCTAACCTTGGCCACCAATTTTTGTACTTTGAGCTGGTTTGCAGGGAAAAGAGCCTCTGATACATTCTAAGTGCAATGATAAGGATAACTGACAAGCACCCATGCACTGAATACGTATGCTCTCCCATTGACAATACTCTGCGGTGATCCATGAAATCATGGCCCACTATGCTAAAGAGAAGAAGAGGCGCCAGGGTCCCAGAACACTTTCGCTTCGCTTTGTACATTTCCATTCCAGCAGTCACGTTGAGGTGCCACACGACCTCGAACTGAGTCGCCTGGCCAAGCGCGATTCGAGTTGACCCCGGAAGTGTCAGAGTAACGTCTGCGACAGTACTTGTACACCTTGTGGGCTTGTGCTGTGGTGTCTATAGGTTAGCCCTGCGACAATGACGATCCCAAGGGTGAAAACGAACATGAATGAAAATAATAGAGGCCGTCTTACCCGTTCCTTCTCGACCGCAGCCTCGAGGGAATATGACGCTGACCCCCCATAGCCATCACCTTTACACTTCTTTTCTCTTGTTCTTTTTGCTCTACTTCTTTTTTCGTCGCCTACCCATTCCCACCTATTGTTCACACCTATCACTCTTTCTCTCTCTGCCGGCATTGCCTCTTCGACGTTTTATCTGTATACGGACCACCTTTCTCTGCTACTATCCATCTCATCCTCACACCCTCCACACACATCGACAAACAGTAAACAAACTAACAAGGAAGAGGTATTATGACACTAGGCTTCCTAACTCGCCCGCGTTCCAGAAAGCGCATGCTCCTCATCTCTCTCATAGCCCTCGTCCTCTGGCGCCTCTCCCCATCTCCTTCTACCTTTTCCGATACTACCACCTCCACCACCGGTGTCATCGACTACCTCCTGACGCGCCGCCCTGCCATCTATTCGCAAATGCTCGACCATCACCAGAAACCCCTTTGTCCGCGCTTCTCCAAATACGATCGCCAAAAGCTCCTCTTGCTTGAACCTACGGAGTGTATGCCGGTTGAGACGGAGCACCCTGATTTTTCGGCTGATATCTGCTTCTCGCCTTTTGTTTGCAATGAGGGTCTTGTCCGTGTCCGGCGACGCGACCGAGTATGTGTTTATGTGTGTTTATTTGTGCTTATGCGAGAGTGTGTTTGTGCGGAAGGTAAAACATTGTGATTCGAGTTCACACCAACTCAAATCTTTTTTTTTTTCTTCAACTTTACACAACACAGCAACAATGCAAAGAAGCAAATCTAAAGTACCCAATCTCAGGAAACTCAACCCACGACGCCTTCCACCGGCAGTTCTCCGGCCCAGATTCCTTCCACGTCGTTTTTAGTGGATCCGAGAAACTCTCTCCACCCGATTGGTACCATGCCGGACAATGTCTCTACGTCTTCCCCTTCCATATCTCCAACCCGGGAAGGCTGTCGTTGGATATCACACATTTGTATGATAACTTTGGGGCAGTGGTGGAGCAGGCCAAGGAGTGGCCTGTATTATGGCGGAAGAAGGTTGTTTCGGGGTTGCCGTTGGAGGTCTGTAGGGGATGTCCGTCTCATGTTGCGCGGCCTCGTTTCTCTTCCTTGTCTGAGGTTGATGAGATGGTTGTCCTGAAAACTGATTATGCAGAGACAGCAGCGGGATCGGAAAAGGCAGGTGGTGGTCAGGCTGGAACATTGTCGAATATCGACAGGTCATCCTTATTGGCATTGGGGATGAGCAGCGGATCCAGTCTGCGAACCCGGTACCAGGCCTATACCAACAGCCGCACCGGCCCCCAAAAATACTCCAACCTCTTTATGGACGAAAACTATGACCGCCTACCCCTCTGCTCCCGAGAGCATGCCGTTCAAGGTGCTTGGTTACCTGCTCACCCGCTGGACAAGCAGAGTTGGCGTCGAGCCAATTATACGTGGACGCCTCTTGGATGTCGATTTGGGAAGCCATTGGATAAGACCTGTTTGGTGAAAGGGAAGAGGGGGGTGAACAGGATCTTGTTCCAGGGGGACACGCATCTGCGTGTTGCGATGGAGGTGTTGTTGAGGCGGTTGAATGGCTCCACTACCCTCGAGACCAATTCCCCTTGTAAGTTTCTTTTTTTCTTTTTTTCTTTTTTCCTTTTGTGCCACCAAAAACACATTTGAGTATCACACGCTAACACTATCCCTGTCGCTACTCTTTCAACATGAATAGCATCGCCATCACCAGATAGGCTGGAAGAAAAACACGCCTTAACAACATTCTCGTACCTCCACGACCCGCTCTTCTCCCACACAAACGAAAAAACCGACATGCTCGTCGCCAACATGGGCCACTGGGCTACAGGAACAAAGTTCTTTGATCAACTCATGTCCACCTCGAAATACCACGACAAACTCCGGGATCTTGTTGAGACTATTCAGCAACACGCTAGGGATTTACAAGATCTGCAGGATGAGGATGATGGGTCGTTGGGACATTTTTTGGATGATGAGGTGGGCGGGTATGGTGGGGAGGCTGATGATGAGGATGGGCATGATTATGGGTTTGTGGATGAGGGAGATGAGGATGAAGAAGAGTTAGAGAAGGAGAGGGAAGAATTGAGGCAGGAGGAGTTAGCTAAGGAGAGTAGTGAGGAGCTAACTGGTGAGGAGGTCTACTGGGAGGATGAGACTGAGGAAGAGGTTGATAATCGACGCGAGAGCCAGGAGGATACAAAGCAACAGCATCGTCGTCCCGCCGTCCAAGAGTTGGAGGATCAACAGGAGGCTATGGATGATATTGAGGACAAGTACCGTGTTGACGATCGACAGCGCGCAGAGTCTGAAGGGTACATCTCACGCAACCAGAACAACAAAAACCATGATCCCATGGACCGCACCCGCGCTCGCTACCCATCCAACCATATCCTCCGCCAGAGCAAACACGTCAAGACCCCCGCCAAGCCCAAGATTGATGTTGACGAGTCAGAGGTCGAAGAAGAGGAGGAAATTGAGGAGGAGCAGGAGCGACCTGTTGTTGCCCAGAACCGGTACCGCTATGGCACTCAGAAGAAGGTCATGTTGGGCGACAATAGCAGGTTGATAAAGGCTGGAGAGGATGATGATGCGGAGAATGTCAAAATTCCCTCCATCAAGAAGACTATCAGCAGCAACAACAAGAAGACTACGACCACCGCCAAGTCTCGTCCTGCCTCGGACAATACTCCTGCTGGCAAGAAGACGACTATTGCCACCAAGAGGCCCGCTTCCCCTGCTTTCCGTGGCTCCAACGCCTATGGCGCCCGCAAGAACGTTCCTGTTACTACCACTTCAAAGCCCTCATCTTATGCTGCTTCTAGTAAAAGGAAAAAGACTACCGCAGACACCAAGAAGGTATCTTCTTCGTCATCATCATCGTCGAACAAGCCGAAGAAACGGTACCGCCGGGCCTTCCTGGACGACGACTACCCCTCCCTCACCTCCCCCTTGTCCAAGACCTCCTCCACTCCTTCTTCCTCTTCTTCGTCCTCATCTTCTTCCTCAAAGATGTCAGACTCAGACTCACTCATGAAAACGGCATGGGTAGGTATGGTAGCCTACCCAGAGACGCAGCAGCCTGCAGATTCATTTGTGAGCCACGACTGGCGCACGATCTACCGTCTGCGGTACTGGAACCTGATTGCCGAGGATGTGATGACCTTGCATAATGTCCGCTTCATGGACTTTTTCAGCATGGTAGATGTTTCTTTTGTCTTTTTTTTGTTTGGCATTTTTTGTATTGGTTCTTCACCCCTAGTTAATCGGTACTAACTGTTCGCTATGTTGTTCATGGAAAAATAATAGACGCTGTCGATGTTGGATACCAGCCCCGACAGAGCGCACTATTATGGGACCGATGGTATGTTTCTCCCTCTGTTCCTCTCCTTCTTCAGTGGTGCTGAAAAAAATGGCACGATTTACTTACTCTTTATCCTCTTGTTTTTTGATGAACGACATTGAATCGTAGCTGCTGAGGCGATGTTGGAGGAGTTGGCATTCAAGTTGGACCTATGCGAGGATAAGGAGTAAAGAATGGTATAACGATGGATTTTCCTTCCTTCTCCCACCTTCTTTCTCTTCCACTATCCCCTTGATGTCAACTCAATCACCATTAACGTCCTGGGATCTAGCGCTAGATTTATGTATGAATGTAAAATATCGTTTCTCCGAACGTGGGAAGGGATGCGAAAAGTGAAAAACGTGGGTGTTAGTGTGTTTTTTTGTTAGTGCCTTTGTCCTACACAAAACAGAGCAAGTGTGGATCTGAGATAAGGAAAGAGGCGTTTGTGGCTGAAGATTACACACATGCATCAATGCAGAGCAAAAGAGAAGAAAGAGAGTAACAAAAGATGGGATCCATCAATCATCCCTTGGGGGGGGGGGAAGGAGAAGAGAAAAAGAAAAGAGGGAGAGAGAGGCTATGAAGATAGCAAGTTTTGTTGCGACCCTCTTCCCCCTAGAACTGTAATTTTGTGGAGAGGGAGATAAGAAACAGGCACCTACAACTTATCTAACCAAGGGTACGTTGTTGGCTGAGTATATCGATATGATGGTGATGGTGGATGGTGATGATTGTTTGAGAGCAAATCAAATATCACTTATCAGTTATGGAGAAGAAAAAAAAAAAGCAGCCACACAGAGGGGATGAATGACACGACACGACACGAAAACTGAAGAACGGGGTCCTCAACAGATGTTCGGACGAGAATGAACAAAAGCGGGCATATGGGATACCGTTGAACAATGTCAACGAAAGAGAAACGGAAGGCGATGAGGAGGCTAAGTAATAGCTGCGATGAATGATAATATAAGTTAAAGGTATTCGGATAATCGAGGAATAGTAGGAGAGGGAATAATTGTGTGCTTCCCGAGTGTGAGAAAAGAAGGAAGGGAAAGTAACAATCAATGGTGAAGGAACGAGCAGTCCATGCGATCGAGAATTTTCCAAGTTGGGAGAGGAGATAAAAATGAACACCAACCCCATTGCTGCATCCACTTCTTCTTTTCTCTCTTCACATTCATTCCTCATTCACCGCCACTCCTTCAACCTCAACACATACCCCCCACCTTCTTCCTTACATACCCTCCCCCCCTCACACACACTCTAACACAACAAGCATGACCTACTCGGACGATATCAAGACCAACCTCGAGTGGACCTCCTCCCTCGATATCGACTACCAGTCCACAACTGCCCGCAAGACCTCCATCATCTGCACCATCGGTACCTGTTTTCTACTTGTTTTCATCTTATTCATAGTGTACTCGAGATCTTAACTCACGAAAAGTCGATTACAGGAGTAACATGGATCACGCATCGATAAGCGCGTCTCTCTCCAACAAGAAAAACGCGATTAAAATAATCGTGATATAAGGACGCACCCCAACTCCAGATCGAAGTTTCATTTCTCCTACTAACGCACTCGTTTATCTTCCGTACGTGTTGTCGGTGTGGATGAATAGGCCCCAAGACTAACACGGTCGAGATGTTAACAAAGTTGCGCCAGTCTGGCATGAACATCGCCCGCATGGTACGTGTCCTTCTCCCTTACGAGTCTTCCTCTGGGGACTGTTATCAGGAGGAAGAACAAAAGATTGAAGGAAGGGAAACATACACTGCAAAAGAGGTGAATGGGCGTCAAAAAGAAAAGAGGCATACGGCTAGACGAAATGATGACAGGTGATACGATACCATGGAAAGAGTGTCGGGGGATTTGTTCTTCCTCAAAGTTTTCGCCCACATGCATGTCCTTCCTTTCTTTCACCCACCCACCCACCACGACACAACATCAAAACCCATGCAATGTCTCGAATAGAAGAAAGGAGATATAACAAGCGTGGGGAAAATTATCTTTATTGTTCATTACACGCGCTTTCTTCTATCTTTCACGCTGTTGCTATCGAGAGCAACGCATGTTGCCTCCCTTGTCGCTTTCAACCTTCCGCGCACCCTGGATCAAACCAGTGACAAGCGCTTTGTATCTTGCTTACGTTCCGGCGCCGGTTTTTTTCTTCTTTTTTTGACTTTGAACCCCACTTGTGAATTTTTCGCTTCTTGAACGTTTGGTTGGGAAACAATGTTCAACTCCGTCTCCATGACGATAAGAGAAAAAAAGGAAGCGGGTGCCCTCAATTCAACCACGGCATCGACCAATGTCGGCTGTGTCTTCGAGATCAAAGACAACAATAATATCAGAAAGACAACGACTTGTCTATTGCCACACCCTCTTTCTCATATTGCCCAAAAGAAACATAAGGAGATTGGATGTTTACGCCTGAGTGAGACATGGACACAGGGCAGGAAAATGAAATATATTGAGGATGCAGTCAACACACAGAAACACAACGAGGGAAGGGAAAAGAGCAGAAAGGCAGAAAGAAGACGCGGATGAATGAGGGTAGACAGAGAAGAATGAGGACCCAGAAACCAAAAAGGGTATTGCGGGACAATCAGGACCATTCAAGACATAATAATATACTTAGAAACGATATTACCTTGCGCAAATCAGATCGACTAACTCTTCTTCGTGTTGAACAATAACAATAGAACTTCTCTCACGGCTCGTATGAATACCACCAGTCGGTCATCGACAACACCCGTCAGAGCTGCTTGGGTAAGTTTTCCTTCCTGTATTTTACTTGCCCGCTTTATTTTTGCACGGTGTTAATGCGCGTTATCTTTATGGCGTTTATGGTTCGATGGGTCTAAGTGGACTGCTATTTTTTCTTCGGGGGCACCCTGCTTATGCCGGAAGGCAGAGTAGCCCTTTGTCTTCAATCAAGCAATGCTACCAACGCAATAGTACTTTTATATTAACAAGTCTAATCCCTCCACCCATTGACAAAAAATAGAACACCCTGGTCGCCCCGTTGGTATTGCTTTGGATACCAAGGGTCCCGAGATCCGCACGGGATTGATGAAGGACGACGTCGAGGTTCCTATTACCGCCGGCCACCAGATGATCATCACCACCGACGACCAGTACGCCGAGGCCTGCACGGGCGAGCATATGTACGTCGACTACAAGAACTTGACCAAGGTCATTACTCCCGGCAAGGTCATCTACGTCGACGACGGTGTCCTCTCCTTCAAGGTCCTTTCGGTCGAGGACGACCACGTCAAGGTCGAGGCTATCAACAACGGCAAGATCTGCTCGCGCAAGGGAGTCAACTTGCCCAAGACTGAGGTCGATCTCCCCGCTCTCTCAGAGAAGGATAAGAAGGATTTGGAGTTTGGTGTCGCGAACGGCGTTGATATCGTCTTTGCCTCGTTTATCCGTCGTGCCGAAGATGTACTCGAGATCCGCAAGACTCTTGGAGAGGCCGGCAAGAACATCAAGATTATCTCCAAGATTGAGAACCACCAGGGAGTCATCAACTTCGACGAGATCTTGGCGGTCACCGATGGTATCATGGTTGCCCGTGGAGATCTTGGAATTGAGATCCCCTGTGCTCAGGTCTTTATTGCACAAAAGATGATGATCTCCAAGTGCAATCTCGCCGGAAAGCCCGTCATCTGCGCAACCCAGATGCTCGAGTCCATGACCTACAACCCCCGCCCCACCCGTGCCGAAGTCTCTGACGTCGCCAACGCTGTCCTCGACGGAGCCGACTGCGTCATGTTGTCCGGCGAGACTGCCAAGGGCTCCTACCCCCTCGAGGCTGTCGAGACCATGGCCGAGACCTGTATCCTTGCCGAGTCGGCCATCTGCTACCCCCCACTCTTCAACGAGCTCCGTCAGCTCCAGAGTCGCCCCACCGAGACAACCGAGACCGTTGCCTGTTCTGCCGTCTCTGCCGCCCACGAACAGGACGCCGGCGCCATTGTTGTCCTCTCGACCTCCGGAGACACTGCTCGCTTGGTCTCCAAGTACCGCCCCCAGACCAACATCATCATTGTCACACGCAAGGAAGCGACTGCAAGATCCATCCACTTGTCTCGTGGATGCTACCCTTTCATCTACAAGGAGCCCAAGGTTGCCGACTGGCAGGAGGATGTTGATAACCGTCTGCGGTGGGGTATGGACCAGGCCATTTCTCATGGTCTCTTGAAGTCTGGCCAGTCTGTTATTGTCATCCAGGGCTTCCGTTCCGGACACGGTAACTCCAACACCATGCGCATTGTCGTCGCCTAAGTCTTCTCTGCGCAGCCGTCGTGTTTTTGAGATCCCCTCTTTTTCTTGATTGCTTCTCTTGTACAGAACAAAACACCTTCAAAAATATATAAACGTCATTTTTTGTAAACAAACTACACAAGCAGACATCACTTTTGCATGCTAGTCCTTGTCGTCCTGGTCGTTTTTGTCTAAATATTTATAAATTCTATTGTTTTTACGAAGTATAAAAGTTCTAACCTGACTTTGTCCTTGGTGTTGGTCCTTTACCAAACGTCAACGTCTCTGCCATCTTTTGTAGCAACAGCATTCACACATCTCCACATGTCCTTTCTCTTTCTCCTTTGGCGTCTTCATTCCCCTTCTCCTGATCCCGATCCTGCTTTTCCTGGCCCTGCTTTTCACTGCTGCCTTGCTTCTCAGGGTTTCCTGGCTTCCCTGACTTTCCATGCTTAGGATTCGGGTTGGCGGCTTTGAGAGCTTTGAAGACTGCGGGGTTGGATTGATGGGTGATGGGAGAGTACTCAAACTTGCGCGAGTCCAGTTCTAACGTTACGGGTCCATCGTTCGCAATGTTTACTAGCATCATTGCTCCAAACTCTCCGTCTACCAAAGCAAGCATAAGGGTATGTGAAAGAACGGAAGGGAGGGAGGAAAGAGTTAATTAGAGTTGTCAATTATGCGTATTGTGTCATTGTGTGGGAGTGTCTGCGAGAACATCCTTGAAGAGTGATAGGGCAGAGGAGGAAGATTACCTTTGATACGGTCGGGTTGGTAGGCCTTTTTGAGACGGTCCAGGAAATCAAGATACATTTGTTTGGAGGCTTGTGATTTCATGGAGAGGTGGAAGTCTGGTTTGCTGCCCTTGATGACCGATCCGTACAATGTGAATTGGGATACTAATATGTATAGTAGAACAAGGAAATAAAAAGGCAAGGAAGTTAGCGAGACGAGACTTACAGGGTTTTTTTTCGTCCTGAACGCCACTGTCATCATCATCATCAAGTGCGTCAAAGACGATCCGTGAGAAAAACGAAGGGCAGCTTACCACAGAGGATCTCGCCCTCGATATCAACAACACTCTTGGCCCACATCTTGGCCGGCTCCTCAACATCCACAGCCTCAACTCCCTCATTCGCCTGCGTTATTTCCTTTTGTTCCCGAGGTGGGCGAATCATGGTGGTCCCGGGGGAGAGGAGAGCATGCTGGTTAGAATCAAAGACGCGGACGGAAAGGAGTTTCTTGACCATGAAATCGAGATCCGCGGGTGTGTCGTCGATAGAGAGGCCGATTAGGACACAGAGTCCTTGGCGGATTTTGGAGATCTGTTGGCCGTTTACTAGTGAGTATGTAGTGTAGAGGGTGAGAAGGAACGAAGAGTGGGTGAATGAGTAAAGGTAGGTAAATGGGCAGGGGTAGGGTGTGTCGTGTGACGGCGGTTGACGGTTTCGTCGTTGGTAGGAAAGATAAGTTACCTTCAACGCTGGCTTGGAGGACTCGTTGCAGGACCTGAAAGGAGAAGGGGTTTTATTGAAAGAAACGTCGTGGGCGGGTGGGTGAGTGCCATGTTGTACATTGTGATCTCTTTCGTATTGATTCTTCTCCATGGCAGTTGGACATTCCATTCCCGTGTATCCATGTCCATGTCAGGCTACAGCCATTTGCTCAGCGAGGGAATTCCAAAAAAAAAAAAAAGTAGCCATGTTTGGTTTCCTTACAGCTCTCATGGTTGATTGTACTGAAAGGAGTTGATGTTTGTGAAAAAGAGATGCAAAGCCAAAGAAAAACGAGTGGGTGTGAAATAGTCGTAGTGTGGGAAAGGAGAGCAAAAATGTGACTCAGTTTGATCGTACCTGAAAAAAATTAGGTTTTTACACTGGCCTGCGGCACACACGATTATTTACTTGCAAACAGTACAAATAGTTGAACTATCAATCCTCCTCGTTCTCGCTACTGTCAAGGGTCCCGCCCTAGAGAATCTCCATCATGTCGCTCTCTCTGTATGTGGTGACTTGAATCCTCACATTCGGCCAATGCTGCTCCGCTCTCTCTCACCAATGTAGAGCTCCATATCCTCCAATATCACAACCCTCAACTCCATCACCTTTGCAAACCCAATCCACCGATTCATTGCAAGACACTCGTACTATCGCCAGTATTCCTTGTCTCTGCGTTGGTAATCGGGTGCTTCTGTGCCGATCAAGATCCTCAATCACAGCTCCCGCAGCTTTGTGAACTGCACCAGCTTGGCATACTCCTGACGCTGGAGATTGATCCTTTCCTAGGGTGTCGTTCAAAAGACAAGTGGATCGCGAGGCCAACCACAAACACTCCGAACAATGTTCAGTTGATTGATATTCCTAATGCGGCACCCAAAGACATCAAGATCCTTACAGACCCATTCCGAGTCCACGATCGCCCGGGTATCCAACCATCCACCCAGAGTCAACCTGTTCGTCAGAAAAAGTAATTATCTTTCATTTTGGGCACCGAGCAATTAGCCTGTCGATTTGTGACTCCTAGACAAACGAGCTGGTCTCGAACCGGTCAATCTCCAGAGTAGGCACATGAGCCATAAGAGCCTTGAAAACCGTATTCGAAACCATAGGTTCGCTTCAACTCGCTGGGTCGCACGGAAAACGAGCCTCTTCCATCCTGTAACGCTCAGCCCGAGAAATTGCACAACCCCGTCATCGCTTGACTAGACCATGCCTTCGAACTCTGCGGAAGTGAAGCGTGGGAACTTTAAGGGACGGCAGTCCAGTAATGAACGCAGTTTGAGGGAGTGAATTAGGCGTCTGTTGACTCGCAGTCCTTTTTCGCGCCCCAGTGCCAGAGATTTGGGTGAAATGACGTTCTCCAGCCTTGACTGACACGGACACAGACACTAAGGTCGTGTTAATCGAGAATAAACGTAATCATCTCCTGAACATCTGAGGGGAGCGCTGAATGATGTCGTATATGCTTCTGGTAACCCTTCTCCCATTGTAGTCTGTTCTGATGGTTCCGTGGAAGGTGATATTGAGATTAATGAGCGAGATTCACAAACAATAAAAAACAGAAGGAAAACGGGTGGGATACATTACATGTGACTCATTGGCAGTAAGGCCCTGTAAAGGACACGCGCCCTCTATAACCAAGGATCCATGCCAGTGATTTTTGTATTTCTATCTATCTATCTCAAAAAGTATAACCTCGTCGTACATGTGCTGAGCTGCAAGTAATTTCTTTTGTTTCTTTTCTCATGTTATGCCTTCTGTGTTTTTTATCGCATTGCCTTTCACCCAGGGACCGCTAGTTATTTTGTTATTTTTGATGAAAAGCTATTTCTTTCATAAAAGCGATCGACCTTCTACAGTCGTACTTGACCATCGATCATTCCTCGGAAGAAAGAAGAGGCATTATTGTTTTTGGAGGGTCCCAATTACCATGAACTGTCCTCTTGTTTTTAATAGCGCCGTCCCCCCTCTTTCATTCCACTAGATCCTCTCTCTCTCTGTCTTTCTCTTCCTTCCTTCACTTTTGATCGAGTAGCGATCCTTTTCTGACACATTGTCGCCTTTCCAAGTGAGCAAAGTAGATAGAGGGTTGAAAAAGACAAATGAAAAAAGAAAACGAATTGAAATGGAATAGGAAGAAGGTCAAGGCAAGACACAACTACAGCTGCCCACATTCCTCGAAGGCAGGATAAAAACAAGAAAAAGAGCGCTACCAATCATTCAGGAATAAGGAGCCTTTGTCTTTATCTTTCTTCTCGTTGCTCTAATGTCTCTCATTCTCACGTCTCCCTCGCTTTCTGCATCAGATCTTTAGGTCCTTTTTCTTTTACTTCTCAGGCTCTGGGCAATTCTCCAGAGGACAGGGGTGAAATTCTTTCTTTCAGGTCTTGTTAACGAGGGATATGATCATCACGCGCATCTCGCTTGAAAGGTTGCTGAACAGAGGCTTGCCCGTTGTAATTGGTTCTTGCTTGATTCTTGTCTGGTTCCTGGTGGTCGAGCAGTCTCGCGAGGTGGAGAAAGGAGATTCAAAGAGCCCGCACAACAAACCAACTCGAACAAAACTATAGTCCCTGACGGATACCTACACAAACTCCCCTGTAAACGACGACCAACAATGAAATAATCAGTTCTTTACTTTACGACTCGTCGTTGTTGATATTGAGTGCGTCCTTTGCACAGAATTCTTCAACGCCTTTGATAAAACTTCTTGAACCTAATCTCTACTTGCGGCCAGTTCGTCTGAACCCATTCCTTTTCCTCTGCGTTGGAAATCCCGTTCTCCAGATACCACAGCACAACAAGGCGCAGATTCCGAAGGTCTTTCAGCACGTCCAGCCCACTCTCCAGAGTCATCGAAAGGCAGTCGTATTGCCAGACATGCCTCTTGTTGATCTTCCTGTACTCGTCTGTCCATTCGTCGAGCTGAGAGCTCAACCTGAGTTCTCGCAGCTTGGTGAGTCGTGCGAGTTTGGTGTACACCCGGCGCTGAAGGTCAAGACTCTCCTGACGTGTTCCCTGCCTGACCTTGTCATTTATAATCGGGGTGCGAGGGATCTCTGGTCGAGGGATGCCCTCGATCGCACAACCAAAGACTTCGAGATCTAAACAGACCCAGTCCGAATCCGCAACTGCCTTGGCCTCCAATCGTCCACCACGGTTGGTCAAACAATTGAACTCAAAATCGATTTCCTTGAGCTTGGGAAGTGAACAAAGCAACCGATCGATCTGCCGCCAATCGCACGCATAGTCACCCCCTATGCGGACAACCTCGAGTGTCGCATCATGTTTGAGGAGCGCCTCAACAATTTTGTCTCCGATCCTATAGCTCCATCTGTCGTCGCCGAGTCGAGGTGAGAAGGAAAACTCTCTCAATCCTGCAGGGCACCGGTCGAGAAGCTGGGCAAGACATTCCCCATCGCCCCCATCGCTATCATCGCGATCATCGCCCCGATCGCGAGAATCGAGTCCTTCGCGATAATCGACTTCATCGTGATCTTCGACTCCATCAATCCACAAGGATGTCAGCCGCTTGAAGGTTGGCGGACAATCTTGTAAAAAACTGCCTCCTTGTGTTGGCCAAGGAATCATTGTTGACAGAGGGAACATGCGGAGAAATAATACAAGTATTCAAAACAAAGATAACAGTCACTAATCACATAGTGATGAAGTGGCAGAATCAAGGTTATCATGTTTCATAGATGATCATGTTCCTGAAGCCAGACCAATTTACTTGCTGCGAGAGAGTAGAAAAAGGAGGGACAGCGAGATGAGCAAGATATGAATCACACACATCATGAGTGCAAAACGAGGCAATGAAAATGAGAACGTGAAGGGAGAAGGAGTATAACGAACAAAATAGGAGAAGAAGACCCGCCTCATTTTCACAAAGGGCAGTTCACAGTTCACAATAGTCGAGCCTCTGGGCGTGGCATCACACACACATTTGGTTCTGGAAGCATATGCACACGACCGGAAGTCGATTGCTGAAATGCAACTCATTCCAATGTTTCCTTTGGGGTCAGCACCGACCAGCAAAACTTCGCAGCAGTAATCCTTTCTTATGGTTTGGCTTTGAATTCTAACTGCCATGAAACTGATCAGGCCAAGGGTGAACAAAAGCTGGGTGGGTTTCTTGATGAAGACCATTGTTTCTGTACTTGCTAGACTGTTTTTGAGGTTGAGGGTGAGAGAAGAGGATGCGATAAGTCAGTGACTTGACTAGATTGTATATTGGTTTGAACAGGTGCTAAAACAGCTAGTTAGCAAATGGGTCTAACGGTGCATCAGAATCAGGTGCTTGAGAAGAAAATACAATAGGCGGCCTTCAACTTGACCGTGCTCTCGCTCCTCTCGGACTCAGACTCGTATTGACAACTGACTATCATGAGTCATGGCTGAAACGGGTTCCTCCAGACCTGACAGACCCGCAAGCAGACGGTTAAGTCGTGCGAATGTGGAGCGATCCTATGTCCATGATGGTTGTCGGGTATCCTGTGCTGGTCGAGCCAGTTGAAGTGGCTGAAAAGGATTGTGTTGGTTGAGACGGTTGAGATCTGGAGGAAAAGGCGGGAGGGATCAAAAAAAGAATTAAATACCAGAAGCAAAAAAAAATAGAGCAATAAGGAAGTTACTGCAGGGTCTAGATCCAGTCACCTTCACACAGTAGACCTCTCTCAAAAGAACAACTGTGACAAAATGATGAGAATAATCCTTCCTAACTTTTCTACTTTCGCGCAAAATTTCAATTTTGGCTTCTGCCCCCCGCACAGGACACCCACAGGCAACTGGCGTTCTCACACATCTCAAAATTAATGGCGCAGCCACGAGTCGTTTGCCACCTATTTTTCAAGAGCCATCAGTGAACCCATCCTATTACCCATCGCATTTCAATTCGCCCCACCTGCACCATCTTTCATACTTCATCTTCTACTTTCCTCCCATCCTTCCCATCTCCATCTCATACATCTCCCACACCATCATCGTGATTCCTCACACCATCATCGCATTCACCAACAACTCGCCACCCCCACCTTTCTCCTCAGCCCCCATCACCAACCATGACATCTCTCCCTCCCGAGCTGTTAAAGGAGATTGCCCGACATCTCTCCCGTCACGAACTCACAGTCAGTGTCCGAGTCTGTCAAGAATGGCACGCGGCCATCAACCAATCCCTCTGGGAGAAAGTCCTCCTCGACTCGTCAAGGGACAGAGACTCTCGCTTCGAATCCTTCAAAAAGTGTGTTGTCGAAGCTGGGGCTCTGTCGAGAAGCGGGTACTGGATCCGAGTGCTACGTGCTTACCATTATGAGGCTGCCTCTCTTCTGACTACCTACGGAGCCACTACTTGTACCGAGATCGCGAGGCTGACACTAGGATCCAAGAGCGACGGCGTTGTGGATAATTATGATGCGATGCGTCTTCTTGAGCAGTCGACAAAATTGAAAGGGCTTCATCTTTCGGGACAGATGATAGCGCCGACAAACCCCAAGTACGAGCAACTAATCGCTGCGGTCCCGACTACGGTGGAGGTGCTTTTCCTTGGTGATATGGGGCATGACAGCGAACAGCATTTCGATTCTGACAACGGCGACGACCACGACGGAGCAGCATCGCCACCACAATGCCCCCAGCCTCTGATCCCTCTCCTACCTCGACTCACCAACCTGGGCATCTTGGGCCTTGCCGTCAACAATGCGACCTGGCCCCTGATCTTTAAGAACTGCCCCGGTCTCAAGGCCCTCCGTCTCGACTGGAACAACGGCAAGGAGGGCGTAAAGGCCATCGCATCCGCTGCTCGAGAGCACTGTCCAGCACTCAATCAGTTGCGGCTCTTAAATATGACTGCAGATTTGTCGCGATCATCATTCGATGAGGTCTGGGCGACGTTTCTGAGTTCGAGCACCTGTGGCTGGGAAGCTCTGGAGATCGATGCGGCCTCGAATGTTGTCTCCGTTGGACCCCTGAGCATGGCTGCGCTCCTCCCTCGCCTCCCCCTCAACCAGCACCTCAACCAGCCTCTGCATGCTTCTACGTTGAAGACTCTCGGGTTGGGGTATGGCGCCGATATTTCTTCGGAGTATGTTCGGCAGCTCTACGAAGCAGCACCCAACTTGACTATTACGGTCAACTACGAGGCTGTTCCTCGATCTATCGATCCCGCGAAATGAAGAAGAGGAGAAATGGCGATGTAAATGTAAACAAGAAACTGACATTCATTGAGTGTTATGTAAAGTTGAAACGGTCTCTCTCCTCCATTTTTTTGTGCGCATGTTTTCATTCACTTGTCGGTGATGGTTACACCGGTAGCAATACAGCAAGATCAAAACAAGCGAACTCTTTGTTTTTATTATTCCGCAACATGCGCTCTCCAAGAGAACAAGCTAGAATTAAAGGAACTATCACTATCGCTGCTGTCCTGATCAACATTTTCTGTAGTCTTAACCTTTGCATTGGGCCATTGTTCCCCATTACACGTCTGCTCCCACTCAACATCCACATAAGCCTCCATCTCCTCTAACCAACAACCATCAGCTCCTTGAGATCCCCCAGCAGATCCAGCCCGTTCTCTCCTGTAATTGCCAAGCAATCTCACTGTCGATGGCACTCCTTATGCTGGTTCCCGTAATCTTATTCATCGATCGGAGAGCTCAGTATGAACTGTCGCAGCTTGGTAAACTTTTAAAGTTTCGCACACATCCGACACTGAATGTCCACACTTTCCTCCCATGTCCTACTCCTTATCCCATCGTTTTCAGTGTGCTAACATTGTCGTGGGTGATGTCCGGGCGAGGAAATGTTCTTGAGCTCACAACGAAACACCTCCAGCCTTTTACAAACCCACTCAGAATCCACAACAGCCCTGGTGTCCAGCTGTCCACCGTCGTAATTGGCCTGGTGCTTGTTTTCGGCGGCGAGGAACTTAAGGTTGGGTGCGGAGCACAGTACTCGGTTGATCCCATCGCCGTGCACAAAGGTGTCACCACTCAGCCTAAGAAACTCATAACAAAAAACACACGCCTTTTCCATCCTGCAGAGTCGACCCGAAAAATGTCGATCAATGGCGGAGGGCGATCACCGTGAGATATCCTGAGCTCTAGCGAGGCCAAGAGAGAGAGAGAGAGTGGCAACAGAGAGCAATCTAAAATTCTGTCAAATGTTCACGGCTTCAGTTCTGTTTTAGGGACTACATGAGGTGGCCATATGTCGATAATCCGTCTGGAATTCTTCACTGTTTTTGACGTCTCCTTCTTGTGAGGTACGTCGACGCGTCTCCAGAAGTTTGAAGCGGATATCGATCTCCAGGCTAAAAAGACGCGCAGGCAGACGGGTAGTTGGTGTTAGTGAAGGCAGCGCTCAATATTTTCCTGGACCTCTTATGAAAAGGTGTCTAGGAGATTTGTTTCGTGTTGTAGTTTGAGCGTGTGTTTTTGTCCCTTGCTGTGTTGGAGAGCTGGTCCTGGGTGTGTCCCCGATGACATGGGTGCGATGCAAGAAGAATGTAAAAACGAGATTGCAGACCGAGAACAAATAGCTTTTGACCACGTGATATATATGTAAAATTGGTGGCGAGATCAGTCTCAATGGTCCAGGAGTAGCCTGGGTAACAAGAAACGTTATCTTCGCTAAAGTAATCGCCACACCCGCTTTATCTATCACTTCATCAACTCCCAAGCATCCTTATTAAACATTCTTTCTTCCAGAATTTACCCCGCATCTAATCCTCATGCCTCAATTGCGCGAAACACCAATTGCGTTTGCACAGAAATGATCATCCACCTACTCTTACATATTCATCAATACTTTTTTATTCACTGTTCACTGGTGGTGGTAAAGGGACTTCCTCCTCCTCTACAGTGGCCTCTTCATCTGATGGTTGCTCGTCGACTGTATTGCTGTCGCTCTGATCCTCGTCTGGATTCTCGTTATCGATCGCAACATTCGGCCAATGCTCATCAAACCACTCCTTCTCCTGCTCGCCGTCGATGTAGATCTCCATATCCTGCAACCCCACCTCTCGCAACTCCGTAAGGTCCTTCAGTAAGTCCAGACCACCGTCCAATGTCATCGCCAAACAATCGAATTGTCGTATGTGATCCCTGTTTTTCGGTACTACTATTGAATTTCCTGGGATGTAATAAAAGCCCAACGTGAGCTCCCGCAGTTTCGTGAACCGTGCCAGTTTCGAATAGATCCGATACTGCAGGTCGAGACTCTCCTCAGCCGTTCCTGTTTGGACGAATTTGGTCGCTGGTTGGTCGAGAATGGTGCGGGTGATATCTGGGCGAGGGATGTTACGGATCTCGCAGGCAAAGACTTCCAGGTTGTCGCAAACCCACTCCGAGTCCACGATGGTCTTGGCGTCGAGATATCCGCCGGCGTGATCGTCCTTGTGATCGTTCGAGACGTACAGCACCTTGAGGTTGGGTGCTGTGCAAAGCAGTCGATCAATGCCCTCAGCGTCGGCATAGCACTCATCCTCCAACCGAACCACCTCCAGCGTCGACGCATGTTTAAGGAGCGCCTCGAAAAAGTCTGCCGCAAACTGATACGTGGGCCCTTGTTCGACCGACACCGAGAATACCAGCCTCCTCCATCCTGTTGTCGACCCTCGGCGAAGAAAGTGGACAAACGGCTGCCAGTGTCCCGTATGTGTCAGGTGCACCTCCAATGACGTGAGCTGGAAGTCGGGACGGCTCCTCATGATCGAACACATGAAAAGGCTGTCGTCGCGCACTGTGAGGGATCGGAGGAGATGGCCGTAGGTTTTGAGGCCGTCGACAAAGTCGTACTCCACCTCTTTGCGGTTCCAGGACAGGTCTGCCTCTCGCCAGAGGTGCGCGCTGAATATTTTCTGCCAAGCTCGACAGACACGCAGGCAGACAGGCAGCTCGTGTTGCCAAAGGTAGCGCCCAATCATGGATTGCACCTCCGGCGGCAGGTCCCCAAACGACGTCTTGTTCCTGTCGTCTGTCTCTTGTTCCATTGCTGTTGGTTCGTTGCTGTTTGTTGAATGGTCGTTGGGCCGGAGATGGGAGCAAAGTTGATGATCAACGGAAAAAACAATGACGAAAATGACCGATTTCTACACGTGACTTGACCATGGAGAGCTTGGAAGGGCATACATGAACCGGTAACCATTGTGCTCCAGGGGAGCCTACTTCGCCCAACGTACAACAATGTGATCAACAACCATTAACGAACTTGTCAAAAATTGGTGGCAAGATTGGTTTCAGATCATTCAGGAACGGTCGTGTCTGCGCCCAAAGGTCATACAAGCTATTCTCCTCGCATAAGTTTCTTTTTGAATTTACTCCGCGTCAAAGTTTTTTTTTTTCGTAGCTGCGCAAATGTTTGTCTAGAAAAAAAACATGCCGATCGACGATTTGAATGCTAGTCATATCGTTTTGTTCTTAATCCACCATTCGCTGACAACCTGTATTCATCACTTTGATCCTCTTCTTCTCTTCACTCAATCCCCGTGCCAGATCAGTGCTCCTCAAACCAGCTCTGCTTCCGGTCGCCGTCAATGTAAATTTCCTTCTACTGTAGACTCACCCACTGTAACCCCTTGAGGCTCTTCCACAAGTCCAAGTCGTTGTCCAGATGTGAAGGTCACTGCAGACCCACCCCGAATCCAGGATGACCTTGGCGTCCAGATATCCGCCGCCATGGCCGTCCTTGTGATCGTTCGCAATTGTATAATTCATTGAGATTGGGCACCGAATAAAGCAAACAATTCACTCCTTCGGCGTCGGCATAGCACTCGCCCCTTCCAGGCGGATCACCTCCAGGGTCGAAGAATGCTTAGAAGCACATCGAAAAAGGCCTGGCCAAACTCAAAAGTGGGCTCAAATTCCATTGACATATCAAACTTCAGTCTCTTTCCTGCTACAGAACCTTGGTTCGGCAATTCGACAGTCGGCACTCAGTGTCCATCGGGAGTCCTGTATACTTCTGCAACTTCCAGCGACGTCATTTTTCAGGGCCAACTTCGACGGCAAAGAAACCAAAACGCAAAAAAGTAGGCGCTCATTCCTCTTTAGCTCCTACCTATTCTCCCTTCACTCCCTCCATCACATTACCTTTTTTCAGCTGCTCAATCAACGGAACGAGTCGAACAAAACAAGAGACTATCCTCATCAGTTCTTCATACGCACACAACATACTCGGACAAGAGCGTGCCTCTGCTTTCTGGACTGGTTGGCTGGGCGCTGCAATGGACTTCTATCGCTGGTTGAGGGGAAGAAAGATACACGTTCCGCAAAGTCAATTTGGCGCCCACTGTGGCCTGTTTAAGTTATGGCAGTGATATTAAATAAACCACATAAAAAGGTGTTGGTGAATGATTTCTACTAGGACCCCAACGCCACCAACTTAATTTCTTCCCGAATTTCCTTCCTGACTCCTCACACAACATTTTCACGGACATCCTACGTATAAAATGGAAAGAAAAGGAACAATAGTTGTAAGGCATATTTTATTCCGCCGTCTTAAAGACGAAGCATTAGCAGTATTTCTTTTATATCCTACGGTCGCGTTCCTGGTGGCGGATTTCAAGATGGTTGTTTGTAGTAATCTGCAGCGTCTTCTTTTTTTTTTTCTACTCAAAAACCTGAATGAACTTTATTAGAAGCACTTCCCTATCCGCCCACTACTTAACCCACTACAAAACTCAAACCTTGAAGGCGCCACATTGCCTCATCTCTTTCTCACGCCCAGTCTAATCTTCACAAAGAGACCTTGCTATCATACCCTCTCGCGAAAAACGAATATTATACTTTCGACCAACTCATAAAACACAAGGGGGCGATCGTTTTCTATGCAGGTAACAAAACCATCTTTTTCTTACCTCTTCACTGGTAACCAACACTCACTCAACAGCCAAAAGAACAACATCCAGTCAAACGACGGAATCCATTCGACAACGACCCCCCGTGGGGTGACTCGGAGGCAACAATCATAGTTACCTTTTAACTACCCCCCCCCCCCCCCCCGTTCTCCGGTGTTTCCTTGAGTTTTTCTCCTGTCCGAACCTCTTTCTTTGCAAAAAGACGACAAGAATGATATGATGGCGTAGAAAAAGGAAACAGGACCAGGGACAAAAAGATCTTTCGTAGCGCAAATCCATGAAACGTTTAAAAACAATTTTGATTCGCACAACTCATTTCGCTTTCAGAACTCTGGAACATTTGAACTCGACCCTCTACTTTGCGCCATATAAAATCCAACAGAAACGTTGTGTGTTTTCTTGGGCCATATGTCGCATGGAAGAGTTGAAAGGAATTGAAAGGGGAAAAGGAAGTGATGGAGAAAAGATGAAGTACGAATACGTAAAAGAGAGGTTGTAGAATAACAAGTAGCGAAGCACCCAGTGAAAGTAACTAAAAAAGTAAGCACGATAATCGAACAGGTGCAAAAACAAACATGAACAAAGGCCTTCGCCACCGAAACAAGAGCCAATAGAGAAAAGTGATATAATAATAAAAGGTAATGCAAAAACATACATCCACTGTCGTACAAGAAAGAAAAACCTGGAAAGAATATTAGGTACGGCTCACAAGGGTATCACATACCGTTTTGAAGATCAACTGCTCTTTACTCGGACAAGTCTCGATGTCCTGCTGCCGTCCCAACTAGGATGAGGCAGAACAAACAAAACAATACACGCAGACTCACACATCTCCCCCTTTGCTCAACTCGCTCTCCTTCCTTCTCATGACAACGGTGACGAAGACAATCTCCACCCGGACGGACAACAAATACTAGAGGCACATGCAGTACTAATTTTTAGCATCATCAGCTCATACCTCAAAATCGTAATCAAAATATCCATTTCGCACTCGCTGTGTTTCTAAAAAAAAGAGCCCCCAAGTGTCTCTGTTTTGTCACTCCTTTATAATATGTGTACTACGGAGAAGAGTATGGCAGTGGACAGAAAAAAAGAGGGATCGCTTATGTGCTTATGCTAATCACCATCCGCGAGAGTCAGAATGAAAGCTGTTATACGCGCTGCTCGCTCCACTTCCTGCGCCACGGTCACTACCGCCACGGCTCATCCGGCGTCCCCCCATCAACGTATCATAAGCTCCACCAGTAGCAGTAGTGTTTGTGCCGGAAGTGTACCCAACAGGTGGAAGGGCAGACTGCTGGGACTGCTGCGCTGAGGATATGAGGGGTGGGGCTGTCATAGACGTAGTTGGCAAATAGTCCCCAGCATGGTTGTGGCTACTGTTGCCTCCAATGAGATTGCCAGCTGCGTTCATCAACAGCAACTCATCTACAAACCCAGCTCCAGATCCTGAACCAGACCGCCTCAACAGTCCCAGGTGCTCAATACTGTTGTGGTTGGTGTTGCTTCCAGATCCAACGCGACTGTGGCTCACACTGTTGGAGCGACTGTTGTTGTTGCTCGAATGATGGCTGTTGCCGCTGCTACCATTGCCATTGTTATGTCCTAGGGGATGGCCGGCAGCTCCGTTGTTTCCGTTGCCGCCGTTGTTGCTGTTGTTCCGCCCGAAGAGTCGCAGGTGGGGTGAAGACGATGAGCTTGCAGCACCACTACCAGGCCCGAGCGCTGGCGATTGTGACTGGGAGCGCAGGTTCAGCATGGCACCTGTCAGGGGCAACATGCCACCGGCACCACGCTCACTGAGTCCAAGGCCACCTCCAGCCATTATGCCATCGGAAGGCAACGCGCCCAAGCCTGCTGATACAAGTCCCATATCCTGACCAGAATTCGATGCAGGGCTCAGCTCGCTCATAATGAACAACATATCGTCGTCATCATTCAGGCTGGTGTTATGGCCCGATTTGTCGTCACGTCCTTGCACGTCTCGTCTTTCCCGTAGGTCCGCATCCTCGTCATCATCACCATCATCATCCATCTCATCGTCTTCATCTCGACCATGACGGCTCTGACGTCTCCGGTTGGATCGCTCAGCACTGTCGACAGAGTTCAACTCGTTCAATGATTCGTTATCCTCTGCAGCACGAGGACGAAGTCGAGGAAGCGTGAAGCTGGCTCCACTCGATCCACTTCCAAGTCTTAAAAGCCGCCCAGGACGTCCCGTCGAAGTACCTCCACTGGCCAAAGAAGGAATAGGCCGAGGATCTGCACCAAACGTCGGAAACGGTGCCGTGTTGGACGACGAGGACGACGAGCCGTCACGCCCAGTGCTGAGAGGCGCAGAATACAAAGAATGCTGATGGTGTACATCCTCAGGGTAAGATCCAAACGCGATATCGCCTCCTGCTCCCTCAACCTTCATCCTTCCCATTGCCTCCTCCATGCCCAGGATGTCCTTGCCTTGGTCCAGACTGCCATGTCGGAACGCAAGGTTGCCAATGTTGGCACTCCTCCGTACAAGGTCACGGTGGATACCGCTCCCCCCGCTGGGGCTTTCGAGCAACCAAGACTGCCGCTTGATGGGGGTAGATCCTGTTGAGGGCTCTCTGGAGGATGCATGCGAGAGACCTGACTGGTTTTCACCACGGCCAGACGACCTCAATGGGTATACTGGCGCCTCCGAGTGCAAGGGTGAAGGGGTTCCCGGTTGGTGAGACGAGAACGATTGTGAGTGTCGACTAACAGTAGTCGCAAAAGGTAGTCCTGTCGGGCTGCTAGGCTCCAAGTCACCCAAGATCGAGCGCCGGTTCAGGTTTGTGGTCACAGTCAGGGGCGACTGGTTCTCCTGCTCCTTGGCGAGGATCTGACTGTTGGACATAGATTCGGACAGATTGGAGTTGATCTGCTTAAGCTGCTGGAAACGGTCAAGTGTCGATTTGGTCCTCATTCCTGAGGCTGTCAAATTGCTGTCATCCGATGCAAAGGAGGGCCCTATTCCTGATCCACCAGCCTTTTCAAACATCTTTAGTGGTTCTGGGGTGTCCAGCATCTTCATAAACTCGTTCACATCGTCATCATCCGACGTAAGCTGAAACAATGACTAAGGCAAATAATAACGCGAAACTTATTGTTAGTGAACCTGTTAAGCGGATCATTTTGTTACAACATTAACATTGCTTGACAACTTGGAGGCTAGTACTTACAGAGTTGCCGACGATAGAGTTACGGTTGCGTCCAGGAGGCAAACTTTCGCTGGAAGCACGTCGTCCTGATGAATCGTGCCGATGCCCGAAGCTAGAAGTAACCCGTGGGGCTGATGTCGACGAGGATGCGTTGCTTTTGACAGAAGTTGACAGCATGTTGGCTCCGCCGCTGGGCAACGACGACAAGGTCCCGCCAGTCTTTGGGACTGATCCTAGAAATCCTGAATTTTGCATCTGAGAACTCTGAACACGGTTCATTGAAGACGAGGATGGTGACCGGTGCAAGTGAATCGATGATGGTCGCGACGGCAGTGACGGAGGCTGCGCTTCCATGAATGATGGTGATGGTGACGATGACAATGATGGCGACTTGAATGGCGAAAAGGACGATGACGGTTGTCGCCGATTGTCCGTTTGGCTCGTCTATTGTGGATAAAGCGGATAACGTGTTAACATACTAAGGCTATTTCTTTTGAGAACAATGCGTCCAAATACTTGTGCTACCGCCTGTCCAAGATATGGCATAAGGTATACACATACCGAGAGTTTGAAGGGTGGGCTTTCCATAATGGGATCGACATAATGTTTGGCCACTGTCGCATGTCCTCCATGAGCGACTGAGAAGGGTGGGGTGCCTGCTACGTTCTGGTTTTCAATAGGCGTAAATAATCCTCCAGGCCCACCGTTGGAGCCTCTCCTGGACATGCGAGTTCCCAATGAAGAAACTGACGACTGCGAAGAAGAATATTCGCCTGAGCGCTGCTGCAGCGACTGAACACTGTTACGACGTGGTCTCGGTGTTTGCACTGGATTAAAGTTTTCCTGGAGTACTCCTGAGCTGTACATCTCGCTGCTGGGCCTCCGTGCAAGTGGTGTTGATGACGGGGGTCTTCTTGTGGGTGCGCTCTATGTTGCCATATACAATTTCATGTCAGTGCGATCAAGAGACCTGAGCTTGTACGTCCCTTCATAACCAGAGAGAAAAAAAGTGGGTGGATAATGCAGACAAGAACGTGTTGACTTACAGACTCTTGAGAATGGGCGACAATAGTTGGTGTAAAATAGTTCTCGTCCATGTCGATGAATCTTGAGCGCTGCATTGTCTCTGACTCATCCACCTGGAACTCGCAATTGCTCCGATATGTCACCTTCAATGAAAAATCCCTGTTTTTGTATGCATGAAATGATCGCACAGGTTAGGGGTGACATTGACCCAGAAGAGAGAGATAGTCACGTCAAGTCACGGGGCATGAACTACACTGCTTGGGCGAAAGCTGCACTTACCCGAGGGGTGTCTCTACTTGACCAAAGCGGTATTCTGAGAGCATGGGCCTGGTCTCGCCCTCGATCAGTGGTACCTCTAGAGTAAAGAAGTCAAGAAACAACAACGCTTACCCTGTCAGCGCCAACTTCCAACAAGTGCGTGTGTGAGCGTAATCACAAACGGCTGCTTGCCAATGTCGTAACACAAGAGGGTTTTGCCAACGAATGACCCACGGTGACACGCCATTAAATTATTGCCCACTTTGACACCACCCAGTCACACAGATGCATGATAGCGTAAAAATAATAACCCTCCCTCCTTTGCCATCCTGCAACACTCCCAAACGTCGTCTCGACCCTTGTTTTTCTTGGTCATCTGTAGGTCCTTACCAATTCCAATTTCAGACTCACGAAACATGCTCTCCTCGGGGCTCTGACCGCGGCTCACACGGAAACCGATCTTGAGCGGATGGTTCTGTTTCTTTAGCTGTCGGTAGAGCTGGTAGGCAGGCAGGAGACGCATGTAGGCAAAGAGGGACCTGAAGAAGATGATGGATTTCTTGTACACGACCGGTGGTTCAGGGACCGGGTCTGGGGGCGTGCTACTGTGGTTGTTGAAATCCAAAACAAGCAGTTGAGAAAGATGATCAGTCCACTTGCAATGAACAAGGCAATATGATGACGGGATGGAGATATAGATAATAGACAGACTGGCGGACAGACAAGGCAAGTCAAGGGTGGTCGATCCAACATCAACAGGAAGAAGGGGTGAGAGGAGAGAGAAGGGTTCAATGATCCCTGCAGGCTCCCTTTTTTTGTTTTCTGTCTCGTCATGCATTACACAAAAAGAACAAAAGAAGAAAAAAAGTCCCGCCCTGTCCGCCTGATCCAGTAGGAGCATATCTGCATGACAATGACAATAACGGCGAAAAAGACAAGGATTTCTTTTTACCTGAGGTTGAGGGACCATGACTCGAGGATGATGTTGCGTTGGGTCCTGCTCTGGCCTAGAGGTGTCGATGCTACTGAATGAAGCCCTGTTCCACTGAGATCGACCCTGTTCTTGCGATTGTTCTCGTCCAACAGCACCAGAACATGGTTCGACGATAATTCGGACGTGTCCAAGAACAGCTCCACCGACATGGTCGGCGGTGATTCCGTGATGGCCATTGCCCTCCAGAACTTTGCATCCTCTTTGTAGATATCCAGATCCTCCAGCTCCAAATTGAACTAATTCCGCCAACAAGGGAGAGGGTGACATTAACGTGAGTATGGGAGATCATATGGAGCGTAAAATGGGTTAGTGTGAAGAGACAGCACGGTAAGAGGCAAGCAAAAAAAAAGCTCTTCGTACCCATCTGCTTGTCTTTTTCACGAGAGGAGCTCCGCGCAGTGAACCTTTCCTGGGCGCGATTCCTGCATGGACATCAGGGTGCGTCACTCTGGCGAGGACGACAATCTGAATGACCTTGACATAAAAGTTCTATAGTGGACAGGATGGCGCAGAGACAAGGCGCATTAGCTTTGAGCGTTGTTTGTTGGCCAACTCTGTCTTCTCGTTGTCTCAAGAGTGAGTCAGGCACAAGGACACAGATAGAGTCAAGGTTATGATAGGCAGCATTTATAACTTGCAGTGTCGCTTATGGTTATTGTTGTCGTGGTAGTACCTGGAGGATCTGGTCAGCCTTTTGGTTTCTCGATGGTGGCGGGGGTTGCTGTTGTTGCTGTTGTTGTTGGTACTGTTGCTGCGGTGGGGCGAGGTTTTGGTGTGAGTACTGCTTGGAGGACGAGGTATTATTGTTGTTGTTTGCAGAAGAGGAAGAGGGAGAAGTAAAGACGGCGGGAGACTCTGGTCGGGAGGAAGGCTGGTAGTATGAGGAGGAGGAGGAGATACTCTGCCGCCTGCTCATTGAATAAGGAGGTGAAGTTGGAGGAGCGAAGGTTGGGTGGGGAAGACACAAAAGAGGAGTTACAAGTGATACAAGTGGAGTAATGAGCAGTGTACAGAGAAGGAGAGGAAGAGTGATACACGAGAATAGGTACAAGAAGGTATAGAGAAGTAAGAAGATTAGATGTAGGAAAAGAATGTGAGTAAGAGATGGGTAGGGGAGAAGGAAAGAGAAGCGAGTGAAGAAGTAGAGAAGAGCTGATTCCAGGAAAGACCATGGAGTGGGGACACACTTTGTAGGTGTCTGTCCGTCTGGTTGGTGAAGTGGACCACTCGGAAGAGAGTCAGGGTGGCACGAACGACGTGATCAAAAGAAAAACAGCCTTTTCTCTACATGCATTCACGATCACACCTTCAATTCGCATTCCTTATTTACATATGCACGTTAGTCCCTTCAAAACACTCTCCACACGTGCATGTTGCTTCTCGCCCCGCAATTGCACGGTACACATGGTGACAAGGAAAACAGTAAACAGATCGGATATAGATTTTCAAATAGTTCTTTATTTCTCTTTTCACAATCATAACTCTTGTCCATGTCCTCGTTCATCGAATTACCTATGAAGCAGTCTTTACAATCAAAACAAAAAGTAATTTGGTTAGGACAAATGCTGTGCCAAAATGGACGATACAAGCGGAAAGGAGGGAGGGAAGGAAAGGAAGGGGAGATGTGAATCCCTGGCACAACCTGACAGCAGACCTGGGTCCCACTCCCTCCGAAGAGGGCGGGTCCCACTCCTGCAAGTTGTTTAAGGGAACCGGGTGTCCTAAAACCCCTCCTTTCTCGAGGAAAGGAGTTCATTCTTATCCGATTGAAAAGTACAAATGCCAGCAGAAAAAGCTCGGCCTTCGTGGGTGCGGATGTGTTTGTGTGTGTAGGAGAGAGTGGATGGGAAAGACATCATGGATGAATATGAACATGGGATTATTACCTTTTGTCAATGTTTACAATAACACGTTGTGAGATGGTGGATTGGGTAAGAGGAAGGGGAAAAGGAAAAGGGAAAGGATTGGAAGGAATAAGGAAGTGTGAAAGAAGGAAGAAGAAGGATCGAAAATTTTTCGCATTTTAATAGGTTCAGCGACTAAGCCACTCTTACACCCTTCGCGCCACGAAAATGAAAAAAAAGTTGTCTGACAAGAGAAAAGAAGGCGCCAGAAAAAAGAGGTCTGAGTTGATCACTTCTTTTTTCTCTTGTCTTTTGTATTTCTAATCACCAACCACAACCACCGATCACCACCATGGCAGAACGCAACGACCCCACCGATCTCGGACTCGCAGACTCCATCGACAACGCTGCCCTCTTCGACAAGAAGGAGCACCACAATGCAACTACCCCCGCTGACGGACCTCTCTTCCAAGACATTGACGGCGACCAGCAAGTCACCGAGATTGAATCCCTCTGCATGAACTGCCACGAGAACGTACGTCGTCCCTTCTCGTTATTTCACTGTTGAGACCTCTCAAAGTTTCTTGTGTTTACTTGCACAGAATAAAACGACAAGCAGGAGCTCAGTACCAACTAACATGCGACATGGATCCAACATGACATTTATAGGGCACTACTCGCCTGCTGTTGACCCGTGTGCCACACTTTCGTGAGGTCATCTTGATGGCTTTTGACTGCCCCCACTGCGGACACCGCACGAGCGAACTCCAGCAGGCCAACGCCATCGCCATTGGAGGCGCCATCTACACCTGCCAGATCTCCAACAAGGCCGATCTCAACCGTCAGATCGTCAAGACCGATACCGCCACTGTCAAGATCCCCGAGGTTGACTTTGAGATCCCTGCGCAGCGCGGACAGTTGACCACCATCGAGGGTCTCTTGTCCAATGTCGTTGATGACCTTGAGAGTGACCAGCCTGTCCGTAAGGTAATAGTTCGTGCTGTTTTGGCTGATGATTTTTAGCTCCAGATTATTTGGCACTTCTGTTTCTGCGTCAGTGTGACATGCGACTTGAATGGACTTTTGAGTCGCAAAAACATGAAGACATAAGGACAGGGACACACACTCATGAGAAAGGGAACAGGAGAAAGGAAAAGCAGCACAGGGAATGGAATGTTGAGGAAGGAAAGAGGTGACTCACTAAGAGGCAGCGCCGCAGTCGCAGTTCTGTTTCGACCTATTGGTGGCGCTGCCTCGTTTTTGGTCCAAAGATTCATCCGATATCTCCATCCCAATTAAGACCGCCACTAACGTCTCCTACCTTTCTGCGCCGCATGATTTGTCTATAAAATAGCACTTGGATGAGGCCTTATACCTTCAGATCAAACACATTATCGAAAAGCTTCAGGACTGCATTGACGGCAAGACCCCTTTCACAGTAGTCTTGGACGACCCCGCAGGAAACTCTTATATCGAATCATTGGACGCCCCCAACCTGGACGCCAAACTGGATCTCTCTGTCTATATGCGCACTCGCGCCCAAGAGCGCGATATGGGTCTCTCTGTTCCCGAGGAGGAGGAAGGAGAGGTCGCTGAGGAGGTTGTTACCGTCCCCATGCCCAAGGATCAGCAGGCTGAGCACGCGAAGCAGCAGCACTGGGAGGCTGGCTTGACCGCTGCCGATAAGACCGTCGCCACTGAGGAGAAGAACGAAGAGACCAAGGATCAGGAGGACAAGAAAGCCGAGTCTGACTCTGAATCTGACGAGGAGGACGATGGCGTTCTCCCTGATGTGTTGTCGTTCCCCGCCAACTGCTCCTCCTGCAACGCTCCCAGTGATACTAAGATGCATATTCTGGACATTCCCCACTTCAAAGAGGTGATCATTATGTCGACCACATGCGACGAGTGCGGATACAAGAGTAACGAGGTCAAGGCTGGAGGACCTGTCAGCGAGTTTGGAAAGCGCATCATCCTCAAGATCGAGGATACCGAAGACATGAGCCGCGACATCCTTAAGGTAAACCATTTGTCAATTATTATCATTTGTTAAAGGTTGTTTTATCATCCTCCTGTTTGTCCACGGCACAAAACTAATCAGTAATTACTTTTCATTTTGCATATTAGTCGGAGACGTGTGGATTGTCGATCCCCGAGATTGATTTGGAGCTGAACTCTGGAACATTGGGCGGACGATTCACAACCGTGGAGGGATTGTTGCGCCAAGTGCATGACGAGCTCTCGAGCAAGGTGCCCGGCGAATCGGAGAACGAGCCCGAGCGTCGCCGTGTGTTTACAAAGTTCTTGGACAAGCTGGAGCAGGTCATGTCGCTCCAGATCAAGTCCACGTTGATCTTGGACGACCCTCTCGGCAACTCTTACCTCCAGAGCTTGTATGCCCCTGAGCCCGATCCCGCTATGACCATTGAGGAGTACCACCGCACGTTTGAGCAGAACGAGGGTCTGGGATTGAACGATATGCGTTTGGAGAACTATGAGGGTATTGTGGATGAGGAGCGCCATGCTGATCATTCTGAGGCTGAGAAGGAGCATGAAGAGTTGACGGAGGAGCAGAAGGAGGCTGAGGAAATCTCGGGAGATGGTGTCTCTGGCGGCCATTAAATACAGTATGTTAGATACAGTATGTACGCGTCAAATAGAAACAAGAAAACAAAACATCGAAATGTCTGCTGTGTTGTTCTTTTTGATGATGGCGGTCCTCTCCTTTTCATACGATGGAAAATCCGGGGCTGTCACCAGCAGAGTTTGAAGAGGTAACACATCGCTTACTATGTCATCGCCACCACTGGCAAACAATGAAAGGCGGGATTTCGTAGACCAATCTCTGGATTGCTCTAAAAGACGTATTTACTAATCTTGAGAATCTTGTATCCAGTTACTCCTATCCCTACCCACAGAGCGGTGAAACCCAGTCTGTGAGAAGGAAGCCACCTTTTCTTCTTTTTTTTTTGGTAATTGAAACGCGTTTGTATATATATTTTTTTGTCGAATGTCACGCATAGAAACTTGTTTATTATCTTTTATTCGATTGACCTTTCATGAATGATCGCGACGCTGTTTAGAAAGCTCCTCGCGTCCATTAGACCTTTTTCGCGTTTTCTTCTTCGCCTTTATCAATGACCAATATAATAGAACTGTCTTTTGTGAAGAAAGAAAAAATGAAAGTGTGGCACCTATTTGTTGTGCTATGGAGGAAATGAAGAGACTGACATATTCCATTTGACGGCACTGAAAAAAAAAATTGTTTTGCTTATCCACACATCTCTTCGACTGGAAAAAAAAGTGCGATTGAGAAATTGGGCATCCTATTTTTTTCCCGCTGTCCTCACTTCTCTCTCGCAAAAAAAAAGTGTAAGGGACAGATAGGCGATATTATACCAGTCTTAGTTCTCCTATCGCTTGCCATTTTTCTCCTTGTCTATCCTCCACCGACCACTCATCTAACCCTATCCGAAAACATCCGGCGGGTAAAATCAAGCAGAATTTCTTACATTTTCGCCGAGAAAAAAAAAATGTGCCCTAGATATTTTTTCACACCTCCAAAACCGCGAATCTTACATTCATTTAGATACGGTGCAACCAAGGTCCGAGGTCCGAGTGACGGAAGATTTAAAGCAGGGGAAGGTGAGGAAGGAGGGAAAGGAGGGAGGATAAAAGGTCGGACCTATTAGAGATAATGCCGATGAACAAGCCCTGGCCGTTTTGATGTGGTGCGCTTTGCAGTGTGCACTGTAGAGTGCCTGCACCTACTGTGTGTGGGGCGAAAGATGTGTCAAAAAGTAAGTTTCAACTCAAAAGCAAATGTATCGTAGGCGATCTCTCTTCACGATCACGATAAGAAAGAAGAATCACCTATGAGTAAATTATATCATCTGGAGGAAAGAGGGGAAAGAAGGTAGGAAAGAGGATAAAAATCCACCCCGCAAAATACCTTTTGTTGTTCACAATGGGCCAACACTATTTTTCTCCTCCCTCCTCAACCCTCGGGAAAATACGCGATCTTCAAAAATTTCATGACTGAGGGACAGCCAGCATTTCACAAACAAATACCTTGTGCAATTGCAAACAAATAAACAAAGCATGACATTCGCGAAGAGAGCATTGTTGGATTAGAGTTGGAAGAAAGGAGGAGAAGCATAAGGAAGGAGAGGTGTGGGTCACTGTTTGTCACCAAAAGGGGAGTAGCACGACCGGACTCCTTGGATCCAATTTTTTCTGCATGGCAAAGGAAACGAGATGAATACCAAGCGAGCTAGGCAGACCGGCAAAAATAAGGCGAGCTGCAGGAGGAGAGCCAACGTTTGAACGAGTAAACAAAGAATCACCAACAACAACCCGTTTTTTGTGTTCAAGGGCCGTGGCGTTTGCATATGCATTCTCTGTATACAGTATTGACGAACAAAAAGCAAACGGATAATGTGGAGGTTGTATCGATATTCCACACACACTGACCCCGTGCATTGCGCCCACATACCATTACTTTGCTGCTTAATGAGATGTATACCATAGAAACTACATTATCTTCTACTTGTTCTTTCTCCAGCATATCATGGGCTCGGTCTTGTTAAGGTATGGATCCATGATCCTCCTTATATCAGCACCACAAGGAGGAACAGTATCCTGTGCCCAACACACGACCTGTCGAAGAAAAGAAAAAAAAATGGATCCAACCTTGCATCAACACACTCGTAAATCCCAGGAGGGAGAAAGAGAAGAAAAGCAACAGATTTACTAGCTGTCCATCGTAAACGCTTTTCTTCCTGTGTTCTTACCACTTCGTTAGTACGATCAGCGTACATTACTTGCCCCATCGCGTGAAAAAACCCCCCGAGCAGGGCAAGGGTAGAGAAAAAGTAAGGAGTCGAGTAGAAAAAGAAGAGGGGATGGAGAGTGGCCAGGCGGGTTTGGGCTTTTGGAGGATATCTTTTGTTGTTCAAATAGAACGATGGGAAGTGTGGGTCGTGAAGGAGAAGATCGGATTTGATTTTTTAACAGTAAGAAAAAAATACACAACTCAGGGACAAGGGATTATAGTTTTCTATGCTTTGCTTTTTCCCCCTTTACTTTACCACGGTGTCTCGGTCTATCTTACTCAGTCGCTTAGAGTAATCTCGGAAGAACAAGGGACACGCTTGCTGACCTTTTTGATCGAGTGCTCAACGTGGGGGAGATGACGAGAAGAGAGATGGGAATGGCATGGTAGGGGAACGAAGGAGTTTCAAAAGACATCATCGAGAGAAAAAAAAGAAAAAAAAGAAGAAAAAAAAAAGCTCATCGTTTTGTTGGTGTCGTTGGCTCCCCTCCAGTCATTCATCAGAACCTTACGCACACGCACGCGGAAACTGAACAAGCTCTTGGGAAAACACTTAGCACACCAGTTGGTTATCGTCCACCCTTCGGGGCTATCGAGAAAACAACGAAACGAACTGTATTGACAAGAATAACAAGATGGGATAAAGAGGAAGGGAACTGATCAAGGCAACACACAAACCATGAAATTGGCCCACCCACACCCCCGCACTCCCTCGTATCTCTGGCTCATTCTCTGTCGAATTCTTTTCATATCCAAACATATGTTTAAGGGAAGGTTATTTTCGCGGAGAAAGTAACGTTACTCTGGTACCGTATCGCAAGTCCATTTGGCGCTCCCAATGTCACCTCTTGTCAGAACGCGGGAGAAAATTTAACAAGGAAGGGATGGGCGGTATGGGAACTGGGCGCAATCGCCTGTTGTCAATAATCAATTCAATTGCGATCAAAAGTTGTACCTGGAAAGAACATTAAAGAGGAACGGAGCGTGGGAGAAGGGCGTGCATTTCAATCGTGAAGAATAGGATGCACAAAAGAAACGAGTCAACAAGAAAAAAATTGAATGAAGCAGCGCAGCAGCGAACACAACACTACCTCGGCGAAATCCTTTACCAACACAAACAAACTCAAGGTTCGTACTCGCTCGCTCGCTTTGCATTCTATCACCAATTTCTGCTCCCTCTTTTCCTCTTTCTTCAAAGGGAGTAGTCTCGACATACGGGGAGGGTGTGGAAAAAAGGATATCGGGCTTGAGCGTGTGCACACGCTCAATCGCATCAATTGAAGGAGATGCACGAGCGCGGTCCGGCTTCCGGAAAATAAAAAGGGGGAGAAGAAAAAGAAAGAAAAATCTCCTCTAGCGCTGTTCGTTCGGTCAAGAAAGGGAAATGAATAAATAAGGCCAAGGAGGGCCGAGGAAAAAGAAAACATGCCGATGTGCGAATTAGGAGTGTGTCCAAGACGCAGGGGTGTTCAGGGCAACATATGACTCTTGCTCTATGTGGGGGAGGGGCAAGAGGGACGAGGATGTGTAACAAAAGACTGGTTGTGCGCGTGTCTCTTTGTCCTTGTTCCCTTACCCACCATCCCCACTTTTTTTTTTCTTTCGACACTTTAACCATGTATGGCCGCTCCATTTGTGCTGGATGCACTCATCCATCAAGACAGACACTCATTGATACCCGGGTTTAAGCCCTCTCTTGGCTAGTCAAGGAGAATGAAATCAAAAAGGTAAAATGGAGAATAAAGGGATGCATACGAAAGATGTGGCGGGAAAACATTTTCCTTATTACCCGTGAACGAAGAAAGGTCCATCCCAAAAGAGTCATCACTTGTCGTTATTGTTTATTTTGTTCTGGTCCTTTCTTTATGCTTCTTTTTTTTCCTTTCGCCCAACGATACATAGACTTTTGTTTTATGCAAAAAAATTCCAAGCTCTTTTTCCTTTAGCAAAAATAGGTGTGACCCTAGCAAAGAAAAGAAAGCGCCATTTCTTGATGGATGTGTTTGTGTGTGTTCAGCACCAATTGGCTTGCCACGAATAAAGAAGGGGGGCCTTGGGAGGGGATAGACGGCTGACAAATGTGAAGATGTGTAAAAAAAACAAAAGCGATTGAATTTTTTTCGCTCCCCGAAGAAATGACATCCCCCTCTCCTTCTCTCCTTCACCATTCGAACCCTCCCCATCTGTCCAGAAAGGGAAACGATTCCCTCTTTTATTTCTTCCATCCAGCTAGATGGCGCCGAGGAATTGGGTTCGTTGAACCCATCCCATGGGTCAACTCTAACAACCTCACTCACCCACTCCGTTAGTCAGTCACTTCAAATAAGTCAAGGGTCACACTTTCACAATCTGCTCGTCAAAAGAAACTTAAAGCCATTTGACACACACTCACTCAAGCTTAGTGCCGCAGTCCAGCTCGCAGAAGTACAATGACACCCTCTTCCTATCCATCTCTCCGATTTCTACAAAAAAAAAAAAAAAAAGGCTGCGCAGATCGTGTGTGGGCGGGCGTGGAAGGGGCAAAGAAGAGTGTCAAGTCCTGACTCTTCTGTTGGACAAGAGCACGTCAAACGAAAAAAAAAAAAAAAAAAAAAAAAAAGAAAACAAGTGTAACAAACAGTTGCGACCGATCTATTTTGACGTGTTTTTTTCCCTAGAAAAAACGGGGATTGAACAACGAGGTAAGCATCCACGAGGGATCGTTGCCCTCTTTTTTTCGACTTTTCCCCATGAGCGGAACTCGAACAACACAGGCGCCTCACTCAGTTCACTCACTACTCTCATTTGTATCAACTGGAGACAAAAATCACTAGCGTTTCTCGGATAGTCAGGACTCCTTTTGTTCACAGAACGATAAAAGGGTACAAAAACATCCTGCACATAAGAGGCAATCCACGGTGCGCGGGGAAAGAAAAATAAATAGAAAAAGGTGTCATGCATCCGAACGAGAGAGTTTTTCTTTTTGGCGGTCCTGTCGGGGGTCGGGCCAATTGGAGAGGTACCGACTGAGCTACTTCTTTCTCAGTCAGTTAGGGCGGAGGTTGGTTAAATGGATGGAGTCAAGGAGCAAAAAAAAAGGCAGCATGCCATTCAAGGGAAAATTGAGACTCTCCGTTTGGCTTTTCATTGGCGCCCATCCCAGCAAGGTTTTCTTTTTGTATTTTCGTTGCCTCTCTGGGCAGGTTACAATGTGACTTTCTGCGCAGAGGAAGAAGAAATAGATACAAAGGGTATTTATTCTTTTTTTGGAACTTTGGGGCAGGAAAGAGATAATGATACATTCAAGGTCACAGCCGGTGGAGGAGAGAGAGAGAGGAACGGTTGCCGGCGAGTGTGCAAGCTTAATGCGTTAGTGGAGGTTCTCTACTTCTCTCAATCTATCTCAAGGGGCTGGTGATAATCAGATTGTCAGACTGACTCTTGAACAAGCATATCAGGGTTCATATCAAGAATCTCCATTTCCTTCTACCCTACTACTTCCACTACGGTCAGTTCAATTGAGGTGTTTTAAAGGCAAGGTTCCCTTCACGAGTCCCTTATAGTTCGTTTTTGTGCCTACAAGCTGGGGATGAAGATCCCCCTTCCCGTGTCGGTTTTGTGTTCATGGCGCCAACTGGAAAGGGGAAATGGAGTCCTCATGAATTTTGTTTTGATTATTAATCCGGGGTGTCATAGCAGGGTGTCATAATAAAGAGAAGCGGGGAAAAGGGTGTCATTTTCAACATGTGCCGAACATAAATCAATTTTAACAAACGAAAGAGGTGAAGAGGGGTGTCATCGAAGGTGTCATTTGGCATATCTGCTCAGTTGAAAAAAAAAGCTATAGCTATTCCTCAATTGAACGAAAAGAAAGAAAAAGGGTGTCATAGGGGGATAATGAAAGGGTGAAGGAGAACCCTCTTTGGCATAATTGTACCATTGTACCGAAGAGGACGGGAAAAGGCTACGCGATTTGCTGAGATGGATGTGTCACTTCAAGAGAATCACTCCCTCCACACGCAATAGTGTATCAACAAATAACGAAAATCCTAACAAACAAAACAACATCAGTAAAGACGATACGCCCCAGCGCAGTAGACGGTGTTACGTTGTTGATTGAAATGATGCTTGCCTTGGATGAAATATCGTTTACACATCTATCCCCCTACGCACGCCTCCAATGCTTCTTTTCTAAGAAAAAGCGCACCGTCACCTTTCTCCTTTTTTTTAGTTCTTTGTGTTCTTACACTTGTCATAACTGACAATGTCGCAGGCAAGGAACGAAGGATGGTTGGTTATCTCTGTTACATGGCCCTTTTGTAATACTGTAACAACGAGGAACAAGAGAGCATGTACAACGACGAGAGGAAGATCAGGAGTTCATCGTTGTGTTTGTGAAAGGACAGAGAGTAAGAAAATACAGGAACAAGGAGGTAGACAGGACTGACTGTGAGAAAAAAAGAAGAGAAAATGCGATCTACCATACAGAGAGATGGCATGGGAAAGACAGAGAAACATAGTGTGCGGGGCTGAGTCCGTTGCAGTTTGCAGTTTGTTCTATGTGGGCCAGGCGGCCAAAGGCAAAACGCATTTAGCTACACTAGAGTGTGACAATGGGGGTGTATTCAGATATTAATAATTGAAGAGGGAGGAAAGGATGGCATCAAAGTGAACAGAAATGAGAAGCGAGAGGTATGTGTATTTGTCAGTGTGAGGTGTTGTCAATTGACACTTTTTTGCTTTGTTTCGCTTTGACCTTGTGTGGGAGTGAGCGTGGTGTTGGTATTAAGAGCAAATGACCAGTCGTACAGTGTGGTCTAATGAAAGAACAGGGTGTCATCGATAGATGTGCGCCGCGCTGATTCATTGCCTTTTCTGTTTTGAATTGGATGAAATAGGGGACGGCGATTGAATGGAAGTGAGTACTGTTCATCGGGGAATAACAATATATTCTTGAACTTACACGATTGGCGCATGGCTGCAAGAACCTTTCCTGTTTGTGGTTGTATACATTTTTACACGACTGTGCAATTCGAAGCATATACACAAAGGATGACTCGAAAACCTTGTTATTCTTGCTATAGTCTTCGCTGTTGCTGTTTGTGCTGCTCTCGTCAATGACACCCTTTTTTCTTGTGCTGTTGTTTTTCGTTGTTGCATTCAATGGAGCTGAAATTCTGTTTCTTTCCTTTGTGTGCTTATTTGTTTATTTGTCTATCTATCTATCCACAACACCCTTTTCTTTGTTTGCTTGCCTTGTTTGTAAGTATGCTGTAAGATGTGAGTGTGTATTGACTGAATGAGTGTATGTATTTGTCCAGGGTGAATACCATCCCTTGTTTTCTTCGCAGGCAAACAAAAAGTCGTATAAAATCAGATCCCTTCGCCCACTTCTCCTTTCCAAAAGACAAAAGAGCGAATTATCCATTGTCACATCTCTCATTCATATCGATAGCAAAATCATACTCTGCATACAACCAGCCAACCACCAGCAATAACAGCCATACATTCACACATACAAACATTCGCACACACACAATCAGCATCCATTTACACACAAAAAAAACATAAAAAATAGCAACAACCACTCCATCACTAAACCACCAATACCCTCTAAAAAAAGAGAAATATCAACAGCCAAAATCCCTTGCTTTCCTTAGTTCCACATCTTTTCACGACCTTTTTTTTCAAACCCACGCATCCCTCGTTCTCGCAAACAGGTAAATATCATCTTCTCTCGCCCATCTCTTCTTCAGTCCCTCACTAAGTAACCACATAATAATGCAACTCCCAAACCCGGAACATTCATCGCTCACCACCCTTTTTCACTTTTGTTGTTCATAGACCCATTTCTTCGTCACACCTACCCTTTTCCCCACTTTCAACTACAACACCACCTCACCAACAATGACTGCAACCATGAAGATCGAGCTCAAGGACGACTTTATTGTCCTTCCTCACCCCGCATCCATGCAGTCTGAGACTCCCTCCGTCCCAGGCTCCCCCTTGACCGCTACCATGAGCATGGCTTCGCCCAGCCGCACCATGTCCTTTGGTGGCGCATCCTTTGCCTCAACCCTCCCTTCTTCCACCACCTCCGCTCGCTCCTCCTTTGATCTTGAGCAAACCTCTTCTGCCCCCATTTCCATTTCGCCCGGCACTACCCTCCTCAAGGGCAACCTGGTCTTGACCCTCTCCAAGCCCACCAAAGTCGCCTCGCTGGCCATTTCTCTTAATGGCTCCACCCACATTGCCTTCCTCGGACCCGGCAAGCGCGCCCACTCTTCTCGCCACTTCTTCCGCACCCAGCAATTCCTGATCGAGCCCCGCGCCAACTCTGAGATTTACACTCAGCTGCCCAAGGACACCATCTCCTACCCCTTTGCGATCGAGCTCCCCAACAGCTTGCCTTCGTCTGTGTCGACCCCTCACGGCGGCACTGTCTACCGCATGACTGCAGTCTTGTCCATTGCCAAGAGCTCCAGCATCATGTCGTTCTTGTCCAACGGTACCACCGTTGTGACCTCAGCCTCTGTTCAGCTGTACCGTGCTCCTCGTATCTTTGAGACTGAAACTGACGGCGATGAACAAGAATTGGAATGTGGGGCCGAGTTTGCCGGCGTTGACGGTGTGACCGAGACGGACCATCCCGAGACTGTTGACGCGAACGATCACGAGATTGTTCCTGCAACGGTCAAGCATACCTGGGCTGGCCAGGTTGAGGCCACTGTTGCCATCCCCTTCACCCGCCTTCCTCCTCAGGCCAAGCCCGATCTGCACATCCGCGTCCGTGTCTTGCGTGGGGGTTTGAACATCAAGTCGTTGCAAGCTGCTATTTGGGAGCGAGCCATTTTCCGAGTTCAGAAGGCTGGCTCCCCTCCTGGCAGCAAGAAGTACATTATGGGCGTCCGTGAACGCGCTGTCTGCGCCCAACGATGTGACTCTGGGTGGCAGAACGAGTCGATTACAGGACAGGTCCCTCACACTTTCGAGAAAATAGTTATCTTCTCGATCCCGGCCGCCGCTCGAACCAACAAGGAGCTGTACTCTTCTCGCAGCTGCAACCCTTCGACTTACTCCAACCTGGCCAACCGCATGAAGAACGAACGCTTCTACCACTACAACCCCCAGCGTGGTCAGCACTCCAAGAAGGAAATGGAGATTGATGATTCCGAGTTTGGCGAGATATCCGTCGAGATCCAGCACTTTATCCGCTATTCGCTCTTTGTGACAGGATCGGTCGACCAGACAGGAAAGACCGTCCCCACTCCTGTCGAGCGCGTTCTCGGATCGGTTCCCGTAATCGTCTTGGGAGTTCCCTCAGGACCCCAGTGTGACCTTACCGGACTTCCGACCTACTTGTACTCGTTCTCGACCTCGCGTGTCTCGTTCGAGGAGGCTCTTGATTACGAGCTCGAGGCTGCGGCCGCTGTAGGAGCTGGAGGGAACGAGTTTGGGGAGGACTTTGATGGATCTCGTGTCGGTCCTCTCTACGGCGCCTATGAGGATGACGACGCCTTTATGTCTATGATGGGCCTCCGCGGCAGTCGAACTCCTCCTAGTTACGAGGACACTATCGGTCGCCCTTCGCTGGATGCCTCAGTCTTGGAGATGCAGGAGCATCGCTTATTAGGATCGTCATCCTCTCGTACGGCCGACAACTCAGGAGTGCCACCCTATAGCGTCCTTGGTCTTACTCGCTAAACTGGATCCGCATATCGACTACCGTCACCCCTCCCCTCCTCCTCTCCTGGTTTGGATCTTAATTGACCCAACGCCTCCCTCCCTCCCCCCTCCTTTCCGAACAACCCTTCAACGGGTCAATCGGCGGAGGCAGGAGGAAGAAGCGAAATCAAGGAATCAAAAAACACACCCTTCGACAACCATCGATCAGTCCGAACTCCTCCCCGCTGACCTGGATCCAACTCATGCTCAGGAAAAGAGATGAACCCCACTTTTTTTCTTTTCTTTTTATGTGTTCTTTTCCAACTCCATTTGTTCGCCGTCCATCTGTCCATGTTTTTTTTATTCCACCTCATTTTTTTCGCTATCAATTCTTTCACACCTCTTCTTACTCATATTTTACTTTTCCTTCCATCTCGCCCCCGGAGATTTTATCTTCTTTGTTTGTCGATAACCGTATGCCGCTCGGACAACTTTCTTTTTTTTCTTCCGGCTTACGTTTATTGTCACACTTACAGACCACTCTCCTCCTCGTTTGTGTTTGTTATCCATCCTTATCCATCCCAATCCGGCGACGTATCTCACTCTTTTTTTTCCATCGACGCCTTCTAGTCTGGATCGTAGATATGCCATTTGGGATACTTTATTCATGGATCTCACATACAAACCCAATCCCTTCCCCCTTGTCTTCTTGATATTTATCATTTCAATCAGTCCGTCCCGCCCGTCGCGTTAGCACCACTATCCTTTCTTCATGTACACGCCTTTTCACGCCATCGTCACACCCCCACCCCCCCGCTATCGCTTCAGGTACAATCTGATGAAAACTATTTTTGTCTTCAAGATCTACCTCCCTTTCCCCCAACGAGGATCGACGCTTCAATGCAGTCGTCTTAGTTTAGAGAACTAGACAATCCAGCCTGATAGTTTTCTTGAATACAATACAATACCACTTTATTCTCGTTTCTGTTACCTTATGCGACTTGCAGTTTGGGGAAGGCCTTAACAATAGGCGCCTCGGTGACGTAGACCCAATTTTTGAACGCGTTAGTTGAGTGACTGCGTTCTCTCTCTCTCTCTCTCGTTGAACGAAGGACGCGCATCCCTTGAGACGTACGCATGCCAACCTGAACACACGCTTCTTCTTCTTTCAGCTCTCGACTCTTTCTTTTCAACTACGACAACTCGCCCGCCACCAAAACCAGCAACTAAAACTCACCAACGCATCAACACCTCAGAACTCTACACAATGGTAATACACGCGCAGCCAGGCTGGAAGTCAAGGAGGAGGAGCTCTCTGTGCCATTCACACATTAACTGCCACTGAGTGCATGACTGGACACATTCAGGTTTCGCAGCTGAACTTGCAGGAACGCTGAGCAGGACAAGGATGTTACAAGACAAAGCCATGAGCGTACGCCCAGCCAACGCACATGTCGCCTTCTTTCTCGGGGCATACAATAACCCAGGGCTTACCCAACCCTACCACCCATCACCAACATCTGAATGAACAACGAGGGAAAAAAAGCCAACACAACTTAACCAACACCTAACACCGACACTCGCCTAACCAAGCGCCTGCGATCTTTCAATGCATCATCCTTCAATAGTCCCTGCGTCTCGCCCCTTCAAGCAAAGCATCGTCGGCCAGCTCGGCCTCGGTCCTGGACACGTCCAACTCGTACGGTCTCCACGACACCATGCGTTTCGGTATGCGCCAAATCGCCTCTGAGGTTTCTTCTAAGCACCCCCTCGAGAACCGTCTCGCCGAGGTAACTTTTTCTTGTTTATGGTGCTTTCTCTGCTGCCTTCATAGGGATGAATACGGGCCATCATTCATATAGGCCCACTCTTTCGTGTGTCTGCCTACTAACATTATTCCTAACTTATCTTACTTTCTTAACGTACAAAACACAATAGTGGGAGAACACACAAATGGAGCTGAAGATGAACATGGCGAGGAACATGTACGGAATGCATGCGCCCATCAAGGTGGCCATGGAACGGTCGCTCGTCGTCCAGGCCAGAGGCCCCTCCATGCTCCCTCAGCGCTCAAATCTTGGTTTGGATATCTTGGCCGGCAAGGATGAGTCTATCGACTTTGAGGATTTCTTGAACGGTATGCAAAATCTTTTTTTGCCCTTTTTTGTGTTCACTTTTCTTTGGGAGGGCTATGGGGCGAGGCAGTAGTGGATTGACATACTGAGCATATCAGGATAGGGAACACAATTGATCGACGACTGAACTCTGAAACTGGAAAGAGGGGTGTGTTCCATTCAGGATACGGGGAGACCATTTGGGAGTGGTTGGCGAAGAAAAATTGAGATTTGGAGTTATTATTGTCAGGGAAGGTTCATGCAAGACTTTCAACGGAATTGTCCTGGAAGAATTAGAGATCAGGAACGCGCCTGGGAGCGAGATGTAGACGACGACTAGCAGGTGTACATGTTTTCACTGATCGCTGCCTAACATACTCTTATCCTTGCCTCAACTGGTGTTACCTAGTTCCCGAGTTGTCGACGGATATGGTTGATGTTCATGTTGTCATGGAGCGCCAGCTCGGTATCCGCGCATAAACGTGACTGAACAGGAGTATTGGAACAACATCAAGTAAATATCAAACACAGGAACCAAAAAAATAGGAGATCTTGATTTAGGACAAAACTGCGCGGGGGACAGTCGAACTCGTTCGTATCAACAATGCGCAATAAATATGGCGAGAAAGGGTCCTTGTCGTTTCAAGATCATAGAAAAAAAGTCGCACATGGGGTTCTGACATTATCGACTGAGCTTTTATTATGCCATTACTGGGGGGGTTTTTTGGAATGGGGGAGAGGTGAACGTTTGTTATTGTTCATATACTTTTTCATACTATTAGTGGGAGAGGGTGATCAATATTTTAGGACTATATGGTATCTTTTTGTTGTGGGGCAAAAGAGAAAGACAAACAAGAGATGGAAAGGGGAGTAGTAGCGTCTCCCTAGACGGCAGCGGCAGCAGCAGCCAACTCATTCTGGTACCTCTTTGACGCCTGTGTCGGCAGCACAGGGCAAGTACCGCGCTCAGGTGGAGGAGAAATAAAGTTGACAATCGGTCTATAAGCGGCGGCCTTGATGGTATCCTTATGCAACATGGATTCAGGCAAGTACCCAAAGACAATGGTTCTCAACAAACGTTCATGCCAAGTCTGACCGTAGATGACCTTTGCCATAGTCTTGGAGAGGTCGAATTGGTGCTTGACGTGAGGGTAGCGTTGGGCTTTGAAGTCTTTGAATGCTAGGTCGATGTTTTCACTGGATGCGTTGAGGGCAATTTCGTAGAGGCAGTTTGCGAGGATGACTGCGTCTTGCATGGCGTTGACTGCTCCTTGGCCAGCACTTGGGAGCATCTATTTTCCATGGTTTATGGAGGTTGGGAGGATAGATTTGGTGGTTTTTGGCCATTTAGTGGTGGCGCTCTTTTTTTTTTTGTCCTCAGGAAACGCGGGGGCACCAGACAAACTGGGTGAAAGGAATCAAGGTTACGAATTGTTGTCGTTGTCGGGTCTCCACTTCAATTTCCCTTTCCCGACAGGTACCTTTGTCTCACCTTAACAACAATTATTCCCACCAACACCTCACACACGAAAAAAACCCACCCCCGATCCAAAAGTACATACCTTATGAGCAGCATCACCAATAAGGATAACCCTAGAATGATGCCAAGTCTCAAACATCTTCTCCTCCAAGAAAACACGCGAGATCTTCTCCCTGGGGGTCTTGTCGATAAACTGGCCCAAGGGTCCGTTAGGTGTCGGGAAGTCTTGGATTTCCTTGATCATGGTCTCGTTGAATTCAGGGCCCCATTCGGTGTTCCTGAAGGACATGTCGTCGGCCTCGCTGGTGGAGAGCTGCATCTGGACGCCCCAGCAGATTCTCTTGCCGGGAACTGTGAATGTGCTCCACTGTTTTGGGTTTTTGAGGAGATGGAGAGGAAGAAAGATGGAGTGGAAGTTGAGTAAGGGAAATTTTGATGCGTTTGTTTACATCCTCTACGGCGACAGCAATAACTGCATTGAAACACATGGGCAACACAAAGCAAACAAACAAAACAAAACAAAAAGAGAAAGAGAAAGAGAAAGAGAAAAAAGAAAAGCTTACGGTGTAGGGTTTGCCCTTTCCAATGATAAAGTTAAACCTGGTAAAATCATCCTTCAACTCCTCATACGCATCGTCCTCCAACGGTTCCGTAGTGCCAACCATAGTCATATATCCAATCTTCAACCCCTGGGTGTCCTTAAACGGCAACTCCTTTTTCTCATTCAACTGGCGATACAGCGACTGGCGAACAGCAGAGTAAGCACCATCGGCACCGATAAGGATATCTCCAAGGTAGGAGCTGTTGTCTGAGCATTGGACCATGACGCCTCCCTCGGCGGGGTACTTGATTTGGAGGACCTTTTTCCCGAATTGGATCTTGTTGGGTGGGAGTTTTGAGAGGAGGAGGTCGTAGAGTTGGGGACGGGAGAAGACAATGTAGTCGTATCCCACTCTGTTTTGTTTTGGTGATTGTCCGATCGAGAAATGGAGTAGAGAGAGAGGAAAGGGGAATGCATGTTAGAATCACGATGCGAATTAACCGGTATGGTGCAAATGTCCGTTAACATTCAAACTCCGTTTCAAGACGAAAGGAAAACGAGAGCTGAGCAAAAGGAAAACGAGAGCTGAGCAAAAAAGAAAAAGAAGAAAACAAAGAATGGAAAAAAAGAAATGACGGCAATAATATCAACAACAATCAAGCAAAAAGAGTTGAGAGAGGGGACCTACGTTTCTTTGATGCCGTCGTTGCCACGGTAAGCCATCTTCTTCATGTTCTCGCCATACACGTGCATTCCAGGGCTGGTGAAACTGATGGCCATGAGCTCATCCAAAAGACCCAATTGCTCAAACACGGGCAGGATGTTGACATTCTATTAGAAGAATGTGTTCCAGAGAATAAGTTAGAAAGAGGGGGAAGGGGAGAAGAGCGGGTGTGAGCAAAAGAAGAAGGGGAGCAGGTGTCGATTGTGCATGTAATCTTAATTGAGTCGAGGGATAGACACGCCGTACCAGAGACATGACAGCACCTATTCAAGGACGAGGAATATCGAGATTGCAGCAAAGATGAGTACAAAGAGGTCATCTTTCTGTTGCATGGTGTGTGGAGTAGAAGTATGTACTCTCATTGTACGACAAAACAAAATAAGCATGAAGGAAAGAGAGTGAATTAAGATCATACCGAGCTGTTTCACAGAGGGTGCACGCTCAAAGATGTCGTAGGGGATGCCGGCACGGTCAAGGAGGATACCGAGAAAGACGCCTGCGATACCACCGCCGACGATAATGCAGCGGGGTGGCGATTGGGGGGTGTATGCTTCTTCAGCCATGGTTGTTGTCCTTGTTGGAATGGGGGAAGGAGGAATGAGTGGAAGTAAGGAGGAGTGGGAAAGGGAATGGAATGAAGTGAATGAGAGGGGGGGGGGGGGAGGGGGGAGTGGGTGAAGGAAAGAGGTGTGAGGAGAGAAGAGGAAAAGAAGAGAAGAAGAAATGGAAAGAGAGAGAGGGCGGAGACAAGATAACGCGCAAATAATAAAGAACAACGGGAGTTGACAGGAACAGGGACAGGTAGGGGATGTATAGTACTGCAGATGGAGGATGACAAACTGGTGCAACGGTGGATGGATGGGAGATGAGGTGAGCATATGAGGGTTCTATTACCATTGTACTGGAGACCTGCGAAAGAAGGATCGAGGAAGGTATTCTCGCTCCCGCATTTCTTATTTGCTCTTGTTTAAAATGCTCACATCCCCATCTTCCTCTCTCTCTCTTGTTCTGTTCTCTACCTACTTTCCATGTTTCTCCATGTCCAAAAGATCCAAACCAAAACAAACATGTAAACACACACACCATGCACACACACCATACACCATACACCATACACATACACACAAGCATAGAGGGGCAATAACGGCAGCGCAGTACAAGGGTCATTTGATTGCTTTTTTTTTTTTTTTGTTCGCTCTGTTGTGGCAAGCAACGGTTGCTTTTAATTAGCAGATGCTTCCCGTCTTTAACGAGAGCCACTATTCCATCCCGAAGAATGAAAAGGTGGAGAGAGGGGAGGCGTTGAAGAATGAAAAAAAAGAACAGACATTGATAACTCCGCATTAACGACAGAGGGGCTGACATGGCAAAGGCGCTCCCTCTCCTCCTTCTTCATTTCGAAGGCAAGAGATAGATGAACAAACCTTGTATCTTAGGTAGGAAATCAGACACGTTAAATAGGGGGGGCCATACTATTTCTTCTTGATAGACAGGCAGACAATGGGCTAGACCCTCCTCATCTTCTTATTGAATGCTCGGTAATGTCGGGTATTCGGTACTCTCTTGTTGTTGACCGACCTACAAGGCACAGACCAACCAACAACAAGATCAGTTCGCACCACTATCACTGTACCTAGAAGTTAGAACTCACTCACTCGCGCCTAGGATACGTTTCACAAATGGCAAAGAGCATTGTTGTTTGTAGGTAGAATAAGGGTTTTTGTTCGAGGACGCCAGGGACATCCCCGACCTAGGGTTTTTTTATTGTTACAAGCGTGTTATGTACAAGAATAAAAGCACAAAAAAAAAAAAAAGGTCTTTCTGTTGATTTTTTGTCTGTGTGCGGACTAGTGTGTGTATACTTCAGAAAAAGAAGAAACAACTTAAGCCCGGGCGCGGAGGGTCTTGGCAAAGTAGGTGGAGAGGGGACCCTTCTCGTTCAAGTACTTGACGTAGCATCCATCAGGCTGAAGACGACCGGCAGCACGCTCAGTGACATAGTCCTCACGCGAAAGCTTGGTGAAACCCCACTTCTTGGAGACAATAATCTTTTGACGTCCAGCAAACTTGAACTTGGCACGACGGAGCGCTTCGATGACGATGGCCTTGTTGTTATCCTTGGTACGGATCGAGAAGATGACCTGTCCGATATTAACACGGGCAGCAGTGCCGTAGGGTTTACCGTAGGCACCACGCATACCGGTCTGGAGACGATCAGCACCGGCACAAGACAACATCTTGTTGATACGGAGGACGTGGAAGGGGTGGAGACGGACGCGCATGTGGAAGGAGTCCTTGCCTGAGGTCTTGGAGATGTACTTGTTGGCGCAGATACGACCGGCCTCGAGGGCCTCGGACGTGATCTGTTGCTTTTCGTCGCAGAGGAGGTGGACGCAGAGGGGGAACTCGTCGACACCGGCCTTCTTGCGACCGAGGTCGTAGATGCGGATCTTGGGGTCGGGGACTCCACGGCAGAAGCGAGACTTGGGGTAAGCCTTGTTCTTTTGATATCTGTAGCAGCGAGCAGGACGGCGACCCATTGTTGTAGTTGTTTGTTGGTTGTTGAGTGTGGGAGAAAGAGGGTCTTGTTGGTGGGAGAGTTTGATGGACAAAGGTGAGGAGATGAACAAGAGTAGTTGATGAATGAATGAAAGGAGGAAGGGGGCTATAAAAGTGAAAAGACTGACTGCGGTCATGGCGCTTGTCTTATATCATTTCCTGGCACATTATTCAGCAGTGCGGTTTCAAGGTGCATTAGTAAGTGAGGGCAGTCACAAGTTATCAGGTGATATTGGTGCTTGTGAGATACTTCCCATGCCAAGGGGGAAGGAAGAGAGTTAAAACGGACGGGCGACCACGCACGCTGAAAATGAAATAGAAAGAGTTGTCCAGGAAGAAGAAGGAGAGGAAGGAACACGACATTCACCAACCATCTTTCTTTTTCATTCACACAAACACACACACACACACATATTCACACCATCCTTATTCTTAATGACAACCATGAGACTCCGCCTCAGACACAAGGAAGGAATCGCTACCCTTACCACCCTGACTGACCAGTCGACACTTTTAGACCTCCATGTAAGGTTTACTTTTTGTTCGCACCCGACCTGGTTCCCTTCTTGACGTCATGAAACCATCCAACTGCTTACTCATTGCTTATCATATATCTATCCCTTTTTTAACAACTATAGAATGCCATCGCCAGCGAGATCAAAGCACCCGTCGCAAGACTAGAGCGTAAGACGGCCCACCTCTCCGATCTACAGACGAGCAACGCTTTCTATTTGCTTTAATCACCGATTTTGGGCGCAATGCCGTATGCCATTTTGAGGCTGTGCTTTTCGTTCGTCCTCTCACCTACAACATTACTAAAACCACATTCCTGCATTGAATCTTGAATGCTTCATAGTGAAGTTTGGATATCCTCCAAAGCTACTCACTATCAACGACTCTACAGCTGGATCAACACTCGCTAGTTTGGGAGTCAAGGACGGCGAGCAGATCTTAACTTCAGAAAAGTCCGAGGGCTCTCCTGCAACCTACGCAGTTGGTTCAACTTCAACTTCAACTTCAACTTCAACTACTACTACTACTACAGCGACACCGACTCCCGCTCCTGTTCCTACTACAACTACAACTACTGCGGTGGTAACTCCAGCAACATCCGTGTTTGGCGCCAACAGTAGTGGCAATAGTCTTGGAGCATTCGGATCGCGATCTGTTCTGCAGGCTTCACAGTCTCAACCGACGACTGCATCAGGTTCTAGCCTGTCGGCATTCCAGGCGGCGGCTGTTCGACCTACGACGAACGCGTTTGGTGGTTTGTCAAGTGTTGACACTTCCTACACACCCAAGACAGTAACTGCGCCAGCCCCAGCAACTGCTGCACCTACTGCTGCACCCACTGCTGCTTCTGTAACCAAGGGTGGCATTGAGAGCGTTCGGATTCGTGATCAAGGCCTGCTCGTTCTCAGAGTAAGCAGCTTTGGTCGTCTCGTTTGTTTTCCAGGTTCCATATGTATCTATTAGCTCATATAATCTCAATGTGCCCTTGCTGCTTTCTTCTCTCTCTCATTTTTTTCTTCGCGACGTGCAGGAAGTTGAGGACGACAACAGCTGTCTGTTCAATGCGGTTGCGTACACGCTGGATCCATCGATGAAGAGTAATATCCAAGGACTCCGCCAGATCGTGGCCAAAGCCATCGATGCCAACCCCGATGAATACTCTGACGTCGTCCTTGGGTACGTACTCCTTCTCTCATTAATGCATAATACTGCGGGTGACAACGCGTTTGGGTGACGTTATGATGGAGAACAGTCTAGAATGATTTGATTGACTTGTCTCTGAACTGTGTACACCCTTCTCGCTTTCTTCCTTTTTTATATCTTCTTTGGAAGCGTAGACGTCCTAGGAGGGAGTACTGCGAGTGGATCAAGAAGGAGAACAGTTGGGGTGGCGCGATTGGTAAGTCAATCAGACAGCATCTTCGTGCGAAAAGGGCCGCAGTACATTTCAGAAACCTTGAAATGAAAAATAGTAGATAGTAGGAGCTCTTTGCTTACTAACCCCTGATCCCCTTCCGACCATTCTACTAATCGGACCTCTTACCTCACTTTTTTGGTTTCTATAGAATTAGCGATCTTCTCGGATTACTACAAGATTGGTAAGAAAGGGATATGGATGTTGAATGAGAATATGTTCAACAAGAGCATGAGGCTGGCAGCATCATGATCCCTTTTCGCATGAAAAAATTTCGGTACAGGAAGAGAGCGAAATTTACAGAAATGAATGTTGTTCCTTGGTTTGGTGAAAATAGAAATCGATAGTATTGATGTCTCCACAAACAGAGTCGATCGTTTTGGTAAGTTGACCCCGTCCATGTCACCACTGACGAACAACAAAGACGAGCGAATGAACAGAGCCATAGCAACCCGGCAAATCTAACATCTTGCCACAACTTTCAACTGCTACAATAGGCGAGGGACAATATAGCCAACGTGCTCTGGTGATGTACAGGTAATTCGCATGCGGCGATCGGTTCATATGTCAAGCTTCCTTGCCTTTGAAAAGCGATCGAAAGGGTTGAAAGTGCTAACCACCTCTTTCGTTTTTCTTGATCTGCCTCTTACTCTCTCTCTCTCCTTCTACCAGTGGTATCCGTAAGTGTCAACAAAGAAGACGTTCCCTCCCCTACCTCATCGCTGTTATTATTCCACGCCGCGCGAAGCACACTCACAAGTAACTTTCTTCCCTCACCCTCCCGACTTTTTGTAAACAGATTACGATGCGGTGGCATTGACGCCTAGCCTCGACATCCCCGCAGATTGCGACCAGACTCAATTCGAGACCTCCTCTGAGGATATCCTCACTGCAGGCATCCAGCTCGCCGCTAAACTGAAACAGGTAAAACATCTTCAGTACCTCAAACACTCAGAAATTTGTACATAAAAGATAGGGAGGGGCGTTCACGAGGAGGTGTGATTGATAATTGGAGTACTGGGGCTTTGGGTGCTTTATCGGTGCTGGAGCGTGGGAGTTTCCCCAGCCGTCTCGCAGTCAAACTTGAACGCTACTTTTGTCATTTTCGCGGCTTCTGCTTTTCCTAACTGGAAGTGTTGTTTTGCCCTTTTTTTTTTTTTTTTTACTTGTGTGGAATGTGTAGGCGCACAAGTACACAGATTTGGCTACGTTCACGCTCCGCTGCTCGGTTTGTCAGATCGGACTCAAGGGCGAGAAGGATGCTCAGCAGCATGCCCAATCTACCATGCATACCTCCTTGTAAGTTATCTTTATTTCACCCTAGTCGATTCTGTGTTTTTGGAATTGGAGCTAACGCCACCATATCCCTTTTATGTTGTTTTTACCCTTCTTTTCAAAGTGAGGAGTATCTGTAGACCACGCCCCTCGTCCCGCGACAGCACGCACTAGATGACTAGAAGCTATAGACGCCTCTCCTATTTCTTTATATCCAAATACAACGCTTTTGTTGACCTTTTATTCTAAGTGAAAGAAAGGGTTGCAACATCTTAACAACACCCACCTTTTCTTCCACCACTTCTCGTCACCAACACAAAACCCTTCCATGTATCTAAGGAAACTGGTTAAACTCGCCCTGCTCCTCTATCGTCTTGCCCGAAAGGACATAAGAAACATGATACCTCATCCTCACCACGCCTACCTCCGCAGGGACCCTAATTGTCATCGCCTGCGTGACAGATTTCTTGCTAAACGGTTCAACAACCTGTGCAGACTGCGGGTCCAGTTTCAAATGCAGTGTCTTGGGGACGGCGACGCGGAAGGTTAATGCGGAGAGGGCCGCGTTGAGTTGGTTGGAGAAGAAGGCGGTGATTTTGTAGACTGATGTGTTATCGGGCTCTTGGGACTTTCCGATTTCGAGGTCAATCTGGAATCCATTCCTGTTCAACAGTGCCACTATTTCATATGCAAATATTTGAGTGTTAATTGGGAAGGGGAAAGGGTTAAAAATGCATTCAGGTGTAATTGGCAAAACTGAATCAATGTTTACCATTGGTAGGTCCGGAGGGTGCTGGGGCTCCGGTGTTGGATACGAAATCAAAATCATCGATCAGTGAGACAGCTGGTGCGGCATGTTTGGGCGCTGGCTTCTGGGGTGTTGAGAAAGACGTTGCTGTGCTAGATGTCGAGCCGACAGAGACAGTGTTGACGCTAGTCACCGGTGCCGAAAACACATTGTAGCTCAAACCGCCAGCTAACAAACATGAGAGACAAATCGACATATGTTTAGGTCATTGCTTCATTACGTGCATATGTGGTTCCTCCGTATGGCAAAAGGAGCTAACCAACAAGATCTTACCAGCGGTGGGGGTGGTGGGCGAGGTTGCATAGGTAGAGTTGTTGTTCTGAGACTGGCCAAGGTTGATGCTTCCTGATGCGCCCCAAGATGGTGGTGGAGGAGTGTCGTTGAAACTAAGATTCATCAAATCGTCCATCAAATTTCCTATTGTTCATTCCAGACAACGAAATTGGGGTTGTTAGACAACAGCTATACAGTTTGTATGTGACATTGGACATGAATACCATCTAGAAGAGTAAAAAGTGTACTCAAAAGTCGAACCTGTAGTCTTGGGTGTAGTGGCACTGGAACGGGATCCGTCCGAGGAGTCGTCAAAATCGACAAGGTCAATAAGAGACGAGTTCTGCTTGGGTGTCGAGGGAGCCCGATGTCTGCTTTGGTTGTTGTGTTGGTCGTCTCCTCCATTGCTGGGAAGTGGGACCTTGACAAGGTTCCCGTCCTTGACTTCCTTGTACTGCTCAATGACATTATTCAACACGTCGTTCAACTCCAGCAGCTTGTCTAATATGTACGAGGGTGAAGCAAGGCGTATGGATGTGTTAGGATGGTTTCGCGGGTTCTCTTGTTAATTTGACCCAACAAGTCCTGAACAGCTCCTATTGCAAGTCTCCGTACCCATGTTGTCAGGATCCTCGTTTTCGCTGATAAACTTTTGCACCTTGGGCTGAGCAGCCTTGCACGTTCCGTAGATGTCCTAGTAATATCAGTCACAAAACGACATTGTTCATATCAGCACGTCAGTATGTGACTCTTCTGCGTACACATATATCATCCTGACATTATCGTCCAGAGCCAGGCTATACCTCAAAAATGTCTCCGCGTCCAATAATTTCTCCAGGCTTGACTTCGTTCAGCATCTCAATCAGCATCGTCGCCTTTGAGAGAATCTTGTCCAACTCTGCTGATGCTTGCTCCGCGTAGTCGGGTTTCTCCTCTTGTTCCTAATCGCGAAGGAAAATTTGAAAGTTTAGCGTTACTATGAACCCACACCTTGCATTTCCAAGAGTGCCAAATGCAAAAAGAGTACGTAGGCGCATAATAGGCCCACTTACATATCCAGTCATCTTTTTGACGAGCTCGTTTGCTGCTCGTACGTCCTCAGGTCTTCCTCGTCGGATAAGTTCTTGGAGTTTCTATAATCAGTGAAGACCAAAAAGGTGCCTTAGTATCGGCTTGTCGTCTGTTTCTCGTATGATTTTCTCAAGGGCTACGCCAAGTAAGGTCCAGGAAATACAATAATGCTGACATACTGCTGCCTGAGCGGCGCGATCCTCTTCCTCAAGCTGTGCGGATGATTTCAAAGCCTAAAATAAGAAAAATGCACACGAAGCAATTAGTCCCGCGGAACAAAGTAGTGCATACAGTACGGACCAAATTCGTATTTCAGAGAATCCACAATAGTGCACTCACATCAACAGAGTTCAAAACAGCAGTAGTGGTCGTCCTCGCCGGTGGGAAACGGTATCCCTTGAAAGCCAATAGCCGATGCATGTCCCGGATATGAATAAGGTCCTCTTTGTATCGCGAGGTCTTGCATAGTGTCGTGTACCATTCCTGAATCATCTCCAGGATCCTTGTCTGTACTGGTGTTGGGACTGTTAGGGGCCGCTCTGGGAACTTGCGGACGAGGGCGTTGAGGAACTCCTTGGTCGCAATCTGTAGATGGAAGGGGTATCCGCAATTCTTGACACAGTTATCCAAAAGCTATTGTACATTGATAGTCATATGAAGGGTCGTGTTTAGTTGTGTCGCAAAGGTTGCATGGTTATTGCCTTTGCGTTAGGGACAAAGTAGATCAAAATCCTGAATACGACAACGTACCGTCAAGGCCAGCATCCCAACGTGCATGTTCTTGTGGTTGACAAGTCTAACAATATAGATAGCAGCCTCGCGAGGACTATTACAGGGAAGGGAAGGAAAAAGTTCATAATTAATTGGTGGCGCTTAGAAGGGCTAACTCCAACGGACTTTTTCACACTGAGGACTGTGTTGAGCGAGTGACGCGATAATAAGGAATAGCCGTGGTTCATTACGTGTTTTTCTGCTTTTCTTTGATGACATCGCAGATCTCCAAGTTAAGAGCGAGGTCGGGTTCGAAGCGGGAAGGGTCACAGGCACGCTCTATAGTAGATGAGAACGGAGAAAAAGAGATGTAAGAGAAGGTGGACAGCAGCAAACAGGCGATGCCCTTGTTCCGCGGAGGAGAGAAGGAAAGTTGCGTTACCGATGTAAGTTTCGAGGACGGACTTTTGTTTGTAGGACTGTCCGTACATTGTGGGTGTGTGTTGTGTGTGTGTATAAAAGAGAATAATAGGAGGGGAGTGAGGGAGTGAGGGATGAGCCCCGTTTAAGTGTTTGACTTTGGAAATGGGCAAAAGTAGAAAAGAAACGAAGAGACTGGACTGACACACTGGTTTAAAGGACCATACGACCGTGGAAGCAGTCAACTTTGTCTGAAAGACACATCCTATGTTGTGGCCCAAAAGGTCAGGTTTTGGTACAACTCAGCCACTTCCAACTGAACTTTGTCAATGCTCAGCCCCATCAAATGGAAAGAGAGGCAGTACCAGATGACCACATCAATACTCTCTTTTCTGTTTTTCATGCATTGCGTGCACTGTTCTCACGCCCATTGGCCGCTTTTTATACCTTGCGCTTACTACTCTCCTGTGGACTTGTTGCCATCCTTTTCTCGCACTTCCTTCCTTCCTTCCTTCCTTCCTCCTTGCTTCTCCCCTCCTTCTTGTCCACCCGTTGTTCCCACGCCAGACTCACGATTAACCCAAGACTCGCCTCTCTCCAGTTCTCCTACTACAAAGTTCCTTCTCCAACCGTCTATGGGTCTATTTCACCGTCTGCAACAACGAGCTGGCAATGAGGGCCAAGCCGGTCCCAGTCTCCGCCTACAGAGCCCAGGACAGTCAGCCCTCCCCTCTCGCTCCTTCAACCAACAGCGCTCAACAATGGAAAATGCCATGTCGATCCCTGAAATCGTAGAGCGTATCCTCTCCTTTTTGCCCCAGCAGAGTCTCTGTCACGTCGCGTCCCTGGTCTGCAAGGACTGGCTCCGTCTCTGTCGACCTCTTTACGCCCTGACCTTTCAGTGGACCGACTGTCCCCAGTACACCCTCGTCCCTGTTCCACTCGAGCCTTCCGCCAGGGGATCTTCCCGACGATGGAGCTTGCGCAAGTTTGCCTCCTCTTCCTCAACAGCCCACACCCTCGTCAGAATCATTCCCGAAAGGACTTGGTTGTTGAAGAAACTTGTTGGCCTCACCACCCTCAAGTGTCGGTTGAACTACAAGAGCCCCGTCACTGCTATGACAATTGCGCCAGGAGACGACGGAGAATCAGTGACGACAACGACAGCCGCATCATCAACAACAACCACAATCACAACAACAGCGACGACGGCGAGGATGGTCAGCACCCAGATTGCGCACCTGCAGGACAAGGCTCGGATGGATTTGATCGAGAGCATCAGGACGCTGACGGGACAAGGCAAGCTGACGCTTCTACAACTCGAACTGTCAGAGTTGGACGACTTTTCTGGATTCTTGCGACCTATCCTCTCCATCACTACCACGCTGAGCTGTCTATGGCTCAAGAAGATCGGGATTCAGCAACTGCCTATAGGTCAAATTCTGACTCTGTGCCCATACATCGAGGAGCTGACGATTGGATGCGAGTTTTATTCGAGCAGGGCGAGGTTGACTATGGTATTGCTGGATGAGGTCGATAGTGGACAGGAGGAGCAAAGCACCCATTCGTTGCCAAAGAACCTCCAGCTGAAGCGACTGCACCTTAAGGATGTGTTGATCAAAGAGTCGGCAATTATTGCCATTCTAGAGTCGGCACCAGGACTGTACGAGCTTCGAGTACAAGGACCAGTTATCCCCCCACCAACACCTCCAATCACCCCATCAGCAACAGTGCAACACGGCTTTACTCTACTGGATGTGCCTTCGACTGTGTCTGTGGGAGCCGACCATGCCTTTATGCCTTCTACTGCTACTGCAAGAGGTGTGGATTTGCGCGGCGATTGGTTGACTTGTGACCGGTTGGCGTTCTTTGAGGACCTGGGCGTTCTTTTCCCCCAGCTGACCTCACTGCATTTCACCAGGACTCATCACCGCTACACGGACACAATGATCAGAGGAATCCTTCGTGCTTTTCCAAACGCCTCAAGATGGAGTCTTGCCTGGAGGGACCTGCCTGATGGGATCCTGCGGGACTTGAACCAGTGTGTCGAGGCCAACTCAGTCTGTCAGATTGATTCGATATCTTGGGCGACAATTCAGGAACCACTGGGATTGTACGCCAACCATTTGACGTCTCTGGAGATCCTGCCTATGACGGACTGGACGCCTCGGTGGGGTAACGCCCTCCACGAGTTTCTGTGCGAGTCACCGTTACTGGAGCACTTGCGGGCTGGCTCTATCTCGTACTACATCGAGAACTTGGATCTGAACGGGTTGCTACCGGGAGCAAACGAAGCTCTCTCGGACTCGAGGACTGACGACGATATCAACAGTCACAACAACGACCACGACTTAGCGTCAGTGAGTACCCACTCAACCTTTGAACGTCACTACTTTGACGCTCCACCATCGTCAAAGAAGACACTCAAGGTCTGGGCGTGCAGGAATCTGAAGACACTACATCTCGAGTTCTCACGGGAGCGACCCAAAACCCAGCCAAATCGGCCAGTCTCTCCATACACCAATGCAACATCGACATCCAACCAGTCGTTTTCCACACGCTCAAGTTCTTCCTCCTGTTCTTCGCCCGTCATGGTGCCCCTCCCCGACAACTCTCCAAGACTGTCCAGGATCGTTTACGGATACATCTCGAGGTTCTGCCCAAACTTACAGGACCTATTGATCCGTGCCTACCGGTTGAACATGACGCTTCGGGGCGGTTTCGCGTTGTTGACGCGCCTACGCAAGTTGAAGCGGGTCGCTATCTCACAGTACGACTGTCATTTCAATGAGCGAGACATGCTGCCATGGGTCATGAAGCGGAGACAGTCACTTAGCGGGATCCAGGCTCTGTATTGGAAGGCGATTGTTGCTGGATGGTGGAGGGTGTTGCATGCAAAGGAGCTTGGACCAACAACATCACCACCACTATCATCACAGCCTCCAGTAGCTTCAGGAAAGAAGACAACGACAACAGCGGTCGAGGGCAAAGGAAAACAGAAGGAGGGATGCGGTTACCAGGAACAGCAGCACGACCATATCCTCGTCCGCCCTTCTCCTAGTTCAGCATCCATCAAGAAACTGGGTCATCTTTCGGATGTGGTGGATGTACTGACAGAGATAATGGCGGATCGTTCCTCATCCATGCGGGACTTGCGGCAAGAAGGACTCGCGGGTCTTGTGGAAGATTGTAAGGGGTCGGTGTGGCCCGACTTGGAGTGTGTGAGGATTGTGCATGGTCAAATGGCCAAGTCTGGGATCAAGGAAGGAGCCATCCGGGCGGTTCTGAAGAAACACCGACCTGAGGTTGAGTTCCAGTGGGTTTCGTGGATTAACCAATTCTAACAACAATAACCATGTAACACCTTATGCCATTTTTTTACTTTGTTTGCTAATGTAATTAATAATTTTGTGTGAGTAAAAAGTCCACTTCCTTGGTCATTGTGTGAGTAAGCACTGCCTTTTTTAAACCCTTGGGGGTTGACGTGAGAAAAAATAACAAAAGGAGCATCGTTTTGTGTTCTCTTTACTCTTTACTCTTTACTCCTTACCCTTCCCAAACCCTCCTTTCTTCTTACCACTCTTACAGGAACCTCCATGGATGTAACCTCGTTTGAAAACCTGCCCTTTGAAATTCAGGAGATGGCTGGACCCTTTCTCACTCAACACCAATTGACCATTTGCATTCGCGTCTGTCGAGCATGGAAGCAGATGTTCTACCCCCATCTCTGGCGAGCCATCGACATCAATTGGAATGACCACCTCGTCTGGAAGAAGGATATCATCGACGCACTACAGACCAACAACCACCTCATACAATCCCTCAAGCTCAGAGCAGACACCTCTAGAGACCGTCTACTTTGGTTTCTAGAGTTGGAGCTGCCCACCTTCCCGCATCTCACCTCGTTAGAACTGGAAGGCCCCTTCAAGCAAGACGAGGACCCGGATTTTGCAGCCTTCATCAATCTGACCCCTGGTACAGGACTGAAACGCCTTGTATTTAGCAACCCCAAAACCGACAACTACTTCGCACTTTCGCGGGACTCGTTCGAGGCGATCTTCAAACACGCCCATACCCTCCAGGTCTTCCGCATAGAAGCCATGTCGTTCTTGACAAGCACCCTCATAGACAAGTTGCTTTGTTCCGCCCCGCATCTCAAGGAGCTCTACCTTCTCAACAGCCAGGACAGCAATTCAGGCCATTGGTTGGATGCCCCCGAAATCATTCATTCACAATGGGTCTGTTCGGATCTTGAGGTCTTTGCCTGTCGAATCGAGAACATCTCCCGGCCAGATATCAAGCGTACCATTGCTGGGCTCGATCCAAGTAAGATGACCGTCAGTATTGGGACACCTCAGGAAATGGTTGAGCTTCAGTTGCAAATGTATGCCAAACTTGCGAGGTTTACCAAACTGCGGGAGCTGAGGCTGGGGTTTTTGATGGATACGAGTGCGGCCGGGTACCGGCGTGCGGATAAGGAGTATTTTCGGCAGTATGACTGTTTGGCAATGACGGTGGAGAGTGGTGTGGGATTATTGAAGGCGTTGAAGGCGTTGAGAGTTGTGGGGCTGGAGGATATGGAAGTATATATTGAGAGTGATAAGGAGCAGAACTGGTTCGCTGAGCATTGGCCAAATGCGGTGATTGGGGTTACGGATTATGAGAACAGGGACAGCGACCAGGAGTAGTTGGTATTGTGATCAAAGCAGAGCGCTTTAAGAATAAAAAAATGTCTCTGCGCTTCTCACGTTGAACTGTTTAGCGCTACAAACGGCCTCTTTGCATGAAAACCATGTCCATATATCACATTTGCAACCATCCTTTTCCCCTGGAGATCCCTTTCGTTTGACCACTTGGACACTTTTACTTCTCGCTTTCTCTCTCCCTCATCATCAACCAACTAACCAGCCAAACAGGAAGCAACAAGAACTTAACAGCATGGAGCAAGAATCAGGTTTAGCAGAAGCGGTCTCGTTTGGAGATCTTTTGTGAGAAATATAGGGGATGGTCGCCGCCTTTGTCGACCCACGCGATCTGAGGCTCTGGACAAGGATGCCAAAATATGCCCAAGGATGGGATAAAAGTACATTTTGAAGCAGTTACTTTTTCTTGTTTGTTTTTTTTTCATTAATGATGTCCGTGCAAGAGCTCCGTGATAAGTTGGCTGCACTCTGTGCCTGAATTTATCATGTGTTCAACGGGCGCTCGAAGGCTAGTTTCTCTTAGTAGAAAACACCCTTTGACTGCGGTAGAGTGCCTGACCTATGCCAGGCAGTTCGGTCTGACAGTTCTCTTTTCATTTTTACTGCGGACCATGTCCTCGCTTTTCACCTCATCACCATCGCATTCATCAACCAGCAGGACATCAACTCACAATGAGCGCGACCTTGTTCGACAACTTGCCGTATGAAGTACAGGGACTTATCGGGAACCACCTCAGCCCACGCGACCTGGCTACCTGCACTCGCATCTGTCAGGCTTGGAGAGCAGTCTTCGACCCAATTCTCTGGAGCCACGTCAACCTCGACTTTGACAACGTTGTCAAGGAGAACAGCGCCCTCCCAGGTGTATTGAAGACCCACGGCGGCAATATCCGATCGATTCGCCTGAGCTGCCCATACGACAAATACCAGAGTCCACAAACTTTCTGGATGCACTGCCCACCTGACCTTCCTCTGCTGGACTCGATGACCACGATTGGCCAGTGCCCCCATGGCTGGATGTATCTTCCGTTTTACTGCCCGCCCTCGGTGAAGTGGAAGAAACTGGTTTTTTGTATGAATGGCTATGCTAGTAGCAATTCAGTATATAGCAGAGACTTCTTCGACTTTCTCGACAGGCATACTCCTACTCTCGAGGTCTTCCGTTTGGACTGGCGCTCTTTTGCTAACGGCAAATGTGTCAATCGGCTGTTGTCGATGGCGCCCAACCTCAGAGAACTTTACATTTCGAGCGATCGTCGGGAAGTGGAAGGTGGAGTGCTGAATGCACGGGAGATTGCAAGGACGGATTGGGTTTGCACCGGTCTCGAGGTCTTTGTCTGTCGGATCGGGAACATTCCACGGCCGGATATTACCCGTCACATCGGCGGTTCTCTCAGCAAAGAACGAGTCAAGAGCGAGACGCTAGAGGAGAGTATCGAGCTCCAGCGTCAGGTGTATTCAAGGCTGGCTCGGTTCACAAGGCTGCGAGAGCTTCGGCTGGGCTTTCCTGTCAACTCTCGGAGCTCTTATCTTAAACACCGACGAGGAGACAAGGAGAAGTACCGACAATATAGCTGTCTTGCTATGACGGTGGAGAGCGGTTTGGATTTGCTGAAGGACCTCAAGGAGTTGCGGAGAGTTGGCTTGCAGGACATGGAGATATATATCGACGGAGACAAGGAGCAGACTTGGTTTGCGGAGAACTGGCCGAAGGCGACGATTGAATATGAGCACTATCAAACGGATTCGGATGCGACCACCGTCTCAAGAGATAGCGACGACCCCTACACTGATACCGATTCTGACGAGAACAGCGATGGTGAAGAGGATGATGAAGGCGAAAATGTGAACGAAGACGAACAATAAATTATCTTTTTTTTTTTTTTTGGGTAGGTGAGAAAGAGACCCACAGTGACCAAGCTGAAAAGAAGGTTTCTAGTGATTGGTGGCGCTCTTTATTTTTCTTGTTCAACGAGGGATAAGTTATCAACTGTCGCCGTGCCCAGCTCTTGACTTTCTTCTTTCGATTTCTTTGCTCCGTTGCATTGGCCCACCATCTCCATACTCCACCTATTTTTACATGAGACCCACCCTTTCTCTGTAAACAACAACGTCGAAAAAGTCATACTGGTATCGTGCGCAGGACTCTCGGTCGGATACAGTGATGATCTCTGGAGGGACCTGTTCCCGCGGGTCAGGTCCAAAGGAATTGGGCTGTGATTAAGAGGTGATGGGAGATTTGAGCAGCACATGTTACTCACTGTCAAAATCAGCACTCGCGAGTGCCACTAGTCGTGAAGGTGTGGTCTCGAGCCCAGGAATGGGCTTTGTTGTTAGGTCGAAGATGTAGTTGGTCGCGCTATATGTAGAAGAGCAAGAAGATGTTTGATTTGATCAAGTTGAATACTGATCAAGTTGAATACGCGAAAAAGAAACGGAGGTCACAGGTGTCATTCTAAGCAACAAAAAAAAAAAGGCACTTACAAGAAGCGACAAAGGTTCTGGATGTTGGCCTTGTTGGCGGGGTTGTTGACAAATCGCGCCCTTTTTTTCTGGAAGTTATAGAAAAGCTCTCTATGATGTAGCTTTGTTTCTTATTTGTAGAGAGGTCGATAGCAAAAAAACGCTCGGTGTTTGCAACTGAAGAAGCTCGGGATGTTGATATAGCATGGCGGTTAAAGGTTAGACCACAGCTACACAAAGGCATGGACGATGAAGGCAACATGCAACATCAACGTACCTATGCGAGTCTCAACGCTTTTTCTTCGACCCACGCGGATTTTGGACGCGCTTCCTGCAATGCGCTCATCCTCAGACCTTGCATGTTTCCGAGCGGGATCTATTAGCCCCATAAAGGAACAAAAAAAATATAAGAATCTTCGATTGCGAACGTAAGTTCTATTGCCTACGCAGCTAAACTCTACCACGTTCCTCACCTGACTGTTCCTAAGCCAAGAGATGAGAAAGAGGAAACGGGAGTATTAAGGTACAAGGTTGGCAGCAGCGTCAGCAAGGACAGACTCGTGGGATATTAGATATAGTGAGCTTGCGGACCAATTACCTCATCCTCATCTACGGTCAAGCCTTCATCCTGAATCAGGTCTGCGCTCATGGACTCCCTAGCCTTCACGATGGCCATTTTGCGGATGGTGTTCTGGGCTCCTGTTGCGGCATGCTTCATTAGCGATATCTTGGTGGATTCAAGAGAGGCTAGCGCGGTTCTCTCCGTCTTGATTCTGGACCAGAACTCATCTGCCTCAGTCCTACGCCAGTTCAAAAACTCTGCTGAAAGGATCGTCGACTGTCTTGGAGACAAAGCATAATGCAAGATAGCGGCCCCATAGATTCTATGGGCGTTTAGATGATCTTTGTAGCGAAAGTGGCGAGAAAAATCTGGCGCATTCAGGCAGGTCCTGTCCTTCAGCACGTATTGGTAGACTTTTTTTGGGGAGTTTAAGCTGCGTTCGAGGCGTAGAGGACGATGATGCAGCTAAATTGTCCGACATGCTTGGTGGTTCGCATCATTGATGGGATGGGACAATGGGCGCGAGAATAACGTCACCAAAGAGAGTAAATCGCCCGCCTTCCCGAATCCCATGTATTTGCTTATCCCCTGGACTCATGCGAAGCTCTGAACCCGGCCACCTCGTCCGCTCAAATGCACATACGAGAGGCTGGGACACATGGAGAGGCAACTACCAATGCCTTTTCTGTCGAGATTGACACTACCAAGACAGTCCATGGCCTCAAGAACCTCATCAAGACGGTATTGTCTCCTTAGTTTGACGACATTGCATCAAAAGACCTCACTCTATGGCGCGTCCCCATTCCTGACGACGACGGCGACGACGAACAACCCATCCTGTTGGACAAGGTCGCTGAGAAAAAGAAACTCAAGGCAATCACCAAGCTCTCGAAAGTGTTTGACACTGAGCTACCTGAAGAGGCAGTCCACGTCTTCGTCCAGCGACCTCCGCCAGGTAATGCAAACGCGGTTTGGTCTCATTCATACCTTGAGCATGTGCTTGTAACATTGCACTAACCTAAACTCACTGGTTGCACTGACATAGCCCACGCACCGATCCCTGGCCGCCTCTCCCTGTCTACCTTTCGGATCAATCTCGTCCTGGTACGCCGCTGACGGGTAAGTACCAAAATTGTCTTTTTTGTTTGATTTACTTTTCAATATATCGGCGATATGTATTGAGGGCATGACGCCTGACAATCATTTTAACGAGTTGTGAATACTTGGGCTGGTTGTTTTCGTGTGTTTTTAAAGAAAAGCTGCAAGAAAGTAAAGATAGGAAATAGAAAAAGCAGTAGTCGCTGTTTATTTATCACGTTCAAAGTGGCGGTGCTTTGCTCATACATATTCTTACGAGATGTGGTTGAAAGTACAATGCGGGAAGTAAAACTTTTAATTGACAAAGAAAAAGGGAGTGGGGGGGGGGGGGGGGGGGGGTTACGTGGAAAATGACTATCTAAACACGACCAGCCTGAACAAGGTCCATCTGGACCTGGACACTCTCCAAATCCCAGCGACGGCCGACCCACTTCTGTGCCTGCCATCCGCCCTGCTCAATCAAAACCTCTCCACCTTCGACAGTGGCCCAACCAGCCTGACCAGCCAACTTCAAGAAGCGGGTGAAGCGGGGAGTGTAGGCCAACTCGACTGCGACACCCTTCTTGCCGACCTGGCCAAAGATGGACTCGTCAAACATGGCCTCGCTCTCAATGGTTCCGGGGACAGTCGACACGATCAGGTCGAAATCTGAGGACGACTCGGAGGACTTGAGGAGCTCGCTCGATCCGATGACCTTGACGGTGAACAAGTCCTTGAACGAATCCGCAACCGATTGAGCTTTGACAAGAGTCCTGTTGAAGATCGAGATCTCCTGAACACCCAGACGGTGGAGGGCATAAAGGGCCGCACGAGATGTACCGCCAGCGCCAATAACCAAACCCTTCATCTGCTCAGGCTGAACCGTTGAAGTGGTGCTGAGGTGACGCTGGATCTGGTGCTTGATGCCGAGCCAGTCGGTGTTGTCGCCCACGAGGATTGTCTCCTTGTTATCGCCCAGGACTGGAATTACAGTGTTGACAGCACCAATAGCCTTGGCCTCCTCCGTGATCTCATCCAGCTTGGACATGATCTCGATCTTATGAGGGATCGTAACGCTGGCACCACCAAACTCGGGGGCGCGCATCTTGGCCACTACAGACTCATCCACCGTCGCCGTCTCGTGCAGGCCATAATTGTAAGGGAGACCCAAGGACTGGAACGATGTGTTGTGCATCAGGGGCGAGAGCGACTGCTTGATGGGGGTTCCAAAAAGGTAGAACTGCTTGGCGGGCAAGAGACCAATGACATTGCGGGCAAGGAGAATTTCACGGGCGTCGAGCTGGCCAGGGGCGGCCTTGACGGGGAGCAACTTGTGAGTGACGGGGGTGAGGTAGTTGTTCAATACCCGGGAGAGCTGGCCTTGGGCACCCATGTTCATCGAAATCAGGGGCAGATCGTCGGCCTTGGTGGTGTGGCGCTCGGCAAACTCGGAGCATTCAAAGTTATCCTTCATCGATTTGGCGGTACCGATCAGCTTGATGACATCCGGCGAAATCGAAGCAGCCAACTTGTACTGGGCCTCCATTGCCTCCGACGACCAAGCGACGGTGCCCCTGCAGTCGTGCCACGAAGCGACGATCAAAGTGTTGCCCTTCTGTGCCAGGACCTCGTCAATCTTGCTGCGAGGCAAACCAATCTCGACATCCAAGTACTCGACACCCCACTGAAGACCGTCCTTCAACAGGGTGACCATACCCTCAACGTCGTTGTCAGGCCATTGACCACCTTGCGAGACCGAGCGAACAGTGTACAGGATGGGCAGCTCGGAGTGGCGACGGAGCAATGATACCTGCTGGGCGACATGATCGCGGAACGAGATCAAGGCGCTGGGAGACTTCAAAAGATCCACGCGGAGCTCAATGGCATCTGATCCCAATGTCAACTTGGACAAGTGTGGCAAGGCTGGGCTGATATCGGGGAAGGTGAGAGAGAGGAAAAAGGTCGGCTTGGCGGCGACGTGTGCCCTACTGACGCGCTTCTGACCTCTGCTGCCAGACTGGGTGATGACGCGCAAGAACCTCCCAAGGTTGGACTCGACCAAAGCCCACTCCTTGGCATCCTCGGCCTCGATGCCCTTCAACTGCTGGCCTGCCACCACGAACTCGAAGTTACAGCACTCGCGGTACCAAGCCTCACGACGAGCCCAAACATCCCGCATCGACTCGCCGTACATGGGTCGTGTTGTGTCCTTATTGAGGTAGGCCTCGATCTCGTTGATGTTACGGACCAAGTGCAGAACGATTCCTCCCTGCGCAATGTACTTCTTGAAGGCCTCACGCGACGACGCCGTCTCGACAATGCCTCCTCCGCAAGAGATGATGTGTGACTTGGGGTGCTTCTCCAACAACTCTGCCAACACCTTGGCCTCCTGTTCACGGAAAGCTGGCCAGCCATGCTCCTTGATGAACTCGGGGATCGTGGTCGACAAAGTCCGCTCAAAGTACTGGTCAACATCCTCGAAGGGGCGCTTCAACGTCCTGGCAGCATAACGACCCATAGACGTCTTTCCTGCACCGCGCATGCCAATGACAACAATGGTAGCGTCACCGTTGGCCCAGCTTCCAGCAGTCTTCTTGCCCGAAGAACCAGACTTGACCTCGTAATCGTGATGCTCCTGAGGGGGACCGAGATCGACATCAGAGGTGCGACCGCCCAGTTTGGACTCGAGGTCGTCCCACCACATGGGCCATGTCTTCTCGACACACTTCTTCTCACGGATGATGGTTCCTCCAGGGACGACATTGGCCAAGACACTGAACGACATGGCAACACGGTGATCGTCGTAGCAGTGAACTCCTTCCTTAGGGGGTGTGAGCGAGGCAATGTCGTGTCCGTGAACAATGATACCGTCGTCAAACTCGGAGGTCGTCACGCCAAACTTGCCAAGCTCGTGCATCATGGCAGCAATGCGGTTGCACTCCTTGACACGCTGGTTGGCGATTCCGCTGATCTTGGTGACATTGTTGCCGCCGGGGGTGGTGGGCTGGGTGACGGCGGCCAAGACCGAGGCCGTCAAGAAAGCGTCGGTCATGGTCTCCATATCGATGTGAGGGAGAGCCTTGAGGGTGCCGATTGGTGGACCAGTGACGGTGGTAGAGGTCTCAGTCTGGACAACAGTGCATCCCATGGGACGAAGAACATTGACAGCAAATCCTGCATCTCCCTGAAGCGAGGCAGATCCGATGTTGGGAACGGTGCATGTGGTGCCAGTGATGGCGGCGATGGCCAAGGGGTAGGTGGCAGAGGAGGCATCGGCCTCAACCAAGTAAGTTTCAGGGTTAATGTAGGATCCTTGGGGAATGCGGTAGGTGTTGTTGGGAAGGACTTCGACGGTAACACCGAACGACTTCATCATGGCGATGGTCATGTCGATGTAGGGCTGGGAGATAACCTGGCCTCCGGTCAAGACCAAGGTGACGGGCTCCTTGGTGGCATAGGGGGCGCAGAGAAGAATCGACGAGACATACTGGGACGAGATCGAGGCGGCGAGCTGAATCTCGCCTCCAGCCAATCCGTGGCTGAAAGGGGTGACCTCCAAGGGCAGGCATCCCTGAGCCTCAGCGTACTTGAGGACCGATCCGTTAGCAGTAAGGGCGTCGACAAGAGGAGCAATGGGTCTCTGCTTCATTCTGGCGTTGCCGGTGAGGATGGTCTTCTGGGCGGGGTCAGCCGAAGGAGGGACGAGAACACTGACGGTGGTCAAGAAACGAGCAGCAGTTCCTGCATTGCCCAGGTAGAGTTCCGAGTCAGGGATGTGCATCTTGCCGCCGTTTCCGTGAACGACGAGGGTTTCACCGTTGTTCTCCCACTCGAATGTCGCAGCTCCCAACTTTGCCAGGGCAGTCAACATGACCTGGGTATCGTCCGAATGAAGGAGTCCAGTCAGACGGCAAGTTCCTTGACCCAAAGCAGCCAAGACCAAGGCTCTGTTAGAAATCGACTTTGATCCAGGGGGTGAAAGAGTGACGGGAGGGAGGTTGACGGGGCGGGGGTGGACAACTGTCGAAGCAGCAAGGCACTTGCGGATAAGGTCGTCAGAGATGTTGGAGGGTTTTTGTTCCAGAGTCTTGCCGATAGCGGACAACATGACGATGCGCTTCTGGCTACCGACGTTCTTCTTGTCGACACGGAGGATACGCATGAGCTCGTCGACAGAGCAGTACTGGTTGCCAATGTAGTTCTTAACAAACTTTTCTTCCATGGTGACGGGCAAGCCGTAGGCCTGGATGCAGCGGGTGAGACGACCGACGGCGACCTGGGAAAGGAAGCCGCAGTGGCGGGCGATCTCGGCCTCCTTGATCATGCCGATGGCGACGCACTCTCCGTGAAGTAGCTTGGGAGTGACGAGACCCTCGATGGCGTGTCCGATGGAGTGTCCAAAGTTGAGGAGGCCACGCATTCCTGTCTCGCGCTCATCGTGTGTGACGACGTAGGATTTGACGGCGACCGAGGCCATGACGACCTGAAGGAGAAGTTGCTGGGCAGTCGTGCGGGTTTCCAAAGTGGCGCCTATAGTTTCAGTTGATGAGCGAGTAAAAAGAAAAAAAAGCAGTCGTCAGTTGATGAATCAAAGGCAAAAGTATGTCAGGTACGATCAGTCATCACTTTTTGTTCTTTTGAACTGAAACGGAGTTTAGATACGCACAGTTCACATCACTCCATCACTCGCACTCCATCACTCATCAAACAAAAAATCTATCACTCATCCAATTCTCTGATAAGAGGGAGTGTCCGACACAAACGCAACTGTAAATCAACAAACAAAATCAATTGGATCCATTCTCTGTATTTACCTTGGAACTCGACATTACGGACAGGCTTCAACACGGCGTCGCGGATAGCCTCGGCACCGTTCTCGAGCAGAACAAAGTCGTCATGGTTCCAGATAGCAGCAGTCTTGATAACCTCGGCCATACCATTGACAAACTCGCGCTCGGGAAGAGTCTCCAGAACAGCAAGATCGATAAAGATGCGCTTGGGCTGCCAGAAGGCACCGATCGAGTTCTTGGCCTCGGGCGTATCAATTGCTGTCTTGCCTCCAATCGACGAATCAACCATCGCCAACAGAGTCGTCGGCACCTGGACAAAGGGGATACCGCGCATGAATGTAGCTGCAACAAATCCGACCAGATCACCAATAACACCTCCGCCCATCGCAAAGACGAGCGTGTCGCGGGTACAGCCTTGGCTAAGGAAGTAGTCCTCGATCTCGCCCTTGACCGCTCTCGACTTGGACTCTTCACCGGGTGAGATCACATAGGTCAGGAGACGGGGTAAGGCGGCACCGGTAGCGGCGGCGATCTCCTGGGAGATCTTATGGAAGGTCTTTGTGAAGCGGTCGAGGTAGAGCTTTTCGAGGTTGGTGTCGGTGATGACGACATAAGTCGAGGCCTTGAAGTTGGAGAGGGTGTCTCGGAGGACATAGTCGAAGATGTGGAAACCGAGGATGATGGTCTCTGACCCGAGGATAGAGACCTTGTCGATATGAGGGTTAGGGTGACTCATGGTCTATAGCTATAGCTTGTTGTCAAAGTGAGCTCTTGTGGGAACGAACGCGTCCAGATAAAAAAAATTGGTTCAAAAGGAGATAATTGGTCGTTCTCCGAAAGGAATGAAGGTAGAGAGAAGAACAGGAATGGGCGAAAAAGAAAAGAAAGAGGACGTGAAAGAAGGAGAGGATGGGGTGAGGATGGAGGTGTGAAAGAAGGAGGGAATGAAGAAAGGAGGAGGAATGAAGGGGAGTGAGTGAAGGAGGAGTGAAGAGATGTGAAAAAAGGAACAGAAGCCAGCCTTTTCTTTCTTTTCCGTTCCTTTCGGCCTTCATTTTTTTCTTTTGACTCAGAAGTTTCACTGAACAAAGAGCACAGGACTCACCACATCATTCACTCACAGAAAAAAGGTGTCAGTCATCCACTTTCGATATCTATTCAAGATCGTTACTCATGCTCTCGAATTTTCTTCCTCGATGTCAAATTCACGTGACTATTCCCCAAAAACTAGATTCCAGGGGTCTTGCTGGTGGGAACTTTGTCTCCCGTTTGTGGTGTCACTGCATTACCAAGCGCATCCAGGGGTATCCTTTTTTCTTACCTGTCGAACTCTCACTAGTCCGATTAAAAAACCCCCTTTTTCTCTCTCTCTCTCTCTCTCTCTCTCTCTCTCTCTCTCTCTCTCTCTCTCTCTCTCTCTCTCTCTCTCTCTTTCCCTCTCTTCGTTCACTTTACTCTCTCAATCCCCTCCCTCTGCTAATTTCTCTCTCGCCCTACTCTTCTCTTCCTCGCTTTTGTACACCACTCTTCTTCTTCCCAGGACATAATTCACATCGACCATGAGTACCCCAGAGACCATCGATATCACACTCCCCAACTACGGCACTATCCGAGGATTAATTGACACTGACCATCAAGTCGCCATCTTCCGCAACGTCCCTTACGCTCATGTCCCTGAACGTTGGCGCGTTGCCGCCAAACCTCAGCCTTGGACCGGTGTTCGTGATGCCACTGTACACGGGTAATATTTTCGCTTGATGCAAGGCAGCCTCGAAATCTTGCTGCTGATAAGCACGCTCATAAACCCTCAGCCCCAAGAAAACTGACCTTTTTGTAATTCTTTTTGTATGGACAAAACATAGGCCCGTTCCTCCACAGGCACCTTCAATGTCGCCAATCGCCAAGATGGTCCCCGAGAAGTACTTCAAGCTCGGGAACAACCCCAACTACCAGTTTGGCGTCGACCACTCAGAGCATGATTGTCTCAATCTCAACGTCGTTGTGCCCCTTTCATCACTCAAGGAGGGCGCCAAACCGATCCCTGTGCTGACTTGGATCTATGGTGGATCCCTCCGTAACGGCCACAACGCCGTCCCTATCTATGGTAACATTATTTACATTCATTGACATGGTGTGAACAATGTGACATCCACGACGTCCAAGTGACGAAAATATTCTCACGCTCACCTTTCGTTTCTTTGTGTTATTTTTGGGTCTAAAATGACAACATAGATGCGCGCAATTTCGTCGCCCACAGTATTAAACTCAATCAACCCGTCCTCGTCGTCCAACCTAACTACCGTCTCGCCGCATTCGGATTTCTCGCCTCCAAGGAACTGCAGGAGGACATGGACGAGTATGTCCGTCAGAGCCCCACACCCATCTCTCTCTATGACCAATCCATCGGCAATTGGGGGTTACAAGATCAAAAGTTGGCATTCGAGTGGGTCCGGGAAAACATTGCTGCTCTTGGAGGCGACAGCCGAAATGTTGTTGCTTGGGGCGAATCGGCTGGATCCGTCTCGATTCACTACCACATGTTGATCCCTGCGCATTATGGTCTCTTTGACCATGCCATCCTCCAATCAGGAACAGTCGGGACTATGGCTGCAACAACCATTGAACTGCATGGACAAACGACATTCGACAACCTCCTCACCAACCTCGGTATCCCATTGGATCTCTCGGGACCGGAAAAGATCAAGCGCCTCAGAGCTGTGCCAATGGACGAGATCACTAAGGCTGGTGATACAGCAACCGCTACACTCGGATTCACGCCTATCCATGACGGGGGAAAGCTGCTTCCCTCGACAATGCCTATCCAGGCTTGGGCTTCTCTTCCTTCCTCATACGATCCCAACCTCAAGTCTGTGTTGATCGGCACCAACAAAGACGAGGGCTTTTCGTTTGCGATGGCGTATGGAGACCGTAACATGACGACTTGGTCACAACTGCTCAGCAAGTTTGCTCCCTCCCCTCAGCTCTTGCCCCTCTTCGAGTCTGTCTATGGTGTTCCCAAGTCTGACGAAGATGTTGTCAAAATCGCGGCCGACTACGTAGGAGACCTCATCTTCCAGCACCCTAACGAGCAAGTCATGGATACACTTGTGCAATTGAGCAAGGAGCGAGAGAGCAAGTTCAAGCTGGAGCGGTATCACTATGATGTCGAGACTGCCAAGATCAGCGCGTTGTTCCCAGGATGCGGGTCCATTCACGGAGCAGAGCTGCTGTTTGTGTTCAACCCACCCATGTCTGTGGCTTTGTTGTCAGAGACGGAACTGACAGTGGCTGAGGAGATGCAGAAACGGTGGATTGCCTTTGCGAACCAAGGCACAGTGTATGCGGACGGCGAGAATGTTGCTCATGTCGAAAAGGATGAGGCTGTGATTTGGAGGAAGGATTACAAAGTGGAAGTTGGAAAGGGACGACGTTTGAGCGATCAGGCATTGGTGTTCTGGGAGACTGTCACTAAGTCCAAGCTTCGCCAGATTCAGCAGAGCCTTGACGCCACCGCAAGGAAGTAAAGTAGACATCGCATAGACATCTTTGCAATACCCTGCGATACCCCTTTGCACAATAATGAAAACAGATGACCTCTATTCTCATTTGTTGTTTGCATGTAGTAGTACTCCGTCGGTCGACGATATGCATCTGTGTCAAACGCGGCGTCTCTTTTCGCCTGAGGATTCCTCTCCTCAGATCGCAGCCTTAACCTTTTCTGCACTTCACAAATCATGCCGCGCACCTTACCTCTGCACCGCCCTCGTACACTTAAAAATGCGCCACGCTCACCCTTTCCACCTTTTTCTTTACTCCTTAACCTCTTCCTGTGCTTCCTCACACAAACCCATCCAAAATGACTACTGACACATTGATATCACCCTCCCCAACTACGGCACCATCCGTGGCTCCGTCGACATCAAGCGTCAAGTCGCCATCTTCCTTAACGTGCCCTTTGTACATGTCCACCATCCGCTGGCGAGTTGCTGTCAAGCCGCAGCCTTGGACCGGTATCCGCGATGTTACAATCCAAGGGTAACCACTTTTCTCTTTCAACATTTCTACACCAAAGTGATGTGTTGTGTATGTTTCATGTTTTTCTAACAACATTTCGCTCCCGTTTTACATCTCCAGTCCTGTCCCGCCTCAAGTCCCAACTGATAACCCACAAATCGAGTACACAACCGTCTGCACTAGCACCCATACACTCCACTAATTTGGGGCTGAGCATTTAGAAGAAAAAGGACTCAACTCGAACAACTTTTGTGCCCCTCTCTGTACTGCAGGAAGGGGCCGCCTCGATCCCTGTTCTGGCGTTTATTTATGGAGGGTTTTACCGAACTAGCAATAATGCATTCCCTCCTATAGCATGTTTGTTCAAGTTGCGCGGTGTTTGGTGTTTTTGGATGCCCTTTTTCCTAGGAGGTGTACTCCAAAGAAGGTACTAACCAAAGATCGACGGATCGATTCTATTTTTTTCTCACTTTTACGTTTGTCGTGCGGTAAAAACAGTCGCTTGCAATTTCGTCGAGCACTCCGCGGGTCAACTAGGTCAACCCATCATCGTCGTCGTTCCCAACTACCACCTGGCAGTATTCGAGCTCCAAGAACACACTGAACGAACACATCTAACAATCCCCAACCCCCAATCCCGCTCGACGACTCTACGACCAATCCATCGGAAACTGGGGACTGCAGGCTCAAAAACTAGCATTCGAATGGATCCATGATAATATCTCTGCGTTTGGGGAGGCATCACAAAAAAACGTCACGGCGTTTAGGCAATCTGTAGGGGCTATTTCGTTGCATTACCATATCGTCCTCCCGGATCATCACGGCTCTTTGATCGGGCGATTCTGCAGTCTGGCCGCGATTGGGACCATGTCGACGGGGACTGTGGAGCAGATTGGGCAGTCGATTTTTGATCGTCTTTGTCGAAATGCTAAGGATCCTTGCGGATTTGTCGGCGGGGGGGGGAGGGGGGGGGGGGTTGAGAAGGTGAGGAGGCTGAGAGAGGTCCCAGTGGAGGAGTTGACAAGAGCGAGTGATGAGGGCGGGTCGAGGCTTGGGTACCGCCCTTTCCATGATGGAGGCAAGGTCTTACCATCCGACATCCCAGTCGAGACCTGGGCCGACTCGCCGTTGTCGTATGACCCTAGCCTGGAGGCGGTCTTGATTGGAGCGAACGATGAGGAGGGGTTACGGTCTCAATAGCGATTTTGGAGAGCGTGCCCTCAAGACTTGGCCCCGTTTGCTCAATTAATTTGTCCCGTCTCTAGAACTGGTCCCCATGTATGAGACTGCGTATGGTACCCCGCAGGTAGACGAGGATGTGAGCAGGATCATGGTCGAGCACTTGAGGGATACCGTGTTCCAATATCCGATCGAACGAGCATTCAACGCATTAGTCCAAGTCAAGCAAGTACGAGGAGACGAGTTCTCCTTGGAAAGATACCACTTCGAGATCACAACCCAGGCAACTCCCAACTCCTACCCCAACCCCGGATCCATGCATGGCGGAGAACTCCTCTTCCTGTTAAACCCACCCATGAACAAGGCCGTCTTCATACCTTCCGAACTGTCAGCTGCCCTGGAGGTCCAAAAACGATGGATCGCATTCGCGTACCAACAGCCAGTCCTATCCCAATCCTCTCCCTGTCCTCTCCGACGACGGCAAGGCAACGAGGGCAGAGAGGGATGAGGCAATTGTGTTGAAAAAGGAGAAAAGGTCGAGGTTGGGGGTGGGGGGGAGAGGGGGTTTATCGAGAAGTTTGTGAAAAAGAATAAAAGGTTGAGGTTGGTGGGAGGAGGGAGTTTATCGAGAAGTTTGTGGGGTTGTGGGATGCTGCGCTGGATGTTCGGATGAAGGATATTCAGGTGCCTCTAAGCCCAAGGAGGAGTAAATAAATGGTATTACTTTTTTCCCGGGAGAGGACACGCCTTTGTCGAGAGAGCCATGCGAGATGGAGATATTGTTGTTTGTTCATATCTGGCTAACCTCGTGGTCTGCCTATCCCACCAATAACCAAGTAGGGAGAAGGAGATGGGCGCGAAAATACAGCCTGTTGGCGGATGTGGCTCCAATGTCCCAATGCGCACTTGCATTGCTATGATGGTGCTTGTTTGTTTGCTGTTGGTGTTCGTTGTCTTTTGTTGGATCATTCTTGAAAAAGCCCATTCCTCGCCCTTTCTGGCATCATTCAACCTCCGACTCCTCCCTGTCTCTGCATGGGTCCATTCTTCTTAATGGTTTACCCACAGCACGAAGGGAAGGACAACAAAATAGGGGGTTATTGACAGAACAATTCGCGACATCTATTTAAACGCGACATCAATCTTCCCCTTTTTTTCTTTTCTCTTCCCTTTCATTTCACCCATCTTTTCTCCCACCCCCATTCTCCCACGCATCTTACATACATACACATCTCAGCACAAAATGGGCATTGGAGAAACGTTCGATATCATCCTCCCAAACTACGGAACCATCCGCGGTACTATCGACACCAAGGTCAATGTCGCCATCTTCCGCAACGTCCCTTACGCACATGTCCCCGAGCGCTGGCGTGTTTCTGTCAAACCTCAACCGTGGACCGGTATCCATGATGCTACCGTTCAAGGGTAAACCGACCATAAAGGCTCACACAACAAACTCCACACTCTACTTTCCGATTTGCTCTTTTTTCTCAGGAAAAAATAGACAATCACTAAACTTACTCTTACTATGACAACAACGTAATAGGCCAGTGTGCCCACAGGGACTAACAACTTACCCACTAGGAAAGATTGTCCCAGAAAAGTACCTCCAAGTCGGGACGAACCCTAAATATGAGTTTGGAGTCGACCAATCGGAGCGCGATAGTCTCAACATGAACATCTATGTACCTCTTTCAGTTCTTGAGGATGATGGACTGGGGCCTGTTCCGGTCATGGTTTGGGTCCATGGTGGAGCTCTTCGGAATGGTGCCAATTGCGTCCCTATCTATGGTGAGTTTGTTTGGTTGTTGTGAGGGTTTAAGGAGGAAGGAAGGGTGTGTGATAGACACGCTTGATTATGTTTATGGATTGCTATTGTGTTTGTCCTGACCATATTTTTTTTCACACGGATACACCAAAAATAATAGATGCAAGAAATTTTGTTGCTCGGTCAGCCGAACTGGACCAACCCGTCATCGTGGTCGCTCCCAACTACCGCCTCGCAGTCTTTGGATTCCTTGCCTCCAAGGAGCTTCAACAGGATATGGACGAACATGTCCGTCAATCTCCAACACCTGTCCCAGATTACGACCAATCCGTCGGCAACTGGGGCCTCCAGGATCAGAGACTTGCATTCGAATGGGTCCGTGAGAACATTGCGGCATTAGGAGGTAATGGACAGAATGTGACGGCATGGGGCGAGTCTGCTGGATCCTTCTCGATTCACTACCACATGTTAATCCCTGCGCATTATGGTCTCTTTGATCATGCGATTTTGCAGTCGGGAGTTGTTGGGACCATGCCGCCACAAACGGTCGAAGTGGAGGGGCAGGCTGTTTTTGACAAACTGCTCAAGGTGTTCAACATCCCCGATGATTTGGATGGATTGGAGAAGGTCAAGAGATTGAGGGCGGTGTCAATGGACGATTTGACCAACGCTGCCAATACTGCGTTTGCCACCATGACATATGGATGCTACCAAGACGGAGGAAAGCTCATCCCCTCGACCATCCCGACCCCGATACTGTCAACAACCCCATCATCTTACGATCCCAGCATCAAGTCGATCATGATTGGTTCTACCCGGGATGAAGGAACAGCATTCGCGCTTGCATTCGGAGAGGCCAAGGTCTCGAACTACCCCGCTATTGTCCAACAGTTTGTCCCCTTCCCTGACCTCGTCCCTTTATTCCAATCCGCCTACGGGATCCCCCAAACTGACTCCGAGTTCCGTATACTCCTGGACGAATCTATCGGTGACATGGTCTTCCAACACCCGATCGAGCTAGTTGCCACCACCCTCCTCGACCTCCAAAAGCTTCGCGGAGGTCCCCAACACTTTCAGCTCCTCCGATACCATTACAATGTCGCCTTAAACCGGATCCAAGAACTCTTACCGGGTCTCAACGCCATGCATGCGGGAGAACTCCCCATCATCTTTGGACCGCCATTTTCAGACCTGGTGTTGACAGAGTCCGAGTTACGGTTGAGTCGGGAGATCCAGAAGCATTGGATCGCCTTTGCAAATCAAAAGCCTATTACTGTTGATGAGAGTGGGCAGGTTGCAGATGTGCAGAATGGTGAGGCGCTTATTTGGACGGAGGACCATCGAGTGGAGGTTGGGAAGGGTAGGAAAATGAGTCCGGAGGTCCAGGCGTTTTGGGATGCGATGACAAAGGCCAAGTTGCAGCGTGTTCAGCGAGCTCTGGATCGCCCCGAGCAGTGAACAGCACCAGGTTCTTGTTGACTTGGCTGGAGGGCGGCGGTGTCAAATCCCCCCCTCAACTACATTTATTAAATATATGTTTCTACCAGCCAGTCTCAAAATAAAATATAAAGGTGAGCTTCCTCTCTGTGTATAACAAATATGTTTAAAGGGATGTCCGCATGGAAGGGAAGGTAGGGCGTGACGGTGACATTGAAGTGGGAGCCACGCATGATACGTGACACAGTGTGCGATTCATTTTTTTCTTTGATCAACTACCTTTATCGTCCTTTGAATGTGAACGACAGGGAAGGGAAAAAAAAGTGAGGAGTAAAGGTGAACGTGAAATGGAATGAGTGGCTCATGGTGGATCAAGGAAGAAGCAAGAATAGGACACATTGAAAGTGAATCTAACCAGACCTAGATCTTTCGCGATAGGCTATCGCATGGTGGAGGTATTGGCGGCGACTTTTTTTTTTTGAAGGCGTGACAAAAACAAGGGGGAAATGATAGAGAAGACGATGGTAGGTACTCTAATCCAAGAGTGTGATGTTGAGGAAGAAGAGAACCAGGCATCTTCTCTGTGTGTGTCGACATAGCGACCAACGAAATGGCAAGCCAACTGAGCAATTCCAGAGGCTCAGAGTCTAGGAGAGAAATTTCGCTCTATTGGATTTTGGACGGAAGGAGACAATGGCCTACGGATTCTGCTTGACAAGAATAGAAATATAACTGCACGCACCCTGCCATTGTCCATCTTGGAGGGAAACAAACAAACCATCTGTCCTCCCTGCCATTGTCCATCTCGGAGGGAAACAAATAAGCTATCTATCTACGCTGCCATTGTCCATCTCGGAGGGAACAAATAAGCTATCTGTCTATCCTGCCATTGTCCATCTTGGAGGGAAACAAAAAGCTTTATGTCCACCTGGCGCATTTTTTTGGTTGATGCCTCTGTGGCAATCATATCCGATTCCTAGAAACTTTCATAAAAGGTGTCCTCTCCGTTCCATTCCATTTTTTCTTTCCCCTACATGCCATTCTCACTCGCGCATAACTCACTTACTGCTACATTAACTTCTGACCGTTACTTTTCATCATGGTTGTCATATCCCTCAAACCACTCTTCCTATCTGCCTCGCTAGCCTCCTTAGCTGCAGTCGCCACAACAGCCCAAACAACAGCAACCTACACTCTCCCTCCTCACCCTTCGCCAACATCAACTTCATCCCCACCAACCTATGATGCATGCGGCATCCTCGGCACAACCCCCACCCTCGAAATTACCTACAACCGAATCGCAGCATGCTACAAATCCGTCCCTTTCAACAGTCAAGTCGCAGTCACTGCCCTCGAATCAATCATGACCATCTTCAAAGACTTTTATATCTTCCGCGACTCGGCCCTCGCTTCCAACCTTGCTTCGCCCTTTTCAGTGGGTCCGGTAGATATTCTGAGGAAGTTGGAGACGATTGGAAGGGCAAGGTATACGGGTGACCACCAGTTCCATCATGACTTGTCGTTGGCGATTATTAGCCTTAAGGATGCCCATGCTTCTTATGCTGGTGAGTACTTACTGTTGTACTGTATGTTGCTTCTGACAATGTCTGTGCTTCTTTCCTTCTCGTTAACTCACATGCCCTCCTTTTGTTCCTCATCCAATTGTTAGCCAAATGCTACAACAACTACCTTTTCTCACAGCCCTTGACTCTTTATGCACCTGTTGTGAACGGTCAGCAGGTAAAAACTACAATAACAAACAACATACGCAATGTCTAACGGTCACGACAAAAAAAAACGATGCTCACACCGTTTGATATCTTTTGGTTGACAACCATTAATGTAGGTCATCCAAGTCTACTCGGACTATTCCAGCAGAAATTACGACGGATGTACGGTGCAAACCATTGACGGAGAGGACGCATTGACACATATCAACGCCTGGGCTGATGCCAACATGGACTTTGCCAAGGATGCCGGCGTCCAACTGAACAATGCCCTGGCGTCCCTGAAATTCGATCCTACCAGCAGAACATTCGAGATAGTCGACGGGGACTTTTCCTTGCGCACCATGCTCCCCGAAAAGGCACATATTGACTATGGTCTTGTCTGCCCCAACTCGACCACTGTTATTCCTATCCGAGACGCCTGGAGCATTTTTCCTTTGACTGAGATCGAGTTTAGTAGTATCCAGACCTTTGTCCAGAACGTCTGTGAGACTCCTCCTATCACCTCGAATGGTTCCCGTAAGAAGCGCCAACTCTTTCAACCAGAAGAACATCCTTTGATCCCGCAAGTCAAGAAGAATCCCTTCAAGCAGGCGAACATCATTGTCAACGATGCTGCCGGTCTTCCTTCACAAGAACACATCAAGTCCGCCGCCGTTTTTGGTACCCCCGGTCAAGCAGCAGTCGTCTACCGCCTCGATCAGAGACCTGATGTGGGTGTTGTCCACGTCTGGACTCACGACATGGATGACGATATTGCAGAGTTGACCAATCTTGCCAACAACCTTGTTACTCTCTCCCAGAACGGCGTCCGCAACATCATCATTGACTTTCAGGGCAATTTTGGCGGTCTCGTCAGTTTCGCCTCGACATTGGTCCAGCTGTTCTTCCCGAACAAAGGCCCTCTCGACAAGACCTTCACCTCCAGCCTTCGTGTTACAGAGTCGATCCAACAGCTGTCAACCGCGTTGTGGAACTCTTCCAGTAGCCTCTATGACGCGACAAGCTTTTACGACTATGCGGGTCGAAACCTCTACACCGATAACGACCTCTTCATGAACGCGACCACTTCGATCCGCAACGGCCGTAGCGCCAACTACACCGAGACCACCACTTTAAAGCCCACTGTCCTCTCAGCTATCCAAGAATTGGCCTCCTTACCTTGGACAAACAATGCCTCCAACATCCGTCTCCTAACCGACGGCCGCTGCGGCTCCTCCTGCTCCATGTCAACCTTCTTTCTAACTCAATTCAACAAGGTCATCTCCTACGCCGTCGGCGGCACATTCGGTGAACCCCTCTCTTCCTCCTCCTTTCCCGGTGGTGCTGTCACGTCGCTGAACAAGGTGTACGATTTATATGTTGCTGCGAATGTCCCCAGTCCGTTCAAGCCCTTGCCATATAATGGAGATGTCCGGTACCCGGCCTTGGAGGTGTTTGCGCCTGGTAGTAATGTGCCACTGGAATATGATACAAAGTACTTTGGGTCGGATTATCGGTTGGATTATACTCCGCAGAACTCCAAGAGGCGTGAAGTGATGTGGGAGCAGGTCGCTGCCTCTGCCTGGCCATTATAAATAACGGCCATGGCCAATTGGCCCCAAGGTCATGTTTTTATTATGTTCGCTTTTTTCTTTATTCCTTCGTCTTTGTAAAAGAAATAGAACAAGCACCTTTTGTTTTTTATTTGAGTATGGTTAGCATGACCTTGAATCTGAGTGTATTTCGCTGAATGGATTCAGGATCTTAATAAAGAAAGGAGAGTTGATTTCGTTCCCTGAATGCGTTACCATGGCTTTCTCTTTACCTCATTACCCTCTCACCCCCATACCTCTACCCTCAATACTCCCACGCATCTACCCTCAATACCCTCCAAAAACCCTAAAAAACCCTAAAAAACCTTGTGCCAGGAAAGGCGAGAATGAATATTCAGCACCGCAATCCACTACGTGAGAGACAAGCTCCTCGCAGGAGATGGCTCAAGAACCTGGATGCTATCATTGGCTGCCACTTGATGATGGTCTACCAACACCGCCCCCGTCTCGCTTCCGTACCCACAACTTTCTCCAGGGACCTCTGAAGGTCCGTGACAAAGTCATGACAGCTCGGTATCTCGTCAAACCGAAGCACAAGCGTATGATCTACAGCCACTACCGCACAAGCGTACTGTTAGGCAAAGGCAAAATCTGCTTCAAGGATACTTTTCGAATGAACACGGCCCAGTTTCGATTCATCATCGATTTCATCAAGTATGCCACCGTATTTAAAAGTCGAGCGAGGAAGCCGAAAAACACCTGTGGCGGAATAGCTGAATGTCACCCTTCATCGTTTCTGTCATGATGGATCCTTGTCCTCGCGGATTGTCGTAGGACGACAACTCGGTGACTCTGTCGGGTCGGGTCGGTCGCTATAGTAGGTGATGCGCGAGTGCACTGTGTTTGCTAAAAAAAAAAAAGCACTTTGTCAAGTGGCCCCAGCGAGCAAGAAAAATACCAAGATCAAGCAAACGTCTGGGCAAAGGGAGTTTTTCCGTGACGCGATTGGGGCTGTTGACGGCACGATGATCCCCCTAATTCTGAGTGCCCTACCTTCGACAGAGACACTTTTGCCACAAGGAAGAGCAAACCTTTGCCATGGATGCTACTGGCGTCTGCGACCACCGAGGGGGGTTTTACCTTTTTTCTACACATGATACGTTGGCACAAGACACAACTCTGCAGCATACAAAGACATTCCACTGTACAAAAAAAAAAAGTAGGGACGATTTTTTCAGGAGATGAACATCTCGCTTGAAGACGCCGCTTATGCTCTGACACCAACCGTTATCACCGCCTACAAAAGGGGAAACGCCAACCGTCCCCCACCGACACTAGTGAAACTTATCACTTCGATCCTCCCGGGTGAAAATCGAACATTGGTTTGGTTAAAGGGTCGCTTTTTTCGTCTCTCAATCACCTTCATACGACGGATCGTTCAGTATATTCATGCATGCGTCGTGATGCGCAATAATATTATGTCGCACCCGGAACTCTACTCAAACTCCGAGGGCAGCAGCGACGATAGCAACAGCAGTAGCGATGAAAGAGACAGCGACGACGACAATGGCAGTGACGGTGAGGAGGCAGAGGAACACGACGCAGATCTTCCAGATAACAAGTGTATATTGATTACCCATGGCATGAGTTTGAAAGCGTAGCTGAGAAGAATAGATTTGAAAGGCACCAAAGGACCCTTAGTCAAAGAAAAAGGAAACGACTCAGAGAACACATGGAATAAATATCAACTATTTATTAACTTAGATAGCTTGGCCACCTTTTGGCTAAGCTTTTGGGACTAACCGTCGGTGTCCTGCGTTGTGGCGAGTTGGGCCGAGGTGGAGGCGAGCTGGGCTGAGGTTGAGGTGAGTTGGATCGAGGTTGAAATGGGCTGAATAGAGGTTGAGATGAGTCTGACAGACGTACAACATCCGATTCGCGCTCAGACATCAATCGCTCTCGCTGAAACGCTATCTCCATTCCTGCTTGCACCTTGGCGATAGCCTCAGCCTTTCTCGCTTCGATTTCTGCCAATCGCAATTTGAAATCCAGCTCTTTCTCCTTGAGGCGGGACTCGATCTCCTTCATCCTGACTCGTTCCTGTATCTCTGCTTTCTGGTACTCTAGCAGCGCTGATACGCGTATCGCCTTGATCAGTTCCTTGATATCGTCTGTCACCTCTCGCTTGGACGACTTTGGCTTCTTTGGCATCCTGGTACTCGAAGATGGGTCGCCATCCGCTGCTCTCTGTTGTTCTTGTTGATGATTAGTCCTCTGCGAAGTAGTCGCGATTGAGCGGTCAGTATAGTACGCGATCGAGCCGCTGCTAGGACAGACAATCGACGGTACCTCACCAAGGGCTCGTCTTCCTCTTCCTGCGACCAAGTTCCATCAACACTATCAAAATCACCATTACAATCCGACTCATCCTCCCAATTCAGACTCGCATGATACTCGCTTTCGTCCTTACCTTCCTGATCCTCCTCCTCCGCTTCCGCTCCGGTATCGCTATCGATGTCTTTTCGGGGTGGGTCGTCTGTGATGAAATCGTCCTTCAAATCCGTCGTCGAGTCTGCATAACGCACCACGCCATTGCTCCACTTCCGACCCCAAACCGGAAGCAGTTCGAAATAGCAACTGCGTTCGCTTTCGATGGCAGCCTTCCAAGACTCTGACTCTGTGCTGCCAAATCCAGAAGAGGACCGAAGGGTGTGCGCTGCCTTAAATGCGGCTTGAAGGCGATAGATTTTGTTCTTGATCCCATTGCCGTTGGAGGCGGTTCTGTAGACTCCCTTGGAGTGCTGGATCGCGAATTGCTTTTTTTGTTGAGCTCCTCAGCCAGTTGCCTGTAAATATCAGACTAGGGCAGCATCAGACTCCCTTTTGGTTTTTTTCTGGCAGCCTGAAGTGGAAGATAAATGGAGGAATCCTTGAGTCGTGCAACCAGCCAACTCTCTCTTTCAGATCCATCCTTGAAAGCGGACTCAACAGCCTCTTGAGTTGACGATGAAACAAGCACGGAGACAGCACGTTTCTTGCCTTGGGTCTGTGAACGAGGAGCGGGAGGGGAGGCCATTTCTTTGCGTTTGTTTGATGCAGACTAGGAGGAAGTGTTAGTGGTTGTGGTCGTCTTGGAGTTGCGATGGGACGACGCGGCTGTGTTGACCTTGGACTGAAAGGACGGGATGGCCATAGCTGGTTGTTGTTGATGGGGCCTGTGGGTGGAGGGATTGGGGCTTTCTCGAAGTAAAGCGGATGACGCGGGGTCAGTCGAAGGAGGGTTGGGCAGGGCTGAAATCAAGAGGTTTGGAGCTATCACAGGGCGAGAAATGTATGGGTTTGTTGTGATGGGGAACGAGGTGTTGGTAGTAAACTGTTGGTTGGAAAAAGAATACTGTGCCTGATTGAACGATGGAATAGCTGTTGTCAAACGCGTTGAAGTTGATGAGAGAGTGGATTGAAGAACCGATTCAGAATCAGCTGACCTTCCAACCAATCAGAATCTAAGAATAACACGCTGATCGAATCAATCATTCCATTTTTACCTCTTTCAAAACTCATTCACTAACCATCATGCCCAACCAAAAAGGAATCACCATGCGCAAACACGAATCAAAGCAAAGAAACAGGAGCCATCAGCAACCATCCCGAACAGACAGGACACAGCACTCTCCAAAACGAGTTGACAGAGGGGAGTACGACCCAACAGGAGCCATCGATGAGGCTCCAACATCGTTTCCCGACCTGCCAATCGAGGTGCAGACCTTGGTCGGACAGTTTTTCACCCAGCATCAATTGACTGTCTGCGTACGTGTCTGTCGCGCCTGGAAGACATTGTTCTACCCTATCCTTTGGAGACATGTTCAGGATTCGGCAGCAAGCACCAAAAGGCGATGGACGCCCAGGAGAGACGACATGCTTTTGATGTGCGCGGCTAGGGGAGCATTGAGGACAAATGGCCATCTGATCCAATTGTTGAGACTCGAGTGCAGCGACGTGGAGTTCCCAAAACTCCTGGAATCCCAACTTCCACCGACTCTCCCCCAGTTGACTTCGATCGAGTTCATTGGCGTGAGCGGCACCGACAGCGCGATTGCCAACGTTTTACGACGGAGAACTGCAGGATGGAGGTCGATCATCTTCCGCGCCAACCATCCCTACATGAGACCCCGATTTTCGAACGAGTCGTTTAAGGAGGTGCTCAAGCACGCGTCGACGCTGGAGGTTCTGCGGATAGAGGGTGCATGGTGCCTAGTTAGCAAGGAGATCCAGGAGTTACTCTGCGGGCTGCCCAAGCTCAAGGAGTTCAATCAACTTGGTGCCTGCAGCCACGAAGTGCCGCCGGATCCTTGGTTGGATGCAACTGATATGGTGGCGTCAGAGTGGAAATGCACTGACCTGGAGGTCTTTGGCTGCGAGATCAACGGACTGCGACGGCCACCTAAGCCTGTCAACGAACATGTGAGTACACCCACCAAGACCAAAGCGGAACAGGATAGCATCGACCTTCAGCGGGGTGTGTGTGCACAGCTCGGAAAGCTGACAAAGTTGAAGGAGCTCATTTTACGAGCTCCTGCCCCGACCTTTGAAAACAATCACACTCACGACTTCCCACGCGACACTCGCGACTGCCTTGCTCTGGGCCTCGAGACAGGACTGCACTTGTTGGTAGATCTCAAGGATCTGAGGAAGGTCGGACTGGAGGATATGGATGTTGATATTGGCAACTTTGCAGAGCAGGCCTGGGTGGCGCATAACTGGCCTCATACGACGATTCGATACCCAGGAAACCCAGAGGCAGGTCCACACATTAATGAATATGCACCCGACACGGATTCGGAACCGGAGGATGACGATGACAATACCAACTACGAGTACTTGGATTTTGAGGAGTATGGGTATGATGAGCTGGACTATGATGCCTATGATGGTGTATATGGTGGATACCATTGGGGTGATGGCTATCCTGACTATGATCCAGACTATGGGGGCTTCTAGACCAGTATTGTCGCGAAAGAAAATACAATGTCGATGTCGGACCTTTTCTCTTATTTCCTGTGAACCATGTCGTTTAGCTCTTTTTCTGATTTCTCGAGACACAGGGTTTATAATGTCACGTGTACACACCCAATACAAAAGGGTGCATCGTCATTATGCTCTTTGTTCTTACCATCCATCCATCAACAACAACCAACCAAGCAGGAATCGACAACATGGACGCAACAACATCGTTCAACGACCTCCCGGTGGAAATCCAAGAAAAAATCGCACCCTTTCTCAACCGTCGCGACCTGGCAGCCTGTGTCCGAGTATGCCGATCCTGGAAGAGACTTTTCCACCGCCAACTCTGGAGTCATATCGACCTTTTCTGGCACGAGGACGACAAGGCGTGGCAGAAAAGAGTTTGTCTCGGATTGAAGACCAACAAGGAGCTTGTCAAATCCCTCAAGCTGACACTGAAAGCTGACGACCTCCTTCCTTCGTTTCTGAAGCGATGCCCAGTCCCCTTTCCGAACCTGACGTCGGTAGAACTCGTGGCCCCGTTTGAGGAGGACTATTATGACGAGTGGCTGGCAGGATTCATCAACATCACCATGGACGTGTGGAAGCGGATTGTGTTCCGCAAGGCCATGGGCTGCTTTGACCTTGTCGAATTCGACCAGAACCCGTTCGAGAAATTTCTTCGACTCGCCGCGCCAACGCTGGAGGTCTTTCGCACCTATGATGTGTCGTTGGTCTCAATGTGGCAGGTCCACGAACTGCTCTGCACAGCACCTAACCTCAAGGAACTGTACATATCTGGAGGCCTGGACAACACGCCCGAGAACTGGCTGGATTCGAATGATATTGAGACGTCAGACTGGGTTTGCTCGAATCTTGAGGTCTTTGGCTGCCGCATTGGAGGAATCCCGCGGCCGGATATCACCCGCGACATCGAAGACAGTCCTGCAAGCGAGCATGTCTTAGAAGGAACTACTCAAGAGAGCATCAATCACCAGCGCGAACTGTACAGCAGTCTCGCCCGATTCACAAAGCTGCGGGAGCTCACACTGGGCTTTCCACTTGATCCTCGTGAGGTTCGGGACGACAAGAGGTACAAGGAGCACTACCAGCAATATGACTGTCTCGCCATGACATTGGATAGCGGGTTGGATCTGTTGAAGGGACTCAAGGATCTGCGGCTGGTTGGACTGGTGGACATGGAGATTTATATTGAGGGTGAGAAGGAACAGGCTTGGTTTGCTGAGAACTGGCCTCATGCGACGATCAGAACTAAGGACGATGCGGAGTACCAGGATAGCGACGATAGCGACTCATACAGCTGGAGAACTGATGATGATGAATAAAAACAAAGTATCGCGTTTTCTTTGCAATTGATAGTTTCGACAGTACGTACCCATTGTCATTAATTAGAGCGAGTTGGCGGTTTACATGGGGGTTTAGCGCGTTTGTTTTGTTCATGGTATTCGAGCGTTTTCTTTTTCTCCATTACACAAAACAACATCAGTTTTTGTATTCAATGACCAAGAAACCAACAGATGCACACAACCATGGATACGACTTTCATTCAACAAGCCTTTACCGGTCGAGGTTTCAAGAAACCTCCGTCGCGCTCTTTTCTCAACCCAGTACGACCCTGAGCGTTTTTTTTTTTTATATGCGCGTTTTTGTCGAGCATGGAAACTACTATTCACACCCCCCACCTCTGGGGAGGCTTAGTGACACTCGTCTGGAGCGCCAAAGAGCGGCGTTCTGGAAAGACACACTTTTGTGACCCCCGCTCAAGCCTTTTTTTTTTTTTTTTTCTTCTTCCTGTAGAGTGGAGCAAAATAGTTACGCCACCAATTCTACTTTCGGCGTTTTTTAGTTTGTGAAGTTTTGGATATGAGGAGGTTTACATTTTCGAGGCAAAGAACTGGCTCGCTCGTGGTGATTAGAGGTCTAAGCGGCTTGCCAAGATTCTGAACAACGAAAGCAACTCTGGGATCGGAGTGCGGTCCCTTACAAGCTACGATTTGAATAAAAGATATGTGTTTGATTGCCTTGGCCTGCGCCGAGAAAATGAAAGTGGTCGAGACTCAGGGGTTTTTGTGGTGATTTGGAGTGGCTTAGCTTCTGGTGGCCATTTCGCTATTTTACGCGCTTGCCTGCGAGTGTCTGGAAAAGCACGATACGAGCAGGTCTTGAGAGTTACTGTCTTTATTCGCGATATTGAGAGGGAGCACATACACACACACAGACACACACACACACACACACACACATCACACACATATATACATACATCCTTTTCCTCGTCTGCCGCTATTCGAGTTATGCCCGTTGACCCCGAAGATACTCCTTTGGATACAGGAGTTGCCGAGAGAAACTCCACTCTCCCTTCTCCCTCTCCCTCGACAAGTGACCCTGTTCAACCGGGCACTGACGCCAACGACTCGGTCAGCCAAGGGCAACTCCCTCCAAGACCCCCACATTTTTGATGTCACGTGTACACACCCAGAACGAAAGGGTGCATCGTCATTATGCTTTTTGTTCTTACCCATCCATCCATCAACACCAAGCAATCAAGTAGGAATCGACACCATGGACGCAACAACATCGTTCAACCACCTCCCAGTGGAAATTCAAGAAAAAATCACACCCTCTCTCAACCGTCGCGACCTGGCAGCCTGTGTCCGAGTATGCCGATCCTGGAGGAGACTTTTCCACTACCTACTCTGGAGCCATATCGACCTTTTCTGGCACGAGGACGACAAGGCGTGGCAGAAAAGAGTTTGTCTCGGATTGAAAACCAACAAAGAGTTTATCAAATCACTCAAGCTGACACTGGACGCCGACGACCTCCTTCCTTTGTTTCTGAAGCAATGCCCAGTCCCCTTTCCGAACCTGACGTCGTTAGAACTCGTGGCCCCGTTCCAGGAAGACTTTGATGTGGAGTGGGCGGCAGGACTCATCAACATCACCACGGGCGATTGGAAGCGGATTGTATTCCGCAAGATCAAGGAACGCATTGACCCCGTCGCATTGGACCAGAGCCTGTTCGAGGAATTTCTCCAACACGCTGCGCCAACTCTGGAGGTCTTTCGCATCTATGATGTGTCGTTGGTCTCAATGGAGGATGTCGCCGCACTGCTCTACACAGCACCAAACCTCAAGGAGCTTTACATATCTGGAGGTGCGGACAAGACGCCCCACAACTGGCTGGCCACCAACGAGTGTTCAGAAGAGTGGGCTTGCTTGAATCTTGAGGTCTTTGGCTGCCGTATTGGAGGGGTCCCGCGGTCGGATATCGACATCCGCGATGGACCTGCACTCAATTGTATCATATATGGAACTACTCAACATAGCATCAAAACCCAGCGCGAAGTGTACGCCAGTCTCGCCCGTTTCACAAAGCTGCGGGAGCTCACACTGGGGTTTCCACTTCATCCTGACATCGACGATGAGTACGCTGAGTTCTACCGGCAATACGACTGTCTCGCCATGACATTGGATAGCGGGTTGGATCTGTTGAAGGGGCTTAAGGATCTGCAGCTGGTTGGACTGATGGACATGGAGGTTTACATTAAGGGTGAGAAGGAACAGGCTTGGTTTGCTGAGAACTGGCCTCATGCGACGATCAGTACTACGGACAGAGCGGATTTCTACTATAGCGACGATAGCATCAATAATAACAATAGCGACGACAGCGACGATAGCGACGATGGCAATGATAACAACAATAGCAGTGATAGCGCCGACAGCAGTGATAGCGCCGACAGCAGTGATAGCGCCGACAGCAGTGATAGCGACGACAGCAGTGATAGCGACGACAGCAGTGATAGCGACGACAGCAGTGATAGTGACGACAGCAGTGATAGTGACGACAGCAGTGCTAGCGACGACAGCAGTGATAGCGATGATAGCGACGACAGCAATGATAGCGACGGCCGACAGCAATGATAGCGATTCAGACCTAGAGAACTGATGATGAATAAAAACAAAGTATCGCGTTTTCTTAGCATTTGATAGTTTCGATGGAACGTACCCATTGTCATTAATTAGGGCAAGTTGGTGGTTTTGCATGGAGTTTTAGCGCATTTGTTTTGGTCATGGTATTCGAACGTTTTTCTTTTTCTCCATTACACAATACAGTATCAGTTTTCGCATTTAATGACCAAGAAAACCAACATGTGCAAATAACCATGGACACGACTTTTATTCAACAAGCCTTTAACGGTCGAGGTTTCAAGAAACCTCTGTCGCGCTCTTTTCTCGACCCAGTACGACCCTGAGCGGGGGGTTTTTTTATATGCACGTTTTTGTCGAGCATGGGAACTACTATTCAAACCCTCACCTCTGGGGAGGCTTAGTGACACTCGTCTGGAGCGCCAAAGAGCGGCGTTCTGGAAAGACATTTTTTGTGGCCACTCATGGCCACCCCCCTCCCTTTTTTTTTCACCAAACATTTACGCCACCAATTATATTTTCGGTGGATAAGGGAGGTTTACATTTTTGAGGCGGCAAGGATAGGTTGGGCAAAGAACTAGCCAGCTCGTGGAGATTAGAGGTAACTCTGGAGGTCGGAGTGTCTACTGTTACAAGCTACGATTTGAATAAAGAAATGCGATGCATTTATTATTGTCTTCTGTCTCTGATTGTTGCTTTGGCTGGCGAGAAAATGAAAATGCGCTCTTCGCCGCTGGAGCACTTGCCTACGAAAATGAGGGTCAAATTAGCGACGATCAACAAAGACACTCCAACAAGTTCCGTCTAACAAACGCATTTTATTATATTTTTTTTTATCGAGGAAAGAAAAAACGTTGTATGGCTTTGCCCTTTCCAGAAGGACAAAAAAGCCTCTGTCAACCCCACCCCTTTCTACAAATCAAACGACATCAGGTCAACTCCACCGCTCTTGTTAGCCTGCGATCCACTGACAGCACCAGTATCCGTACGGTAGGGGTTCTCAGCATTAATCTTTTGCTCATAGTACTCTTGGTTTCCAATCGAAGCCTCGGCAACCTGGTCAAATGACTGTTCATGGTAAGACAAGCGCTGATGCTGAGGCTGCTTAGAGGACGACACAAACTCGTCCAGACCACCATTACCATCGTCTTCGTCAGACCGGGAGGACTGCATATTGTTGGATAGGCCCTGTGGGAATTGTGCGCTGTTGTTAAGGCTGCTGTATGAATCCTGATGTTGGAGTGTGCGTCCAACGTTGTAGTTCTGTCGCCGTAATGTGGGCGAGGGGATCAAGAAGCGAGGTTTGCAGTGGGGGATGAAGGTTGTGGGTGCCTTGTGGTAGATGGCTGAGAGGGACGCAATGTGGAGTAAAAGCTCTTCCAGCAAGACAGGGTCCATGTTGTCTGTCTCTGTCGAAATGTGAGGTTTCTCCGACAATACTACAGCCTAAAAAGTAAAAAAAAAATGTCAAAGGTAGTCAGTATTGAACCCCTAGTAAGATGTCCATAATCATGCAAAAGGCCACACGTAAAGTAAAGAGAAGAATGTACCTTGGCGGCGGCGACGTCGGTGGAGAGCAGACGCCAGTAGATGTAGCCACGGTCTCTGAGATCAGGGTTGTCGACCTCCTCGGTAGCCCACTTGAGCACCTTGGGGACCAGATCCTGTCCAGCAGTCGGCCGCTTGATGAACAACTTGACGGTGGCGGTCAAAAGTGCCAACTGGACTTCAACTGTCTCTTCCAGGAACGTGTAGAGGAAGTCATCCAGGAGCTCGTCCGAGTTCTCGATTCTGTCCGCATATTGTCCAATGATCCAGATCATTGCCGCCTTGGCCTCGGGCTCGTCCAAGTTATCCAAGTTCTCGCAGAGAACTCCAATGATGCTCTCGTACTGGTTGGGGTACTTTCTGAAGATATCCTTGATGACAACAATTGACTCCTGAACGACATAGTTGACCTTGGTCTGGATCAACTCCAGCAACGCCTCGACACACCGCTGAGCAGTCGACTCAATCTTGACAGCCAAACGTCCGATCGAGCGAACCGCCTTCCTGACAAAGTCAACATCGATCTCGGTCGCATATTCCTTGAGTTCCGACAAGACCTGTTCGACATTGTTCTCGCTCGCCAGTCTGAACATAATCTCCAGCTTAGCCATCTTAACGTAGATAGGGTCGTTGTATTTGCAGAAAAAGATCTTGATGTCGTTCTTCAAGATCTCAGGGTGCTTCTGGATGACCAAGAGAATGTTGCGCAATCCGACGTATTGAACCTCAGGTCCGCTCGACAACAGTGTCACTATTGAAGTTGCCAATGCGTATAATATGCCCAAGGTTAGTCCCTGTATTTCACATCACGTCCTGTGTCATGACCCTGAACATCCATGAGGGCCGAAAGTGAAGCTTACCAAGAGGAGGGGAGAGCTTCTTGCACATGCTGAGGATATCCTCCTCCTTGGACATGTAGTTCATTAGGTACACAATGACCTTGACGGCTGTCAGGACGACAGCCGAGTTGGCGTGTTGCAGACGAGGGGCAATACGCTCAGCCAACATCTCTGCATCACCAGGTTCCTGAGGAACGACAAACATGAGTGATTCCAGGATATAGGTCTGTCCCCACCTACATGCAAAAAAAAAAGTACGCGTTAGAGTCCAGCGAGAAGAAATGATTAAATTACGATCCTCAGGTTAAAAATATCGTGGAGAAAAGCCTCCTTGGTGCTCACAAACGGACAAAATAGACGATCGCATATAATTAAAAACGTACTCTGAACACTCGTTCAATGCTGTTACCAGCTTGCTGGCAATCGACATGTTCAGTTGGAGCTGGATATGGTCTGAACGCTCAGAGATCTCTGTAAGTGCTGCCACAGCATTCGCAACCACCTATTTCACATTCAAACAGGTACAATCTTAGTTGGTTGAAGACGCAAAAAGGGCAGGCAGCAAAAGCAACTGAAGCGATTATCGAGGCAAGTATACAACTCGTACCGAAGGGTTCGAGTCAACGAGCATCTCGCGCAGGAGATCAATGAATCCTGCGTTCTCGACCAGATGGCGATCCTGCATAAACAACTTTGCGACACACACAGCGGCAGTTTTGCGAACGTAGGGATCCTGGTCGCGCATGCAGTGGCGCAGGGGCTGAATCAGGCATGATGTGACCTTGTCGACATGGATATAGCCCATTGTCCTGATAGCCAATGCTCTGATCAACGGGTTTGGATCCTCCACGTCCTATTATTGTTGTAATGAAAGAGTGGTTCTTCAATGAGTTACTTCTGTTCGTCTATTTCCTTTGTACGACCAGAGGGATGATAATGCCAACCAAATATAAATCTGGTGCTCTCTCTTTTTCGCCTTCCTTCTGGCTCGCTGAGCTTACCCGACGGAAGGTCTGGATAGCCTCATAGGCCATCTCGGGTTTGGCCTTGGCATAGTTGATCAAGAAGAGGTAAACCATCTTTTTGACCTCGAGGACGGGGATGGACATGCAGGCGATGACGTCTGGGTGGAGGGAGGACATGTCGTTTCCCATGGTCATGTTGGCGACGATTTTTTTGAGTGTCTGCTTTTTGCGGGTGTAGTTCCTATCCTTCTTGTCAGAGTTGAGCTCTAGACGCAGCTCCTGGATCTTGCCTATTTATTCATGCAAAGGGTTGAAGTGGTGGGTGAGTTGGTATGGGCGTGTGCGGTTGTGTAGGTCATGTGGATGGTTGAGAAGAGATGATGATAAGAAGAGCGAGTGAAAGAAAGTACCTCGCTGGAAGAACTTTGCATCGGACATGGATGAGTTGTGGGTGGGGTTGAGGGAGATGCCGGGGACGAGCAGTTTGATGGGAAGTGTGGAAGTGTGAAGGATGGAGTGGAGAAGGGATAGAAAAAGGGGATGTTGAAGGAGAAGTATGAAGAGGGAGGTAAAGGGCGGTGGAGGTGGAAGGTGGAGAAGGGAATAGGGAAGAGGCAAGCAAGTAATTAATTGTCTGGGTGAATTGGCTGTTCCTGGATGAAATGAATTCAAAAAAGTGGGAGCAGCCCAAACCTGACAGCACAAAGCCACTTCTCCCTTGTCACTTGGCCCACTCCCCACCTTCACCCCTTCTTCGTTACTTCAACCCAGGCGCGTTCTGCCACTTCTCTCTTACCTTCCTTCATCACTCCCCCATTCATACATCACACAGACACATGGAAACACCAGAACCGCCTCTTGGCCTGCTCGGAACAACCGCCACAACAGGGCCCACGGGCTTGCCCGAGGGTCTAGCAACACCCGTCCAAGGTGGCTCACTCGCTCGCAGGACATCCCAGAAGCGCCAGTCACTCACGGGACTCAAGTTCCTCAACGAGCTCCTCGATGACCACGACCACTACCACGACAGCGACCCCACAAACGTACCGTAATACACATCTCTTTACACGCAATGAGTACTCGTCCATTCAACGAAACAGAACTGGACGTCGTCAGAACTGCAACGTGGCATCTCTTGGGCGCATACCAACAGAAGCAGATGACAACCAAAAAGTCTGACCCAACTACGCTCTGCACTTCACGCCTATGAACCCCATAGGTCACAAGCCCACTGTCACCAAAAGCTGAACAAGAAGCAGTACCGCTATCATTCCAAGATGATCTCGCCTTTGAGCAGGTCGGAGGTAACGCTCTTCTCAATTGGCACCAACTGGTTGATCGTTGTAGCAGTTTATCGCTTCAAGCACCATTGCTAACACTTCTGCCTTCTGATCTGCAAACATCATGTAGATCGCATTTCAGAGTTCCAGGAAGACGAGTTTGTGAAGCAAGCGCTGGCCAAAGTTAGTCTTATATTCTCCTCACTGCCCTTTTGCTACGCTAATTGACACCCCGAACATTAATCGAATCTTTTGAACGTCACTATGAAACTTCTAGGGAATGGATCTTCGGGAGTATGCACACCACATCGAAAGCGAGCTGGATATCGTTGGACAGGATCATGAGGACGACTGTAAGCAATTGTGGCGAGGACCTGAGGAAGCAATTGACCCTTGCAGACTTCAAGTTGAAACGCTAGAGATTGGCTGACACGATATCCTCGACTTTTCACCTACCCTTTTAGACGTTCATCAGAGCCAAGCGTTCGTGGATCTTCATGGCCAGATCAAGTCGTGCGATGAAATCCTGGAAACCATGGAGAACCTTCTCAGCATCTTTCAGACAGACCTGGGCAACATCTCGACCGAAATTCAGACCCTTCAGACAAAGTCGGTCAAGATGAGCGTTCAGCTCAAGAACAGGATGGCGGTTGAAAGCCAGTTGAACGAGTTACTGGAGGGCATTTTGGTCACCCCACAATTGATCCGCAAGATCTACGACGGCGAGGTCGACGACACTTGGCTGGCGGCACTTGGAGACCTGAACAGCAAGATGTATCACGCCAAGGCACGGCAGGGCAGGCACATTCGCGCTTTGAAGGAGGTTGGACCTGAACTGGAGAGGCTACGTATCAAGGTGAGCTTACAGACATCAACTGCGACACGGACAAATGAGTATAGCCATCATCCAGAAGGAATTCATCAAAGTTCCTAACAAAGTTGTACATGTGGTCAACTGATAGACCGTGGAAAAGATTCGGGAGTTCCTGCTCGCAAAAATTAAGTCGTTCAGGATACCCAACACCAATGTCCAAATCATGCAGCACTCTGTCCTTTTAAAGTATAAGGAGCTCAATCAGTTTGTGATGGAGAGGCACAGTGAGGTTGCCGCAGAGATCCGACAGACCTACGCCAACACCTTGCGGTGGTACTTTTCCAACCAATTTGAAAACTATGCTACCGGACTGGAGAAGCTGCAGGTACATATCCATGGCTTCGATCAGAGATGCACACGTCGTTGCTTGATACTGCGTCCCAAATGACATTTACTTATCAAAGTCTATACTTTAACTTGAACCGTAGAGTGTGGTTGGAGACAAGCATGAGATGCTTTGCACAGATGAGAATGCCCGGAAAGGTACAGCCTCTTACACCCACTTGCCAATGTGGTTCAATTCTGGAAGCATGACAGAACAGGATACTAATCAATAATTTGAGCGGTAATTACTCTTAGGACTGTTCGGGACAACAAAGGCATTGCATCAAAAGACAAACGTTTTTGCTGTTGGATCGCGCTTGGATACGCTCAAGAACCAAGATGCTGGTTTGATTTTGATCCACGTCGCCAATGAGAAGAACTCGGTATGTTCATTAGATATTTGTCGAAGCCCTCTTCGGACGATCCTACCTATTTGTATGATAATGTTTATTAACAATTATATTCACTCCTTGCTGCTGCCATAATAGAAATACCCATATGAGGCTCTGTTCAGGAGTTTCAACCTGGCGCTGATCGACAATGCCAGTTCAGAGTACCTCTTCTTGGTGGAATACTTTTCAAAGCGGTCGCAACCGGACATCAACGGGATTCAGGCAGTGTTCTCTCAGATCTTTGAACCCACACTAAAGCTTGGGTTGGCCAACGTCAAGGAGTATGCTGATGCAAGTTTTGACGCAATCGGAATCTTACTGTGTCTGAGGATCAACCACCAGCTGGCCAAGGAACTGGAGCGGAGGAGGATCCCGATGCTTGACAAGTACGGAGATGCGATCCATATGGCACTATGGCCGCGGTTCCAGATTGTTGTGGATATGCATATTGAGAGCGTACGCAAGGCAAAGACCAAGATCAAGCCCAAGAATGTCCATCCTCACTGGGTATGTACACTTTTTGACTGGCGGCAGTGGGCAAATTCGTCTGAGCGCAATGATTCTCGAATGTATTGCTAACCATTCCGCCATTGTTGGCCTCACTGTATTAGATTGCAAGGCGATATGGAGAATTTGCGAGCTCACTGCTAATGCTGAACGACGAACAAACGGATGTTATGCCAAGGTACGACATATTTGCGTTTGAGTAAGGCGGTGTAGTCGTGTGTCTGGTACGAGGACATCATACTAACCAACAATTGTTCGATTCACATAGGTTGGCGTTGTTGAGGCTTGAGACAAGTTCGTTGTTTGAGATCATGTCCAAGACATTCCCAGATACCAAGAGCCGGCTCATTTTCTTGATCAACACCTTCGACCTCGTCCTCACACTCCTGGCTGTAAGTGGTCGACCGGTGAACTGTCTGTTGTTCCCTCCTTGATGGCTTCATTTCATTGACTGTTGCTAACGCTAATAACATGCGCTTTGATCTCTTATCTCTAGGATGTTCGGACAAGTGGCGCGGAAGTAGAGACCGATCACTGGAAGCAGGCTCTTCACCAGTCAATTGCCCTGTTTGTTGAAGAGGAGCTCAAGCCTTACTTTGGCGAACTCATTTCTTTCATCCGCATGGTCGAAATCGCAGGTGGCGTATCAAAAGTCCAGCTCGGTAAGGCTACTACCCCCCTTGTGAACATACTTAAAAGGGGGATCGCACACTTCTTGTGCTACTTCATGGGTCAGCATCCTAACATCACTGGGATTTTTTTTTTCTCTTTATGATTTGTGTCAAAACTAGACCACTTTGAGAGGGCGTCGTATGGATTCAGCAACACTTGGCGTCAATCTCTGCTATCGATCAACACCAGTGTGATCCAACACTTTTCGAGTTTCAAAAACGGCACGTTGGTCCTCCACCAGGTCCTGGGCCAATTGATCGTCTACTATACCCGATTCCACAGTCTGTTGGACGAAAAGCTACAGGAACTTGGAGGGGCAAGTGCAGGGCAAGCTGGAGGTGGTGGGAATGGACAGAATACGGCCATGGCAACAAGTACGAGGGGGTGGTCGCATCAGCCTGTGGGGATCCAGACTGTTATGGTCGAAGTGAAAAAGTTCCGCTCCAACTTTTTGCCTTAGCCCTATTCAAATCAAAACCACACACACATAAAATATGGTTCTTTTTTGGACACACTCTTCGATATAGATGATGAATACTTTTTTTTTAATGCTGTGGTTGGGTATATGTAGATGGTAAGATCTCGCTACACTCCTAATACTAAAGGTTCTCGTGCCGCCGATGCACAATAGCAAGGCCAGGTCGGGTCTGCTCCGTAAAGACAGCAAAGTCATCCGGTTTCCGCATACTGGTCACATACAACTTCTCCAGGAGCCTGAACCGTTGGATCAGCTCTCGGTCCATATCTGCAGTCGACACTTCCAGGTCCCATTCAAAGGCGACATGCAGTTCTTCCAGGAACGGTGTCTCTAACTTTGGTGTTGTTGCTACTGCTGGGCCCGTCGTCGGCGCAGTCGCTGATGACAATACAGGTGCTGCTGGCGTTGGCACGGGTGTGGGTGTTGGGGTCTCGGCCGGTTTTGTTGTTTCAGTTGCTGGCAGAGCTCCGAGTGTATTCCTGCATGGTTGTTCAGCTGTCGATGATGGTGAAGGCACCTGGATTGACCAAGCGCCCTCAGAAGTCTCAAAACTCCCAACCTGGTGCTTCTCCTCCTTCACACGCCCCTCCCCCTCTTCCGTCATCGTCATCGTCGTTGGCGGCGGCGTCAATTCCTTATCCTTGCCTTCAGAGATACTACACGTTTTACTACTGCAACACACAATCTCACCGACGGGCTGACGACCAAGGTGCTGGAAGAGGCAGTACCCCTTGACAAGTTGGTCAATTTTGAGGACGCGGAGACGAGGCAACTTCTGTAGGATTTCGTTCCAGGTCTTGATGACATTCGATCTCATGGCAAAGGTGCCTCGGAAGTTCCCTTCGTCGCCAATATGCAGACTCGTCAATGTTGACCCGAATGATAAAACACCAGGCTAAAAAATGGAACGAAGTTTGTTCGATAGGAAAATGATAAAAAAAAACCCCCCTCGAATTGTCAATAACCTTAACATCATACACTTCAAAGAACAAGAAATTGCAGCGCTAATTAAGTGCAAGTGTTTACCTTTTGAACATAGAGATGTTGAACTTTGGACAATGACGGAACCTCATTGGTCTGAATCTCATCCCAGGACAGGTATGTCTGGATCTCGTCCAACGACATGTAAGCGCCGCTGACAGAATGCGCCCAACGTTTCAAGAACCGCCCTTCTGCCTTGCACACAGACACCAACGAACTCAGCGTCTCAATCTTCAACGACATGTCATAGATCTCGATCGACGTCAGGTAGGGTCTGTGGGCAACCAGGTCCAAGTTGAACAACAGGATCTCGTATCCCTGACGCGCCGTCAACTTGAGATGTCGCAGTTCTGGGAACGGCACTCTGGGTAATACAGGTGCTGGAGAATGGGCGGTACTTGATGAAGAGTGACTGACTTGACTTGACGAGATCCCGGTCGCGATGCTGACACTCACAGCATTGGATGCGGGTGAAACAAAGGAGGTGACAGAGGCAGTTGCCGGGCCCAGGTGGGGTGAAGCAGGCATCGACGGGTCTGGCTCAAAGACCTGGAACCAATTGCTCCGACACCGGTTCAACTCCAGGGATGTCAGCCCTGGGAAGACTCTGTTGATCTCCTGCATTGTTGCGGCAGGACAATCACAGATACTGAGCGACAGAGACTGGATATGGGGGAAAACCCCTTGCTGTGGCTGGGGTTGCTTTGGCGCTGATACGAGACTTGAACTTGATGTGCCCGTGGTGGTAGTGTGCCAAGAGGTCAGTGTTGGATGGCCACCGTTGAGGAGAGCAGCGAATCCCTGAGGAGTACCCACGCCGCCTACGATACCACCGTCACCATTGTTGTCAGCGCCTCCTGTGAATTCGACGCCCGTCAGAGAGAGGCGGCGCAGGCAGGGAAGAACATCCAGCGCAGCCTTCAGAGCCTTCCATTCAATTGGGTTGATATCCGGCACACGATGCTTGATGTCCAACGACTGTAGCATCCCACAACCCGCTCCCCTTTGTCGCCCTTGAGTAGCACATCCGGTCCCGTCAATCCTGCTGGAAGTCGACGTTCCCGTAAGCGTCCCCAGAAACTCGGTCAAGTCTACGGTGGTATAAAAGGCAACCGACAGAGACCTGAGACGCGGCGAGTTATGCAGGAGGTCCTCAAAGACGCTGAGCTCCTTGTTCCAGCGGGTGATGGAGAGGGTGTGGATGTTGGGGCATTGTCGCATAATGGGGATGAGTCGTTCGAGGTTGTCGAGCGAGTCCGTCGTGAGGGTCTCGACAAGGTTTCCGTAAGTGTGCCCCTCCTCGTATCCGTATCCGTTTCCGGCCTTCTTGGGCGCAAGCTTAAGCGCTTCGACTTTTTCTTCTTGTTCGTCTACTTCTTGCTTTTGTTGAGGGCGAAGGCTTGATTTCTGGATAGCAAGCGATGCAACAGTCTCAGTCACAGTCTCAGTCGTTGTTGCCGATGTCGCATTCGATGATGTTGCTATTATCGTTGCGGTCGTCGTAGTTGTATCATCTGTGCCGCTGACCGGTGTGCGCTGCTTGACCTCGCCCTCGTCACAAGTCTCCGCCTTGTCAGTGGTCTTGCTCGCAGTAGAGGCCGTGGTGACAGTAGCAGCAGTAGTAGCAGCAGTGTCAGCAACAACCAGGTCCTTAAGTGTCGGAAAAGAAGTCCAGGACTCGGTAGACTCTCGATGAAGGTGAAGCCGAAGGTGCGGTCTGTAAGCGATATAGAGCGCTCTCGAGACCAGGCGGAGTTGACTGATGTAGATTGGGCGCAAGTAGACGGCGATGTCGTCCGCTAGTTCGGGGATCTGGAAGACCCTATTGGCAGACGAGAGTGAGACCATAGCATGGGTCAACACTGTCTCTGTCTGCGGTTGATGCTGTTGTGGGTCAACGGGTGTGGTAGGGGTGGTGGTGGCAGGTGGTTGCGGCGGTTGCGGTGGTGGGCTAAGGAAGAGTTTGACGGTTGCCATGGTATTGCTCTCGTTGACAGTTGAAGTGGTTGTCCCTGTGTTGGGAGTTCCGACTATTGTCGCAGGGTTGTCAGCCAGGAGCATCGGTGAATGCGAAGAAGCGAGAGACAGTTGGGTGAATGAGCGAAAGGATTTCGATGAGGAGTAGGGGAGAAGAGTGAACGGACACCTCAGGTTGAATCAGGTACGGCGAAGGGAGGTGAAAAGGAGAGAATGATCAAGGAAGGGAAGAGGGCGAAGGAGAAAAGGAAGGCTGACCAGCAAGAAGGCAAAAGCAGACAAACAAAGCAAGCACACTGTTAACAGGAGGACAGGCGACCAATGGCTGGAAAGATGACCCATGCTGTCTGTGCGCGCAATATTGGGTTGCTGCTTCTGATGCTTGATGTTCCCGTGATCACCACATCAAGAACTGCACATGCAACGCAAGGATACAACGCATACACAAAACACATACACATACACACTCCCTCTCTTTCAAAGAAGGGATGAAGGGGGTAACGCGCCCATGGTCATCGTCCACATTCAGTTGCAATCTCTTCTTTTTGTGGCTATCAGACGATATGCTGCTATTGATGTTGTCTCTCTACATCCTTAAAGAGATATGAACTCAAAAAATGTGGATGGATGGCCTGCCGAAGCCGAACAAAAAGTGAGTGTACAAAACGGTCTTTCACACAGATATCAGCCAGAATAAGGTAGCTCCTCACACAACTCATCGTGCAAATGAACATTGGAGAAGAGGCAAGCTAAGAGAAGGAAGGGAAGGGGGTTGAAGAGGAGGAAGACACAGCAATACACTCTGTGGGTGATCTTTTCTTTGCTTTTTCCTTTCTTTCAAGGAGTTGGAATATCATCTTCTTACTATGGCATTAATGTAATCATTGGTTAGTGTGGGTGGTAGTGCACTGCAAAAAACCGATCAAGGGACAACAGTAGATCAACTGGACTTATGGAAGGACAACTGTACCCCCTGTTGGCCAATGGTCAAAGATGAAAGGGGAGAGAGATTAAGGGGGACGATATCGTCTGAAAGAAAGAAGCTTATTGTAATCACATGACATTCGGCGAATGACAGTAGGCGCGACGCGTCAGCGAATAATCAGTCACAAATCAGGCCAAGGCTGTGTGTGACAAATGCGAAATGGATCTTGCCAGAAGGAAAATCGACGCCTGGGCAGGAGCAATTGAAAATAATAGGGATCGATGCCATCATTTGGGAGCCGACTGAACTGTATTTGTATACTTACACAGGGCTGGGATCTCGCAAAGAGCCGCAGTATCTTTTTCATGGTTCATTCATTCCTTGTCGTCGTTGGCGCTGTTGCTGTTACTGTTGCTGTTGGTGGCAAAGCATAATGCAGGATGAAAAACAAACGACACACAAAATCATAAAAGGGACAGCACTTCGCCACGAAAAAAAAGGAAAAAGAAGGTATAAAAAAACTGTCTCGTCTGCTACGTTGATTGAGCAACCTGTTTTCCTCAGGAGTGACGCCAAGTGTCCCCAGTGAGTGAGAAGACAAAAAGAAAAGGCTCGATTCGGATGCGATCGGTACGTGTTGTGCATCTACGGGTCACTTGTGAGTGGTCCCTTACACTCTGCGCCGCACTTTCCCCCGCAGAAAAATGATTTAATTGATGCGTTTGTTGGGTCGATTTCACTTCTTTCTCCTCTTTCTCTTTTCTTCCTCACACCTTTGTCCTTTTACTTCTTCTTCTTCACCCTCAACATCCAACTTTCTCATCCTTCTTCCTTCACCCTCCAACCTACTCCTACACCCACACACATTCACATTCACCCCCAACACATTACATTCCCTTCTTTCATCTTCCCATCCTCCCGACCAGCCTACTCCCCAAGCTACAATCAAGAAGTCTAATAAAAGTCGACTCTGTCCCCTATGGCCGACAATACCCCAACGTCAGAGGGCAACATTATCCCTGACAGCAGCTCGATGAACGACAGCAATGCCATGTTTGGTGACTTTTTTGAGCTCGACCTCCTCGACCCTGCTGATTCCAACTCGGACCTGTTCTCGTTCCTCCTCAACAACGAAGACTTCAACGCCGTGACCAACAGCCCCTCAAGCCTCTCCACCGACTCGCTCCTCGACCTCTCGACCCTCGACGGCCTTAACAACCTCGAGAACCTGCCTTTGCTGCAGAGCTTCCCAAGCCAAGAGAACACCCCAGCAAAAGAGTCACTCCAGGCAGAGGAACAAGACCTCCGCTTCTTGCTTGCCCATAACCTGCAGCAACAGCAAGAACAACAGGCCCAGGTACAGGCGCAAGTCACCTCGACCACTGCCTCTATCGACAACAGCTCCTTAGTTGCCGAGCTGACCACCCCTGCCGGGCTCACTGCCTCTCCTCAGAACCTTGCTACCCCTGCTGCGTCCCCTGCCACCCCCACCATAAAGGCCCCCGAGGCATCCATCTCGGCCGCCGCTGCTACTGCGCAAAGTAAGTCGTCATATGAAGCATTTCACAGCAGCGCTATCTTTTTTTATCCATTATTACGAAGTGATCGCCAAGAGATTCTAACAAGGTTGATTTAATTTGCCACCATCTTTTCATTTGATAGTCGCCATTCTTCTGGACTCTTCAAAATCAACCGCAGTTGCCGCTGCTGCGCCCACACCATCAGCACCAGCATCTATTAAGGCACCTACAACGGCATCATTGCCAACACTCTCACAGACACCGTCCCCAAAGAAGCGATCTAGCCCAGAGCCATCAGCAGCCTCACGGAAGAAGGCCAAGGTCGAGGCTTCACCAGCCCCTGCACTCACACCCATCAGCGCCAAGGCACCTCCAACATTGGCTAGTTTAACCTCGACCACCAACACCACCCTTTCGGCAGCAACCCTTCAGTTCTTGCTTCAGCAGCAGATGCAGACTCCATTGGTCCCTCAACTGTTCACTGGAAAGCTTACACGGGAGGAAATCGAGGAGACTCTGGCCCGTTTGTTGGAGTCGACCAAGTATTTGATTGAGGCAACCAAGGAAGCTGAGGATAAGGACGAGAACATGGACTCGGACGGAGAGGAATCGGATTCCGCAGAGAGTAGCGAACCAGGACAGACACACGGTCTCAAGACCCAACCCGGCATCAAGACCGACGACATTCCCTCCTCGAGGGACTTGAAAAAGATGACCTCAAAGGAACGGCGACAACTCCGCAACAAGATCTCTGCCAGGAACTTCCGTGTCCGGAGAAAGGGTGCGTAATTTATCTATCTTCGCCACATGGCTTCACCTTAAAATATCCAGGAGCCAAGTTGAAGGTCGGCTAACATCCATTCATTTTTATTGTTCTTTCCTATCACAGAATACATCAGCACATTGGAAGGGCAGGTTGAGCAGCACAAGACAGAGGCACGGCATTTGCGGGAGGCAGTGACCTTTATTCAGGCAGAGAATCAGCGACTCAAGGAAGAACTGGAGGCGAGCAAGCGTCAATTGGCCCAGGCGACCATCACCCGCGCAGCATCGACGGCTACTCCTCAGCAACTCTTGTTGTCTCCCTCACCATCTCTTTCGAGCGAGAGCCAATCACTGTTGACGTCGCTCCTCACCCGTAATGCCATCAATCCCAACGCCAGCAACGCCAAGAACATCACATTAACCATGCCTCGACCCCAGTCACCCATCTTCAAGCCTAACTTGAACAAGGATGTTCCCAACTCGTCCTCTGTCAGCGGCAAGTCCTGGAAAGACGAGAGTCCCGTCTTTATTCATACCACGCTCATCCCCGAGATTCGTCTGGCTGAGAATCTTCAGTTTGGTCCCAAGCCTCTCGGATCTAAGGAGGACGACATGTCAGATCGGCCTTGGATGTGCATGGAGTCACCCTCCAAGAAGCCCTCGACACTGGAGAAGAACCCCTTGCTGATGTCCGGTGTCATCTATGAGCTCATGCAGACCATTGCATCTACCGGTCTCAGCAACGCAGAGCTGACCCTAAACAAGCCGGATTCGACAACAACAGCGACTGCAACTCAGGAGGAAGAGAGCAAGGCAATGACCCAGGACTATGAGAGCGACAGGCGAATGGGTGAGGCCCTTGAATGGAAGATGCAGATGGACCTTATAAAGGAGGTACAGGCAGTGCAGGCTCTGGCAGCCCGTCGCCTGGATGTCGATCAGGATATCGACAATGAATTGTCTCAAGAGGACCTCATGCGCATGTTTGCTCATTTGAACGGCGCCACAGCCGCCTCTGCCGTTAACACGCCAACAGTGGAGGACCCCAACATGATGGAATGGCTTTATGAGTCGATGATGGCTGGCCTTGTCGAACTTGACTTGCAGAGCATCCAGGACCGACAGACCTTCCTGCCCTTCTCTGAAGTCCAGTACGCCTAAGCGCGCCTCTGTCTTCCACCCTCCTTTTGCAGATTACGCAGCAACCACCACTACTGTCCTGTGCACACTTCACCTAGTATATATCCGTCGCTCCCTTTTTATATCCCCTTTTGTAGATCATTTTTCTCTTTGCTTCTGTACATCTTCTCGCATCTGTAATATTTTCACCCCTCAAATAAACAATCGCAAATAATAACCCTCGTTGCGTTCGTTTGAACAACGGTTGTAATGGAAAAGAGATGGAATGTGGACGATAGAGAGGTTTTTGAGAAAGGAAGAAAAAGAAAAGGGAACGTGGGAGGTGAATGGGATGAAAAGGAAAGACGAAATAAAAAAAGTGGCACCTTTTCCTGGTTTGTGTGAGTGAGAGTACTGGTGACTATGTTTCTTATCATTCAACTCCTACAGCAAATATCGCGGCAGTCTTGCTACTTGGCACGTCTGTGCCCCGATCGACATCACCATTCTGCTGGCTCCCATCTTTTTCTGCGAGTGCGATCGACCTCTTTCCAGCCTTCTCAACAATACGCCGGGCCCAACTTGCTGAAAAATGTCCGCTCGAGGTTTCGCGGGGTAAAAGTCCTACATTGCTCGTGCTCTGGATCGTATGTGCTCGTTGTACCCCTCATCCTGAACAAAACATCTGCAGAGGACTCCTCGGGCTGCTTCTGCCGAGATGTCTGTGCAGTGTTGTAAACTCCCATGAAAGGCGATACTGGACCCGCCTTCTCTGTCTGCATCACCAGCGACACGACAAAAGTCGTCGTCAGTTCTCTGCCGCATTCGCTCGACAGCCTTCTTGCTGACCTCCTCAACTGCGACGGGAGGGGGGATCCAATAATTATAAACACGTCGCTCTTTCTTTCGATATCCTTGTCCATGCTCAAAACTGCGGCCGTTAACCGATTCGCTCTCCCGAAAGGTGACAAGGGGAAATTGTTAGTGACATGTTCAAAGAACAACACTTGCCACACGCACCGTATTTCATCAACAAAAAAAAAATCCAAAAAAAAAAAAGGGGGGAGTCGTCAATCTTAAAGGCAAGCCCATGGCGCCCATGAGACAATCCATAATCCTCGCACAATAGAACCACCACTCGTCGCGACCGACAAGGAAAGGGTGCTGGACACAACCTACGCACCTCAGGCAATTGCCATCTCGCATAGTGGCGTGTAAAAAAAATGCATGTGCGGGCGGTGTAAAAAGAAGGGGGGTGAAAAAGCACGTTTTCTCTTACAAAACCAATATAATGCCCTTAAGCTAATCAGCCGAAAGAAAAAAAAGAGAAAGAGATGTTGTTACTCAGTGGAGAGGATCGAAGGCCAGAGTTGTAGGACTGCTGTTAAGTCCTCAATTGGTACGGGGGGGGGGGGGGGGGTTGATAGTCAGGGGTAGTGATAATAGCGTCCTAAAGAATCACACGAAACGATACACTGCAGCGCGCCAGCGAAACTCTTGTCAATACTGCTCTCGTCCAAGAAGTGATGTGTAAAAGGACAAAGAGCAGACAAGAGGGCTCGGCGCACTACTAATACTATGTCTACTAAAGAATATGACTGCTAACCAAAGGCATCGCCGCCACTGCCGAGCCACCACATCTTTTTGCAACAATGTTGTTCTTTCGACCTTTCGAACAAATCAGTAGAACAATGGGCTTAATCTCAGCAGATCGTAGCAACAGCTTCTCTACTGCTTACAATACCCCGTTCAATTAAAGTCGTCTGTAATGGATTTATCTCGTGCTATATTTGAAATTAACATTAGTGAGAACATCACAAAGCCCGTCTGCTCTGCAAGATAACCCCACGTTGCAAGATTCAGGATCCGAAGATCTATTCGTATTCAACTAAAAATCGGAAAAGGCGGTAATCGTCGCGTTCTAGCGCGGGTTCTGACTTAGAGGCGCTCAGCCACAACCCAACGGATGATAGCTTCGGGCCATTGCCTGCTCAGGCAGGCCCAAATACCAATTATCCGAATGAACGGCTCCTCTCGTACTAAGTTCAATTCCTATTGCAACAACATTTCATCAGTAGGTTGTGGCAGCCAAGAGTTCATAGCGACGTTGCTTTTTGATCCTTCAATGTCAGCTCTTCCTATCATACTGAAGCGGGATTCAGTAAGCGTTAGATTGTTCACCTATTAATAGGGAACGTGAGCTGGGTTTAGACAGTCGTGAGACAGGTGAGTTTTACCCAAGCCAGTTATTGCAGTGTCTGGTCTCACGTTCAAATGGGAAGCAGATGTGCGATTATTAGGGTAAACGTTTAGTAACACACCGTCCTTTATATTGATTGTGCCAGGTTCTGGGCCGGAGATGAGTAGGGTGGAGAAGGTGAAGGAGAGTGTGAACAAGAAGAGAGTGTGTGAAATTGCTAGGCTGGAGTGTTTTATTGCATGGTGAGGAAAATGGGTAACTATGAAGAAGAACTGTCTATTTATGTATTTTGGTAAGACAAGGACAAGGACTGGGGACAAGACAAGAAGAATACAAGGACAGGAGGAAAGATGAATGCCAAGAGGTGTAAACAGATAAGAAGAGAATAACATGTCAAGATAGAAGAGGTGAGACATATGTTCTTGCAAACAGCAGAAACGGAATCGTGAATGTAGAAATAGAGAGCACAAACAACTAAGCCCAAACATTCCTTGTTGGACAAGGTATGTGAGCCCAAGTTCGCGTCAGACTGGGTATTCAATTGTGACAATAGGAGTCTATGCTCCATGGTACCAATGAAAAAGAGGTATGGGTCCCTCAACTGGAGTGGGAAATAAGTAACCTATCACCACTTCAAGCACATATCCAACAGCAGGTGCAAAGTTATCACTGTGGCCTCCAAGCCACCAGCGAAGCAATGGGGCTGCTCCTCCAGTTGGATTCCGATAATGTAGCCAAAAATGCGTTGATATTCGTAACCGTCGGTCGAAGGAGCTCCTGGCTCATTGCTGGGTATAAAGTTGTCACGAAACATGGGATTGTATCAATGATGGAGAGCAATAATATTCGCGAACTTGTCAGGGTACAGGTATCCAGTTATGTATCCAGAAGCAGTAAAGTCTTTGGATCAGTGGTGTAGAAATGATCTGAATTCAAGATCAATGTGGTTGGACAAGCTGAATCAATTAATTGCATGGTGCAATGGCACTTGAGGGTAATTGCAGACTTCGATGAATCTGAGAATGACAAGGACAAGGCAGACCGAATTTAGGAAGTTAATATGAAGAGGGCTGGACAAAGGGAGGAAGCCTCGCTGTAGTCGGATAATATGCCTAAGCCTTCATGTTATTCAGTTACAAAATGCGTTGACCCATATTCAGTTTCTCCAAGGGTATTTATTCCACTTTATTTATCTAGCAAAAACAGTCGTATCGTCCACAGCGAGAGCACACATTGGAGCCGATTCGACCTATAATCTCCACGTCCTTCTCCATTCGGGCTAACTGGTTACGCGCCATCTGAACTCTCATGTTTGACAAGACATTCTGTTGCCCTTGCACCCTCTGGCGCTCCATCTCTTCGTCAAAGTTGCCCTGCCTAGCGCCAGAGATCGGAAATTCTTGCAATTTTTTCGCCGTGTACCTCTTGAACTGCTCCATTCTGTCTTTCATCTGGCGATCTGGTAGTTGTGGGAGCTGTGATCGAACAATAGGAGGTGCTAATCGTAGCGCTTGATCGACTCTTGTATAGTCCGTGAAGGCTTCATCCGGGTTCCCAGAGATCTCCGAGCGAAGGTATATCAGAAACCCTTGGCGAGTAACCGATGGGCCATTGTCGGTGAAAACGGTCTCGACGGAAAAGGCGAGATATCAGAAATTAAGAGTCCAGGGTAGGTGAATCTTGTGTTGGTCCAACTTGGGTCTATCGGCATATGCGGTCGTGAGGAACACCAATGCAGTCATCTTTGTTTCCTCAAGAACTTGGGTGCCTTTAGGTTCGTAAGAGCGGTCCAAGTAGTCAAACAGTGCATTAGCAAATGTTATAAGGACTTGAGTTGGGTTATTTAAGTGATCAATGAAAGGCAATAGCCGCGATGGATTATAGGCTGACTGCGGTGGGTAATGAGCCGGCTGCGGTGGGTAATAGACTGGCTGTGGCAGGTATTGCAAATACGGTGGTGAATACTGAACTGGTTGCGGCACTGGTTGCGGCACTGGTTGTATGGGAAAATATACTGGTGGTGCATATTGATGTTGGTTTTGAGATGCCATGCTATAGTGCGTGCGTGAGAGGGATAATGTGCGCGTATATGCTTGAAAGAAGCGAAAAGGGAGACAGAAGATAGACGTCCTGAGATATTTATAAGAGCATGTCATGTGGGCTATGCCACATCCAACAGCAATATTCGGATCCAACTGTATTGTATATAACAGTGAGAGGCATTGTGGGGTCTGTTGCATGCAAGAAAAAGATATGCCCAAACAGAAATGACACGTAACAATCACGCTATTGGTGCAACCAGAAGGGCGTAAACAATGCTTCTCTGCGGAAAACATCTCAAAGTGGCAAGTTACAAACATGCACATTTCCCTCGCCAAGGATGAGTAATTAACCGGTTTAGTCATCAACTATATAACAGGAAGCATATTTACCGCATGTCCATCGTTGGTGTCTGTAGCATGACACGAATAATAGGCGGTGTTTTGCAATTAACTTTTTAAAAATGCGGTATACCACTTTCGGCAACGCACATTTACTCTGATGTCGCCCTAATAATGAAAATACTGCGCATATCAACTGTAGAAGAAGCAGAAAAGGATGTGGATCCTAACATTACTGGTTGTTGAGTATAACCCAATACAGGTGTATAATCATATGTAAAAGTCACTCTATCACACCGCAACCATAGGAACGATCGAGGTGACATCGCGGGCTACACTGCGCACCAAGAAAGAAATACGCGGGTTCCTCACCCAGTAACTTGAAAAAATCTCTAAGCTTACTGTAATAGCAACAGAGAGAAAGAGGGGATACAAGGGACAAGAGTGTGGAGACAAGAGAAAAGGGCAAGAAAAGGTGATCGTTATTATACAAGGAGAGAGAGAGGTATTTATACTAATGTACAGGGGGCGTGTCTAAGGAAGGCATGGTGGATAGTGAGAGTGAAGGCATGGTTTAGGAAGGCGTGATGGATAGTATGGGTGGATGTTATCGATGGCATAGATGGTGGCAATAGCTAGGGCGGTATCGATGGCACTGATGGTGGCGTAGATGGGGGTGAAGGTGGAGGTAAAGTAGAATAGCCTACGATACTATCACACACAATAGACGAGCAGTCTATGATACTATCACATTGAGGGACAACTCGATGGGATCCGACTGAGCTCAGGCGTTGTCTGAGGTACTCAAGATCAACTCGACTGTACCACTTTGAACTTGCAGAGCAACTCGATTGAAGACAACGGAGCTCAGGCGCTGTCTGAAGCACTCAAAACGAATTCGATTCTGACCACTCTGAACTTGTGGGGCAACTCGATCGGAGATAATGGAGCTCAGTGAGATGGAAAATATGACGCTGAGGAATCATGTTCGGCCGCCGGATTCTGATCAGGAGTCAGATACTGATCTACCACTTACAGCACTTGATCCACTGTTCATGGAGTCATATCTTTGGATTCTGAAACAGACATAGATTCGAATTCTGAGGCAGATGACACAGCGGCAATAATTTTGGAGCAGCAACTGGAAAGGGATGAAGAGTGGGCAGATGAAATGGAACCGAACGTTGACATGGATCCACGTTGCTTTATCATATTCGTGGCTAGTATACTGTTATTTATGAAAAGCCAACAGTTGAATTATTTACAAACGATCATCGGTAAGTTGTGTACATGCAAACGGTGCAATTGCTACTTTACGTATTCGTCTTTTGGTTTCAGTGAAATTCTATGAACAATTAATTTAGGTATCCACTTGCACAGCTTGTCCGCACCAAAGCGCTTAATAAAGCTGCTCTCGATGATGGGCGTGAGTATGTCATACACCCTTGCCAACTCAGTTCCGAAACCTAGCAGCCAGCCGCAAGGCCGTCTGCCAGCCAACGTTCAAGCACAGACGATGGCTCTAACAAAGGAAGGGACGTGCAGTGGAGGGCACGGAGTCAATTGCTCACAAGGAGACCAACTTGCCGTCGCTCTGTGGACCAGAAGCAACTATCACCGAATATGTCAAGCAGTCCAGGTTGTGGAGTCAGATTTCGAGACATTTTACAGCAATGTCACTCCCAAGAAGCACTAGTGGGGTGCAGAGCGAGCAAGGGATCAAGGGTTCAAACTGGTCGGAAAACGCCTTTTGGAGCTGGTGGGAGGTACTCCAGGCGCGAAACGGGACAGCAAGAACAAGGTCATCATCGGTATAGGACTCGGAGAGTTCTCTTCGAGCTCGCGGTTGTCGTCCCTCCACACAATCTTTTGCAAGTACTTTGTGCAGTTAGTAAGCAGTCGAGCTTTTCTTGAATCCACCTTAACAATGATTTTGCAAGGATCCACGATTAATGTTTCTTATTCTGGTCTTGCTTTATTTAGGCCTGATCGTTGGGCTATATTGTAGTCGGTGGTAATGAGTACTACACGTCCAAGCGGTGTCTAGTCTGCCACGAGTTTTGGTGTCGCCCCGGTTGCAATCGGCGTCAGTTTTGCTCCTCTGAGGCGAAAAAGAATGACCATTGTGTCCCCCTGATCGCCACCCACTCTTCCCCCTCTGAAGGGTCATTTTGACTATAGAATAAACGGCAATTTTTGTGGATGCTGTACTGAAGAGTTCAACAAATATTGTTCGCAGTCGAACATTTTGATCTTGGCAAATTACACTGCAGAGATTATTTTTTACTTAACCAACTCTACGACCTTGTGCAGCACCTCTTCAACCATATGTACACCAATTTTTTCCTCCATCCACCCTTTGGCCTTCTCAACCACCAGCTCCCATGTGTCCTTCTCCTTGGCCTGCTTCTTCTCCAAGAACACGATCGCAAATGCCGTAGCCGCAACCCTGAAATCCCATCCATGCTTTTTGATCACTGCTTCAGCCAGTTTAGGATCCACTCCGACCCAAGAAAACAGACTCTCCTGCCATTCCCAAAACCCCTCAAACGTCTGCAAGTCCATCAGAGTCAAGGCGCCAGAGACGACATCATCTTGGGTGGTGGTAGTGGTGACCTCGACTTCTTCAAGGGTCTCGAAAGTCTCGTAGGTTTTGACCTCGTAGATGAAGCGCTCTGTTGGAATGAAAATAAACGGATAGGATTAGCAATTGAACAATTGTAGAAAGCATGAACAGAAAACTAAGCAAACCAGCTGAAGAAACAAAACTTACCGCTGAGGGTCGTTTCACGCTCATGCCACTGAACACCGAACTGCTCTTGGTAGGTGACCTGGAAGACGGCCTTGGCAGACTCGACGGTCTCGTGGGGCCCATCCAATCTGTAGTCGGTCTCGCCCCAGCGGAAATAGACGTAGTACTTGGCGGTGGCATGGTCGAAGAGAAGCTGGATCACATAGGCAACGCCAGTCGACTTCTCGGTAAGGACAGCATCGTAGACCTCATCATCGTAGTAGACGTACGAGGTCTTGGCGATGGGGGCGACCTTATCAACATGGGCCTTGCGGGTAGTAAGGACCGGGACGGAACGCTTCCAAGCTCCATCGACTTTCTCCAAAGCACCATGGGCGGCATGACCTGCTCCAGAAGCAGCACCCTTAGCAGCTCCGACAGCAAGAACTCCAGCTCCGACGGCAACAGCTCCAGCACCCACAACGGCGGCACCGGTAGTAGTGGCAATCTTACGGAACCAGGAAGTGCCCTTGGAAATAGCAGGTTTAGTAACCTTACCGGTCTCCTTGGTGATGATGATCTCTTTGGCCTCCTTCTCAACCTTAACGGAAACATCATCATCGACCTCGACCGTCTTGTCAACGATCACATCCTTCTGGACGTGCTCGAGAACAGTCTCACCCTCGGTGGTGGTGGTGGTAGTGGTAGTGGTCTCGGTGGTAATGACCTGCTCCCTGGTCTCGATCTCGTTCTCGCGGGCGACAATAGCAATGGCACCAGCACTGGTAGCGGAGTGGATGATACGGGACCGGGAAGATCCCATGAAGTCAGAAGACTTTACAACATCGACAACACCGGTTTCCTTCGTGACCACAAGAGGGAGCTCAACTTCATTCCGAGTCGCATTGTCGCTTTCTTTGTTAGTCTCAGTCGCCACAAACGAACACCACCTGCCTCCGACCTGGAACTGGACGCCAAGACGGATGGCCTCACGCTCGACCATGTCAGCGAATCGACTCTCATACTTCATTCGGAAGAGTTGCCCGTCAGACTTGTCCCTGAGTTGTGTGATCCAACCGCGGCCTTGCTCCAGTTCTGCAATAGCACTCTTCGCAGCGAGTTGATGGATAGTCTCTCCAGGCGTGTCAAGGACTTGTATTGGGATCTCGATCTCAAGAGGACCATACCTGGAGACTCCGCGAAGAACAACTGATTTTGGGGTCAAGGAACTGCACTGTTGGCTCATGAGAAGGTAGACGTTGGTTCGGTTGAAGGCATAGAGAGGGGGGATGATGTGTGGTGTCTGAAGCAATTTTGGTGTCACTGCAGGAAGACTGGCAAACGCTGCTTCACCCATGTCAATGTTCTCAGGGGTAGCGGCCAGCTCCTTCTCCTCTAGGTCCAAGTCGACTGATGGATCGAAGAGAGAGATGGGTTTCTTCTCCATCGAGACTGACTCAGATTCGGCCTCCGTGTCGTCCGCAACGTTTACTGCGACACTCAAGCTGTCGATAACCTTCTCGACGATTTCAAAGTCATCGTCGTCCATGTCCTCGATCTTGACCTCGGCACTAGCATATCTCACCTCCAGAGTGTAGTCGACGACATGAGGAGTCAGTGCGCCCTTGAGCATACGAACAACCTTGCCCTCCATCTTTTCACCCTCACCTACAGACTGTGAAAATCCATTTCCAGCCTTGGCCACACCTTCGATCAGAGCATGAGAGACCCCATTGCCGATGCCGAGCGTAAAGACGCGGATGGGGGCGTTAGTCTCGATAATCTCCTTGTTTAGGTAAGCAAAGAGAGAATCTTGATCCCAAACTTCTCCATCTGTCAGAAGCATGACTGCAAGAGGGATATCCTTGTATCGCCGGTCGAGTGCTGCCTTGATTGGTTGAAACATCTCGGTTCCTCCCAGATCGGCGGACATACTCTCAACGTGCTTAACTGCCTGGTTCAGCGTAGTTTGGGAATAAGTTGCGCTCGTGGGCCATAGAAACGAGTACGAACTGCCGAAGGAACAGAGGTTGAACTTGATACCAACAGGAAGACTCTTCAGAAGCACCTTTAGAGCCGATCTAACAAGGTCGATGTTGGAGCCCGACATGCTACCACTACAATCGCATATGAACACGAGCTCGGGTCTTTCAGCAGGGAGTGCAAACTTTGGAACGAGTGTTGTCATCAGTGCTCGTTGGTTTGGGAACCTTGGATGGGTCTCAAGTATGGCTGTCGGTACCCCAGTATCCTTGGATACCACTTGGATAATGAAATCCTTGTCCAGGGCAGCGTCGCCGAGACTAAGGGTTGCAGACGCCTTCGACATGACTGCGTTGGCATTCGGCGCGAACGAGGTTGTTCCTATGGAAACGGTGATCGGATGACTTGGGGATTGGACCCTCTGAATAACGTTCGACTGAGCCAAGACGATATCGACTGTAACCTGAAGACGCCCTCCGGATATTGCAGATTTGGCGTTGAGCTCGACTGGAAGGCTACCATATCGAGGCATGATAGAGGTCGGGATAGTGAATCGGAGGCCATTGACTTCGGCATCATGCTTCAGCTCGCCAACGTACGTGATCTCGACAACAACCTCGACACCCGCAGGGACATTTCCTACAGTGGTCGTAAAAACGTCTGAGGCGCTCGGGAGTTGTTCCAGAAGAGCAGCTTTGTCGCCTCGGATCACTGCGTCCTTGAAGACCTTCTTGGCTTGTTGCCGCTCCATGACCTGACCAACGATGGTTCGATCGCCGATTCGGCAGACGAAACCGACAACACTCACCCCATCGTAGAGCGGGAACGTGTACCGCAGCTCTCGGATGGCTTCACTTGCGGAAGGGTTGAGATACTTCTGGGTGAGAATTGTTCTCGAGGTTGTATCGAGGATGGTCGTATGGGCCTTAGTATCGACGAGGGGTAAGAACTGTTTTTGTGAGCCGATGGGGCATAGGCCGCAGATATGGGGTGTCATGATGCTTAAGCGGCTAAGAGGAGAGACACAGTTCATGATGAGCTACGAGGTTAAAAAGGCGGAGAGGCGATGACAGCATATATTGAGGCAGTTGATTTGGTTTAATGCATACCTAGGTGAGAACGCTAACAGAGGGAACGCAGCTGAGTTTTTGGAAGATGGTTATGTGTGGGTGGGAAGGGGGATGAAAAGGCAAGCTTTTAAGTCTTTAGCCAAGCTCCCTTTCGTGCGAATGCCGCGGAGGCGATATCGATTATGCAATACAAGAAAAGGTAAACAACATGCACCAGTAAACGAAGGACACTCGCAAAAAATTGAGTGTAGACAAAACCTTTTATTCCGCCAAAGTGAAATTTTCCGAGGGAGTGGAGCATTCACTCCTCCTGAACAGTATCGTACACTGTTCTAGGCTTCCTCTTGCTGTGCCTCCAGCTTCGCCCTTTCCACCTCACGTCAGGTCTGGCTCAACTATAAGGAAGGACCAGACCCTAATACAATCCATCCCTCAAAGGACGAAGAAAAGCGCTGCATGATTTTTACTCTCATTTGAGAGCATGGACAAAACACAACAGAGATTCTCTTATTCCTTGACGCCTTGACTTGCGTGTGAAGAGAATGATATTCGTTCTTACGAGCAATTTGGTTCGAAAATGGCTACTCGACCAATATTGTCACAGTAAAATAAGAATGTTCTTCTCTTGGCCTTCATCTCCTCTCTGCTTAGTCTTCCTTGACCATGCCTCCACCCCTCCACCTCGCCTCCTGTACACAACAGTAGTCAACAACAAGACAACACCGACAGTTCTCTCTCATTCCATTTCATCCTCTTCCTTTCCCTCTTCCTTTCTCTTCCAAAACACATGACAATTCTATACCAGCGCGCCATCCAGTCTCCAGCCCGAGCTCATTTACCTCTCTCTCCATCCTTAACCATCCTTTCAACATAATCAGTGCAGACGGCATGGGTGGTTCGATTGGTTGTTGCGAGGTGAATGAGGTCCCACACTGAAAGGTGAGGGGCGAGGAGGGCGATTAGCTCTGTGAATGTAAAAAACATTCTGCTGGCTGTGTTGGTCAAGAGAGGTTGTTGAATGAAAAGTGGATGTGAGCAGGAAGGCTGATGATTACTTTCTGCTTTCACCTTCATCGCCTCCCTCTCTGCCTTCCCTCTTTCCCTTTCCCTCTTCATCGCGTCCTTTCATCGCCTCTCTTTCTGCTTTCCCTCTTCATCGCCTCTCTTCTGCTTTATTCATCGTTTCCCATTCTACTGCCCTCACTGTCTCTCGTCTCCTTTCTACCATTTTCCTGTGATTCCTTTTCTGCAGTAGCAGTATTAAGCACCACAGTTCCTCCTCTCTCTCTCTCTCTCTCTCTCTCTCTCTCTAACAGGTTGTCAAACAGGCCATATGCATCATTCATCATGACCCAGGTTGGGTGAGGAGCAGGGGAGGGGGAAAGAGTAAGAAAGCGAGCAAGTCCGAAGGAGGGCGAGCACAAGAGATGTTTTTGGAAGGGAAGAGAGAGAGAAAGAGAGAGAGAGAGGACCAAGAGAGGGGATTTCAGGACGAACTTGAAGACCACGACAGTCCTTTGCTGTTGTGGATTCGTTTATGGGTCGGAAGGATGTTAGTGATGTTCGTGAGAAGACCGTGTTTGCATTTTTTTGCAAGAGACAAGGAGTGAGGGATTTTTATGAGTGAGAGAGAGTGGGGAGTCAATATTTAGCGCTCGAGGGACCGAAAGGAGGGGATCATTTGACAGCCAATGGTGCCTGGAATTGACAGTTTGACGAACATCTTGATGCATGGCGATGAAACAGGCGGTCTTCTGAAAACGATGCTCGCCAGTGGTCAAATGGCTATTTAGGCAACCAAGGTCAAACAAAAAAGCTTGCGTTGACATGGGTTACGGATGGAAATCAAAACCCCTGTCAAACATCCCCCGGTCATGTTGAGATTAATCAAATCTGTTAAGCAACATTTAAGAAAGCGTGGATTGTGGATTGCACTGGATTGCACTGGATTGCACTGGATTGTGGATTGTGGATTGTGGATTGTGGATTGTGGATTGTGGATTGTGGGTTGTGGGTTGTGGGTTGTGGATTGTGGATTGCACTGGATTGCACTGGATTGCACTGGATTGCACTGGATTGCACTGGATTGCACAGGATTGCACTGGATTGCACAGGATTGCACAGGATTGCACAGGATTGCACTGGATTGCACAGGATTGCACAGGATTGCACAGGATTGCACTGGATTGCACTGGATTGCACTGGATTGCACTGGATTGCACTGGATTGCACTGGATTGCACTGGATTGTGGATTGTGCACCCCCCAGTCACCCTCACATGCTGTTCTGTATCGAAAACCATCCTTCCAAAACGGCGGACGTGTTTGCAGCAAGGTTGGTTTGCAGCAGCACAACATCGTGGCCAAAATACCCAGTTCTCTACCTTTGTTTTAGGCGAAATCCATTGCAATCCCGCTGGTCGCTCTAAGTATGGGCCATCAATGCATGAAATGTCCTTCCAAACGACATGCTTATGCTGCGAGACCCATGGTCCTTTATGGATCCGTGAGAGTGAAACAGATCTTCAAAGTTGTTCTAGTGTGCAGCAATCGTTTATTATTTTCACAGTGCTGGTTGTTCACATGCGCTTGAATCAACTTGTGCAATGATCAGACAGGAATCGGAAGAATGTGTTTTACTTTTGTTATGTTTTATTATGAAGGAAAAGGAAGGGATAAAAGAAGAGTGTGCGGAAGAAAGGCAGGGGACAGGTGGAAGTGAGTTATTGCGGACTGGGGAATAGGATTGGGGGGCCTATTTATGCTAAGGGCCGGATGAACAGAAGGAACCAAGGCGGCGCTTACACATTGGATGGGGCTTGGACGTTGGAGGGGGCTTGGGATGTTAGACGGGGCTTGGAACATGGGCGGAGTTCGGGATCTTGGATGGGGCTCAGTTGGTGGCGACGTAACATCCGAAATCCATTGCGCGTTCAATGGAACGAGGACGAAACATATTCTCGCGTAACCGGGGCAACCTGGGGCCTGGCATCCTTGGGGCAAAACGTGGCACTATGGCCCGTCCTCAATGATGAGACTGCCTGGCTGTTGTCGCAGACGGTTTACAGATACCATCTGACTTGACAATATCTTCTCTGTGCTCCCGGGCAGTGCTAGAACATGCACCTCCTCGCCATTCTCCAGCGTCACCACAAGCGATTCGGTGTGGCCAACTGTCAGAGTATCCACTCTGATATGACTGACCATGTGACACAGGATCGAAACTCATGACCAAGTTCAAGATCCTTCTGTCCTTGCTGACACTAGGCTGACTAATCAATAGGACCTTAGAAACTTCCAGAAGCCCGTCTGGCTTCTATCGGACACATATATAAATAGTACATAGTTCATAGTTTAGTTCAGTAGTTCAGAACTCACCCTTTTATTAAAACAACTCTTCCTCAAAAAAACTAACCCAGACGGTAAAAGCCCGTAACAAGACGGTAAAAGCCCGTTACACCAACGATATCAAGGGTCGTCTGGCGGTTTCCCGCCACTGTAAAGATGCCCCTCATTTGTTGGATCTGTTCCCGCACGTCTTTGCTTTGCTGCACTTCCTCGGCATAACCATCGTTTTCATGCTCATCGAGATGCTTGTCAAGATCTTCAATGCGTGCGAATCCTTGGCCGCATTGCGGGCACCTGCGCTGCACATTGAGCGGGCCTTTGGTGTGCCTCGCGATATGAAGCTCATACTTTTGTCGAGACTGGAAGGAGTAAGTGCAGCCTTGCATCGTGCAAGGCAGCTTTTGTGAACGGTTTGCCTCTCCATCATGACAATCGGTTTGATGCGTTTTCAACGTGTGCTTGTTTTTGTATGGATTGTTGCATATGGAACAGCGGGTGGGAGTCATTGTGGCGTTCAGTAAGGTGTTCAAGACGACGTGAGAAGAAGGAAGGGGAATCATTCATCATAAATGCTGCAAGCAGTGGCTTAGACCAAACTTGGTCAGTCATTTAAAGCTTTTTCAATCCTGTGCAATCCTGTGCAATCCATCGCAATCTTTCTCCCGACTATGGACCACATTAGACGCACTCCGAGAACTGGCACTAAGGGCGCAACGAGCCCCAAGATCACACGTCTCGTAAAGCTCACGTGCGCCATTTGCCAAAAGGATTACAAGAACAAAACCACATTGCAATCGCATCTCTTCGACTGTCACGACAATGGGGCAAAACGAGTGCATCCGCTCAAGTGCATTCAGTCCTCATGCAACGTCCTCCTTTCAGTCGCGACAAAAGTATCTAAAACACATTGGCACCTGCACAGGCGATTCCTCCCCCCCTTCAACTGCCGCGACCGGCACCACTTTCATCGCCTCAATCACCAAAGAGCAAAGTAATGACGAGGACGAGGAGAGGTTGAGGTCCAGGATGCAGCTGACGCTGTTGCTGAGACATGGGTCGATGTTCAGGGTGAAGAGGAGTTGACCATGATCAGGACCAGAGTGGCAAAAGGTTCGACAGATTGCAGGAACAGCTGATTTCCCTAATAGGAAATATAAATACGGCCGAATTCTTGTTGAGCCTCACGGAGCCCATCGCCATCAATCTCAAGAGTGGCAAGACTGAGAATGCTCTGGCCCTTCCTGGAGGCACGAAGCGACTGTTACGGGATATGGAGGTCTCCATCCAGCCAGTCAAGCGCAGGGCCTCGAAGGGTAACGACTTTCAAGACAGCGAGCTCTGTCCTGCCCTTGCAATACATGCGTTCGGTGGTCTTATGGACGACGACTTATGCTATCGCACATTCCGCAAAGATGGCAGCGACGTCGCCAAGCAACTTGCCGAGGCCTTGATCCAATCAGGAGCAGCTGTCTTGCTTGCTCTTAAGGTAGAGGTGTATGGCCGTTCTCCGACCGAGGATCCTCACCAGCAAGACGTGGCTCACCCCATCTCAGGCTCATTCATTGTCCAGTCTCTTCTGCACGACGGTACCACCAAGATCCTGATCGGCACCCAAACATGGAACGCCCTGGTAACGTCTGCTGTTATCCTTACACGTGGAGCGGTTGTTGTTGGTCCCAACAACACGGTCTTCTGTCGTGAATCTAGACTTGAACAAGGCAGAGTTGACCTTTTCTTAGGCAGGATCAGGGAGAGGGGTGAGGGAAGAGGACAAAGGGAATAGGGAGTCGGATATGGGGTTTCAAGGTGTAGACAAAGTAGTATTCAAGTTACTAGGTAAGGATCAAACTATTTGTGGTGCTATGATATATATATGTGCGTTTCGAAAGCAATGCTAATTAATTGTCTTAGCTAACTGCGCCCAAGGATCAACTGATCGTGCTAAGGGTCGACCGATCATGCCAATAGTCGACTTATCATAGGGAACGACACGACACATCCCCATCCCCGATCCAAGGTTTGAGTTCTGAAAGACTCGCGTCAGAATATGACGGTCGAGCGGCAGACAAGATCCAAGTTCGATGAACCCATTTCCATCGAACCATACGCAGGCGTTTTCATGAAGTTCCTTGCGCACAAGTTCTTGCCTGTGACGCTGAAGGCCCTGTGGGACTATTTCATGGGCTAGAAATGGTCAGAAATCAAACTGGTAGTCTTCATCTTTTATCGGCTGCACCACACTCACCGCCTGGACAAGAATGACATCGAGTCCAAACTTCAAGAGGTGGTGAGCATCAAGAACAGGACCCAGAGCGACTCGAAGATCCTTGGCGATGTTAGGGAACTGGTTTTGGCTTTTGAGGAAAGAGTCTATTTCAGCTTCCCAGCGAACTGGAAAGAGCAATTGTCTCCGGATCCTTGCGGGACACATCACCAACGCGATCACCAATCTCAACCAGGACATCGTGGCCCGCGAAATCGGGAAGCACATACGGATCGTGTTGACTGATAGGAGCTCTTGAGTCGTTGTCGCATGCAGCTTGACCATCTTTCGCTCTTAACATATTCTTATACCTCCTCCAAAGATGGACACAGCAAGATAGCTAGGGAGTTATATGGTATTTATACTGGATGATCTGGAGGTGGCGTGTGGAAGAAGGATTGGACAAAGAAGTGCCAATAAAGACTGCGACGCAAACCCGAAAACGTGTGTGTGTATCACAGTAAACATTGGTAGGAATGAAGAGCTCATTCCGTGTGACATGAGTAAGCTCATTCATTTCACGAGCGCCATTGCAACTGTGACATCTCAGGCAGACCCTAAAGTTAATAGACCATGTTACGGGGTACTTCCACCCCTGTTTACGATAAAAACCCTAGATGTGTGGCGCGTGGACCCACATCTTCTTCCCGCCGATTCTTTTTCCCAACAATATACTTCACCGTCGCCTGTCCCCTGCCCCCGTGATCTTTTTAGTGTGCGCTGTTAAGTAGATCAAATTGAGACGTATTGAAATGACACTTCCTGGAAAAAAAATGGGAGGGTTACATGTGATTAGTCACTCAACGCATTTTTGAGTAAAGCTTACTTAAAGCTCCTTTAACTGTCAAAGCGACCTACGCCTTGAGAAATCAAGGTGTGAGCTATCAACAAACACTGGGTTCTAGAATATAATTCAGGAGAAAGAAAGAGCCAACATCAAGGGATCAAAAGGCAATGCCTCTACGAGCGATTGGCTTCCACGGACCAGTTTTCCAGTATCTATTTTGGTGCTATTGTATCTTTACTACATCCCATTGGCTCGCATTTCCATCGTCTCCTGTATGTCTGTACCTTGTCGGCCTGTCAGTCCATCGTTTCTTTCAGCGTTTCTTTAACATATCCACCTTTTTGCGCCGCCTCCTTCCATTTCCTTTCTACCTCCTGCTATGTTCCAGAGCGTCCTTCTCAGCCTCCTGGTGTTCTTGGTTTTCGTCTTTCTCGGCGTCTTTTAGAAAAGAAGGACTGATTTTACTTTTTTATTTTATCCGCGCTGCCACTCATCAACACCTTTTGGCATACCTCACAGGCCTGTCTAAACTGTTCGCATACCATTATTCCCACAATGCTTCAGTGTATCAATGGAAACCGCTTTCATTTCAGCCGGCAGGAATACTTGTCAGTGAGACACCACTGGAAGAAGCAGGATCCTGCTTTAACAGCCCGCGCGAATGAGCAGTCTGCCCAGAAACGAGGAAGAAAGGGATAAGCACACGACCCTACTGTGCTCCTGCATGGTGCGGCCATGGTTAACACTATCTTGGTTTTCTGAGGATAACGCCTCAAGTTCAAGTCTGGGACCCCTGGTTGCTAATGAGAAATGAAAGCCATAATTTTTTCTCATGCCATGGTGTCATTAGATCCTCTCAACCTTATGGGTCACGAATCTCGAATTCCTGGATGGCCCAAAGTCATCGCCCTTTTACCATTTCACTCGAGGCTAGGGATGAGTGGGCCAGGGTACTTACCTTGTTCGTGCTATGAACCCTCAGGCCACATGTGCCTCATACTCGATGTACTACTACCACCTGCTTACTAGTATCTGCTGCATTCATAAGAAAGGGAAAGAAGCACGGCACGCTTTTTTTTATTACTATTTCCACATGACTGAACGACTGTCGGATCTACATGCATGACTCTCTCGCCATATGACTATGGGATGATGGTAAGTATGAGTGAGTGTCTACAGGAAGTTTCAAAAGAAAAAAAAAAGTGAGGGATGAGAGATGAGAGAGAGTAGGACACGACACCACGCACATGCACACTAGTAAACCCACATCTGTTGCGCGCCCCGTAAAAGACCTCTTGCAGGCAGTGAAAAAATAGGAGGTGGGTGCAGGCATGTCTCTGGAAAATAATAACCGGGGTTGTGATAAGCAATGAGGTTATGGGGAAATGGAATAACGAAACAAAGAGAGGGATCTGTTTATTCAGGAACGAAGAGTGCTTATGTACTCTTCGTTCCTTATGTTACACGTGCTTATAGCTCATAACCTTCCTCCAGGGGGAAGGCTGAAAGCCGGGTTATATAGAAGAGCTAGAAGAAGTGTGTCCATGCTGGTAAGGGAGTAGACTATTACTAACTTAACAAAACGATATGAAGATCGAGTACTGTGACTGATGAAAAGAGCTGTCGTTTTGTGTTTGAGGAAAAAATAAGAAACCCTTAGAAGAAAGGGTGTATTGCGCGTTTCAAATAAAACGATGGGAAAATTCGGATTCTAATCTGATACGCCAAAAAAAAAAAAAAAAAAAGCATCGTTTTTCAACCTTACCACCATGTCAAAGAAACAAAATCCTTCAAAGAGACGTATCCTTACCCGCCAGAGCGCTCCTCCACAAAAGTTCTGACGCTTTTCTGCACTTCTGTTGGCTAAACTGGAGGGACTTGGCGTGCCTTCTTCTCATACACTTGCCCTGTCGCATTGTATCGTTAACATGAGATATCACTAAAGTACGTACTGTTAAATGGAGTTAGCATGACGTTACACCTTGTCAAGATATTACACTTTATTAAGGGTAGCTGGCTTCTTACTTTCAAAACTTTCAGATCCCACACCATATCCTCTAAATGGGCCAGCTTTCAGTTTTCCAGTAGAAAGTGCATTGTGCTTGTGGTATAAAAACAACAGCTAAACACGTGCTAAACCCATGTAAAATCAGGCATATAGGTGTAATAGGAGCAGAGCAAGAGTATATGAACAAGGAACAGAGAGAGAGGCAAGGACGAGAGGAAGGACAAGATAGTAAGAGGGACAAGAGGAAAGGCTAGAAACGGATCAGGTTTATTGTACAGAGAGAGAGGGTATTTATACGTCTATGATATTAGGCATACTGGAGAGGTAATAATAAGCAGGGGTAATATGTAAGACAAACACACAAGATACTAACAAGGTAAGTAAGGAATAAGGCAGTAGAAAGCAGGAGGCAATCTACAATCCTGGTACACTATGATCCTATGGCACTATGATACTATCACAATAGGTCATATACAAAAGATTTTGGGTAGGAGCTCCAACCTTTGAAAGATGGTCCTATAGGATTCAGCACGTAACTCATTCAAGTTTAAAGGTCGGTAGAAACTAAAAAGACCGCACAAGTTGAAAAAGAAAATCGGGATGCATTAATCCAATTAACTGATTCATTCGATTCAGGCATTTCGATTCCGACGATAATCCGATGTCGGTCCATGCAAAAAGAAACAAGTGCATGAATGAGGCTACGAATCGAGAGAATGAATGACAGGAATCTGGGGGCCGTTCGGAACATTGGTGAATGAGTATTTCAAACAAAAAGTCAAAATCGCAAAAAGAAGAATCACTTTTTTGGGGCACTTTAGCTTCTTGAGGACACGCTCGAGGTGGATCTTATGTTGCTCTTCATTCTCACTAAACACCAGGATATCATCCAAGTAGATGATGACGATGGAGTCTAGTTCCTCCTTGAACACATCGTTCATGAGGCACATGAATGTCGCTGGAGCATTCGTCAGACCGAACGGGAGAACTAGGAACTCATAAAGACCGTAACGTGTGCGGAAGGCGGTCTTTGGGATATCTTCTTCCTGGATCTTGGTCTGGTGGTTTCCGGAACGGAGGTCGAGTTTACTGAAAACCTTGGCATTGTGGAGACGGTCGAGCAACTCATCGATCCTTGGTAGAAGGTACTTATTCTTGACGGTTTGCTTGTTAAAGGCTCGGTAATCCACACACATGCGGAGATAACCTTCTTTCTTCTTGACAAACAGGACAGGTGCACCGTATGGAGACTTGCTAGTGTGGTGATGTGAACGGGAATCGTTCTCTCACGCGCGATTTTGTTCGAATTGTTGCAAAAAGATGTGGTGACTAGGCAGTGGCGGCGATGCCTTAGATTAGCAGTCATATTCTTTAGTAGACATAGTATTGGTAGTGCGCCGAGCCCTCTTGTTGTTACTCAGGGGAGAGGGTCGACGGCCAGAGTTGTAGGACCGCTGTTAGGTCCTCAATTGGTACGGAGGGGGGAAGGGGTTGTAGGTTGGAGGGAGGGGAAGTGATAATAGCGTCCTAAAGGAATCACACAAAACGATACACTGCAGCGTGCCAGCGAAACTCTTGTCAATACTGCTCTCGTCCAAGTGATGTGTAAAAGGACCCTGTATTCATATTATTAAAGAGGGGGTTGTTACCTGCAGCGTGCCAGCGAAACTCTTGTCAATACTGCTCTCGTCCAAGAAGTGATGTGTAAAAGGACAAAGAGCAGACAAGAAGGCTCGGCGCACTACTAATACTATCTACTAAAGAATATGACTGCTAACCTAAGGCATCGCCGCCACTGCCTAGCCACCACATCTTTTTGTAACAGCAATAAAAACGAAGGATGGAGCAATTTGGCCCCTTCTGCTTTTTCTGATTTATTTTACCGACTTTTGACTTTTGTTCTTCATATTGAACTGGAAGTCCACGGCAATACTCAGGTATACCATCGCCTTCCAGACGTGGATGACCTTCACGCGGTTGCAATTTGGCACTGTAGGGCATGAGGAGACAATATGATTGTACGCGTTGCTAACCATTGTTTCCAGGTTTTAAATAGGGCGACATCATGGTATTCAGCTTCTCATATCTCATACAAAATAAATTACATGACCTGGCTCGGAGCGCAGAGGGAGAGCATACTCTTTTCCTTTTTTTTCACCCATGTTGATGAGGATCCATCCCGACCTTCCTCAGCTCCAATTCTTTGGTGCACGATCCACATCCACTTTCTACTTTCCCATCCGACTCTTTTTTTTTGACATGATCCATATTCCTCGCAGTAGACCCGTGCAAAATACTTGGACTGCAGAGCGAGCGCAGAGAGAAAGTTTTGAGCATTTTTATTATGCGGCATGGATTATCCGTCTTCTAATTCTTCATCTTTTCGGCCTGGCCTGGTTCCCAGGTGTTTGGTGGTGGCTGTGTCAGGAATTAGCCGTGAGCGGAAGATAGGGGTGACTTGGCAATTAGACAGATCTGGCGTCCCATCCGACTCCTCCAACCTACCTCGAGAACCGAAATCTACTCACCCCTCCCCTCAAGCGCCGCCCTCAGCGACTCCGCAACACCCACGCTCGGCGGACACAACCTCAACATCTCCCCCGCCGTCGGCGCACCCTCCAACCCGCTCCTCCCGTCCCACACCATCTCAATGCCCGCGCGTATCGACTCCACAGCACTCTCTCCATACCCCTGGCTCGCCAACCCCTCCAACCAGTCCTGATACTGGAATTTTGTCTCTGCAACCGACACACCGGCTTCTCGTCCCACGATGTCGGCGATGTCCCGGCCTGTCACGTCCGCGGGGCCACTGAGCACGTACCGTTTCCGATTGTGTGGCGAAGGGTTCGGGAGCGCGAGGAGGGCCGCGGCGGCGCGGCCTACGTCCGCGGGGTCGATGAGCGCGATGGGGACATCTGCGGCAGGGATGACATTAAGACAAGTCTGCGTGCCTGTCTCCCTATACTCCTTGATCCAGTCCACAGTATTCCCCAGAAAGGAACTCGTGAAGACATTCGGTCTCAGCGCTGTCCACATAACATCCCCATACTCAGGCGTCGAAAGCAGTTCCTCGACCGCCCAGTGCGCGCGCCCATAATACACCGGGCTCGCGGGGCCAATGAAACACAGATTCGTAGACAGCTTAACGATGTATTTCACGCCTGCCGCGAGCGCAGCGACGAGCAGGGCCGACTCGTCGAAGAACTGCGTGGGCAGGTTGTGCGGCGCGACGTAGATGCGCTGGATGGAGTTGGCGAGCAGCCAGGAGGTTGTGATGGTGGTCCAGTCTTTTTCGAGGATGGTGACGCGGGGGAGGAGTGAGAGGGACTGGGAGGCGGGGCTGGTGAGGGAGCGAGTGAGGGCTAGGATTTGGTAGTCCAGGCCTGCGCTGGTGAGGAGGGCGGGGAGGTGGGCGAGCACGCTGCGGCCGGTGTTGCCGGTTGCGCCGATGATGAGGATGTTGTGAGGCATTGTTGGAGGGGTGGGGGAAGATGGATGAGGGGTGTTGTTGGGTTTGTTATAAAAGTGAGGAATGAGAGCTGGGGATGAGCAATGACCTCGGACCACTGGTGGTGACGCTAGTTTTGGATTACCAATTATCAGCTTATCAAGCAATAACAAGTTATGATAAATATTCAAGGTGACTGCGACATCGGAATACAGGATAGTGGGCGCGATAATTACGTCCCGAAATGATGCAACTCGCACCCACCCAGTATCAGAACTATAGGCTCGGCTCCAGCTTCCATCCGTTTCATATTGCGAGGGTTGGAAATCTTTTCGATTTCTTTGGACACTCTTCATATGACGGCTGGCTGGCATCCAGCGCAACTCAACGGGATCCCAAAAAGGAAAGAGGGGTGAGGTCTGACATCACGATATGTAATTGACCAGTATTTCTCTAATTGACAGCGGCCTTAACGAGCGAGCCATAAATGACCCATGGTAACCTTGGCCATCCTTCTCTCATTAAAACACTTTACCCATTTCGCTTCACTCTTCCTCAACTTATTCTTATTCACCCTATTCTCTCATTAAAACACTTTACCCATTTCGCTTCACTCTTCCTCAACTTATTCTTATTCACCCTATTCTCTCATTAAAACACTTTACCCATTTCGCTTCACTCTTCCTCAACTTATTCTTATTCACCCTATTCTCTCATTAAAACACTTTACCCATTTCGCTTCACTCTTCCTCAACTTATTCTTATTCACCCTATTCTCTCATTAAAACACTTTACCCATTTCGCTTCACTCTTCCTCAACTTATTCTTATTCACCCTATTCTCTCATTAAAACACTTTACCCATTTCGCTTCACTCTTCCTCAACTTATTCTTATTCACCCTATTCTCTCATTAAAACACTTTACCCATTTCGCTTCACTCTTCCTCAACTTATTCTTATTCACCCTATTCTCTCTTTTGTGCATTTGCCCTGATCTTGCTGTGTCTGCATCTGTGTCTGCATCTGTGTCTGCATCTGTGTCTGTGTCGATTGTGTTGTCCGCCTTGTCCCTCCATCGTTGCCTATCCCAGTCTCACGTACAGACAGCAACACAAACACCCCTCTTTATACATTCATATTGGACGCGTATCTTTCTTCTAATTATTAGCTGCTCTCCTTCTTTTCACACCCAGTCTCGCTTGCCGTGTCGTCTGCTCCAGCCGTGTCTGTATCTGTGTCTGTGTCAAGTGTGTCCGTCCTTGCTCGTCTATGTAATCGCTTCGTTGCCTCTCCTCCAGGTACAGCAACGCAAGCACTCTTGCTCCTATGTTTTGTCCCAAAATAGCCCTTAGGTTGCTCCTATTTTCCTTTCATGTACTGACCTATCGTTCTCTGTTATACATTACAGCTCTCGTCCTCCAATCACCCGTCCTTCTATTGCCGACAGTTTCTCGCCAGTCGCTTGCATCACCTCGTCCCCTATCATCGCAACACATCAACCATGGAATTCTCCATCGTTGACCAAGATCCCAACCTCTCACTTTCAAATGAAGAAAAGGCGTTGAGGATCATTCAATGTATCCAAAGTCTACGAATTTCTTTTCGCGACTTTTTGGTAGTAGCCTTTCTCTCCGATGATACAATGATCGAGGCGTATGTGAACAAATTTTACGGCAACGACGGACCCCAAGCGATCATCCAATGTTGGGACCGACTCTTCTTTGTCAATAAGCCGAGATACAATGACTCGTTCGAGGCAGCCATAATTGATGCTGTCACCAGTCGGACTAAACGCGATCTTCGCCGTATTACCAAAGCCGGATCCTTTCGATGTCCCTCAAACAAAGTGACCCGAGACTACTTCGATACATTCTCTCTTCATACGATTGAATCAGAGCTCGAGAGACATGCGCCGTGTGTAACCAAAGTACTGCGAGGACTGCAAGGCTCACGACTGAGTCATCAAGGTGTCTTTGTTCCAGTTATGAAAGCAGTGGTATGTTTCAATCACAGCAACAAGTCTAATACTCTTCAATTGGAAGATGGGTAAGTTTCATAATGCACATTTCGTTAATCATACTTTACTTGCTATTTACTCGACGAGCCAGAAATACCAACTTTTTCGCTTCGTCCTCCACTTGATAGCCCTTTCTCTGTACACTGTTGGATGTCCTAAACGCTCTCGGACTCACAGTGTCTTACACCACCGTATATAAAGCACTTCGAGCTCTCACGCAGGATCGAATGAGGACGATTCAACAACTCGCTAAGACAATGCCTATTATCATTTTGTCGTACAATCTCAATTGGATCGACGGGGTGCATCACCAGCTATTAAGCAATCCATCGACCGTTCGTAACACCACAACTATAACGATCGTTATCGGCGAGAATCTCGAGAACGACCTGCACGGGCCTATTGAACAACCGCACATTCGGCATCTTTTACAGGAGACAACAATGACAATATCCACAGCGAGGAAGATGATGATAGCAACGAAGACGCGTTCTGGCCTGTAGCACGATTTCACCTCTTTAACGTCTTGCAAAAATCCCACGAGCCGTACCGCATGTTTGTGACCGCGTTCAAGATCCCAGACGGCACCCTCCTTGGATCTACCCCAACCATGGCATTCGAGATTGGGCTACTGGATATTGGTCAATCAACAGTCGCCGGCAACATCCAAGTTATTGAACATGTGCAGGAGCTACTGGATCTACCCGAGGAGTTTTTCGTGACACGGAAATTAGGTCTTGTTGGAGATCTTCTTACCATCTCCAGATTCCACAGTGCAAAACAACGGCGTGCTTCCGAAATCGACTCCTTGCCTTCCGATCGGTGGGAATGGGCTGTTCTCATTTTCGGGCTGTTCCACCTCCAGATGACGACTGTCAAAGTTATTATGCGCACTCATTACGGCTCTCACGACACTTCTGGCTCTTTGGCTTATAACATCAGCTTGCTTGACCGCAAACGCATTGACCAGGATGCAAAGTTCTATCATGATGCAAAGGAGCTCTTGATATCCTCGTTTTACGCCATGGTCCGGCGGATTTGGCTGGTTATGATGGGGAAGGCGGACAGTACTTCAGGTTTGGCGGAAGGTCTAGAGGAAATGCGCCGTGATCTTGGTGGCGACGACTCTCAAGTGCAGGAGAAACTCATTATAATGGCCAAGTCTATATACGACACATATTTTGTCCGCCATTCCGTCCTTTTGGATACTCTCTGTCCAGCCGATGTCAACGCAGCATTGTTTATCAAGGACACGGTCATCTACCTCGAACTCTGTGCTGCCATCAAGCACAGAGACATCAATCGCCTTCAAGCTATCCTCAAGCCTCTTACCATTACGATGAGTGCTGGAGGCAGTCCTTACTATGCACTTGAGCTTTTGCGGATGTACTATGGAGTTCGATATGCGTGGACAAATTTGAGGACCGAGGCCATTTTTTCTTCCATGCTGATGAACACCAAGGGAGCGGAGGACTCGTTTATTCCGTTGGATCTCTATCGGGAATTCAACAACAAGCTCGTCAAGGAGTGCATCAAACGTCAAGGAAGCAATAGGTCAATGGAAAGTCTTAAAAACGTAACCACCCCCAACATTCGCCTACTCGACACCATTGCCACCGACGTGGAGGACGAGCTCGGAGTACCATTCAACAGCGCCTTTCACAGGACAACGTCGACTGACGACTACATTAGGGCTATCATAAACTCGCTTGTAAAGCACGATATCCTTAGCGGGGAAGTGCGTCCAAAAGCTATTAACAGCGATGAAGTGATTGTCAAGAACCTCATGGATGTGAGTCTTACCAAATTAATTACAGGGGGGTTTGACGCCTTTCTCGAGCGCGTTGAGAGAGAGGATTGTAGTTTTTTGCTTAGAGAGATAGAGACAGGCATTGCTCATGACAACGTTGATTCATTCAACTATCTTTCATCACTTATCCCCAAAGAATAAATTACAAAAGATATTGTTTATTCATTGTTTTTACTTATTGTTCTGGCGGGCCTTTTTTCTCGGTTCGCCCCACATTACAATTTCCAACTCCTTTCGGTGTTGCGTGGCCACCTTCTGTTGGCGTTGTGTGGTCTCCTGCTGTTGTTGCGATGTTTGGGTACCAAAAGGTCTTTTACGACACTTCTGCTTGGTGCTAGCGCCTTTGATGTTGGTGGCCAGTGCCTCCTTGAAGGTCTCCCTCAATTTCAGCAGGCGTCCCAGTAACTCTCCTGGCCAAGAGTTGTCGAGAGGTCTCCATTTGATTTGAGAATGAATATCTTCAATGGTGGTTATTTTGTCGAAGTTTTCCTTGAGCTTGACAACGGAGGGGTCCGGTAAAATGTGATGCTCATCAATGAAGAATAAACTTCGTCAATCTCTGTCGTTCAAAAGTCGTGCGCCTCCAATGCAAAATGTCCCACACTTGCTCCCTCTGCTCGGCTGTCGACTTGAACCGGCTTGCTGTAGAGAACTCCGTCACAAATGTCAACTCCAGTGCTGCCTTGTGCGCCTTACTCCTGCAGTTGGTACATCATTTAGAACGGTCGGACGGAGGCACATGTTTGTCGCTAAACTTCAAATTCAGGATCCTCCTGAGACATCCTCTTGCCTTGATAAACTCGTTAAGATCCTTGTCCTTCGTCTGGTCCTTGTTTCGTCCGTCAGGGTTGTAGGCAAGTAGTATTCCTTCGCCAATCATGCTCGGGTCTCGGGCTGCACAACCAACACGCTGGGCAAGGATGATAAGGTTGCCTGGTGCCAAGTACTGAACAACGCGCTCTATATCACTCACGTCACATCCCATGCCAGCCGCTTCGGTAGCCAACAAAACACGGATGCGGTTGGTTCTGAGAAGAGAGAGCGCCTCTTGGAGGTGACAGGTAGAGTTGGTGGAATGAAAGGGTTGAATGAGATGTCGGTGGGTGAGGGGTATTCTCCTACTCAGATACTTGTAGGCACTGTCTAACGTGTTTGTGCTGTCGAAGTAGATGATCGTTTTTTTGAAATCCAGAGTAAACAGGAAATCCCTGAACCCTCTTCCTTTTGAACAGAAGTTCTTAAAGTAGCGAACGTCGTAGAAAAGATTGGGTCGATCCGTGCCAGCGTGTATGACGGTGCCCTGCTTGTAGTGGAGACTTTTTCTGATCTTCTCAAGGGTGTCGTCGGGTAGAGTTGCCGAAAGAGCAACAAAGGCAACGCCTGCACGGACCCTAGAACGCAGTCTGCCCAGATCGCCATATGAGGTCCGGAACTCTCCACCCCAGGATTCAATGCAGTGAGCTTCGTCTATCACTACCGCCATCAAACGACGTCTCCATCCATCCAGCTGCCAAAGCTCCTTCAGGCGATCGGATTTGAAAATGAACTCGGGAGTCAAGAACACTGCTCTGTATTTTCCTTTTGCAAGTTGTTGAACTATGCTCCTGGGCACGTTCTGGTTGCTGCTGAGAGTTGTACACATAATAATGATAGCCTCCAGCTTGTCGCGTTGATCCTGCATCAGCGCCTTCAAGGGTGAAATGACTAGAATCGTCCGATCCTCCCAATGAGCCAATGGAAGAAAGAAGGCGATGGTTATCCTCCACCCACATCCCGCTATGAGAATACAGTCCTTTCCTTGGCTAACATGCTCCGTGACCTGCAGCTGCTCGTCCTTGGGCTCAACTCCAAAAACATTCTTGCATCTCTGTGTCATCTCATCCCTGGAAAACGCACGCAAACTGGGACAAAGTGGTCCGAAATCGGCAGCGGCAGTGGTGGTTGCATCGGTGATGTGAAGGGATGGCTCTACAAGAGATGGCTGACCGTCGTGGCTATAAGTGTCCTGCCAATCAGCGTCAATGTCGTCGTCACTCTGAAAACCATAGCGCTCAAGCTCGTCCTTGTTGAACTCCCTCATATCCACCACGTCATTATTCGAGTTGTCGTCGTCGAGAAAAGGATTATCATGGGAAATGATCGTGTATTCCTGTGTGCTTGTAACGGCTGTGTCACTTATCGGCAACTCAGGATGGGGACCGACGCCAACGTCATAGTCAGAATGGTCCTCCGTGAACGAGACAACACCCATCTCCACTGCAGGCGCGGGCTCAGGACTGAATTGTGGATGTGGACTGGAAGACTGAGCAACAATCTCAAGGAGGGCCGACACCATTTCACTCTGGACTCCATTGCCCGTCCACCCTTGAAGATACCCCGAAGGACCAGCTTCCGGATTCTCATCCTCCTCATTCAAGGGCAAGGTTCCGCGATAGTCCGCTATGTTGTCGAGCGTGATGGTATGGACTTCATTACGATCCAACTCTTGCATTTTCAGTCGCAACATCGTCATCCCCCCCATCCTCCTCATCCTCATCCTCATTCCACAGTACTCCGAGTGGATATCGCGTTGGTGATGTGGGATGATTGTTAAAGGGATTTCAAGCTGGGCGTCCCGTAACGGATAGCTCACTTAGACTTCTGCTTATGTCGAAGGATTCCAAGGCCTGAGATTGCCTGGGTGGAGTAGAGTAACATGGCGTTTGAGGATCCATGGTTGATGTGTTGCGATGATAGGGGACGAGGTGATGCAAGCGACTGGCGAGAAACTGTCGGCAATAGAAGGACGGGTGATTGGAGGACGAGAGCTGTAATGTATAACAGAGAACGATAGGTCAGTACATGAAAGGAAAATAGGAGCAACCTAAGGGCTATTTTGGGACAAAACATAGGAGCAAGAGTGCTTGCGTTGCTGTACCTGGAGGAGAGGCAACGAAGCGATTACATAGACGAGCAAGGACGGACACACTTGACACAGACACAGATACAGACACGGCTGGAGCAGACGACACGGCAAGCGAGACTGGGTGTGAAAAGAAGGAGAGCAGCTAATAATTAGAAGAAAGATACGCGTCCAATATGAATGTATAAAGAGGGGTGTTTGTGTTGCTGTCTGTACGTGAGACTGGGATAGGCAACGATGGAGGGACAAGGCGGACAACACAATCGACACAGACACAGATGCAGACACAGATGCAGACACAGATGCAGACACAGCAAGATCAGGGCAAATGCACAAAAGAGAGAATAGGGTGAATAAGAATAAGTTGAGGAAGAGTGAAGCGAAATGGGTAAAGTGTTTTAATGAGAGAATAGGGTGAATAAGAATAAGTTGAGGAAGAGTGAAGCGAAATGGGTAAAGTGTTTTAATGAGAGAATAGGGTGAATAAGAATAAGTTGAGGAAGAGTGAAGCGAAATGGGTAAAGTGTTTTAATGAGAGAATAGGGTGAATAAGAATAAGTTGAGGAAGAGTGAAGCGAAATGGGTAAAGTGTTTTAATGAGAGAATAGGGTGAATAAGAATAAGTTGAGGAAGAGTGAAGCGAAATGGGTAAAGTGTTTTAATGAGAGAAGGATGGCCAAGGTTACCATGGGTCATTTATGGCTCGCTCGTTAAGGCCGCTGTCAATTAGAGAAATACTGGTCAATTACATATCGTGATGTCAGACCTCACCCCTCTTTCCTTTTTGGGATCCCGTTGAGTTGCGCTGGATGCCAGCCAGCCGTCATATGAAGAGTGTCCAAAGAAATCGAAAAGATTTCCAACCCTCGCAATATGAAACGGATGGAAGCTGGAGCCGAGCCTATAGTTCTGATACTGGGTGGGTGCGAGTTGCATCATTTCGGGACGTAATTATCGCGCCCACTATCCTGTATTCCGATGTCGCAGTCACCTTGAATATTTATCATAACTTGTTATTGCTTGATAAGCTGATAATTGGTAATCCAAAACTAGCGTCACCACCAGTGGTCCGAGGTCATTGCTCATCCCCAGCTCTCATTCCTCACTTTTATAACAAACCCAACAACACCCCTCATCCATCTTCCCCCACCCCTCCAACAATGCCTCACAACATCCTCATCATCGGCGCAACCGGCAACACCGGCCGCAGCGTGCTCGCCCACCTCCCCGCCCTCCTCACCAGCGCAGGCCTGGACTACCAAATCCTAGCCCTCACTCGCTCCCTCACCAGCCCCGCCTCCCAGTCCCTCTCACTCCTCCCCCGCGTCACCATCCTCGAAAAAGACTGGACCACCATCACAACCTCCTGGCTGCTCGCCAACTCCATCCAGCGCATCTACGTCGCGCCGCACAACCTGCCCACGCAGTTCTTCGACGAGTCGGCCCTGCTCGTCGCTGCGCTCGCGGCAGGCGTGAAATACATCGTTAAGCTGTCTACGAATCTGTGTTTCATTGGCCCCGCGAGCCCGGTGTATTATGGGCGCGCGCACTGGGCGGTCGAGGAACTGCTTTCGACGCCTGAGTATGGGGATGTTATGTGGACAGCGCTGAGACCGAATGTCTTCACGAGTTCCTTTCTGGGGAATACTGTGGACTGGATCAAGGAGTATAGGGAGACAGGCACGCAGACTTGTCTTAATGTCATCCCTGCCGCAGATGTCCCCATCGCGCTCATCGACCCCGCGGACGTAGGCCGCGCCGCCGCGGCCCTCCTCGCGCTCCCGAACCCTTCGCCACACAATCGGAAACGGTACGTGCTCAGTGGCCCCGCGGACGTGACAGGCCGGGACATCGCCGACATCGTGGGACGAGAAGCCGGTGTGTCGGTTGCAGAGACAAAATTCCAGTATCAGGACTGGTTGGAGGGGTTGGCGAGCCAGGGGTATGGAGAGAGTGCTGTGGAGTCGATACGCGCGGGCATTGAGATGGTGTGGGACGGGAGGAGCGGGTTGGAGGGTGCGCCGACGGCGGGGGAGATGTTGAGGTTGTGTCCGCCGAGCGTGGGTGTTGCGGAGTCGCTGAGGGCGGCGCTTGAGGGGAGGGGTGAGTAGATTTCGGTTCTCGAGGTAGGTTGGAGGAGTCGGATGGGACGCCAGATCTGTCTAATTGCCAAGTCACCCCTATCTTCCGCTCACGGCTAATTCCTGACACAGCCACCACCAAACACCTGGGAACCAGGCCAGGCCGAAAAGATGAAGAATTAGAAGACGGATAATCCATGCCGCATAATAAAAATGCTCAAAACTTTCTCTCTGCGCTCGCTCTGCAGTCCAAGTATTTTGCACGGGTCTACTGCGAGGAATATGGATCATGTCAAAAAAAAAGAGTCGGATGGGAAAGTAGAAAGTGGATGTGGATCGTGCACCAAAGAATTGGAGCTGAGGAAGGTCGGGATGGATCCTCATCAACATGGGTGAAAAAAAAGGAAAAGAGTATGCTCTCCCTCTGCGCTCCGAGCCAGGTCATGTAATTTATTTTGTATGAGATATGAGAAGCTGAATACCATGATGTCGCCCTATTTAAAACCTGGAAACAATGGTTAGCAACGCGTACAATCATATTGTCTCCTCATGCCCTACAGTGCCAAATTGCAACCGCGTGAAGGTCATCCACGTCTGGAAGGCGATGGTATACCTGAGTATTGCCGTGGACTTCCAGTTCAATATGAAGAACAAAAGTCAAAAGTCGGTAAAATAAATCAGAAAAAGCAGAAGGGGCCAAATTGCTCCATCCTTCGTTTTTATTGCTGTTACAAAAAGATGTGGTGGCTAGGCAGTGGCGGCGATGCCTTAGGTTAGCAGTCATATTCTTTAGTAGATAGTATTAGTAGTGCGCCGAGCCTTCTTGTCTGCTCTTTGTCCTTTTACACATCACTTCTTGGACGAGAGCAGTATTGACAAGAGTTTCGCTGGCGCGCTGCAGTGTATCGTTTCGTGTGATTCTTTTAGGATGCTATTATCACTTCCCCCCCTCCAACCTACCACCCTCCCCCGTACCAATTGAGGACTTCACAGCGGCCCTACAACTCTGGCCTTCGACCCTCTCCCCTGAGTAACAGTACCTTGTGGGTGACCAATGTTTTTTATCATTTTTAACGAGTGGGAAAAATGTATGTTATCCCTTCGATTGATTCTGGAACTTTTATGTTCCAGATTGTTACACGCGTTTCGTTTAGGGTCAATGTTCCCTTCACATTTACAAAAAATTGGGCAATGAGATCCTTCCCAATGTAAACATGAAAGCGAGGGGGCTTTGGTGAGAGGAACATCATCTCTTTTTTTTCCCCACGAACCCATCATTCGCAGCGAATGCCACTTTGAAAATTGCTCTATTAATTCGGATGCTCGACACTCCTGTCGACATGGAGCTCGACGATGTTGTAGGATCCAAGAAAAAAAAAAGATGAGCAGATTCGCTGTTCTCTTCCCCCTTTTGTGCGTTTTAGTGAGGCAAAGAAATAACAAAGGATTTGTCACCTTAGAGGCTGGAAGTACAACCGTCGTAAAAGAAATATGTACCAAAAAGCCTGACAGTCGAAGGGATAATTCACTCATTCAGTCACATCAACGCTCTTCATCAATTGCCTATGGCCACAAAAGAGCTCGAAGGCAATGACACACATGCAGATATCTTCCCCGTGATTAAAAAAATAATCACGCACAAACTACGCGTACTGCTTTTTCCTCATATGAATGTGAGTGTTATTTTAAACAACAATAATAAACAAGCCAAGAATGAAGTGTCGTTTTTGCATCTCTGTGGTGGATCCTAGAAGAAAGATATGTAAAGGAATGTACAGTCGCGGCAGCGCTGGTTTTTAGAAATGGTGAGGAGGTTCACATTAGCTGTGTCTAGATAAAAGTTATGCTACATTCCGCTTCAACCTCTCTAATAAAAACTTTAGCCTACCTTTTAATTTAACTAGGGAAAACAGGTTTGACTGAGAAATTCTCACCCCGTACAGTTCTCGTTATTTATTTTTTCACACAAAACCTATCACATTGTTCCTTTTCCTTTGTGCTCTCTTCAATTCCCTCCCCTCCATTCCTTCACGATGCCATCTTCTTCATCTTCCCAAACCTCATTCTCCCAAGCCTCATCCTCCCAAGCCTCATCCTCCAAGACTGCAATCACTCGCCATGCCGTCGATGCTTCCATAGTCAAGGAGGCATTGAATGCAGCTGCCAAGTCAACAGAAGCCCATCTTTACAGCAAGGGGACCTCAAGGAGCTATCAGGGCCACGTGAAACGAGCTCTGGAGTACGCCGCCGCTACCGCAGATCCTGAATACAAGACAGCATTCACCACAATATCCGCTCACACTCCCACTGTGCTACTTGCATTTATCGCGTCCAAGTGCGAGCAGTCCGGCTGCACATTCAAGACAGCAGAATGCATCAGGAGTGCACTGAAGCAATACTTCGAGGCCACCTTTAATTGTCAAGGCGACACCTGGTATTGTGATGATCTCAACAACTGGACCGGTAACCCTGTCTTTGACCCAACATTTGTCAAGTACTATAAATCTCTCAATCGCGATGGAAGATCAGGAGTCAGTAAAAAAAGTCTGGCAACATCCTACAGAGACATGACCAAGCTTATAGGGCATCTACAGGACAGTACGACTATTGAGAAGGAGACCGAGGGAATGTGTTTGCTATTCCAGGCTTTTGCGGCCACTGGGTTCACTCTATGGACAAGGTAATGGTATTAACAGCGTTATTAGTGATGATGCCGATGTTTCTAAATATTTTAAACTGACCATGTCCATATTTAATATTTACCGTCCCTTACTAGGAACGAAGAACTGCTCCGACTCCAAAGGAGAGACCTTGAGCTAGGCCTCAACACCGACGCTGGGACACCATACTTAACCATCACTCTATCTTTCCGCAAAACGAATCAATCAGACGCTCTAAAAGGTAAAACTTTGTTTTGAACTTAGCGTTGCGTTGGAATAGACCGTAGGTCGTGCTCAAACAGTGTACGTTTTCTCTTCACCCTCAACCACATAGCTAACATCTACGAGATCCATCCTCAGCCTGAGGATCCAGATATCTGCTGTTTCACGAAGCTCAGCACTTGGATTCGATGGATGGAGCGCAGTGGACAAAAATTGCAACCCGACGATTTTGTTTTCCCAGCGTTGGATGTGAGAGGGCGTGTTAAAGTCAAGGAGCCATTATCGCACACACGCGTGCAGGCGTTGTTGGATCTATTCACAAGGACTTCAGGTGCGATACATTCACATTATAGTACAACAAGTGCTAGTGTCACTTGCGTATTTTTCTTGCTAACCCTGAAGTTGTTGTTTGCTATGCACTTAGGTCTTCTGGATGGGCGGAATGGTCGGTTCACTACACACTGCTTTCGCCGAGGCGGAGCACAATACCGTTTCATGTTTGCTAAGGAGAAATGGTCATTGAAAGCCGTGAAGTGGTGGGGAGGGTGGTCTGAAGGCGAGGGGATGGGCACAATCATGCGATATCTGCTGGACGAGTGCAACCGATATGAGCTGGGCTTTAGTGATATGCTTTCACCAGTACGACAAGACAGTCGACATGCCGTTTTCATGGGAGAAACCGATACCCCAGGAATGGCCCCAGCCACTCAACAAGGTCTCGCAACGTCCCTAGAAACGCTGCGCGCAACGGTGGATAAGGAGACGGCTCGTCAGTTCTCTATTCTAAAGCAGGAGATGCAACACCGACATGAGACGATGGAGCGACGCCACCAAGAGTCGACTAAGGCACTTCTGGACGCTATCCGGCGATTAACAGAGACAGAACCCCGTCAATCAGCAGTAGTACAGCATCCATTAGATCCAGTCACTCAGGAGCAGGCACCCCAGTTACCTCAACGCATTGGTCAAGTAGTTCAACAACAACAGCAGCAACAGCAACAGCCATGCGTCAACCCGCCGGCTACTCCACGTATACCTACCATCTCGAAGTGGCAAGATGCTGTAGAACAGTGGGAGAACGGCGACCCAAGCAAAGGACTGCTGATCCCACTTCGTTCCTGGACAAAGGGAATGCGCAAAACAGATTCCGTCAAGTATTCTCAGAGGAAATCCATCGCAATGGAGTTTATCTACTTGGGAAGAAACGAGGTCAATGTGAAGGATGTCCATGGCAAGGCATCTGATACGGTCAGACAGCTTCTCAAGTCTATCCATCAGAAAAATCTTGAGCGGAAACATACAGATGCGGTTGGAACTTCGTCATCAGGGCTTCAGGACCATGGGAGAGAGGCCGAGTGTGAAGACGAGGATGAGGAGGTGGAGCCAGAACCGCTGGTGAGACACAGACTGAACCAACAGCCGAGTCATATGATCCAGAGCGTGGAAGGGTATCGTGCAGAGCAGGTAGAGGGACAAAGGCAAGGTGAAAATGGTGGAAATGAAGGTGATGAGTCTCCAGAACCGCCAGGAGCCAAACGAGTGAACCAACAGCCTTTGAAGCCCAGGATTGCAATCCCTCGAGTTACAAGGAGCAAAAGCGTTGCTCTTGCTACGGCCCCTGCTTCAACTACTACGCCCATTCCCCTCCCTATTCCAAAGCGGCTACGGAGAAGAAATACAATCATAGGCAAAACATCCTCATCCTGTGTAGAGAATAATAGAAAGCGTAAGCGATAATTAAATGGCTTCATTATCGTCCAGAAAAGAAAAAAAAAAAGGCGTGCGTGTGTGAGACTGAAAAATCAAAACAGCGAGAGATATAGCCTACATGCAAATATTTTGTTCATGTATGTGTTTCCCAACATAAAAGATTACGTTGGTATCAAAGACATGTTAGTGAAATAAAAATGAGGAACTATGGTATCCATGTTCACAGTACTGCTGTCTTGCCCTTCTTTTTCCTCTCCTCCTCCAGTACTGTTAACGCACTCCGATGCTGCGTGAAAATAGGAGGTCGCGAAGGTGATTCGCACCAAGATGGACCCTGCGATTAGAAGTGAGATATCTGGCTCTGCTGATGACGCGTCCAAACTCGCACGAGGTTAACTGAATGCACAGAGAGTGTCGTCCAATCTCCGTCAGCGCTGGGAGTAAGACTTTGTACTTTTTCCAGAAGTCATGCCTTTATTGAAGTTACCATATTAAACAGCACGTCTTTGACCTCGTCAGCATAGCGACCAACATCTTCGATCGCTACCTGGCTTATGTCGCGCTCCTCAAGGTCTACCCATTTCCTGATTTTGTTGATCTCCTTGACAACCTCGGCTCTAAGAAGCTCCTCTGCATTCCTAACAGTTATGCCGGCATGCTCGCCGTCCCAGAGTTTGTCGTTTACAGTACGACTGTATAAGGTTGGGATCTAAGTACATCGCCACAATACAGGTGTTGAGCTTTCGATTGGTGATATCGAAGAACTCCATCTGTTTGTTCTACTCGTCAAGCTTGCTGGCAGCGACTGGAGAAAAGTACCGTCTTTGTTTCTTTTGGGTTTTGGACCAACATGACGTACTAGAGGTGAAAGAGACCAATTCGATTTGATTCCAGTATCTAGGCAATCGTAGACCGCCTTGCCGATAGTTGTTATCATAGTCGAGCGGTCGGGGAGTAGGTTCAGCGCGTGTGTATACATGGTCAATGCTCATGTGTCATTGTAACACCGTACTTGCTTGCCTTTCTAGAAGATGGATGATGCTCTAAAGAGTGTCGACTTCCTCGATAGCAAACAATTCTTAACCTTGTCCTTGATGTGCGAGGGTAAATCGGCGGGAATGCCCCTGCAGTGCTTGACAATGGCAGCAATGTGGTCCTTCATCTTGAAAACTCGCTTTGTCACCTTGCAGCAGGAGTTCCATCTTGTCGTACCCATGGAGACCGGCTTGAGTTCATCCTACTTACAGGTGGGTCATTCTGTTGCATATCTTGAATATACATTGTACAATCTTCCGCAGTACGACCTCTGCGCCTTGCACAATGGCACTGTTATCGTCCTCAGACCCCAGCCTTTCTTGTCGGTATGGACGGTTGTGTTTTGGCGTTTGCATCAGGCTACGATTGTACCTTTTCCTAGACTGGCATAAGTGTGGAGTATTAGTAGAATACACACAAGCCGCAACTAGGGTCCTAGTCACAACAAGCAAAACAAGACATGGAAGCAAAAAATAGACTTACAGGGGAATAGGGAAGTTCATCTTTCCCATTATCCGCCCCATCACTCTCCTCCTAGCCCAAACCCCATATAAAAACTGTTATCATGCACGCGAATGTCAACCGTCTTGTATGTCTGTATGCGTGTCATTGCCTTTAAGCTATTTTGTGGCCAAAGGAAATTTATGACCAGTGCTTTTATGTCGTGGTGCATTTGTATGTTGAAGAGCGTTCATTGTGACTGAAAGAGTGAATGAGAGATGGAGGGAAGGAGGAGGAAGTTAAAGAGAGGGAGCGAAAGGGAGCGTGTGCGTGTCCAGATGACAGAAGACCCCGGGTCAACCATTTATATTTTTTTCCTATGTCTCATGTGTGCCCTTGTCACCCTCTTTATTTGAAAGGTACCCTCTCAACCTATAAAAAAGACCGCTTCTCGAAGCGGTCCTGGCCACTTCGCTCTCCGTCCAGCTCTTTCAGCCTATCGTTTGAACCGCTTCGCAAAGCGGTCTTTTGATTTTGGATCGCATCCACTCAATATTCTTCTCTCATCAGGTTTTAATACTCTCCCTGCCATCAGTATCAAAGAACGTAATAAAAATAATACGCACCATATTTTTTGGTTACGACTACATAGAATACTTTCTAATTCCAGGCATCCTCCGCGACCTGAGTCCACAACGCCTCCCTCGACCGGGCATTGACAGGGTCAAATTCCAGCCTAAAATCAGTTGGGTACTTGTCAGAATCAAACTCCAGCGGGACCGTACCACCAGGCGCAATAATCTCGCCAAGCGCCAACGACACAAACCCCTGGTACGGCAGGTCCCCGATCGGACTCGGCATATTGGCTAAGGCAAAGTAACTGTTGAAGATCACATTGTTGGTTGCTGCACCTGCGGCGTATTGGTACTTGGATAGCGGTTCCCCGTATGTGCCGCCGACACCGTAGGATTTGACGTTGTATTGGTTAGCGAGGAGGTAGACTACTTGGGCGCAGGCGGAGAGACATCTGCCGTCGGTTAGGATACGCAAGCGGTCGGGGTTGTTAGTCCAAGGGTATTTTGTGAGGTTAGGGTGGACGGGGTGAGTGGCTGGCTTGTAGGATGTGGGCTTGGTGTAGACAGCCTGTCGCCCATTGCGGTACTGAGAGACAGTGTCAGTAAAAAGCGAGTTGTCGGTATAGGTTTGATTGGTGGCCAAGTTCAGGTACCGCGAGCTATCAAAGAAGCCACCTCCAAGGATACTGAGCATGTTGCCCTTTTGACTGTACCCGCCATCAGTCGAGTTGTAGACCTTGGCACTAAGTTGTTGCAGCGCGGGGGTGGATCGGAAGTTGACACCGAGGATCTGGTCGAGGGGTCCTTTGTTGGGGAAGAACAGCTGTGCGACATCTGATGCGACGTTGGCGTAGCCTCCATCGCTTCCGACGACGTCGATGACGATGTCGGTGACACCCTTTTGGTAGAGGGTTTCGAGGGACTGATACATAAAGTCGATCTCTGCAAAGTCGATCATGGTGACAAAGAGGACCATGACACCGATGGTGGGGCGGTCCTTGAGTTGGTAAAAGACGGTGCAGTTGCCGGCGCCGATCTTGGTCGCCTCTGGATAGTCAGGAGGGGAAGGAGATGGAGGGGCTGAAGCATCCGCGGGCGAGGGAGAGGGAGGTGCAACAGCAGCCTGGTCCTGCTGCCTGTCAAATAACGCTCGCTTGTTGAAAGCAGAAATGCTGTGGTGTCTCTCGGACGATAAGGAGACTGGATTGTGCTTGTGAACAGACGCAGCACTTGCGGCACTTGCGGCACTTGCGGTAGGAGTCTGAAGTGGTGCAGGTTGAGCAAGACAGACATTATTGATATACGATGCCGTGTCATTAAACAGCCATGGATACTGAGGCGTAATGACCCACTTGTCCTCAACAACGATCATCTTCGTCGAGGTGGCACACTTGAGCTCATAGTGAACAGAAGGGTTATCGGGCAAGAAGTTCCTGATTGCGAACTGACCAGGGAAGACGACGAAAGTCTCAGCAGCCTGACTGTAGACCATTGATGACAGGGCTTCGTTCAAACGACCGTTGGGATCCTTGGAAGTATAGAGGGTGTTGGCGTACTTTTTGATCTGGGCCATTGCGTTCTTGCCGTCGATCTTCACCACAGTGCAGTCCTCGTAGCCTCGCTTGAAGTCGTCCTTGTAAACCTTGAGCACCTTGTATGACAGGGTACAAAAAAAAAGAAAAGTGTTAACTGCCGTTTGTGGGTATCGCTATGGAGAGTGACGGAAGTCGTTATCATAGTTCGTTACCTGTTTGCCATCGATGACTGGCGCATAGAGACTGAGGGGTTGCGCATACAAGTAGGCCACATAGCAGTATGCTGTGATGTAAATAGAGGCAAAAAAAACAAGAGAAGTCGCTGCGTTAGCAAGCAAGGTAATTGAAAAAAAAAGAACATCATGATCATCACATTTAGGCGCTAATCTTACGAGCATAGAGAGAATGGCCATCATGCATAGACCCGATGGCCTTGAAGACATCGGTGTGGAACTTCCGATCGCTGGTGTAGCGAGTGCGGCCAATCTTCTTGAGCTTAGCAACAATGTCGACGGGGTCGCTTTCAAGGGGTTCGGTCAAAAAGGGGGTCAGTACCGAGTCGCGCGAGATGTAGTAGTCGTTGAAGAAGGTAGTGACAGTCTTGAGTGTGGCCCTGGCTGCGTTGTTGTTAAAGGGGATTGAATCAAAGCAATTGGCTATGTCGGTGTAGGTGATGTTGACTCCGTGTCTGGATGCAAGGTCCGAGCAACCAATTCCGCCGGTTGACGATGGATCGGCAAGGGATACGGTTACAAGAGCTGCAACCGAGGCCGAGAGAAGGATAGTATTGACTGAGAAGGATACCATAGTCAAAATGGGTTGGTGTGTTGAAGAGAGGAAGAGGAGGAAGAGGAGGAAGAGGTTCGAGTAAGATATTTGAGGGGTCGTGGCATAACTTTTTATACATTTCACCAAAAGTTGACTCCAAGAAGGCAGTGCAAACGTGCAATAGAGCGCGAGAAGAAGGTTTATCATTCCACGGTGTTCTTGGCGAATAAAAGAGTTCAGGTACATTGTCGATCAAACATTTCGCGTCGACTTACGCCTCTGTGGAAATGAGAAGAAAGACAACAATGTTCTAAATATACCCACACAATACCTTACTATTATGCCACTGGTAGCGGTGGAGAGGTGACAAGTTGGTACAGAAAGAACAAAAACTTTATTGATCTAATCACTTGGCGATCGATCTAATCGCTTGGCGATCGACCTATGCTCTAACTTCATGCCTTGCATCCGGGTAGTGCATCCGGCCGGTTGTTCACTCCCAATCGAAAAAGAAGAATGTGCGAGTGAAAAATAAAGATGGGCTACCTACTCTTTTGTTTAGTTCGTTTCGATTATTGGTTGCGGAGTGTCGCGATAGCTTCATCTGAAACCGTGTTTTGGCGAGGTAGCGTGACTGCTCTTTGTGGTTGACCATGGTAACTGGCGACCTGGCTGGCCCTTCGTTTGCTCGTTGGCTGGCACCCTTACTCCAGCTGCCATCTGTCTGCTGTGTGTTGTTTGTTGTTTTGGTTGTCAACCCATCCTACATTCATACTGCAGAAAAGGAAAAGAAAAAGGAAAAAGAAAAAGGAAAAAAATGTGCACACGCCTTTGTTTGCCAGTGGGTTGACGGGAAGAGTTAGAGAAGAAGTCAACAATAGCAAAGAAATCTCTTTCACTATCTCGCTCTTCTCTCTCTCTCTCGTTTCTCTTGTTTCGACCTTCGATCCCCTCAACCCCGATGTCACTTTAGTGATCGCCCCAACACATTCTTCTCTCGCCTTCGTTCACCAGCCCAACTTCTGATTCCGATCAGGCCACTGGCATTCACATCCCCAACAGTCATCATCAGCAACAGCCATCAGTCAGACAAAAGTTGTAATCAAATCACCTGATCATTTTGTACCCAGTACACCAACCCAACAACCGCAGACGTACTACAACACCAGAGCCTTCGCTGCCTCACCTCACCATACTAAAAGTTATATTCGTTTCTCAAACGAACCAAACAGCACACAGAAAAAAATTCATATTAAGGCAGCCAAGGTAATAGGCAAGGAGAGGGGTGTGTTGACAGCAAGTTGACAAGCTGCCAGCAAGCAAACTGACGAATTTGTGCCTTCTATCGAACTCGTCCATGTTCTGTCACTTTCTGTACTCATAGTCGAGCGTTCGTTGCTCTCCCTCTCCCTCAGCTAAAGCATCGACCAAATCCAGCAAAACAACAAAAAAGCAATATCAAAGCACAAAAGCAACAAACTGTTTCCCTCTCCCGTACACCGAGTAAGTGCAATAGCCATGCGTAACATTGGTCTCGCTGTTTGCACTCTTTTTCTCCGCGGACAAAATTACTTACCATCGTCAATTGCATGTGCATGTAGATATCTTTCAGAGCTCCTCCAGTCCATCAACCAAGAACTCCAAGTCAAGCAACCTTTGCCACACCTATAAAACCACTTATATTAAGGTAAAGAACAGCCTTCACAGCGAGCTAGCTTGGGGTACATGTAAATGGAGACCAAATACTAACGCATTCCGTTTGCCATAGGTGATACAAACCCATCTGATACAAACCCATCCACAGCACACCCACCATGTCCATGAACTCGCACTCCACCTTCCGGTCCACCATCTCAACCTGCCTCACCAAGTCATCCAAACACTGGGCACAATGACGACAACAATTATATCTCTTCCCAGCGAAACCGCAAGCGGGACAGGTCTTTGGCCTTCTTCAGGTCGTCCAGTCGAGAGCACAAGGCCAAGAATTCCAGTGCTACCAGTCCCAAGTCCTCTATCAAAGGAGCCTCGGCTGCCAGTACTGAGCTGCCTGCTCATCACCTTTCCACTGTCAGCACCCCTGAGAGTATTGGCATTGAACAAGCGGTGGTGGAGACCGCTGTCATGAGCTCTCCCTCCGATGTTCGCCACTCCTTTGGCAGCACCTCAGGGATTGATAGCATCGACCATGCGGAATCTGCCACCGTCGTCAAGGGCCCTTCCTTCAATGTTCTTCCCTCGAAGTCGCTGACCAAACCTAGCTTGGACGTCTTCTCACAGAACGTCAATGCGCCTGCCGTACGCATCCCCTTTCCCACATTTGGCGCTCGCATCGACACCACCCCTCAGCTTGCCATGTGCATCGGCTTGCTTTCTGAGGTTCACAACACTATCGACCAGCAACAGGATCCTTCTCAAGACTTGTCATCCGACACTGCTGCTCGCCTGGCCTGGGTCGAGGCTATGAAGCAAGATCCTACTGAACGAGAACGAATCTTGTGGCTAGGAACTCGTATGGTTGACGAGTTTGCCAAGGACGCCTTTAAGGACTCGACCGAGATTGCCGAGATGGCCCTCATTGGCCCTGTCATGGACATGGAGCATTACCGCGGCTTACTTTCCAGCATCATCGCATCGTTTGACCATTCTACGATTTTGAGTGTCGATCTCCTCCAGGGTCTCGTGCAGTTAGTGCAGTCTGCACCCCCTGAATCTCTCCTCTCTGACGACCTGGTCAAGATTCTTCGTTTACTCCGGCTTCGACTGCAGGACACTCATCAGCAATCGACTGTCCACCCTTACCATCTCACGTTGGCTCTCTCGAGGGTGCTTGATGTCATGGCAGACCACAAGGTCAAGGACCTGAGCCGCGTGGAGGAGCACGAGCCCTTGTCCGGAGTCTTGTCTAGCTTGACGGGTAGCTCAGACCCCTACCTGATGTACCAGGCTTGCTATGCGTTTCAGGCACTACAGTATGTGCCTGATGATGAGACTGTGCTCCAGGCGGTTCTCCGACAGTCTATTGGTGTTGCAGGTGGGGTGGTCAAGATTTCGGCAGTGATGAAGCTGGATCTTGGCGCAGTTCTTGAAGGACTTGGCATGTTACAGGAGGTGGTTGACAGCACGGTCGAAATTGCTGGTGCTGTGTACGAAGGGTTTTGCTCGCTGAAGGAGAGTGGCCGAGGTGTCTTCGAGAGTCTGAAAGAAGGATATGGATCTGGCAAGAAACGTCCTTGGTATGCCGCCGTACGTGCTGCTCATGCTCTTGCTCAAGCTGGTCAGCTGCAGGATCTCAACCGTCTGATCTGTGTGGTACCTTGTCGCTGTGATCCCCTATTCCAATGGGGAGTCTGCCAGATACTGGACGAGATTGCATCTGATGATATCTGGGATCCCCCTGTTCGCCAGCAAGCCGTTGAGCTCCTTGGTGATCTGTTCCAGAACGATCCCTTGTGGGGTGAAGATGAAAGCGTCAGGACGTGGATGTTGAATATCAGTGGCCAACTCGGTGCCGTCGGTGAGGCAGCTGTTAGCAGCAGCGCTATTACCTTGGTGAAGGAACTTCAGCAAGATCAACCCGCCACCACCAAGCTTCCTTACCCGCTGAGGAACAGACTTCCTTTGCCCTCGTCCTCACCAACACTCGTCAAAGTTCACAAGATCCCGCCACTCGAGCGCGAATTGCATCGGCTCCGCATGTTGAGGTTGAAGCAGAGCCACCAAGGCGTCTACATCCCGCCTATGGCCAAGTCTAGTCTGCAGGCCAAAGATGAGGACATGTTCTTGCTGATGGAGAAGATGCAAGAGTTCTTGGCTGGTGAGCGACAAGTGATGCTGGTGCTTGGTGACTCTGGTGCCGGAAAGTCGACATTCAACCGCCATCTCGAGCATCGTCTCTGGACCGACTACAAGCCAGGCGACCCTATACCTCTCTTCATCAATCTCCTACGCTGATGGTACCAGGATATATGAACCATTTTGTCTCGTTGGATGTCATCTTTTTATAGCTGGGGCCGCGAGTATTCTCATGGGATCACGGCATATTATGGGATCGCGACAGATGATGGGATGGCAGGAAAATGGTACCGAGGGAAACCATGTACCCTCTCAAAATGATGGCACACTTATGGGATACCACTGAGCTTTCTTTTAATTGTAGCATACTCGGCCCTTCTTTATGCCATCATGTCGGCCATTCTTTACACTACGGCATTTTATCGGCCTTTTTTATAAGTGCGATACTATGTTGCTCTTATCTTTTACCTATGGCCACCTAACCAATTGGGTTGGGGCATCCTTGGGCCTTTGGTGAATGTCGTTCTGAGGCACTCCGTTCCATTGTGATCTTGCTATTTTGAAACTGTACCCACCTGAGGCGGGGGGCAACCGAGCCTATGCTGAGACTCATGCTGAGGTTTGTGGCATTTTCCTTTATCGTCCTTTCTTTACCTATAGTGACATTACTGAGGGTAAGATGGATTAGAGCACATAGGTGCTCAAGTAATTGAGAGATGTAAATGAGACGAAGCATTGACCACCAGTGATGAAAGGGAAAAAATCAATCTGCTGCCCCTGCATCAAATCCTCTCAGTAACTCCAATTGGTCCACTACCTTATTTTATCTCAACAAGCAATGTAGGCGACCAGAGGTCTCTCATCGCCTCGGTTAATAGCCATTGTTAATCGTAAGCCCACTTTTTTTTTTTTTTTTTTTTTTGGGAAGACGTGGGGAGTTTATGACAATGATAGACACCATGTGAACAATTGCCTGGGAAGCGAAATAAATTGGGGGTTAGTACTTCTCGCCATGGGAAGAATCTTTCGGCATTTGCTTAATGGATGGCTCAACGGCGTTGGTAATTATTCACCATCGAGATATGAATGATGTCTTTTGTGACACGCCAAATGAATGTCGTTTCTGTGTAATGTGAGAGAGTGGCAATTCTTAATTTTCCGTTAGCTCCTTTTCCAGCCAGTAGACGAGGAGACGGACCTTACACGGTTATTTTAGAGTGGAGCTGATAACCATATGTGACACGTTTCCTAGCGATGCAGGAGGCCAAAGAACGTGTCACATTGGAACTATATAGCAATGGACACACTCGCTCGTTTTTTTTGTTCCTCATTCCCATTATCCACTTCCTCCTCTTCACTCTCTCCTACACGCTCCTCTCTCCTTCTACACTCTCTACTACACTCTACACCCACAACAACAACAAAAAAACAAGACCAAGATGCCTTCCTCCCAGTCCACCACCGCCGCCCCCGTCAACTCGATCTACGAGCCAATCGCATCATCCAAGAACCGGCTCATCTACCCTCAAGAAAACTACTACATCGAATAACCCGCCACCCCAGGAGTCTACCCCGGTCCCGTCGACGCCTCCCTCCCTAATGCTCCCTCTGCCGACAACATCCCCCCCCCTCTTCCAGCCCTTCACCATCAAGGACCTAACTATCCCCAACCGCATCGTCGTCACCCCCATGTGCATATACTCCTCTTTGGATGGACTCTTCACTAACTTTCATCTCGCTAGTATTGGATCCTTTGCAATCAATGGAGTGGGTCTGATTATCCAGGAGGCCACAGCTGTGCTACCTAATGGACGGATTACTCCTGGGTGTGCGGGTCTGTGGGATGATGCGCAAGTGTTCAAGTTGAAGGAGATTGTAGACTTTGTGCACATCCAGGGAGGCAAGGTTGGCATTCAGCTTGCCCATGCCGGTCGCAAGGTAACGCTTATGTTTCGTTGATAGATGATATGCTCCTCTATTTTATGGCCATCGTTTTGAACAATGACACTAACACTGACACTCCTACTCTCTTTTTTATGATACTTCTAACAGGCGTCAGCTGGCGCACCATACACAAAGTACCCCGAGTCAGCTTTCTAGCCCGAAGACGTGATCGCCCCCTCAGGCGGCGCACATCTCCAATGGGACAAGCACCACCGTGCCCCCTGCGAGTTGTCCTTCGCCGAGATTCAACAGGTCATTGACGCCTTTGGTGCTGCTGCCGCCCGTGCAGCCCGCGCAGGAATGGACACTGTCGAGATCCATGGTGCACACGGATACCTTATCCATAACTTCTTGTCTCCCCTCACCAACCAGCGTACAGACCATTATGGTGGCTCTCTTGAGAACCGGGCTCGGTTCTTGTTGGAGGTAGTCGAGGCTGTGAGGGCTAACTTCCCAGCTGAGAAGCCTATCTTCTTGAGAGTCTCGGCTTCGGATTTGGTGGAGGTTGAAGGGATTGAGGACTCGTGGGAGGCTGAGCATACGATTCAGATTGCCAAGTGGGTCCGTGATGCTGGTGTTGATGTCCTTCACGTCTCCTCGGGCGGCAACACTTCCCAGCAAAAGATCCTCACCTCTCCCGGGTACCAGGTTCCTTTCGCCGAGCAGATCAATTGTGCGGTCCCAGGGTTGGCAGTTGTTGCGGCCGGGTTTATCTTGGATGGTCCTCAGGCGGAGGAGGTGTTGAAGAGTGAGAAGGCAGATTTTGTGGCTGCTGGAAGGACATTCTGGAGACATCCCAACTTTGCGTTGGGTGCTGCTAGGGAGTTGAATGTCAAGGCTGCGTTCTCGCAGCAGTACTCTCGTGGCCGTACTATTCACAGTTAAGACTTGCTTCTTTTTTCTCTTCTTTTTTATTTCTCTTTCAGCCTCTTTGACATACCCACCCTCTTTTTTTTCGGTAGTTAGCTAGCTTTTACTTTGCATATATAATCATTCATCAATCTCAATAAACCGTCTAGATACTTCTTCATAAGAAAAAGGCACTGTTTGATTTGCTTTTACTTCAAGAACAAAAAATACATGTTACCCACACTATGAAGAAGCTGACTTTGACTCCGAAAACATGATCTCGCGCATTCTGAATCACGAAGACCAGCGTTTTCACTCATTGTGTCCTCTGAAAACATGCAAGCATATGCATCTAGTACCCACTTTGCATGTCGCCCTCTTTTCTTCTCCTTTCTCGTCCTTTTTTCTTATATTCTCTTTGTGTCTTCTTCTCTTCACACTTTCCTCCAAATCATTACGGGATCCAGATGAAGAATTCACGCGATGGATGAAGAAGACCGGCCGTGTCTTTTTATTGCCACGAATACTTCTGTGTGTGTGATCATTTTCATCATTAGTATTGTCGGCGCGGATCATTAATTCGAGCAATGCCATTGTGGTCCGATTGTGTGAATCTTCCTGGCGTGCAGGATTATTAAAATTAAAAGAGTATAGAAAAAGTTGGGGGGGGGATATGCTAATCTACTTTTGCTTGGCTCTATCCTTGAGTTTGAAACAGATGAACGCCAACACATGCCATCCAAGCAGGATACACGCCATCGCCTGGAAGCACCACCAGAACTGGCCCAACTCGTATGTATGCGCCAAGGGTTGACTCTCAATCTCTTGCCAAGGTCTCGCCTGCACCTCCTTCAAGTAGATCGCCTCGATCGCATACCGAGGCGCCGAGATGACCCAGATCCAGGAGGCGGCCTTGTATCCTGCCGAGGCACCGTTGTCCATCACGTCCGCCAGATCGGGAGCATCTCCCGAAAAGACAATCGCCCAGGCCAGGGTGAATCCTGTGCCGACCAATGCCACACGCGTTTGTGGGACCAGCGCTGAGAGCAAGTAGCCCATCGCAAAGGCGACGGCGTAGAGCATGATGATGATGAAGAGGAGGTAGACGTAGTTGGACCGCTCGTTGAAGAATATGATCAACGAGATCGAAAACATGAGGCCGGCGAGGATAATCCGGGGGATGTCAGCAATGACCTTGGCCAGGTAGTACGGGAGTGTCAAGAGCCCTGATGACTTTTCGCGCCAGTAGACAATCTTTTCGTTTCCAAACGTCATCGCACCGACAGATATACCTGCGAAACAGACACCGAGGGCGATAAAGACACCAACTTCTGTCAAGTGATCCGTGGGCTTGGAGCAGGTATACTTGAGTTGAAAGGGAGTCATTGCACAGACCAGGTCAGGTTGACTTCCAACATAGTCAAACTTGGATGCAGCAATTGAAATAAACATGCCGCATCCCAGATGGAGCAACTGGTCGTACAGGAACTGGCGCCGGCTGCGATAGATCTGTAGACGAGCACGCGAGAGACAGAGCCAGAACATCATAAAGGGCGAGGCGGTGTTGCGAATGGGATCCTTGCGCTTGAGGAAGAGGCCCAGGACGGTCTCTTTGGTCTCGGCAAAAACTCCGCTCCACCACATGCGGCTGTCGATAAAAAAGATGCGAATAGTCCTCTGAAGGGTCTCGAACCAGGTGAGGTGCTCAGGCAGGGGTGGCGAGTCGTACATGGAGTGAAAGTCAGAGATGGCCATTGAGGCACGAGGGGTCGAGACACCTGATCGTGGTGCGGATGGCGATGACCCCTGTGCCATGGAGACGCTCTTTTGGCGACCGTGCCCCTTGTTGAGGTTGGAAGTTGAGGCTGCTGATGGGTGGAGGGTCGATGGCGATGAGGATGCAGAGGCAAGTTTGTCGTTCAGAGTAGTCATGGCCAATGTCTCTGGATGGCTGTGTTGATGGAATGACATGGCGGATTCATTCATGCTTGCATATGCTGAAGTCCTGGCAAGGGGGTTTGGCGACGTAGGGCGGGTATTGTGAGGCGATGGGTGCTTGTAATCGACTCCTGATTTACTGTCAGCATAGAAGCACTGAGCGCGCTTGCAGTAGGAGTCCCAGTAGCGGTGAAGATAGAAAGGCTTGAACTTTTTGGTAATGTTGGACTTGACGTTGTTCGAAATGACATCCATGTAAAAATCCGAGGGGCTGGATTCCTTGGGGATGGGGAATCCGATCGCAGCAAAGTAGAGAGGCGCCTCTGTTCGAGGACCGTGGTAGACCACACGACCACCATGACCAAGAAGCAAAAGATCGTCAAACTGGTCAAAAGCGACGGGAGAGGGAGAATGAATGACAGCGGCGACAGTGAGACCCTTGCGGCGGGCAATCGACTTGAGCAATCGGCAGACATCTCCGCTTGTACTCGAGTCCAGACCAGATGTGGGCTCATCCAAGAAGAGAATACTGGGGTCGGTAACCAATTCCATTCCAATGTTGACACGCTTCCTCTGTCCTCCAGAGATACCTCTTCTCTCTGCATCACCGACAACAGAGTCCATAACAGAGTTCAAACCCAAAAAGTCGACAATCTCCAACACCTTCTCTGTCATCTGTGACCTCTTGAGGTTGGCGGGGAGGCGCATGTACGCCGAGTGAAGAAGAATGTCGTCCACTGTCAGCTCACGCATCATAATATCCTCCTGCGGGACATATCCAATCAGCTTACGGTAGTGGCTCAGGTCTTCTTCTTGTCCGTTGATTAGAATGCGACCTTCGTCCTTAGGGATTTTGGAGGTCAACATGGAGATGAGCGTGGTCTTGCCAGATCCTGAAGGTCCCATAATGGCACATGTACGTCCATTTCTTAGAACACCCGACACATTCTATTCCACGAATGAAAAAAATGTGTGAACGGTTAGCAGCTTGCTCTAATTCTGGGTGTACTTGATAACGAAGAACAATGGCTCATGTGCTAGAAGTATTTCATACCTGGAGGATCGAGGTTCCATTCGAGAGGGTGAGTCCAAGGTGCTCAAACTCAATATCAAAGGTATGAGTGACCCTGGTGATCTTTCTCTTCAAAACAGGTCGCTTTGGTTTGCCCCCGGCAGTTCCGTCCGAGTTGGGAGTCTTGTCGTCCGCTTCAATTTGGATCACTTGGTCGTTGCTCCTGGTTCCCTCACTCTCATCATCATCATCATCCTCGCGCTCCAACTCTGCCTCATCCACCATCAAAGGGTTGTCGTGCTGCAAGTTGTGGTTGTGGATCCACCGAAGGCGTTTTTCCAGGTGATGGTTCTTGACGCGCTGAAGGCGATTGTGGACCCAAAATACGATGCAAATGGCGACGATAAAGACGAGGACAAAGATGACGAGGCCGAACTTGGATGCCGAGGAGCTTCCAGCAGGACACGATGCCAGCCAAAGACAAGAGGTCTAGAGTCAATTGAATATACAGTGTCAGTCTTGTGTTGCTGTTTCCAAAGTACTGTTCATACTACCGTATTGAGTTGATGTTGTCACTTACGCCGCCATCGACGGATCCTGTTGGACAATAGTGGTTCTGGGGGCAGATGGTCAACGTCTTGGTGTCCTTGGAGCAGTAGTATCCTGGACAGCAATACATAGGTTGCGCTGTGTTGGCAGGGCAGTAGAATCCCTAACAAGCAAAAGATTGAAAGAGTTAGCACGTATGTAGCTTTGTTATTCAAAGCCCTACTTACTGTTCACTTGTGAGCGATGGTACCAAGTCAAGTAAACTTACAGGTGGGCAAGCCTGAACATGCCTGGGTGAGATGCAGTAGTTGCTAGAAGTACCAAGAAGGGAAAGGTATGTTTTTTTGAGTTTCAACTTCTGTTGTCGACACCAAAAAAAATAATCGCAAGTAGGTCGGGGTGGTGGCTATGCTTACCCAGCTGGACATGACCAGAAAGGGGTCGAGGCGTTAATAGGAGCGAGAGGAGTCTGGACATATTTACAGGTTGGACCTTGTCCTGGCTAAGTAAGATGTTAAGTGTAACCACAAGATGGCGAGAACGGTAATAGGAGGGTCAGTTGCCGGTTTGACCACTAAGGTTTTGCTCACTACAACTCAAAGGTATGAATTGTCTGTGTTCAAGCAAAACAACAATGATATCAACACCAACAAAACAAAGGAGACAAACTTGCCACAATGCCGGGGGCATCTGCCAGCTTCAAGAGAGCGTAGTATTCGAGGGGATCCAAGCCGCCTGCGGGAGAAGATGAGTTCGACATTGTCGGAGAGCGATCCTCTTTATTACCAGGGGAAGAATGTGGAGAGGTGTCGCGTGCGGGTGTAGGGCGGTCGGGGTTGGGACTGGTAGCTGTTCCTGAGACCTTTAAGACCGTTGTGCTGATTCTCGGCTACTCTTTGTTGGTTTGAGGGAGGTGAGAGTGGAGTGATTAGAGAGGTGTCATGGAGGGAGGGAATGGGTGCAAGGAGATTTGGGTTCTTCTTGGCTGCAATGAAGAATGGAGGGATGGGAGAAAGACGATTTAGTGATGAGTAAAGAGAAGAAAAGGAACAGAAAAAGTGGGCGGAGAGAAAGGGAAGAGGGAGGCAGCCGTTTTTATTTGAGTGTCCGTTGTCTGTTCAGTTCAGGCACGAGCAACTGATGGTACCTCTGAAGGAGTGATAGTCCACATACATATGTTTCTGTTCTTATTTTCTCCAGCACTCACCCACACCACTCATGCCTTCAGCAACCAACAACCGAACTCAGCTGTTAATCCCCCCCTCTTCTCAGTATGCTCTCGCAATGTGCCAGTGGACCCAAACGGTTAAAAAAGAGCGTAATCATGCTTATTGAGAGCCTCTTTTCTTCTCCTTCTCACACTCCTCTACCTTTTAGCCAGTCTTAGGTACATCCGCATATGTACCTTATTTTTAACACCTTGTTGAATGCTTGATTTGACTGAATTGTCTTTTTACGTAGTCATGCCTTTGCCAAATACCAATTGACAATTGTGGTCGCGTCCGCCATGATTATTATTGTGTCCTTTTGTTCTCAAAGAATAAGTGAGGGAGAGGATGGGACAATGAGACGCAGAAAAGAGATAGAAATAGAGAGAGGAATGCAGCTCATTAACCACGGCTCGATCGGTGTTCATTCAAATCAATTTGAAGACGGGTAAAATATAATTGAAATGGCGTGTGCCCCCGTGTGCGACAGGCATGTGAAATATTTTTTGTTTGTCCAACCTTAGTCAGGCGAATGAGGAGAAAAAGTCCGACCCTTTCCTTTCCTTGCCTTGCTCCTTGAACTTGAAGTAGAAGTAGAAGTAGGGCTGACATGCCAGCATCCACGCAAGTCTTTATTCTTTTTTTTTCTATCCGGTTGCACAGTCCATGATCCATGCGGATGAATTTACTCCCCTTCCTATCCGTCTTCGTTGACTATGATCTCATCCGCTCATGCAACCAGTATCCGATCCATGCTTGGCGTCTGCAGACTCGTTAACCATTTCATCATCCTTTCGGTTCTGCCATATCCACATGCCTCTTACGTGTTCATTGAAGCGAGAACTATCCCTGTTTTGTTGGTGTACGATATAATCGGGCTTCAATTGCATCGTTTGGAAGGAAGGAACAGAAGAGACGAGGGTGCGCTACCGAATATGAAAAGGTAGCTCCACCGACTCAAATAACGGATGTGACTCGCAAAAGGGGAGCGAGCGCTTACATCACTTTTTCGTTTCATTTCCAACACTCACTCAGCTTGGAAACAAACAGGACAAGAAACAAGACGTATCAACAAGGACCAGGAACACTCATTCAATCACCAGGAAGCATCTTGATTATTCTGATCACCACGGGGAAGGTCGCAGCGGATGTAATTACATGAATCATTGCACAAACAACAAAACCAGGGCTCAATGGCCGACAGCCAAGCCTCCGTCAACTTTCGCTTCCATCAGCACCAAACAGCTCCTTGCATCCCGCTGGTCATTCACCAACTCCCTTCGACCACCCCTCCAGTAGCCTAAATCTTTGTACGTTCACACTGTCACTCGTTCAACCCAGGGTTCACTCCTCAAACTTTCACTCATACCCTCAGACAATGGAAGACGGACGAAAATAAGACGGGCGAACTTTGTAAGAGTGTGCATACCAAAGTGAACGTTGGCGCGATTTTCTGTTAGCCCTGCAGGAACAACATAGCAGTGGCACCGAATTGCACCCAGAAGAGGAAATACAACAGAGGCAGAGCAATCGAGATAGTGGGATGGTTCTGAAGACTAGCCGTCGCGAGTGCAACTATCTAGCGCGTGTCAGTAAGCGGGGGACACCTCCAGGAGGCAACGTCAAGAACCAGGAGACAACTCGGATAGTGCACCTGACAGGGAAGATTAAAACAAGGACAGCACCAAACTCGAATATAAAGGATACACCTTCATCTCCTTTTGTGTGTGTGTCGTTTCGACCTGCAAGGTTAAATCTATCATGGTTCCTTGAACAAGAGAAGGAAAAGGGAAGTATAATTTATTATGGTCAAAGAGGAACAACCACATCAGCGACTTTGTTCTTGGCAGCCTCAGCTTCCTCCTGGATACGTCTTGAGGGCTTCTGGGGAACAGTCTCCATAGTCCCGCGCTTGGGTGCAGGAGGCAAAAAATTTGCCTGGGGGCGGTAGGCCGTATCCTTGAGTAATTGCTTCATTTGCATCGACTTGGGCATCCAATTGAACACGACTTGTCTCAGTGCTCGTTCCGAGAAAGTCTATTTTGGTAGTGGTAGTAGCGAAAACGAAGCAGGTTCGTTAGCATCTTTTGTTGTATTGTACACAGAGAACAGAGAGCAGAGAAGTCAACTAGGATGGGTTCAAACTTACGTGTCCGTAGATCAGCTTTGCGGCAACGTACGACTGGGGGTACTGGTCCTTGATGGCCTCGAAGCGCTCCTCTTTGTATTCACAGAGTGCCTTTTTGATGTTCTCGAAGCATGTGGGCTTGATGTCGTACAGGTGGTTGGCGAGGAGGACGGCGTCCTGCATAGCGTTCACTGCTCCTGCTCCGCTGCTTGGAAGTAGCTAGAAGTGGTTTAAATAGGGTGAAAATAATTGGTTGTTAGAAGGGTGAGCACAACCTGTTTGGATCATTTTCGTTCATCCTCGCATCCTTATTCTTTCTTACCTTGTGTGCAGCTACATATACAAAACAGGAAAAGGAGTGAAGGGAACAGCGCATTAGTTGAAATGGAGGACGTGAAGCAATTGAGCAATCAACTAACAAAGAGCAACCGAAAATAAAGACACATACCGTCGCCGATCAAGACCGTCCGTCCATGGTTCCACGTCTCAAACAGCATGTCCTCAAAGTAGACCTTGGACACGCGCTCAATGGGCGTGACATCAAAAAGATCCCCCATGGTGCCGTAAGGTGTCTTGAAATGACGGATCGAGTCCAGCATCTTTTGGTTCTGTTGAGGGACCCAGTCCGAGGACTTGAACTGTTCGTCGGCGATCTCGGCTATTCCGATCTGGATGATGACGGACCAGCAGATCTTGTTCCCGGGGACGAAGAACGTAACCCACTATCGAGAAGTAGAGGTGTGCGATGGTAAGAAAATGGAGGATGTTAGGTCAATGGCGACGTACAACAAACATACTCTTCAGCGGGGTCGTGTGAGCTTACAGTATAGGGCGTCTTCTTGTCGCCGATGATGTAGAAACTCTCCGAGTCCTCGTCCAACGCTCCCGGGTACTTGACAGGATCCAGTTCGTCTGTGGTGCCAACAAGGGAAATATACCCTCTACTCATAGCCTTGGTGTCCGCCTTGGACAGAAGCCCCTGCTTGTCCAGTGTCTTGTGCAAGTGTTGTCTAACGGCGCTGTGTGCTCCATCTGCGCCAACAAGGATATCGCCGTGAACGGTAGAATTGTCGCTGAATCGGAGCATAACACCTTCGTGGTTCTGTTGAAACGAGAAGACCTTCTTGGACAGGTGGATCTTGTGTGGAGGGATGAGTTTGTACAACATGTTGTACAAGTCTGGACGAGCCATCAAGATACGATCGTACCCCACTCTATTTTGTGCGCAAGGGTAAGTGGCATTGTAAATAATTTGGGGTTTCTTTTCTATTTCTTTTTTTGACTCTTTTAAAGCCCACGACTTACGTCTCGGTTGTGAGGGTACTGGTCTTGCCAATAATTTTGAGGTCACCAGTAAAAAAGGTGTTCCTGAGCGCTGGCTTGGAGAAGGACATGAGATCGTCGTACAGCCCCAATTGCTCGAATGCAGGAAGGATATTCGGAGACTATGAGAAAAAACACAGAGAAATTGCCGTTAGCGTACTAGACATACACTATGCCGAGTTGAGTACTAAAAAAAGGGGCACCGTGCTTTTTACCAGACAAATGATAGACCCTGCAAATGGTTCATGGATTGGAAGAAAAGAGGGAGGAAGGAGGAGGGAGGAGAGGAAAAGGAGACTACATGAGGTTATCAAACTAAAGCGCCTTCTGCCTTTGCGTGTCAATATTCGCTTACTGTCGACTTCATTATAACCACTCCACGCTATGTACCCAGGGGTCGTATCTCAGATGCCCGTTCAAAAATCTCATAAGGAATCCCTGCCCTCTCAAGAAAGATGCCGAGAAACAGGCCTCCCAGACCTGCACCAGCAATTAGAACGCGGGGAGGGTCATTTGTCACCAGTGGGGGGAGGTCACTGCCCTTGAAGCCGACTGAAGGGAGGGAATTGTGAGACTTGTTGGCTGTTGGAGAGTTCATTCTAGATACGAAAACAGGGTATAGGAAAGGAAGGTGAGGGAGCGAGAAGAATGAAGGGAGAGACGAATGAGTGAGGAGGTAAAAGCGAATGAATGAGAGAAGAGAGGAAAGAAAAAAGTGAATGGAGATGAGGGCGCAAGAGGAATCAGAGAAAAATCGAGGCTCTCTTTCCTCTCTCTCCTTCCTTCCTCCTTCTTCATTTCTTCTTCTCTGTCCTCATCTTCCTAACAAGGTTCCACCAACGGCAGTGCAATATTGTAAACAGTTTGTCTTGGTCAGGAGCCCTCAGTGGAGTGACAATGGCAGAGAGTGAGCAAAAAGACCAACAACGATTGTACTGCATGTTCCAAGTCCAGAAGGATGTGGAAGATTGAGAGTCCAGTTGGGCGCAAGGGATGGGTGGTAGTCGATGCGTTCCTTGATAGGACTCAACGAGCATAGAACGTCTCAGTAGTACTTGATGCCTCCACATGCGAGAATTCAGCCGAAAATGGACAGCTAACAACGTGTCATCAACTCTCTCCCCTCTTGTTTTGTTCTTCCCCTTCAAACATTAAACTGAAAAAGGCCAGACTCGGCTTTGTGATCCGACAACGAGTAAGTCAGCCAGCCAACGGCCTTCTCCCGATGTGAGAGCCCATGAGAAAAAAAAATTTATGGGCGCAAGAGAGCGTGTGAGCACAATGGGGAAGGGTTGCTTCCTCTTTACTTTCCTGTAGGGTTGACTAATACACCTGCCTATGTCGTTGTACCTTTAGTCCATAGATTTGGTTCACACAAGGGTGTGGGGGGCAGACGAGGCTAATATGAATCTGTAAAAACGAGTGGCCGTTGACAAATCGGGAGATGAAACAATTAAACGCTTTTTTATCTACGCTGGTGACGATAGCAAGATTATTCTTTCATTGTTCCTGGAGACCAGGTACCTTTCGAACCCGAGCGAGCAAAAACACACGACAGAAAAGATGTAGAGCAGTAACCCGCTACCGCACATACACCCCATCAGACTGATGGATGAATACAAGACAGTTAAGCGTTGAATGATGAGTATGAGACCATTAAGCAATGATCGATCGATCGTTCCTGAAGTAATGGAACATTTCTGGACCGATCGCTTCCGTTTTTCTCCCAGTGGTTCACACTAAGAAAAATTTCAATTAGACTTTATTATGTTGTTTGTTTACTCGTTCAACGGGCCTTGAGCCATTCAAAGGGTGGAAGCGACGGCCTTTTTCTTTCCTTCTTGAGTGCGCTTCGACGGCTGTTGTGGAATCGTATCCATGGTTCCGCGCTTGGGCGCCTGGGGTAAGAAGTTGGCCTGAGGGCGGTAGGCAGTATCCTTGAGGAGCTGCTTCATCTGCAATGACTTGGGGAGCCAGTTGAACACGACGTGTCTAAGGATCCGTTCCCACAATGTCTATTTTACCAACAAAAAAAAATTGAGCGGTATCCATATGCGACACCGTGTCAGGTAACTACTTCATTTTTCCCCTACTGCCACAACGAAGAGCATATAATCATGGTCAACTTACGTGTCCGTAGATGAGCTTGGCGGCTATGTGCGACTGTGGGTACTGGTCCACGATGGATTTGAACCGCTCGTCCTTGTAATCGCTCAATGCGGCCTTGATGTTGCCGAAAGTTGTGGGTTTGATGTCGTACAGGTGGTTGGCAAGGAGGACTGCGTCTTGCATGGCGTTGACTGCACCGGATCCACTACTTGGGAGGATCTAAGATGAATGAAAAATAGACGAAATGGTTATTAGAATGAGGTAAATAGAGAATGTGCGCGATATTTCGATGCAACAAAGGTATTACCTTGTGAGCGGCTTGAGGAAGTAAACCAAGGAGGAAGATAAAAGGTGAGTTAGTTGAAAACATAAAACATTGACGATGTACACAAGTATCATACGTGGGGTATTTCAGGGAGGCAAACAAATCCGCACGTACCATCGCCAATCAAGACCGTTCGTCCATGATGCCAGGTGTGAAACAGCTGGTCTTCAAAGTACACCTTGGACACACGCTCAATGGGTGTGACATCAAAAAGATCGCCAATGGTTCCATAAGGCGTCTTGAAGTGACGAATAGAGTCCATCATCTGCTTGTTCTGCTCTTGAGGTACCCAGTCGGACGACTTGACCTGTTCATCGGCAGTCGCGTCAATCCCGAGTTGAACAATCACGGACCAACAGATCTTGTTGCCAGGCACGGCGAATGTAACCCACTATCAAGAGAAGCATGCGGTGGTAAGGGGCGTATATGGTTAGAAAAATGACGAGACATGAATGTATTGTACCCTTCTTTGACGAGTGGTACATGTAACAGCTTACGGTGTAGGGCGTCTTCTTGTCTCCAATGATGTAATGACTCTCAGAATCCTCCTCCAAGATGCCAGGATATTTTACAGGATCCAACGCATTGGTTGTTCCCACAAGCGAAACGTAACCTCTATTCATTTCCTTAATGTCGTCCTTTGGCAACAACCCTTCCTTGAGCAATGTCTTGAAAAGATACTTGCGAACTGCACTATGAGCGCCATCTGCTCCAACAAGAATATCCCCACGAGCAGTCGTGTTGTCGTCAAAGCTCAACGTGACGCCGTCCTGGTCCTGGTCGAAAGAGACAATTTTTTTTGACAGGTGGATCTTGGTCGATGGGATCTTCTTGAACAGCATGTCGCTCAACTCTGGACGGGCGAACAAAATGCGATCGTACCCAACTCTAAATTGGATGGAAGGGGCGTTTGAGTTTAGGTTCATTTTTTTCTCGCACTTGCATCTCCCAATTAACACAAAACAAACAACCAAAAACACAGACGCCAACTTTTACGACTTACGTCTCGGTTGTGAGGGTACTGGTCTTGCCAATAATTTTGAGGTCACCAGTAAAGAAGGTGTTCCTGAGAGCTGGCTTGGAGAACGACATCAGCTCCTCATGGAGCCCCAATTGCTCGAATGCCGGTAGAATGTTGGGGGACTACGAAAGGTCAAAGTAAAGACAAGAAAGAAAAGGTCGCCGTTAGCATATAGCGAAGTCGTAGCAAGTCAATGTCGAGAAGGATGAAATAAGACAACTATTTCTTACCAAGCACATAATGGACCCTACGATGAGAACAGATAAGAAAAGGGGCAAGGAGTACGTAACGAATGACGTTAGAAACGTGCTTAGAGTTCTCATGGATGTAATCTGCTTGTGTGTACCAACCTCGCAACGCGACTTACCCAACGGTCTCATCTCAGTAGAACGTTCAAAGATCTCATAAGGGATGCCAGCTCTTTCCAGCAGGATACCAAGGAAAAGTCCTCCCAGACCGGCGCCAGCAATTAGAACGCGGGGAAGCTCGTCGCTCGTCCCAGTAATGGTTCCTTCAATGGTCGCGCTCATTTTTTTTTGGTGCTAAGGTAGTGGTTTGTCGAAAGAGTGATGATGTAGGTACGAATGGGGGAGGAAGGAAAGGGTTTGATGAATGGAATGAGAAAGATGAGGAGAAAGTGGAAAAGAGATGAAGGAAGGACGAGAGATGAATGAACAGCGAGATGAACCCGAGAAGAGACAACAGACCGAGATTCGCTCTCGTTCTTCTTCCCCGTCCCTTCTTTTCCCTCAGGTCTGACCAACGGTTACACAAGCGTATGAGTTGTTTTTGTTTGACACATGCATGAACTGCATGATGATGGGAGCCTTTTTTCCTTCTTTCCTACCCAAACAGCACAATCCTGTTTGTGGCGCACTTTTTCTTCGGCTTAGACTGAAAGAAGGCAGCAACAAAAAAAAAAAAAAGTTGCAATCAGGAATTCATGGCCATGGATGGATAGTCAAAATTCAGGTACGGACAAAGTCCTCTTGCACCATGCCAACAACCACTGTCACCCTTGCGTTCATATTATGTTTTTTCTCATCCATGACCAAAGCAAAGATTCTAGCATAGGCTGATTATTTATTTTTCTATGAAAAAGGGGACGCCACCAAGTTTCATATTACTACGTCTAGAGAGTAATGACTTCACCTGGAACGGCCTTACTCTTGTCAGCTTCCTCCGGCCGAGCACGTCGCGAAGGGTTCTGGGGGATAGTGTCCATTGTCCCTCGCTTGGGTGCCTGTGGTAAGAAATTGGCTTGGGGACGGTAGGCGGTGTTTTTGTTGAGTTGCTTTTGTGTGACGGAGTTGGGTGTCCAGTTGAATACGATGTGTCGAAGGATTCGCTCCGAAAATGTCTGTTCAAGTCAACAACAATGAGAGGAGGAATGAACATGTGTAACATTGGGAATCGATGGCGATCAACAGAGAGGACTTACATACAACCAAATCAACAAGGGGGTTTAACTTACATGGCCGTACATCAACCTGGCAGCCATGTATGATTGAGGATACTGGTCCTTGACAGCGTCGAATCGTTCTTCCTTGTAACCCTTCAACGCTTGCTTGACATTTTCGAAGCTGGTGGGGTAAATGTCGTATAAGTGGTTAGCAAGGATAACAGCGTCCTGCATAGCGTTCACAGCACCGGCTCCACTGCTTGGGAGAAGCTTGTGAGCAGCTACAAAAAAAAAGAGAAAGACCAATGAACGCAGTGTCTCAGTTTAGATGTGCCATTAACAACGCCTCCGTCAAATGATAGTAAAGAGTAGCACATACCATCGCCGATCAAGACAGTCCTGCCATGGTGCCACGTCTCAAACAACATATCCTCAAAGTAGACTTTAGAGACTCCTTCCATCGGGGTAACGTCAAACAAATCGCCCATTGTTCCATAGGTTGTCTTGAAGTGGCGGATAGAGTCCATCATGGCCTTGTTCTGCTGTGGAACCCAATCCGAGGACTTGAATTGGTCATCTGCGACCTCGGCAAGCCCCAATTGAACGACTACGTTCCAGCAGATCTTGTTTCCAGGGACTGTGAATGTCACCCACTATCATAGCAAGAAAAAAAATGAATGGTTAGAGTGAACGATGGTCATGCATCAACTTTTCTTTTCCACTTGAGACTAAAAATGCTTGACTTACGGTGTAAGGTGTCTTCTTGTCTCCAATGATAAGGTTACTCTCCGAATCCTCCTCTAACATACCCGGGTAATCCTTTGGGTCCAACTCAACAGTCGTCCCCACAAGAGAAATATACCCTTTATTCATCTGCTTGGTGTCACCCTTGGGCAACAGTCCCTGTTTGTCCAATGTCTTGTAGAGATGCTGACGGACAGAACTGTGGGCTCCATCGGCACCAACAAGGATATCTCCATGGATGGTCGTATTGTCGCTGAAGCGGACCATGACTCCCTCATGGTTCTGTTGAAATGAGAGGACTTTCTTGGCCATGTGCATTTTGTCCTTTGGGATCTTATTAAAGAGCATGTCGTGGAGTTGTGGGCGGGCAAACAAGATGCGTTCGTAGCCCATACTGTCAAGAAAGAAGGCTCGCACGAGCAAACACAAAAATACAAATACAGAATTAGCCAACGAACAGGTGAGTGCGCCCCCTCAAAGAAAGAACAACAAAACAAACAAACAGACAAACAAACAAACAAACAAAAACAAACAAACAAAACAACTATAACCCGAGAACTTACATCTCAGGGGACGTAGGGACCATCTTGCCTATAAGCTTCAGCTTATCCGTGAGCATGATTCCGCTACGCGACGGTTTGGAGAAGGCCATGAGTTCCTCATACAACCCCAACTGCTCAAAGGCGGGAAGAATGTTGGGTGACTATATGGCAAAATCAACAGAAGGAACTATTAGGTTCAATCGTCGCATATTTGTTCCTTTTAGGTGGCGACAGCGTTGATAGTTAAAGTTACCAGACTCATGATGGCACCTAGGAAATATATGCGAAAAAGATGAAAGTATTAGAATACACTTGCTCGTATGCCTGTCCGTCTGGTCTGTCTCAATGAACACCTTTCGTCCAATAGCTGCAGAGAGTGTATGTCCTTACCAAGAGGTCTGATTTCCGCAGACCGTTCAAAGATCTCGTAGGGAATTTCTGCTCGCTCCAGGAGAAGACCAAGGAAAAGTCCTCCAAGACCGCCACCTGCAATGAGGACCCTGGGAGGTTTGTCGGTCACCAGTGGGGGCAGGTCGCTCCCTTTGAATCCTCCTGTGGGAACTGGTGGTCTGTTGGTCTTACTTTCGGCAGGGAGACTCATTCTCAAAGGATATGAAGTATTAGGCGCCTTAGGTGTCTTCGGTGTCTTAGGTGTATTAGGTGTATTAGATGAGTGAGAGTTAGGGTGCAACAGAAAAAAAGGTGATGGCGAGGGAAAGGTGAGGTGAGGGAATGGGAATGAGGAGTGAGAGAAAAGAAATGAGGTTGAGGATGAGTGCGCCAAGATGAGGAAGGAAGTTCGCTCTTTCCCACTTTCTTACCACTACTAACCCCTTGTCCCTTTATCTCCTTTCCATCTTTTTTTTTGCATGTCGCTCTCCGACCACCGTTACGGCGCATACATGCATGGTATTTATTTTCACTATGCTATTTTTTTTCGACCATGATTTTGGCTTACAGCAGGGGAGTACAGTACCACATAACAGTCCTTGTGCTGAGCAATAATTACGCATAAACCCGTGTCGAAACGTTTTTTCTGTGGGACGAGAACAGGAGAGATGGGTCTATTTATGCCTATTGGTGGGTATCACACTGTCAGCGGTAGCATTGAGGGTGTGTATGCCTTGTTCTATGCGCTTTTGAGTTGAGTTAAGGTGTTTTCTTAAAAACGATTATTTGTTTCTATCCTCCCTCAGTCAGTTGTGGTTAAACACGAACGATCAAAAATCAATCGAGGTGATGGCGCCTGTTTTTTTTCTTCGATCAGTTATGAGATCTGGGCACATGAAATGAAATAGAACTCCATGAAAAAAAAAAAAAAAAAAAAAAACTACTCACACTCGCCAAATAGGTAGGATAGATGGAACGCCCAGCGGAGCGGCGTCGGGAGTGGGGAGGCCATTGCTATCCTTCCGATCTTCGTTCTCCAGCGAGCTGGACTTGAAATGACTGGAGGCTGTAGTGATACAAACGGATGGGCACTTCTCCTTTTCTGTTCTGTTTGTGCTTTCAGGACAAACAAAACAATCATGCATGCAAGCCTACATAGAGAAGACAAGATGACGAGAATGTTTTGTGGGCAAAATGCGGGTCCTATCGACATTTTTTTTTTTGTTTTTTTTTGTTTTATTGGGCTCTTAGACTAACTTTGAGTAGGCAACATCAACAGCGCTACCGATTGAGGAAGGGACCAGGGATATGAAGGCGCGACCAGGAAGAGACAGTGTATCATCGTCATCTTTGAGAACGGTGTTGTCCTCTGCTCTGCGTTTTACCACATTGGCATCTCTCTTTGAAAGGAGCAGGGAATAAAACAATAAGGATCGCCCATGAACCTCTGGAACCACATCGCATTGACCGGTGCACCTGACGCGGTCAATCTCCCCCTAACGTACCAAATAGTTCTCTCCCTTGCCCTTGCAAAAATGAGATGCATATACATTTCTGCCTCAGACAAGGCTGGTGTGTGCACAAGTTAAAGAAGATGACGAAAAAAGGAGAATATTAGTTTGTTTATTAAGATATCAAAAAGAGCACCATAGAACCCACATCCACGTCCCTACTCAACGGTGGTAGCGGCAACGGTGGGGGCGGCAGCGACTGTAGTGGTATCAGCGACGGTGGTAGGGACAGGGGAAGCAGCAGGAACAGCAGCAGGAACAGCGGCGGCCTTCTTCTTTGCCTCCGCCTTCTCCCTCTGGATACGCTTTGAAGGCTGTTGAGGGATGGTCGCCATGGTTCCACGCTTGACCGCCTGCGCCAAAAAGTTGGCCTGGGGGCGATAAGCAGTGTTTTTGTTGAGCTGCTTTTGGGTGACGAAATTTGGCGTCCAGTTGAACACGATGTGTCGAAGAATCCTCTCCTTGAGCGTCTATTTTTGCAAAAAAAGAAACAGTTAGCAAACAGTTGGTGACACCCCTGCTCCCAAAAAAAAACAACTCGATCGAAATGAAATAATGAAATAGAGGAATTGAAGCAAGGCAAAGAGTGTTACTTACATGACCGTACATCAACTTGGCGGCCATGTACGATTGGGGGTATTGTTCTTTGACATCCTTGAATCGGTCGGCCTTGTACCCATCCAGGGCCGTCTTGATGTTCTTGAAACTAGTGGGCTGGATGTCGTAGATGTGGTTGGCGAGGATGACGGCATCTTGCATTGCGTTCACGGCACCAGAACCACTACTTGGGAGGAGCTTGTGGGCAGCTAAGGTAAGGAGTGAAATAACGCAGGAACAAAGGGTGGAAGTATGTTAGTTTTGGGATTACCATTAAAAGCGAGCAACGACGCGTTTGTCCAATGATAATAAGGAGTAGACGTACCATCTCCAATCAAGACGGTGCGACCATGGTTCCATGTCTCAAACAGCTTGTCCTCGAAATACACCTTGGAGACACTCTCGATTGGGGTAACGTCAAACAGATCGCCCATGGTGCCGTAGGGGGTCTTGAAATGGCGGATAGAATCCAACATGGCCTTGTTCTGTTGAGGAACCCAATCCGAGCAATCGAACTGCTCATCAGCAACCGCGGTAACTCCCATCTGAACAACAACATTCCAGCAGATCTTGTTGCCAGGAATTGTGAATGTCACCCACTATCACAGCAAGAAAAAAAATGGATGGTTAGAGTGAACGATGGTCATGCATCAACTTTTCTTTTCCACTTGAGACTAAAAATGCTTGACTTACGGTGTAAGGTGTCTTCTTGTTTCCAATGATAAGGTTACTCTCCGAATCCTCCTCTAACATGCCAGGATATTGAGCAGGGTCTAAGGCAGTCGTGGTTCCGACCAGTGAAATATACCCCCTCCTCATCTCTTTCTTGTCCGATTTGGGGAGGATGCCTTGCTTTTCCAGGTTCTTGTACAGGTGCTGGCGGACTGCACTGTGGGTGCCATCTGCTCCAACGAGGATGTCACCATGAGCAGAGGTGCCGTCTTCGAAGGCAACGGTGATTCCATCCTTGCCCTCTTCAAAGGAGGCGACCTTTTTGGACATGCGGATCTTGTCGGAAGGGATCTTGCTGAACAAGAGGCTTGAGAGTTCAGGGCGGGCGAACAGGATGCGCTCATACCCCATACTGAACAGAGGGGAAAAAAAGAGAGTTCGAACACAAACACAGTTAACGTTAGCACAAACAAAAATAGAGTGTCACTGATCGAAGGGAATTGCAAACCAAACGAAAGATTGCCAAGGACTAACATTTCTGGGGACGTGGGAACCATCTTGCCAATAAGCTTCAGCTTGTCCGTGAGCATGATTCCACTGCGCGACGGCTTGGAGAAGGCCATGAGTTCCTCGTACAGGCCCAATTGCTCAAAGGCAGGAAGGATATTTGGTGACTATTTTAGTCAAAGACGAGAGATACGACGAGGGACAATGTTAGCCTTGGTGGTCTAGGGTATTTTTCTAAGCCGATTGATGTCGACACATGAGACTTGTCATTACCAGACTCATAATGGCGCCTACAAGTCATGGTATTAAAAAAGGAGAGCGAAGGAGGGGCGTTAGTCTTGTGTGGTGTGGCGATCCATGCATCATATATATTCCACTTTGTCAAGAGGACTAATATGCTTTTTTCCTTACCAAGGGGCTTAAGCTCTGCAGAGCGCTCAAAGATCTCATAGGGGATTTCTGCTTTCTCGAGGAGGATACCGAGAAATAGACCTCCAAGACCAGCACCAGCGATAAGGACACGAGGAGGTCTATCGGTCACCAGAGGAGGGAGGTCGCTGCTCTTTGAGGCGGTCGACGAGAGAGCGTTGTTTGTTTCGGCTACTATCGAATCGCTCATTTGTGAAAAAGAATAGTTAACTGATGTTCAGGGGTAGAAAGTGGACAATTGAATGAGCGAGGAAGCGGGGTGAAGAAAGTGAAGGAATGAGGTGAACAGTGATGAGACAAGATGATGAGAGTGAGAGTTGAATCGAGGACGAAGATGAAGATGATGGCGAGAGGGGCGGACTAAACTTCGCTCTCGTCCTTCCTTCCTTCTTTTCCGTTTTTCTTTCCTCACTTTCCCTCTCTACACCCATCCTTATCATCCATCCTTATCCCTCTCCGACTGTTACACAGCATAGGACTGGTTCCTCTTTTTCCTTCTGTTTTAATTAGCCATAGTTGACATGCATGCAGAGAGAGGATCAAGAAAGGAGTAATTGAACCAATCGACTTTACTGCGCTTCTTGCATGTGGGTCACCAGAAGGATCTAGCCCCGTCTCGTCACAGGGTTGTTCAGGATACTTTTTGTAACCATAGTGGTGCCCTTACCAACGCACCAGAATGAACGCCCATGTACATTTTTATAAAAAACGCGTTTCTGTTATGTCCCTCTTTTCTTACGAAGTGGTTATAAAAATGAACACAGTGGATGGATAAAATACTGGTTTTGCACCACCAGTACCAGCCAGAGATAGAGACAAACAAAGCGAGAGATGGACTACTCTTTATTTGTTTCCTCTTTTCTTCTGGATTATCAACACTCGATGGCATGATTGACATTCACACTGTTTTGATCTCTTGAACAGTAAACGCGTGGGCATTCCAACTCTTTCAAACTTCTTGCTGGACACGCTTCGAGAGTTTTCCTGAACAAAGGTGGACAGCAGCACTTGTATTGCTGTCTTCGTTACACGTTGGGAGGTGGATGTGGCTGTGTTGCTGTTGCGAAAGAAAGGAAAGTGCAGAAATATCGCGCTTGGGGCTTGAGATCATTGCTCAACAGACAGTAAAAAATGTGACGTCCATGGTACGCCCGACTTGGGATCATAAGCGTAGAAAATTCGTACCATCATATCTCCTTGCTTTCGTGCCATAAATCTTTCCACCCTATCTCGCGTGTTTTGACGAGAACATAGTTTTTTCATGGATGTTGAGATCCTTCAGATAATGGCCCACTCCAGACTTCGACGCGTCCAACTGCATCAAGCTCAAATTGGTGGAGGTGCACGCATCGAGGAATACGCCCCCAAAACCCATCTCCCCTGTCTTCGCGTTCTTCTATTTTCCCCGTTCGATCTTCTTGGCGCCTGTGGTGCTTATTGGACAAAAGGAAGAATGCGAAGCAACAACACAAACAAGCTGCAATACAACAGACTACGATCAAGCTGCAATACAACAGACTACGATCAAGCATTTGCTCCGCACATGGTTGCAGTTTCCACTGTCCATGGGTCAAAGTTCAAGCCTGCAACCAGTAGTCCTTATTACAGCAAGTGGGCTAGTGAATGAACGAATGCCCTGGGATTGACGGTGTGGCATAGTTTCGTCTGATGTTGCCTGGTGCTGGTGTGCGCGTTATGATCTGAATCCAGGGGAGGTTGTCAAGAAGTAGCGAGAAGAATAGCATTTACTCGGCGGTTGGACGCGCTGGCAGCTGGTTGCTATGACTTCGTGTTGGCGACTTGGGCGAGTGAACTGGGGTGGGACAGAGAAGTGAATGAAGTCAAAGAAATGAGTATTTATGTGATGATTTGGAGTGGCTTAGCTTCTGGTGGCCATTTCGCTATTTTACGCGCTTGCCTGCGAGTGTCTGGAAAGGCACGATACGAGCAGGTAGGCACTATGCCCTTTGACCATTGGCAGCAATAGTAGTTTCTAGCCTTTGGAGAATAGTTATTGACATAAAATACCTTTCTTCCACGATACGAGCAGGTCTTGAGAGTTACTGTCTTTATTCGCGATATTGAGAGGGAGCACATACACACACACAAACACACACACACACAAACACACACACACACACACACACACACACACACACACACACACACACACACACACACACACACACACACACACACACACACACACACACACACACACACACACACACACATCACACACATATATATACATACATCCTTTTCCTCGTCTGCCGCTATTCGAGTTATGCCCGCTGACCCCGAAGATACTCCTTTGGATACAGGAGTTGCCGAGAGAAACTCCACTCTCCCTTCTCCCTCTCCCTCGACAAGTGACCCTGTCCAACCGGGCACTGACGCCAACGACTCGGCCAGCCAAGGGCAACTCCCTCCAAGACCCCACATTTAAGGTGTCAGCCGACAGATCCTAAAAGAAAAAAAAAATTGCCCAGCCCGCCCTCTTGGCTTCTTTTCTTTTCTTTACTTTCTCGCTAGCCTTCTTTGTTTTTTTTCACCTCCCTAGTTGCATTCCTTCGTTTTCTTCTTGTTCATCCTCACCTTTTTCATTCCCGCTCCAGGATTCAAGTACATGATCAACAACTCCCAAATTGACTAACACGATCAACTTAGGTACGTTTGCAATCGCACCTTCAGCTCCATAGCATTTTTTTCTTGTTTAATCGCCTTTTTCCTTCCACTACTCCACGCCTCACCAATACGACTCCTTGGGATGCTCAAGGAATACGAGAAGGACAAAGGACGCCCTGCATCTCTAGACTCTGGGACGCCCACCAACACTACAGGATGACGAAGAACGGCGTGGCGACTGTTAGAATAGGAAGACGTGCTGGACGCAAAAAATACATTCATTTCACACAGCATAGCACATCTACGTTACTGTCTGGATACTTGTTGAATACCTGCAGGCAGTTAAGACACTTCAGGAGGCGTCGTCAATCAGTATCACGCACATGTAATTATGCAGGATCCTGGGCAAGTCGACTCACTACGTCCATTGAGCTCAATTCGGAAGGCGGCCTCCTTGTCGTACATATGATAGCAATGTTCACACAAGGGGAGGTTGTGTGTAGAAGGTGCAGAATAACGAAGCATAAGTACAGGAACAGTAGCCTGCGGAAAAATGTGAAAACTACAGCAGGGATTGGAGTTGGACGCGTGAAGATTGCCTTTCATTGGCAGTTCCTGAGCCAACGTGGTTTCATACGGTGCCTGGCTCCACGCGTTTGGTGTCTTGATCATCCAAAGACATTCTGGGGGCTTAACAAATGTTTGGTTGCTGTTGTTCAAGTCTGCATCATACGAGAGCAGGCTGATACTAATACTGCGGATGATTTCATTGGAGGCTGGTAGTTTGTGTTGGATCTTTTGGAGTTCCCCTCCCGCACCGCCCCCAGCCCATCCGATTGACGCATAAAAAAGTTTCATTTTTCTCACTTCTCTCCCTCCTTCATCTCATCACCAACTCCTCCTCTCTGTACGCTTCCAAAGTCGTGTCACCATCTCTGCCACACTCATGACAGGTACGAAAGCTCATCTTCGTCGACACTCATTTGCGTTCCACCTTTAAAAAAAATTCCAATGGCTCACTTACTTTCGTCCCCGTGTCAAACACATAGACAACGACGACGTTGACAACAAAGAGCAACAGCTTCACCCACCCCCAGTCCAGAGACTCCCCAATGAATGTCTCTATCTCATCGTGAACCACGTCTGGGACGACCTCAGGACGCTACACACCCTCCTTTTCGTCAACCGCTTTTTCTTCCACGCGGCCTTACCAAAAATCATGGACCATCCCTTAGAGACTTGGCAGATGACCCTTTTCGAACCCGAGTATGTTACCAACTCGGAGAAACTCTTTGTCCTCGTCCTGACCTCTTTATTACACCACCAACAACGCCTGACAGGATGGGACGCTGTCTCGATTCTGGAAGATTTTGGTCTTCAATTGGTTACCCCGGTCGAGTTCCCGTCACTTAAGCCCTTTCTTCCAGTGACACAAGATGGGTTGGTCCAGGAGCAAGAGGAGAAGGGGAACCCCATGACAGTCGATTACTCGAAATACTTGACGGTCCTCGACAACTATCAGTGGCAGTACATCGAGTTTAGCCGTTTTATTCGCCTTATCAAGATGCCGGTATCAATGCAGGATACACTGCAGATCCAGCAAGGGACAGATGAACCTTCAGACCAAACAGCAACAGCAGTAGAAGATGACCAGGAAGGCGAGCATACAGAGGACCAACAACAGTTACACGACTACAAGGATCTCGTCCGCGAGGGCATCGCCCAGATGATGCTCCACTACAATGTCGAGTGTATCACCGAGTTCTCGTTCCATGTCTCCGAGGCTCTCAAGAACCTGCCAATTGCATCCAAACTCGCCAAACTACGGTACCTCAATGTTTACCGGGACGAATCGTTACCCAGCCAGCACCTCCAAGACACCATCGCTTTTATTCATCTCAACAAAAAGTCCTTTCCTCGGAAACCATGTCTCCAACTCGGGTTCGACTATGGATGGAGCAATTACGACAACAGTGAGTTCACCTCTATCAAGGAGTCTCGGAGCGCCATGTTCAACCTCATGAAGCCCAATTTACTGCTCTATGAGGCCGCCGGTGAACCGGAGGACTTGAAGATTGGGCACATTCCAGGATTCTACGGTCTGGCGGAAAATATTAGCGTGGAGCGTCTATTTCGGTTGGACGATGATGACCAATTCAGGATTGATATGGGAGAGGGTCCGGACATGGAGGCATTCCTCAGTAGATGTCATCGTCTGGACATGATCAGAATGGAGGTTGGTCACCCTTACCTCCTCTCTTGGGCAGCCCAGCGTGCAAGAGATCATCCTTCGTCCAATCTCCTGCCAGCGCTGGACGATCTGTCTCTTTGGTCGGACCGCCCCTACCGCTTCACTATCCACGTGCTCAATGACAGCATGGCAGCATTCGCAAAGTCGCTCAGAAATGTCCACATCAGCAACAGGCACACGTTCCGAAATCGTGGCCAGGAACCGAATCCATGGGTGCTGCAGCAGGATATGGAAAAGTCCCGTCTAATTCGAACTGCCCCACTGGCCAATGGTATCGGAGATTGGCCATCCCCTCTCCCTCAGCTGCGGTCGTTGACGATTGATCTGAATTGTACTTCGACCATTCAAATTGGCTCACTCGATCAGTGTTTTAACTTGGAGAATCTGGAACTCAGATTCGGCGCCATTGGAGAAGCACCTCGGGCGACTGCACCCGACGACAGCGACCCTGAAGCAGATCCTCGTCGCCAGGCACCACTGGACCCCAGACTGTTCCCCAAGTGGACGCTTCCAAAACTCAAGACTTTGCACCTGGACGGCACTCCTGCCTTGCGCTTCGATTACGATTCACTGGGGACGATGCCAGACCTGGAGACCTTGAGCTTGAGCTGCAACAAGAAAGTGGATCTCGAGAACAGACTCCAGGACATCCCCCGCCTTTCTCTACATACCAGTCATTTCTACTCCGCCTCGATACCGCAGGAAACAGGAGCTGAGACTTCTTCTGCGGAATCCACCCAGGATATCTCTACAACTTCCAAGGGTGGGATCTGGACAAGAACATGGACACTGCCTAAACTGAAGGCTTTGGAGATGGAGGGACCGCCCGCGGCAGTGTTTACCCTTGACTGGCTCAAGGGCTGCCCTAGTCTCACATCGGTCACTCTGAGCCTACATCTCGACGGATCACCCCAGCGCCTGCCTCGTATCGCCTACTCTCCCGCTACATATGCACTTTCGCCGACGATCGAGAAGTATGGCAGTGATCGTCCAGAGGCGACCGCCGCCGCCGCCGCTGTTGTCGATGAAGACGACGATAGTGGAGTGTTCAAGGAGAGCAAACTGGAGCGACTGCACCTCAAGGGACCCTGGGCCATTACGGCATCGGATCTCACGGCGCTCATGACGGATTATGCACCCTACTTGCAGACGCTGTCGCTCAACAGGATTCAGAACCGGTATGGGATGTCTGTCGTCACCTTTATACAAGCATTCCGAGATGCGGATGAAATCTGTCGGAGGCGGTATGGTGAGGATTGGGATGCGCGACCTGGAGATGTTGCTGATTTTGAAGACTGGCACGAAGATACCAATGAGAGAGAAGGCAAGGGCGAGGGCGATGACGACGCAGGATCGGGATCTGATGCGCCAGAGGACTGTCAAGGTTTAGCTGTCGGATTGACAGCAACCCCTGATGCTGATTCTCTCCCTACCAAACCACTTCCAGGTCGATCGCTTCTTACTGTCGAGGCAAACTACACGATTGGCAAGCGACGGAGACCGCAGGCGGGGATCGAGATAATTGATAGTAACGATGCGGATGATTATCGCAGGTGTGGACTTCGAGTGTACAGCTTCTCGAAGGAGTGTTTTGTCGACAAGTATGACAAGGCGTGGTTCTCCAGGAACAAAGGCAGTGGGTTGGTGGACCGGTTTGGAGTGAAGAAATAAAAGGAGCGGCAATTGCTTACAACAACCATACAATAAGTGCTGCATTTGCCCAACAAGATGAATCGTTAAATATATATGTGTATTTTCTCTGCAACTGTTGATAATAATAAACGACTCGCATCGTTTCAGTTCACCGGCTCAAGGGAGTCTCGCCACGAAGAGTAGAGGCTAACAGGATCTGAGCAATGTAGTAAAGAGGCAAACCGATCCACTTGTTGAGGGCGGTCTTGTGGACAAAGTGCTGGCGGGCGACAAAGAGGTCTGAAAAGAAGAACATCAAAGCGCCGAGGATGCGTTCGGGGAGGTATTCGCGTCCCGAGTTGATGCTTCCGAACGCCGTCATCACCATCCCGCTAATCACTAACATGTATGCGATGACCTATTGCAAAAAGTAAAAGAGAAAGAGGGGTGGTTTTAAGTAGACCAACCAATGGGACAAAAGATGTATGAAAAAAGGCAGGTAAATCGCAAGTCTTTAACTAACAAAAAAACAAAAACTTACAGCACCACGCATGATCTTGTTCTTGATCTTGGGCAACAACCAAGGTCCAACAACCGCAGCCATAGCAACAATAAATCCAAGCCCCTTCTGACGAGCTGAATCATCCTGTCCATGGAACGTAAAGGCAACCATGAACGCCGCATGGCCCGCCAAGAAACTCGTCAAGCCCGGCAAGAATCCACTCTTGGGGATCAACAGGACATCTCCAATCGCTCCCAAGACAAAGGCACCCATCATTGCCTTTGTGTAGGTCGTGTGAACGACAGATCCGGCAATAGGGGCGGCGGCGGTGGCGATGGTAGGCGCGACGTTAAAAATGATATGCTTCAGCTCTGCAACATAGGTCGTCGCAAGTCCCAGGACTCCACCAGATGCCGCAATAGCCTTTGGGATATCAGCAACCGCGGTGAGGTGCAGGATGGGTGCGGTAGAAGAAGGGACATGGTCGGGGAGATAGGCGAGGGCGGCGACCATGAATCCCAAAGAGGCGAGGGGCTTGAAGATCCAGCGGCCGAGGGAGGAGTGTGCGGTCTCGGAGAGGAGGAGGCAGGGGAGGGCGACGGCTGTGATCTGGACACCGAGGTTTAGAGGTGAGAAGGAGATTGGGGAGAGGAAGTCAAGGACTGGTTGTGCGAGTGATAATGCCATATTTTAGGGATTCTTGTGTGAAAAGGGTGGGAAGAGCGAGGGAGTGTGTAGAGGAAAGAAAAGAATGTAAGGAATGAAAGGAATGAAGGAATGGAAAGAGAAAAAAGAGAGATGGAAGTGATGGAATGGAAGAAGGAAGGAAAAAAAAAAGACAGTCTGTCTCGCCTTCAATTCATGTGCAAGGACCGGGTGCCGGGGCCATTGAGCGAGCGGGTCGGAGAACAAGCTCTTTCTCTTCTTTTTCACACGTTCAATAAACGGTTCCTCGTAGGAAAAAGGGGGAGAACCGACCATTTGTTCATATAGCTGAGGATATAGATCCTCGTCCTCATTGCCGACGCGAGACGAATGCGTATCTCCTTATTCATCACCATGGCCTTTTTGGCAAAGAAACCCTGATGTCCTGTTCCACGAGAAGGTGAGGTGCATCCCAGACCATGTTAATTCGTTTCTGTAAGTATTTTCCCGCACCCCTGTGGATGTCCGCAAAAGGATATCTTGACTGACAAATCATCTAAACAAACAAAACAAACAAGGTTCACTCCTTGGACATGCTTGAGGAAAAGGGCTCACAATTAAACAAGCAAAGGCAATTGAGCTTGTTCAGGCTGGTATCATGTCTGGCTGACGAGCCATCCTCTCCGCTTCTCCACATTCCGATCCTTCATCCATTTACTCTCTGGCTTCTATGGATTAACGTACCTAGATTTTCACCAGACCCTTTTTCTTTGCAGCAGCACTCGAGACACAGTCTACATGGCTGATCAAATCTCAGGCACCATGTCTGGCAAATCCGTGCCTGAATTCCGAGTATTGGTCAAAAGGCGCAGCAACCAAAAGCCCAACGATACCTGGGTTTGGAGGTCTCCTCCATAATCGAGAGGCAACCCGCGTCTTGGCTGACAATCAAAATATATATACTCTTATCCACGATAGCTCGCCGCATACTCAACGAAAAACCATGTCCACACAACGAATACAAACACAACAACAAATGGGTTTCTCGATCCTGGAGTGCTGCATCATTGACGACTGAGAATTAAAAAAATCAAGCGCAAGACCCCTTCGGCTGTTTTGTTCGTAACGAACAATCCCACAAAGCGCCATGTATCTCTAGAGGCATACCTTGTGTTTTGTTTTGTTTGCTCTCTATTCATCTCCCTCTTGTTTCTTTGGTGGGCACAAGGGCGTCTGTTTGTCCTCCTATCTTAGCTTGAATTGGGTTCCAAGCAATGCTCTTCCAGGGTCTCGCCCCAGGCGTCATTTGTGCTCTCTAGTTTTGGAATGTTCACTTCAGCCAAAGGAAAAATGACATTAGAAGGCATGGACAGCCATGATTCACAAAGGATGCAACGAATGCGAACCATGGTCCATTCTCTATGGCTATAGACCATGATGCTCTTTCAGACATCAGGCGATATTGTTAAAGAAAATAAGCATGCACAACCAGGTAGGGTGTACCTGAAGGAAAGCAACAAACATGTATGCCTGGTGTCTGTTTGAACGATTGTGCAACAGATTTCAAAGGGTAACTCTCCCTTTTTTTTTTTTCTGTCGTCGTCATTTTCAGCTTGGACCTCTCACCGTCGAATGTCAGGCTGCAGGTAATCCATTTCTCTTCCCACATCCATCCCTGCATACCCTGGCATTTGACGTCTGAACTACTTCAAACTTCCGCCGCCAAATGGCGCATGTTATACAGGAGAAAAGAAATAACCTCAATGGTTGGTTGATAGCAAACACGAAAACGAAAACAAACAACGGACATTGAGCAACTTTCGTGTTTCTTCCGTATTGTTTACTCCTTCTCTTCACTCTTTGAGTTGAGCCATGGAGCCAAAACCGCCCCTAGCCTTGGTGTCCGTATTGTGCATATGTAGCACGAGTAATCAGTGTGCTTTCAAGGACCAATGCTTCAGTCTCGCTATTGGTGGTGAACCTGTCCTTGAGACCTTTATAAAACTGGTCGTCATCCCCCTCTTTTTTTTCTCTCACCCACGATCCCAACCGTCACGGTCTCTCCCTTCATCTCCCCCTTCCTCTCCTTCATACCTTCCTTTTTACGCCCCCTTACCTCCGTCATCCTCCCCTCTTTTCACCTCCAACAACACCATTAACAATGAGAATTCTCTCCCTCTCCACCGCCATTAGTGCCGTTGTCCTGTCCGCCCTCCAGCTAGCCCAGGCCGACATCTCCAAGATTGTCCGTGTCGATCAAATATCGCAACAGCTCATCGATGCCGAGGGTCGCAGTCGCTGGTTCCATGGTACCAACATGGTCAAGAAAGCATTCCCCTGGCACGTCGACGTCGATAACTTTGTCCCCAATTGGTCCCTTGTTGACAAGGATATCGAGTTGTTGAAGACTATGAACATCAACTCTGTCCGTCTTGGTATGTTTGTCTTTTAGATGTTTTTGCATGTTGTTTTTGTGAGAACCTTGTGTGGGTGCTTTTTTGTGCGGAGTGAAAATTGGCACGTGGACAAGGGGATGAACAGGGTTTATGTTTTTCTCACACATTCTCCTTCCCTCTTGACAGGTGTGCACTGGGCGGGTGTGGAGCCAGTCCGCGGTCAATACAACCAGACCTACCTTGATATCACCCACGCCATCATCAAGAAGCTCGAGGACAACAACATCTACACCCTCATCGACCAGCACCAGGACGTCTGGGCCGCTCAGATATGTGGACACGGTGCCCCTCTGGTAATTCCTCATCCACTTCTTCCTTACCTTCCTCACCTTACCTTTGGAACCGTAAACCTTAATTATCCCTTCCCCCTTCCATCGTTACTTTGATTGCGACAGCCATGGACGCTAATGCAATTATGTACCCCTCCTTCACGTTCGCACTTCCCACCACTTTCACACAGTGGTTCATGAAGCAAGGATGGGTCACCCCCGGCCACATGTTCCCCGTCCCCCAAAAGTGGACCCCCTTCGCTGTCGATGCCAACGGTGTTCCTTCCGATGCCGACTGCAACTCGATCGACTGGGCAACTTCGTATCTCAACTATGCTGTCGGAAACGCCTTTGGTCGTCTCTACAACAACTATGACGGCCTTGGTGATGCCTGGGCAGCCTACTGGAAGGTCCTTGCCCAGAGGTACATGCAGTTCCCAAGCATCCTTGGCTACAACTTGATGAATGGTAAGTGAATAGAAGCGTGGTTGGATGTTTGGACAATGGGCTGTCGTTAGGTTATTTTCTTTGTGCTCATGCATTGCATTTTTTTCTTTTACGTTTTTTTAGAGCCCTGGGTCGGTGACCATATGGCGGACCCTACGTTGTTGGTTCCTGGCAAGGCTGACCACCGTACCATGGAACCCCTCTGGAACAAGGGTACCGATTACATTCGCACTGTCGACAACACCACTCTCATCTTCTTTGAGGGATCCACCTTTGGTACGCTCACGCTTTTGTTCTCTTTTCTCGTATTCAAATTAATCGAGCAAAAAAAGCTTTCTTTAACACCCCTCCATTTTCATCCCTGTAGACATTCTCTCGGGATTCAACAATGTCCCTGGTGGCGATGGCTCCAAGACAGTCCACTCGTACCACTACTACAAACCCCCTCAATTGGGCAACATCGAGTACACGCTCAAGAATCGCAAGACCGATTCTGATCGTCTCCGCACTGCCGGTATGATGACCGAGTTCCAGTTCTGGGACAGCGGACCTGACTCTATCAAGGAGATCTTCGAAACCGCCCGCCAAGCCGACCGGTACATGCAATCATGGCAAGGATGGGCCTATAACAATGTCTGGTCCGGAAGTGGCGCCGATGCCGTCGCCCGTCCTGCCATTGTCCTCGCTTACTCTCGTACCTATGTTGAGGCGACTGCTGGTACGACTCAGACGATGTACTTCCAGGACAGCACGACAAAGTATTGGGTCTCGTGGAAGGCTGACAAGGCTATCCAGGCGCCTACTCTTATCCGCTTTGCACCCAAGATCAACTACCCTGATGGTATTCGTGTCTTTATCGACCCTCCTGGCTCAGGTACTTACACTGTTGACAACGCGACCAATACTGTGAAGATCTCTCACACCGCTGGCACTGTCAATGGCGAGACCATCATGGCCAGTGTCCAGCCCTTCTACCCTACCGATATTATCCAGAACCCTGACTCTGGCAAGTGCCTCGACAACGGCAACACTAAGGTTACTCCCGTAAGTTTTGTACAACTGTCTTTCTGTTCATCTCAATTTGTTTATGTTGATAACAAGCAAGCAATTGACCACTAACTCTCTCTTTCTCTCTCTTTCTCTCTCTTTCTCTCTTACCTTCATGCACAACAGAACAACCCCATCATCCTCTGGGATTGCTCCTCAGACCCCAACCAGGTGTGGAAGTTCAAGGATAACACCATCCAACTGGCCTTTGACCCCGACCACAACAGTGACAAGTACTGCATCGACACCCAACCCATTCCCTCCAACACCAAATACCTCAACCTCGTCTTGAACCCCTGCGATGCCGCCAAACCTACCCAGAAATGGTCCGTCACTGCCACGGGCAACATTGTCAACACTGCGACGGGTTACTGTGTAGATATTAATGGATCGACCTACAAGTCTGGGACTGCGCTCTTGGCGTACCCTTGTGGCGCTGGTGGGACTCAGAAGAATCAGGTCTGGAAGTTGCCACGTGGTGCTAGTGGTACCTGGTAACTTTCTTTTTTTTTTTTCGTTAAGAAGACTATGGCCTGAGAAGGAAGGGATCATGCAACTGTTGAGTAGATCCGTGTGTGTCAACAATAATATTCTTCCCCACTTTTATTTCAAACGTGCCTGCGAAAATAATCAATATGAACTAATACTGTGGTACCCTACCGTTGGGATCTTCAGGGGGGGAACGGATGACTGCCGATTTCGATTTAGTGTTGGCGGCGATACTAGGGCGGGGTCAAAGGCGGAGATCCTACCCCTGTGGATATCAACATCACACCGCGGCAACAGTGCAAACGGTCTGCGCCCGAAGCTTCTTTCTTTAAAGATAAGAAAAGTGCTGCGCAATGTGACGATCAGCGGTTGTGTTAAACGTCTGCGACATGTTGTTCATGCTGCATAAAACGCTGCTACCAAGCACGGCATAGGACATCATCCCACATACACACACACACACACACACACACACACACACACACACACACACACATCCAGTTCATTCTCTGTCCAACATCAACCACATCTCCTTCTTTTCATCACAATAACAAGAAGCAAGAAGAACCATATGGATCCGTTCATCAGTCTGTCCGCCGAAGTGCAAGAGATGATCATTTCACATCTATCCAAACACACCTATTTTGTCTGCTTGCAGGTCTGCCGTTCTTGGTATATTACATTCGCGCCCCTCATCTGGAAATCAATCGAGGCACTTGATCGGCCCACCTTCAACGCCGCACAACGGTTTTATCGACTCAAGCAGTCAATCAGAGCAGACGGCGGAGCGGCGATTCAGAAGTACGGTCATTTCATCAGGACGCTGGATACTCGTTACTTGAGTATTGTTCATTTGGTTGCCAAGAATGATCTTCCACAGGCTTGTGCTCATCTCAAGAAACTTGTTGTTCATTCCAGGGCTGATCCACGAGTTCCGCCGGCGTTCAGAGCCAGCGAGGCAGCCACCGAGAAGACCTCTGTTCATGTCCAAAAGTCGGCGATCGCTGCATTGTTGCGATACAATCGTGACTTGAGAACGCTGTCGCTGCATCAAGAGGCCGGTCACCCTGATGTGGGAAAGCACGGTAAGCCAGTGGAGCCGAGCTGGATGAGAGCATTGCCAGAGAGTCTTGAATCCTTCGTCCTCAACACTCCATGCTTTGAGAGCTACCAACCGCCCATTTCTGTGGCGCCTACGCATTCGCGTCTTCACCCCCCTCCAAGGACATTGATTCACCTCCAAAAGCTGATCATGAGAGGACCCTACATCAATGGGTGCATCCGACTTGATCTCCTCCGACGCTGTCCCAACCTGGAGGTTTTGAGTCTGTACATCTGTGAAAACCCACTCGACCTTTGTTCAGCAATCTCCGACGTGCTGTATAGCCACTGCCCAAACCTGACGGCGATGCTAGTAGAGGGCCAACCATCTGACAATAGCCTCTCGCTTCTCCTTAGATCAAGTGCTGCTGGTTGGAAGTCGTTCATGTTTGATGGCTCGTTGGGATTCTTTGGACCGCTATCCGCGAAAGCACTCCTGGACCATGCCGCGACCCTCGAGAACGTCCGACTGGAGGGCTGTACCGCATTCACCAGCACCAATATACAGCAATTGCTGTGCTCTGCGCCCAAGTTGAGGCGCTTCCATGGAATCTTGATCAATCGATTGGACGAAAAGGATCTTGCCCTTGCAGCAGACGAGCTCATACTGTCCGAGTGGGTATGCACCGATCTCGAGTCGTTTGCCTGCAAGATCACTCGTGTCCCTCGACCAGATCTGAAGAAGAGAACAAACGGTCGACTGTTGACGAACACAATGCATACCATAGGCACCATCGAAGCCAGCTATCAATTGCAGCGTCGGGTTTATGAACAGCTGGGTCGACTGACGAAACTACGACACTTGGTCCTGGGGGGCGATATTGGTCTGAGTGGCGAAAAGAACGTCGAACTGGTGTTCAGGGAGAAGGCCAACGAAGGGGTGTATTTCACCCCGATGTACTGGCAGATTGGATACCAGTACGAATGTCTGTCGATGACACTCGAGAGTGGACTGGATCTGCTGAAGGGGTTGAAGGAGATGGGGGCGGTTGTTGTTGTTGGGATGGCGATGGGGTTGTCGAATCCAGCTGAGAAAGACTGGCAGAAGGAGCATTGGCCATTGCTTGAGACGGGCAAGTTGTTTGTCAATGGGTACTTTTCTGATCCCTTCTGGTCCTTGTTCCTGGAGTAGGGTTTGAGATAGGACCGCTGGTAATAGAACAAGCCACACATTCCTTGCACATCCATATTTCAGCACGGTTTTTTTTTTTTAGGTTTTTGTTCTTCCAACCCTTTCACACTCCACCTTCCCCTCCCGTTCCCACGATACCCTTGCTTCTCCGACCACACCCTTCCTGACCCGCCCTTCATTTTGGAACACACAAACAAGGTCATCCCCACCCACCTTCCCTTTCACTTCCTCGACATACCTGCCACCCTCGTCTCCATAGAAAATAAAGACGACTCTCCTTCAACGTGTTTTGATTGTTAATTCGTTGTCTATCTCGGTAACTGAATTCTAAAATTCCTCCCTACACTTTTACTCCCTTCACATCCTACGCCACCCAAAAACACACACAAATAACCCCCCGGGTCAACTACCCAGCCTGCTAAGTGCGGTCGATGCAAGCAGGTAGGGCTGATTCTGATTCCAAAAGGGGGAAGATTAAAACACGACGCCCACTTTATATAGCCTGGCCTATATCTCAATGCTGTCGGTTATTCACTCTAGCGTCTGACATCTCCTTCCTACCACTCTTCTTCCCTCTTTATCCCTTTTCTTCTTCACGGGGGGGGGGTTTCAAACTCAATCGATGCGTGTGTTTTGCGGTTGGTGGCGTGTTTTATTTGGTTCTCAATGTGTGCAGGTGCGGTGTGCAGGAACAACCGAAATAAAATATCATCGAGAGCGCCAGCAGTAGTATTATCGGCCAGAGGGAGCAGATGGAATTGAAATATCGCGTTGAACGGACGAGCGTCCTTCAAGGTGTTTTGCAGTCAAATTTTATAATCCCACAGAATATGAAAACGAGAATGTGTAATGTAACATTTTTACAGATAGTAACTTTTGCGCGGAATAAGTTAATAATTGAGGTGATCCACCCCTTCATTGTTGTTTTTTATTTGCTCGCTGCTGCAGCGGCTTTCTGGGCCTTGACTTGTTCTTGCAAATACTATAAAACGTTCGAAACAAGAAAAAGAGTAACATTGTACGTTGTTAGGAACAACACTTTTTTTTTTTTTTTTCCCTTTCAAAAACACAGTTAACGACAACATGCTGACAAAAATGCATGAGGTGATCAACACTTACTTTAACGCGCAGTTTGCACTCCTTCTTGGTTCTTCCAGGAACGGACTCGGCAATCTTGTCCCATCGATCGCCTTCACCTTGCCATGAGGGCGGGTAAGCCTTCATACCTGCTTCCAGAAGCTTCTGCTCGGCGGCTGTCCACAGTGAAGCCGGAGGCGCAACCGCAGCTGCAGCAGTTGGAGAGGTGAGGGCAGCCAATGCGGCGGTCTTTGCTCCTGCGCCGCTTGATGCCGTTGTTGATGTGGCGACAGGTGTTACTGCTGCTGGTGTTGGTGCTGGGGTGGGGGTGGCGGTCACGGGTGCAATAGGTGTTGCTGCCTTGGGTGCTGGTGAGGCATTAGCCTTTGCAGGGGTGGCTCCAGCAGCAGCGCCCTTCTTCTTTGTCTTCTTTGCCGAAGCAGCATCGCCCGCTTCCGCAACAACGGGAGGGACCTCACCTTCAATATCATACCTCACTGTAGGCAAGTCGGCAATATCATAGGTCTTCTTCTGGAACTGCAACTGTCGCACCGTCGCCTCCTGATGCGAACCCTTCTGGACAGCCTTAGATTTTTTGATCACATCTTCTGGGTCGCGTTGGGGGAGTCCTGTGTGGAGGGCGACATATGCGGCGATGGTCTCCCACCGGTCGCTGACGCCTCCGGGGAACTTGTTGGCGGCTTTGATGAGGAGGGCTACTTCTTCGACGGACCACTCTTTTGTTGGGGTGTTGGTGGAGGATGTAGTTATGGTTGCTGCTGGGGTAATGGTGGTTGTAGTCGTGGTAGTCTCACTAATCTTTTTCGTCACACCATCTACGCAATTCAACATACAGACAAAAATGCGGTTATGAATATCAAAATTCTGCACCAATTTGAACATCCCTGCGACCCTATACCGTACATCTCCAGGTAAAAACGAAAAGACTTACCAGCACCGAATTGAGTAAGGCTCTCAGGGTTGGCCAACCCATCCCGAACGAGTTTCTGTGCCTCGGTTTCAAGGATCTTTTGTTTGTCCTGGTTGCTGGTCTTGGCAACACTCAGTCCTGCAACAACTCTTTCCAAATCTTCAAGGGTCAACTTGTCCAGCATCGTCTCCAGCTCCGAGAGGTATATCTCTAATGTTGAAGGCGAAATGTGTTTTCCCTTGGTATATCCGTAGTTGGCGTCCTAATGTCACACAAACCAAGTACAATATTAGTTCATGTTACGACAAGGTACACACCAACAAAAATAACATCGATCATTCAAAAAGCAGCACCGCCAATTCTCCCTGAAAACACAGGGAAACGTTACCTTCATAAGGGTTTTGATGTTCTTCTTCTCCTTACGGATAGACTTCTTCTTGACCTCTTTCTCCTTCTTTTCCTCCTCCTTCTTGAGTCGCTCACTGCTCATCTTCTCCTCTTCCAGTTCCTTGGCCAACGCAGCCTCCCGTTCTGCATCCCGCTTAGCCTTCTTGCTCTGCTCCAGACGCTCCTTCTTCTTAGCGTCCTTCGCTTCTTTTTCTTGCTCCTTGAATGCGGCCATGCGTGGGTCGAGGGAAAAGGCAGTGTCGACCAACTTCCTGAGACGTGCTCCGTCCTCCTTCTTCAGCTTTGCGCGTTCTGCCTTGTTCTTCTTTTCAATGTAGCGTTTGTCGTCACGGCTATTCCATTGCAAATGATAAAGCAGATATATGTTAGTAAATATTAATATTCTTCCGCCAGAAACCCAAGCTGTCTGCGTCAATCCCTCCAGAGTAGACTTACTTTTCAGCGCCTTCACCTTCTTCCTTATCAAGGTACTCAAACGACCTCCAACTCTCAAACCCATACCAGAACCCATAAAACGCCTCCACCTCCTCCTTTGTCGACTCCATCGTTCCAATCGTTGGAATTTCCTTCAAATCCTTGACCGAGAACCTTGCCTCGCGTTCAAAGACCGGCCTCCAGGCTTCAATAAACGGCAAATCGGCACCATCCTTGAGGGCGTTATAGGATTCTTCGGGGATGGGATCGACAGAGTCGTATTGGCGACGCTTGATGGGATCGGAGAGGACCTCGTAGGCCTTTTGGATGCATTTGAAGAATGCATCGTCGTGGGTTGCGTTACTGCCTGTTGCGGCGGATTTCTTGTCCGGGTGGTGGACCAGCACCTTGGTGCGATCTGAGATGGGGATTTGTAAGAAAATCATTTGTTAAGGAGGCGGACAAAACGCTTCAGTTGATGAGACACGAAAAATAGGGACTAAAAATGACATAAGAAAAATTCGATGGAGTCGAAATCAAAGAAAAAAGAAGAGAGAGGACTTACGCGCTTTCTTGATCATGCTGCGGCTAGCCCTCCAGCGAGCAGTGCCCAAACCCAGGAGCCGATAATGATCCTGGGCCTTCCAGTCCTTGGCATCCCGTCTCAGATCATCCTTATGGTCAACCTCAATCTCATGCTCGTCCGCCGTCTCTGCATCCTCGAGCAATTTGGCAGCAGCGGCGGCTTCAGCTTCAGATTGGGCAACATGCCTATCGTCCTCGGAGAATGTTCTGTTGAAGAGCTTGCGGCGGGCGTGGGCCAGGTACATTGGGCCAACGGGTTCAACCTTTTCCATTACGGGTTCTAGTTACAACAACGAGGAGGGTTAGTTGGGTTTAAGCTGGTATTTGCAACAATACGGAAAGACAACGTTCACACGAGGTTCAAGGTGTGTTGTGTGTGACGCCGTACTTGTGATAGAGCCGTGCTGGACAGAGTCCTTGGACGAGTCCCAGTCTGCTGGGGGAGGGCCCAGGAGGAGCGAGCCCAAGGTCATGGACTCAAGAGAATCTTTGTTTGCCGAGGTTGAGTTTCCCATGTGTCTTTGACTGGAGTGAGTGGAGATGGAGAAAGAGGAAGAGAAAAGAGATGTGTGATTCAGTCCTGTTTCTTTTTTTTATGTCTCTCTGGAGCAACAGTAGCAGTGTTGAAAGAGAGAGTCACGGTACACACGACAATGGGCTGGCTGCTGCAGCAACTTTAATTTGACATTTTTTTTTTTCTCACAACAACCACATAAGTTGCAAACTCATACAGAACGGCCAGGCAGGACAAGACACGGACGCAGAGGAAAGTTCCCCTCCTCCAACAACAAACAACCCCCTCCTCCCTCTCTCACCCTCCCTCGCCTTTCAGTTCGCCATGACTACCTCCACTGAGCGACGCCCATCGCGTCTCGCAAAACTCAATGCCGGCGACAAGATCAAGGATCAAATGGACCACCTCCTCTACCTCGCCAGCGGGAGAGCCTACCTCGACGACGAAGACGACAACAACAATGATAACGACAACAACAACATCAACAGCAACGAGAAAGAAACTATTGCTCGACCTGCTGCGCAGTGGAAACGGAGGCCTGCCGAAGGTCCGAGCGATACCGAGCGCGCCACTGCCACTCAGGATACAACCTCAACCTCAGCCGCCACTGGTACCGACGTGTCCAAGAAGGCTCGGAGTCGATCGAAAAGGCAAAAGACAGATGAAGGCGACGGCGGTGGCGAGGCGGTTGGTAAAGAGTCTTTAGGTCTGGTAGAAGTGGCGGTCAAGCGGAAGCCTGGGCGGCCCAAGAAGCAGCAGTCTGGTGATCTTGACACATCTGATCAGGTGGAGCCATCAACACTAACGACGGAAGTCGAGAAGAAGCGCGGAAGGCCCAAGAAGCAAAAAGCTGGCGACGGTGACAGTGATGCTACAGCAGATCAGGACGAGTCTTCCATACCAGCAGCGGAGATCAAGAGGAAGCTTGGGCGACTCAAGAAGCAAGAAGCTGGCGACGTTGACGGTGACGCTACAGCGAATCAGGACGAGTCTTCTATACCAGCAGCGGAGACCAACAAGAAGCTTGGGCGACCCAAGAAACAGAAGGCGGATGATGGCGTCAAAGGCAAGGTGGGCGATGTAGAGTCATCGATGCCGGCGGAGGCGACCAGGAAGAAACCCGGACGACCAAAGAAACAAAACACAGTTGAGGCAGAGGACGGAGTCGATCACACAGAGCCATCAGTACCGACGGAGGAGCCCAAGAAGAAACTCGGACGACCAAAGAAACAAAACACAGTTGAGGCAGAAAATGGAATCGATAACACAGAGCCATCAGCACCGACGGAGGAGCCCAAGAAGAAACTCGGACGACCCAAGAAACAAAACATAGTTGAGGCAGAAAATGGAACCGATAACACAGAGCCATCAGTACCGACGGAGGAACCCAAGAAGAAACTCGGGCGTCTTAAGAGGCAGAGGACGGATGACGACAAGGAAGGTGAGGCCGAGCACCCAGAGTCAACGATACCAACAGACAAGGTCAAGAAGAAACAGGGACGGCCCAAGAAACAAACGACATCCCAAGGTGATGGCGGAATTGAGCACGACGAGTTACCAGCGGAGGAACCAAAGACAAAAACTGGACAGCCCATGAGACAAAGGACGGATCAGGAGATTATGAACCAAGTCGAAGCTTTGATGTCGGCGGAACCCAAGAGACGGCAAGGACGGCCCAAGAAGGAGACAGGAGATGTGTCTGAAAGTGACGACGAAGAGTCATTGACGTCAAGGAGAGAGGCCAAGACACGAGAAGGGCGGACCGGGGATCGACTACAGCAGTGGACAATCGGCGACATCCAAGAAAACTCTTCAGACTACAGACAAGATCTTACGTCAAAGAGCGATCCAGATAGTGATAAGGACGGGAGCAACTACTTGGACGACTCGGACGACTCGGACGACTCGGGTGTTCAAAGTAAAAGAAAAACTCCGACTGGGAAAGAGACGGAAATGGATAGGGTGGCACGTGTTCCAGAACGAGAACGGGGGAGACAGGAAAAACTGGATGGAAAGGAAGCCAGATCTAAGGCGAAGAAGGAGCTGAAGGCCAAGAACCGGAAGAGGGTCAGGCAATCGTTCCTGGCGATTCCTGTCAGCGTCCAACTGGCGCATGCTGCTGAAAATATGGCCATTCAGGACAATCAGCAACAGCCGACGGAAACCCTGGAGTACCCGGCCTTGGACCGTCACAACCACAGCCTCATTTATCAAGTTCTCAAACCCGAGCAGACAGGATTGTCTTACCGATGGCCCGTTCGAGAGGAACTCTTACATTCGTAAGTTGCGCGCTCACTTTTTGTAATTGCACTATGATTTGTTATGTAATGAATGAGATGTACTCAGCCAGGTGTACTGTACGCTTATAATTTTGCTCAAACATAATTATTCTTTCACTAATTTCTTATGAATGAACTGGTATATTGCTCATATAGCATCCCTAAATCATCTTTTGCAAGTGCGACGGACGAACTCGACGATATCGAAAAACACGGCCTGGGGTTTGTGGAGGAGCTCACGGGCGTTCCCAAGAACGAGGAAGACTACAGCGGGACCGACGCAGAGAACGACAACGCTGGATCTAACGAGGATGTCCAGGAGACAGGTGATGAGGAAGATTCTGAGGGGGAAGACGATGGTGATCAATCGGCGGAGGAGTCAGCAAAGGAGAAAGCATTGAGACGGAGACGTGAGCTCTATGCTACGCGCGCGCGTAAAAACGCACTGGAAGGCCTTTTGGATCGAGAGGAGCCAGCGGCAAGAGATCGAGGCAAGCGACATGAGGATGAGCGATTTGCTAATGCTCGTCTGGAGGCGGTGCAGGCATTGTTCGACGGGGAAATTGCCCGTTTCGCTCAGGTCCAGTACCGGAAAGGAGTCCAGGAGCGAGTCCATGACCTGGAGCAGTTCCAAAAGTCGACCCTTTCAGAATCCTATCATCAGGCCGTCCGTGCGCCCATTGGGTCTGAGCTTTCTGGATTTGACCAAGAGGACGACTTGACGCGGCTCCAACAGCGGGCGATTGCGTTTTCAGCCGAGGATGCTGTGCGAAAGTCGTTGGATCGGATGGCATATGTGGTGCGACAGGGCTCGTTGCTGCGGATGCCAGCGAAGCCCAGAATCGAAAAAGCAGTGTTCAGGAACAAGTATGAACGTGGATGGGACACCGTCATGACCTCTGCAGCATTGGCCGGTATCGACGACAGGTTCGTGCCATGTCTCTTTGTTTTGTTCTAATGTGTTTGTGCTGGGATCTTGACTAACCACGTGTTATATATTTGATCTTTCCCATTTTTTGCACTAATGATTGTATCTCCCGTGTGTCACCAATTCCCGCGGAACATCAAAAAATGTGCTACGATGACACAGGATCTTGAAGAAGGTGTCAATGCGGATGCAGAACCTGTTGAGCAAGTCCAAGAACATCCATCATTACGAGGTTGCCTCTGAGGGGAAGTGGATGACTGTCGAGGATGCAATCGACAGAGCCAAGGACCCGTCAAGTGTCCCTCCCCAAGAGAAAGCGCATTTTGTGGACCCCATGGACCCTGCCTTTGATCCAAGAGTGTTGGCGCTTAATGCAAAGCATCGTCGTCACAAGGAGAAACATGCCCCAGTTGCAGCAGCTGTCAAGCAGCAACTGGGGAAGGGTTCAGTGATGATCTCAACAACAACAAGGTCGGGGCCATTGTCACCAGTGTTGTCAGTGTCGTCAGGATCAAGCGCAGGGTCAAGGTCAGGGTCAAGGTCAGAGTCATGGGCAAGTTCCAATTTGGGAGGAACTGCAAGTGAGAGTGGCAGTGGCAGTGAGAGCGAGAGTGAATCATCTCATAACAGCAGTGACGACGACGATGCTGACGGGAGCGGTTGAAAATAAAACGCGTGCATGTGCAACGTGCGCCTCTGTTTTTCCCAGTTCGTGTTATTAAAGTTGATTACTGTTTATCCCGTTTGAGTGAAATAAAACTCTTTTTCCGTTCGACCTGTTGGTCCGTCCCCACATACGCATCTTCATCTTAATCACAGCCAGCTAACGGAATGGGAAGAAGTCGAAAGGGGAGGAATGGCGTGGATGAGATCTTTGTCCCGCGGGTGAATTCCGCTCGTTTTCCTTCTCTTGTGTTCTTTTCACTTGCATCAAAAAAAACAGCAACAACAAACAATAATTGCAAACAACAAGAACACAGCTGGCGATGTTATGACTCTGCGCGAGTCAGTCGAACAGGACCCCCAATCGAAGACAGCAGGAGCCACCACAATAATAACAAGGAGGAAGATCTGTTTCGTGTTTTTGTAAACATGGACAATTGAAGATCTGGGGAGGCCAAGCTGTCTGTATGTGTTATTTCTTGTACACCCATGAAAATAATTAGCCGAGGCATTTATTTCATAACAAGTAAGTGGGGGGGGTGGAGGGAGTTGCCTGTTGTCTGGTTTGTCGACTTTAGGGTTTTATGGGCTATGATGAAGTGCTCATGCTCATGCTCATGCTCATTCTTGGCGACTTGGTAGCTGGTGTGTGCTAATAAGCAGGCATGTTAGGGTGGTTATCGCTATTTTTTGTTGGATTATGTTACCAGACAGGTAGTCGATATGCGAACTATCCGAGGAAGTGGCCAGGGAGAGGTGCATGAGTGTGAGTGAGTAAGGGTAAGGGAGGAAGAGAGGAAATAGAAAGGGAAAAAAAGGGTGAGGCAGAAAAGCAAAAGCAGAAGGAGACCAAAAAAAAAAGGTACGGTGAGAGCAAGGAGGTGTTGTGTTTGAGAGTGAAGAAGGTAAAAAGCGAAACGGATACAGTATTTGGCTGATATGACGAGTACTGTACATGGAACTGGTTGATGATCGATTCAGAGAGAAGGGAGTCCCGGTACATTTCTGATGGATATGTTTGATAATAGGGTTCTAGAAGGAAGTGTTCAATGATCCCTGGTCCATGATCCATGTCGTCCATGTCCATCCTACCCCTATTATTGCACCTGTGCCCCCCTCCCTCTCCCCGCCCCTTGCCTGTTGGCATGTGTGAGCGGATAGCAAGAGGACAAGAGCGCTCTTTACTCTTTACTCTTTACTCTTTACTCTTAACTCTAGCCGTCTCTTTTATCCTATCCATACACCACCGCCCAGTTCCCCTCCTTGCTCCTCTACTTTCCTCTTCTTTCATACCTCCCCTCCTTTCTTTCCTTTCCTTCCCTTCCCTTCTCACCTTCTCACCACTCACCCTTGCATACATACCCCTTCCTCACTCCTATATCCATCATTAATCCCGTCCCTTACTCCCTTCTCCCCTCTCACCCTTCTTCTTCTTTTCCTTCTCTTCTCCTTCCTTTACTCATCCCTCCTGTCACTCCTGTCACTCCTCCGTCTTTTCTCCTCTGGTCCATGCTTCCACCCTCCGCCATCACCACCAGCACTGTAAATATTAATCGCTTCACTGCTCCCCATTCACCTCCTCCGTTGTTGTTTGCCGCCTGCTGCTGCTGCTGCTGCTGTATGCACAATCATATTTGCCTTTCGCTTCTGACGCATATACCTTCTCTCTCCTTCCCCTCCTCCCTTCTCTCTCGCTGCCTTGTTGCTGCAACTCCTCCTCCTTTACTTCTTTCTTTGCTTCCTTGTTTCCTTGTTTCTTCTTCCTCTTCTATCCCCTATCCGTCACTTGGCTCTCTCTCTCACACTCTTCCTCCAATTGACACCCTACGCACACATACACTCACGGTCAACGACAACAGATACCCTGCCCGCCACCAATTTGAATTGTTGTTCGCCATAGATATCCTCCCTGCCACCGTTGTCCCCAGCTATGGCTAGAAAGACAAGGCAACGGGACCCACTTAACCCTCCTTTAGAAAATACCAACAACAACAACAACGCCACCAACACAACCAATCCTACAGCAGCAGCAAAAAGGACAGCTACTACCACTGTCACCTCCCCGCGGACAGCGAGCACCTCGACCTACAACACGAATGCAAGGGCATCCGCAATCTCAACCGCCTCCAATATACCCTCCATCTCTTCAGCCTCTACTACCTCCATCGCCTCCATCGCCTCCATACCCTCCATCATATCCGTCGAGTCCGTCTCGACCATAACACCCGCAGCGTCGTCTCATAATACCAATACCAACAGCACAGCGTCAACAATGGCAACAGCAGCAGGCAAAAAGACAGCCTCGGCAGACAAGCCACGAGGACTCCTTGCAGGAGCGTTTAGCAAGAGTAAACGGAAGGACCGTCTTGGCAACAGCACCGGCAACAGCACCGGCAACAGCATCGACAACAAGAGCATTGAACAGGAGAGCAGCAGCAAGTCGAAAAGTAGAGAACAACCTGCCTTACTGCTGCCTCGCTTGCCGTCACTCGAAGACTTTGACTTCTCCCTCCCTTTTCTCACTGACGACTCCTCTTCAGTGGCCAGCAGCACGCCCGCAACAATAGCATCGACCACCCTGACTTCCTCGACGCCCGCATCGCCCGCCTCCTATTCTCACTCGACCTCTCGTCCCTTGCTCGCTGGCACCTCCTATTCCTCCTTTTCTCCCTCCAACAGTCAGTACCTCACCTCCCAGTCTCCCAGGGTCCAGGACTACTTTGGACCTTCCCCAACCTCTACCATTCGCCAACGGTCAATTGGTCACCCTCCCGCCAGTGGTAGCAGTACTTACAGCAACAACAGCAACCACAGTAGTGCCAGTAACTCCCGCCCAACAACAACAACCGCTATGCACTCCAAGGCCATGACCGACACCACCATCAGCGGTACGGGCACAATCGGGGGCCCTCTGGATCTCTCCCGCCTCGAGGTTACCAGCAACGACTCCTATATCCACTTTAACGACGATCTTTCTCCCAAACGGTCGTCATTCAAAGGTCTGGACCATCGCCGCACCAGCGATATCCACATCACCAGCACCAGCACACGCAGCAGTGTTGATCAGGAACGAGGAAGGCCGCAACAACAACAGCAGCAGCAAACACGGGATGACCTCTTGAATCCAACACGTTTTGTTATACATCAACCTTCTCTCCCTGGATTCTCCAAGGCCTCCAGAGCAACCTCGCCTTCACCCTCCCTGACTTCGTCCGTGCTGTCAGACGAGAGTAGTGTCCATTCGTCCCTTCAACACCACGCTCAATCAATACAGCAGCTCCAACAACAACAACAACAGCAGCAGCAGCAGCGGTCAGGCCCCTCGTCTAAGGCCTCGATGGAATCATCTCATCAACAGCAACAACCAAAACAACAACAACAACCGCAACCGCAACAGCGACAACAAGATAAGCGACCTTCTTCGACCGCATCTGCCCCCGAAACTGCAACACGGCCCTCCTCTATCACGTTACCTACCATTGCACGAGCGCAAGAGGCACCTGCGTCGCTCACTCTCGCAGCCACCTCCACTCTCAACGGTAACGCTAGGGCAGCACAGACAGGAAGGTCGATTGGTAGAGGGGGTCCGTCGTCGTCCAGCCCACCTGTTGCCGGGTCTGCTCATCTGAGACCAGCACAGCCCAAGCAGGTCCTGGATACCTTGCAGGAATCGCAAAGCCCGAACCTCCGCACTCGTCTATCGCGGTTGTTTCGACAGAACCCTAAATCGGAACGGTCGTCCAGCCTTGAGCCTCGCCATCGTGTCCAGCAAAAGCAGCTTAACCAGGAGATTGCCCGGACTATGCCTCGGCTTAAGCAGCAACAACAACAGGAGCAGCAGTCGCCGTTGCAAGAACCCCAACCCCAACAACGACAACAACTACCACCTCAACAACGGTTACAGCAGCAACCATCATCCATACCAGTGCCAGTTCGACAAGTGCCTGCTTCTCAATCGGCACCCGCACCGGCACTGGTAGCAGCACCAACACCGGCACCAGCACCTCTGCCGTCATCAATCAGTACTCCATCGCCACAGTCGAGTCCAGTGTCGACACTAAAGAGTGATCCTCTTATTATACACTGGTACGAGGAACCCGAGGGGCGTGTTGCATCGCAAGGGGAGCAAAGGCAAGTGTCTGTCTACTTTTTTTTGTTGTTGTTTGTCCAATTTGCAGCTGACACATGGGGGGGGGTATAACATGAAGTACCGATGGCAGGTTACACTGGTTATCACTTTTTTTTCTTGTATTCATGCAGTCGTCCCCGGGATGGCCCCATGGTGTTCTTTTACAGGAGTATATATAGAGCATGAGCATTCTGACACGACCGAGGGATACGAAAGGGGAAGGAAAACAGAAAAAGAAAATAAGGGAGGGGGAGGAGGGAAAAGGGGAACAAAAGTGTTTGCAGATCTGTCAGGAGTGTCGTTGCGCAATGGTCAGCCAGCCACAAGAAACTGGCTTGACATATAGTTTGAGAGAAACAGTGACATCTCTCTCTCTCTCTTCAGTACTTTGCAAGGTTATAGGATAGGGAGTAGGTTCTTGGATGCATCAGGAAGGAAAGAAGGAAGAAAGGAGTGGTGCTAAAAGGAATAGCCAAACCTGCCGGAGAACGAACGAGAGCGAGCAATAAGAGGAGAAAGGGCTTGTTCAAGGAGTATGAATGAAAGATGGAGAGCGAGAAAAAGTGAGACATGAAGAGCGTTTTGTGCTGGCAACAGCTTTTACAGCTCGGAATTTTAGCGTGGGTGGGGTGAGGAACAAAACAACCCATATCGAGAGCCATCCGATTCAGGAGGTTCATGGTTAATGAGCCAAGCAACGTCGTTATTATTTTCTTTGTTGCAAAAAAGAACGAGAAGAAAAAGAAAAAGAGATATTGCAATTATTGAAAGACAGAAGACGGAACGAGTGTGAGAGAGCCAAAGAGGCCATTGAGCGAAATGCGAACTGGCATTGTGCATTCACCAAAATGTCGCCTGGCTATCGAACGGTCTGTCAAGGAGAGTAATGTGTGCCCCTCCCCTGGTACCTGCTCCTTAATTTTACCCTCCCATTCGTTTAAAAACGAGACGTCCCCTTCTTCCTTGGGGATATATTAGTGCAATACTAAGATCAGCCATGGGGCCTTGGAATTCATAAACCTCTTGAGAAAATGGATCTCTCTACTCACTAACGTCCTCTCCTCTTCTTTGTTTGTTCCTTTCGCCTTTTCACTTCTCTTCTCAACCATTCTCCCCTCTCGCCCCCGTTTCCTCATCTCACAGCACTCCGCCCACGCCTGTCATAATCACCCTCCCAGCCACGGATAGCAACACATCAACATTGACACGGCAGCGGTCTAGGAGCTTCTCTGCAATCCCTGTTCCAACATCTTTTGCCCCTGGTATCCTCCCTTCGTCTCTCTCTCCCCCTGCATCGCCTCTCACATCCGAGGCGGCCAAAGCCCGACAGCGCAGAGTGTCATCCGTCTCCAGCAGCCACAGCATTCGACAAGTCGGCGCATACGGAGGCGGTAGCAGAGGTCCCATGATGTCACCATCCAGGAAAGCCAACCCATACTACTCTGGCGTCATCGCCCGCTTCTCTAACGGCGGCAGACATTCGCCTCATGACCGTGATCATTCGTCGTCGCCATCGAAGCGGAGGAGTGTTGTTGCAGTTGGTGGCGAGCGTGCCAGAGTAGGAGCCGATCCCACATCAAGCCGTGACAAGTTGACGATGGCGGAAGTCACAGGTCAGAACCCACCAAAACCAGTAGTATCAGCCAAATCTCGTCCACTATCGACCGCATCAACTGTCAGCAGCATCGTGTCCGAAGCCAAGGAGAGGGAACCATTGCCACTATTACCGTCTCACCAGGAATCGACCGAGGAGTCCAATAACGAATTCATGAGGACTTTCCACTCCTCCTTCGTTTCAAGCCCCATCCAGGCACCGCTCATGTTTACGCCGACCTACGAAGAGGAGTACGATATTGAGAAGGACAGCATCAGGAACAGCATCCAAGGCTCACCCTTTTTTGCAAAAGCTACGCTTCCCTACACTAGAACCGTACCTATCGCACATGGCCCCCCTACCTACAACTCCCGCTCTGCCTCACCCCCATCTGGACGTACAGTCCCCATCCCTCCGGAGATCAACACTCAGCTTGTAAGTCCATGGTCTAGACAGAAAACTGAAAATGCGTTATTAATTTTCAAGTGCGAACATTGACATCATTGCATTGCCTTTTTCACATCAACTAGGCTGTTACAAGCGCGCAAACGATGGAATCGGCGAATGAACCCCAGTCTACAGGAGATTATGCGTCCAGCAGCATGAGCGACGACCTGGACGTGGACTCACCCGACTCGCAATTCTCCTCACATGCTGGGTATGGTGAGCATGGAGGCGGAATCATCACGACTGAAGAAGGCTGGGATGATGCCGAGTCACAGCAGGACAATCTGGGACCAAATGCGCCACCGATTGTGATGGTCCACCGGTCATCGATGGAGCACTCCATCCTTCCCGAGCAGCCCCCCTTTGCCCAAAACACCCGCCCGCTTTCGTCAGCATCGTCAGTCATGTCGTCCAACTCGACCAAGATGGTCCCTCCTGGTCCAGCCCACCTTACCTCGGTCGCCCAGTGGTCAGAGTCCAGCTACGATCCATGTGCCCCTATTCGGTGGGATGAACTGTTCGAGATGGATCCCAACAGCAAGGGACCGCTCTGGCTGAGTGGCCGCGAGTTGGGCCAGATCCCACACGAGTTCTTTGACGGACTGAGGAATTTGAGGGAGCTTTACCTGGATCACAACGACATCAAAGTGGTGCCTGACTCCCTCCTGAAACTCACCAAACTGGATGTCCTTGATCTCAGCTGCAACTCGATCAGTAGCTTCCACTCTGCGTTCAAGATGAAGAAGCTGAAGAACCTCCGACGACTCAACTTGGACCACAACATGCTGACGGACATCTCGCCCATCTACAAGCTCAAGTCACTTCGGGAACTGCGAATGAACCACAACTTTGTCCCGTTCCTGGCGATCGCGATCCAGAACATGACCAAGCTCAAGATCCTCGCCATGGAGTCCAACTCACTCTCGACCCTGCCAGAGACGATGGGCAAGCTGGGGAACCTCTGTGAGTTGCGACTCTCGGATAATAACCTTCGAGCCCTGCCAGAGTCAATTGGATCGATCCGCACCCTTCAAGTTTTGGCCCTGCGTTCGAACCTGCTGGAGAGGCTGCCAGAATCATGGAAGGACATGGAGAACTTGTCGACATTGGATTTGGCTAGTAATAAGTTGACCAGCTTGCCCGCGGATATCGTTCGACTTCCCAAGCTGACGCACCTGGATCTCCACGACAACCAAATCCGCGCCTTGCCCGACAAGATTGGTCAACTCAGCAACTTGGTCGTCCTTCAACTCTGCAACAACCAACTCCGGGAGCTTCCTCGCGATATTGGGCGTCTCAAGGATTTGCATGATCTTGTGCTCTCCTTCAACCAACTGCGGAAGCTACCAGACGAAATTGGAAAGCTGAACAAGCTGCAGGAGCTCAAGTTCGACAACAACCCTCTGCGATCGTTGCCCAAGACGATCCAGCGTTTGACCAATGTGCGACGCGTTCACTTGCAAGGGTGCGAACTCCACGACCTGCCAATTGAATTGGGCGTTGCTTTCAAGGAGCTCGTTCACCTGGACCTGTCAGGAAACCGATTCGAGGTCATGCCAGCCCTGGACCAGATGACGCGCCTGGAGGAACTGTACATTTCCAACAACTTGCTGCGAGAGATCGGGACGTCGTCGTTGAACCTCCAAACTTCCAACAACAGCAACAACAGTTACAACACTGGAACTATCTCGGGACCAATGGGCGGCGGTATCGGACTGGCCAACAGCGCGCAGCTTGGTGCAGGAAACGGATCTCTCTCAAGCCATACCGTCAGCGCTAGTTCCAGCCAAGGAGGAACTATTTTGGTCAACTCATCGACTAGTCAAGGGTCGACCGGAGGTGTCACGGGAACTCTCAACATGGGAGGCGGAGTGACTTCCAGCAAGTTGTCGGAGCTGAAACGACTTCGTGTGTTTGAGGCCAGCAACAACCAGATCCGTGTGTTGTCGCCCAAGATCAATATGCTTCCTCGCTTGGAGGTGTTGGATCTGAGCGACAACTTGTTGACCTGGTTGCCCAAGGAGATTGGCGATTTGGCGGATCTCAAGATCTTGATTCTCGAGGGCAACCCCATTAAGTCTCTGCCGTCTTCGCTTTCAAAGCTCATGGGCAGTCTCGAGGTCTTTAGGATCGGCGAGTGGCCCGAGAATGGCTTTGAGATCACCAGAGTAAGTTGTTATGTCATCATTCGGCGCTTTGTGTGTGTTTTTTTCATACCTCAAAAATTGAACACAGTAACTGACTGTTTATTTTTTTTCTTTCTCTGTCGGCGCTTAGGAGCAGGCGCAGATGAACATGAAGATCAATGTGTTGCAGACATTCATGCCGCAGCAGATCGAGAGGACTTTGTTGATGAGGATGCACGACTCAATCCTCAAGCGTGTTCAGGAACTCGACAGCCAACGGTACAGAGATGAGCACGACTTGGACAAAGTGACAGGATCTGGCCTCCACTCTCGCGCATTGACGACCGCCTCTCAGCGCGTCCCTGGAACTTCCTTCGCGCTGGCAACCAACCTTGTGAGTGCGATGCAGCAGGCCCGTGCTGGAAGTTTGCCACTGGAGGCGGGAGTACGGGGTCGTCTTGGAATCACCCAGGGCCTTGCGATTGCGACCCAGAATATGATGGCCCACCGCGACTTTTCGCTGCCAACTCCTTCATTCGGAAACGAGAGCCAGGCGACATCCACCACTGGTTCAGGATATTACTCGACTTCCTCTGCAATGTTGAGCATGAACAGCGAGGGCATCAACCCCAACTATGGCGACTACTCGGCTTCGACTGTCAGGACTATCCCAACCCTTCAGTTCACCAATATTCGTGGCCAAGTAGGACCCGTCACATCGTTGCCACTGACTTCCAGCCCGTTGACTGCCTCTGTTCCTTCTGGTCCTCTGTCAGCCTTCCCTCTGCTCAACAGTCTTCGCACACGCAAGAGCCAACAAAGTCTTTCGGCCAAGAACTCGGGCGCTGAAGGAGCTCGTCCCAAGAGCATGTATGCCTATGGCGGTCAGTCGGATGCGGGTCAGGATGAGGTCACGTCCCCTCAAGCCTCATCCAGTCTCAGCAACCGAATGAGCCGCGTGTTCGATTTTGGCAACAGTAGCAACAGCCACGGTAACAACGGAAATGGCAAGCTGAAGAGCACAGGTGACGCTCCTAGGATCTCGACTCTGGAGTCTTCAACATTGCAGTTGAGCACGGATGCGATGATGGCCCTCGGTTTAGGCTCGCAACCTGGCACTGCCGGAGGCGTGATTACTCGTGGCCATGGCTTTGATCGATTGGGACTCAGACCGGACCATGGATCAAGGCTGGGTGACGGATCTCTGATTGATATCAAGAACTCGATGGCGATCAAGAGCTCGCCTTCGTTGACATCGACGCCGATGCCTTTGTTCTCTGTTCGTCCCACTTCCCCTACCCCCGGTAGCTCTGCCGCGAGGCAGGAGAAGGCTCGCACATCCAAGACTTCGTCTGCACGACCCGTCTCGCCTCTGCCTTCTCACATCTCGGACTCTTCTATCAAATCGCCTACCAGCTCTGGCGGAAGCAGCGGATTTGGCACGGAAAAGACTACAACAGCGCTGCCTTGGTTGCGCCTCAAGTCCTCGGGCATGCCTCAGAGTCACTCGCAGGACAGCGGATACCAGCAACCCAGTGGCGACTTCCCTCCACCTTCGGCATCGATCGCCTCGACGGTAACATCCATGTCGACAACCTCGTTGCCGGTGCAGCTTACCGTCAATGGATTGCCCATCTCTGCGCCGGCTCCACCACCCATCTTGCTGAACTATACTCTGGAGACATCGAGCCTGGACATCCCCTCGCACATGTACTATAGTGCCAACGGCGATGATGTTGATGGCGATATGCCTGCCGGTGATCACGACGAGGATGATGAGCTGTCTCGTTTGGGTGATGGTATGGGTATTGATGGCGAGACCGAGGACGATAACATGTCGACGACGACTGGTGGGTATACCGAAGGAACTCGTCCACGGATCAGGACCAAGGCACCCATAATTGAATCTCAGGCCAGGTCTCAACAGGAAGCCTACCAACAGCAACAGCAGCAGCAGCAGCAACAATACCAGGCGACCGCTACGGATCCAGTTTTGAAGATTGCGGTGCTGAAGGGCATCTACGATCAGATCCTGCAGAACATGGACCAAATGGTGGAGCAGAATGTGCAAGAGTCGCCGGCCAAGAAGAATAACAACAACAAGTTCAAGCTGCTGAACACACTCAAGTTCTTGAAGGCCGATCGCAATGGCAATGGAAGCAGCAGTAACAACAGCAGTACGAACAACCATCACCAGCACTCTATGCAGGCCCAACACCACCATCACCACCAGGGATCTTTGTCGAGCTCCCTTGTTGGCCACCACCCCATAACGACCACCCTTCAATAATGGATCGTCAGGATGGATGGGATGGCGCTTTTTTTTCTATTATCTCTTCAACACTTAATTATTTATATTTCATGAACGCAGTTTGCTTGTCCCTTCCTTCAACAGTGGATGGATGGGAACATGATCATGAATATCTTTTTCTTCTCACCCAAAATATCAATTTTTTTTCTTACGAATCTTTTTTTTTCTCGGGAGCTACTCTTCCCGCCTTGTAGTTTAGGTCATCTTTTTTTTCCCTTTCTTTTTTCTCTTTTTCTCTTTTCTTTTCATTCTTCCCTTTCCCCATTGTACTCTTCTGCTCATTGATACCCTAGTTTAACTCAAATTCAACATAGAAAAAAAATTACATTTTTTCAACGATCGTCTTTCTATCATTACACCCCTTTGCATCACTCAGTACTTTCTGCGCTTCTTCCTCTGTATGCTATTCTGTGTAGACTTCGTGAGCTTGGCTGTCCTAATTCCATTGCGCATGGTGTCAGTAGAATAACTCCTTTCTCCTCAAATCCGCTCGCTTGACACCACGTGTAAACCAATTCCTTCCTTCCTTGCCAGGGGTTGTGGACTTTTCGCCTACCTTTTCTTCTGTTTCCTTCCTCTCTCAGTCTCGCTCCTTTCTCTCCCTTCTTTATTCTTCTTTCTACGTCTTCACCCCGTCTTTGATTCGTTACTTGACAACATCATGTAACAGCCGATAGACGCCTGACCCACGTGCGACAAAGGGTCTCACTCTTTTGGCATGCAATCTCTTTTGGCAAGCTGATCGCTCACTTCATCGAGATTCACGGCATCGAAAAAAAAAATGAAAGGCTGCAGGACAAACGACCCGTGAAAGCAGTAAAAAACTCTCCTCCCAAGTACAATGGAAGAATTTAAAAACAAAGAGTGCTCTCTTTAGAAAAGCAATTGAACTCTTTGTTTGTTGAACGCAACATTGTCTTCCAAGCCATTGTTTCTCTTTTGTTTTATTCTCTGGAATAAGCAAAAAGGAGGAGGAGGGGGGGGGGGGGCGATCAGTGTCGATATTACATTACCAGATTGTGATGTTTAGTGGGCACAAGGACATGGGTTAATGGCGTACCAGCATCTCGACCTTCTAGGCTAAGGCGCTTGGATGATGGAGTGTCTATTATCAATTGAGCAGGGCGTTTTTATGAACGACAGTTATCAAACTAAGGAATAGCAGCAAATAAACCCACCCAGAAGCTGGCATTGACAGTGTGGATTCACAAAGGCTGTTGGGACATTCATCGCCATATTTGCATGCGTTTACTGGACACCTGTGGCCCTGTGGGTATCAGTCGCCTTGTACCAAAAAAAAAAAAAAAAAAAAAAAGTTTGCCAAAGGAAATTGTTTGCAATATGCTTCATGATGTGAGATTTCTTGTTGTTGGCTGTCTTAGTCCCTTCTCCCGTTTCGTTCAAGACCAATTTTGGCAAAATTCGATTCCTTGGAAGAAGATGGCGGATGATTGATTATACGTTACTTGATCAGAAAAATGCTTATTCGTTTCATCGATTGATCAGGAACGTTAATTACAAACGGGCCTAAAGTATATATATATATTTACTTGATCGAAACCTTCTCAGTACCCAAAAGGAAATATGTACCTCCATCTTGATGGTGGTCTTACGCTGGGCACCTCTTAGTCCTCGTTCAAGAAAAAAAAGAAAGGGTGCGACACTAGTCGTTGCGTTGGGGCGTTCGTAATAAACAAGGTTGTATATATTCAAAAGCTCACACAGTCAGTTGGAAGAAAGGGCTCCTTTTGTTGTTGTTGTTTTTGCATGCCAATCCAATAACCCAAAAATGCTGTGCGACCATGTTGGAGAGACGCAAAGGACACAGGAAAGAAGAGTCGAGAGGAGGAAAGGAAAAATGAAGAATCTTAGTCCGCTTCACTTTTTTTTCCCTCATCTCGCGTCCTCTCATCATCTCTCTTTTTTTTTTCTCTCATCCTTTCACTCATTCCTTTTCGCAACCTCTCATTTTTCGTCTCCTCTGCTCTTCTATCTTTACTTCCACCCCTACGTTCTTGTTCCATTCAATTCATCCAACCTGCCACTTTGATATCCAAACAATGAATACTGACGAGAGCACTGTTAGTGCACCCCTCCCCTCCACGGGTTTCAAAGGCAGCGACTTGCCTCCTCTAGTGACAGACGCACCCCCTCGTGTCCTTATTGCTGGTGCCGGTTTAGCTGGTCTCTATCTTGGCATCCTCCTCGAGAAGGCAGGCATTCCTTATGAGATCTTTGAACGCACCTCTGAGATCAAGCCACTTGGTAATTTCATTTCGTGGTTCCCTCTCAGCATTCGGAATTATCGAGTTCTTTCCATGTGCTAACAGTCGCCACTATTCTTTTGCGAAACTAGGGTCGATTTTGTTCCTTGTAAGACCAACATACTCTTTTCTTAATTATGTACTGTATGTATGTATGCAGTTGCTAACCTGCTCACTTTATGATTTATTAGTCGCCCAACATCCTGCCAGCATTTGAACAACTGGGTCTGTATGACAAACTCCTGTCAATCTCGAAGCCTGGAGGAGGTCTCGCAACATTCTACACGGACCAGTTGGAGGTCATTGCCACAAGCACGTCTTCGCACGCAGACATGTAGGCGCAATTATGGATGAATTTCTCGCTCTTCTTGCTTTGTCAACATGTGGCTCTCGTACTTATCATCGCTTTATATCGATCATTAGTGTTGGCTACGTCCCTCTCTTCTTTGCGCGACCCGAGCTGTATGACATGTTGTTCAAGCAGATCCCATCGGAAAACATACACATGTCCAAGAAGATTCTTTCCTTCCAACAGAACCACGAAGGAGTCATGCTCCGCTTCAGTGACAACACCACCGCTCACGGCGACATTCTTGTTGGTGCCGATGGAGCCCACAGCTCAGTTCGCCAACATCTTTTCAAGACTATGGATAAACAAGGATTATTGCCAAAGACGGACACCAAGGCTATGAGTAAAGGGTATATTTCCGTTGTTGGCACCACAGACGAATTGGATCCTGCCAAATACCCTTGCTTGACTGAACCCAAATGCGAGGTTACGTTCGTCATTGGCGACAAAAATACTCCTTATACAGTACGTTCCCCTCAATTTTCGAGCTTATGCCTCAGTGTTCATGAACCATTTCTAAACAACTCCACCGATGCATCTCCTCTCTTTAGTGGGTGCTTTTCTCAGTCCCTGGCAACAGGATATGCTGGAACGTTATTATTCAACTCGGGATTGAAAAGATCGCTGATGACCAGTTCAAATCTTCGGACTGGAAACCCCAGCAAAACCAAGAAATGTTGGACCTGTTGCGTGATTTCAAGACACCGTACGGGACGATGGGCGATTTGTTCGACGTTACACCTATCGAACGCGTTTCGAAGGTGTACTACGAGGACATGTTGTTCGAGACTTGGACTCACGGACGAACTATCTTGATTGGTGACGGTATGTGCTCGCATTTTTTTTTTCCTTTTTTTTGTCGTGTGGTGGTGTATTACTGGCCAATTGGTACATCCGCTGCTACTACCCGTTTCTTATCCATTATCTCATCCTGGTATTCACTACTGATAGCTGCGCATAAGCTCCTCCCAAGCAGCGGTGCGGGTGCTGTCAACGCAATGCAGGATGCGGTCCTCCTCGCCAACCACCTCTACGACATCAAGCCCACCAGCTTTGAGAATATCAAGCTCGCGTTGAATGCTTACAAAGAAGAGCGATTCGATGCTGTCAAGGATCAATATCCCCAATCATATATGAGTGCCAAACTCATCTACGGCCATGTAAGTGACTGTGTATCCCCCTCATTGTGTTTACATAAAAGCACAAAAAAAGGCGGCAGGGGTAGTATGCCCCTCGTATGCTAATTTTTTTTATATGCGATTATGGATTTTTGGACCCGAAATAGAGTATATTGGAGCGGATCATCAGATATGTTATTTTCAACTGGCTGCCCAAGTCGGTGCAGAAGAAACAGCTCATCAGAGACTCGGCTTACCGCCCCCAAGCCAACTTTTTGCCCCTGGCTCCCAAGCGAGGCACCATTGATATTATCCCTCAGCAACCCTCGAAGCGGATGCAAAAAGAAGAGGAGGAGGGTAGGGAGCAAGCGGAAGCAGCTGCCACCGCTCTTTGAATAAAAGTTGGAGCGGACATAATTTACACCACGAGATCAAAATAATTTTTTCTTGAGTAATTAAATGAATGGTGTGTTTTTTCTCCATGTGTCTACATTGAAGAACTACTTTTGTTCAAAAGTGACCCGTTTGCTTCTCGCACTTGAGAGAAGAGATAATGAGGAGAAAAGGTGGCAGTGTTGATACCACAGGAAATCTTGCGCAGCGGATCAAAATGCTAATTAGTCTCGTCGATCAGGATTTTCCCTTCAGAGGCACCTAGTTGTTGCGTTGTGGCGTTTGTCTTTTTGTCGTTTGGGTTCATGTGCGGGGAGCATGAAAGCATTTAAGCAGCTTTACCAAGAACTCCGCCTTCTCTTTCTCTGTAATAAACAGGATTACATTTACCCAAAAAGCTCACAAAGCTGGAAGACAGACTCCCTTGTTTTTTGATGTGCCAATCCTACGATCCACTTTGTTGTGTAACCATGTCGGAGAGACTCAATGGAAGGAAGAAAAGAAGAGTAAAGAATGAGAGGACACAAGAAAGACCAGAGCGAACCTCAGTCCGCCCAACTTTTTTTCCGATTCCTCATCCTCATCTCGCGTCCCCTCATCATCATCTCTCATTTTCTTTCTTTCATCCTACGTTCATTCTCTTTTCTAGCCTCCACTTGTCTCTCTTTTTCGTCTTCCTCTCACTCTCTCCACCCTCACACCCTTGTTTCCATTCAATTCATCCAACCTACTGCTTTGATATCCGACAATGAGTACTGAAGAGAGCATTACCAGCACACCCCTCCCCTCCACTGGCTTCAAAGGCAGCGACTTGCCCCCTCTAGTGACAGACGCACCCCCTCATGTCCTTATTGCTGGCGCCGGTTTAGCTGGACTCTTCCTTGGCAATTTATTGGAAAAGGCTGGGATTCCTTACGAGATCTTTGAGCGCACAGCTGAGATCAAGCCCCTAGGTAACGATCATGCCGGCTCACTTCTTTTCTTGTTAACGAGACGAGTCGTCTGTCTATTGATATCTAACGATTCTCCTTCAAATGGTTTTTTTCGGATAATTAGGTGCCATTATGTGCCTGGTAACATAGAAGGACCTTTTCATATGTGTGTGATTTTTTGGTGCTCTGTGTGCATGTTTTTTTTTTTAGGCTGACATTGTTTTTTTGTGATACACTCGTTTCAATGTACTTCCTTTAGTCTCCAAACATCCTCCCGGCATTCGAGCAATTGAACATTTATGAGGAACTGATGTCCTTCTCAAAGCCTTGTCGAACGGCACATTTCTTCACCGACAAACTCAAGCATATCACCAGTAACAGCGGTTTTCCCGCAGAAGAGTATGTGGGCATCCCCTGGGCCTTGTCTTGTATCATTTTTTGTAGGCCGTGTGCAAAAAAAAAAAAAAAAAAAAAAAAAAAAAAGAACAGAGAATCATACTAACACAGCATTACAGAGTCGGATATGATAGGATCCTGTTTGCGCGCCCAGAGTTGTACGACATGCTCTTCAAGAAGATTCCCTCCGAAAAGATCCACATGTCCAAGAAAATCCACTCCTTCCAGCAAAATCACGAAGGCGTCATGCTGCGGTTCAGCGATAACACCACCACTCACGGTGACATCCTTGTTGGAGCTGATGGAGCTCATAGTGCAGTTCGCCAGCACTTGTACAAGACTCTGGACAAGCAGGGACTGTTGCCCAAGGCTGACACCAAGGATATGAGCAGAGGGTACATCTCGCTGGTTGGCACCACGAACGAACTGGATCCTGCCAAGTATGCCGATCTGGATCTTGAGGAGTGCATGAATATGTTTGTTATTGGCGACAAGAGTACTCCTTACACGGTACGTTACATGTTTCACCAATCCATTCTTGTTACAGTAAGCCTCCTAAGGTCCGCAAATGACTAATGATATTATTTTCCGCACACCTGTCATTTAGTGGGCGACATTCACCGTTCCAGGAAACAGGATCTGTTGGAACGTTATTATTCAGCTCGGGATTGAAGAGATTGCAGACGACCAATTCAAATCCTCGGACTGGGTCCCTCAGCAGAACCAAGAAATGATGGATTCGATCCGACACTTCAAGACAACCTACGGAACTTTGGGGGATCTCTTTGATGCTACCGACATTGAACGTGTTTCGAAGGTCTACTTCGAGGACATGCTATTCGAGACATGGAACCATGGACGAACAGTCTTGATTGGCGATGGTAAGAGTCTTCTTTTGGTTCTGTTTACTTGTTGGTTTGTTA